CTCCCACTATAGGTGTATTTCTCTAGAGCCAAGAATAGTTAGGAGGCAGGATCAGAGATATTGCGATAGTTTCGGATCTGCCAAAACAGCGGACACGAATGTAGAGAGCAGAGGCAGTAACTTGGGCCACGGGATAAGTAGCCCGGGAGTCCTAGATCTCTCTCATTGTACTCGTAGTATGGAATATGGAATCGGCATGTTCCTTAGACGAGACGCTTCACCTTCCCCTAGCATATGCTTCGTGTTGCCCTCCATGGCGAAGCATCACCAACCACATGCCTTAGAGTCGCGAGGACATGGCGCTAGGGTCTGAGGTTCCCAAGGGAATCAACAAACCCTACGGTCCTATAGGACTAGGTGTTCTCAAGTCTTAAGAAAATTTTCGGGGATAAACGACATGCTGCCTGTTTAAATCGACCCCAGGTAGTAGGTTTGGGTGTTAAAGATGATGCGTTAGCACTGCTTTGCAATGACAAAATTCACCTTCACAGAGTCGCTTGAGAAACATCCACCCGATAGTGCAAGAGGGTATAATTAACTGAAATGACAAAAGTGAATGTAAGGCTCTACACCGGGTAGCGAAGAAGAGGAGGAAACCAGGATTCGCAACCACGCAGTCTTTGGCACATGCCGGCGGACAAACGAGTCCAAACAATTTTCAAAAGTTTGAGGGTAACAGTGCATGGGAGTATGGTCACTCCTTGATCCCGGCCTCATCGAGTAAATCTTCCAGTTCTATCTCCAATGTTTGTAGCGGTACGGCTGCTAGACCGGAGGCTCAGACAGGACATTTGGTTCGGAGAGTAAGCCAGTGGGTGTCCAACGTCATCTTTTTAAAAAAAAAAAAATTGGATTAGTTATGGCATTTTCTTGCTCGTAAGATTGGTATTTCCACCGTTGATGGCCCCTGAACTGGAGGACGTTAAGCCGAGCCTAAGAACAGCTTTTGTTCCGTTTAGCTCTGTTGCAAGTTCCCAGGAGCTTAATACTGATTGATCCAAGTCTTCTCGATGTCTGTTCAGAAATCAAACGCATTATTTGTCCGGGATACGTCTATTCCTTAGACATGCTACCAATATCGGAGACTGGAAACCAGAGTGCTGTGGAGTGACGTATGATGAGGTAGTTATTCTTCATCGGCTGCATGATCTATCTTGTATCCCCAGCCCTGCAAGCGCGATAGCCAACTATATGTGGGTGTCAGGTGTAGGTGTGTACAGCCACTAATATCTGGTTTAAGTTGGTGGGCATGGCAGTTAGATGTTTCTTCTGGAAGTGCGGTTGTAGAAAAGGTTGCAATACCGTCAAAATCATCGAGGTTTGTTATGTGGAACTTGGTGTGCGAAAATAGGAAACATTTTAGCCGTTCCCTTTGGGTAATCTTTCAACAACAATCATAGACAATCATATCAGGTGCAAAGCATTGTCAAACCCAGGATATCGGGTGTGGCATATAGTCATCCGTGCGTTTATCACTGATATACGGGGAATCATTGTTGGAATATAGATCAGTATTCGCCAACCGTATAATGAACTCAATAGTCGCATGCACAGCCAAAATCACTGTCTTCTAGATGCGACTTACATTTCGTGTGCGTATGAAATGTGTTAGACTGGGGATCAGCGGGGGGCCTTTTCGTCCGCGCATCAAATTGAAGTAATCCTGTCCCAGGCATACACTATCCGTTATCTCCTTGATCTTATCGAAATTTGGGCAGTGTTCCCTTTGGATTGTGTGTCTGGGTGTATCACCACTCGTAGTTGTTGAAACGTGGCCCGTTCTCCTCAATCTCCCACATCGATTTTCATTTTATCTTATAGTGTTGGCGGTTTGAGGGATATACTTCGTTGCTCGCCATGTAGTTAAGCATCCATCCACCAAGCAGTGTACAGCAGGTGGATTCCGAAAGCGCGTTAATTGGTAAGTAGGGATTGTTAGGCGGTTGTAAGCATCCCGGCTTCTCGTACGACTATGCTCTGTATGGATATAGCTTTCGAGACTAATCAAAAGTCCCGTTTGTAGGCTTCAATATCCATCCTCTGTTGGTCGGTATTCCTCCAAGCCCGATAAATTGATAAAACGTATGCAGCGCCCTCCAGCTCCACATGGATGTAACTTCCTCATAGTCATATTTGGCGTTCTTGGTGTTGTTAGGCTGGCCAATATTGGAATTTGGATGTCTGGATTCATAATGATATCATCCTCTGCTTTCGTAGCGTGAATCCGACATCCATAAACCTCAAGAAGCCACAGGCCTGCTTATCCGCCATATCATAAAAAATCGTATGACCCGGTTGCGACGACCGGGGAGGAAACCACCCAGTATTAGGCAGTCGCACAACCTCGGAGATTTCAGAACACTTTTCCCAATCCAGCCGCCAGACCAATGCCTGGTGTGACAAGGCCAAATCGCTCTCTGTTAAACCCTGGGAATTAGGCGTATAAGTGCTGCATAATGTCAATAGACCGTTGAGCCGTGGCTCATATGTATCCAGTTTCTTGGGTAAAGCATTATGATAATCCTTGCATAAAAGCCGTGCGGGTAGGTAGGGGATCAGTGATCATGCTTGGTGTGTATTCGGCTCTATGCTGGATCATGTCAGCAAAATCACCTAACTTCTCTCAGATATAGACGTCCTTACCTATTAATACCATTCAACCAGACAACATTGATGTATGCATGACCTTATCAAAATAACAGTTAAACCTTGTTTGAATATCAAGAGCAGTATTGGATGCAGGTCCCCTTTTGACATTGAATGCGTCTGCGAGGCTACTGCCACTAAGCATGTATCGACCACATAGTCCCAAAAACATTCAATTGCCGTAACTGGTTCAGTATGGGTGTGGTCGTATAAAGTGCTCGAGATAACATACCGTGGCAGGACTTTTTCAGTATGCCGCTTCGCATAATAGAGCCATCCATCAACATCTCGGGGATCATTATAGGAATAGACAGGAAGAGATCTTGCTCAACTCCACCGGGAGACCTGACATGAGAGGAAACCCTCAAACGGCTCCTCGTCATCCAACATGTCTTCGCCATACTCCCAGTGGACAGCCTCTATAGGCGCACCGTCACGCTACCCCTGTGAATGAGGCTCCCATACTCACCAAGATTGTTGCGACCGGTATTGTCGACAACCACAACAACAAGACTCAGAGGGCAGTAAGTGCAGGCAAGGAGGCATGATTCAGGGGTCAACGTGGGAGAGGTAGCAAATATGACACACCCCAAGATCTAGGATATCTCGTGAACCAAGGGAGCCCTTGACAGGGACAGAGTTAAGAGCACCCTGAGAATGTGAATTGGGACTTATGAAGTTGACATTGTAGGTATAGGGTATATAGTGAAGGAGAAAAGATGGAAGCCAACAGGCCTCATCCAGGATATGATGGGCTTGAGTATCCCTGCGGTGTCGCCAGAGAAGGGCTCCCTCGAGGATTGAAGTAAGAGGGTATTGTAGACCTATTGTTAGGCAACGAGAGTGTTGGTATGATATTTGCAACCGAGTAACAATTAGATGGTAGAGGGGCTTGAACTAGCCTAGCTGTGAAATAGGTAACTGGGGCCCCGTTTAGCTCCTCCGCCAGGTTTTTAAGGGCTGGGGTTGTGTTCCCTGTGGTAAAAGGAACTTGAGTGGTAGGGGAAGGAACCCGTGTACTGATGATATGGATCTTAGTAGGAGTAGAAGCCGGGGCTGGACTGGCATCGTGCTAAGCGTGAGAGAGTAGTAGGGTACCGACCTGGCAAATGAGGAAGTAATGGAAACCACAGGCCTCGGCGGTTGAGAAAGGCTAGGCGAGAGTTGCTTTGTCCTATCATATGCATGAGGATATTGTTGGCCGCGAAATCTAGAAAGGCGGACTTTAGACCATTGGTTGAATCAGCCTTTCGTGGTCTTTGGATACCTCCGTGCCTTTTTTGTGTTTGGCACGTTGGCTTCAGTGGCTTCGACCTCTTTGCTAACCTTGGATTTGATCGTTTCGAGATAGGTGGTAAACTGTGATTCCTAGTCTCCAACCAGTTGCTTGACCATCTTCTTCGCTCTGTTATGTTCCACGTATCGGTCCCACGAATGCTTGAGGAACAAAATAGAGTTTTCCTGTATGTTGCGTTGACCCAGGGGAAGACGAAGAGACAAGTAGGCTAAGGCATCGAAAGGTGACGGTGACGGCCTTTGGCTATGTGGCCGGAAGCACCGCCATTAGGATTCATGGATGTGGAGGTAAAATACCTCGTTATTGCAGCACTTGGTTCATTGGTAATGGTAGGAGAGGAACAGGAATGGAAATTGGAAGGGAGAAGAGAAATATAAGGAGAAGGATACTGGGGAAGAAAAAAGGGAAGAGAAAGAGGAAGAAAGAAAGCGGGCGAGGGGCGGGTATTTATGCATCCTCCGTCCCTCAGGGAGCGGGCATCCGCTTCACCGTCAGCACCGTCACTGGAGCGGCTCCAGTCACTGAGACGGTGAATCCTGCGGTGGGACGCGGAAAAATAGTGGTGGGTATCGCCATGCCGTGAATTGGGAAATTAAAAGAAGGTCGGCGGGCGTAAAATTTGGGGCTGTGAGGGATATCAGTGAAGGACGAGGCATCCAGGCAGATTTGCCACTGGGTATAGTTAATGTTGAGCCTGGGGAAATTAATCATGCAGTTAATGCTAGATCCTGCGCTGTAACTCTGCTGTAAGTATTGAATAACGTAGGAAATAATCACTCTTCCATACGTAGATGGTGGAATGACGGATGGAATATGGCGATGATTGAATAACTGTTCTTTCTATTGTATGATAATTTCGGTAGTGACCGAGACATGGTATGCTGGATGGCAAACGCGGCAACTCAGCGCTCTATACTTACTCGCATCACCACTGCCACCGTCCGCATCGGCGGTGAAGCCTAGATTGTAAGAAATGGAAACCGACATAACCACGCAGAAAGGAATGCTAAATGGCGAAGATCAAACCAAAAATATCCAAACAGATAGGGTAGATACCTCATAGCTTCGCCTTAACCTTGCTGTTCTCTTTCTTGACCATCTCTTTCAACACCCGTCTAAGGATCTTCCCGCTGGGACTCTTTGGGATTGAATCGACGAACTTGACTCCTCCTCTCAATCGTTTGTATGGTGCTACTCTTCCGGCCAACCAGCTTGCGATTGCCTTTGCGGTCTTCTCTCCTTTCTCAACACCGGACTTAACAACGATGTAGGCACGCGGTACCTCGCTACCGTGGTCTTCGCTCTCAACTCCAATGATGGCTGCGTCGTCTACCTCTGGGTGTGCGGCAAGGTATCCCTCTAGCTCAGCGGGAGCAACTTGGAAGCCCTTGTATTTGATCAGCTCCTTGACACGGTCGGTGATGTACAGGTTTCCTTCCTCGTCTTGGTGACCGACGTCGCCAGTGCAGAACCAGCCGTCGGCCGAAAGGCAGCCTGCCGTTGCAGTTGGGTTGTCAAGGTATCCTGAAAACACATTGGGCCCACGAAGGTAGACTTCTCCTGTCTTTCCGGCTGGAACTTCCACAGGTTCCGACCCATCTTCCGGGCTAGTCATGTATTTAACTTCCATATTTGGAAGTAGTTTGCCCACTGCGCCGGCCTTGCGGCGCCAATCATTCCACGACAAGGTGTGGGTTGTAGGACTGCATTCACTAAGTCCGTATCCTTGTTTGGCTCCTTTGTTGATGCGGGCGTACATGGTTTCCAGCAGCTCGGCGGTGAGCGGCGCAGCGCCAGAGTTCATCATGCGAAGGGACGAAAGATCGTACTTGGAGACAACGGGATGCTTGGCTAGTAGTAGAATCACTGGTGGGACGACATAGGAGAACGTTATGCGATAATTTTGGACATGTGCACACCACTTTTCGATGTCAAACTTGGACATGACGTATAGATGGTAACCGGAGTACATCGAGCTATGAATCAAGCAGGTCAATCCTATGGAAGTTAGCACAGTCCGTTCAGAAACGAGAGGGTAAGAGTACCATAAACATGGAAGAACGGGAGGAAAGCAAGTAGCTTGTCTCCCTTGCCATCTGGCCCTCCATTACACGACAAGTTCCCTTCCTCGCCCGCCTTAAGCTGCAATATATTCGCGACGATGTTGTAATGGCTCAACATAACACCCTTCGGTACACCCGTGGTGCCTGACGAAAATACTAAAAAGGCAAGATCCGTCTTTGGATCAAGGCGTGTCCTACGATACCTTGTTGCACCAGACAGGTTGCGAACGGATGTGAAATGCTTATATTTTCGGGTGGGATGTCGGTCGTCACCCAGTAGTACGATACAGTCGTCTGGAATTCCGACCTTGGCCGCTGCACGCACAGCGACATCCAGACAAGTCAAGTGCGTAACCAGGAAACGCGCACGAGTCTTTTGGAGCTGAAACGCAAGCTCGTCCGCCGTATACGCCGGGTTGGCAGGCGTCACTACACCGCCGGCCCAATGCGTGCCCCATAACACCGGTGGAATATCGATATCATTGGGCGAGAAAAGAGCAAGGACATCACCCTTTTTCCAGTCGAGAGAGGCCTTGAGGCCTGTTCCGAAGGTAATTGCTGTAGATTTTACCTGGGCGTAGGTGTAGGAGCGCAGGGTGTCTGCGTCCTGATAGACCACTGTCCATGGGTTAGACGGAAAATGGTTGAGAGCTATGGTAGGGATGTGGCTGCTTACCCTTGTCATCTGGGAATTGGCGCTGCTCGTTCTCGAAGAGGAACTTCCAGAGGTCGACGACTGGGATGTCGATTGGGGGGTACGGGGACGGTGAAGGCATGGCGGCGGCTGCTTGGTAGAGCTGTAGGAGAGAGTGTAACGAAGGAAGAAGAGAAGAAGCTGGAGATATCCCACCAAATAGCCGCTACACGAACACTCCGCAGTGGAGAGACCGAGACCTCGGCCTTAGCGTAACGCCGCCCGATCGGGGAACTGGTAGGTCAGTGATTGTCAGCATCACCACCAGAGCCAGGATATACGCCGGTGTTTCTTCATGGCCTCGTTGTATGCCTCAATGGCAGCTCGAAGATGTGTATACAAGCTGGAGTTGTGCAGAAGTTGAACAAAACGACGTCTTTCTTTCCCTTTTCGGCGCTTCCCTCGGCCTCGGCTCCCCGCACGTTATGTAATCATGTCACGGATCTTCTTTCTTCCATTCCGAAAGGGCGTCGGATTATCTTATTCCCGTTACGCGGATTATCTATACTCCATCATCTTAATAAGCCCTTACCTAATAGGCGCTAACTGGTTCAGCCAATGACAATGTCTTATGTCAGAAAACCTCCCCTTATATGGCATACAGCTTCCTATTACTTCGCCTTCGGGCATTTGGTCATAGTAACGATACAGAGAAGATTAGCATGGCCCCTGCACTAAGGATGACACGCTCAATCAAAGAGAAGCTACAAGTTTTTTTTACTCGTTGCGAAGGCAAACTGGAGGTGCGAGGTCATCGCGATGGAGGAGGGCAGCAGTTCGAAGCCGCGGGTGGGCGATATTTTTAGCGTTCTTTTTATTTTTAAGTAGAAGAGATAGGAAGAACTGGTATGTACGGGGATAAAACAGTAAGGAGTACGGAGCCAGGTAAGAAGTAACAGTGTGTCTCATTATAATTAAACCATCGACTACATAAGTATTTATCTAAGCGGCCAGACCAAAGACAAGCAAGGAAACCCGCATGATGCTACTCCTCCCCCCGACTACCCTACCAGACTAGAACTTTTTTTTTCATCATCGTCCAAGCTACCCTACCTCCCGAATATCTCATCTATCCGTCTAACCATCGACCCGTCTACCATCGTAACCAAGAATGTATGCAGGTGCAGCTTACTTCTTCTCGACGGCAGCGGTCAACAGCTGGCCACCACCGACATTCTGGATGCTGGACTCGCGAGCGCCGGCAAGGCCGAACTGGGTTGGGATACCCTCGACACGGTGGGTGGAGTTGATGTTCTTCACCATGGTGATTTGCCAGCAGGTAGCACCACCTTGACGGGAGGTGATGGTAGAGTAGGCAAGGAAGTATTCCCAGATCTATGAACATTAGTATATATTCGTCATATGGAGGTAGAGATGCATGACTTACGCGGAACCACTTCTTGCCATACTTGGCCTCAACCTTCTCCCTGTTGCCCATCCAGTTCCTGTACCATCTCCAGAGGGTGGCAGAGTAATGCACACCAACGGTATCGATACCCTTGATCTCGAAGCCGGCTCCCTCGACACGCTCAGTAACGAAACCCAGAGGCGTACTGGCGTCGGCACCAGGGAAGATATACTTGTTCATGAATAGACCCCAGATAAGATCCTCGTATTGCCATGACTTACGTAGACCGGCGATCTGGAGGAAGAACACACCGTCGTCATCGAGCATGTCGTAGACCTGGCGGAGGAAGCTGGAGAAGTGTCGAACACCAACGTGCTCGGCCATCTCGAGACAGGTGATTTTCTTGTATCCGCCGGGGACGCTGGGGGTATCGCGGTAGTCCATACATAGGATACGGGATTGAGATTCTTCGATTCCTGCGTTGCGGAGGCCAGAGTTACCCCAGGCAGTCTGGTTGCGTCCAAGGGTGATACCGGTGACATGGGCGCCGTAGTGGACGGAGGCGTATTTGGCGAGAGTACCCCATCCAGAGCCAAGATCGAGCATGGTTTCGCCGGGCTTGAGGCCGATCTTCTCACAGACAACAGCGAGCTTGTTGTCCTGGAGCTGCTCAAGGGTCTCTTCCTTGTTGATGTCGCTGATTATACCGGAGGTGTAGATCATGCGTGGGCCGAGGAACCAGCTGTAGAAGTCGTCACCACGGTCATAGTGTCCACGGACTTGCTCCTCATCTGCCAGGGGTTAGTACAGTGAAATTGAGATCTAGACAGGGTAAGAGGAGTGTGGTAGTGCTCACCCTGGCTTCTGGTGTGCATGATAACCTCTGGCATCATGCCGGTCAAGAAGTACTTGAACAAGCTCCAGGTAAACCTGAACTGAGCCCAGTCATGTCTGTACTCCAACATCTCCAATGCGTCACCCTTGAAGTCCACCTGTCCGTCAAAGTACATCTCGTGGAAGGTCTCCATTGGTACCTTGGACTTGCCATGGTACTTGGCACGGTCATGCTCGCTGAGGAAGTTGAGGTAGTACTCGACAGGACGGCCGGGGTATTTAGCCTTCTCGTTCTTGCGGGGAGAAATAGTAGAGGCCACGGTCCAGTAGGCCATGAGAATAGGGACGGAGGTGAAGATGGCGAGGAACAGGGTGGTCCATAGCCCACCAGAGAGCTGGCGGGCAAGGTACCCAGGTACCAGGACAAGGATGGCGATGAGAAGGGTGTTGGAGAAGGAGTCAGAACCCGCTGCATCGGCGGGTAGAGGAGCGTTTTTTATGGCAGGATACTACATTCTCATCGTCAGCACATATAGCTTGGTGGTTGTTGTTGTGTGGGACGCCGCCATCCCAACAGAATATATATATATATATGCAATTGCAACGTAGAGAGATAGCTTACCTCCGTCGTCCTGACACCACACGGCTCAGCATTAGGGCTCACGCAGGACGCAGCTGGGGTTTCGATAAACTCGACACCGGAGACGTCGACGTTGACTGGCGTGGCCGTGGCCGTGGCCTGCTTCTGGTTGACCAACTTCTTCGCCATGGTTACGACGAACAGCGATCAGCTTGGTACGGGGACGGCGAGGAGACACCAACTACCGGCGTGCGAGGCGGATGGCAGGCGAGATGAAGCTCAGGCAATGGCAGATACCCCGTCGCTGGTGCAGGCGAGTCTGTATACGTAGCCAGGAGAGCAGAGAGCAGAGGAGGAGAGGATATTTAGTGCGTGGTGGGAGCTTGGCGGCACATGCACGTCGAGCTTGACGTTTCAGGGGCAAGGGGTTGCACTGCTCTGGTACACTAGTAGGGATCATAGACAGGCAGATGAAGAGACGATGAGATGAGATGAGATGAAGAGACGACGAGATACAGATAGAATACATGAGATAAAGATGAGGTACGGTAAAGATGACAGCTATGGGTATATAGATACAATAATACAGTTGAGAGCGCCAGACGCCGGTCCAAAGAATATACAATCCAGATATATGGAGTATGGAATAGGCCAATTCAGAGAGTAAGTTGGAAATTAGCACTCTCCTCATCCTCAACATACGCATCATCCAGCCCGTCCATCTCCAGCAGCTCCTCCGTGCTCTTCACCTCCTCCTCAAAGTACCCTGCAATCTTGCACCGCATCCACATCTCGCTACCAAACGGTGGTGGACCGTACAGCTGCATGTACCGTTCCGGCGAGAGGATGCTCTCCGCTTCCTTCTCCTTTTCGGCCTTTTTCTTCCTTAACGTCATCGTCTTCGCCCTGGCAGGTTCGGACTCCCCTTGTAGAGCAGACAGCACGTCACGTCCCTTCGAGTAGCCTAGGGTGCTCCTCGAGCTAGCCACGGCAGCTGTATGGCGCATTGAAGATGGGTTTGATGGTTCGGTGGTCTTCTTCATCGTTGTCTTTGGCGGTGCCTTTGCAGCAGCCTTCGCAGCGAGTCTTGGGGACGACCGAGTACGTACGCTGCCTTTCGGGTCCATTGCCAGTGCCTGAGCCGCGTTTCTTGATCGTAGAGTGGAGACTGACCGCTCTGACCTTGAAGACCTACTGGTAGCCCTGCTTGTGGCTCTGCTGGTAGGCCTACTCTCGACCCTGTCATCTAGCTCCCCCTCCAACTCAAGAGTGCCAATGCTGTCAATCTGGGCCTGTATCAAGGCATCAATCTGCTTATCGTACGCCTCGTCGAGCTCCTTGGCCTCTCGCTCCTTGGCCGTGAGTCCATCTGGGCCCACGCTGTTGTCTTCGTACAGCTTCTCCCATCCACGGCCAAGATTGGCTCCTTTGAACTGCGGGAATGTTGTGTCATATGTAATATAATCGGGATGGTCAGGAAGGGCTATAAAATCCATTATCAGCACTCTGTCAAGCTCCTGATACTGGATATGCAGTGTTTAACTCACGCTTCGGCTTTGGGGGCATATATTCAATCTCTAGCTCCTGCTCATCTTCCACCGGCACGGCCACTTCCTGCGTAGTCTGCACGGGTACGGGTGCGGCCTTTTTGATCTTGCGAGTTGATCCCCGTTTAGCACTCCTCTGCTTGATCGTTCCCATCGGCAGCGTAGGAGCTGGAGTCTGGAATGCCCGCGCCTTTGCATTGGTCGTCTTCATCCCAAGTGGCGCTCGTGTTGTACCTACATCTACTGTTAGCTCCCCTCTCATTACCTGGCATCGCTCTCTGGCATCACACTGCACATCTACTCACCCATCGGTGTAGCCAACACTTTCTTCTCCGTGCCCTTTCCTTTGCCCTGCAGCACCGCATTTTCGTCACGACCCTTCAGCATCGCCTTGCCAATCCCCGCCCCCATCCCCTTCCCCAGTGTAAGCGGTCTATTCTCATCGTGAAGCGGTACTCTAAACGGCGTCTTTGGGAGCGTGTTCAACGGGGTCTTCGGCGGTAGGTGGCGCGCTCCTTGGTTCAATGGCTTAGAGGCCGCGGCCGTCTGGTGCGCGTGAACCAGGTTCTCCTGGCCTTGCCCTCTGATGGACAGCATCTCGGCACACCCGTCAGTCTTTCGTCAGCAGGCAGCAACCGTAGCCTCTGTATGATGCGTTGCTCGTCGACGCGATATCTTTTTGCTTCCTCGAACTTGTCTCGCCTTTGTTTTGATTTCTGTCCCCCCAGCAACAGGGGCAGAAACATTCTCACGTGATGTCTCTGCGTATGTAAGCCAGGGCGGGCCCTCCATACTTAAGTTAGCAGCTCTGGCTCCTATCTACTTGCTCCCAACTGCAACACCAGGCAACGAGATTCTGCGCCAGAATAATATACAGAGACGCCTCTATCCCACTCGTTCCAACCCATCTACCGCCCCAAAACACACACATCAAGTCACCATGGACGGCATCAAGCGGGTAAGCATCCCAACGGCCGCCGCGGGGCAGCCAGGGGCACATAAACATCAACCATGCATTTTCATCACCCACCCTCCCCCGCCAGGTCAACGAGTCCCATGCTAACCAGGACAACGATGATGGCAGAAAATTGAGGTTATGCGGGCGGACATCGACGCCGGAGCCACCAAAATCGAGGAACAGAAGGCCCGCATCAAGGAGCTGGAACAGGAGAACCTAGCCAAAGAACAAGAGGTAACCTCACTCACCCACCGGAATCAGCTGCTTGAGACGAGGTTAGAGACACTCGAGACCACGCTCAAGGAGGCCAAATCCAAAGCGAGCGAGGCGGCTCAAGACAGTACACAGAACGAGTCCCTGCAGCGCCGTATACAGCTTATGGAGGAGGAGGCCGAGCAGACTGATAAGACTCTCAGAGAGACCAACGAGAAGTATGTTTTGCCGAGCCCGTCTAGACGATGGTTGTTCTAACTTATATGCATAGGCTGCGCCAAACGGACGTCAAGGCCGGCCACTTCGAGCGTAAAGTGCAGGCTCTCGAGGCCACTCGCGAGCAGTGGGAGACCAAATACGAGGAGATGTCGAAGCAGTACGCTGCCGTCAAGGAAGAGCTCAAGGAATTGGAGCGGTCTATCAGCGATGTCTAGAGTTTTAGCATGCAGGAGATAAATAAACCTTTCAGAGATCCCTTTCTCAAAAACTACATACATTCATCCTTGTCATACCCTACCAGCTGTCATCCTGAACCTTTTTAATTCTCTCTTCTATCCCGAGCTTCGTTCATTTTAATAGTTTTTACCCCTTTACATACTGCCGACTTCTAAAGTGTCTTCTCACCTTAAATAGTCGAAGTACATACTCAATCGACGTCTGCTCATAGTCCAGTACCAGTACTCCGTATATTCATATCTTAATCTATATTCAATGCTATAGTATCATCCCTTGCTTGCCTTTCTAGCGTCAGCCTGTTTCTTCTTCTTCCCGCGCTCCTTGGCCCTGTTCAGCTTCCTCTCCAGCGGACTCTCATACTTGAAGTCTCGCTTCTTCTTCCGTTTCTTCCTATTCTCTTTATTAGGGTTCTCCTTCGTCCATATCTTCTTTCCTTTTCCTTTCCCGTCGCTCTTCACTTTCTCTTTTTCTTTCTTCTCCTCATCGTCCTCATCCTCGTCTTCCGTGTTTGCAGCCTCATCTTTATCCTGAGGTTTCCCGTCTACGTCCCTCTTCATAACTACTAGTCCGCCCTTGGTAGCTTCGATTTCTTCCACAGTGACAGTAGTGTATTTGTCTTCGTCGATATATTCCGCCTCGTAATCCACTGGCGGGGGATCGATGATTCCATTCCATTCTTCGCCATCATCTCTATCCTCAGAGTCATCGTCCCCTCCCACGGTGGAGGGAAAGCCATTTAACGCCTCCATCTCCGCCCGATGCCGTTTCAGCGCTTCTTCGAATTCTGCCTTTCGTTCTTCTCGGATCTACTCCCGTCATTAGCTATGAACAAGGTAGAGATTGCATGTCAGGCTGTGTCCCACCTGTTTCCGCGCTTCTCTCCTCTCCTCCTTTGCTCTCTTCTCTGCAGCTTCCTGTGCATGTTTGGCGCGCTGTACTTTTCGCTTGTGAAACCCGGTCAGGTACTCCTCGCGGGACTCTGGGTTGAATGATATTTCCTCCACACGCGCGGGGACAGCGATCTTTCTTCTTTTCGTGGGCGGGCGCATTATTAAATATATTACACAAACAGGGAAGTATCAATTAGTATATTCTCCCACTGTGTAGTCGCCAGAATGTGTTTTCGTCGAGAAGGCAGCTTTCGTTATATTTGGTCGTCTGGTGTAGAAATTATTTAAATATTTAGCTCGTATTTTATCTCTGGCTTGGCGGTTGACGTAGGCTTGGCATCAGTCTTACTTTCGACTTCCTTTTCTCTTCTCCTTCTTTCTACTCTTAAATACTCTCCTCCTTTAGAGTGACGGGCATGAGAGCCTTCATATACCTATAAACAGCGATATCTATTAAGTGGAAGTCTCTATTATAAGATATCTGATTGTGTGGGTTAAGTTATCTATCAAACTGCAATTTATACGTTATATCTCGGAGTATACGGAGTATATGTAGTGGCTCTTGTTGCCAGCTGCATCTCAATATGGCTCCTGTTATGTTTCAGATCATGTCCGACCTCCATCTCGAAACTCATCCTTCGTATAACTACAATTTTAAACAAACTGCACCATACCTCGCCCTTCTTGGTGATATCGGTCTCGTCGGGGACGATCAACTTTTCCAGTTCCTCGAAAAGCAAGTAAAACGATACTGGGCCGTATTCTTCCTTCTTGGGAACCATGAACCATGCAACCTTCGCTTTGACACTGCGAAGACCAGAGTACAAGCGTTCGAAAGAAAGATGGCAAGCCTACGCACACATTCTACCGTCGGGCGTTTCGTATTCCTTGATCAGACTCGATATGACATTTCGAACACGCTCACTATCCTAGGCTGTACCTTATTTTCGCATATTACTCCGTCACAGGAACTCGCTGTGGCGAACCGGCTTATCGATTTCAGGAACATTATCCAGTGGAATGTGGAAGATCATAATCTTGCGCATCAATCTGACCTCAACTGGCTTAATCATCAGGTTAAGGAAATTGCGGAGAAAGAGCCACAAAGACAGATTGTCATATTTACACACCATAGTCCTTGTGTAGATGAGAGGGCTATAGATCCTAAACATAAGGACAGCGAGGTAACATCAGGTTTCATGACAGATCTGACATCTCAGGAGTGCTGGACAAGTTTATCCGTTAAAGCATGGGCTTTTGGACATACACATTTCAACACTTGGTTTATAAATGACAACGGCACAAAGATACTATCTAACCAGAAGGGATACTATACAATGCCAGAGTCCTCTTTTCAACCGGAGAGCGTATTTAGTTTGGGTAACTAAACCACTGTGTCGACTCTTACAAAGCTTTTCTTTGGTCCTTTGTAGAAAGCTCTCCATCTCTTCCCATAACCTCGAGTCCACCACAGCTGTTACATCACGTGACATATATACCAAAGGACCAGGAGGATGAAGTTGAATCATCAAACTGATATAGAGCTTCGACTTGCAACAGCGAACTAAACATCCAGCACTATGCAACTAAAGACCTGCGGGCTTCTGGCCCTCGGCGCCATTGCGTCCTCTGTCGATGCATTCCGAGACACATCTCCCTTCTTCCTCTTCTCGACCAACAGGTAACGCAACAACCCAGGCATCATCCAAGCAGCAGCTGAACTAACAATGCTCGCGCTCACAGCTTCGAAACACAATCCTCGCAACTGCAATCCGCCAGCTCTCTCCTCTCATCAGTGTCGACGGACCTCTCCTCGTGCCCATCAGACTTCTACGTCCTCGTCTCCCAGCCGGGCGTGCATGTGCTAGACTACAGCAACCGGCGGTCGGCGCCTCGACTACGGGAAAGAGTCCTACGGCAAGATAAGGCTATTAAATCGAGTTTCACGGTCAGCGAGGTAGTGGGAGAGTTTGACGCCGGATCATTGCAGGCAGAGCTAGAGAAGAAGTGTCATGCTGAGACGGTGCTGGTGAAGGGCGATGGTATGTGATGCCAGACAGTTATGTGGATGATATGACTGGCATAAGGCTAACGGTATCAGTGCTTCCGTCGGGATATACACATCGGCCGCAGGTTATAAAGGTCGAGTTCCCTGCTCTACCGGTGGATATCAGCAGGTCGAGCCAGCTGGTTGAGAATGGTGAGTGTGTACACTCTTCTGCGGGACTGAAGGACCACTCTGACTGTTGATAGATGGATTTCTTGCGACGTTGATTGACCTCCTTCCGTCGTCAAACTACACCGTACTATACACGACGACGCCACGAGGAGCAGAGCCAATCGCCGATGCAGACATCGGCCATTACGAGATGGGCTCCAACCCGCTCCAGGACCCTCTCTCCTTCAAGAGGGAGTTCCAGAGCCAGTCTTCGGGCGAAGATAAGCCCGAGAGCAAGACGACTCGCTCTTTGTTTGTGGAGTACCAGTTCCTGAGTCCTGGTAAGCAATATCCCTAACTACCGTCCGTGTTCCCCCTGCTAACATGACCAGGTCTCTTCATGGGTTTGATGGTCACCGTCATCCTAGGCAGCATTCTGTACGTCGGCCTGTCCGCCCTGACCAGCCTGCAGGTCTCGTATGCATCTTTTGACAAGGAGAACGGCCCTGCTGGCGCTGCAGGCAAGAAGCAGCAATAAGTATTATAGGCTAGAGCTCGTGGCTGGTTTCCTTTTGGGTTATTTTTTTTTCGCTCTCTGTCTTCTATCTCTGTATCTCCATCCGTATATTTTTGCAGCACGTCTTACTACTTAATCAACATGTACTTCTCATGTACTTCTCGTGAACTCGTCTTCCTGTTCTCCTATATAAAAAGCATCAGTGTGCATGTCTTGGCGCGCTTTTCCCTTCTGGGCGAGTCTCTGGAACATCAATCAAACCGCCTTGAGGGACCGAGACAGCGGCCAAAAACATCTCTCGAGAACACAACAAACACCAGCAACCACCAGCATCTCCGGCGTCTCGTCCTTCGTTTCAGCGTGCTGCTCTCGCTCGGCCACAGTCGCCCGTTTAATCCCTCTTTCGCATGGCCTTCCCGTCGCTTCGTCGTTTCTAGCCCGCCCCTTAAAAGGTGTGTAAATAAACCCTTCGCCAGCACTTCATCAGAGCACTAAACAAGAGATACAGCCTCTGTTCACTCTTTTCGGGCTTCCTGCAACCTAAGTGCTCGCTGGGACCGCTATAAGACACTCGTTGATTTAATCTCGGCCCTGCTCTTGATTCTCCCGGTGCAACCATCCAGGTGACCGCCCACCATGAGGCTCTCAGGAGGCAGAGCCTCACGCCCGATACTCCTTCTATGCCTCGTCTTCATATGTCTTGCCCTCTTTGCAGGCCAGACGGTGGCACAAGATACCAAGAACCAGCCAAAGCCGACCCCAAATGACCCAAAAAATACACCCGCGCCGCCGCCGCCGCCGCCAGCAAAGACCGATGCCCCGAAGAATACACCCGCTCCAAACCCGGCTCCTGCACCAACAGAAGCCACGCCAAATAAGCCTGACAACACTGGCGATGCAACGAGTCCTAAACCAGCACCACCTGCTCCTACAGACGACAAGAAGCCCTCTGAGACCGTGAACCTACCCCCGCTCGGCACGACCACTGAGAATAAGGGATCGACATCGGCTTCATCTTCACCAACCAGTTCGATCTCTCTCCCCGACATGACCAACAATGGACCCTCGATTTCCTTGCCTTCGCTCACAGGAGTAGGCCAAATCCCTACGGCAATTATTCCCCCTAAGAAGGGAGCCCCGTACCTGCAACACTCCAATCTTCCAGAAGGCACTGTTTTTATCGGTGTAGGCGCCGGACTAGGAGCTATCTTTCTGGCGGTCTTCGCCTGGCGCGCCCTTGTCGCGTGGTCAATCAACCGCTCCGTCCGTCGCGCAGCCACCACCCCTCACCAATCAGATGCCGCGGCCACGGCTCTCCTCAATCCATCAAAACGCAAATCAAAGGCCTACCGTCAATCTGTAGGAGCCTCCATGTCTCTAGAGAAGCTCAACAGCGGCAATGCGGGCAACAATCGGCACTCTGCTCTCCCCCGCGCCAGCCAACCGCCAAATTCGAGCCTTTTCTTTTCTCCGACTGCAGGGGCAAGCAACATGCATGCAGCTGGGAACAGAGGCCCCGGCTACCTACCAGCAGGCTACTACGCTGCTAGTGGGGCATCTCCTGGAGCAGGCCCGGGCCTTCAGCACAGCACATCCTCAATCGGTCTATCGCCCCTTGGCCCACAGGCACAGGGGTATTCGCGAACGCGGTCAACGGGACCAACACCTCCAGACTCGCCAGCCCTATCTCCTACCGGACGTAGGTTCGAACAGGGACACCCGTCTACAAGTAGTTTGAACCTCACCTCCGCGCCACAGGGTCGCGCACCAAGCGCGTATCTGGAGGACCTATTCGAAAACCATCCTTCCGGGCCCCAGCGATAGCACTTGCTTATTTAACGTCTACCATTTCCTCGTCGTTCCCATCCAATATTCCGATTTACTCGCTCTATTTAGAACCTTACATCCTGTTGTTTGACTATCTTGGTGCTCCATATGTTCGGCCTCTATTTTCCCCTTTTATTTCTACCAATCTTATCTCATCTCGTGGGCCCGGTCGAGCTGAGCCATTTTGGACATTTAAATAGGCTTTGTAGGAGTTGATGGGCTTTTTCTTTTTGCTACGCTTTACGTTTCTTTGATTTAGTCCACTATTCCCCATCCCATCCATTCATGGCGTCGTCTAGGAAGCTGAAGGTTCGTTTTGTCTGTTTTTGTGTCTGTGTTTTTGATAGTTTCTCTATCTCTTACTATATCCCCATTACCATTCCTTACTTCAACCGCATGGTGCATGTTCGTTCCGAGAAAGGAGCCCTATGGCTTAATCCTTGCCGTGTCCCTTCCTAGCCAGATGCACCTTGAACCCCCAGTGATCTAATTGTACCAGCAACCACTCCAAAAGATGGGTATATATTTCGTTATCCTTCGTGTACAGTGCCTCGCTTTTTATGCTTTTGTCATTCCTTATATCACGGTTAGTGTGTGATTGCTTGTTTTCCGGCCTTTATATGCAACACAATATCCCTATCAATATGAATAAGAATAATATAAATAATACTTCATCCTCTACTCATTTAACTAGATTATATCCTAGTTATGGTACGGAGCTGGTTGTCGGCTAAACTATATTCCACCCTTGATATTGTTGGCAGCGGTTATAAGATAGTTAACTTCTGCGCTCACTCTCCCTCCCAAGAGCATTTACATCCTGATCAACTCCTCTGAGCCGCGTACCTTATCAAAACAGTTTGAGCTATGGGGCAAATCTTTTCCTCAAGAAACGATGACGTCGATGCTGTTGAACAGCCGCCAATCTCGCGCAGTATATGGCGCAGGGCTAACTATATACCTTGTGGAGTTAGCCGGAAGCCTGAGGACTGCGAAGACTGGTATACTGACTTCTTTGGCGAGGCGTTTGTTGCCCCCTATCAAGATGGAAAGTCCGTCGTTGTATTTTAGCCATTTAACCGGGAGGTAAGGGTTGATGATGTCGATCCGAAGGATGTTGTAGCGAATGCTACTACTATATATGAGCGTTTATTCCTTGAATATGGTGGACATCCACGGATAGTGAAGTAAGTTAGTTACTTGTGTTTCCTAAGCTCCTGCTCTCAGCAGTAAATACATGATATAATATTAATATCTCTATAGGTATCTTCATCGACTAGACTCCGGTGTTGGGTTTTGGCTCGAACGTCTTACCCCCGGACCCGTAGATAATATCAGGCTTCCACTTTTTTCGCTTCCTAATTTCAGCGCCTTCGGCTCAAAATAGGATCCTGTTAGCTCTATATTATCGATGGGCACTCCAGAGCCTCTCTGCTCTACAGTTTATGCATTCAAAATCTCTATATTATGCCTCTGTTTGCAACACATTTATTCGTAAGTTCTGGCTACCAGGGTCAACCGTTTCTAGAATGACCCATTCAATACTATATAAAACTCCACTTCTCCTATACGCCATTTCCAACTAAAGAGGTCTCCTCCAAAACAAAGGTATATCTTTATATCCTGCCTTATTTCTTACTCCGGACCTGACCAGTGCCTGTCCTCTTTATCCCAACCTAACTTTGGCCACCCCTTTGGAAGTGACGCGTATTTAGGGAGCGTATACTGGCCTTCACAATGATTCTCATCGCAGTTCAACTCGCATAGCTCGTACATTTTACAGTAACAAGCACCTGAATCTGGACAATGGACAGCCTCTTTACCAAATATTACTGTTGTATGTTAGCTATATTTTGTAGCTCATTGGTCTTAATTGCTCTGTGCAAACTTACTATGCCACGCATACTCCAACACCCGTCCACTGAGTCCATCTTCAAGATCAGTCTTTACCAGCCATTCGCGATAGTGAATATAGTCTGACTTGGGACGCTTCCTAATTGACTCTCGCCGTACTGCAAATTGGGAGCAACAGGCGACACCGACCGTCTCTGGGACAGCTTCGCCAGGAAATAATTCTTTGAAAGCTTTCTTATATACGCGCTTTGAGCTAAGGCCTTCACCAGGCACTGGTTCAGTTGCGTCGACAAGCGGTTTGATCGCTGCGGGACAGCCCAAGGCCCAATCGCAGCGAAGATTTGCATAGCCTTGCTCCTTAAGGTAGTCAAAGCGGAACCGTTGGAGGAGAGTCAGCGCGTCGTAATCAGGGTTGTCATTATGCCATTGAAATCGTTCGGCGTGATGGAAGAAGACGCTCCCAGGGAGGGAATCGTAACGATCAATTATATATCTAGAAGGCATAGTTAGAATGTCTGAAAAGATTTTGGGTGACCAAACTCGCTCACGTTAGGAATACCATGGCCTCTCTTCCCTTGTTCCGAGGAACGGTCAATTTGGCGCGGCGATCATCTACAACATATATGTTCTTCTTCCAATCCAAAAGGTAATCGTGAAGCCATGTGATGTTTTCGTGCTTCATGCTGGCTATGACCATTTCAACAGTGTCATCGCCATATTCGGCTGATCTGGTGTTAGGCAGATTAGGGGCGCCTGTGCCGTGAGCACCACCACTGTGGAAGCCGACGCTAGAATGAGAGAGCGGCAATTCGAACCTTGGGAGGAGTCGAGAAGTAGCCAAACTACCGTAGCATAGGTAGAGAGTGGTAGTTAACAGAAAGGCAGCCAGCAGGTGGATGCGCCGGTGAGCCCATCGTCTAGACATGACATTCAGTCATTAGAAAAGTTGATATAAAAGCAAATGCCAACGGAAGAACAAGGCGAACTGAGCATCAAGCACGAAGTACAGATGACTGAGGCCATTAGATCTATGCAATAATTTTATCTTGCTTTGCTAGCAAGACGAAATAATAGTAACATGACCGCCGGTGAGACATCCTCACCGGGAGGGGATCCCTCAGTGGCGCAGGCTGGGGGCAACCATGCATGATTGGAATACGACGGGGCCTAGTGAGATCCTATGTGGGCCATGGATCCGTCAAGGGCCACTGCGGGTTACATCAACTTCTGTTCAGTGTGATTTACCCCTCAAGCAGAGGCGTGAGACAGAAGTCCAGGAGATATTGGGATAATAAGGAACGAAAGATAGAGTCCGTGGAACCTCAAACGGGCCGCAAAAAGCTTCGTGTCACCGGCGGCTATTTATAGCTCGGCCGTTGCGCTTAAAACTTGAAGTAGATTGGCGCGCGGCAAAGTCTTAGTTTAGTAATAAAGAGTTCCTTGTTTGATACTATATTTAGGTAGGGATCTTGCGCCTGTACTTGCGCCTGAGGCCGGAGACATGCTCGGAGCCATGCGTTTGGGATCTGTGCCCTCGAGTTAATGGTTTGGCGTTATCGGATGTTTCACTGGAAAGACCAAGACCCTTCTCGTCCATCATATTCTGTGTCGTTGGAACCTGCACCGTTATATGTCAGCTAATCCGCTAACAGAGCCACTCGAGCACTGTTACCTTAACGCATATTACCTTTGTGAGTTATGGCATGAGCCGAATATATAATCAAGATACTAAAAAAAAAATCTATCATTTCCATTAACGGTCAACCTCCACGTAAGCATGTAGGCATAGCGTGGTCTGCTCGTTCAAGTATATATGCTCAGGTTAGATAAAAATGAGCTTAAATATGATAATACAGGTCCAAAGAATATTAAGGTGTAAAAAGGCAGAGATATCCAGCCGCTGGTATATGTACAGTGAAAAGACTGAGACGTTTAGTCCTCGTCTATTTTGGTGAATTCTCCAAGTAAAATGTCATCAGGGGCTGGGCCACGGGTGCTTCGAACTATACAATAGATTAGTAATGTCCATGAACTAATAGTGCGCAAGGAGGGGAATATAGAGATGAAGCACTCACCCCACTCGGTCTCTACTCTGAGGAAAATCCACAGCCACCGTCTGATGACCTCTAGAAACATGAGAACAAAGACACCGCTTTCCAGATCGTTGACCCAGTTCAGTCGTGTGGTAAGTCGGCTGAGCCAGGTAAAGCGGAGTATGAAGTCGATCACCATGGCAGAGTAGTAGATGCCGTTAGCATAGAAGAAGCGGTTTGTACGAAGGCCAAAGGGATGCGGGTTTGCATCGTTCAAGGTATGAGCTGGTCGGAATTTGTTGACGATATCAGAGAAGAGCGAAAGGTCCCAATCCTTATCAATGTCCCAGTAGAAACTATAGGAGGAATTGATGGCGGCAGATACTATCCTGTATGTACGTTAGCAACGGGAAGCGATATACCTTAAAGAACGCGGCCATACCATAATTTATGTAATGTCTCCACACTCATGCCTACAACGGTTGGATCATAATTTCGTTGTAACATGGTCAAGGCAATAACAGGAAACGCGGTGGCATACTTTGCCGCGTTAGCCAGATGCTGGCCACCCCATCCATCCACATGGCGATTCCCACGTCTATATACCCGGTAAAACTCAATGAGACACTGTCTTAGTCGAATAATGCTTGGCACACATATGAGCAGTGGGACGGCGATGTGGCCGCCACACGCTCTATCGGGAATGCTGGTACTCGATACATCGCGTGAGAAGAACATGCACGAGCTCACGAAAAGGTCTCCAAGCACTTTTGAATAACTGGTAAGCACATCAGCGAGGATGATATCGCCAAACTTGCCATCCTGGGCTTCTGCGAGTCCGCCTAGGATGATGCGTTTGAGGGTGGTTAAAAATCGGTGTCTGCCGCCGCGGGAGAGACGGTGAAGCGGTAGAGCAAGTAGTACGACGAAGAGGAATAGATATGATTGTGGGAGAGCCTCCCAAGCCACGACGCGGGCAGGATCACCGTATGTGATGAACCAGAAGGCAAGGAGGGAGATGGCGAGCGGGATGGACAGGAGGGTCGCGAGATGGTATGTGGATTTGTGAACGGAGACAGAGCCGGCGGTATTAGGTCGAGAGGGATATCGGATTAATGCTGGGACATCCTAGGGAGGATTAGAGCTGGTTCGATGAATTTTATAGATGACGTCGTCAGGTCTTGAGATAATTTTGACACGTACGATTTTTAGGGTAGTGAGATAGTGGACGTTTAATCCCCATCCCCAGACACCTAGATAATGTTAGATACATATATCTCTTTACAGTTCTTCCGCAACGATGAAACTCACCAGCAACTAGTATAACAGCAACGCGGTAAGGGAGAGGCAAGACAAGACTGAACCCGTCCAGCTTAGGGGGCTCGAGAGTGCCGGCCTCCATATTCCATCGAAACCGCAGCTAGACAGATAAACCAAAACGAGATAAAACAAGACAAAAACAAGAAACGAGAAGTAAACCGGCGAGTCGTCCCTTGTTGTTCTTTTCGTCGGCTTCAACTTTTTGAGCTTCAACTTTCTCCTGAGCCGCAAGATAAAAATAACAAGTCACGTGAATAGTCTTATCGGGCCGAGGTCCAGCAAAGGTCGAAATATAACAAACTACGACAGACGACACCAGGACGACAACAAAGACGACAAAGACGACGATAGAAGAGACAGACAGGTTTATACAGCTTAGACACAGATCATGGCGTCTGACGGCCTCTTCGATACGTCGATGGCGGACGCTGAGCTTGCCAAAACCAAGCCATCCTACTTCTTCCCCTGGGCCACTTCCCCAGATATCATCCGCGCCCATGAGAAGGACAGCTACATCACCAGCACGCTCTCAGCACAGGCTCAATCGATCATCCGCACCCTCCGCGGTGCTCGATATGCGCATACTCACAGCGACGCAATCAAACAAGCCACAGAGGTGCTATATCTATCTCTCACCACGCTCATCGGCAACCGGACTCTCGGCGAGGAGTACTGCGATGTCGTGCAGCTAGAGGATGACACGCTACAGCTTCCGGCCATCGGTCGACGAGCAGGATACATTGTTAGCTCGATACTGGTTCCGTCGATATTACAAAGGCTACTTCCGGCTCTACGGCGGAAGCTTCGGGCGAAGTTGGAGCGAAGCATTGCTAGGAAACAAGCACAGCAAGCACGGCTTAACGCAGGCTCGAAAAACGGACATATGCAAGAGGGAGGTTTCTCGTTGCGGTTTCAAAGCTATATACTCGAACATCTTAATTCGCTTACTTCGCTTTCTCCCATATTTGCAGTCAACCTTGCGGCGTTTTACTTTTCGGGGGCATATTATCATATTTCGAAACGGTTGTGGGGACTACGATATGTCTTTACGAAGCGGATTGGTGATAGCGAGGAGAGGATAGGGTATGAAGTGCTTGGAGTGCTGCTTGTTCTGCAGATAGTTGTGCAGGCTGTCGTGCATGCAAAGGAGCTGATCGAGTCGACGCAAGAGGAGGTCGGGAGGGGCTCAACGCAACCGTCCAACGAGGCAGCGAAGGGGGCATTTAAAAGTATCAGTATGCCAGATACTATGCCGCTGCTAGGACCGGAGGAAGCACGATACGATATGTCCACTGAAAAGGACGCGCTGGCTCTGTCGTGGATACCTGCTGGTCCACAGCGCAAGTGCACCCTGTGTCTTGAACCTTTTAAAGACCCCAGCGTCTCGACGTGTGGCCATGTTTTCTGCTGGACGTGCATACGGGACTGGGTGCAGGAGAAACCGGAATGCCCTCTGTGCAGACAGGAGGCTCTTGCGTCGAAGATACTGCCGCTCAGGGGGTGATCTGTAGCTGCTCAGTATATACTCGTCGTCGAATTGTACATTTAATATACCCTAATAGTTTATAAAGAGAGGTGTTTGTGATTAATTATGTATACTGTTTAGTTCATTATCTCATAACAACGTGATACATCCTGAATTCCCGAAATGAATCCAGCTTCCTTGGGGGTATATCCCGAAGCCGAAGTCCGAAAATCAACCGGCCACTTTCAAAGGTGCACATTCATCATCAGTGACAGCCTAGGTATGTGCAGTTGCCGGTCTCCCACCAGTTCCACCAGCCTGTCCGCTAACAGTCTCATAATCCGACTCCAACCACCGCTTATACCTCCCCTTGGGATTCCGCAGTCCACCCATAAGTTTCTTCCCCTTGTTCTTCGAGTTTGATGCTTTCCCACCACTCCCCATCCCTGCTTCTCGCTCATTGAGCTCATCTTCATCCGAGCTAGAAAGAGACGAGAGCGAAAGTGAGGATGTGCTCTTCTGCAAATACATCATCCTGTGACCAGACTGGCTCTTCATCTCGCGCTGTTTGTCCTTGAGCTTGGCCATGCGCGTTGCATCACGCTGGGAGTCGAGGGTTGATATCTTGAGGCCAGGAAGGTTCTGGACAAGGAATTCCTGTAGCAAGGGAAGGAGTTTGCCGTTGGGTCGGTAGGTGCCGCTGTCATTGTCAATGATGAGTTCATAATCAGATGGTTCGGTGGGTGGTTGGGTATCGGAGTCTTCTGTGCCTTCGGCACTATCATGCTGGAACGAGGACTCGTGGTAGGAGGAGATCTGGCGGACAAAGAATTCGCCAGAGTAGGCGATGTATATGGACACATCGCTGTGCATGGTATGTTTGCTGAGCAGGTCGACTCCGAATTCCTTGCCTGTCTCCGTGAAGCGCCATTGGCCGTCTAGAGTGATGACGTAGGTGAAGATACGGCCGCCTTGTCCGTACTGGACGAACTCGAGGAAGCGTTTGGTCATGCCAATGGATGGTTCGCGGAAGACACCGTATACCGTGTTGTGGTCATACGTGTAGATACGTTCATGCTGATGATGGAGAGCATGGTTGAGTAGACGTCCTCGCAAGCTCTTCGCAGTGAACATGCCAGCCACAAAGGGACGGAACTCGACATATCGATGATACAACGGCGTGGGAACAGGGCCCGAGAGTTGTATCTGGATCGCCTGGAAGCTACTTGTATGTTAGTGTCGATGTTCTAGAGATATGTTCAGGGACACCTACTTGTATCGTTCAATTGGTGCCTTGCCATCCTTGCCCTTGATCTTCTCCTTGGTGCCTGCCAACCTGCCGATCAGCGGGGAGAAATGCTTGGTCCAATAGTTTGGCCCGATGGTATACATATGAGCGCCCTCATTGCCTGGTGTTCTTCCCAAACACTCAACGCTTACAAACAGCAACCCTTCGTTATCGACATTCTTAGAAAACGTAGAGGCGATAGTTCTGAGAAAGTATGCGCGGTGACTACCCATGCGCTTCTTGATCTTGAACCCCTGCTCCTTGATCCCCGGCCACGACTCTGTAATGTCCTTCACGTCGACATACGCGCTTCCCAGCCGGTCATCGCTATCAGCAATGTCCTCGTCGTAGATTCGGCATTTCAGCTGGAACCCAGACGCCGGCACGTTAGCGACGACCCACTCGCAGTTCCATTGCGGGTGGATATCGCGTTTGATCGTCGGCGTGCGAAAGGTCATCATGGGATCCTGCTTGGGATGGCGACTGGGCAGGTCGACCTCGAGGATGGCTTTCAGGTACGGGTCGGAAGACATCGTGCTGAGATCCCCCAGGGGCAGGTTCTCGGCGCGGTGGAAGATGAACTTGAGCGTCCATCCTGGCGGCGCAGCGGGTAAGGGAGTGATATCATATCCTCCCGCCGGCCCCTGGTGACTGGGTGAGGGAAGATGGGACTCTGAGGCCCGTCTCTCGCGAGTATGTCCGTTGGTGTCTGTCTGCGGCCTGCCAGTGCCAGTATCCGCGTTGGAGCCCATCCTTGAGCAGCGACGAGGTCCGAGTAAACGAGCGCTTGAGCCTGCGTCCACAAATGACGGTTCAAGAAGCGATATCAATTGCTATAGCAAGCGAGGACGAGAAGCGAGAAATAGGGGCTGTTCGAGAAAAGAGGGGAATATATAGCCCTTATTCTTTCGCAGCCAACGGCCAAGGTCGCTCGGAGTCGAAGCATCAGCCCCAAATGCTTGTAGCAGCCTGCGCCAGTAAGAATTCACAGTACAAGAGGCGCAGTGGAGTCTGGCTGTTATTCCCTAGTTGGCACTAGCCACATCATCGCATCATCAGCGTCGTAGTGCGTCTGGAGTTGCGTCGTAGGGCTGGCATGGTCAAATATAATGCTCAAGGGGTTGGAGTTTCACCCCTGACCCTGGTTATTCAGCTCCGGCACATTATGCTGGCAGCCAGCAGACCCCGATAGTGCTACCATATACGAGGGGATATGTGTCGGTATGGAGTAGAGCAGATATCTGGTCCGCTTTAAATTTTCGCTGTAAGTTAGGACAACCAGGCTCAGGCAAAGGTAAGATCCACATACAACGAGTGTCCGACCTGAGCCTATCTAGGTGCGACTTTGATAGAAGGGATAGAAGAGTCAGACATTTAGAAGTAGTTGATGATGGTCAGCCTCCTGAATCAAGGATGCTTGCGTAGCTTAGGAGGCTTGGTGGTGTTGAGATTATTGTTGGTAGGAACAAGTCCTAAATGCTCACAAGTACAACAATTAGTAAAGAGAACCAACAGATAGTACGTAACTAATAACTACATCACTGTCATATGAAGTCTCAATCTGGTACAGTCCAAGTTATATATAAGGAACATAACCTTGTTCCTGGATTCTGTGCGAGTAAGCTTCCAAGTCTATCCACGGCCACAGAAACCATGATCAATCATCAAAGGTGCCATCAAAATCGTCAGAATTAAACTAACTAAACCGAAACGAACATTTGGAGGTACATCTTCAAAATGGGAGAAAGAAAGAAAAGAAAAAATGGACGCTAGGTAAAAGTAAAAAGGGTATATCCCATCTAATTCCCACGGAACAAAAACTGCATATCTTCCGGCGTCAGCTTCTCCAACGCTTCGCTTTGATCTTTGTTAATAGTCCCGTTAATCATGTTCGCTTTTTTCTCCTGAAGTAACACCATTCGCGATTCGACCGAGTCCTCGATGCAGAGTCGAGTAATCACACATGGTCGCCGTTGGCCAATTCGATGGCATCGATCTGCGGACTGCCATTCTGCTGCTGGATTCCACCATCTGCATGAACGTTAGAAGATAGGACGTAGAAAGTGACAGGAAAGAAATAAACTTACGGATCAACGATAAACACCCTCGATGCCTCTGTGAGGTTGAGAGCGACACCACCGGCCTTGAGAGAGACGAGGAAAACCTCAGTGTCTACATTGGTCATGAAGTAATCGATTGACCTCTGTCGTTGGACGGGCGTCATGCTGCCGTCTAGCATGACGGTGCTGATACCTGCTCTATGCAGCCTCCACTCCACCAGCTGCAACATGGAAGTAAACTGCGAGAAGACGATGGATTTATTTGTTCTCTTCTTGCTTCGGAGTTTGTATAGATCGTATACCAGCATTTCGATCTTAGTCGACGAGGTCCAGTTCTCCATCTTGATACGGTTGATGATCGAGTTCTTCTTCACCCCGCTCTCATCCTGCTCGATATCAGGTTGTTCAAAGTCGATGGATAAAGGCAGGTGACAGCGTGGACAGTCTGGTTCAGACCCGTATTGAATCGAGGCCATGTATTCCTTTGCGCACTGACGGCAGAATTCATGACGACATCGGGACCGAATGGCTTCTTCGGCTGGTTCATCGCAGATACAGCAGACTAGGATGTTTTGGCCGCCTTCGGAGTGTTTCTTTAAGATGAGATCGGGGTGATTGGCGACTTGTCGCATTTGCATGATGAGACCGAAGATGTTGGCGTAGTTGTTTAGCATGACACCGCGGCTGACGTATCGGTCGAACTGGCGGGAGGTGTTTGTCATGATGCTAGATGAGAAGTCTCGTTCGATTTCTCCGAAGAATTCACGGTGGATTTCAATGCTGCGGCAGTTAGTATGACGGTATAAGTTGTTGGCGTGGCGATGAAAACATACCGTTTTGGCGGAAGCTCCATGGAAGACGTATGGTCCTTTTTCACTCTTCGTAGCATGATCCTATCGGTGAGAAGACGTAACTTGGCCAATGCCTCTCTCCGTTTTGACGGATCGCGTCTTCCTTCCGTGACTATTCCTAACTGTCAGCTTGGTTATAGCATATTAAAGCATATAAAACTTACTCGGGTTGAGGATCTCCTGGTTAAACACCGATACATGATTAAATCCACTAATAGGCGCGTGTCAGCACTAACTCAATGACAGAGCACAAGTATAAGGGCCATACCTATGTTTACAGAGCGTGCACTTCTTCTGCGCATCCTGACTCCAATGGAGAGCCTCGCATTTACACGTTTTGCAAAAGTAGCATGCAAACGGCTCTACCTCCAGGAACCGCAGGAGAGAGAAGAACTCGCCGATTCGGTTCTGCACAGGTGTTCCAGATAGACACCATTTGTACTTTGATTTCAGAGCGAAGCAGGCTCTTGCTACGCTAGTAGTGCGTTGTTTGATATTATGTGCTTCGTCGAGTATCAGTCTGTGAAATTTTATCGAGTGAAGCATGCTGGTTCCCTTGACGAGCCCGCCATCTCGTTTCCAGCCTTTGACTTCTTTGCGGTGCATGGATTCTAGGCCGGAATCTATGGAGGTTAGATGTGTACGTGATGAAGGGAGTGGGTGACGTACATGAAACCATAATGACATCGTAGGACTTTAACTCCTTGATCGTGATATTCTTGACCTTTGAGTTGGCAGCATGATAGACAAACACTTTCAGCTTGCCGTCCGTATAAGACTAGATGTACCGTTAGCTTGATCTCATATCCCCGGGAGGTCCAAAACATACTTCAATCTCCGACTGCCACTGCATCAGGGCTACGGGAGGCACAACGACCAACGAAGGTAGTCCAACCGGGTAGTCCGACATTAGCAAAGAAACAGCCTGGATGGTCTTCCCCATGCCCATCTCATCACCAAGCAAACCGCCTTTCCACTCTGATTCTTCTTGTGCTCGCATCCAGCTGAGGCCTGCAAGCTGAAAAGGCTTCAGCTTTCGATTTATATCTGCCGGCTGTGCAGCAGGAGCTGGTGCAAGAATAGGGGTAGCCTCGAGCTTCTCCCACATGTCGACGATACCCGGGTGCTGAGTCTCAAGTTTCTTGCGTTCTCGCTGAGCCTGTAGATTTAACGTTAGATGCTGATACGTATCACGGGAATAAGTAGGAGCTTACCCTTGTCATTTGTGGTCCTCCTGTTCGTCGCCGCTGTACCATAGAACGCGTAGGAGGGGGATTGCGAAAACGTATCAAAGGATCCGTCTCACTCCCCGAATCGGTTAAATCGGAGTCTGACGTATCTAACAAACTGGACATGTCTGACATGTCTGACCAGTCCGGCATAGACGGCATGCATGACTGGTACGATAGGCCGGAGTCTGAATCTGAGTCTGAACCTGAGTCTGATTCTGAGTCTGTATCTGTGTCCGTGTCTGGTATCACTCTCGACTTGCTTGGACGGCCACTGTTCATCTTCTGCTTCTTGATACTAGGTGCAGCATTGTATTCTTCCTCCTGCAACGCCGCAGCCAGCTTGGCATCATCAATTGTCTCTGGCTGACTCTTTCTGGGGTTCGTGGTGGCCGGAGCCGCTCTCTTCCTGCCATTAAGGCCAAGGGAGCTATTTCTCAGCTCCAGGGCCCGTGCTGCAGCATTTACTCGGCCAGAACGACGAGTACTCGAGGCCGACTCATTGTTGGGGGTTACATTGGCCGTCGTTGCCGGAGTGCTGTAGGCGTTGGTCGAGTCCCCTGCAGTGCTCTCGCCGGCCCGTGACGACGAGGACGACGCTGAGCGATACTTGGACGTATCCTTCACTGGAACAGAGACCATGACTGCCGTCTCGACCTTCCGCGAGGTGTCTGTCCTCTCGTGGCCTGCCTGGGAAGATGCCATGCGAGAGCTGCGTCGAGTTGCAGCCTGCCTGAGAGGCATCGCTTTGCCTGATAAAACTTAGCACAGCCAACCACAGGACGTGGAGTACCTACTTTTGCCATCTCCCCTAACCATGGTTCCTTTAGTGTCCGCAGTAACTGAGTGAAGACTTTTCCAGTACTCCGAATGGTACTTTTATATCAGTGTTCTCTCTGTCCTGTCCTGTCCTGTCTGTCTGCCTGTCCTGGCTATCCTCGTATCTTATCAAAAGCGTGCCTGAAACAACGCGTCGCAACGGAAAACGCGGCACGTGATCACGTGAGACAGAAAAACCACTTTAAGCCCCCTTGAAAGCTGCAGATATCACACAGGACGAGCATACGGCAGTGAAGTTGGACGTTTACGAGGTGATAGGACGGCTGTTCTGATAGATACAATGTGAGTGACACCGGTTGTGGCTAGAGTTGAACATACGTGGGGTCTGTTGATGCTGACTGCTGCCTAGGGCGAATCCTCGACGAGGGATCCAAGGGCCGTAAGTGAATATATAAAAAGATGATGACAGACACGAACTGACCATGGGACAGCCACTCTGCCCTGACCGACTTCCTTGCTGTACGTCGTCTACGGTTCATGTATATACGTCCATTCACTAACATTTGAATAGTCGCATAACATCTCTGCAGCTGATATCCGACAGAGCTATAACCAGCGACTGACCGCGGCCCAGCAACAGAACGAAGCTGAGCAGCGTCAATTGGAGAGACAGCTACAAACCCGCTTACGGAATCTATCAGAAGAAGATGAAGCGTTGGAAGAATCAGAGGTAGAAGAAGAGATACAGCAAGCGAATGCTAGAAAACGTAAACGCTCCACAGCGGCAGCAACGGCCAAAGCGAAAGCCAAGGCCAAAGCAAAGGCGAAACAGCAGGGAAGGGATGTCTCTGATGAAGACTACGATGATGCGTTATATCAAGCTAAACTGCCCGTTCCTGGACAACTGTCGAACTGCGAGCTATGTGATAAGCGGTTCACGGTGACGGCATATAGCAAAACAGGGCCTGATGGTGGTCTACTGTGCACGCCGTGCGGTAAGCAGATGACGGCGGACGAGAAGAAGGCAAAACCGAAGCCAAAGAAGGCCGCAAGAGGGGCGAAGAGGCAGAATTATAGTAACCTGCTAGATGGTATTGCGCAGCGCGGGGCCTTTAGTTTAATGGAGATGTGCATCAAGGTGAGTCCGCCCGGTGTGAACTGGAAATACCATGGCTAACGAGATGTATAGCAAGTGGCGAACAATATCAATGATGTAGAAGGGTTTGGAGATTTGCCAGGAGAGCTACTACATAGACTCAGTCAGATCCTATGCAAGAGACGAGTTCTCACGCCGCGCACTCTAGAACTGTTTCTACGCAGTGATATCAACACCATTGACATATACGATGCTGCCAGTACGTTGTACCTACCACCTACCATATATACTTGCTGCTAACAGAGATAGAACTCGAGGAGGAAGACTTCAAAAAGGTGTTTGCGTTGATGCCGTTTTTGGAAAAGGCCAACTTCCGCTGTGCCGGACAGCTCAAGGACTCTGTACTGGAATACGTCATGAGCCGGGAGAGCCGCCTCAAACATCTAACGCTCGACTCGAGTAATCTGGTATCAGAGGAGTGTTGGCGTCGGTTCTTCACGACTTGCGGCTCACAGCTAGAGACCATCAAGCTATCAAACCTAGACTGCGCGTTGAACGACGAGACGGTAGGCGTGATAGCCAGCCACTGTCCGAATCTGCGTCGCCTGAAACTCACCGACTGCTGGAAATTAACCTACGGCTGCCTCGAGTCGATTGCTAAGATGGAGAAGCTGGAACATCTCTCTCTCGACATGCGCCATTACGACAGCAGTTCTACCATGGACGATGACCTCGAGTCCATCAACTCTCTACTCAAAGCACGATGCAGCAACCTACGCACCCTATCGCTCGAACACTTCAAGCCGCTTGACGGGTCAAGTCTCGCCATCCTTCACGACCAGGCCAGACAGCTGAGTAAACTCCGCATCTCCCATAACGAGAACTGCACCGACGAGTCCTTTGCCAACCTATTCGTCAACTGGGCCAACCCCCCCGTCTCAACGGTCGACCTCTCGAGCATCCGCCATCTGGAACCCATGTTCCCTGACGGCGAGGAGGATTCACCTACCGGCCTAGCCTCTGGCGGCTTCACAGCGCTGATGGCGCACTCTGGCTGCAAGATGCAGAAGCTGAACATCTCTTCGTGTCGCCATGTCAGCTACGATGCGTTCGGGGAGGTGTTTGGGGACGGACAGAGGTATGAGTATCTAAAGGAGCTGGATGTCTCGTTCCACACGCGGGTGGACGACTATCTGATGGGATGCCTGTTCCGGGCATGTCCGGCGCTGAGCAAGGTGATTGCGTTTGCGTGCTTCAATGTGGTGGACGTGAAGCCGCCGGCCAACGTTGCCCTGATCGGAGGACTGAATGCTCATACCATGTAGTTATCATCCATGTAGTACTTCATACAAAGAATATAGTCATCATCAGAATAAGCCTCCTCGATCCACGGTAGGCGTAACTAGGCTCGGGAAGTTTCCACCATCTCTTCACATCGATGCCTCATCCCTTCATCGATGTCTTCACGTCGATGCCTCATGCCTCTGCCTTGGATAGCCTAACTGGAGACACGTAGCGTGAGATGGTATATCAGCCTAGATATAGCGACAGCACGTCGACAACGCCAGCAGGCTGCCCCGTCGCACAAGCCAGCCAAAGCTACTGGACTACTGGGCATGGCGTCTCGAAGTTGAAGTTGGATCGCCGGCGATCGTGGTTCTTCAATGCCATTGTCTGGGAAAAAGCAATATACCAGGCCAGCTCGATAGTTACGTAGATGGAGACGATGGCGACGAGCAGGGAGCAGACTGCGTGCTTCTGCGCAGGCAGAGGAGAGACGTATTGATGACAGTAGCATTGACAGGAAACAGTGATAGTCCCCCAGCGTGATATCAGCGGCGGTTACGGTGACAGTGACAGCATCTTGATGAAACTGTTGCTGCGCTCGAGTTGAGATCCGCTCGCCACCACCAAAACCGAACATCAACATCGACATCGCGACTCCTGACTTCTCTCTCTTTTCCTCTTCTCTTCATCTCTTCTTCTCGTCTTTTCTGTCGTGTTATCTGCTGTTCTGTTGTGCTGTATATATACGGAGCCACGGCGACTCGTCCCCTGGCCCTGGTCCTGGCCCCTGGTTCTTCATCTTCAGAACTTCTTCCTCGACGTCGCTTCTTCCTTCACCAGCACCATCTGCATCTTTGTCTTGTCTGCGTCTTCTTATTCTTAATCATTGTTATTCCTGTCGTTATTATCTCTGCTTCTTGTCTGTTTGTCTTTTTCGCTTCTCACTTAGCACTCATGCCTGCTGAGACATTCTAATCAGGTTGGTCTCCCTCCTCCCTCCCTCTTGGTCTCTCCCTCTCCCTCATCTTGGTCTCTCCCTCTCCCTCATCTTGGTCTATCTCAGTCTGCTGTTTATTGTCATCTTATTATCCTGTTACTGCTCTACACTGTCTACTCTTTGTCTGGCGGTGGTGGCTCAGCTGCAGGTGCTGCAGGACATGTCTCAGATACACATAGAGACCAGCTCGGCAGGACAGACGGCTTGTTGTCAGTGAATTGACCGTTGCTAACTCTTCATAGACCTCTCCTCTCTTCTCTCTCATCTTGCACCTAGCATACTCTCTTTCACCTGACATACTCGCTCCGGCCGGAATAATCACAGTCCAACTCCATGCCTATCAAGATCCCCGGCTTCGGCCGCCGCAAGTCCTCTGGCAACACATTGGACGAGACGACCGCTCCCACTCCCGCCGCCGAGCCCTCGTTTCGCGTCTTCGAGCGGCCGTCACATCGCGCAAGCCATTCGTTCGACTCGGTCACGGCTCTCAAGCAGTCCGCGGCGCGGCCACGGGCGTCAGAGGACCCGGATCCAGACAACATCTTCGCCGGAATCGAGAAACCTGCTCCGGCTACGACTACAAACACAGCTTCCCACATCAATGGGAGAAACGGCAAGCTGAACGGCTCGAATGGGAGCTCGAGCAAGCCATACGATAATTCAAGCGCCTCCTCGGCCAGATACAGCTCCTCGTCGACATTGCCGTCTTCTACGGACCACTCACCCCACGATGGCATACCGGTGCCCCCCATCCCGGAGAGCCCGTTCGCCTTCTCCATTCGCGCTTCCGGACGCACATTCTCGTTTGGCTCCAAGGCCTCCAAGACGTCGATACCGAGAAAGTCGGAAAGCACTAATAGAGAGCGGGCCATGACAAACAGTACCACCAGCACCGCCACGCCTCCAAAGCTGATGGAGACTGATCTGAACCTCGAGGGTGCCGGTGAGATGGGAAACATCTTTGAAGGCGTTGGAGTGGATAAACGACGTAGCAGGGTCTTGGATAACATCACTAACCTGCCACAGGTAAGAGGGCCCTTCTCTCCCGGCTGCTATTGAATATACTCAAAGATACTAATCGAGTGTATAGCCCGGCCGACCTGCTCCCAGTGTCCCCGCCAAAGACAAACGAGTGTCTCCGTCTCCTCTCTCTCCACTCTCTTCGAATCACAGCCAGACTTCTCGCGACAGTCTGATTGCGGCTGACGACTACACCCTCTCTCAACAACTAGCCAGCCAATTACGGGACGTCGAGCTATCCGAGCCCAGCCCCAAGCCTAGAGCAGCCTACATGCCCAACTCGCGCTCCACGCCCAACATCTACTCCTCGGAGAGAGAGAGGAACACGATGAGCCCGCCGCTTCGTGATCCGGAGGTTTCCTCCCTGTTCTCCAGTGACAAGGACTTCACCCACGTTCCACGTCACCATCATCACTCTCCGCTCCGCCAAAACCACGATAGCAACGGAATGGCCGCCAACGCTTCCCTGGCCTCCCGATACGAAGCCTCGCTCGCTGCGGCCAAGCCGGTAAACAAAGTAATGACACCTGCACAGTTCGAAAGGTACCAACAGCAACAGGCTCAGCGAGCCCCTAGTGAACATAGTTCCGACGAGGAGGACGAGGTGGACAGCGAAGATGATGAGGATGAGGCTGAGAAGAGGAAGCAGGCTGCGGCGCAGAGGAAGAAGCAGGAAGCTCATTTGTCGGTTTACAGACAGCAGATGATGAAAATTACGGGTGAACAGAAGAAGAGCAACATCAACGACGCTGCCGGTAGCTCGGAGTCAATTACCCATCTTACCACCAACCAGAATCGCAGATCCGTCCTGGATCCCATGGAAACAACCACCACCACGGCATCGACGTCTCCGGGCTTGTCCCCGGGCCTGTTTCCAGGAGCTGGTCCCGCGAAATCTACTCCCTCCGACGGCGACGATGATGACGATGTACCACTCGGCATCCTCGCAGCCCATGGCTTCCCACACCGCAATCGTCCACCTTCCCACCTGGCCTTGTCACGCTCAAACCCCAACCTGAACGCCGCATACCAGGCTGGCCCAGCCTCCATCGCTGGGACGCCGGACGGAGCGCCATCCGGCTCAACTAAGCGAAGCACCCTCCCCGTCTTCGCCCGCAACTTGCCCAAGGACCCATACTTTGGCGCCAGCCTCGTTAACCCTTCACACCGCGAATCATTAGCTCTCGGTGGCGGTGCTCCGGGTGTAAACCTAAACACTGTAAACTTGGGACCACCGGGTCTTCCACCGGGCGGCTTGGTGGGTGTCATTGCATCTGAAGAACGGGCGCGCGCAATGCGTCGTGGTAGCCCCAATGCTCAGGGTGTGTACGATATGGGCATGCCACAGATGCACAACACCAACTTCCTCACTCCGCAGCCACAGATGCAGATGGGCGGGTTATTGGGACAGCTTCAGCAACAGCAGCAGGCTCAGGCTGCTCAGGGAGGTCTGCCGAATGGTATGCATGCAAACGGCTTGATTGGACAAGCTGGAACTGTGAACCCGCATCATCACCATCATCCGTTCCCTCAGGCCGGTAGCGTTGGATCTCCAGCCGACCAAACGCAGATGCAAGTCTCGCAGCAAATGACACAGATGATGCAGGTGCAGATGCAATGGATGCAGCAAATGATGCAAATGCAGGGCACGCAAGCACCAGGCCAACAGCAACAGATGCCTCCATTCCCAGGCCAAATGCCCGGTCAGATGCCAATGCAAATACCAGCTGCCAACCCGAACGCCAGCACATCGTCCCTACTGCAGCCGCCAAACCCCAACCAACGACCATTCTCGATGGTTTCCAACCCATCTCACTATCGCGGACCACCGCAGGTCGATCATCGAACATTAAGCATGCTCGATCCATCTACATCTGGCGGTTCATGGGCTCCAGGACAGATGCCGGGAAACCGCGCATCATTCCTAATGACTCCAGATATGGGCGGTCCGTCTCTAGGTATGGGATTGGGTATGGGAGGAACAGGCTACGCACCATCCGTTGCACCATCGGAACGCAGCAACATAGGCGCCGCATCTAGATACCGTCCGGTTTCAACAATCGCACAACAATCCAACTCCAACGCTGGGGCTAATCGCTCATCCACATTCACCACCTCCACACTACGACCATGGACAGAAGAACGACCACCCCCCATCGGTCTCTCAGCCGCGAACAAATCAAACACAAATCTCAGCACAATCACGCCCTCGACGTCAGAAACAACCCCCACAATTCGTCCTGTCAGTTCAATGTTCCGTCGTCTGTCCCCCTTGCTAGGAGGAAATAGTAGTCGGGCCTCTGTTGCCGGCCTACCAACCCCCGCAGCTGGTGCAGGCGACGAGGACGAAGATGACGAAAAGGCATGGGCAGAGATGATGAAGAATCGCGAAAAGAAGAAGACCGGCTGGAAGTTCCGACGTGGTGGTGGGGATGATCATGCGGGGACTTTGGGCGACTATGTTCACCCTACGGCCATATAACCAATCAATGACTTCCAATCTTGGCCTTTTTTTCAGCGGCTTGCCTACCAACCTAACGGACGATGGCAAGATATGAGATGCGATGAGATGCGATGAGATGATGAGGTGAAGCGTAATTGGGGAAGGTGATATTTCGAGTACGTTACTTGCTTGGAAACACATAAAAAATCCCGTTCATGTATTTCAGTTGATGCTTTTGTTCTTCTTTTCCACCCCATTTTCACCCTTTTATACCGCGTTTAATCATCCCCTTTGCTTACCTGACTTGTCTTACTCTGCTTTGCTTCTTTCTCGGCGTTGCATTTTTATACTATATCATATTTACTCACCTACCCCTTTAATCGCACACTACGGGCCCCTCAAAACGAACCAGAACCAGAACCATCACACACAAATGTACGGATACTAGCTTTAATCTTTAACTCGAATTTTTTCGACCTTGTTTCCTCCTTTCAGATACTTTCTTGTTTGCTTGTGCTTTTCTTTCTGGCGTTATTATTCTCGGACCGGAGTTTGTGGTTCTCATTCCCCAAGTTCATAATTACAATTCACTCATGTACGTAAGAATACAAGAATCAGAAAAGCATGGAAATAATGTCATTATTAATCTCATATCTCTCTCATCTCTAGTCGCATTTAATTATCTTCTTCGCCTCCTCTCTGGTCTTGCGAACTATTTCCTCTGCACTTTCTACGGTCTTGACTAACCCTACGCCCGTCCCGGCGTACGTGGTCATCCTACCTCCAACACCCCAACCAGCATCCCCCTTCTGCTTCTCTGCCTCATATAACTTCCTATTCTCTTCGTCTTCCATACCTTTCTGTTCGTCAAAGTAGCTTTGATTCGTAACCCCTCGCCCATCGTACTCTTCAGGCCATTCCACATATCCTCTTACCCGATCATACACCGTGCTTCGAACCGTGCTTCGACCACCATCGCTGGCACGGAGTATCTCATTTCGATATCCTTGCGTTATTGCTGTCTGTGAACAAGCCAGGAACCGCGTTCCCATACATATTCCATCGGCACCCAGACATAGAGACGCTGCAACCCCTCGACCATCACTGATACCTCCGGCAGCTATGAGTGGAATATCAGGGAACCCCTTTGATGCCAATGTATCTCGCACCTCGGGCATGAGAGTAATGATTCCGGCTCCATGTTTGAGGCCATGACCACCTGCGTCCACACCCTGGAGAACTAGCACGTCTGGAACCGAGTTGCTATCCTTCATATCAACAGTCATATGCAGTGCATCCGCCACCGAACCAACTTGAACCCAAACCTTGGTGCATCCACCAGTCACTTCGCGTACGCGAGTAATCCACGATCCGTAAACGGAGATCATGGTCTCCTTTGCTACTCCAAATAACCATACTGCGGCCGGAACATGTTTCTTGATAGCCGGCAGTGCAGCGTCGAGGTTCGCGCCCCAGTTCAGAAACCCGACTCCCACCGGTAGAACTTCCGGTGATGTAGTGGCCATTTTAACGTCTTTATGAGTGGTTTGGAAATGGCGAGTGGCTTGAGATAGCTGAGTTTCCAAGTCTTCTTCCTTGAAGCCAATGCCGATGAATCCGATACCGCCGGCCGCAGAGACGGCAGCGGCCAGCTCACCCGTTGCGGCGAACAGCATGGGCGCGCATGTTATCAAGGGCAGCTGGATCCAGGGGTAGTCTTTCTTGAGGAAGGACATGGTGGGTATATTGTATATTATATCTTGTTTGGTGATGGTTAGAAGTGTGGTGTAGTGATATAGAAGCGCGGTGGTTAGTTGTATGGTATATATAGACTTCTCATGCCGTATATCCGATCAATATCACCATGCAGGTACGTCTTTCGTATATAGCTGACGACGGAATCCTCGCGAGCTGCTGAAGGTATCTAAGTGAGATTGATATATAAGCACGGCGTCTGTCCGAACCTGTTTGGGTCCACCGATTGCTATCCCGGCCGGTGAGGCGCCGACGCAAAGCTTCGCGGGATCAAATAGTGCGCCCTTCACCACTTTCATGCAAGGGTGGCCAGATTTATGTGCTAGATGATGATGTCGGTGTAGTGTAGATGTACTTCTCCTTCTTCTAATAATAGACGTCATAGTTACTGTTCAAACTATTAACTACTAGTTACTAGCTAACAGAACTGCCTCGGCTAGTTTATGCAGCACCAGATGACGCTGAGAGTATCAAAAGTATAGATTTACATTATCACGGCGAGTTCCCTTCTTCCGACGAACTCAGGCGGTTTGAGTCAGGGGCGCATCATGGTCGTACTGATCTATGAAGGCTTGTGAGGTGTCTTCCTGCCCCTGTCCTGACCACGGAGTTTATGGGCCCGGCGATATCGATGCATGCTTCGTAGGTCTATAGTCCTTCGTATCCCTGATACTCCAGGCATCTTTCTTCGTCTTTAATCCTCAACACTTTTACTATATCGGGGAGTCCAATCTTTCATCTCTTTCTTATATCACGTAGCTCTTATCAGCGAAAACAAAGTAACAAGGCTATTATCCTGTAATTAAACATCATCAGACGCATAATATAACCTCGACTCCCCAAGATGTTCTTAAATAGATAGGATATATATATCACTGGCCATGAATATGTCGAGTCTATGTCCATGTCAAATGGCGAAGTTGAAGTTGAGTGATCACGTGATCTGACCAAGCTAAAACTTCCATCTTTGTTGCATCATGGGAAAGGAAAGTGAAGATCGAAAGAGAACGAGAGAAGCAACTCTGGATGTCTGGATATATTCCTCACAACTGTCTTGATTAGTCTCTACACGGCCATACCCACACTGCAGGGTACATCCCATACTCACAAACAACACAAAGCTATAAAGAAAGAGAAAAAGTGAACACCACGCCAAGCTCTCACCACACATTTAATCTATCTTGCCATTTATATCGCCCGGGTTCAAACCAGCACATACCGCATATCCCTATTCCTATCTCTCAACTGGCCCTTATTTCACCTTAATCCCTCGGACTTCCTATATCCTGACCTCCTACTTCGCCTCTATTTCCCGTGGTCTCCGGCTTCTTGGACAGGGCTCTCCATATATCCAGCATCGACATCGACATCCCTCCCCGGCGGAAGGGCGGTGTTTACCTCTGGTCTTTTAGTATTCCTTCAACTCACGCCTCCTTTTCTACGACAACAACATGAACGCTCCAGATCGGTAAGGATTTTTCATCTGTTTCGTTTTCGATGGGCTTGCTATTTGCTACGGAAAGATGGGCCGTCGAATATACCCCTTTTCATCCCTAAATTATGCAGTACGAGGTTTTTAAAGCATTGTATACTTGCTCTCTATGCTAGACTGTCTTCTTTGACTGCATCCTCTGCCTGTTCATATCTGTTCATGCCTTTCTGTCGTTGCCGATTGTATGCTAGTCACTGCTTTCTGGCCGGGCCTGCATCTTTATATCATGACTACTTTTGTTACATTTCTCTCTTTTTTTCCCCTCTCTCTCTCTCTCTCTCTTTCTCTCTCTCTTAACAACATCTTCCTTGCACATTGTCCTGCTCTCTGCTTGTCTTGATCTTTGCTTGCAACGTCTACACAAATCTTGTAACGATGGCGGATGAAGAGCCTGAGAGGGAGCGGAAGCGAGGTGATCTCGATCGCTTCTATTTTGACTCTTCCTGCGCAAGTTACCGCCAGAATCCTTGCCGTACCCAAGTTCGCCCTCACAGGGACCTGATTTCGAGGTTCGACATCTGTTTTACTCCTTTTCAGCGATCATTTTACTCTTCTGTCTGCCATGCTTTGAATAATGCCCCACTGATCTGTTATATTTCTAATTTGCTGTCGAGAATGATATATTTGACCCATAACTAACCTGGCACATTTCAGATTCGAGTCGTTCGTTCTCGGGCCTGGGGAGAAGAAGGTCGAAATTGAAATTGATACTCGTACGTTACGTTGAGCCACCTACAGCATAAGACTGCTCTAACTCATGCCAGGTGTCCCTTCCACTGCCATATTTACATTCAACAAAGAGGATCATACTCTGGGAAACATGATCCGATCTCGTCTCCTTCAGAGCCCGCATGTCCTTTTCTCCGGATACAAGGTATGTTAAGTTGCCCAACCATGCTGCTATGCCATTATATACTCACTCAAGCAGATCCCGCATCCACTGGTACACAAAGTCCTCCTTCGCGTCCAGACCGATGGTCAAATCACGCCCAAAGACGCCGTCCTCACAGCCTGCCACGACCTAGTGAAAGACCTCGGAACGCTGAGCCGTGAATTCACCAAGGAGTATGAGTTGCGCAAGATGGTCGGTGCCGGCGCACAGCAGCACGACGCACCCAACGGCCTCTAAACCTGTCCACTCCTTCGTGAGAATAGATTTAGCACGATGGGGGCTATTTATGCTGCTTTACGGATGATGATTACTTTGTTCCTGGTGTCCTCGGGGGGTTAAGGCAATTTTGACTCTATATTTCTATCCTCTGGCTGTCTCTTTCACCTGCGGACCAGCTATCTTTTTAATATCAGAGATTCTCTTCATCTTCTTTCGTAGTGAATGTCAACGGGCAAAAACGCCAAGACGTTTCGAGCGGCGTGAAGTTTTGCCGCTTTGGGCGTAGGCAACCTCACCTTCTCTCCGGGCGTCGTCAACTCATAGATACAACGCTAACAAGAGGCTGCACAACCACCGTCTTCCTTCGCAACGCTCCTTTTCTCCCTCCGTTCTCTCGGTTTCTTCTTTTGCTTATTGTTAATTCTTAATTTACCCTCTAATTGTTCTCTTATACTGGTGTAATGTATTCGTTTCCTACCGGCCAGCCGGGCCAGCAGCCGCAGTATGGTGGCCAGCAACAGCAGCAATTCCCGGGCTTCCAGCAGCAGCAACCCCAGCAGCAGCAACAGCAACAGCCTGGAGGTTTCATGCCTCAGCCGACTGGCTATGGCATGCCCCAGCTTCAACCCCAGGCGACCGGTTTCCCCGGCGCCATGCAGCAGCCTCAGCAGCAACTCCATCAGCAGCAGCAGGCCCCCTTTCAATCCTCCCTCCAACCGCCGCAGATGACCGGCTATCATACACAGCAGACACCGGGTTTACAGGTTCCGCAACAAACCAACCAAGTACCGCAGCCCACCGGCCAAACCTCGTCGCAAATAGCACAGTCGTTCCAAAACGTCCCGGGACAGACCCCCGCTGCTCCACCACGAAATGCGCATGCCGGGTCGAAGATACCGCCTATGCGACTCTCTTTTATCACGGTGCAGGATCAGGCGAAGTTTGAACAGCTTTTCAAGTTTGCTGTGGGGGATTCCCAGTCTTTGGATGGTGAGTTATGATCCGTATTACGGGCTATTGGCGCTGTCAAGGGAGAGAGACGGAATTGACGTTCGCGGGACATTATAGGTGAAACTGCGAGAGATCTACTTTTAAGATCCAAGCTGCCAGGCAGCGAGCTCTCCAAGATATGGTACGTGAGGTCACTTCCACTCCCCGTCAATGCGCCTGGTTAACGATCTTCAGGATGCTTTCGGACACTACCAAGTCAGGACGCCTCATGTTCCCCGAGTTTGCGCTGGCGATGTACCTCTGCAATCTCCGAATAACTGGACGCGATCTCCCGTCGTCTCTCCCTGACCGGATCAAGAACGAGGTCTCGGGCATGGTCGATATTATATCCTTTGCTGTGCCAGACGATCAGCCAGCGCCGGCCGCCCCGCGATCGAACGCTCCCAATTTCGATCAGCCATTAATGCAGAATACTTCTGCTCCTCCCGCACCACAACAGCCGCAGCCCCAGCAGGCCTCTAACTCGCAGCTCCTCTCACAATTAACTGCCCAGCCAACGGGTTTCTACAACCAGGCAACAGGGTTTCAGCCGCAGAACGCCATGCAGCCCCAACCCACGGGATACCCAGGTGGCCTACGACCGCAACAAACGGGCATGCCACCGAATCCTCAAGCTACAGGGTATTCGGGTCCACGGCCACCAATGCCTCCGATGCCAACTGGATTCGCCTCCGGTCTAGCTCCTGCGCCCTTAACCGCCCAACCGACGGGAATGCCTGGCCAGTGGGGATTTGTCAATGCACCGGCAACTGGATTACCGAATATTGAAGCCTTGCAACAGAGACTCATGCCGCAAGCAGGCAGGGAAGGCGGATTTACTACTGCAGGCCTTTCTGGGAATGCTACGATTCCATGGGCCGTAACCAAGGACGAGAAAAGGATTTACGACGAACTATTCCGTGCGTGGGATGGTCTAGGAAAGGGGTTTATCGGCGGAGACGTTGCTATTGAGATTATGGGCCAAAGTGGACTGGATCGCCAACATCTTGAACAAATCTGGACTCTTTCAGATCCCAATAATAGAGGTCGTTTGAACAAAGACGAGTTTGCCGTGGCCATGCATCTCATTTACAGAAAACTCAACGGCTATCCTATTCCAAACAGACTTCCCCCAGAACTAGTGCCGCCTTCCACTCGCAACCTCAACGACTCAATTGGGGCCGTCAAGTCGATGCTCTCCCAGGATGCGGAGGCTAGGAAATCTTCCGGCGCGTTCTTGCAGCCACAAAAGACTGGTGTCAGTTATTTGAAGACACACTCTTTTAATTCAGGTTCAGGTGGCGCTGGATACGGCAGGAAAGATGCTACCGTTTTCAAGAACAATGATGATGCCGTTGGCTACAAGTCTAGTGCTCGTCGTCGCATTGGAGCTGGCCGTACCCCGTCGCCCTCCTCGTCTGTGCAGTCGGAGAGGTCAGAAGATGACTTATCCGTTGAGCAATTGAAGAAGAAAATCCGCGAAACCAAAATCATGCTTGATGCCACTGATTTCAGGGACGAGAGCCATGCCGAAGAGGAGCAGGCACTTGATCGCAGGGATAGAAGGGAGGCAGAGTCGCTTATGGATAGAATCAGACGGGTACAGGACGACATCGATACTGACCCGAAAGCTTCATTCAGAAACGTGGACTCTAGCGCTGAGCGTCGCTCCATGCGTCGTCAACTTCAGTCTTACCAGGATCAACTACCTGAATTGGCTTCTAACGTTCGTAAGGCCGAGCGGGCTATCGCAGATTGCAAGCTTGAGCTCTTCAGATTGAAGGATGCCAAGGAAAATCCAGGAAGTGCCCTGGATATCATTGGTACCGGACCAGGCGGCGCAATCACTGAGAGCGATCGTATCAAAGCTCGTGCTCGCGCAAGAATGCAAGCTAGGGCTGCAGAATTAGCAGGTCGACCAGCCCCTGCTGCTGCTGATGAAGGTGCCGCTGCTCGCAGATTGGAAGAGGAGAGAAGCAAAGTTAACGCTGAGCGTGAGCGTAACGAGGCCATGACCAAAGATGTTGAGGAGAGTGTCAAGGAGTTCTCAGCTAGTCTTGAGGACAGTCTTAAAGGAGAGGATGAGAATTCTACTCGCGAACATGAACGACGACGCTGGGAGGAGGCCCTTGGGGTTGAGGATCAAATTAGAGACCTCATTTATGACCTTCAACGCAATCGTAAGACTGCAAAGGTTAGAAAGGAAGAGTCAGTAACACCCACCTTCAATTTTATCTGATCTATCAAGCTAATCGATTTATTATAGGGAGCAATCCAGCCGTGGAATGGGCGGCTCAAACCAATACGCAAACTCCTCTGATACCCTGCCGAAACCTAGCCCCGAACCCCGTTCTTCATCTCAATCGCCGTCGCTCGCTGGATCTACACACGAGCAGCGGGTGGCAGCCGCCAGGGAGCGAGCTCAACGTCGTATTGCCGAACGAATGGCTGCTGCTGGGCTCAAGCCTGCAGATGCCGGTGAGTCCTTCATGGAACGACAAGAGCGTGAGAAGAAAGAAAGAGAAGAAAGGCTTCAGCGTGCCGAGGAAGAGGATGCTAAGCGTGAGCAAGAAAGGCTAAGGAGGCTGGAGAACGAGCAAGCCCCTGCACCTCCACCAGCTAAGGGTGGACCAAAGAAGGCACCACCGCCTCCTCCATCCCGAAAGGTCAGGTCAGATTCCTCGGAGCAAAACGATACGAGAAAAGCCGAGGAGGAGGCTCTGGCTTTCAGAGCTAAAGAAGAGCAAGAAGCCGCCCTTAGACAAGAACAACAGGCTCAGGAGGCAGAGACAGAGCAGCTAGAGTAAGTCATGCCACAAAATTGTGATAATTTTACTAGTTCTAACCCACGAATTTTACAGAGATGAAACAAGGAGGCAAGAGGAAGCTCTCGCACGCGAGAAGGAAGCGGCTCAGGCCCGACTAAAGGCATTGGAAGAGCAAGTCCGCCAGGGCAAGATCAAGAAACAGGAGCAGAAGCGCCGTAAACAGCAGGCTGAGCAAGAAGCAAAGGAGAAAGAGGCTAAACTTGCAGCCCAACGAGCTGAGTTGGAAGCCGCTCAAGAAAGAGAACGTGAACTGCAACGACAGTTGGAGAACCTTGGAGACGAAGAATCTTCTTCCGACGAAGATGGGCCCGAGTTTATCACACCTCAGGATACCACGCCTACCCAAAGCCAAGTTTTCGAGCAACCAAGGGCTTCTATTCCACCTCCTCCCACTGCAGCGCCTCCAGTACCTATTCCTACTATCAGGCACGAGGAGTATCCAGAGGAACCGATCCGAGTTCAATCTCCTGATCCTGTCGTTGAGCCAGTAATGACAAAGGCCATCCCTGAAACGGAGTCAAGGAACCCCTATTTCCGCCAACTAAGCCAGTCATCCGAGTCCCATGCTCCTGAACCGCCAGCACAAGCAGCCCAAGACTCCCAATCCACCAACCCATTCCACCGCCTTGCTCAAGATAACGCTAAATCAGCATTTGCAACAGGCGACGCCACTCTTCCTGGACCTCTCGAACGTAAATCGCGAGCTCGCCCTGAGGAGGACGACGACTGGTCTGTGGCTGAATCAGATAACGAGTCTGATGACGATGATGACCGAGTGGGCGGTGGAAGCGCTAAGCAGCTTGCCAGCATCCTCTTCGGCACCATGGCGCCACCACGTCCTCTAAGCGCAATGGATGAACCCCAAGAATCCAAGACTCCCACGCCACCAGTCGCTCAAAGCCCAGTAGCCCCTCCTCCTGCACCTCCAATGCCTGCTCCCCCACTGCCCACTGAGCAAGCACAGGAAGAGACACAAGAAGCTCCGTCAATGCCTCCGCCCGCACCTCCACTCCCAGATATGGGCCCTCCAACTTCCGCGCCACCACCTCCACCAGGTGCCGCTCCGCCGCCTCCTCCGCCTCCTCCACCACCACCTCCGCCACCAGCCCCTGGCCCTGGCGCAGGTGGTCCACCAGGCATGGGACGAGGTGCTTTGCTAGGAGATATCCAGGCAGGGAGGGCGCTGAGGAAAGTAACCACCAAAGACCGAAGCACTGCAAGCTCTGCCGGACGTGTGTTGTAAAGTATTCTTCAAAACCAAATGATCAATGGACACAATTTGCAATGCTTCTTATGAGTGACTATTTGAGATGTTCCACCGTCTTTCTTTAGCCGTTGATGTACTTCTTGCTCGCTGTTTTTGTTTCTCGGTCTTAGTTGGGTTTTTAATATCCGTTTCATTGGAAAGAGAATAAACTTGTTACTGTATTCTGCCATAAACAAATAATTCCATTTAGATAGTTTGTTAACTCTGTACATAAACCTAAGAAAAATATCACCAGTATGATCTAACGTGACATATTGATCGTTACGAATAGCGTGGTGAAGCGAATTAATACAATAGACGAAACTCTTAAACGAACGCAATATATATACATGGCTACTTCTGAACCGATACACTATATACATATATAAATAGACTCAACTTATTAACCAGAAAGGGAAGAAAAGAGATAGTCAAGAATAATATCATGGGGTTGCTATATATAAAAGAGGAAGCTCTGCTCGCCATCTCCGTCATGAAGTTAGTTCAACGACGACATTAATAATGGTGCTAAAACTCCATAGCGCAACAAGTCCAAATCCAACATTCCGGTCCATCCGCCACTTGTTCAATGGCACAACGATAAGTAGTCCGACTAATGTGATCATCAGTGTGGCGGCGCTGATAATCAATGTTTTAGATACCGCGATGGGGTACGGTTGCACAATAGTCGCCAACGCCTGTGAAACGAGACCTGAGGACTGAAGGCTCTGCGCTTGCTGGAGAGTCATATATAACCCTCCAACACCAATACCAATAAGGATGTTTAGCATTGGTCCACCAAAACACGCACTGAGCGCCATTATCGGATATCCCAAGCGTGCGATGGTGACATTGGCGACGAGATCGCCTAAGGAGTTACCGACGGCAAAGATAGTAAGGCCCAGCAAAGAATCGCTGATGTTCAGAATTACACCGAACAGCTTAAGCAGGGCGACGACCTCAGTAGCTAGCGTCGAGACCCATGCGATTGCAACGGCAAATCCGAGGAAGGCAGCAAATGGCCGAAGGGGTTTAGGTAGTTTGTTAGAGGAGCCTTTAGTTGAAAGAATGAGAATGGCGGTGAAGACGCAAGAGACAAGTAACGATATGAGGGTTGGTAAGATTAATGTGCGTGGGTTATGCTCTGGGCGAAGGTTGGTCCACAGCGTTAGGGTAATAAAGAACGGAGCGGTATAAAGTTGAAGCAATAGGAGCCATCTGTTCCACTCTTTGGCAGAAGAATCACCCTTGCTGTTGGGTTCCATACTTGGTGGCATGACTGGTAGTTCGGAGTCTTGTCGGACGCGATTGATAGATGGCCGAACAAGCAAATCGGTGTTTGTTTCGTGTTGTTCATCGTCGTAGTAACGAGGTACTGTGATTGACGGAGCCGCCTCTGAGCCGCTCCTCCCTGGCCTATGTGGAATTGCGGCTGCCGATGTCTGCTCAGGGGAAGCGGTGACTTCAGGTTCAGAGCTTTCCGTTTCCACTACAGGCAAAGTCACCGTCAGGATAAAAACACTAGGTGCTGCCGCAATCCCAAGAAGCTTGTCCCATATGGATTTTTCTCCCCAGCCGTAGAGCGTCGGGAAGAGTGCTGATACGAATACTTCGGGGATGGGTAGATATGAACGCGGCCACCATTTTGGTCCAGGAACCTCGATATCGGTGCCTGCAGACTGTCCGCGTATGTACTCTGAGCCCAGCGAGTGGCCTGATCTCTGAAATCGAAGACTGGGAAAACTCGAGTGGCCATAGGCAGCCTCATCAGTGTAAGGAGGAAACGGCGTAATTGACCCAGAGCTATCCGGAGTGGTAGCACCACCATGAGTGCGAGGAGTTGTCTGAGGTGAGACCGAGGATTGAATTGACGGAGTAGGGCCCCCTGACTCGTAGGATGGTCGATGAAAGACAGTGTGTGGAGGCACTAACCGACTAGGAGATTTTGAGCGATCGACGGAGGGAGCAGGGCTTTGAGACCTTGAAGGATAGCCCGATGATGTAGGCGATGCGCAGAGGAAATTCGCATGCTGTTCCTGCTGGATCCCTGGCTCATTATCTGGGCCGTGAGCTAGTATATGTGGTCGTGAGGCGATAGACAAGCCTGTTGGGGCCGCCCTCTCGTCGTCATGATAGGAATAAAACTGTGGACGCTGGGTTGTTGAAGCTCTGGGGCGGAATGATCTCGGGTCTGTGGTGGCATATTGGTCATCTGAGTAGCTTCGTAAATGAATCCTACCAGATTGGAGACTTCTGGATTTGCGCAACGAAGAGAGAACCGATCTAAATTCCAGAGCGCCAACCAAACTTGGCCGGATAGCGCTACTAGGAACCATTCTCTGGCTTGTCTGTGGCCTGCTCACTCGCATATTATCATGGAGCTCTGCCAGCTGCTGTCTGTCCCAAGATTCTTCGTCATCCTCATCCTCGACTCTCAAAATAGGGATATCTGCCCGTTCCAAAGTTCCGAAATCGTCATTTGTCGCACCCAGAAGCGGACGCTGCTCGCCACCAGCAATGGGATCATCGTCTTCCGGTACCTCATTAATCTCCAATTCTTGGTTTTGGGGGATATGGAAATGGGCACGAGCAGCAAGATCACGCTCTAGTTTCCGTCGCTGTCGACCCGTATACCAATGCCAAGTGACAACGACAATGACGTAGAAGATATAAAACCCGATCATGGTCGCGCATTCCCAGGCTTGTAGCTTTCCATCTGCAACGAATACCATGCTGAAACCGGTAGCGACCGCAAAGAAGAGAATATCGCGAACGAAGCTTCTCCGAGCAACTCTAAAGGGCCTAGCAAGTGCCATAGATCCGGCAACAACGGCTGTTATAAACCCAGCAGCGCCGATAAGTTCGCCGATAGCCAGGCTCCCACTATTGGAACTCATGGCGGCGAATGTAGAGAACACGTCTGGGCTTCCATTTCCAAAGGCGAGAAATGTAACACCCGTCAAGCTCTCACTCATTCCAAGGATGCTGGCGATGGTGCTTAGGTTGACACATAGGAAGTCGCTCGCCGCGATTCCCACCGTGCTAAAAAGCATACCGAGCCATGTTGCGAGTATGGCGAAGCCAAGTGGTTTCGCTCCCTCGAGCCGACAGTAGTAAAGCTCTAGGTAGGAAATAAGGCCGATATCTTCGTCCTGGCAGTTATCTCGAATAAAGGCGCACTGGTCTTTGGCATGGTGGACCAGTCGACACTACGAACGTCCGAACATCGTTAGCCACCAAAGAACCGCTTGACTTTTCATAGTATTCGCGTCCACTTACCTCTGTTACATGCTTTTGTACCGTCCAGTCCGGTGTGCTCGGCGAAAACGACCTTCGACTTCTTGAAGTCCCTGGCGCAGGGAGTTCATCTCGGATGCGGGGGAGAAAACGGCTTCCAAGGGCCAGAGCAAGGACGGTAAATATCACAAGATAGAACACACGGGCTGAATACCGCTTCCTGGAGTTACGGACAAGCGCAGCCCTGGTGAAAAATGTGTTTGAAGGGCCCTCCATCATGGGGGATGCATTATGTGTAAAGAGACACGCGAGTACATGCACCTTGGATCCACAGGCTGGTAAGGGACACACGGTGTATTCATGAGGGGGAGAAGAGGCGTAGGACAGGCACAGCTTTTATCGGGTGGCGGTACCCAGCAAGTCTTCCAGGGCGACTCTATCAATCCCTGCTTCTTGGTCGGCGATGTGGCTGTTTTGATGTGGTCATCGAACTTCCGTTTTGCTTGCGGTTGTTTGGAAACTTGAAGCTGCGCCTGCTGACGTAATTGCTAGGGGTGTCCCATGGGAAATTACTATATATGGTATGTTTGTTTTGTTTGCAGCATCGTACTGTTGCTGAGTAATAAGCCTCCGGTATAATATTAATATTTTTCCGAGGCTTTATTAGTAGTATGTTAGTCATGTTCGGATATATATAGGACCGACAATGATGACATAAGCAATTTACATAAGCATAACTGCGCAAGTGGTCTGCCCCGCGCTCCGTTTGTTTATGTTGACTTCAACCGAAGAAACATCACGAAGCGCGCGCAGAATATAAAGACAAAGCAGAGGATATCGGAGGCCTGTCCACGCTATAATCTGGACAATCTCTGTTGAGGATGATATAATTATTCAAATACACAAGCATCCCATCGACACCCCACGACGCTGCGCAAGACCCTCCGCAAAATGCCCCGAGTCGCAAACCCCCCCGTCAAGAGCCGTCATGGCCGCGGCACCTCGAAGCCGGCGAATAACACTACACCACACAAAAATACTCCTAGGAAGTACGTTATTGCCTATTCCCTTGGCCATGGCGCATTCGCGCAGAGTTGAAAGAAGTTTCCCGCAAGGGATATGGCGGGGGAAAGTGCCGCCGTCAGGGAGCGAGTGTCTGATAGCTAACGCGCACTTGGGATATTACAGAATCCCCCTCAACGATGACGCTGGCGAGAAGGTTGCGCGGTTACATTCCCGCCAGGCGCAATACGACCTCCAGATGGACCAGATCAAAGCGGCGGTAAAGACGCCGATGCCCCCGCGCAGATTCAACAACTATGATGGAACAGCCGACAGTCCGCGCACCCCCCGGGGCTCTGTACGAGGGAGAGACAGTGATGTCGATGCTCTCGGCCGCGCAGTGACGCCGATGAAGCGTGTGCCCATCCTAGCCAACTTTGAGGAGTGGATGAAGATGGCGACGGATAATAAGATCAATGCTGCTAACTCGTGGAATTTTGCTCTCATCGACTACTTTCATGACATGTCGCTTTTGAAGGAAGGCGATGGAGTTAATTTTCAAAAGGCAAGTTGTACACTCGACGGCTGTGTGAAGATTTATACAAGCAGAGTGGACAGCGTTGCGACTGAGACGGGGAAACTGCTGAGTGGATTGGCGGATAGTGGAAATAAAAAGAAACAGGACGGCGGTGAGGATGGTGGAGAAAACGAAGAAGACGATGATGAGGAAGGGGAAGAAGGTGAAGATGGAGTCCGACGGAAAACTCGGAAAAAGGTTGGCCAATCCGTACAACTGGAGCTGGTAATCCCGTTTTCCTATACTTACCTTGTTTTCCACAGGCACGATCCCACGAATCCACGTTAGCGCCATCGTTTTCATCTCTGCAATTAAAGAAGTTTGAATTGGAATTCTCCGTGGATCCTCTATTTAAAAAGGCTTCCGCTGATTTCGATGAAGGCGGCGCCAAGGGCCTACTTTTGAACCATCTATCCATTGACGGTCAAGGAAGAATTGTTTTTGATAGCAGCGATGATGCTAACACAGCTACGGCTGACTCTGAGGCTCAAAACAACAACGCAGATGGCCAAGAAGATGGTTCCAAGTCCCCGACTCCAAGACCTGGAACATCTGATTCAAATGATGACTACTTGGACGTCGATGTCAGCGGCTTAGCCGAAAGATTCTTTCCCAACCTTGACGCGCTGGCTGACCATGATATTTGTCCCTCCCTGAAAGATTTCGATCTGGGCGACCCCAGCGGGTCTCTCGAAATTCCATTCTTACGCGCTCCTGAGGACTGGAGGCAAGATAAACAACAGTCAGAGCAGCCAGGCCTTGGTGATGCATCTGGCATCATGTTGGATGACGATATAGCTATCGGATTTGATGATGACGATGCCACAATTACTGGATTCGATCTCGGTGGTGATGCCGAGTTCGGGCAAGGTGGTGAGGCATGGGCGAGAGATGCTGCTCTCGAACCAATGTTGAAGGTGCACCGCATTAGCAACATTGGAGTTGGAGGCGACAATAACGACACCACAGTCGAATTTGATAACACGGAAAATGACCCTTTCACCTTGTCCCTTTCACATGGAAATGCAAACCACGATCACGATAATATCCTGAGTTATTTTGATAATGCCTTACGCAAAGACTGGGCTGGTCCCGAGCATTGGAAGATTCGACGAATGAAGGATGTGACCTCCGCTACCGCCGGGACAGCAGCGCCCAGGCAGCGGAAAGAAAAGGAGCCATTTGAGATAAATTTTGCCGCGGACCTCGACCCTGCTACCGCAGAGCTGATATACACCACCTCGAGCTCTAACTCTGCAATTTCACTCCCAAAAACCCAGTGGAAAACAAAGGGTCGAAATTTGCTACCTGATGATAAACACTTCAACTCCAGGGAACTACTCCGCCTTTTCCTAAAGCCCAAAGCAAAGATGGGGCTACGCGGACTAGTAAGAAATAACAACCGCTCCCGTCAGAATGACGCTTCTGGCCCCAACAATGGCGAGATGGATGAAGCCTTCTGGGCGTCACAGAAACAAGACATGGAGCAAGCGGCAAACGAGGATGCTGCTCAGGGAACATACGATGCTAACTTTTTTGCGGACGACGATGGCCTTGCTTTCCCACATGGCCTTCCCATGGGCGACGATGATGACGACGACAACATGCCTTTCGCAGATGCTCGAGAGGCATTCTCCCCGCCACTAGACTCAGACGCGAGACCCGCAACCTCGGCGGGTGGTATGTCTGGCCTCAACGCACTCTTAAACAGCGTTGCTACCCCTGGTGGCGCCTTGCTGGGAGGTTACGGCTCACAGCTAGTCACCCAAGGAGGCCGAAGAATCCGCCCAGAATATGTAAACTACGCCCGTGTAGCGAAGAAGGTAGATGTTCGCCGCTTGAAGGAAGTGATGTGGAATGGAATGGGTGAACGCCTTATCGCCTCACTCTCATTCAACTCTTCTTCTCCATCTGCTGCAGTCACCACGACAACCGCCCCTGAAGAACCAGCCCCTGAACCTAGTGTCGAAAACAGCTCTCCTAGCGACGAGTCCGAAGAATTTAAAAACAGTCTTCGCTTCACCGATGTCATGAATGGATTGAAGCAATCGTATCCCGAACAAGCTATGCGCGACATCAGCACGTCATACGGCTTCATCTGTCTTCTCCATTTAGCGAACGAACAAGGTCTCGTGTTGAAAAACAAAGGCAGTATGAATGACGATTGGGAAGGGAGACTAGAGGAGATATATGTGACTAAGGACGTTGGTGCTGTTATTGAGGGCGATGCATAGCATGGGCAAATTGAGCGTATTAAATCCTATTCATTATGCGTTTTCGGCCTATATGAATGATTTGTCTTCTCGTTGGAGTTTTGCTGCTAGCCAGGGGCATTATGCAATGTTTATATTTTACTTGATGTCATGTGTAATGATTAGCTGAGTGGAATTTTGATTAATAGCATGCCTCAAAGGAGAGGAACGTTAACGAGATAATGTAATCAATATCCCTACTTGGAGAAACCATTGTTTGATATCACCTGAATCCATGATTAAAATAATAAACGATCTACTTAATTCTCGAGATGAAATAGCCATTTTTGGGAGGAACTTTGTGATTATGATTTCAAGATAGTTAAACAAATCAAATCATAGGGACTTGGCTGATACTCAATATCACACCCGGCCTCCAAAAAAAAAAAAAAAATAAGAATAGAAATCCACATAGAGCATACAAGCGCCATGCATGTATGACTCCTCCTTCATTTCCTTTCCATGCCTCGTTATACGACATGATATGCCCAAAAACCACAAACAATTATTTAGCGCCAGAAGAAAGAAAAGAAGTAGGGCAATCCCTCTTGTTTTGTCTGGGAGGGGGTGGGGGGTATTTCAACAGAGATGGGTAGGTAGACAATATAGAAATGACATAGGAGATGTAATGAGGGAATTAAAGGCTAAGAATTATGCTTAAACAAGACAGAAAACTGCAACAGGTATAGGGGAGAGTAAATACAAGGGTATCCAACTTCAAATGTTAGCTATGTTCTCTATGTGCGTCACCTTGAAGTGTTGCGAGTGTGGGGAGCATTGTCTGATGAAATCGCAACGCCAATACCAGGGGTATTAGGGAGCGTCATTGGCTGTGGGCCGAAACTGGGACTCCTATAAGCTCCAGGAATTGGCACAGCGCCATATGATTGTTCGCCTGGAGCAGCAGCAACGGGCTGGTTTACTCGCTCTGCCATGCCGGGGCTAAGAGGAGGATTTTGCATTTCCGCACGAGGCGAGTTATGGATGCTGCTGCTCGATCTGGATGGTGGAGGCTGTAGCTGGAATGGCTTGTTGGCAGCAGTGACGGGAGTTTGGCTAGCATATTGTGGTTTGTAGTACTCGTGCATCTGTCCATTTTCAGCGGTGGAGTAAGGGTTTGCGGTCATGGCTGGGCTTCGTGGAAAGCCAGGGGTGTTAGGTGCTGTTTGCACGCGGAGGTTGGCGAGGTAGAGATCTGATCTGGCCTTGTCACGGACGTTCATTGACTTGCGTAGTTTGCGCTTGGAGTAGAAACGATAGAATACTACGGCATAAATGGCAATCGTGATGGTGTCAACAACAATCTCGATGATACAGACAAGAGTCCAATCCTATATCAGGTTAGCCTATCGGTTATATTTAGGTGTAGCGAAGACGGCATTCTTTTGCTTACCTGCATACGGCAGACAAGGGCATAGTCGACGACTTCTTTAAATAGCGTGGATCGTAGATTGTCTTTGCAAGCCCAGCCCCAAAGATCTTTGCCATTTCCGCTGTCTTTGCTGTTCTGCAGGATAGCAGCAGCTACCACCCACATGACAACAGTGAAGACGAAGAATCCACCAGCAAAGAGTGTATAGTATACACCCACTTTCTCTGCACGGCGTTCCTTTCCGCGGCAGTTATTCCAAATCACACCCAGGGATAGGAGCATGTTGATGGATGTAAGGACCAAGATGAGAATTTGCGGCCAGGGGTTGGTACTGGGGTCCCAAGGGCTCAGTCCATTCCTAGTCTCCAAATGTCTGGTAGCGCGGAAGATGAGAAATGACTGAGCAAGAAGTGCAAGGACAATCATGCTACAAGAGAAGTTGACGCCGCGAAGCATAATTTTTGACAGACGCACTCGTGTTTTGATTTTCTATATGACATGTTAGCGACCTGCAATATCAAGCATACAAGGCAGAGAGCATACCAGGTCCTTTGCATTCTCCTCCTCCGCATCTTTTTCGTGGATTTCGAGAATCTGCTCTTCTCTAAATGTTGGGCTCAAAGGGTTCGCGGTGCCGAACCGGCCAGGCGTCCCAGGGATTTTCATGGCACTCTTAAGAGGGGAATTTGGGGCGTTGGTGGAAGAACCAGGAACATCCCGATCAGGCTGGTTATCAGCAACATAGCCAAATCCTACATCGGAGACGGTTGGCTGTTTGTTCGAGTCTGGAGTTGTCGACTTGACTGGAGGGTCTGCAAAAGGCGACTCTGAAGGAGGGTCCCGAGAGGAGCCCTCCATCGTAGTGGGCTGAGCAGCGAATCCAACCATTTGTCTGCGGCTTGGTTGCACTACGTCGACGGGAGTGACGGGTTCGTGAGAGAACGAGTGCTCTGATCCCTCAGTATAGCCGTTTGGATGTAGGCTAGGCATAACAGAGATGTGTGAAGGAGGCTGGAGAAACGGCGTAGGTGCTAAATAGGAGGGTTCCTATCTCGCAGAAACACCAGCTGGAAGAGAGCTAGCTCTTCGTGACGATCTATGCGTTGGACAAGTTAGGACAAAGAACAGAGGGCGACTTGACTGCATAGATCAACATACAGAACGAGAACGAGGTATGCAGACTTCTAAGGTCTTTTTGCTCAAGTGATTGATGTAGGCTTTCGGTTATATGCAAGAGCAGGGCGCTTAGATGGATTGTTAAGGTGAGTTGCGCTGCAAGAGGCACGAAACCAGTCGTTGCCGTATGGTGAAGGGAAATGGGAGACCAGCAGACACACAGGAAGGAGTTGAGAGAGTTGTCGAGGAACGAGGAAAGACGATGGGAGGGAGATATTGTATCTTTAGCGCCCGTCGCAACCAGGGACCCTGAGAGGGTGGAAACTGTGAGCTATTTCAAGCAACCAGTAGATTCTCGACGTTAACCGCCCGCACAGAATGACGGGTATGTACTCCGTGGGAATGTTTATGCCACCAGGGAGGCAAGTCGCAAACCTAAAGCATGTGAACCTTCAAACGAAGAGTGCCAGACAAATAGATAAAAAGGAGTCGGCCAGTCCTATGTATTTCAACGACGATCCTAGCAAGAGGGGCATCAATCACCCTTGCGATGTGCAAATTGCGCCAGGCATGACAAAGAGAAAAGAAGGGAAAAAGCGAAGCTGTGATGTGATTGCCAGGGATCTCGGTCGGTGCTGCGAAAATGAGCGAGGGTGGCCTGGTCCGTCCAACAGTCAGTTAGACCAGCTCTGTGCTCCGTTTGGCCCGTCGCGAGCTGCTTCGTCCGGTCGCCCAGCGGTTACAGGGCCCATCTTCCCCCAGTCAAGGCCAGGGTGTGGGCGAATGACAAGCCCGCATTGCCTGCCAGGATCGGTGCTTTGATGCAGTCGACATGCAGATTGTGCTGCGGTTGCTGTGATGGGCCAGCGATACAGGTGGTCTTGGCGTGATGGATGCAACTTTGGTCACGCGCTAGGACCACTACGGCTAGTCCCGCGGGATCCACACAGCCAATCAGCGGGTTATGTTCTACTTTTAGAACGAACCCACTGGTGTTTTATTGGCTCAAGCTTTAACTCTATTTCAACAGCGCTAAAAATAGTGGGGAACAAGTGGACTACTCGATGGTACTTGTTTCCTCACTTTATTTTGGTGAGAAGGAAAGTACCATCAACTCCCCATCCCTTCTTCAACCAGGATCACCCAGGCAAGCAATGAAGAAGGCGAGGCCCCAATTACAGGCATTCCCATCGCACTCCGCCACATACATAATTGCTGAAGAGGCCACCTGCATTGCTTCCCCCGTGCATGCATGTTACTACTTTCTGCAGGGTTCGTTTGTGATTATTGTACTCTGTACAAAGTTTCAAGGTGATTGTATTGTCGTCTCCGGAGCACTGGGACAGAATATATATTTGCAATCCGCCTGTTCGCTCTGTACGCCGTACTATCATGTACCCCAAGAACTTAGACAAGCCTTCATCGGGCCAAAGTAAGATGGGGATCGACCGCCGTCCTTCGCTTTTGGGCGGCGCAAGCTGAGGCCAACTAAATATCGTTGAAAGATGTTGCATTTTATCGTAAATAACGTGCTGGGTAGGTTTGGGAATTGGGGGTGAAGTTGCGATCAAATTCAAACGGTATCCTGTCTTCCCGCGGAAGTATGAAACCATTGAGACGAGTCCAATATGCTACGCCGTAACAAAAAAATTGATTGGAAAAGTATTTTCTGGTGTCATGGTGATATACTTACTCCGTAATCCTATTGCATACATGACTCGTTATCTATCCTGCACCCCGGAACCGACTCCGTGCTCTGGAGGATCGCGGTGAGATTGAGCAATGCACAGTGCCTCCGCTTCGATGTACTTCCGCGAAACCAACCTCTCAATAAAATCCATCGTCCACTCTTGACACCTTCTGTTAACAATCTGGTTTCTAAGTCAGTAAGGTCACGCATAATCAGTTTCCAAGGAAGTCTATATTTTTACGTACACCGTCAACAGGAGCCATGAAATTTTTACTAATAGGGGGCGGAGGCACTTGGCTCGCTATCTTCTCCAACTCGCCCTTCGGCGTATAATCAAGCTTCAAACCAGCAGAATCAACATCGGAGCCTTCATCCGCAACGAGATCTACAGCGACGTGTCCAATTAACGTGTTCGTATGAGGCGGCTGGGCGGTAGATGGGCTGAAGTTTCGTTTGAATTCGAGCTTATACCCGACCATAGGCGCGCCCACAACATGGATCACGGTGCCATTTTGCTGATGTTTGGTGTAGGGGATAAATATACCAAAGTGTTTGCGTTGCGCAGACGAAGCACGGGAAGTGAGTAGATGAACTGGGCGGGACGTCATGGTGGGTTGTCGATGTTATTATTAACTTGGGTGCCCACTTGTTTGGGGTTTGGCAGTTGGTTTCATTTGTAGGCTCGCACTAGACTGCCGTTTGATTTATTCATGCATGTTTCCTGCCAGTGCGGCATGACCCATATGCTCATGCCCCTATCCACTGGTTCGCCCCACGGATAAATGCCAGTCCCACGTTTGATATTGTAAAGTCTACGTTTCAACCTTGGACAAAGTACGAACGAACGGCAACAGCCCAAATGCGCGTATGTACCATGGTTGTAACGAAACCAGTTTTAATTCGTTTTGGTGCGTCCGATAATCTATATCCCGTTCAAGTTTACTATTTAAAGGGTGTATAAAAAGTCTGGCCGTTTGTCACCTAACATTTCAATGCTCTTTGCATCAAGTCCCTCGACCCACGAGTTCCGCTCACCACGAACTCTCTTGCCATTTTCAATCCGAAGCAAGACATGCTGCAATATACTGCCGCCAAGTAGGAATACTATAAGGTAGCCCAGTACTGTGCCATGTCCCGGGAAGAAGTTCGGTGCGTCCCGGCCTCTGTAGATGTTGGAGGATACCACGCCGTTGAGATTTCCCCAGCCAATTATAATGCCGAGAGTGACTCCACGTTTGTACACGCCTAGATATAAACGTTAGAACCTTTGGATAGATATGAGGTAGATGAGAGATGGTGTAGACGTACCTTCAGTATTATTACTGGCCCACGATATGGTATTGGCGATGCAGGGATATATGCCCATCGCACCGAGGAATGTTCCAGCATAACGTACTTCTGGCGATTTAGCGCCGATAAGCATGCTGAAACCTGCTATTCCTAGGAGTGAGACGCCAATGTTGCATAGACCACGCTTTTTTGTGCGGTCAGCAAGCACGCCGATTCCAATGGTCAAAACACAGCCAACTGCGTAGGGTGGAACAGAGAGTAGTTGAGCCTTGGTTGATTTGTATCCTGCATACGTTAGTTGGAAGTAAGTGTGTAGAGTTAATATTGGCGAAAATACCCTAAAGAAATAGTTAATATCATGGCAACGTAAACAGGTATAGCAAGAGCATAATCTTACTAGTTCTTTGATAATGGTTGGAAGGAAAAGCGAAAAGGCATATAGCGGCCCATCACACCCGGCATATATAAAAGCAGACACATAGGTCTTCCAATCCTTCATACTAGCCCAGAAGTACGACATCTTGAACTCTTCATGTTCGGCACTGGATTGCTTATCTTGTGACAGCCGTCGAATGACTCGTTTCCGATCATCCTCAGATAAGAATGTCGCCGAGTCTGGGAAATCTTGCACCATCCAGAATGATGCCACGGCAATGACGATAGTAACTAGACCCTCGAGGATAAAAATCCATGCCCACCCAGCCTTACCTCCTACGCCGTTCATTTTTGCGATGGCAGCAGCGAGTAAACCACCGAAAGAGCCGGCCACGGCTGCGGCAGAGAAGAATATCGCCATGCGAACACCAAATTCGGATCGTTTGTACCAACAGGACAGGAAGTAGCCGACTCCAGGGAAGAGGCCTGCTTCGGTTAGGCCTAGGAACCATCGTGCTGCCATGAAGCCAGAGAAGTTGGTAGTTAATCCCATAGTAGTCATGCAGATGCCCTGCAAGGGAGTTATTAGCCATATTTAAAGTGTGCTCTCTGCGAATTTCGACGTACCCATATGAGCATTATGACGGGAATGAAGATGCTAGGCCTCAGCCGTTTCAGCAATACATTTGTCACTGGCTCGAAGACGGAATAAGAGACGAAAAATATAGTCAAAGCCGCGGCATATTGGCCATCTGTCAGATGCAGGTCCTTTAGAAGACCTTCTAGCTTTGCATTTCCGACGTTCGTGCGATCTAAAAAGCTGTCTAGATATTAATGCTAGGCCAGGTTGGTTGAGCTCCAGTCACACGAACCTGACAAGGTATAGCAAAGAGAGCCAGGGAATCAATTTGAGGTCGAGTTTCCACAGTAGTTGCTTGTCCTATATTGATACAAGGCTTAGTGATTGCACTAGTATTGGTTTGAACATTTCGAGTCAGTAGATGGAGATATACAATTTTCTCCCTTTCTGCCTCGCTCAAATGAGCATCTGGGTCGTCAAGATCTATCTTATCAGGTTGCACCACCTGACACGGCTCTTCCAGCTGATCAGAGCCTGACACCTCTATATCGTGTTTCTCCATGGTATCGTCGAGTGGAACAGCGGCGGAATGGGAAGAAAGCACAAGCTAATAGAAGATTACTCGTGCGAAGGCTCTTGTATTTGAAATCACTCGCGTGCGCTAAAGCCCCTGCAATCCTTTGTCATGGAGGCGAGAACGCAGCTGAGGCCGAGAGACCAGACGGCATACGTATTGATTGACGCATGGAGTTAAACAGGGATGATCTTGCAAGCTTCTCCAGACTTTTCGGCCATGTGCGGGCTCGGACAACTCGTACATAGCGGGATCGGGCCAGCTGATTACGAGGACCTCGCTCCAGAAATGTACTCCGCTAGACGACCCAATATTCTCATCTTAGAGGGTTCTTTAATGGCACGTCTCTACGATGGGTAGAAACGCTATCCTGTCCTGGATTCCTTAGATATAACCTGCGTGTTTTCAGACAACTTAGTAAGTATTTAAAGTTGAACAAGCAAAAGGGAGAAAATACGCTTAAAACCTTGATGTCACTGCCAAGCCGCTAGTCTGTTTCGGGACAGCTCCTGGTTTTCCATCTCAACCTCAAATTCGGCTTCAAAAGGACGAAAAGTCGTGGATAAGAGCGTGTCAGGCCTGTTTACTCCGTACAGAACAAGCAATTAAACTACCCAGGGCTAGGAATGCCACTCTCGCAGTCTGTTTTCATCTCTAGATCTGGCTCCGTGGCCGCCCGTCAGGTCTTTCGTTCGTCCAGCGGATATCAGCCACCCCGCCTTGCAGCCCAACAAACACAGTTCTTCTCACGGCCGTACTCTTCCGCCCCGCCTCCTCCAAACCGCAACCGAAACAACTCTGAGATAAAGGTCCTACCTATCCTTGCAATCCTCGCAATTGGAAGCGGCGTCTACGCTCTCTTGATAAAGTCTCGCGCGCCCAAGGATGTCAAAGGCGGCCAGTGATATGCCTCAATCGGCGGAGACCAAGATCCCGGCCGAGCTCCCTGCGCCGCTTACTTCGACCAACACCTCTCCCAGGTTCTCTGCCAATGAGGTAACCGTGATCTTCGTGCTGGGAGGGCCGGGCAGCGGGAAGGGGACACAATCGGCCAAGCTCGTCAAGGACTATGGCTTTTCTCATCTTTCGGCTGGTGATCTGCTGAGAGCCGAGCAGGACCGCAAGGGAAGCCAGTATGGCGACTTGATTCGGAATAACATTCGTGAGGGGATCATCGTACCCATGGAAATCACCGTCACTTTACTCTCCAACGCCATGGCTGCAATTCTCGAAAAGCAGAAGGACGACGAAAAGGTGCAGTCTACGTCACGATTCCTTATCGACGGATTCCCCCGCAAGATGGATCAAGCTGTCTATTTTGAAGAGACCGTCTGCCTGTCTGCTGCGACGTTGTTCCTCTCCTGCCCCGAAGACGTGATGTTGAATCGCCTATTAAAGCGCGGAGAGACCAGCGGACGCGACGACGATAACATCGAGTCTATCAAGAAGCGGTTCCGTGTCTTCGAAGAGACCAGCATGCCGGTTGTGAATCATTATGAGAAGATGGGCAAGGTCATGAGCGTTTCTGCTGTTGGCACTGAGGCGGAGGTGACAGCTCGCATTCAAAAGGAGATCGAGAGCCGTGGTATCTTGCCTATAAAAGGAAATTAAAGCAGGGTTTGGTACATATGTGATTTAGCAAAGCGAGCCGTGATGAGGTGTTTCTCCCCTCCTTCCTTTTTTTCTTCATATATCATAAATGCATTTAGATCTTTACAGGGGTGTAAGACGTTATGTCTTGCCTGAATATAAACCCTTCTACATAGTCAACTTGTTACCTCCAAGATATAACTTAGCGTAGAACTGAGTCAGACCACCGCATAGCATGTATTGTTTCCTCCGTGCAAAGTATGAGCTTACCGTGGACTAGAATGCCCAACCCTGATCCGCCTTACAATCAAAACGATAGACCAAACACCCATCAGAAAAAAGACTTGATTGAAATCTCCATTCTAAAAGAATCAACTCCGCAAAGTATCCATATTTTGATTTGGTATGATATGCGTTAAAAAACGGAGAACGAGGACATGTATCAGATTGGTCCGGTCAAGAAGTTCCCTCCCACGCCCACACCAAAGCACATCCACATGCACATCCTCGTCTACCCCTCTCCATCTCCTCCGTTTCTCTCAATCTTGTCCCCGGTTTCATTTGTTATAGAAGTGATTAAGGTGGCGTGGGTGGTGCGCGCTTCGATTCAAGGAAGGAGAGCGGGAATGTCGAATGATGCGAAACGATAAGAAACGGAGCGGAGCAGGACAAGAGAAATCGGTCGGTTTAATTGTTCATCGGTACTATTGGGAGGCGTGGATGTAAGAATATATTCCATAACTTGCTGACTTGGCGTCGTTTGTTCGATGTATAGTTCTTACCTTGACGAAACCGATATCTTGGGCCTTCTCACGGAAGCATTGACGGCAGATCATCAAACCGTACTTTCGAATGATACCAGCCTGGTGAGCGCAAGCGCGACTGCAGAGAATATCCCCGTTAGCATTATATTCCACTTCCACGTCCACGTCCGATATATCTTCCAACTTCGACTCCGCATGGATGTAGCGTACCATTGACGGCTGCCCTTGCCGTAGGTTCGTGGGCGGCTGTAGAAGACGGATTCGTGAGTCATCTTGAAGGGAGTTTTGTTGATTCCGTGAAGTCGAGTCGACGTGTGTTGAAGGCGCTGCGATGAGGTTCTCGTTTCTGTGTGCGCTTTGCAACCATCGAATTTTGGATGCCGCAAAGAGCGATTAGCGAGAACTACGCCCGATACGGTTAGAGAGTCATGTGATGTATTCATTACATAATTTACATAATAGAGTTCACGTAAAGGGTTTAGCCCTAATTAATGACTAAGGAGGTTAAAAAGGACGTCACGGAAGTAGATAGATATAGACGTTAGATAGAGATAGACGTATTGAACAGTAGATTGAATTCTTCTTTTATTTTCCATCCTCATCCCTCATACTCATTCATGCTCATGCTCATGCTCAAAATCATTAAAATAACGAGCTTGATCTATCGCAGTCCTTTCTAGATTTCAACATTTTGAAAGCGAGAAAAGGAGTATTGATGTCAAGGGAAGATCAAACCACATAAAGTGATTAATGTAAAGGAAAATCTGGGGAAGAAGCGAAGTAGACAAAAACACGAATAACGCCCAATACATTCAAGTCTTTGTAGAATAAAAAAATGTGAGAGAAAGAGAGAGAAAGGGGACTAATCACCACCGGCAACCAACTCCATGTCTCTGGGTTGATGCTGCTGATGTGACTGGTGACCTCCTCTCCTTCGCTCGCCGCCGCCTCTACCACCGAATGAGAACCGGTCGCCATCTCCAGACGCTTGGGCTGGCGCACTAGAAGCGGATGCGGCTTCCTTGATAAACTTCTCCTTCTCGGAGCGGACGACCTCGAGTACATTTTCGAGGCTCTGTCTCCAGACCATCAGACGGCCCTGGACTTCACGCCATTGCTTCTCTCCGAAAACACGGTAGGTGGCGCGGTGAACGAGGAACTCACCCTTTAGCTGGGAGAGTTTTCCCTCCACTAGGCCGGCGCGGATGGTATCGATGACCCATTTCTCGACGTCGGCGCGGTCAATCCGTAGGGCAGAAGCGATGTCGTCATAGGGAAGAGAGCGGGTGGGAGACTTTGCCGCAAGACTGGTGAGCGTGAGAAGACGCATTTTGGTCTGTAGGATGGACTCTATGGATGGTGGTTCAGTGGAAGCGGGGGAAGCAGAGGAAGTGGAGGGTGCGATGGTCTTGATGGATGCCAGGCTGGGGATGGAGGAGATGGGGGTAGACTTGACGAATTCCTCGTATGCGTCGAGGTTGTCGGTGCTAAAGACCTCGAGGAGTTCGAAGAGGGGACCATCAGTGGATCGCACGTTCTGGACGGCATCGCTGGCTGTTAGAGGGGTGAAGTCGAAGACGAATGGGAGGGAGAGGGCGGTAGCGAGACCACGGACGGCCAGTTCACGGGCCTCGTTAGACGAGGCTTCAGAAGGCGGGATGGCATGTAGGGCCAGGATGAGGTGGTGGTAGGAAAGCTCAGCGTCGCCGGAGGCTCTGGCGGCGTCGGAGATGGCCATGTGCAGTTTCTGGGTATCGTCATCGTCCAGGTCCCACGACTCGATCCAGCCGGACAGTTGATTTGCGAGCTGAGTCTTGAGGGCCTCGAATGCGAGACTGGAGGAGGTGCTTCGGATAACGGACATGATGGCGAGGAAGACATGGAATCTGTTGGAGTCCTCGGCGCTCATGGTGTTGAAGACGGTTGCCAGGATTGACAGGGCGATAGAAGGGCCATGCTGCGGCGACGCTGGCATTGGCTTAGCCAGGAATGAGCAGATTCTAGGCAAGAACATGCCGGCATTTGACGATTGGCGGATCAGGTAGACGAGCAAGTTGTATGCCGCCGTAATTTCTATAACCGTTAGTATTCCATGTATATATAGAGACAGAGGAAATATAGATAGGAAATATAGATATGGATAGGGGTAGTACCCTTCTCGGGAGCGGCATTCAGCACTGGAGCCGCAAGCACCAACTTCTTGAGCACCTCGTCTCTCTCCTTCTCGACCTGTGTGCCCTGTGCCTCCGTCAACTCCTCCTCGCTCTGTTCCTTTTCTCTCAACTTCTCCAGCAGCGGCGCAACCTCCGCATGGACAGACGGCACCTCGGCATCTGGAGTCGCCGAAGCAGCAGAGACGGACTTGCGGATCGAGTCGATGTAGCGTGCGAGTTCGTCTGCGAGCTCGTCGAACGATCCCTCGATCAGGAGGGTGTTTGTGGCGGCCATCCTTGTATTTTCTTTCAGCTGATCAACCAGCGGGTTCCTTGCTGCGGCTTGAAAGCGACGCCCGCGTGTGTGTAGTGGAAGAGCAGGAAGAAGACGAGTCTGCTGCTGGTGGTGCTGGTGGGATGAAGTTGTGAGTTTTGCTTGAAAACGTATCGATAAAGTTCCTCTTTCGGGAGAAATTTCTTGTGTGGGCGCTTGGCGGGGAGCAGCGAAACGTAAGCAGGTCAGACACTTTGGTCCGACTTACCGCAAGAAACAGCATTGGTGGTTTAGTGGTAAAATCCGTCGTTGCCATCGACGGGCCCCGGGTTCGATTCCCGGTCGATGCACTTTTTTTTCTTCTTTTTCTTCTTACCCTCATAGGTTCTTTTTACCCTTCACAGTAGGTTCTGTACGGAGTATGTTTATAGTAGATTCTGCACGTTTATAGTAAGGTCTTTTAGGCTCGGTCTGGATATCGTATTCATACGTAGCGGATACATCATCGTCATGCTCGACGCTGCAACAAGGGACAGGCAGGGAATAGAACAGGTAAGGAAAAGTGGAGAAGAGTTCAAGACAAGCAGGTGAGGTTCGGCGCGAGACACCGTCGATCCAAACCAGGATGCAGTGCCAATCATCGCTGGATCCCAAAAACCGCACTGCCAACACTCAATCTCCGAGCAAACAATTCATCATTCAGGGGATCGCATGGGATAACATAGGAAAGACAAGGAAATATTAAGCTAGTTTTAAGATAAGGGCTCGGCGTCTACAGCATGAGGCCAAAGACACCCAAGACGACGGTTGCAAGGACACCGAGAGAGTAGTCCTTGGCCATCATGACAGCCGCGGCACCGGTGTGGGAAGGAGCAGAGCTGCCACCGGTATGAGTAGCGGAGGGCCCGCTGGTGGAAGAGGCGGTGGGCTCGCTGCCGGAGGAGGAGGTGGTCTGGGAGTCGCCGCCGGTGGAAGCAGTAGCGTTCAGTTTACCGCACTTGTCCTGGGCGTCCTTGCAGCCCTGCTGGCCGTCAGCATCGTCCGGGTGGGCCTTGATGCACTGGCCGAAGGTGGCCTGGCAGATGAACCACGGCAGAGAGTTGATGTAGAGGTCCATCTGGGGGATGGTGCCGTTCTGGCATTCGCAAGAGTACTCGAGGGTTTTCTGCAGAGTTCGTCAGCTAGCTGGTCCGTACCTCGGCGGGGGAATTGTAGCTTACAGGGTCGCATCTGTTGATCTTGTACGATCCACAGACGTCGCTACAGGTGTTGGCTTCACCATCACACCAGGTAGCTGTGCAGACACGTTAGTATCCGTCAATTGGACTTTTTGGAACTTGCAACTGGGAGCTTACCCTTCTCGTCGGCAGAGACGGAGCCGGGATTGAAGTCTGGTGGGACAGTGTAGTTTGAGCCCAGCGCAGAGACGGTGGCTGCGAGCACAGGCAGCGAGATGAGAGTCGAGAAGAGCATGGTGACTTTATGTTGCTTCAAACTGTAGCTGTGAGAGGCTATGTACCAGGTCAGTCAACAGTCAATATCAGTGATCACTGATCAGTGGCTGTAGGCGTGTACTTACCGGCTGATGCTTGACTGGTTATCACGTCAGAGTTGCACTGCAGAGACTGGAGGAGAGGACTGTCGAGGACAAGAGAAGAAGAAGAGAGGAAGAAGAAGAAGAGAGAGAGAAACAAAAACCAGGATCTCGTTGGGCGGGCACCGATCGCAAACTGCCCAAAGAGGAAAGGCGCGTCTCTGCAAGTACCTCTACACCAAACTTTAGGCGCAAAGGTACTTCCTCTGTCCTTTTTCCCTGCCCAGCTTGCAATTTCCGTGCCCCTAAACCTGACACTCGATATTGAACAGGCCCGCGGTCCTTGTCTGGCTGCTCGACTCGACTATCGAAGCACCGGCTGGCTAGCGTTACCCCGAGGAAATAGTCTGTCTGACTCGGAGCAGGTCTCCGCTCCCTCGTCCAGCAAAAGGGGTCGTGCAACCCTGTATATGGAGGCGTCTTTAAAGGATTTTATTTACAACGGGTTGGCATTGTGTCGTTGCCCATGGTCCAAGTCGGCCACGGTTCATGGTTCATGCCTGCGAGCTGACAGGGGCTTTAATGAGAGAGTGGCATAATAAACAACCGGGCAGCTATTTGTTACAGATGAGCTCCCCCTTTACTCTGATCCAATCCGTACTTTCATCCACACTTGATCCGTAACGGAGGCGCTGATTAGGTTGCTTTTTCCTCACTAGAGCTGGAAGATGAGACGGTGAACCGCGGGTGCCGGATGTCCAATTGACTTTATACGAAGCTCCCAGGCGGCGTCGCAGGAGGCGTGATAGATCGAATACTCGGCGAATCAGCTGGAGAGAAAGCAGCTTCACATATCCGTGCCCGTGGGAGTAGCATCTGCGCCAAGGTGACTATTCAAGCTCAATCGCGCTCCGATCGGGGAGATCGAGATCAGGCCTGAGGCTTGATCCAACTGCCGGCCGTGGATAGCTTGAGCCGTTCTCTGCTATGATTTCGGCCGGAGTACGCCGTAGTTTGGTGGCCAAAAGGAGAGATGCAAGTCTATGGACAGCTGTCAATTGTCATGATTATCGCCACCATACTCCATATTACTAGATTAGTGACATCTCCTTCTGCTGGCCATAGGATTACTTCTACATAGGATTACATCTACTGAAAATCAGCGAAGTTGTATATGATGACTTCACTTTGTACTGCCAAGATGTTTCTGGCCGAGGTTGTAAACAAATACCGACAACATCGAACATCGAAAAACAACAACTAACAACTACGAGTAACATCTACGAGTAAACTAACAATTGACCAGCACTCCTTCACCCATAGTGTCTCAAGATGACAGCCTCTAAACCCTACAGCGTGCCAGAGGCCACCATCTCGGCCTTCCAAGCCAACACCTGGACCAGCACTCTGCTCAAGAACTCATCCTACGAACCGGTCGAAACCCTCTGTCGCAAACCAAAGACAAAGACAGGAGAAGACATTTTCTTCGCATCCACCATAAACACACCGTCTACAATCCCACACCTCCTAACCCTCCACCGAAAGCCGAACCTCCTCTCCCCGCCGCCATCAAAGGCTCCATCCCTCCCCGCTCCGCCAGCACAATGGCCAAAGATTCCCTCCACCCAGCCAGCAGATATAATCAACTTGCTCTTTTTCGGTGAGCCAGGCGTCAACGGTCATCCTGGCGTCGTGCACGGTGGCGTCATCTCTACGCTGCTCGACGAGTTGATGTCCGTCAGCATCGCGGCATATATACCCGGTTTCGACTTTAACAACCCCAACAAGTTTGGTAGGCTGTATACGATGCAGTTGGATACTAGGTTCAAGCAGCCTGTTAGAGCTGGTGCGCATGCTATACTGAAGACATGGGTTATTGGCAACGAGGGGCGGAAGTGGTGGGTTAGAGCGCAGCTGGTGCAGGAGGAGAACCCGATCAAGCCGAACGGAGAGAAGGTGGAGTGGGTGAAGAGGAAGTATGTGTGTGCTGATGCCGTGGGATTCTTCATCATGGTCAACGATTCGAAGCTTTAGACGACTACATGAGTGTAAATATGCCACTAAATTCAACTATACATCGATATATACATCTACAAGTCTATTGATCATATCTTGCTCTCGCCTCCAGCGGCTTTCCCGTTGCCCTTTCTGGCACTCAGGTTCCTCTCTGCTCCAATCACTAATGCAACATGGTTACTCAACGCAACCAGCTCTCCCTTCTCATCCATGATGATAACATCTAAATCCATCCTACCATTTTGCAGCCTCTTCGTCTGCACTCGAGAATACATCCACTCCACCCCTTCGGCCGGCAACTTCTTCTTAATATCCAAGTTCAGCAGAATGGTAGGATACCAAAACTTCCCCTTCGGGCTAATCTTGCCGTCCTTCTCTTCCTCTTTTTCCTTCTTCTCTCTCGCCTTCTTCTCCCATGGCTTCTCGTCAAACGACTCAAGCATCATAGGGAACATATCGGCTAAAAACCCAAGCGTCTCATCCGTCCATCTCTCTACCTTCCCATATGGCGCAAACCGAGCCCACTGCTCGATGAACCCGCGCTTCATCATCCCCGGCACAGAAGGAGCGTAGAATTCGACTTGTCTGCTCGCCTTCCTCATCGATGCAAAGGCTACTTCGAACCGTTTCCACTCTCCGCTCTCGCCCGTCCTGGCTAGCTGGTTGAAGTCAACTGCTGGTGGCGCAGGAGTCAGCGCAAAGGCCGTCTGCATAGTTGGCCCTTCCTCACTCGCTATATGTGATATGGTGATGTATCCCGCTACCTCTTCGCGGCGATTACCGTCTGGGTCTATCTGGCTGAGGCCGATATGCAGTGTCGACGTGCGTGAACCCAGCTTTACGTCCGTGACGGTGAACAAGGCCGGTCCAATATCCGTCCTGCGGATGAAAGTGAGGTAGACCGTGATAGGGTCAGGAGAGCCCTTGTGGCGTGTTGGATGGGTGGTTTTCATATGCGTTCGGGCGACAGAATAGAAGATGGAGGTCACATAACCTCCGTGGGGGACTGTAGCGTTACTCCATTAGTATGCGTCGCTGAAGATGGGATGAAAGGAAAGAAATCAAGCGCCTACCGCTACCAATGCACCATTCTGATCGCAGATTCGCAGAATATGTGTGTGAAGACAATGGTGTAACTGCAATGGCTTCCTCAAAGCTGCCGGCGGGCTGCAATTTGGCTGTCGTCATAGCTCCTCGGGTATCTCGATCGCTATCTTTTTTTCTTCAGATCGAATATCTGTACGAAAGAAATCTATTTAGACTGAGAGTAGGATAGAGACAGACTTGATTCTACCGGGTATGAGTTAAGGAATAAAAGAGTGTAAGGTCGTCGATAATCGATCGCGAGGTTGTCGAGGTCGATTTAGCTTGCGCCGAGATGCCTCGGCTAATATTTCAGGTGTCAACTCTATGCTACCAAGGCACTGAAAGGACATTTAATAGATATTTATTATCGTCCTATTTAATCCTAGAGGCTAATACTAAATAATTATATATAAGAGTCGCTCTATAGCTCGGTTTCAAAATTTTAACATGTACCGTTAAGTATGGCTGTAAGAATGGGCTTATCTTTAGCGGCTTTGTCCCGGATCTAGAATAAATACCGGCGTTGAATATGTTAGTTTAATGGTTAGAATATCGTGTTACGGCCACGTTGATATAAGTTCAAGTCATACTACGAGTATTTTGCCGTATAATTCATTTTCAATGATGTTCACAGAGGCCTCCAATTCCATGTTATTCTTATCCTATACTGACTGACCCTACATTGCTTTGGGTGCTCCGTAGAGGCATTGCGTACGGCCTTTTGGAGAATTATTTATCATTCATTACATAGCAGGACGAGACCGTTGCAGGGTGAAAATGTGCGACTAGTTAGCTAGGATTCAGTATAATGTGTAGAAGTTGCATTGATCCCCCCTCTTGATGGGTGATTAGAAAACAATTCTCCCGCTAGACCCTGACTCGTAACAGAAGGGAAGTCTTAGAGACGCATCAAGATCAAGTTGTCCATTTGAAGGCTGCATAATCAGGATGAGCAATGTTGACAGATCGGCGATGCTTCTGTCATGCGTATATGCGCTATCTAGTTGCTTCAAATGTTAGCTATTAGCCGCTCCCTGCGATCCTATCAAGCATCTCCCCCACATTGGTTGGTTCTTCAACTTAGCAACGAGCTTGCGTTGGTCTAGGTCACAGAAAGTAGCATCGGCCATCTCGATACCATCGTCGAAGCTATCCTTAGGCGACTTACCCGTTTTCGGCTTTTCGGGCCTCGATTCCGTACCCCCGAGACAGCACCCGTTGAAAAACTTGTGAATGTATCCAATCATTCCACGACACAAGTAACAGCACCTTACCGATCACCACGTTTTCAACATTAATATCATAATCGACGGCCTCTTTGTCTAGGCCCACTCCATCTTCTAGTACTCGTGCGCTAGAAGGTGCTGCTTGTCTTCTAAAGACCTTAAACGCTTATCGTTTCTTAATCTCCGTAAACCTTGGAAAACAATATCTAGCGCCGATTCCAATATTCCAGTTTATTGAGAGGAAATATTGACTCTATTAACCGCCATGTTGTGTAATGCAGCCAATAAATGCGATAAGCGTCCACGAAACGCATTAGGACTTCACTTTGAATATCCTACAGATTCAATTCGTATGCCAATCGCAGAACAAAACATGATCCTGTGCCAGTTGATTGAGATGGAGACTGGATCAAGTAGGTGGATAGTTTCATAATGTTTCGAAATCAATTTACGTGTGAGCGTCTGATGCAGCACGTAGTAGCTGACGTGAAACTTTCAACTACTAAACATGCTCCAATGGATGAGAACGCCATGCTTGAGCCGCACTCCCCTTGATAAGTTTGACAGCGGCGTCAACATGTCGAAGTGTCAAGAAGTCAAAATTGACTCGTGGCCCGAGCGAGATTCAAACTCTAAAGCCTAAATTCTAGCTTATATAACCATGAAGAGCATAGCACGTGATAATAATTTCGTCATCACTGGAGGCACTAGGAAGAGACATCAAGGTAAAGGATGCTTTGGCATTGCTGCTACCAATATAGAATCAAACAAAACTATGCCAGGTATAGACAAACTGGTTCCCTCGGACAGAAATAGACATCAAAATAGCAGAGTAGGGTGAAGCGGAATGGATGATATATTTAGCTATACATACGCCGGAGTCAAATGGAATCATACTTATTTATACATTGCTAAAATAAAACGTATTGAGGCAATATCGTAGTTCACGGGACTTACTTTTACTCCCCATTTGATGCTGGAAAGTAAGATAGCTGCTGGGCTAGAGACGCCGAGTCTCTGCGCTGTGATATATCTACCAGTTTTCCAAGACATGACAATGCTCCTACATCAAGAACATAAGGTTAGTATCAGTTAGATAACCGTGTCACCATCCCCCTCATAGTATATCGGGATCTAATAGTGGAAATTTGGGTGGGTGTGCATACCAGTAACGCCCTGCGTCAAGGTGGCCTTGGCCTCCGTATTTTTCGACCCCAACGTAACAGTCATAACATTCTTCACCTTCTTCTCTTCACCTAGGCGATTCGCCCATCGGAACGCAGGTTCGTCATCCCTCCCATCACCAATGATGAGTATGAAATCCGGTGCATCTTCGTCCATATCGTCAATTTCTCCCGCCATACCGTGCTTCACGCTATTAGTGCTACCGGCACTAGAACTCCTCCGAGACTCTCTTCTCGTATACGCCGATAACACAACGCCTGCAGCTGTACCTTTATTTGGCTCCACTGGTCCAGCAACCACACAGCCGTCGGCCTGCACTGCCCTGAGGCCATGATTGCCACAACTATCATTGACGTTATTCGCACATTCGGAAGCATGGCGCTCTGCACTAGTTGGGTCATCTGCGCGCTCATAGTGGAAGATAAGGGATGCATGGGTTTCTTCAATCCAGCTTCCATCTGTTCGTTCTTGGAAGTAGCTTAGCATAGGCGAGAGGGAAAGTTTCCAGTCATTCATCTTGGACATGTCAATGAGGCGGATCCATTCTGTGGTGCCTAGAGACTTGGAAGGCGGAGAAGGGATCGGGGAGGAAGCTGGAGGTGGCCGCACAAAGCATCCATTTTCTGCTATAAGGCCTAGACCGGGGACACGGCTGAAGAGGCGTTCCATATCCTCTGGCATGCGTGAGGACATGACATAGACAGTATTAAAGGGATCTTCAAGTAGGTCTGTGAGGGTATCAATAGCGCGCTGGGGGGTTGTAAGGACTGTGTTGGTAGGTTGACCCCAGGAAGCAAGGGTGCCCTCGTAGTCTAGGATGAGGAGACGGCGGGTGGAGGTACGGTAGGTGTCACAGAGATTAGGAATTGAAAGACGCGGAACGGCTACAGTTTCACGAGTTGATTGTTGGTAGTATGCATCGTTAAGAGCAGAGGTGAAGTTATTAACCCATCTGGTGGTTACGTGATCCTTGGCCGTGGTGTTGAGTCGGGTCCATTGGGCCTGGCGAGTAGCAGCAGGCATTTCGAGGGCGGTATTGATCGCGTCGGCGCACTCTTGGTAATTCCATGGGTTGACAAGGAGAGGATGATAGTGGAAAATGGAGGCACTACCAGTGAACTCACTAAGGATCAGGGGCCCATGTTTAGACGGGGATAGCAGGCCGTCCTGACAATGGATGAATTCATGACTGGTGAGGTTCATTCCTTCACGCAGGCTGGTCACCATGAAGACGTCTGCAACAGATATAAGGGCAAGATATTGGTCGAAGAGAAGGTCTTGCTTGTGAAAGATGAGAGGCTGGTGGGCAAGGTTAGAGTGGACTGAGTTGATGCGCGTGGCGATATCAGAGACCGAGGCCTCTAGTTCTGGCTGTTCTGTAGTGGTAGATGCAACTTGTATCAGAACAACAGAATCTCGCCAGTGAGGGTACTTGTTGAGAAAGAGCTCGAAAGCTAGTAGTTTCTGGCGGACACCTCGGACGTTGTCAAGCTTATCCCTGGCCACGATGAGCCGTTTGCCTTTGAATTTATTCTGTAGGATACGAATCCATGACTTGACCTCTCCACACTGTCGTCGAATATCAAGCGAGACAGGGTCAATGCCAATTGGAAAAGTGCCAACATTGACAAACCTGTCCTCCAGCTGCACCCCATCCTTGGTAGCCTCCACATTAAGCAGGCGGCTACAGGTCTGTAAGAAGTGATGGCAGTATTCCTGCGTTTGGAACCCGATCAGGTTGGCCCCCAGCATTCCCTTGAGCAGCTCCATCCGGACAGAAAGACACCTGAACACCTCTGACGAGGGGAAGGCGACGTGTAGGAAGATACCAATCTGGGCGTCTGGTATCTCTTTCCTTACCATGTCTGGCACCAGAAGGAGGTGATAATCGTGTACCCATATCACATCCCCTCGCTTCCAGTTTTTAATAATCTCCTGTGCAAAATTATAGTTGACACGACGGTAATATACCCACGAATGGTCTTCGTATGCTTTACTCTTGGGGTTATCCGGTATCTGGTAGTGGAAGACGGGCCAGAGGATCATCTTGCAGAAATGTGAGTAGTGGCTGTCAAAATCGTTGTCCGAGACGAATATCGTCAACGCCTCACAGTCCGCGGCTAGCTTTTCGGCAATGGCATCTTTCTGCTTGTCATGCAGCGCATCGGTGGGCATACCCAATGTGCCAACCCATATTTTATCCTTCATATACGGCCAGTCGACGGCAGAGCGGATAGCATTTAGAAGTCCGCCATTTCCTTGTTCCGAGGGTTGAACGGTCCATTCTGCGCTTTCAAAGACCTTATCCTGGCTTAACGGGGGAGCTTGGCCGCTAGGCGGCTGTGCCTGGGCGGGAATAAGGACTGGCTGGGTCTTGGACAGCTCCGAGGCAGATTCCTGAGCTTGGCCCTTGAGACGGCCCTGGGTATGGTTTAGGATTGACGAGGATGGAGGTGCGAGAGCCTGAGCTTTGGGCTGGTTGAATGCACCTGGGGACCCCCAACGGGGTGAATGCGGGTCACTAGGCGCTAGCAGGCGTGGCTCTGGCGACTCAATCTCTATCCCGGAGGAGGAGTAGTCTGGGAGCGAGAAGATGCGGCCTTGGTCCCTAGAGCTCGACGGTCGATGGGCTGTTGCCGACTTCGACGCTTGTGTAGGCGTTGACGCAGAGGCAGAAGCGGACGCAGGAGTGGCCGACTGGCTGGGTATACGGCCAAACAGCGTGGCTCTCTGGCCAGAGCTCTTGCGGCGGTGGTGGTGAGAAGACTTGCGCAGTTGATAGCCCTCCGGCAGGGCGAAGTCGATGGTGTGTGGTAAGAAGCTGCTCGGTCAGTGATGTGTCTATGCTAATTGGGACTGGGAACATACAGCGAAACGATGAATATCGTCATTGTTGCTGGTTGTAGCGCCTTGTCAGAGCATGTATGAGTGCCTCGTCACAGCGTCGTGACCCCTCCATATATATAGGCAGAAAGAGGGGCAGCAGGCTAGCGGGGAGCACGGCGATAGCACTACGTGAAGCGCATCAAGTCACAGCAGCATCAATTCGCCGGATAACGTCAGGATCAGGCATTTGAAGTGGTCGAGAGAGCGAGGTTTGACGTTGTAGCCGAGACCTGGAGGTGGACGGAGGTGAAGTCGGTTGGGTAACGTGAGAGCTTCCACCAAGTTCCCGGATATTCCCAGATAACTAACCACGGTCGCGCTGGGCTTTGGGCTTGCAGGTAACTTCGCGCTGCCTTTGCCAGTTGCTCTGCTACAAAGAGTTTCTTACGATGGGAACTGTTGGATCCAGCCAGCCAGCCAGAACATGCTACCTACGTCATTCTCGCCTAGCCCGCAGTCTGGGGCCGACCAAGCACGTCTGCATAGCCGGTAGATGGACGAACAACGAGGCACCGAGAGACTGATGGTCTATGATAGAGTCCTCTTGATGCCTACATCCATGGAATCAAGTGCGCGGAATTACTACACTATAAATTACAACTACGCCAATCAACTACCCATGGAATTACAACAATACCACCAGGCCGAGTATATTGACCGAACGTCACCAGAAGCTGTATCCACCTTATATGCTAATGGTCTATCATTCCAGCAGCCTCGAGGTATCCTCAACCGCCCATCCCTGCATTTCCTTAGCCGACCAGTTCGGCTACTTATGACCGCATAGAACGAACCGCCGTCTGATGTCGAAGTAGGAGTACTCTTACTCGCTGAATTGGAAGAGGGTGTGAACCACGAGTGGCCGTCAGTGATTCCGATATTGGCAACTTCTCGAGCAAGATATCTTCAAGTACTCGTCGACGTAGAGCATCAGCTTTCGATATAGCTCCAATCCCAGACTTAACGGTAACAGCGCGACACGTATACGCACTGGACACGGAGAGTCTTCCTCCTGGATACCACGCTTTAAGCCGCTCGCCATGACGTAACCTATTCTATATCAGAAAGCAGACCCGGTTTTATATCGACGTCTTGAAATCTGGAAGTTGCCCAGGCGAACTTGTTCTTTGCCCTGCTTAGTAAGTCTAGCTTAGGTAAGTGGTCCGCTTATATAAGGCTCTATCACGTGTTGCTTACTCAGTTTGATGACTACAAGATTATATAATATATACACGTGACTATATCGGCTGATTTCGTTCAGCTCGAGATGTTAAGGAAGACACGAAAGTGCAGCACTCGAGGATATATATAGGAGGATATATATACGACGGTGATGCCGCTTAATCTGACGGCCGCCCATTCATCCCGCATCAAGAAACCGTCGTCCGGGTCTCGCCAGAAGACCCCCTTTGCCTCGTTCCGCCGCACCAAGGCCCCCGCCTCGCCTGCCCACCAGAGCGATGGCAAGCAAGACGAGTCCGAAGCGCAGCCCATAGCTGGGAGCGGCAGCGGGACTGCTCGAAGCAGCAGCGGCAACGGCAAGGGTAACTGGATATTCGATGAGTCGCTCCCAGACCTTGGCCCGTCACGGGTCCTCGCAGAATCGACCACCGTCAGCACCGTGACTCAGGCCGTTGAGTATATCCAGAACACGATGTTCAGTGCTATTCCAGAGAGGCGGTCGGGGATGAACGGCGCGAGGATTGCGCAGGTCATGGCTTTCAGAAAGTCACTTCCACCGATCGTGTCCGTGGCGCATGTCCATGTCCTGCTTAATGAGCCAACGAGGGTGGAGAAGGATATCGTGCAGTTGATTGACTCGGCGGTTGTACGGAGATTGCTTGTTACTGGCCGTGGCGATGGGACGTATGGGCTGGGCGACTGTCTTGTCTCGTTAGATGACTGGGAGAGGCTTATCAGAAGCAGCACGTCTCTGGATGATGCGTTGAAAGGTGAGCTTCATTCTTGTCTCCTCACTATGTTTCTGCTGTTCCTCTAATGATGTCTAGACCGCTTCACCCAGGCTTTACGGAATGACACGAAATCGCCTGCAGTGCCTGCTGGGTTCTTCTCGCCTGAAGAAACAGCGGCACTCGTCCGCTCGGGCTTCCTGGTCACGGCATCATCCCACTCCAAGAGCGGCTACATCAACCTCGGCCGCTCAACCGCGTCTGCCGCGTCCACAGATCATACCAGCAACGCATCCGGAGAACGTGGGTCAACGATGATCCTCTCTCTGCCCAATATGGGACCATACCTCCGACTCCTCGGTGCGGCACGCACCCATATCCTAGACACACTTCGAAAGTCTCGATACAGCGAGGCGCCTGTCTACCTGATTCGTGACCGATGGGATGGTTCTATAGAGCTGAATTCCCGAGCGAGCATCGCGAAACACGCTCGCGGTGAGTTTTCTGGCGTTCTACCTGGAAGGACGAACAAGTGGAAGCAGCTGTACGGGTTGGACTTTCGATGGGCGCTGGAAGAAGCGCTGGGCGCGGGTCTCATCGAGATCTTCAACACGGGGAGCGTTGGGCCGGGAATTCGGAGTGTATGATGGATTCCTACATTACTCCTGCATAGCTTGAAGGCAAATAAAAGTCCACCCATACACAGTGATACCCCCTTTCTTCTACGAATAGATGATGGTGTATGATTAAGGAGACATTTTCATAGCACCTTGCTCAATAAAAATGCGCCTTCCAGCTTTCTACCTACAATCAAGGGATGCTTCTTTCCCTCCCTTGATTGTTTGTTTACTCTCCCTGCTTCTGGGTCGCTGTTTCTTCGAGCAGTTGTTTACTCGCCAACTTTCCCAGAAACATCTCTTCTTCTTCTTCTTCTTCTTCTTTTCTTCTCTTCTCTTCTCTTCTCTTCTCTTCTCTTCTCTTCTCTTCTCTTCTCTTCTCTTCTCTTCTTCTCTTCTCTTCTTCACGGCCGTCAACAACAGTTATATCCATCCTGATATATCATTCATATTGACCGTCAAGACACTCGTTTCATTGTTTACGTCGTTCATCTTTTCAATTTATTTCATCTTATTCTCAGTGTTTATTGCATTTAAGGGGTTGAAAATGGACAAGACCGCTAAGGAATTGTCTAAGCCAACGCCAGAAGCAGCCGAACAAGGACCATCACAGCCACTCAACGCAGCGGAGGCATCGCAGTCCTCGGCATCTGCGCCGCAACCGCAGCCACAGCAGCCTAAGCAAGGACAGGAGCCTCAACCAGGACAACAGCCTACGAAAGGACAGGGGCTTCCGCCAGAACAGCAGCCTTTGAACGGCCAGACGGAGACAAGTGAAATCGGGCCTGCTCTTCTTCCCGAACAGCCACAAGAACCCCCCGGAGGTAATTTGCCAAACTATCTCCATGTCAGGCCAGTTGAACTCGGTAAGATACCAGAGAATGAGAAGCTTCCGACGGTATCTGGCCAGGTTTACCCGGATATACGCTTGTTCATTCAACACGGCCTTGACGAAGCATTTAATGTTATCCAGAGCAGGGGACCATCTTATGACGGTAGAGATATCTATCCCAACTCACTAAAGTCGCCTGGCTGTAAGGGTACCAGGTGTTTCTTTTCTCGTCGCGCCATGCAGCGGCTAGACATCACCTTGCCTAATGGCCAACCTGGTGGTACCCCACGCCATGTGAGTGAGTCGTGGTATGCGAGGTGGTCTAGCCATATGGATAGGAATCAGGCAGGGTATGCTACGTTTGGTGAACTGAAACGTTACTGGAAAGACGGGCATACGACATATCTCCCAAAGTACGTGGATGGAGTCGAAGTCACTAAGGTAACGACGTGGGATTGCAGCGAGCTAGGACTGGTTGGATGGCGAGATGTTACTGCTGAAGGTAAGCGTTATCATCTATAGTTTCATGGGGATATGCTGACCTTTCCAAGTATGCTGGATTGAACGATCTCCAAGTTTTCTATCATCTCAACGCATATTCGCTGTACTAGTCCTCACTGGCGCCAAGGCTATTATGCCTGATCACCTTGCACAACCAAAGCTCCCTGTGAGCGGAGCGAGTCCTGCCTCTCAACCAACGCAACCTTCCGAAGGTAGATCGCCTGATTCTGTGTCTGAGGTCTCGAGGAATCCGCCAACAGTACCTATCGAGAGTGTCCAGACCTTGAATTATGTGCCGCATGGCTGGCTAGATAACCTGGTCGTTGCCCATATTCCTCTCAAATATACCGGTATCCCTGGCCGACCGAAAGAGCATTGGTTTAAGCGAACCATCTACCCGGCATACGCCTCCGTGGGGATGGTCCAACAGCACCTCAAAACCGAACAGCAAATGAGAGATAACACGCCCCCGGATTATACGTGGAAATTTACGCTTGCGGTCTCGCCAACGGCTGAGAGCAAAATGCCCTCGAGCTTGCATGAAAACCTGTACGTTGGCGTACCAAGTCTCATCAATGCTGAACCCGGAAAATTTATGAAGATGCTCAAGTCACAGCGCAAACAGAAGGTGCCAGCACGGAAATAGGATTATATCCACTTGTTGAAAGGTGAATGACTAGGTGGAGATATGATGAGTTTTCCAACTTAAGAGCAGGGACCAGAACGCTCGTTTTTTCTGAAGATGGACTCGGGGGTTTTCTTCTCACTGTATAAGTTATATTGTATTGTTAATGTTAGCCGAAGCAAGGGCAGCCACTCCTTTAGCCATTATCTCAGTCTCTACAGACGTATATAGTTTGAATGGTGATACTCTCGTATCCTCCTGGTTATCCTAACGTCTTCCCCCTTTCCACCAGATCTCCAGTAGCTATAACACCCCTTTTATTTTAGTAGGCTATAAGAGTAGAGAATGTAGCCTAGAGAGCAAACCTAGGGACATATACATAATGACCTAGCGGTGTACTGATAACTGGAAAGGCGTAGGGGTATTGCCTTCTTATAATTTACCTTAGGCTTTGATGTAACTTATTGTGATAATAAGGTAAGAATAAAGGAAAAGCCATATAAAAAGCCATTCTTAGTATTTAGTATACAGCTACACGCCACAACTTCTCATACAAAAGGCCGACGATCCAATAAAATGGAATAAAACAGAGACTGACAGCGTCGTTGAAAATCAAGCAAGATAGAGGATGCAAAGGGGTGTAAACTAAGGATTTTTCCCATAACCATCTCGTAAGCTAAAGACGAAGTAAAAATAAACATAACAGATAAGGACATCCCGTCCGCCATTCCAAATGAACCGACCCGTGGTACTATTTAGAAAACCAACGAACCATTAAAAGGAGAAAGACGGCTTGGGAAGTGATAAGCATCCAAGACGTGTGCGTGGAAGAGGAAAGAAGAAGGTGAAAGAGGAGTGGAGTGGAATAATCATTTCAGTCATTCATTTAGATTAGCTACTTCGTTTCATAAAGTAGAATGAGTCAAGGCCGGTGAAAATACGCGGCATAGAAGGGTATATAAGGGCGAAGATGTAGATAGCGGTGGCTGGTATAGGTAGGCTGGGAGAGAAGGGGGTTGAGACGTAATCACGGCAAAAAGGGGAAACAAGGTACGTATATGAAAGTATTAGCTGGATAGAAGTGAAATACTAAAAAGTAAAGTAGCAAGCGAATGGAAACGCAAGTAAGGTTGGCAAGTCATATACAATATTTTTTTTTTGGGAGGTGACGACGATAATTTTTTCGAATTAAGGTTTCATTATATTGTAGAGCACATGTGCTTGGGTTGAGTTTGGGTATAATTGGGGTATATGGATAGTTATTTCCCGCTAAATCTCGAGTAACTCTCTGATAAATGTCTGTTCTGTATGAAAGACTTGCACGAATCGAATGGAGAGAGCGAGGGTATGAGTTCCAATGACCGCCACTGTCATTGGTTTCCAACAGCCTAGTCAAATGCAATCCAGTAGAATTTAGCTAAGTATATTCCAACGCGCAAGAAAGAATGCAAGGCTGATTCCCGACCATCCCATCTGATGAATGGCGGGCATTAAAAGGGGGTATAAAATTCGTTAGATAATCCAGAACGATAATCCACTTTCCAAGACCAAATCCAAATTTGGTCTCCTTCCTTGCTGAGTAGGTATATATTAATCAAGCTCCATTCGCAGGTTTCGGGGTGCTCGACCCGTTTCCTCCGCTCGAGCTTGCACCACTACCTGTCTGCGGAGCTGTAGTTGTTCCCATGGGACCAGCACTCGACACCGGCGTAGGTAGTGTATGTGGGTTAGGACTAGACATCTCAATTTTCCCACCACTTCCGCTGGCTCTTGTGTTTTTATCCTGGTTTTCCTCGCTACTTGTAGCATTGCTTAACTGTCCACGTAACCTGACCACTTCATTTTCTAGTCCGTTAACCCTATCTTCGAGCGCTCGCATATATCCCCATATTCGATCGGACGACGGTAGATTTGGGTTCGGGCTGGGAATCGATAGTTGCCGTGTGGGCTGATCGTTTGGTCCCCGTGAATGCGGCGAATGAGTGAAATAGGACGCTCCTGATATGTTCGCAAGAGAGCCGTTCACGTTGAACCCCTCACTGGATGGGGCACTGGTATAACTACTATTTCCGCTGTTGGTGCCGGAGCTGGGCGCCACGTTACTGTCGATGCTCGACGAGGGATGAGGGGGGTGATGCGGATGTTGGAGCGGCGGGTTAGAGCCGGCGCGGTTGGGGTGATGGGGACCTTGTTGTTGCTGCTGCTGGGAGTGTAGAGTGAAGCGGGAATCTGGAGGGTTGAGACCAGGCGGCGGTGGAAGGTGTGGAGTTCCTGCTTGCGAGCCGGGATGGCTTAGCGAGCCACCTGGTGATGAGACGGATGAGAAGGGTATGCCTAATCCTGTAGAGCCATTGCGCATTTGAGAGTGATATTGTGGGAGATTAGGGGAGTGGGTTTGGCGGAAAGGGTTTTCGGGGCCGTGGCCGAGTTGACGAGAGGCCGCGCTGTTGGGAGAGAGCGGTTTGGGGGATTCGGTCATACCTGATTGCGCAAACATGGATGGCGATGAGGCGCCGGGCGCGAATGAGAGATGGGAAGTGGACTGAGATATCGAGGACGCGGATGAATTAGAGCGCTGATGGGTGCTAACAGGAGGGAAGAGGCCGCCTCCACCTCCACCTCCACCACCGCCTCCGCCTCCTCCACTACTACCGCTGGCAGTTTGCTGCACTCGAGTGGCCGCGAGTGGTGGGTAGGTATTTGATTGATGGGACTGCTGGAAGGAGACGTGGCGTGCAGAACCCGGTTGAGACTGATCTGAAGGGTTATCTTTCTTGATGGAAGGGAGATTCAGGCGCATTTCGTCTTCTTCGTCCATCCGATCTGGTTCCGTATACATGAGTCCCTCCATCCCGTCTTCTGCTACTGGACCGGACCCAGCATTATTATCAGCAAATTCATCTTCACCGGCAAAACTGCCCATGCTAGACCGCCTGCCAGCGCAGCCGCCGGGTCCCTTGTTGTGTCGGGCCAGTGCATCACCACGGGCAAACCGTCTGCCGCACTTGTGACATATATGCGGTCTCTCGCCAGTATGTAGTTTTGTGTGACGTTTTAGATCATGTAGGCGCCTAAATCGAGATTGACATGTTTGGCAGACGTATGGCTTCTCTTGACTGTGGGTGAGAAGATGACTTTTTAAATTATGATGACGGGTGAATTCGGTAGCGCAATATGGGCATCGATGCTGTTTCTTCGAAGACGGAGAACGTGCGCCGGATCTGTTGAGTCCAGAATGCGGGAGACTCATCCCGCGCCGAGGGTCATTTAAGCCACCAGCAGCCGGCATGGGAACAGGATAGGAGTACGATTTGTTGCCAGCTTCTTCCATCTCGTCTCGCTGTTGCGGTTTATCATCTAGCGGATTGGGTTCCTCTATGGGGCCCGGGCTGGCGACCGTCGAGCTGTTCATGAGCGTGGGTGGATTGTCTCCATTGCCAAAGTTATCCGCTGCGCTGGACGGGCTTCTGCGAGATTGTATTTCCTCTGACAGGGTAGGTTTAGATGACCGTCTGGAGCGAACAGGATGGCGATCACGGCCTTCATCCACAACCGTTATTTCTGGCGTCCTCCTGGCGGACAGTGGATTACTGCCCTGACGCTGAGCCTGTTCCTCCTCTGTGCGTTGACCTGTAGACGTCATTGAGGGCGGGGATAACCGCTTATTTCTCTCAGTTAGGGACGTGGAGGTGACGTTCAGTCCCGCGTTCGCGATGGATGATAGGTTGCGCTCGTTTTTCAGGTCGTCGGATTTCAAAAAGAACGAAATCGAGCTCGGGGTTGGGGTCGCAGAGTTGGAGCCACGACCATTCAAAGACCTGGAGGCCGGGCTTGGAGGGCAGGCCGGTTCAGGAGCCTGTGTGAGGGATTCAGCCATGCGAAGACTGCCGGTGCGGCCAGCCTGGGGGGTCTGTTTTGGGGTCACACCGCCCACTACAGACAAGTTGTGGATTTGGGGGAAGCCAGATATCGCAACTATTACAGTTGTTAATCGGCGGGCAATGGGAGGTAGTGACTGGATGTCAAAAAAAAAAGTGTGATGTGATGGGAGAGCAAGCGCTGTTAGGAGGAAGATTTTGGGATAGGGAAAAAATTGCGCGGCTGGCGATGATCACGTTTACGGTCGTTGATGAGCAGCACGCGAGAGCCACGAAACGGGCAGCAGCAAATGATACCAGAGGACGATGAAACGGAGGACTAGCAAGCGCGAATAAAGCGACGGCGAAGAGGGCGAAGCAAGGAGGAAGGGTGACACTCACGGTCTTGGTGGAGGTGGGCCTGGATGTGTCGGCGTTGGAGGAGCGAGTTGTGGCGCAAGCTGACGGGCTAATCTCGCGAGAAAGGAACTGGTAGTGCCAGCCTCGGGTCTGATGCGATCGACAGTAACTCGATAGAGCCAATATCAAGCCCGATATGTAATATTGCGAATTAGCTGGCAAGTGTGACGCCGGGGGCCGTGTCGATTCCCGCGCTTGGGGTCCTTGCGAAAGAGGAAACAGAAGTTGCACGTAGGAAGTAGTATTTCCGTGACGGTTCGGCCGTTGGCAGTCAGGCGACCAGGGCCAGGACCAGCGCAGATAAGTAGCGTATTTTAATTGAATTATGCACTGCGTAGCTCTCTGGCTGCACCTCCGGTGAGAGCTGTTGAAGACTGCAGGAGTCGATCAAGTACAACACGAGCGTACGGTCGATCTGGCGGTGCAATGGCGGCGGCAACTAAGACACCAGCAAGATATACTCCGTAGGAACCCTCAACAATAATAACTTCTCTTGGAGAGGCAAAGCAAGATGGAAACGGCGTGAGGCGGAAACTGGGTACGACGCCACGCTGAATAAGACGCCTCTGCGACCCCTGGTTCAGTCGACGGGCAGCCAAAGCAGATCAGCTGAGGGACGGTAACCGGCTCAACGGCGCACTCAACAGCAAAGACCGGATTTGCATGAATATCGGGCGTGTATCAAGGTGCAGGGAGTGAAGGAAGAAAGAAGAAGATGAAGCTGAAGTCGAAGTTGAAGTTGAAATTGCCCGTTTTGGGGCTGAATTCCTTGTGTACTTTTGGACTGCGCGCAAATACGATGCGTGACCATACGGTATCACCAATACCGCGCTTTGATACGACGATACGCGGCTCGTGGCCGAAGCTGCGGCTCAGCAGCGCGGTCAGGGCGTCGATGGCAGCCTGTGGTTGGCCAGATTAGCCTCCTGCTGCTCCACAGTGTGGAGAGACCCCTGCCGTACGGTCAAATACGGTCCTGTAAATACGAGTGGCTGAGTCAGCATATACATCCTGAGCTCTCTGGCTATAAAAAAGCACGGGAAGAAAAGGTATAAACCGACCAGATATCGTCATTGCGATTTCAATATCAGCCACTGCGACTCATGCGAGTGGAGGGGACAGCCTGCATCCTGCATCAGGGACGGGCGATCCAAGCTTGAGACACGTCCTCGGGCTTGAGTCGCCACGGGGATGTGCCAAGTTTGACGCTTCATGCAGGATGGCGGTTGAGGAGCCCGGTTTCTAGAAGGTCGCCCTCCCTGCTTCTGCCTCGTCGGGGAGCTATTAAACATGGATGGGCGTTTTATCCAGACCTCCCTTAGCTCGTCAAGGCGCTGTTTCAGCGGCTGTGCTGTGACGGAGCTAGACTTGGTCACTAGTAGGTACGGGTACCTAAGTATAAGTTTCTCGCCGGCTGAGCCGAGCTGTGCATGTATATATTTAGTGCAGTGCCAAAAAGTGCCTGCCGCCGGGGAGGTCCTGACGCCTGCAGAACCGGGCCCTGCTGTTACAATTGTTCAGTCCGGGGTAGGTGTTGTTGTGATTGGCAATTCTAGCGTATGTGGCTTCGCCGGGCTTCCTCCATCCATCTCCAACCAACGGCAGCGAGCTAACCTGTGCTCCGTACAGAGTATGTACATATACGAGCCTTTGCTTTTTCTTGACTGGGGGGAGGATGACGCCGCGGCCAAGTGGAGATTGATAAGTTGACGACAAGGATGGCCTGTCTGCTCCAGTAGGACTGGCTCGATTCGACGGAGATGATGGTGAGCCGGGATGCTTTCGAGATTCGAGCTTCCAACTAAACCAAGCTAGAGTGAGGAGGTGTTTTTCTATTTGCCACTGGCCCCCCAATCATGAATAGTTATGGCTCGTCTCTCGATGGCAGCCTTCAAAATACAAGTTACACCGATGGGGCGGTGCTCTAGGCTCAAAATGTATGCATGCACCCGGGAGCCAAGATGACCAATATCCCCTTTCAATAGTATTGATAAAGGCCATTAGATGCTGTGGGGAGAGGGGGGAAAGAGGTGAGATGACATAAAGGAAACCGCCAAATAAACCATTCAGATGAACAAAAAGATCAAACCAGTTGTTCAAGAAGCTAAATTAAGAGATAATGGTGATTATTGCATGCGGAACGAAACGCCAAAGGGCCCAAGATAAAAGACCAAAAATTTGTATACAATGAATAACAAGACAAAGCTGACAGGAAATATAGGTCAAAGACAAGTAATGTGTAAAAGGGGGTATCATCGAGCACTCGTTCTCCTGATTCTCGGCTCTCGGCTCTCGGTTCATATCCTTTCAAGTATGTCCCTTCTCGGCATTCCTCCTCTTCGCGTCTTCCAACGCCTTCCGAAGTCTCTCTTGTTGCTGTTCCTCTGCACTCATTGTACTCGTAGAAGGGGGAGTGGAGACACCAACACCCAAAGCAGGGGGGGTATCGGATGCACCAATACCGCCAGACAAAGACGTAGTTCGCGATCGCGAGTCTGAGCCTGAAGGTGGCGTGAGGGAAGTACCCGCACCGGAACTAACGGCCTGTTCTACGGCTTCTAGCACCTCCTCGATATTCATGATGATAGCATGGTGGCTCGTCCGAACACTGGACATTCTGGCCTGCAAATCGTCCTCGATCTTCTTATCTTCCTTCTTCTTCTCCTCTTCTAGACGGCGGAAGATATCAGCATTGGACTCGGCGACCTTGGCTTCAGCCACCGAGACATCGTAGTCGGCATTGTTGAGAAGTCTGTCGGCGACACCAAAACTTTCTAGCACGGACTCTGAATTTGCGCCGAGAAATTTGACAAATTCCAGAGTATTCTGTAATATCTTGGAGCCGCTGGTGGGGACGAGACTGGGGGTTGTGCGGATAAGGTCCGTGTCAAATTTATTGATTTTGGCGGAGATATCGTCCAGGAGGCGTTGGTTCTCGCCAATTCCACGCATGCTTGCATCGTCAAATATGTCCATCAATTTATTTGTCCGGTCGTCCTTGGCCTTGGCCGCATCGAGGAGAGTCCTCTGTTCCAATGCTGTGAAGTCCTTGTCCATTTGTTTCAACGCTGCAGTTTCACCCAGGAAAACGTAGTAGCGGCGTTCGGCTTTCTTTCTGCGTCGTTCTCGCTCAAGCACACCCGCCACCCGCTTGGCATGGCGGATCTCGAGCTTCTGGAAGATATCCACTGCATTGCGCATGGCGTGGGTAAGTTGGAATTTCGCCAATGAGGAAGCTTTTCCTCCTTCGGGCTGCAAGAGCACGGTTGTTTCATTATACAGGTGCTGCAGCCGTTTAATTTCTGCCGCCAGTCTCTCGTCAACACGCGTAAATACAATCTCCACATACTTTTCAAACTCCTTTCGTTCTTCGTTTAACTGTATCTGAGCCTCGGTCTGTTTGAACTCATCTTCCAATACGTTGATATCGGAGTACCCTATTTCTTTATCGTTGAAAAGAGAGTCGATATGGCTTTCTGATTCCGCCTGGCGAGCTTGACGTTGGGTGTTGACCTGTTCCTGGCGGCTGGCCGCGCTATTATCCCATGCCCCATGCGTTTTTTCAATAAAGGTAAAGTCCTGGGGGAAATTATCGATCTCGTCACGTATCATGGCAACCCTGGAGGTACTTTCGAGGCGTGGTGGCGGGCCAGGCACCAATGCCTGCAGCTCGTCGAAGGTCGCACTTGATACACCCTTCTTAGGCAAAGCGGGCCTATTTGCTAGGCTAGTTCCCGGCCGGTGGCCACGATACGCAACACTCTTCTCTCTGATAAGACCTAAAAAGGTTTCATCGTGCTCGGCGCGTGATGCTGAGCGTTCTGAAGGGAATGATGGAGGGGTTTGCAAAGATGGCTGAGCCATGACACGCCCGCTTTCTACAGACGCCAGGCGCAGTGCAGAGTATCCCTGGTAAGCCGGACGGCTTGGGGGAGCAGATACAGAAGCCCTCCGGGGGTCGGCATTGTACCGGAATGGCGTGTAGACAGCATGTGGTGGCTCAACTGTATATGCAGGGTTCTTCTCTGGCCTTACCGCAGACTCTGGTGGCACTGAGACTGATCGGGAAGGATTTGCGTGCGAGGCTATACCCAAGTGAGTAACTGGGTTCTTCGCACCACCGGCTTGCCCCTGGGACCGAGCGGGATTGGAGGCCGATCGATGCAATCCGTCCGAGCCCGAGCCTTTTCGCATCTGGTTGGTAAGTGCAGAGGCTAGTCGTGGCAATCCACCGGGGCTATAAGAGACGACATCATCTTGCTCACTCGGTGTTGGTGGATCGGGTATGACTATTCTTGACGGTGCTGCCTGTGATTGTGTTGGGGCATCATTCACGTTCGGGCCGGGTGTCGCTGGAGTAACAGCAGGTACTGGTGTAGGCGCAGGTGCCGGTGCCGGTGCCGGGGCGGGAACGGGAGTGGATTCGGATTTCGCAGGCGGTTGGTCTAGGAAGTTTTCCACATTGTACATAATAGCCCGTAGCTTCGACTCTTTGTGCATAAAAGCTGAGAAAAGCTTATACTTCTCCTCCTCTGACTCTGTCTCCATCTCCTTGCGGAGCATGGTAACATATCGCGTCAAAGAAGATTTGTACCACGGATCGAGGTCTTCATATGGATCGGAAATTGTGACGATGGACTGTATGGGTCGGCTATCGGCACCAGATACTGAACGCATTGGACTCTGCTGTTGTGGAGACGCATGAATATGAGAAATAGGTGTAGACACACGGGGGTATTCAAACGTAGAAACTGTGTTTGAACGTTGGTGTTGTTTCGGCTCTGAGTAGCTGGATTGCTGGCTCCCTGCTGCTGCAACTGGTTGCGACCAGACTTCAATAACGCCGTCGATGGCTTTGGCATCAACGGGCGTACCAGATCCGAAGGAGCTGACGCTATCCAGACGACCGAATAGGTTGCCTGTTTGATTCTGTGCACGCTGATTATTAGATTCGACGGGAGAGATTACGTGCGAGTTTGACCGTGGAGGTTGTTCTGGTGAAACTTGCGCCAGAGACGATACTCTGGCTGGTTGCTGTGAAGCCACCTGGGCGTTAGACATTGGGAGCCGAGGGGACGGGTCCGACGGTAATTCAAATGTGTTAGTCTTCTTGACAGGGGTCTCGGTACTCAAGCCGAAAGCAGCTGTATCATCTACTTCCTCTCCTGTCGCCGTATAATGCTCCCAATCAGATGGACCTCCAAATCCAAGGGCTGATGCACTGGTGTCGGTGGTAGTGGCCGTCTTGGTAGGAGCTGTTGTAACGGTAGTTGGAGGTGGTGTGCTGGTAGCAATAGACGCCCGGGCAGAGAGTGGTGAAATAGCTGGGGCAAGGGAGGCAGCGGGAGCCTGTGTCGCCGGGGGAAGTGGCTGCTGCAAGTTGCTATCAGGCGGAGGACTGTGAAGATGATCACGCATCCCACCCATCGGAGACTGGAAGTAGTTGTAATTTCCCGTATTTTCAACATTTTGCGTCGAAGGCTCAGGTGGTGACACTACCGGTTGTTGTTGTTGTTGTTGTTGTTGCTGCTGCTGCTTCTGCTCCGGTGGTGGGAACTGATATTGCTGCTGATCATGTTGATATGGCCCTTGTTGCTGCTGCTGTTGCTGCTGATCATGTTGATATGGTCCTTGCTGTTGTTGCTGCTGCTGCGGTTGTTGTTGCTGCTCAGATTGATATAGGGCCTGTCCTGGCTGTTGACCTTGTTGCTGCTGTCCTTGCTGTCCTTGCTGTTGCTGCTGCTGCTGGGGAGACGGGTCATATTGGTGAGTTGGAGGATGCTGCGAGTATATTGGTGCGGTCTGCCATGCAGAAGCAGGACGCTGGATCTCTGCTTGATATGCTGATGGCAACGGTGGTGGTTGCGGCGGAACGCCTTGGTTGACACCATAGTTCGGGTCAGGGGCCGGCTGCTGCTGCCATGACTGCGGGGGAGGGGGTGGCTGCACTGGAGGATATTCCGGGACATTTATTCCTTGATTTGGAGGATAATACGGCTGACTTGTCTGAACGGGCTGCTGCCACTGTGGTTGTTGCTGCTGGGGAGGATTCTGCATCTGCACCTGAGAGAACTCGAACGCGCTAGCCGGACGAGGCTATACAGAGTATTAGAACAGTGCCTTGCTTCAGTAGCCGGGTGTATGCTTACCGGTAACGGTGGTGGTGCGTTTTGCTGGCTATGGATGCTAGGCTGATGCTGATGTCCATATTGCTGGTTATACCGAACCCCCCACCGCGATGTATCCTGTTGGTTCTGGTCCATCGACGGGGTCCCAGGCATCGGGCCATATGTATTCGGGTTGTAAGTCGACTGAGGCTGCGCATTCTGCGTCTGGTCACCTCCGTGCCATTGTTGAGAATGGTCGCCGGCTGGAGGGAGCGGTGGTGGAGGAGGCAGAGGCGGTTGCTGCTGTTGCTGCTGCTGCCACGGCGGCTGATACGGATGCTGTGAGCCGTACATGGCTGCTGATACCGTTAGATATATCAGCTCCGTATCTTGTGTCTGGGTATAGCTTCGTCCATGAGAAAGCTGCCACTCACCGAAGCTTTGTAACTATATATGTCCGTGAATCGTTGGATCAGGGGCAGACTCTGTATGTCCAGGGTTCATTTAAACCTTCCGGCGGTACCAGAACCAGGGCTCAACCCTTGGAAACTCGAAAAGGACGTCTATCTCAACTTGAGAGACGGTGGTTTGCTCCAGATGTCGCTGTCGTCCGTCTATCGCGATGTTGTGGTCAGGCGCAAGTAGATGCGATGTTCAACCTCGACCATCACCAGATCAAGGTCACGTCGGTTTCTTATTAATTAGCAGCTGCTATAGCTCAACATGCCCAACGCAGAGCCCTTTGACTCCTGATCGCGACCGCCGTTCTTCTGCTTCCAGGAGCTGCGCTGTCGACGCTGCTCGAGAGACTGAGGAGGAGCTCAACCGCCCGCCAAGCTGGGGGCTATAAATATTGCGAATGCGCGGGCTCAGCCATGTTTTTGGGCCCACCAACCAACAGCTATCAAAACCTCCTCTAGCTTCGCATAAACGAGTCGTTGCCGCACCATTTACGAGCCTCATCTTAGCGAGCGCAGAGCTGGCTCCAACCGTCGTTCGTTTCATGCTCTGTCCAGGCGAGGCGGAGGCAGTATGGATACCCAGCATGATTCCACGATACCACGATTCTACGATAACGATTTGATATCCTGCTGTCACTTCGGCCTGAGATGCGGATATCTCTCCAGGCTCATTCTACGTGGGAGATTGCGCTGGGGACCGACTGGCGAGGAATAACTCTCTCCCGATAAACGAGCCTTTGTATGGACTGCTCGAAGTCGCTCTGGATAATGCTTCATGAGTGCCAGTCAATCTTTCTTTGACGTACTACAGTTGTAGTATTTCTATTTCACCTCTGCATTTGCTGCTTCTTGGTTCTATACCATCCCCGTCATCGCAATGGCCGAAATCTCCAAAGTGGCTGGCAGCTGTTTACCATGGAGCAAAACCCAGTCTTTCACCTATGATGATCCAGCATTGCTTCTGACATTGTTAAGAGCTTCATAAAGAGGCTTTGTTACATTGGGCTGCCGTTGTTATTGTCGCCTTTTGGATATCAAGAAGTGACTGAACGCAGCATCTTTAGATATATAAGAGCGAGGATATGAGTCTCTCCATACAGTCATGGCCTTTTTCCTTTCTTTTATCTACTGGTCCAATGCCCTTTGTTCCCTTCGCTCCAGATATACCCTTTGATGCGCCCTAAGCTACAATAGAGCTGGATTCCCGCTACTCTGGCTGTGTCCAACCATGATCCTAATTATTCTTACCACTCTACCAATCCCCTACGGCTATTCCCTAATGCTTCAAATATACAACAATCCTTGAAGCAGGCTGCTAACTGTTCACTTCCAACAGACTATTTGTCGATATTTTAACCGGGCTGGCCTGGTGAAATCGGTGGAAGAAAGCCCAGGGTGGTGGTTTACAAGCTAGCACAGGATTTACGGCATTAATCTATACCGACCTTTAACTCCAGCATGGCGGGGAGCCAGCCTCAACCAGCGAGGGCCCCTCCAAGGGCTATAGAATGCCAGGTACCAGTTGGATCCGATCTCGCTGCACCAGCCTATCCCAACGGACCGACCCTATTCAATGAAGTTGAGTGGGGGCCTTTTCCCTCTGACGAAAATATAGCGAAGGCCTATAAAGTGTGGTCGATACCAAACAACACGCTGACGGCATCCCATCCCTCAACCGACATTCCCTCTGCTTGCCTTGCAAGGAACGTCTATGAAAGCATCCTATCTTCCTCCAACTTGCCAATTGATAAGGACAAATTCGTCCGCCAGTCGTCTAGGGATGGTGAAGGTCGCCGTGGCTGGTTATACAGCGAGATATTTGATTCCGAGCCGGACTCTGCACAACAAGCCCAGAACGACAGCGCCCCAAATGTCTTGGTCCAAGGTCATAATCCTCTCATAGACACCAAATATTGGACAAAAGCAAGGCTCCAGCCAGAACTCCGTGCAAGAGGAGTCCCAGCAAATGATCTGGTCTCCGTTCTGAGACAGAGGCTCTATGATGACGAACTACAAAAACTACAAGCCAGTACCCCAAATGATGAGGATAAAGGTAGTATTCTGCCTCGCCAGGACTTATCGGAGTGGGGTGTCAAACGATCAGCGGATGACTATATGCTGAAAATAACCTCCAAACGCCGACTATCACCCCTTGATATGTATACTTGGGCGATATCCCTTAGCCCTTATAATCCCACGTACTGGACCAGTCGTGCGTACTTATATTATCAGATGGGCCACTTCGACCTGGCAATTGGCGATGCATATCGGGCGCAGCTTTTGTGTGAAAAACTTGCCAATCCGTTGAAGCGTCACATGCAGCCTGGCCTTTACATACGCATCTGGGATGCTATCGAACGCCATATACTGCAGATTGACACTAAACAGCCTGAATTGTCTACAGTGGTTGAGCTCGTGCGAAAAGGAAATGGGGTAAACAGCTTTATTCCCCTACTTCGCAAAACAGTCCATCATATTATAGTTCTTAGTTTGCTGGCAATGCAATGCTGGGAGGACTACGCTGCTACCGAACCATACTTGAGGACAAGACTTATCATGGCTGACCGTGACAAAATTGCGCTTCAGCAACGGGAAGTGAAGTTGGCGGAGTTCACTCGCGATGCAGCAAGAGAAAAACGGCACAACTACCTCGAATACTTCTTTGAGCGACATTATGGTTTCATCACTTGCCGTCAGTATCCGTACGAACCTTGGGACAGCGTCCTGGCGATAGAGCAGATTGCGGAAAGGATGAACAAAGATATGGTGAATGAATCACAGGCCTTGACCTACAGACTTCAACACATAAAAGTGGATGTCGATGAATACCGACTAGCAGTCTACGCCGATGAGGATATACCCAAGGGAGCCGTCATCTATGTGGACGAGCCTTCAATCAGGGGCCACCTGCAACGCCTAAGGCCTTCAACGCACCGCTGTGAGAACTGTAAACGGCCAGTCACTCCTACCCCGGCCGTGATGCCGTTTGAAAAAAGTGATGCAGATAGTAATTCCACTTCCTCGAACCCCTCGAGTTGCGAATGCGCCAATTGTTTCAGGACGCCTTTATACTGGTGCTCTACAGACGGCGACTCTGACTCAAGAGGATCTTCTAAGCAGAGCCCCGAACCTACGACGGCTTCTTCCGCTGCTCGCAAGGGCCGTAGGACACGTTCTCGCGCCCAAAGCTTTGACACAGATGATGAACAGGAGACTGCGAGAGGCACCACCACAAAGAGACAAAAAAAGAATGGCGATGCCGCCAGCCAGCGTCTCTCGTGTCTCGAAATTGCAAGATCTTTATATCACAACCGGGTATGTGGGAGAAACTGGAAATGGCTACACGATACTATGCGACCAAACCGGTGGCCTGATGGATCCGTGCCTAGGGAGCTAGGCACACTCTCCCATACAAATGAGAAGCATGGCACTCTGTTGAGCTTGCTTCTTAGAGAAGTTTTTGACATCACACTTCTCAGACGCAAGACTGATAACAAGCCTAATTTGCTGGCGTATGAAATCGATGAGCTCATGCCGATTATGCAATGGTCTGCTCTCACCAAGAATCTACCGTTCTCGTTTGCGGCAAATATTCAAGTCCCCTTCGACATCCTTTCGTGCCTGGGTGTGGACATCTTTCGGGATCTTACGTTTGATACATGGGTGATCCAGCTTGTGCTGAGAAAATTACTCGTGTCAGCTATCCCCTGGCATCCAAATGACGAAAGGGACAAGGACATTCCAGAAGCTGTGAAGGAGAAAGTCAAACGTACCAAGGAGATCACGAAAGTGGACGCAAAAGACGTTGATGAAGTCATGCCGACCTTTCCTGATCTTTATGTCTTCCCTGTGGTGTCTATATTCAAACATGCCTGTCCGCCACATCACAATGTAGATTGGCATTGGGATACGGAAATTCCTAACCGGCTTATTTTACATGCTAATAGGGCTATAAGAGGAGGAGAGGAATTGTTCTTACGCTACTCAAAGGTCGCTCTCACCAATGACACAGCATGTCGACTCTTCAGCAGACCCTGTGATTGTCCTGGATGTGGGAGAGACCATCAAACGCCAGACATGAATATGCCTGATGATCATTATGGAGATGTAACTAGCAGTGAAGAAGAGAGACCAGATACACCACCGTCTGACAAACCAAAGGAACCACACCAAGGCCCAAATCCAGCTAGAACATCAAGTCAAGAGTCAAGCCAAGAAGGGGCACCTGATAGCAACGATGTGAGCGAAGATTCAGCAGAACAGGGGAGCGATGAGAGTGACCAGGCGGCAGATGTGGAAGATCAAGGCCAGGAAGAGCTGGATGATTACACGAGCAGCTCCCAGGAGGAGCCAGGAGCGGAACTATTTGCAGGAACTCATCTACAGAATCCGCCTTACGGTGAACCACCCAGCAACACCCTCCCAGGAGACTCATACCTAGCAGCAGCACAGCGGGCCTTAGAGCAAATGCGGGAAATTGGGCGTGCGACTATATCTGCCATACGGGACGGGGCCCAAGAACCTGTGCAGCAGCAGGGTGGGCAACAGCAACCTCTAGCAAAAAATGGATCTACACCAACTCACAATCCGATGCCAGCTCCATCTCTACCTAACCAATCGAGCACCGGCAACTCTGATGTACCACAGCTCCAGATACCACGACCACCATCACGTCCTGGCGGTGCGCGTGTAAGACACAACGGAGTTTTAATGACTTCCACTGAGTACAATTTACTTCGTATGCAAGAGGCCGTAGATAGCCAGCCACAGGAGCAAGAACAAGAACAGCAACAACGAGAACTGCAGAGAACTAGGAGGGCTGAACGTCGTCGTGATGATGGAGGTGGCGCATAGTATTTCGATTGCGTTATTGATTTATTGCTAAAGTTATTCCTATTCCATATTATGGTTTTTTATAGCTTGTTTATGTTTTGGATATTTCGTATTCTATCTCTGGAGTGTACGAGTTGATATTTTATCTTTTATCTTTTATCTTTTATATTTCATTACCTGCCATGACAAGACAATTAAAGCGAGTCATTAGTTAACCTCAGATTTACAGGGAGCAAAGCGGCGTTTGCTGGCCATACTTCAAATGCAACAAGAAAATAGCATGAACCATTAGAAGGCAGCCCCAAGACTGGTCTAGAGGTTAGTAACAAAGATTTATCTCAACACATTGCATATCATAGTACCTGTATAAATATGCACTTATAAATTGCAGTCATCGTATGCTATATAAGCATGCCCACGAGAATATCAGAAAAAAACGAGGCACATCCACGCCATCCTGCAAGTGCTTTACGGCAAGATGAGATTTTCTCCAATCCCGGCACCCTCTAGATCGAAGGGTCCTCATATCCGTGACTATCGCTTGGTTCGCGAATGTTACCTTTGATAAGATCTATTAATCATGATGCAGCCATAACACTGTGCTGAGGCTCTGTAAAGTGATCAAATGACTAATATCCAAGCGGGTATATTACCGATATAAGAATTGTGGCACAGCAATATCCGTCACATATCCGGGAACCCTTGAAGGATTTGGCGCGGAAAGAGCTGGGGAATAAACGATGCGGATAGTTCTGTGTAGTTGTGCTTTGCCCGTAAAATGGTAATATCGTCATTGTTGGGATATCGTCATTGTCGGGAGTTGCCCGGCCTGGCCAGGCCTCCCCGTCTATATCCGCCGCATTTTGGGCTATGATGCAAGATAAATGCTTCTGCCCTTGCGCCTAGACGCACTCCTTCCAGTTCCCCGAGAGATGTTGGAATGTTGACGCTAACAAAAGTGGCCGTCGAGGGTTGCAGCTTGACAATATGGGACATCAACGCCGCCATTGGACACTCGCCCTGCTGTGGCGAATCTAAAATTCCCTGACCAAGGCACAGATGTATCTGCAGTCGTGGTCGGCAAGGAGAAACAGGCGAAGACGGGGCCTTCTGGAGTGCAGGTTCAGCTTGGACAGGATCAGTGCCCGCCGGGATGGCCGCTTATTACGACACGGCCAACCCCGTCACGCGCATGGTAGGACACAAATAGCATGCGGGAGCAGCCCAAGCGCCCGGAGTATCCTTGGATCGGCCTATCAGACATGTAAATCTGATATCCTTGGGCAGGGAATCGACCCTCGAGGATCACAGAAACGATCGGCCGGTGTCCCTTTCGAACATGTGATTGAAACTTTCTTAAATGACGAGCAGCCATGTGGAAGGGGGTATGTAGTAACAGCCTCGCAGAAATGACTCGGGGGGTAAACCGGTATTACTGGGCCATGAAAAGTGAAGCCAAAGTGGCCGCATGAGATAGCGTGCGGCACAGCAGTTTTTTTTTTGGAGAACATAGCCTCATCTTGGGGGGCAGCGGCCAATTAGACGTCTAAAGCCCAGTGTATCATCGTGACCTAGGACATGGGAGCGTAACTCTGCATCTAGTTCCCCGAAATATCAGGAAGACGCCGTCGATATGAGGCTCTGATATGGAGAAAGATCCGCCAGAAATGGAACGGGACAGGGAGGTTTACTGCTTAGTCATCACGACCCCTTTTTTTCTTCCTCTGCCTCCTGGAACTTCGACCACAGTTCGGCCTCACGAACAACGCGCAGCCTACGCCGTAACCCTGACCGCAACGGAGGTAGAGCCATGCATATGCCATACTCTACTTGTATTTCCTTTTGGCGGCTGTTCTCCTAGCCTGTCTTTTCTCCTTTCCGCTCGTTTCTGAGGCGCTGAACTGCGTCGAGAGAACTATTCGAGCCTCACGCTCTCCTATGCCACAACAGACTGGATGCTGAGCCTCTCACGCTGTGACATATTGAAGAATCTATTAACGGGCTGCATTATACCAAGAGGAATATACGCCAGGATGATTGCTGCCTTGAAGTGGACCCCGAAGCCCGCCGGCCGCAGGGTGGGGTGATAATAATATGGCGGCGATGTCGTTTTGATATCATCATACTAACATGTAGCATCCTCAGAACGTTGCAACGTTCTCGAACACCCCAAATTACTCGACCATTCCTGGGATAATTCTAAGCGAGCATGGAATGAAGCGGTTGCCATTGAGATGTTTTCTCCACCTGGCGGCTCATCCATGGGAGTTGGATGCTCTATTGGACGGCTCCTCCATGCGGCCTTTCCCTCGTCCCTGCAGTACATCGTATACCCATGAGCATACCATCTTAGATGACCCTAAATTAGTCAAATATGCACGTCTTGCATTGGTCTTCCAGTCTGTGCCGCAATCCGGGACCTTTTACCACCCCGGTCACCCCCTACCTGACGAGGGACCCTGAAGAAACCCGGCCATTACGCCGTTTTGGCTGGAGGTGCTAGTTATGCAATGCTAGACGATGCCAGGATCCCCACTGTTTGGAACACGGAGGGATAATCGATCAAAGATGGCCCTAGCTTTACATGGGCTTACTCTTATCTGGCTTCCTTTCTCCTTTTACTCCGACGCTTGGGAACACAGATACTTCGCGTCACCGTCAAACGTAAGCGCCGCTAGAGATATCCGGATACCAGTTGTGATTCGGCCGCTCTAGTAGCACTCTAACTGCCATCCCTTGCTCAAGTCATTTCGGCCTTATCGTTCACTCAGGCTGCGGATTAATTCTACGCCCCCCCTACCGCAACGACCTACGGCGACCTCTGTAGATCCCGTCTCGACCTATGACTGTTCCTTAGTCTGGCATCCAAGGTACAAAAGGAGGCCAGTCACTCCGAAATCTAGAGGAGAAACTCACGATATCACTCTCCTCCGTCCTCAGCCTTCAGATCATTCAAAACAACCTACTTGACTACTCTATCGGAACACTTGAGCATTTTTTTTGTAGTCGACTCCTAATTCTCCATTACCCCTCACATGTCTGCTCCTACGAAGGAACTTGGAAACTTATCACTCGGAAGTGACATGTCTGCTCCCCATGCAGGATCACAGAGACAAGGGCAAAAGCCGCCCTACGATACCGAAGAATCCTCTGATAGCGAATCAGAAGAAGAGTCGTCGAGTAGCGATGAGGAGAGCGGTTCACCCTCATCAGCTGCTGTGACTGTTCGGGGAAGGTCGTCAATCACTTACGACCTGCGAATGCTCTCTCAGAGTGCAAGAGCAAAAGCGCGACATGGGCTAAGTGGAGAATTTTCTGTCGAAAAATGCAGGCCAATTTACGGTGGTGGATATGATTTCCATGTTGTTGATCATGGCCGCGTCTATGTGGGTGAGGGCCCGATGACATGCTCATGCCCAGACTTTCAAGACAGCCGCATTGCGTGCAGACATGTATATGTTAGTTCTCCCGTTGATAGGCTACTCTTGGTATTACTGGCTGCAGCTAACAACAAAATGGTGCATCACAGTGGCTTGTCGATCAACTTCATCGATGGGTATTGCCAGGGAGGCCATCTGCTGGGCTCCAGCTCTCGCCAAAAGGGGAGTGTTCTACGCTTGACCCGATGCTGGATCTAATCGGGGACAATATGAAAGATATTTGCCAGAAGGTGAAATGGCCATACATCCCTACCCCCGGGACGCCTACAGATATGTCCCAGTACAACTCGACACCCATGAGTCGACCTGAGAAAGCACGAGATCTCCTTTCTGCTTTCAGTGCAGACACAATGCCAGATGAGTTCCGTCCCGAGCTAGTGGAAACCATTGGCCAACCTCGCACACCCGAACAGTGTGTGGTTCAAGGTGATTTCGAAGCGACCATGTTTCGTCTTGCTGTGCATGATGAAAGTGTATACGCTAGTCTTCGCAAAGTTATGCCCTCTGGAGCCCGCGCAGCTATATTCTTTGATAAAATACAGCGGAGGATACGCGCCCTACTCGTCGATTTCAACCAGTATCGGCAAAAGGGCACACCAAGACAATCCGACCGTATGGCCCTGGAGGTCGATGTCGTTGCTGAGGAAATGCGAGCTCACTTACGACAAATTCAGAAAAATACGCTATCTCGCAGCCCCCGCGGCTTCAAGGGCGCCGCAGAGGCTCTGTTATATCTTCTCCGCACGATTTGTCAATATAATTTTGATTCATTCGAAGCCAGCACATGGGATCGTGCATCCGGCTCTGACGAAACTGCCGAAGATCGAAACCTATACTTCCAACTCATCTACAACCCTGTTGATGGAGACGACTTCTTCGTCCTTTCTTGCCTCGAGCTGTTACCAGAGGAGGTCCTCCAGCAAATAACCCCCCAACTTGATGCTATATTTAGTGATATGCAGATGAACGGGGCGCCAGTGCCGTATCTCCGCAAACTCCACAGCATTATAGCTGGTGATGTTTCTGCGAGGGCCGCTGTAGGAGCGGGTGGTCAAAAGCGCCCCGCAACTTCTGGGTCCGTTAGTGGCCGCAAGAGGACGAAGTGATGGCCCTCTACAACAGAACGGCGAATAATCTGCGATTGCTTGCCCTTCGATTTATCGCTACCATATTGGCTGGGCCAAGGTTTTAGGTTTTTGATCTCTACTCTCGACTAATTCTCATAACTATAACATCGGAATACCCCTGGTGGATAGTACGTTAATATCTAGTTCAATAAAAAGAACCCTGAGGTTTAATTTCTTCTTATATGAATTAATGACGTTGTTATTGTAAAACTCGTCGAGAGCGTATTGCACATATCAAGGCTACCCAGCTGGGAGCATCACGATAGGTCTAGAACAACCCTTCCCTGGATCTCGCCGCGATTCATCTCCTCAAATACATTTGTAAGGTTCTCCATCTTCTCCACGCGGAAGTGAGTCTTGATGAGGCCTCTCGCTGCAAAGTCCAATACCTCAATGGCCTCTTTCCTGTTCCCTACAAGTGAACCCACGACGGTAAGGGAACGCTTGATCATACGCGAGGGTGTGCAGGAAGCTATTGGCTGTACTTCATGTTCAGGTAGCCCGACACAGACCAGTGTACCGTTAGTACGCAGCAACTGTAGAGACTGTGTATACGCAGTGTTCGATCCTGGGCAGACGATGGCTACATGGGCACCCAGACCACCAGTCAGGGAGTTGACTTTTTCAACGAGGGCTTGCGTCCCCTTTTCGTCAGGCGGGTACTGGGTCATATCGATGAAATGTTCTGCTCCTGAATCGAGAGCAATCTTCTCTTTGCTTCCGTGGTCGATGCCAATGACTCGATGGCCGAGTCCCTTGCTGGACAACTGGGTGGCTATGTGCCCCAACCCGCCACCAGCGCCTGGGATGACCACCCACTGGCCTGGTTCGGCGCGGGAGCGTTTAAGAGCAGCATAAACTGTCACACCAGCGCAGAGCATGGGTGCTGCTTCATCGGAGGGAAGACCGTCCGGGATAGGGGTAACATAGTGTGCCGGTCCGAGGACATACTGCTGGAAAGTACCTGGGGTATAGTAACCAGAGACCTTCTGGTTAAGGCAGCATCCATCAGTGCCTTCAAGGCAGTAAGCTATTCATATAGTTAGAATAGCGTCGGTTCAAGGAACGAGATGGATGCTTACCGCAATTGCCACAAGCAGATGAAACCCATTTGATGCCCACACGGTCACCAATTTTGAGGCCCGAGGATTCAGCTCCAGGGCCAAACTTGACGACCTTTCCGACTCCTTCATGGCCGCCGACCTGGCCCGACTGAGTTGGTTTTATAAAACCAGGCCACTAATTATCCAGACCTGGTCAGCGAATAACGTCATAGGCAACACAAGATCAAACACATACGCCGCTGGTCATAACAGAGAGATCAGAATGGCAAACTCCAGAGTGTGTCCTAGCATCAGGAGAAGGATTAGTATTGTTCAAACATCAGTTTAGGTGAAGAGTAGATGCATACAAGTTGACCAGCACCTGGCCAGTTCCTGGCTCGGGGACATCCACCATCGTCAGTTTGGTCGACACGCTGCCTGGTTTGTCGTAGACCATGGCCTTCGCCTGCGCTGGGATCTCGGGAGACGTCATCGTCGCTGCTTAGTAGCTTGGATACAGAGATCAATGTGAGTAGGTTGATTTTATATCGTGGTTGTTGTGAAGTTGAACTGACAGAGGGGGCAAGGCGACTTTATAGCCACCAACTATAGAGTTATGTCTTCGTTATTGGGTTACAGCCACTGGTCAACCATACTGACATGCCTATCTCTCGCAAACATCTCGCCTAGCTTTAGAGTGTGAAACGCCCCGCGGTCAGCTCATTCAAAGAGAGGGGAAGCCTCATGTTGTATCGGAGAGCTGCGTGGTTGGCTGGCACTTCTTGCATTCGCGTCGATGATGGCATTTTTATGCAGCTTTCCATCGACCAGGGATCAGGATACAGAACTGCTGTCTAACCTCGGCAGGGCCTAGCCCGTCATCATGCCACGCTGTGCATCTTATATTACAGGGAACGGAAGAGCTATATGAGCGGGAACTCAGCAGGCAGCGATTTTATACGCTGTCTGAGCTGTTCGGCACCAGACATCTCGCTTACCATCTTCCCCGGTCCCTCGCCTCTCCAGCAGCATCTCGACTATTTTCATCCATCTCGTCCAAGTTGTCTCGTTATCGCCCCCGCCGATGTTGCAGATCGGCCAATCGCTCCCAAACATCACTCTTGCAGTGCCGAATGTGGTGAATATGGCATCTGTCCAGGGCTGGATAGCTTCTACGGTGGAGGATACCAGCTCTGCCTCGTCTAATTCGTCGTCTACTCGTCTCGGGAGCGGCGGGAGCTCGGAAAAGAGGCCGGAAAGCTTCATGTATGTGTTTGGATAGGCCGAGAGAGACGTTATGTGCCTTTTCCACTCGATGAATTCTGGATGGTTAACAGTTTCAGAGAGTGGTATGCGTAGATTCGGCTTGCACAGATGGTCTATCCGCCTGGTTAACAACCGATGGACCGACAGGCGTTGGCGGTCAGTAGCTTACTTAGAATCAATTTCACCTGGCATCCCTCCTTGTATAGTATCTTCGTCAATTCCACGGTCTCCTCAAGTTGCTGTATACCGCCTCTCCTGACATCAACTCCAAGGTCAAATGCCAAACCGCGTTGATCAAGCCACTTTAGGCCATGTATAAAACTGTCCTCCAGCATCGTACCTCGACGCTTATCCTGGATTAGGTACCGCACTCCCTTGATCTTTTTCCATATGCTCGCTCCTTCGTCATCCTGCCCTGTCCGCTCCTTTACCTTTGACATGTATAGTTCTAGTCCCGTTGGCCCTAGAGGAACCGGTGCCCAAGGGATCATGGCTAAACATAGCTGTTTGTCTGAAGATGTATGTCCTTCGCCATCTGGCGGAGTCCCACGGACTATGCGTGTAAGAAAAGAAACCTCGTCAAGAACATGGGTCCAGTCCTCGGATGAAAGCGAGGATATTCGATCTGTTTCAACATAGATGAAGCCTTTCAGGCGATAGTTAGATGGCGAAGATGAAGATGCAGGCTCTAGAGTAGTAATGGACGTAGAGGTGGCATCAAGGTATTCTTTGACAGAATGCTGAGAACCCAAAGAATTAGAAGGTGAGTGCCATGCAAGAGTATTCAGGTGCGAGGCCGTCCAGAGGTGGACGTGCGAATCAATAACGGGAATCGCCATTTTGAAGCGTTTCTTGTGGCTGTCTAGTTATCGATTTTGGTAGTTGTGCCTATGGAGTTACAAATATCAAGAAATCTAAACAGAGCAACATCTCGACAGGCATTATTTCTTTAAATATCCAACTTTCGTATTCAACCAATCACATAGTTAATTAACGAATCAATAAATAATACAATTGGCTCTGTTGGCCATGGAAATAAGACTCATCTTGAAATTCATGCAGTGTACTTTGAACCGTTCTAATATACCAAACGTTCTAGTTCATATATATATATCCATTTCTTAATCAGCTCCAAATATAGAGAACGGGGTGGGAATTGGATCCGCCACTTGGACGGTGAAGCCCCAAAGGCATGATCCATAGAGAGTTGGCGGTAGGATTCGAAAGTAACAGCTGAATAGCTGTTTCTAACTAGCATGAACAGAGTACCAACAGCGATAGAGCGTACCTTTATAGCGGCGTGGTGCTATCATATATATAGCAAATGTATACAAGACAGGGGTCAAGATCCAACAAGAGTGGAGTGGAAGGATTGGCCAACGTGTCTTAGCTAGAGCCGCGAATCCCCGTACTCACATACATGGCAGCAAGCATGTAACCGGGGCGAAGCCTAGCGGTTCCTAATCCAGAGCTTCCGCCGGGCCTTTGGGCGAATCCTTTGGCCTAGGAGATTAATAATAATAGCATGGGCGACGCAAGAGATATAATGTCGGATGGGATGGATCGGACACCAGAGGCCTCACAGATGGCATCTTCACTTCATCCATTTCCTCCTTGATATAGCTGCGATGAAATGCATACCCCAGCGTCATCGATGGCAGAGCTTGATATGTCTCGCCGTTTTTAGCATCCTTGCCATCTATTCATCTGGCTACTACCTCACTCGCATTCCACGCCATGGCCGTGACCGGACGAGTACGGACCATCTCTCGAAAACAGATCTGTCAAATGCCACGGAGACAGCGGCTGCGTTTGTGCCAGGCGTGGTAGAGCCGGGTAAACATTATACACGCACGCTCGTTATAGCGAGTCTCCAGGAGGAAGATACCAGCTGGGCCCGCGAGCTCGCTCGTGATGACAGGAGCTTGACGGCAGCAGTGTATATTGTTGACAATCCCACCGCACCGCTCACTGTGCCCAGAAATAAGGGCCATGAGGTGATGGTCTATCTGACACACATCATCGATCGATATGACAGCCTCAGCGACGTGTCTATCTTCATGCACGCTCATTTGGTTACATGGCATAACAACGATATGCTAGACTCGAATTCTGCAAACATGGTGAAGCGGCTTCGAAGTGAGAAGGTGATACGCGACGGCTACATGAGCCTTCGCTGTCATTGGGAACCGGGCTGTCCAGGTAACATCCATCCGACAAAAGGGGGTGACGACCTCGCGAACTTCCCCGAGGCGGCTGTGATGGCGAAATCATGGCAACAGCTTTTCCCCGAGAGCCCAATCCCAGAGGTGCTCTCGCAGCCATGCTGTGGGCAATTCGCTGTAAGCGCCGATCGCATACGTCGGATACCGCGGGAGACTTATATATTCTATCGAGACTGGCTTCTCAACTCGCCCTTGCACGACAGATTATCTGGTCGAGTGTGGGAGTATGTTTGGCAGTACGTCTTTGCAGGCGTTGAAGAACTTTGTCCGGAGGAACACGTCTGTTATTGCGAGGGATATGGGATATGCTTTAACGGGAAACATGAGTATGATTATTATTATGAGATGCGGTCTCTGGGGATTGACATTCAGCGTCAGGTTGATGCCCTCAAAACAAACGGGACCGTCCACGAAGGGTCAGAACTGAAAGTCCAAGCCCTACAAACTAAAATATCACATTTGTTGGGTGAGATGGATAAAATAAAGTCAAGGGTGCTTGGTCATTAAACATAGCAGCAATCAGGGCTGGGATAGCAGAGTGATAAGTCTGTTTATTTATATTTTGTGTGTAGAGCTTTAAGCTTATTATAACTATCGGCTAGCTCCTGAGCCTTATTCGTCTTCTCTTAACATTTCTTCTGCTGGTTTACGCCAACTCCAAGGACTCTACAAGACAAGCGAAGGTGGTCATAATTGGCCAGCAAGGGTTGCCGGTCACGGAAAATAGAGCACTCGTTTCACTTAAGCGACAAACGACATGATCGGCCGCTTTTCTCGGGATATATAGCTTGATCCCTCACCATACTCAGGTAAATACAGAGTTCACCATCTGGCACTCGGGTTGAAATGCACCGAGCGAGCAATTACGTCAGAGGTTCCCATGCGTAAAAGCAATTCAGCCTATTTGGTTTAGACAGCTCGAACAGTCCAGGATTTTTGTGTTAGAAAGAGGTGTATTTGAAAGTTTTTCGACGCTGCCAACAAGTTTTCAACATCTGATCATGATGGCTATCAGTATAATTAGGATAGACGCCAGTGATAATTCTGTAAGAACCATCACTGGAGATTTACAAACATCCCCCCATCAACCAGAAGCTGTGCGCCAGTCTAAGCAGGAAGACAATCAGTACGCAGCAACAGGATACCGACAGCAAGGTAGCAGAACTTACCACATAGCCACTCAATTCATTGCAAGCTAGGAAAACCGCAGGTCCAGCTAGATCCTTGGGCTCTCCCAGCCGACCCAACGGCACTCTCCCTTCCATATAAGCTCTCTTTTCATCGTCCTTCAAGTCCTCCTCATTTAACCCCGTCCGTATGGTTCCAGGTAGCAATGCGTTGCATCTGATACCGTATTTGCCCAGTGAGACAGCGCACGATTGCATAAGTGATGTTATACCTGCCTTTGTCGGAGTGTAATGGGCCTGCAGGCCACCGCCGACAAGCGCAGATATGGACGAGACCCCGATTATCGAACCTCCTGGTGGGGATTGGGAGAGTGCCATTTGACGGGCTGCTGCTTGGGTGACGTAGAATGCACCGCCGAGGTTGACTGACACTGTTTTATCGAACAGAGCAGGCGATATCCTGTATTTGTTAGAGGACTATTCAAGAGCCGGTAATAGTAAGAGATTGCATACTCTAGGAATTCCTTGAACTCGCATATTCCAGCATTATTGACGAATACATCTAGCCGGCCAAACGCAGACACTATTTCCCTTATGAAATGACTTCCAGTTTCTGGCAACGACACGTCTCCTGCGACTGTGATAAGCCTGGGATTCGCCGGTTTCGCTACATCTTCTTCGTTAGTCGGGCTATGTATCCCTTCAGATGAAATAATATCGGCGACCTCTTCATGTAGAGCCGAGATCAACGCCTGTTCGTGGTCCAATCCAAGATGATTAACCGCCACAAAGGCTCCTTGTCTAATATATTCGATAGCAATGGCCTATTTAATCGAATCAAGGCGTGTTTCGATTCCCGCCCAGCTGCAGACACGGCAGGGCAAGACGCATTTCATCGATCAGCCAAATGGTTTAGGGAGTTGTATATATAGTGGTTAGAAAGGAGTATCGTACACGCCCAATTCCTGTCAGGCCCCCCGTTATCGCGGCCACTTTACCACGGAGAAGCCCTGGAGAAGACATCTGTCGTCCTTTACGATGTTACTTCTCGTCAATATGATGAAGCTCGGATATGGAACTGTGACAATGCTGAAGAAGTTTGCTGTTGAACTCGACCTACCACGCTAAATATAACTAGTTAAGTGGGATGAACAAGGGGATAAAATAAGCAAAAGCCAGGGGGTGAGATACGAGAAGCGAGTACGCATTTTCAACTAACTTGGCAACGATGGGCATGTTGATCCGACTCGAGCTTCTTCCTGATCACCATGGCTGAAGGAACCAAAAAAACATGGTGCTTTTCACGGCAGCCCAGGCTTCGGTTATGCTTCTCCAACGCAAAAAATGTCTCATACCATGGCTCTCTGGGTCCCACTGGTTGAACGAAAAGTTTCCATCTTCGGGATGGTTGATTGTCGACGATGTGGACATGAATTTCTGATATAAGGACGGCCTGACAGCCCATGACCGGCTTCAGCATGTCCAAATTGTGTATGCAGAACCCTCAAGATGTTCTACCAACGGTTTCTCACAGCTTCTGTCTCCTTGCTATGGCTTTCGTCGCCATTCGGAAACCTCCAAGTCGCTGCCGCTGTGACTAAATCAACATCAAACCCGGCGTGCGTGCCTAGCGGAGCATTGCTCCCCCATCCTACGGACCTGAGTCAGTCAGAATACATCAAGGACGCTACGAAATATCTTTCCAAATCTCTAGATGATGCTATTGCAGGGAAGATCAAGTCCGGCTGGGACGTTGCCAATACATCGTTCTCAATCGCCCTTGTGTCCCCAAATGGTGGCCTTGAGGATGAGGGTTTGAAGACCGGTATCCTCTGGGAGTACCACCATCTGGGAGAGAAGAACGTTAACGGCACCAAACATCTAGACGGGGACTCTCAGTACTTGGTTGGGTCTGTGTCGAAGGTTTTTTCAGACCTACTTCTCTTAAAGTCGGACATAGATCTATATGATCCTATCACCAAATATCTACCACAGCTCAAGGGGAGCGGATCGTCTCCGATAGACTGGGATAGCATTACTCTCATGTCCTTGTCAGAGCATCTTTCTGGAATTCCAGCCAACACCAGTATGTTCAGCATTGGATTACTTTGTTATGAAAAGTTGCTTATGATAGGTTTCTAGTCGGAGCTCTTCAATTTTACTTCCTGGAATCTCTATACCTGGCACTAGGGTTTCCTCCGCTGGAAATGAGTGATTACCCTAAATGTGGTGTTGCAGGCTTGAATAAGGCATGTACCCCAGAAGGTATGGCATAGCGCGGACCTTCAGCTTCACGTTATATACTAAAGGCAATGCATAGAACTTCTCGAGGAGCTTGTCCACTCTCACCCTGTTGCTGAGCCCTACTCGCGTCCAGTCTATTCTCAGCTCTCATTCACTCTTTTCTCCCTAGTGCTCGCCAATGATACGGGGAAGGATTACGCTCAGATGCTTGATGAGAATGTCATTCGTCCGCTGGGCCTTAAGAACACCGGTGTGTCTCCAGGCAATGATGAACGTGCAGTGATTCCTAATGTCGAACAGCAGGGATGGGGTGCCGAATATGGATATAACGCTCCGTATGCATGCCATCCGCGCTTTCATCTATCTTGTTTAAATGTCACTAACGAAGTAATAGTGGAGGTGGTCTCTACTCTTCGTTAAACGATCTATCCACCCTAGTAACTAGCATCCTTGACCATACAGTTTTTGACAACCCTCAGGCTGTTCGAAGATGGCTCCAACCAAAATCCTCCACATCGTCCCTATCCACCCTCGTGGGCCAGCCATGGGAGATTTTACGTACATCAAACATGACCCCTGAACACCCACATACAATCGACATATACGGAAAGAGCGGTGGTGCACCCGGTTACATCTCCCAAATCAACATCATTGATCAATACGGAATCGGCGTTGTCCTTTCAACCGCTGGTCCAATGGACTCCACCGCTGCATACATTATCAACGAAGCTGTGCTCAGCGCCCTTCTCCCAGCTATTGAGAAGGAAACTCGCAAACAAGCAGGAATGTATATTGGTGAATACATTAGCCAGGAGAAGGCCAGTGAAAAGGCGGGCGAGTATGCGCCTATAAAATTCAAAACGTCTATGGACGATGGGCCTGGTATAAAGTTAGACTCCCTCACACGCAATGGCTCTGATATTCTCGAGGGCGTTCGCACAATCTGGGCTACTAGTCTTGCCATGATCGGCCCCCTTACCTCGGAAATGAGAATGTACCCCACCGGTGTTGAGAAATCTGTTCCCAAAGTGGGCAATGAGAACCTCGTTGAACAAGACTGGAGAATCAATTTTGATCTTCTGCCTTATGGTAATGATCAGAAGTCCGAGCTCCCTGGGTTAGGGAGACTTGAAGCCCTTTGTACTTCATGGCAAACTGTGGATTGGTTATATTATGCTGGCATGCCCATGGACAGGATCGTGTTCACAGTTGATAAGGAAGCAGGTGAGGTTGTTGGAGTAGAATTCCCCTTCCTTCGAAGCGGTCTTATCCAGAAGAAAAAGTAATATGATTGTTATACCGTTGTTGCTATTTTACCATTTATCATTAGTCTACCATTTAAATAATTTGATTATCTAACCCTCCCTTATTGCTTTATACCGGCCGTGTAGACGGATACGAATATTGATTTCTTTTATCTATTGTAGATAGGTCAAATAATAGATCACAATTACCCATAAATTCGTGTCAGTCAGATACTGGCTCAAGAAATTCCTGTAAGGTCTTCCGTATAGTCTTTTAATCTTATTTCCTGTTACCACCACAAGATATCAGTATCTCATTGCATTTGGGCCGAGTGAATAGGAATAGCAAATGGAAAGGCATGAAAAATATCGGGAAGCGGCGAGAATACTAACCTCGAAGGAGAAACCACTATATAAATCCAAAGCCACAATAGAATGGAAACGATCGCTCCGAGTTAAACACTCGGAAATTCTGAGGTTTAGTAAAGGCCTATCAAGTCCAGTTTAGCTAACACGGTAATACTGATAATTTAGTGAATGAGAGAGCTTACGCTAAACTTAACTGTTCTAGGTAATCCCTTGAGCTTTTAATACCATGCAGGCGAACGTACCTATCTTCTAGTTAGGTCGCCATCTGGTTGACGTTAATTCGAAGTGTGGGAAGGGCTTCGAGACCTGAAAGAATCATCTGACGGACTTGGGAACTGGGCAGTTTTGCTGAGGTTTGAAAGGGAGCCTAGATTGTTGGAGTTGGGTTTGCTGGAGGTGTTTAGAGTAGACCCAAACGATGATGTGGAAGCAGGAATTATATTAGGGGTGAATGGCGAGGGATTTTGTGAAGCTGGATTAGGTGAGAATAAACCAGTCCTAGGCTTAGAGGGAGCGGGCGTCGTATTGGTGGTGAACGCTGAGGGCTTAGATATACCTCCAAAGGCTGGCTTCCCGTAGTCCATAAATGGATTGGAGGCTGGTGTATGAGAGCTAAAGATTGAGTGACTTCCTTGAGTAGTCGAAGTAGCCAGGGTAGCTGAGCCAAAAATAGAAGGCTTCGAAGACTTAGGCCCTAATTCAGCAGATACATTTCTACCGCTAGCACCAGTTACAGTCGTTGATGCTCCTTGTGTGGCTGAGGACGTAGGAGTATTTACGGAAACCTGGTCCTTAGGTGGTATAGTCTTTGTAGCGTTGTTAACCACATGCGACATAGGCACTATGTATACGCCAGAAATTTAGAATAAGTTGCTTTCGACCAATAGAATGTAGTGGAAATGAAAAGGGGACGCGGCTTACATTCAACTGGAACAGAGAGCCTCCCAGCTTCACTGCTATACCTCTCACATGCCCTAAGCCCATCCTTTAATTTCCCAAGCTCAGATTTGCACCTTTCTCGTTCACTCTGAATATATGGTGGCTCGGAAGCGAGATGGTTGACTTGATCGTCTTTGAGACCATTCACTTTTACTGCGGTGAAAAGAGATTCGAGTGGTAATATAAGGCAGTTTTCGATTGCCAAAATTGCGACATTCTCGATAAATGTTGTGCGGGCCATCTGTGAAGAGAAAATTAATCAATATTGCCACTATAAAGTTATGGCTCCCGATCTCATCCCAGCGAAGAGTCACTGCGCTGATGGAACCCGGAAGAGTGTACGCACCTTGTAGTATATGCTCATGAGATCAATGATTCCTGACGCTGCATACCTATCCCTTGAGGAGTTAATAGTTGCCGTTGCATTTTGAATTTCTCTAATCGTGAAGGAGTTATTATTTCCGGCCCGGGGGGCGTCAGCCAACTGATCACGATCCTGTCGAAGAGCCGCTTCCAGCGCCCTGACCTGTTTGTCGGTCGTAAAACTGTCTAGTGACTGAAGAAAAGGCCCGTCAAATGGGAGAGGATGTCCTCGTTTGTTGTAAGAAACAAGCTCATCAAGCTTCCGCAAGACATTTTCTTTCATTTCTTCAAGTTGCTGGTCAAGAATATGACGCATAAGGAGAGGATAAGTAAATTTATCAGTCAGATGTTTAAGAAGCAATTCAAGGAACTGTCTGATTTTGTGCCATACTATCATCAAATGGTTTTGCGCCAGTGCTTCCCAGGGTTTTAATTGATCGCGAAAAAGGTCTCCAACGAGCAGCTGGTTTGCAGATCCTGGTAGTTCGATGCCCCGGTTTCTCTTTGCCATTTCTCGAATATCAACCTCAAGATCGTCCCTCAATATGTCATTGGCTCTAGATTCACCAGGAGATACGGCGTCTATGATTCGGCGTCTCTCGCCCCTGTCTGCCATCGCTTCAGCGAAATTTTCGTTCAGCCCGCGGATAAGGGCACGGAGTCGTTTGACATCAGGGACACCGGGAGCGGGATAAAGGCCTTCGAAGAAACTGTCCATATACAGTCCACTAATCGCCTGCGCAGTGATCTTTTCGAATCGACTGCTAACGGTAAGGAGGTACTCCTTTTTTTCTGTCAAAGTAGACCGTCCCTCTCCCAATTTAGCCACTCTGTGCTGACGATCGACGATTTTGTTTTGAATTTCCTTTATCAAACCAGGGATATTCTTGCTGATATGAGCGAGCAAAATACTGCTCAGTTTAGCCCGAAGCGTTGTAACTCCAACAGATTCTCGAGGCACACTAGACCAGCGACCGCTATCGAAAAATTCTCTCTCCCTTTCATCTCGGGCATCATTAGAAGAGTCCCTGTCGGCATACCCTCTGTTGCGGAGGGTATGCCATCCTAGGTCAAGTTTTATTTGCTCATTGCATGCGAGATTGATATATTCCTCCTCTAGCTTTGAGTTTGCATCTAGTAGATCCGGTTTGGTAATGATTGCTAGAGTTCGCTCCCAATTCTTGTCATGTTTTTGCGCGCGTCCGAGGATGTCCTGAAGGCTATATTCCGTTTTGGCCGATATGACGGCCAAAATAATGCTCTTCTTGTTGCTCATGTATGAATCCACTAGCTTTTCAACAACTGGAATCCCTTCGGCTCCCTGGACCTTGCTGCCTGAACGATAGAGGCCAGGGAGGTCAACCAGCGTTAACTCGGGCTGGCTAGGTCCGCAGAGCTCAACCTTCAGTACGTCGTCGCTATACCCAGCCATCTTCCCATCTAGTGACACTTGCATGCATTCTTTCGCCCGATCTATTAGACTGGGAAGGTCGACCTGATCCGATATATCACCCGGAAATGCACGTAGTCGATCTTTTTCGGCCCTGTCCATCCTAGAAGGGCCAGGTTCGATCGTGACCTTGAAACTGGGGCCAGCACTGCGACGCAGGATAATCTCAGTAGCGAACCGAGTGCACACGGTGTCCTGTGCAGGAAATTGGACTCGTGAAATGGCTTCTAGGACGGAGCTTTTGCCGCTCGATTGATCACCACAGACAATTAATTGAGGTAGCTCAACTATCTGGCCCAAGCGGAGGCTTCGTAGGGTGTCAATGACATCAAGCAACTCTGCTTGTTCTGCTTGCAGCTGGTGAATCGCATGGCGGTCTAGTGACTGTAAAGGCATCTCGACTGTAGGGTTCTAACGTATGATCAGGCTGTTCAGTATATGATAAGTAGATTGTTCAGCGCAATTCAACTGAGGGTCTTTGGGAGTATTGTACTTTTCACAAGAAAATGGGACAATCATAATCAGTACCATTTTGAGTACAGCCTTCCCCTCGTTACCATGCACCGTGGGCGCTTAGTTGCAGCAACTAGTGGTAAATGTGATGTAACAAAGGGGCGCATTAGCGTCTAGGTTGATTGGGTTATATGCCTGTTGCTGCATTGTTGTATCCTAGTTCACAAGGGATTGGGCTAGGATAAGTGTGTTGTTGTAATCTGAAATGCAGCCGCCCGGAATCCCAGCAAAATTCGGTTACAAATGGGCTGCTCCAGCACCGCAACCCCTGAGCGGAATACACCGTTAGCCAAGCATGACATCAGAAGTTGTGATAAAAGGTCGAAGCCCAAAAGTATCTGTTCATGAATAGTCTAAATATATTGGTAAATATAAGTATAGGTGAACTCAATAACTGAAAAGGAGATTTTCCCGTTCACCCTTTCAAGAGCGCCAATAATACTGCCAATCTAGGACTATACAGCGCCATTTACCATCGAACGGGATTTTTCGCTATCCAGTTTATCATGCTTATGGTAAACGAAATTGTTGTTTTTTAGTGGTTTCTGAGGGCTTGGAGTAAGAATGTAATTTGCTGGTATGAGTTTTGCGGCGGGATTCACCTCGAGCCCAAATCCAGGTTTATCCAAAACGCTAACATCAAGATAGCCTCTGGTCGGAATCGGTTCGTTTAAAAACAGATCTCCAAAGACAGGATGTACACTCTTCCCATCGGGAGAGTTGGCCAGGTATTCCTGGAATGGCGCGTTGGACTGTGAAACCACAAAGTGATAGGAATAGGGTCCAGAGGCATGTGGGACAACGGGTATATCATAAGCTGCTGCCATTGCCGATATCTTCAGTAGCTCAGTCATGCCTCCAACCCACATGACGTCTGGCTGAATGATATCCAAGTTTCGTGATTCTATCAGCTTTCGAAACCCATATCTTGAATACTCGTGCTCGCCAGTAGTGAATTTGACAGTTGGATGGGCTCTTTTGAGTAAAGCCTGACCGTCAACATCATCTGGCGACAAACATTCTTCCCACCAATCGATATGGATATTTTCCGATTCACAGGCTTTGACTAGCTCGATGGTGTAGGATACGTTTAGGGACATGTAACAATCAACCCTCAGTGGAAAGTTTGGGCCAACCTTCTCCCGCTGTTTTTTCAGGTACTCGACGTTTTTGGTAAGGCCATCGATGCCCTCGTCCGGACCAAATGGGAGGGCTACTTTGGCGCCGGAAAAGCCCATGGCCTTAGAAAAACCTGGTTCTGGGCCAGTGCAATAAAAGTTTAGTCGGGAACGAGTCGCACCGCCGATAAGTTTGTAGACTGGTTCTTTGCGAATCTTCCCTAGCAAGTCCCAGATGGCTAAATCTATGACTGAGATGACGGCAACTGGGAGGCCTTTTCGGCCATAAAACATGGAAGCACGATACATCTTTTCGAACAAGTTGTTTGTATCTCTAGGGTCTTGGAGTATGATTCGTCAGCAAGAATTCATTATAATGAAATAAGATGAAACTAATGGTCACTCACCTGCACCAATTAGAAATCTTTCAAAATGCTGCGTCACCAACCAACATGCTGGAGGGCCACCGAATCCAGTTGCAAACCCCTTGTTGCCATCTGTTGCTATTATCTCAACGCAAAAGGAGCCAAGCACATTTATGCCCCAGCTTGTCCGGGAGCCCCGGTACTGCTCCCATCTAGCCATTGGCGTTGCAATGGGGGAATCAATAAGCCAGTGCCCACCTTTCACCTAGATGCAAGGAGATAATAGATTAACGTCTTGATAGTATCATCTGAGTAGATTGGAGGTAATGGCATACATTGTGATAGTCGCCTCCAGAGCCCACTCCATCAACGACGAAGGTGTTTACGGCCTTGATAGCGGGAAATGAGACAGCCATGGTGAAGTTTGGATGGGGTGTACCAAAGGCGAATCCGTATGAGGTGATGAGATTATATCCTGCCAGGCATCCTTCAAAGATAGAATTTCAGGGCTGTATATATAGCTACCCAAAAGATGATGTGTCCCACATCGTGGATTAGTGCCATCGGTATGAGCTTGTTTGTTTCACCGAAAAGCTGATGGGATATCTAGATCCGCCCTCGGAGGATTGTAATTAAATGGCGCCATAACCAGGTATATCTAGTCCCCACGTTGGCCCATGCGTATACATTGCACAACCGTGGCCATTGCTTTAGCGAACCTGGGTGGTTGAAGGCGACAATTGTAGCGACAGTTTAGCCGCCTCGGAAGCTTAAGTGTGCAAACGTGTCGAAGTCAGTGAATTAGTGGTTCCATTCTCCACATGGCCCCAGAGTTTCTCGGTTGTAAATACACCGAGGAGACTTCCCACCGAGGAGAGTTTCATAGCAACCGAGGAGAGTTTCTCCATATTCTTGCTATTGAGAGGGAGGATGCTCTAATCTCCGGTATAGAAAGCATAATCGCGGTGTTCGAGCTCAAAAAAAGATGGCATCTCGTGCTCATCGCCGCTGGATGATGTTTCCCGGAGGTTTATGCAGGATATGTAGGCTTGTTTTCTTAACTTTTCTTCCGAGCTCCCCATCCAACGCCACGTTATTTCAATCCTGACTAATGTCCTGATTCGCTAGTGATCTTGTTTGATGGCTTCAGGGAATGCAGCCATATAGCCAACCATCTCGCCAACGCACTCGTGATATGAACGCCAAGGCTTGCGAAAGCTGTGCCGGGTATTTTGCGTTGCTGAAGAAGAAATATAATGTAGATATTATTGCAATCCTTCAGTCGTTATGCAGGAGAGCAGCAGCAGGTTTATCCGTCGACCGAGGACAGAATTTCGGAGGCACCAACCAGCATCCAGCGAGCTGTCACAGCTGGCCCTCCACGAAGCCATCCTTGCAGAGGGCGTCATGCCGTCGCTCCACAGCCAAATAACTCTCCAGTCGGGCTTCTTTCAACACCGAGATCGAGGCTGGACGTGGGCCAGGGAGCTGTGTGTTTCTTCCAGCAAAGAACGAGAGTTGAGGTTGAAAAAAAGTTGTCTCTCCTCCTATCTTGTATTATGTAATCATCTACATCCAGCCACTTTTTCTCCTTCTACCTCAACTTCTCAACCTCCGCGACGTCATGACTCGAGATAGGAGCGTGTTGAGACAGGATACGTGTGCTTTTCCTTCGGTGAAGAGTTAAGTTTACGGAACTATATTTTTGACTCCACGCGTGGTTCTTGGAGCTAAAACATTCAAGAGGCGTCGAGTTGAGATCCAGCTCAACTGGGGTGTTTCTTTTGCTCCCTTTTCAATGGCCTTGATCAACTATGGAGTGCTTCGTTGCGTGGGATGACGTCGGCCTAAGTGCGGCACGGACAAGCGTTACGATCTGATTTCACATCGACTGGCTTGATTTCAGATCAGGTAGCTGCACACGCCGGTTCTCAGATGTCACAACGCTCCTCCACAAGCGACATCGTGAAGCCAATAGCTGCGAAGGATCGGAGCTTGCTAGATTGTAATATCGACGAGGTCAAGGACATGGGCAAGGACAAGACAGAGGTCTGCAGGACATAATAATAACCCGAACGACGAGACTATGGAGAGAACCAGCCCGACACAGAAACGAATATGATGCCTCCAAACTTATACGACAGGCCCGGGTATTCTCCCTCTATATCTTATGCGGCCAAGCAAGGATGGACCCTGACATGACCACAAGGCATGGCCTGTGGACCAAAACTCCTCCGGTGCATATTAGACAATCACAGCACAGTTCGATATTTGGCAAATACTCCACCTCCAAGTGCCTATTCTATTATATTGCAGGATGCAGCTCAACGCGTCGCTAATATTTTCTATCCCTAACTTCGCTGGGACATGCGCACCGCCAGATGTCGAGTTGAGGTGTAACCTCTCAATCGTCGATATTCCCGGTTGAAATAGTTTATATGCAAGCTCAAGCTTTAGATCGGTGCGGGATTGGCTAATCTCGTTGATTCCATCTGATGATGCAAAATGACCCGAGTTTTCTCCGCATCCAATAAACTCGCCCAGCTACACTTCATAGGAGACGGAATAAACCAAAAGTAATTCTCGGGATAAGCCGTCTGACTCGCCCTCGCCTCCAAGCCGAATACTCATCGACAGAGGTGTCTTATCACAACTATTGCACAGCTACTGGTAACTCCAAGCGCAGCCAATGGCGGACATGTACAGAATACACCTGGGATCCATGGCCACGCCGTGTCGGGTGGTATCAGCCACCTGGCCTCCACAACCCTGCACTAGGGGGAGAGACCGCTGGACCGTCGAGGCTCGACTCCCGAAGGCCCAGGGCCAGGGCTGAAGCGATAAACGTCTGATCTCAATAAACCAGTGGGCTCATCTGCTCCCGGCCATTCCCACGCAGGGCTTGGAGGAAGGCTTGGCGAGAAGAGATCCTGGGATTTGATCGCAAGCTGGCTCCGTAACCTGCCACATCCCTCTACGAGCTCTATCTCCTAGCGCTTTCGTGGTTAGTTAAAGATTCGGCCATATGAACAGCTGTTACCCTGGGCACGACTATTACGGTTACATCTATCGGGGTCCTCGTTAATGTGCGCCGATGGAGCATCCATTCCCTTCTCCACACGCCTACAGACAAGCCAACACCTCGCTCCCGGCTGGTCAAGTCAAAGCTGGCAGACAGACAGACGATCGCGATGAAGCCGATAGCCCGGAAGACGCCTGGTCAGGGCAGGAGAGCGGCCACGACGCTGGCGCAGTGGATCGAAAGGGCTCGCAATCCTCGGAGCGGTCGTTGAAGAGAAAACGTCCGGTGATGGTCTCGTATATCACCCCCCCCGCACCCTTTCGGCCTTCTTCCTTATGCTCCTCATCGTCCTTCAATAATTCAACTCCTGGTGCAGTCACTGACCAATTCAGATGCGAACTTTGTAAGCAGCGGAAAGTGAAATGTGGTGCGTATAACTCGACTTCGAAGTGAACATCGAATTGGACTCACCCACCTGCTAGATCGTACGCAACCCAGTTGTGGCTGGTGTGCTCGAAACGGACAACTATGCGAATACAAAGAGCGAAAGAAACCGGGATTGAGGGCTGGATATGGAAGGGAGCTTGAACAACGACTTGGTACTCTACCTAGCCCAAAATCGCCTTGATAGGGACTATCCGTCAAAGTACGATACTAATAGCGCTCCTCTCGATAGACCGCCTAGAGGAAGTTATCCAGGCGCAAGCACGACTTATCGAAACCCATATAATACAAGGCCAACGCCGTACAGGAAATGAAATTCACCCGAATCAATGTCCGCCAGCAGCTCCATCCTATGGCTCCCCATCAGACCGATCCGCCGCGCCCGAATCTAGCCCCAGGGACACATTATACCAACATGCTTCGACCTCGAGCCTCCCGACGCCGCACCGCCGCATCTCGGTTATCGGGAATTATAATCAGGAACAAAACACATCCACTCCGTCAGATAAGCCGTTCAGTAATACTCCACCAAGTCAACTTCAAAATGGCCTACCCGCGCAAAGCCTACTACCCCAGCCCACAGAAACACAGCGGCGTGATTTTACTCCCGGAGAGCCATCATCCCTGAGGCTTCCAGCCGTCCCTATCCACTCTTCAAATCAGAGTAGCCCGTCTCTTGCCGATCCTAATGCCGATCTTCCGCCCTACGATCTTCTTTACTCATTGGTCGACCTATACTTTGAACATATAAACGCATGGTGCCCGATACTTCATCGGAGAACAACATTAGACACACTTTTCGGACCATCACCGTTAAAAGAAGAAGATCGGATGCTTTTATATGCAATAGTCGCTACAACCCTACGATTTTCTAAGGATACTCGACTCAACGAAGAGAACCGGAAGCGGTACCACGATTCGTGTAAACAGAAGGTTCTTCTATACGGCCTTGATAATTCATCAGTGACGTCTCTAGAAGCTCTAGTGATTTTGGCATTGGACGTTGTCGGTTCATCTAACGGCCCTCCAGGATGGAAATTACTCGCGCTTATTGCTAGGTCGGTTGTACAACTGGGCCTAGCTGTAGAGGCTACGTCATCTCTTGTAGCAACAATGTTCCCATCTATATATACCCTCAGAGCCAATATTCTTCCTGACTCTAGAACATGGATCGAAGACGAAGGTAGGCGACGACTGTTCTGGGCAGCCTATCTACTGGACAGATATTCCACAATAGCCACAGCCTTCGATTTTGCACTTGATGGGAAGGAAATTGACAGGAGGCTCCCATGCAAAGACGAATACTTTGTTAAGAACCAACCTGTTGAGACGAGGTTTTTTGATACCCACGAACAGATAGAGTACGTTAGTCGGAGCCAGTATATGGGTTCGTTTGGGTTCTATATGGAGGTTCTAGGTATATTGTCGAAAATACACTTGTTCCTTAAACGACCAGTGGATATCAGTGCGATCGCCGATGTTGAACAGTGGCAGTCGACATATAGGAAGCTAGATAATGAGTTGACTGCGTGGGAATACCGTTTACCGAAAGAGTATTCCTTCGCGATGTCATCCCGATATTTGGCATCCTCTAAGTCTAGATCCGTTCACTGTGGCTGGATCATGCTACATGCAGCGTACCAAACGTAAGTACCCTTCTTCACAACGCTACGGAGTACTTTGGCAATATGCTAATATTTCCAAGCACCATCATCCGATTACATTCATCAGCTGCCTATCCAACCACCCGCTCTCCCATCTTCACCCCATCATACGGCGCCATCCAGCGCTGTCTCGCCGCCACTGAGAGGATCCGGGCCATCGCCAGGTTTGTCGTGGATAATAATGTCCTAGACAAGTTTGGTCCCCCGTTCGCTTTCACACTCTGGGTATCCGCACGACTGCTCCTAGTGAACGGCTCAACAGCAGCCCATACGCTTGACCCTGCGATTACCTTCTTCGTCGATTCGCTTCGTCGCATGGGCCAATATTGGAAAGTCGCCAAGCGATATAGCGAGATCCTGCAACGAGTCTTGGACGAATATAACGAGTTTGCACAGTCCGGTCCCACAGATGGGGATCGCACAACGCCTTCATCGGTAAAGATCCTAGCCGACATGAGGCGATGTGCTTTCGATCTTGACTTTTTGATTTCCCATCAACCTCCCAGAGCCAGCAGCACTAGCCAGACACCCGTGATAGGAGGGGCCGCAGCAGCAGTAGGTGGCACGAATACGCCAAAAGCGAATACTACTACGCCACTTGTACCACCACGCAACCTCAGCCCTCATGAACTTGAGTATTTGGATATCTTTGACTTCTTCAATGTTCCTCGCGTCCCTGTAACGGGGGGAAACCCCAATGGCCCCCCGCCAATCAATGACCTAGTAATGGATCAAGCCCAACAGCAGACAATCTCGCCATCTCAACCACAACCAAATAACCCCACCGTCTCTGCAACAGTGGGAGGCATCTCGGTCGCTGATTTAGCTAATGCCGCTGCTGTCAACGCTGCAGCCGCAGTACAGGCGACGAACGAGTTTAATATCACCAATTATATGGTTCCGACCCCTGAGACGGACTGGCTATTTAGAGCTACCACATAGCACACTCATGTGATATATATATCCCTTCTCATTTATTCTGGCCCTAGTTTGGGAGTATGCATTTAATCTTTTTGGCTGACTATAGCAAGCGTGTATATTTTATTTATCCTGAATATACCTTTTATATTAACGAAATGAGGACTTTATCAATAAATGTATATGGAAATTAAATACATGGAATATACTATTCAGTGTGTGGAAATCTCAAGACCTCTAGAGAAGAGCTACTTTAAAGAATATAATTAGGGAACATTGTTGCGTCTAAGGTCAATAACTAGTTGCCGTTTTCGGGATCCTTGACAATATCGATTAAAGTCCGACAAATCCCATTCGTCTCCCAAGGATCAGTTTTAAGCTCGAATCCGTGCTCAACAATATCCATGGTATGGAAGTTCGTTCCATATGGCGGCCAAGCAGGGTATTTAGGAGACGGGAGAAGTGAGGCGTCACCCTTGTCGCCTTTACCCAGAAGAAATTGGTAAAGATACTCCTGAGACTGTCGCGCAACGTCATAGCTTACCACAGGTGTCGTTTGATTATCAACGAAGAAGAAGTCTGGTCAAACGAAAGGTTAGTAATGCGATCGAAGCATGCTGTATTGAGGTATAGCGATCTAGCAACTTACAAGTTAAATCCAACGCGTGAGTTGCAGGTGGAATACGCATCACGTATCGATATGCTTTAGATCCATACGCCTTTGTGATGGTGGTTGAATGGCATGCGTATACAATTGATGTCAGCCAGTCCCAGGCCAGCCTTTCTGGTTTGTCAGGGGGGAATGGAAAAAGATTCTGGATGCGTTGAATCGTCTCGTTACTTGCGGTAGGGAAGTTGATTCGAACATAGCCGGGAAACGCTTCAGGCATATTACTGTCCGTACTGAGGCCATTTCCTTCAAAGGCGGTATTTGCCGCGAGAACCCGCTGTACCTCTTTATGGAATCTGCCCTGCTCAAGAAGTATCATGGGCTCTTCTGGGACAATATTTCCATCCACAGCGGGCGAAAACCCGATGCCGGGGCCAAATGAGGCACCTCCAGTTCCTGTGGGTACTTCAACTATCAGATGGTGGTTCGCTGCTTTGAGAACGTCTGAGGAAGCAGTCCTCAGGCATGCTAGGTCGGGACAGCCGGCAGCCTTCAGGACTTCGTTGTATACATCTTGTCTTCGGGAAGTCACATTTCTTCGAGGCATTATGGAAGGGGATTGTACAACGGCCTACAATTTTCCATCACGTCAGAGTCTGTCGAAAGTGAGTAGTTATCAGGAATGTCAAATCTCACTTGGGAAAACGGGAGCTTGCCCGATCCGCCATAGGAGGTCAACATCAAGTTTATTATGCCCGCTCCAGCACTTTGCCCAATTACAGTGATCCTCTCTGGGCTACCACCAAATTTAGATATGTGGTCTCTGGTCCATTGCACTGCGGTAATGCTATCGTGTAACCCAATATTTGCAGCCATATCTTCTTCGGGGCTTGACATCCACCCATAAAGGCCGAGGCTATGATGACGGTTAGGAGAGATCAATTCTCAAGAGAAATATGGCCAGGAAGCTTACCGGTAGTTGCTCGTAACAAAGATGAACTTTTCATCGCTCTTGCGCAAGTTGTCGAACAATCCCTCTGGATCAACAGTAATCCCTACTGTATCTTTACTTCCAAAGGCATATCCACTCCCGTGTATCCAGTGGAGTACTGGTACCTGATCACCCTCTTTGATACCATCTGGAACTTGTACATTTACGAACAAGCAGTCCTCCTGGCCCCAAGTAGTACCATTAAGTCCGGGAAATGGGACCCCTGCATAAGCACTGCTAACACAGTCCGTAGAAGGGTATTGGCTGCCATCTTGAACGCCGTGTGTTTGTGGCGGAGGTGTCTTCGGTTTGCGGAAACGAAGGTCTCCTACGGGGGGTTGAGCAAAGCGAATGTTGTTATATTTTGCAACCGAGAGACCTGAAGCAGTAATATTGATGTACGTGGGTTTATGGATAGCATATCCCAAGTCCACAGGCGGAAAGGCTTTGGCAAATTGCGAAGGGGTATCGCCCATAGCTGGAAGGGCGAGAAAAGCCAGGAGGCAGACAATTGATAGAAACACAGCTGGAAGGGTTACCATTCATAAAAATGTATGAACTGGGACAAGAGGAATAAGTTATTCTCGGTAGAATAATAGTATTCTCCCTGGAGTTCGCTGGCTTATACTTAACTTCATGCCTGGCTTATCGAGCCATGGTCCAGAAACCTCCCTTGGGCTTGCCGAAAGACCAACATAGTGAGTAATACGCGATGAGCCACCGTTACGTGGGCATTATGCTTGAAAGAAGACCAATTAGTGGTGCCGATGCCGATTTTTCAATGGCGTAAGCCGAGTCAGACTGAACAGGATACGGGGGCCCAAAGGGACCGCAGCAGTCGCCAGGTTATATATTGCGAGAATATGCCTTTTTGGGAGATGTCTCGTTTTTGCCTGCTGGACTGGATGGCGATATGCCTCATCCCTGCATTAGTTCCCGTGTTAAGCATGCTCGTATTTGATTTGAGCCCGAGAACCATATCCAAAAAGAGTAGTATTTTTCAACTGGGCTGATAATGAAGGGCGTGGTGTCCGGCATGCGAGCGTCTTCTGAACATCCTTAGGCCTTTCTCTCGTGTCCAACGGCTGTCAAGTAGCCTACGATAGAGCTGAGTCGTTGGGGGCGTATGTTTCTCTTGCAGCCTGTCCTTCTCCCTCTTCTCACCTCGATCTGCTTTCTGCGCTCGACGGGCGCTGGACTTTGGGTAAATATGCACCATTCAAAGAGATTTTCCCCTGAGTACCTTGGATCAATTAGTGATCCTTCCGTCAAATTGCTAAACTTTCATGTTGTCGCTAACCACCGATGAAGCAACCAGATGTAGATTATCTAGTAGCTTTGTATATCTATAATAAGGCCGCATATACTCCTTAACAGTCTCCTGGTGTCAGCTAAGAAGTTTTAATATTTCACCTATAGTCACATAGTCTCTCGGAAGCTTTGTCGTAGTATCTCGCACAGTCTTCTGTGCGTTACGTTCTACCAGCATCCTGACTATCTCTGTATTTCCCTCTTGGGCAGCGATGTGTAGGGGCGTCCAACCGGATTTCCTCCACTGGACATTGATATCCCCGCCTGATGACAGTAATTTCTCAAGATTCAACCGCTTTCTTAGAAGGACGAGGACAGCCGCGGTGGAATCGTCAGGGTGTTGCAGAATCAGATCTCCGGCTCCATCTGTCCAAAGGAGGTTGAGTTTCTCAAGTGTGATCTTCCGCTGTTTTCTAGCATTTTCATCAAATGGTTTATTGGTGTCTAGAAATTCTGCAATATGCCTGAAAGCTTGGAAGACATAGCCCCCAATTCCAACGTTAAGGTATGAATGGATGGCTGCCGATTGCTCGATGACTGTAGTTGGTAGATTATTCAGCCCTCCATTTCTCTGGAGGTGGGTATATGCCTCCTCCATGATGTGCAGGCTACTCTTCCTGCCCTTCGGGTTGGGACAGCAACAACCCTTAATGAACTTGCAAATGGAGTCTTTTTTCTCGTCTTGCAGCTTCAATACATGTTGGATAGTTCCTATAAAGCGTTACTAAATGCTAGACTTGCGCCAGGGATATTTGAATGTGCAGACTTACGGCCCAAGCAGAATATATCCCCCTTAATCGCCCATGGCCTCTCTTTTAAAACCTCCTAGAATCAAGTTAGAATTCCTAGCTTTAAGACCGCAGGAATGAAAGGATAGTTACTGGTGGGTAGAAAGCTCTTGTACCGATCAGCCTTGTAACATTCGTTTCAAGAGCGGTGGCAATCCCCAAATCACAAATTTTTGCGATCCACATGCCTGGTTCGATGCTTTGCAAGACCACTAATAGTAATATCTCAGTTAGCTGGTAGTAGCGGTTGTAACTATTTACTTAACGGGGGTCTATCGTCCACGTGCCATTCGCAGGTTTGATGTCACGATGAATTATACACGCCCACGGCTCATCGAAAAAGGCAGTCCTGGGACCCTCTCGATTTATTGACAACCCATAGTGTAAATACGCGAGCGCGGAGCTAAGCTGATAGATCAAGCCCCAGACCTCTAAGCCGTTGAGCGGTGTCGTCTTACCCTGGGGCATTCGTTCGGCTGTATAAAATCCGTTTTCATCTTCATCCTCATTATATGCAGGTCCACTATCTTCATAAGGGTCGAATTCATGACATGGGGATGTTGGAGGCGGTAGTCCGTGTAACTGGTCTAGGTTCCCCATATCGCAATATTCCATATACAAAAGGAGAGTGTTCTGATCAGGATTTTCATCAAAGCCGAAGTACTCGACGACACTGGGGTGCTGCAATCTATGGAGGATGCGGCGCTCGGAAAGGAAATATTTGGAGATTATATCTCGGCGTTCTGTGGAGCTCAGCTCTGGGAGTTCAGTCATTGAATTGTCTAGATGAAATGTTTTCCGAAAAACTTCCTGCATATTCGTGAGATTTTAGCAACGTGTTTCAACTAAAAGACACCTGTAAAATGTATTGAAGCCTTAAATACTCACAGTTGGTAGAGTCGCGGTGGGGCTTGAACAGTGTCGTAACACATGCGATTTGCACTGACTCCCCTGGGGGATAGCAGCTGTTTTCTTCTCGTCCACCTCAAATCTTGACCAGTCCCTTGCTTTGTAGTTCATCATGGTAGGATCGCCAGAGGAACTTGATTCATTATTCTTGCCTTCGGCACCTGCCCTGGTAAGAAGATCAGCCACGGATTGGTGGCCCTTAATAATGGCCACGTCGAGTGCGGTATACCCTAGGCCGTCGCGCGCATTGATGTCAGAATAACCTATCAGGACTTCCACAATCTCAATATACCCTAGTTTGGAGGCACAGTGCAATGGCATTAGTTCCAGTTTGGTGTATACATTTGCATCGGCCTTGTTGGTATGTGACAAAAGAAGTTGGACCACAGTTTCCTTCCTTGACAAGCAAGCCAAATATAGAGGGGTTCGACCTTGGGCATCTTCAGCCTCCACGTTGGCCTTGGAATCTAAAAGTAGTTTCACAATTTCGTAATGCCCTTCCTTCGATGCAAGGTGGAGCGGCGTCCAGCTACTTATCTTTGTACGGCTCTCAGTACGAGCTTTAGAGTCGAGTAAGATGGACACAATCTCATTTGAGCCACTTCGTGCTGCCCAATGCAAAGCAGTCCATTTATCTTCAGTCATCACATCGATATCATGAGCTTTGTTTGATATCAGATATTTGGCCAGTGGGGCAAGCCCAAATCTCGCGCATATATGTAATGGGCGCATTCTCGCATAGGCTTCTTCATACTGCCTTTCGTATTTTTCAGATCTCACCATCAACAAGCCAGCTCTCATAGTCTTTGCCTCTGAAGCAAATAGTGCTTGACTGAGTTCCAAATAATCGTCCAACTCGATATTCTGGGCATGCTTCCCCCAGAAATTTGCGGCATATTCAAGCAGTGGATAACGAGCCAGTTCTTCCTTTAGGTCTTCTAATTTCAAAGGCACCTTTCCATCCAATCGATCGAGGCATAAATATGCAAGGCATTTCCGTGAAAGGAAGGTAGCTGGGCTGCTTAGGCCTGGGAGTTGGAGAGATTGCCACTTGTTATGGTAATTCGCTAGGAATTCTTTAAATGTTGAATGAATAAGGGTGACTGTATTGGATACAGAGTTTACTACGATCATGTTATGGCACAATGTAGCCAATGGCACATCCTGTCGAGCCTGGCGGGCGTATAAAGTGGAACCGTGGACATTCGGGGCAATAGCCTCCTGAATTTCAAGGACAGTTAGCGGCCTGTGTGGGCAGTAGACCCATGTAATTATCTCCAAAGCTGAATTGGTATGAACCAAACGGGCCATGACTTGGCTGTACAGCCCCTCTAGTGAGTGTGCATCAGTTTTTGAAGCCCACGCTGGGTACGATCCCTTATTATTTCCTAGATCCTGTAGTAAGTCAAAGATCAGGCGTGCCTTTATGAAGCTAACCGAGATATTAGTTAATTTAAAAGTGACCACTGAAGCATGCTACTGACCTTCCGTTAGATTTTTGGACGAGCACGTCTATAGTATCATTTCGTATCTGTGTATTTAGTGTATTCTGACGTGCAATTAGCGCGGCCGAATACTTGCGAATATCGTCGTCGTTTGGGGGACTAATCTCCATGTGTATAACATTATTGAAGGGAGTATTTGCAGTGCATGGCCTCGACGTCATCAGTATATTGGTAGAACGATGCCTAAATAAAGGCCCAAACTTGGTAAAAAATCCCTGAGTTCCTTCACTATACTCATCCAATGCATCGAAAACGATGAAAGTCTGTTTAAATTCGTCGAGGCCAGACATAAGAATCCCTATTAGTTGGTGCAACAGGGGTCGGATTCCTTGCCCAGGGGACCAGTATATGCGGCTGGCTTGCAAATTTAGCGATATGGGGCCAAGCTGACGGAGGATCGAACCAATAACTCTAGCTGTTTGCATATTGTCCTGTATTCCTCTACTGAAGAATATATATCCCACTGCAAATTGTGGTTGGGGATACTTTTCGAGTAAATGATGTATAACGGTTGAACTGTTCTAATTGGTATCATGACAATAAAAAACTGCTTATTCTTGGAATTCACATACCAGAGAGTGGTTTTCCCAATGCCAGCTAGGAATAACTAGTGGTTAGAAAGGTTCATAAGGCCAAGGGAACATTAACTTACGCATGCCGGTACACAAGATTGCCGCCCCAGGATTCTCCAGCCATTCACGGAAGTCAGAGTGCTCCACTATCGATGGTCCAATGTCTGGAATGCGCCCCGAAAGGATGTCCTGTAGCCGAGTGGAGTAATCATCAGGGCTCAGCCAGTCGAGAAATGATTGCAATGTCGTTGTATCCCCTCCAAAATACACTAAAGTAGGAGTAAAATTATCACCACCACATTCATCCAGGAGGGCCAGTAGCTTCAGTGACAGTTGGCGAATCACTATCATATCTTTCTCTATCGAATTCTTCTTTTGTAGCCATTTGAGCTTTCCTCTTTTTGAGTGGGCATGGGGCAGTAACTGTTGGAGGTAAGCTTCCAGCGTTCGGATCTGAGGAGCTAGGTCGTAGTAGAGGCTCAAGCACTCAGACAGCCTCTTGGTGTCTGTGTTGTCAACCATCTGTTGTTCAATAAAATCCCTTCCTTGAAGAAGAAGACAGTTTAATGCAGATAGCTCCTGGATGAGCTCTGCTATTGTTTCCGGAACGTGTGCCATGATACGGGCATTTAGATAGTCGATGCCCGACCTCATAGCGAGAACCGTAGAACCAAGGGGGATTGGTTCAAGCCCACTCATGATCACGATACCCAGACCCGGGGTGTCAGTTAAATGGGAGGAAGATTATGGCCTATAGCCTGGTGGGATCGAAGAATGATGTCTGTAGAGAACAAGATCGTTGGGGAACTCGAGCACCACGGTGGCACGGGGAGAGAAATGCCAGCATTGAATATTCATATTCCGCGGGGACCAGGGCGTAATATATCCCAGCGAGAAAACTACATGTATATGCAGCCTGGTTGCTGGCTTGCTGGCTTGCTGGCTTCATATTGGCAATCCCAAAGAGCAGCGGCGGCTATACATCCAAGTTGAAGGATTACCCCGCCACTCACTCTCCAGTTCGATATATTTCTGCGAGAAGTCTTGATGAACTAGACCAAAGGCCCTGTGCCCTGAGACTGAACCAGCTGGGTTAACGATCATGGTTCTGGAGATTGTTGGCGTCGCGCTGGCGTCAGCGTCTGCCGGCGAACAGTTTGTGACCCTTGGTCGACGCATCTACAAGAGAATCAAACATGAAAAGAAGCTGAAAGCCATAGCCCGGCAGCTGCAGGTTTTCGAGGTAGAGGACCGGAGAGGCGCGCTCCTTGCCTGGATTGAGCTGGCAAAGGATGTGCTAAAAAGCTCTGTGGTGAAGGAAGAACACAAGCGCCGTCTCGAAAGCCAGTGGAACCGCCTTAACGAGCGTCTGATTGAAGTCGATCGGCTCTATGACGAAATTATCTTGAACTCCTCCATTCTGAACACGGTTGCCAGACATGAGGCAAGGGATCAGTTGGCCGCTCTGGGGGGAGACAACATGCTTTCCGGCATGCTTGAACGATTCCGGGATACTGTTATAGCGGTTCGCGAGGTCAAAAGAAGCTATTCACCGTTATTCCTCGCTGGCAACGACTTTACGGTGATTGAACCCGAGACAAGGTGTCCGATGCCAGAACCAGGCACATTCTTGAGCAAAGGAAGGCTCACGAATCCCCAGGCCGGACTCCCATCTGGCGTTCAGTGGTTCTTATACGAATCAAAGCCGTATGTCGCCTCAAACAAGGAAGACGTTCGAGAGAATATCCGCATTCTGGCGGAAAAGGTGCACGACGCTCAGCCGAAAGCTGGAATTCTCAAGCTCGCTGGCTTCCGAGATGATTGCCAGCCTGGCGTTTCAAGCTTTCAACTACTGTTTACGGGAGCATTCGGGGGCACCGCTCCTCCAACACTCTTGACTTACATGTCAGATCATCCAGCAATGCCTTCGCTTAACTTTCGTGTGAGTCTATGCTATCAGCTCGCAAGAGCAGTCATCCAGACCCATGTGTTGCGCTTGGTGCATAAGAACATCAGGCCAGAGAATATCATTTTCCTTCAGCCAGCTGGGGCCCTTGGAGATTTGCTAGACAATCAAGAGACCCCGGATCTGTTTCTGTCTGGATGGCAATATGCAAGACACATCGATTATAGTGTCACAAACCTAAGGAATGAAGTTACCTTACAGAAAAAGATCTATCAGCACCCGGAGCGGCAACTCCCCACGTCAGAGAAGGAGTACTCGATGGGCCATGATGTATACAGCCTCGGAGTCTGCATGTTAGAGATTCTCACCTGGGAGAGTCTTCTGAAAACGAGGGACCCGCCTGCGGTCTCTGATGCCTTCATTGATGCTTTCAATCTACTTGAACTCGATGAAGGTGACATATGCCCAACAGAGCCCTACACTCGGTATCCTGATCAGATAAAAGCTGCCTTGGTGAAACTAACCGATATAAGAATCCCGGCTGTGGCTGGGGTAAAGATGGCTCAGCTTATTCGAGGATTTTTGGAGTGTCTAGATGAACACGATGATGACAGTAGTGCTGAGCCAGTTGTTCTCAATAATAAAGACTCAAAGGAGGCTGCACTACACTTTGTGGACACAGCAGCATCTACAATAAATAGTATTAGTTCCTGTCTTTAATTTACTGGCTTATTACGTCTACTATATAAGGCAGGCTATCGATATGCCGATATTCTTTCTCTTTCTACTTTTTCTAGAGCTCTCCGGATATCCAACGAGAGATCCAATGAGAGATAGACATCTCTTACCTTGATGCAAGAAAATCGCAAGAGTGAGACGGTACATTTTATCCTTCATTCATCATTGACCATTCACCGACCATAAGGTATCAGCATCATAAACCATAACTAAACGTAAACACATATCAGGCTATCTCATACTCCTAAAGAGAAAAGTAAAGGGAAACACGGAAAATGCCAAATCCGCATGGAACGACAAGGCAGAAGGGAAGCAAAACCCCAAATAAGACACAAGTAAACACCTCACACCGAAAGTAAAGCGAATAGAAGAATAAGGGTAGGAAAATATGCAAACATGCAAATTCACTCTCCTGGGTCCTCCTCCGGTTCAACACGAACAAGAACCTCCTCTAAAAAGCCTTCAAGGAACGCATTGATGTCCCCGCCCATACCCAACGGCGCCTCAGAGTCCCATCGCTCGATCTCCTTGAATACGCCTGCAGCCTTGACGACGAGCCTCTTGAGCTTCTCGTGTGCATATACCTGCCGCTGTATCTGCTCTGTCGACGGCCGTTGGTTAGCTGGGGTGCCTGGTTGGACACGGCACATGGAGTTGAGAGCATATGTGCGGCGGTGGAGAGCGGCTTCGAGGGCAGGGAGGATCACACCGTTGAGTGCGGTGATGGGTTCGTTGGGGTTAGGTTGGTCGTGAGAGGAGAAGTGGACTGTTGATTGGGAGGAGATGGAGTCTAGAGAGTCGCGAGATTTGCGAGGGGCAGGGGTATGTTCTGGTGCTGAAGTTGGGGGTTGGGAGCGTGTGGATTGAGGCTGCTGCTGCTGCTGCTGTTGTTGTTGCTGCTGATGATGATGATGGGATGAAAGATTGGACGAAGGATGAGCCGAGAGGGGAGGAAGAGGATACTGTCCCGGGGGTTTGGACATATGGGTGGGGGTCGATGACCTAGATGGCCCCTTAAATGGAGGTATTTCAGGCAATTGCATCGGAGCTGGCTTCCTATGGATTACTTCAGTAGCGGGTGCTTTTGGGATAGGTTGCGTTGGTGTGCTGTTAGGGGACTCCGCTAGCTTTAGGAAGTTAAGGTCCTGGGCTAGTGATCGCTGCAATGCCCGGTCATAATCATGGGTGTTAGGGCTTTCTTCTTCCTGCTGTGGCAGAGAAGGGTGAGGCTTCCCAAGGGCAGTTGGTGTCTTTAGTTGATCGCGGTGTATCGACTGTGTTTGAGAATGCTGAGGCGTTGGTAGCGGTACTCTGGACACATTGCTTGGGGTCGCAGGCGGTGTTTCCGCAGTGAAATTTCGTTTCTGCGGTGATGGCGGGCTCTTGAGCGTCTCTTTCGACAGTTTACTGTGAATATTTTCCTGTAAGTCGGGATGATGGCTATTATTCGACTGAGTTCGACTCTGCATATTGGGGACCTGTGCCCTTGCGTTTGCTGCAGCCTCGTTCATGGCACGCAGCCCAGCAGCTCTGTTCCCCCCTGCCGGTCGTACGGTGCCAAAGTCCCATAGATCGTCGTCCCCTCCGGCCATGGCAGGTTGGTACTGCTCCTGCTGGTGATATATATCATCATCTTCATCGTCCGGTAGCCGGTTCCCGTTCTTCGCAAACCATCGTTCATAGCGTTCTATCAACTCTGTTAGGTATGTTGTTTTCTTCGCACGTTTAACGAACGGATGTCTCAATAGCTCCTTGGCAGTAGGTCGTTCTCTCGGATCACGCCTTAGACATAGATCAACAAAGTCCTTGAACGATTTGCTGAAAGCTCCCTGGAGGGTAGGTGGAGTGTTCTTTGGAATCAGGAAGAGAACCTTCATGGGATGAATGTCTGAGAGTGGTGGCTCCCCCATAGCTAGCTCAATTGCCGTGATACCCAGGGACCAGATATCAGCCTTGTGGTCGTAACCCGACTGTTTGATAACCTCCGGGGCCATCCAGAACGGGGTTCCAACGAAGGTGTTTTTCTTGGTCATTGTTGCCGATAGTTGACCAGAAACACCAAAGTCGGCCAACTTGACCTGTCCATTCGCCGTAAGTAATACATTTGCCGCTGTATAGGTCAGAAGTCAGCCAAAAAATGTAGCCCCAAAAAGAGCTATCATGAACGCTTGTCATACCTTTGACATCTCGATGTAGTTTGTTATCGTTATGCAAGTAATCCAACCCCAGCAGCAGTTCTCTAAGAATAATCATAATATATTCCTCCGATATGCGCCCCGCACGCATCAAATCCGAGCAGCTGCCCCCCGAACAAAACTCCATTATGATCCATAGATCCGATCCCTTCAGGAACGAGCCATGATATTTGGTGACGTACGGCGAATTGAGCTCCGATAATATCGAGATCTCCTGTATGATATCTTCGACTTCGTCATCGGCATTTTCAACGTCGATTATCTTGATCGCAACCGATTGACCGGTCCGCTTGTCGACCCTAGACCGGCGTACATCAGTGACAGACATTCAGGACAAAGAGAACGAGCGAACGACAGTACCCTTTATAGACTCTCCCGAAACTCCCTCCGCCTATTGACAAGGACAATTCATTAGCGCATGATCCCCGGTTGCACACGTATTCTCAGGTCAGGGGAGCAGGCTTATATACCGATGCAGTTCTGCTTTGTGTAGAGCGTCTCCGGGTCCACGACGCCCTCCATGTCGACGGTCACTTCACTCCCGCTCGACTTCACGATCTAAACGCCGATATATCGTATAACCGTCGACAGCTTCTGCGAAACGGCGCATGGGAGAGTTGAAGTTTTCTTTCTTTCAACTTATTATATTTATACGTGCAGTGGGTCAGCGCGGGGAGACGAGGAACAAGCACCAACGCACGATAAAAAACGCCGAACGACAAGCTTAAAACACGAAGCGTGAGGACGGATACGTCGCGTCTGGGAGGCCCAATTATTTACGGAGGAGGAGCTGGTGCGGCGGGCGGGCGGGCGGTGGTTGTTTATTTAGGTGGGAGTGTTGTGTTTACGATCGACCGGATGTTTTGGTTGGCTTGGGGGCAGATGTCACGATGCATCGCGGGCGCCCCTGGCCTGAAGCACCGAAGATGGCGGCCCAGCAACGTCGCCGCGGCCAATCAGTCGGCGAGGCCAGGTTAGACTGATGGGAACTAACGTCTCGAGTGTACAAGGCTCGTCTTCTTCCGCTTGTCCCTGCAACTCAGCTGAAACCAGGGGCTCTTCATTGGCCGGCAGCAGGTTGTGCCTTGAGCTGGCCATGGATAATTCCAACAGACGCGATGAGCCTTGCATGGATTATCTAGTTAGATGGGAGATATCATGCTGGTTGGATGAGATTAACAGCTGGTTGATATTGTTAGATATACTAGTCAATCCATTAACACCTTCTCCTATTCACCGACTCCATAACATATTCCTTTGATAACTCCATAACCATATTCTGATAACTCCATAAGGCCATTCCTCTGATAACTCCAGTAACCCATCATACTCTATACTCTTATAATCATCATAACTCCCACAGAGCCCTGTGTGAATAGAGCTAGAGGTCGCACCACTGGCTGGCCACAACCAGGCGACGTCCCAGGTTGGATGCATGCCAGGCAAACTGGTTTCCCTCACGTTCAATGCCCTTCACCTTGCTCCAGTTGGGATACAGGTTGGTGAAGCCGCCGTTCCCCATCTCATAGGCAGCAGCCAGAGCAAAAGTGCGACAGGTGACGGGCCCCATGGTCATCCTGGGCACCTGGGCAGTGACAATGCACTCCTGGATGGCCTCAATCCACTGGGGAGTGACCTCAGGCACATCTCCCACCTTCAGGATAACCATGACACTCTTGTCTGCAGGGATGTCTTTATGTTCTTCAATCTCAAGCACCCAGTCACTGCCATCAAAGACACGGTGGTAGAGGATTCCTTCATTCTGGCTGCGAGCAACAATGATACCCCAGTGGAACTTTTCAGTGAAGTGTTTGTTCTCTGAGATGACAATGTACACGCCCTTGGGATGCATGAGGAAGCCAGCATCTTTATCTTCGCTTGATGAGCCCTCTTCAGGAGCAGGCTTTGGTGCAGTCTGGGGAGCTGCCTCTGCCTTTGCTGGAGAGACTGCTGGTTCTGTCGTCTCCTTAAGGACGCCGCGAACGCTGGTGGAAGACGTTGACCTGGCCATTCCTGGACGTTCGTCTCCAAGCATGATTGCTATATCTCACAGCACAGGGTGTTGTATGTGATTCTAGATGAGTTTATGATGGATTTGATTCACAGACAGTCTGACTGGCGCGTGGTAGACAGGTCAGCATACCTGACATACACGGCCCAAAAGGAGCAGAGAATACACAGTGCGCAATGCTAAAAGGGTATACTCACTTCTTTGGATGGCCACAGCCCTCCTCTGACAGGATCAGTGATGGAGATATCTCGCGTTTGGTGGTGAGGTGAGTAGAGGAGGGGAGGGACAGGGAGAAGGGGAAGTCATACGGTTGTCTACTCGACGTCGAGGGGTGCAAGACACGCCCGTCATGCCGGCTCGCCCTCCTCGCAACGTCTGGAAAGCCGGGAAATGGCTGGCTTGAATGGATGTCTCATTTGCTTCCTTTTATCTACCTAATATTATAATATCCCTGAGCTTCAAGAAAAAAATGAGCGGAAAAGGAGTCAGTATTCCACCGTACATTGTGTAGGAAAACAGAATCCAAGGCCTATTGCATGTCCAAGCCATAGCCAGCCACCAAACAGCAGACCAATAGTAGAAAAGTTCGCCAGGGAAAGGTCATGAGTGCATTGCACTGCGCCTATGGGTATGGCAGACAGTGCTTCAGGCCAGTTAGATAAGCCAGTCTATATCAGATGAATGATGTAAAGCGCGTCAGGGGTCGTGTTGCGTGGTATCATGATGTGTTACTGCATTATGGTCAAAGGCAGCCTATCTAGTCTTCAATAAATCCAACCATCACTGTCCCGTTCTTCAGCCCGGCTTCTTCAACAGTCTGGTCCAGTAGTGATATCAGATTCTGGCCCATAGATACCAGCTCAAACTCCACTCCCTGCTTGTCTTCGAGAGGCGACGCCTTGAGCCATTCGTACAGTCGCTGGACAGGATCCGATAGGGCGAACCGTCGAATTATTCGGCCAGAAGAATGGCGGAATTGGATCCTAGTGGTTGTTGCCGGGTCCGCGGCAGGTTCGGTATGTGGTTTATCAGAGGGTATTTTAAAGAATGGTGAGTCTGAGGCAGCAGGTTCCTCCTCGTCTGCGTCGTCGCCATGGCCATTCGGTTCCTTGTGGCCCTTGACCATATCTATATCATCATCATCGTCAATAGAAATGGCCTTCCCTTTGCCTTTGATATCTCCGATACTTCGCGTTAGGTCATCCGGATCTTCCAGTTTTGACGATTCCTGGCCTACAAGGCTGTTTTTCAGCGCCATATCTAGCATCTCTTCCTCCGTCATGGTGTCTATTTTTGATTGAGGTTTGACTTCGGGTTTCCGCTTCGCTACAGGGTTGCGGACGTTGGTGTCGAGACTGTATCTATCGAGGAACTCGTGTAGCTGCATTAAGAACTCGGGAGCTTTGACGACAGGCGGGCCGCTCCAGCTCTTCACCTGCTCGCCGGTCCGTGGGTCGACGATGGCAATGTGTGGGTAGTTGTCGGATACATCGTGGCCTGGGAAGTAGTATTGGATATATTGTGCACCGCGAGGATCATCCTTTGAGAACTGCATAAACAGGAAATGCTCTCGTATTGTCTCCTTGATGCCGTCGTTTTTCCATAGATCGCGATTTAATAGTTGACAGTCGAAGATGGACGAGTCTTGGATGTTGACTAATAGCCACTTCATCTTCTCTCGGCCTTCATCTCGTGCTAGGTCCCAGGGTAGGCGAGACATGATTTCAAAGGGAGGTCGGTACATTTCAGCCAGCATATTAGCCTTGGACGATGACTCTGAGGCTCCGCCGGTTGCGCGTGCGAGAATGGCCGAGTTTGAGGGCTCGGTGTCTTCGTTCCAGATAGAGCTGTCGATTTCTCTCTGGTTGAAGATACCAGGTCGGTTTCCTATCCATCACAGTTAGCCATGGCCAATCAATGGTCAGTATCTGTGTTATATGAGTTAAATCATACTCCAACGATTCGCAGATGCCTGCAGCCGGCTGAATCCCCCGTCTGGAAGTCCACCGTCCATATCCGGCCCCACGAGCGTTTCGGTCCTTCTCTCCATCGGTGCTCGAACGTCATCGCCTATACCCCCACCTATCGAATCGCCGCCGTGGTAAAATTCCTCCTGCAGCCTCCTGGCCATCTCTAGGTCTGCGTCGAACGTATTCCCACCTGCCGCGGGGCCACTACTGTGGTCTGCAACCGTGTCCACAAACTGAACATCATCATCGTCAGAGTCCAAGTGTACTACCCCGTCTTCATCTTCGTAGCCAGTCGTTCGTTGCGGTCGAGTTGATGAATGTGGAACGGGGGGTGCAGTCTGTGTTTCGGGCGCGGAAGGCTGGATCGGATTGCCGCCGTTCTCGAAGTAGAGCTGCATGGCAGTCTCGAGATTGCTGTCGGTCAGCTGTAGGTACTGGGTAGCGATCTCTGGAGAAGATCCAGTGATCTCTATGAACTGTGCCACTGTTGGGTCGGCCATGGTGACGTCGGTGGCCCGTCCAGGGCAGGGCGCAGATGAGGTGTAGTTGAGATGTGATAGAGCGAGGTTTCCCGGTTATCTATCACTCTGTTGAAGGAAGCAGATGGGCCTAGAGAGTAATGAAGAGGGTTATGCGTGGGGCAGATATGACGATTCAAGATAGGCGGCTTTTTAAGCAAACACAAAGGGGAACGTTCCAGTGTGGTGAGTGATGGGGGTTGTGAAAGAAGAATCCGCTATCGAGAGACAGTCCAGAGGCCTCTAGAAGTATTTGTGAGTCCGAGAGTCGGTGAAGTCGCAGGCATCCACCAGTTCTTGCGTATGATCTCACTATGATGGAAACAAGCATCGAAGAAAGCCGCCAAGGTCGAACGTCAAACGGCATGCCGCACTAACGATGTTCCGATCCCGTCGCGGGCCGCAAACCCGAGGCTGCTTAGTCAGAAGCTATTTATTAGTCAGATATTACTAATGTGGCTGTGGCTTCTTGCCAAGAAAGCACAAAATAATGCACAACCAGCTGCGTGTCTGGTCTCTGCCGCCAACCGTGGTCCTCCGGAAGACCCGATTAGGCCCGGAGCGGAAGAACAGGCCACCGACACGACGCGGGACACGCCCTTTCCCCTTTCAGCGTGTCCCTGCCAAGACGCCTCGGCTAACCTGCTCTTTCTGTTTCCTACGCGAAACGCGCTCGCCTTGCCACTTTAAGCCACGACGCGCTCGCGTCTCGAGGTCTGGACGCGCCTTGGAAAAAAGTGACTTCCACCCATAGAAAAAGGTACTTCTGCAGGTACTTCCTCCGCGCTCCACCTGTACTTCCTCAACCACCACACTCTCTCTTGCTGCTTTGCCAATACAGCAACCAAGCCTCTCCTCCACGCACTTCACTTCCTATACCAACTCGCAGCCAGAGCGATGGCATCGTCAGTTCTAGGGAAGCGACAGAGACCTGCTCTCGAGTCTGCTGGTAATTCTACTCTGCTCAGTCCTCTCTTTCCAGGATACAAAGCTGACCCGTGATAATTGTAGATGCACCTTCTTTACGATCACTAAGCAAACGTCTGGCAAGGGCAAGCCGCAAGATCTATACCGACGAAGAGGACCCCTTTATATCGTCGACATGCCAAAAACGCTCCAGCTCACGATCGACCACCACCCTCAAGCGCCCCTGCGATGCAAACACACCAAGCCGTAATGTACGGACGAAACGTATTACCGATGACAAGACCAGCTCACCGAGCAAGTCGACGGTTAACGGGCTTAATGGTAGGTTGATCTGTCCGTGGCAGAGAGACCCAAATAGCTAACGTACGCGCTTAGATGAAAATGCCGAACCCGTCGAGTTCACCACTCCAAAAGCACAGAGATACACGAACGTTCTCCTCCCGGTTACGCCAAAGCATCGTGTGCAGGTTGGAGGGAAGCCCTTGACTCCCAGAACTCCACGTACCCTATCTACACCAAAGGCTACCCGATCCGTATTCACGGCTGCAAAGCAACTCTTCACCAGGAGCGCGAACCCGGGCCAGCTGGTTGGTCGAGACAATGAGACAAGAGAGATGAAGAACTTCATTCAACAGTCGGTCGACGCCAGGAAAGGCGGATGCATCTACGTGAGCGGACCCCCAGGCACAGGCAAAACGGCACTCATAGACGAGGTCTCTCGGGAGCTGGAGAAGTCTCCCGATTCCATCAAAGTGGCCCATGTCAACTGTGCCAGCTTGACGACTGCCAGGGATATCTACGGCAATCTCATCGAAGACCTATGTGAAAACACCAGTGTCTTCAAGAAGAGCGAGGCGGAGCGACTTGAGGCCATGTTCGTGCCCAAGAAGTCGTCCGGTCCACTCTACCTTGTCGTTCTGGATGAAATCGATCATCTTTTGACCGGCGACATTGAGATCCTGTACAAGCTCTTTGAATGGTCCCTGCACAAGTCATCTCACCTTATCCTGATTGGGATTGCAAATGCACTAGACTTGACAGATAGACTCTTGCCACGTTTGAAAGCGAAGAACCTGAAACCTCACCTACTGCCGTTCCTTCCATATACACCTGCACAGATTGCCGATGTCATCACCACCCGTCTACGATCTTTACTACCCAAGGAATCCGAAGCTGCAGCAAACCCGACCCCTTTCCTTCATCCGGCTGCTATTCAACTCTGTTCGCGGAAGGTTGCCTCTCAATCGGGAGATTTAAGGAAGGCCTTTGATATCGTTTACCGAACTATCTCTCTTTTGGAGCGTGATACCCAACAAAAAGCTGCTTCTGCTATTATTACTAGCCCCTCCAAAGCACCTCTACTCGAAAACAAGAATCTGGCATCAACACCGGTATCTATTCCACAGCCGACGGAGCACACAGTTGCCACCGCTCCCCGAGCAACAGTAGCCCATGTCGCTCGAGTCACTTCATCTACTTTCGGGAACGGCACAACTGAAAGACTTCAAAACCTAAACCTGCAACAAAAGGCTGCCCTCTGCGCTTTGATTTCATTCGGCAAGAAGCAACAAACTGCCAACGTTGTCTATAAAACGCCTACCAAGTCCCCACGCTCCACTGCGCCTACAAGCAGAGAGCTGTTCGAAACATACTCCGGACTTTGCCGTCGAGATAACGTCCTCCAACCGCTTACCGCGACCGAGTTTAGAGATGTCATCAGCAACCTTGAAACCATGGGCTTGGTTGGGGAGGTCGATGGCCGTGGCCGTGGAGCTGGTTCTCCCGCAGGTTCGGCCGGGCTGTTCTCTACCCCCACAAAATCCGGTCGTGGTAGGCCACCTGCTGTGCGAAACATGATTCGAACAGACGATAGTGGTCTAGTATGCCTTGTTGGAGAAAAGGAGGTGCAAGGTCAGATTTCTGGCCCCGGAGAGGGTATTCTCAGATCCCTGCTTGCCTCTGACGATTATTAAAAGTTTACCTGTTATTAATGTATAATTAGCCACGTCCATGTTTTTTTATGGCGATGCATGTGTTATTATAGCTAGCATACCCTGGTGTTTGGAGTTGTTTTTGGGTCACCTTCTTGTTTCATTGTTCAATTATTTCTATTCTTCTCTTCTAGCTCTGCAATAGCGTTAAGCCTAGGAGTACTGTGTTAAATTAATTATTTACTTTATTGACATCTTTAATCCTCCATACCTAAGCCACTCCCTGATATTCGCCCTTTTAGGTAATTTCGGATATGCGTACTCCACAGACAACTGCATAAACAAGCATGGAGACAATGGCCCCATGGGCAGTGTTTTTCAATATAATATCACGTGATTGGAATTAAAGTTAAGCTCCCGTTAAATGACCCGTTTAGGAAGTTAAGGTGGCCAAGACCTGGTACGAGCTCCTCTTGCTCCACTTTTATCCGTGGCTCTGGCATAAAAGTGTATCCAGCCCTATACAACGTACAACGTAGAATCTTGCGACTCTGAGATTCAGCTTAGGAGTGTTTGAGGCGCAGACATGGCTACGGCCAGGTCAACAAGATATATTGGGCATAAAGTAAATAAATGTAGGCGGTATATAAGATACCTTCTGCAAGGTCCTAGTTGTATATATCAACCTCATTTTATTTCACGCATATACTCGCAAATTATTTTTCATTATCACTAATATACAATTCTAATCAAAGCCAGAGGAGCAAGAAATAAACATGGCTTCCAAGGAGGAAATGATCAAGGAGTTATATCACTATTTCCCGAACAAAGCAGCAGCCATCATATTTGCAGTTCTATACATCGCGTCGTCCATCCTTCATGAAGTTCAGTATAAGTATGTCTACGCTCTGCCATTCCTATCTACTTTAATATCGAACCATAACAATTAAATGCTAACTACACTACTGTGCAGCGCAACGCGGCCTCAAAAGTTCACTATGCCCTTCATCCTAGGAACAACATTTTCTGGTATCGGTTTCGTCGCTCGTTCGTTGAGCGCTCTCAAGGTAGGAGATGCACGCACATTATGGCGTATATCCTCCATGTTCACCCTCGGTGCCGGTCCTACATACGCGGGTGCAGACTACTTCGTATGTGGCCGAATATTCAGCTATGTCAGATCGGCGGCACCAATATCGCCTCTCAGAACCGTCCGAACGTTCATTGTTTTCGATGTCCTGGCAGAAATTGCCGTTTGGGTTGGCGCGGGTATCATGGACGGTAGCGGGGACCCAAATAGTGTTAGGGCAAAATTGGGCTTGAACCTACTTAGGGCTGCGGTGATCATACAGCTCGCCCTATTCATGTGCTTCGTTGTGGTGATATTTATCTTTCAGATACGGGCAACAAGTCGAGGTTTTTGGAAAGCGAGTCATCAAAAGGCTGGTGGGACTCCTGGTTGGGTGAAGGTCACATATACTTTATATGCTTCTTCCTTGTTGATAGCCGTGAGATCGGGGTATCATATTGCTGGTAAGTCCAAGAATCCACCTTCTATGGTCACGTAATAGGCTAACAAAACGATTCAAGAGAATTTTCTACCTTCGGATCATCCATTTCGAGCTACTGAGGCACCATTTCTTTGTTTGGAGGCTCTCATAATGTTTATAAACGTGGCCATGTTCAATGTTTTTCACCCTGGAAGTCTCCTACCAAGCAACCCACACATATACTTGCTCGCGAACGGTACGGAGGAAAAAGATGACAGCTCGGAAGGAACGCTAGAGGATACCAGGCCTTTAATGATGAAAATTGCTGATCCCTTGGATATCAAAGGCCTGTTTAACAGGAAGAAGACCGAGAAACGTTATCAGGAAGGGGCATCAAGAGGAGACGACGAAATGATGCCGGAAAGCGTGAGGATGCTGGAAAATAGGCCGCGCGATGGATTTCACCAATGACGGGAATAGTTGGCCTTGAATTTGTATGATAATACTCCATTTTCGTTTGTCAGTTAAGTATCTACCTTTGAGTGAAATCCTTGACGCACGGGGGCCGGATGCATAACAGCAGTTCGCTTTATAGTGTTTCTGATCGCTTTCCAGGCTTTGAAGTTCGTAAATATCAAAAAGGATCCGGCTCTCAAGAAATCAAATAGGCTTAATGACATTGTCTTCAATCAAGCAACGTCATTAGCTCCTTATACTGTAGTACATAAAGCCTTGTAGCTAGAACGCTGTCTATCTGTCATGGATATCTAGCACCGTGAAAAACGAGGGATGGAGCACTCGAATAAACAAACCAATTAAGTATAGGGCCGAGGGGCAGAATAAGGTAGCACAATATAAAACACACTGGAAACAAATGAAAGCATAATACAAAAGAACGTATCTAAGGTTAAGTAAGGTAAGCTACTGAGGCTTTGGGAGTAAAATAGGAGAAAATGTTGGGATATCGTTAAATCAGTTGCTCTTGACATAATATCATGACAAAAACACAAGTCAAAAGGATAACGAAAAGGATAAAGGAGGGGTGACAATATTCTGGGTTGAAACAAAGTCAGGCTAAATTTAATCATCAATCGGCTTATCTTCCAGTGTTACTCCTATAGGTTTGGGGGCGGGAACATCATGCCCGGCACCGTCGGCTTCCTCTCGCTTTATGCCAGTAATGTGGCTGTACCGACTGGAGCGAGAAAGAGATCCTGTCTTCTGAACCTCGCCAGTCATAGATGGAGGGACTGCTGAGGCTGCGATTGTGGTTGGTGGTGTGGAGGCTCGATCAGCAGATGGAGCGTTGGTAGAGGGTTCTACACCGTCAGCAGCAATAGTGTCTTCGCCTGTGCCATTGGTATGAGTGGTTGCGGTGTCGGCAGGAGCCGCCGTTGTGTCACTTCCAGGTACCTCGAGGGAATGGCGTACAGGCTTCCGTTCTGAAGGGGCCGCACCAGGTACGCTAACGGGGAACCGGGTGCTCGATCCTGAACTTCCGACTGATCTGTCGCGGCGGTGGCGAGGAGATGGAGCCGGACTCGTGCCCCGAGCCCGGCTTGCAATTGCACGGTTCCGTTCTTCCATATTTGCCCGTCGGTTACTTTCATCAGTGCTAATAGCACGCGGTCTTTGGGCGGCAGCGCTGCTCGATTTGCTGGATAGGCGTCTAAGTTCCCCAAAGATTTGCTTTTGGTTGACAATCAAGTCACGCACGAGGCGGTGGCTATGTCTTTCATCCATAGTTAAATGGTTCTGGACACGAGGGCGCAAAATACAAGGGGCTAGTCCTGGTGCAAGGGCGGAAATGTATATTTCCTCGCGGGTGGAGAATTGGTCTTTTTCAGGGATGGTGAGATCAACGAGGCGCCAGAAGTGAGTAGTTATGGCATCTAGAGTGGCGATATATGGAAGAGGGAGTTGTCCAAGAGTGCTTTGAAGGACTCTGATGCGGTTTTCATCTGAGGTGTCGCGAGTCGTGGTGTAAATTGTGCGGAAGATTTCATATAACTTGGAGGAGACGATTGAGTCTATACTATATTAGTATGATATTGATTGCGGATAAGAAAGGTGGGAACTTTACCAGGGAGCTCTAAAAGGTAGAGCCTCAAAACACTTGCGACAACAGGCATTTCGAACTCTCGCAGCTTCTCTCCTATGGCGTCTACTTCGTCATCTACCTTCACCACCGGCCCAGAACGACCTTTATTCAGCTTTGCGCGGAGCTTATGGGTCTCGGACAAAGGAACATCGCGAAGCCATATTGCTCGTCGAGCGTCGTCTCCTTCCAGATCAAGATAATCTTATCATCGTCAGCTGGAACTTGGATTTATATATATATATAATAGGTTAACGAGTACGGGGTGCTTACGTTTATCAAGGTACGTCAGAATACCAGTAACCAGGATTGGAACCCGTTTTTTACCTTCCGCCGCGGTTAGGGTCTCTAGGTCAACACCAAAAGTTTGTTCTGAAGATTATTAATTAGTATTAACTTCGGTTGGTCGGTATTTGAGAAGATAGAATTATAGCTCACCTTGTGTGGACTTCGATCCGCTTTCATAAACGACAACTTTTGGGCAGAACGAGCCAGTGCGATAATTTTCTAACATGTAACGCAAGTCGCCCTGTGGCTGCATAGCCTCGTGATGTAGAACAATATTGTCCATCGAACTCTTTAGGGATGGAATGACGTTGCTGATCGTGCTCGAAAAATCTATAACAACGGTTTTGATGCCCTCAAGACGGTGTAGTTCGCATTGTTGCATGAATTTCATGGAATGTAACATTTCCTCCTCGAGCCTGCAACGGATAGCATCTAGATATTTAACGGCGTGCTTGTATCGCTCATCAGCCTCATCAGCCTGGCGTTTAAGAATTTCCATTGGGGTTTCATCAGAGAGCTGGTTTTTTAGCGGGTTCCAGGCTGCAAATCGCTCCGTCAGAGTAGGGGAATCGATCGGGGTGTCATCGCTTCCCGTTCCGGTGCTCGTGCGGCTTAGTGTAGTACCGGAGCGAGTTAGTGGTTTTTTCTTCTCCGGGACTCCAGTCATCTGAAATACACGCTTATCCCACTGGTAAGTCGATCTCGAGCTACCGGTAAAGGTGGTGTTGACAAGGGGGTTAGGGCCCATGGCACCGATCGAGGTAATGAAGCCATTATCAGCCATGTCCTGGCCAATCCGTTCGGCATAGCTGAGAGAGGAAGCACCGAGGTGCTTCTGTAGATACTCAACAATATCCGATCCGAGGGACGTATTGAGGTATGTTCCGAGTAAACGCACCTTCACTTCTCCCATAGGAATAGTCTCTAGCATATGCTTCAACACCTGCTTCAGCTGCTCTGGTGTATATATCAGATCACCCAATTCCACCGGTTCTGGGTCTTCTTCTGCTTCAGGTAGAACAATGGTGGGGGCTTTCAGCGTCAGTTGTTTGTGCTTTGGGCTTGCAGTAGCGCTTTCAGGTTCCTGGAAGGCGAATAGTTCCTGTTGTTCGCGGTCGTGAATCTGACGACACTTGCTCAGATACTTTTCGTTCAGATTGCTCACTTCCTCGCATTGTTTAGAGTATTCCTTGAGCCGTGCGGTGAGGGCTTTTTCGTAGGTGAGAACGCGGTTTTCGTGTTCGCTCGCCCAGCGGCTAAACTCTTGAATGACGAGCTGTTGAATGCTGCTTGAAATTTTTTGGTGGATGCCTTGTTCTTCTATCATCTGCTTGCGCATGCATTCAAATGCCTTCTAGATGTTAGTAAAAAAACGTTTAACCAACATATAATGATGAGGCTGAAAACTAACCTTCCGAACGCTGGCACCGTCATCACGGTCGAAGCCGCCGGTCTTCCGTTCAAGAGCCGGAGCAATGGCCCCGAGCTGTGCGGCATATACACGTTCTGCCTCAGCACGCATCTGGGCCATCGTGAGAATCTGCTGGTTCTCCACGATGCCTTGGTGGAGCTTTGTGAACAGGGTGTGGACCCCAGACGCATAGTCGGGAGTCCAAAATGAGTCCGCAAATTCCGGCATTGTCACGGCGCTACGTACGGATGTGAAATAAGGAAAAATATCGAGTATACCCGGGGTTCGTCAGGCGTTATGGAACGGCGTTGGCCGGGATAGTTCGGTTGTCGCGCGTGAACTGGTAGAGAACTGAAGCAAGCTTGAACGAGCGCTCGGGATGCGGTAGAAACGAGGTCGGAGAGCAGATCCAGCTAGCCCAGAAAACAAAACATAAATGACAGGACGTAAGAATGATATCCGAACGAGAGAACGGCGTCGACGGAGAAGGGTGAAGCTGGAGATTGCGCTGATGAAGCTGTGAAGAAGCAAGGAGGCTGTACTTACGTAGTGGCTGAGCTAAGCAGCACGTGAGCGTATCAGAATGCTTATATAATATCCACTTTATCCCGATATAGCTTAGCGCACCACCGAGTTTATCCGATGTTTCTCCGACAGTTTATCCGGGTCCGCCGGTTTCCATTTTTAGAACAGCTGACGTATAAATAGAAAAAGTGGCTCCGTTGGGCGCTTGTCAAAAGGACGACGAGAAACGCCGTGGTCGAGATCAACAGGATCACCGAGAAACAAGACGGATGTCGGGTTCTGGCAGCATGGACGAGCTCCACATAATAGGGGGAATACAGCGGCAAGCTGTCGACGTTGGCTCGAAGGTATTCGCGCAGATATAGCCACAAAGACATTACAGCCAGTCAAAGAGTAACAGATGCTGCTCCTTGGGGAAATAGGGGAAAGGCGACAAACTAATGATTTTGGCTGTTTAGGGGGTGACGTCATCTAGAGTGAGACTTTTAAGGAGTATTGACCCAAACAAACAGTTTGTTAAGGGTATCTCCTTTACTGAGTGAAGATAATTGGGCGATTGATTGCTTCAAGATTCTGGATCTACGCTTGCTTACATCTATCTGACCTGAATGCGAGTTCTAGTAGGCTGCCACTGAAATCGAACTTTACGAGGCACAGAGCTTTCATGAAGGTCAAGTCATGTTTGGTGAACTGCAGACGGTACAACTCTGGAACCACCAGTGAAGGTAGATCACATATTCTCTCTAGTATCCATTTCTTGTCTAGAGGAGTTAGATTTGGTCTTTAGGTGTCTTCAGCAGAATGATTGCTCAATCACGCTACTGACTCGCCAGTTAGATAAAAACCGCCAGTATCGAGTGGTTTGCGGAACCTCGCGATTGCATACCCGGGTACCAGGAGACATGTATAAAAGAAAATAGAATAAACAAGAGAAGGATTAATAAACGTAGCTGAGGCGGACCAACCCATCCAAAACCCCAGGTCGGACTTGCCCTGTCCGGCTAGAACAGGCATTAACAACCAAGGGAAGACGTTATTATAGCTCATGAGCGTATATATACAAGGGTCATACATATCGTTTCATATCAAATAGGCCAACATACCAATAACCCAATGATCTACCCCCCAAACACACAACCATGTCCAGCCAACTCAGAGCTCCAAAACACCAACCGTTTGCAAAGCAAAGATGATCTATACAACAAAATGCAACACTATGTGAATCAAGAGGTCAGCAGAATATCTTATAAAATTTCTTCCAAGCCGGCCACTGTTCTCTCTCCTCCCTCTCTTCAGAAATCAAATCGCCCAAATCCAAATCCCGCCTACCAGTCTTTAAATCCATATCTTTGGCCCGGACGATCGAAGTCCTGAACCATATTTTATATGGGACATAGAATATTAACACGATGGGCGCTGCAAGATATACGGAGAACCAATTCTGTATATGTCCTTTGAGAGAGTTCTCGGGTAAATCGATTGGAAACATGCCAATCCAAAACTGTGCTATGAGTACTAGCATGTTGAATACCAGGCCGATGTAAGAGCCGATCACGCCAGGTTGGGATCGGAAGGTGAGTTCGTCCAGAGAGTGGCCTTGGGCAAGCCATCCGCGGCGGAAGCGGATATGTGCTAGGCAAATAGATGACCAGGTCATGATGGCGGATAGGCCGGAGATAGCTATCATCCAAGTAAAGGCCTCGTCACGGTGGCTCGATGCAGCGAGGAAACAGAGCATTCCGGCTGCGAATGCGACTAGGACGGCGAAGATGGGTCTTCCTCGACGGTCGATGTATGCTAAGAAACGGGGAGCCTGGTTCTGCTCTGCCAGTGCGGCTAGGGTGCGTGAAGAGCCGTATATCGCTGAGTTACCGACACTAAGGACGGAGACCATGATGACGGCGTTCATTACGGAGTCAAGGCCAGTGATACTAGCGTTTGTGATGGAAATGACAAACGGAGAAGCCGTAGATTCTGTTGAGGTTGCATCTGAGGTGGCTTGGAGGAGATGACTGTCGGTGTAGGGCACAAGAAGTCCTACCATTGTCAGAGCTATGATGTAGAAGAGCGCTATGCGCCAAAACACCTGCTTGACCGCCGTAGGAAGTGATTTTCGTGGATTAGTTGCCTCGGCAGCAGCGAGTCCGACCAGTTCAGTACCGGTGAAGGCAAATGCGGCATTGACAAAGCAGCTGCATAGTCCCTTGATGCCGTGGTTGAACGCTCCTGGATCACGCCAGTACTTGCCACCAATATAACTCCCATCCGGGCCGCCAGCAACATTGAGCACAATGCCGAGAATTCTGCGCTCGTTAGTAAATGTGCGACTGAAGCTTCACCTCAACGAGCCATTGCTTACATGTATCCCACGACGGCGACGACTTTGACGATTGAGAAAATAAACTCCGCCTCTCCATACCCCCGTACGCCGAAGAGGTTAATCGCAAAGATGAAAAGGTAGAAAATCGTGACCCAGACCGCCGGCGAGAGAGGAGTGGAATGGTTCCAATACGACACCGTCACGGAGGCGGCCACAATCTCCAGTGGAAATACAACAAGCCATTGGAGTGCATAGTTCCAGCCCATTGCGAAGCCCCAGGCCGGGTCTAAAAAGCGAGTAGAGTACGCCGAGAAAGATCCGGCAACGGGAAAGAGGACAGCCATCTCTCCGAGTGCGTGAACGGTAGCATATATCATCACACCGACGAGGAGGAAGGCAATCAATACCGAAGCCGGGCCGCCGGTTGATAGCGATTTACCCGATCCAACAAACAGGCCGGTTCCTGTACAAGGGAATTAAGCATTTCAAAACCATCATATATTTTTTAGCGAAATGCAGAACATACCTATCGACCCTCCAATAGCGATCATCTGCAGATGCCTGCCTTGCAACCTACGCTTCAACGGCGAATTCGCGGTCGCCGCCGCCGCACCCGCAAAATCAAACTCCGTTCGGTCCAAAAACGGCGTGGACTTAGTGATGGTGAGCTGTGCGTCCGGATCGCGCTTGAAGCCATCGATAAACCACCGTAAGAAGGTTGCTGCCGCCGTCGGCCTCCGCCCTTCCTCGTAGATGACTGGAGTTTCCGGCACTGGGCCGTGGAGGTGGCGGGGGAACTGCCTCGGCGGCTGATAGTATGGATATGAGTGGGAGCGAGGGACTTCTACTTCGAATGTAGATTTGGGGCGGCGGGTGGCGGACACAGATGAGCTGCGGGCGCCATACTGGTCCCTGTCTCCGTATGGCATGGCGAGGAGTCTTGATGGGCGAGCGTAGAGTTGAGTGATCCTAGGCCAGGACCATCACAGCGGTATGTATTTACAGCCGGATCGAATGCATGGGATCGAGCAAGAGACAGTTCCGCCGCATATATGAAGGGGCGAGACGACGAGACTCTAGAGGCAGCTTTGAAACAGGTTCAGGACGAACGGCTGGCGCGGTAGAGAGGAACCAGGAGCGAGATGGGGACAAATGGCATCTTAACTGCCAGTCGTAATCGAACTAGCTGGGCCAAACGCTCCCCCTCGTCCAGTCGCAGGACCAAGACCAGGACCAAGGCCGTAGGATATTAACCACAACCCCGATGTGGGCGAAGCGCCGGGAGATATGTATACTGGCGGGCCAACCGGGTCGAGGGCAAGGGAGGGCACCCTGGCGTCTTTGCTGGCAGCTTCCCGCGACAATGCTCAAAGATGAATGCCAGATCGTCGACGGCAGCGTCTTGTCGCACTGCATTAGTTAACACGAAGCCGGGGACCCAAATGTGCGTGTGAGAGCCAGGGGGGAGCTTCGCTGGCTGCAATTCGATGCAGGCCGGCAAGTTCAACGGCGAAACTTCGTATAAGCTTAAAGAATGCATGGATGAAGCTCATGTCTGGGTCGAGCACTCGGGTTCAGCCTGACTTAGCGAAACTTGCCACCATTCGCTGGCTCGGCTGTTTTCTCTCCTCCGTATCAGACGAGAGAGAGAGGCTGTCCAGGATGTCTGCGTATGATGGCTCAGCCAGGCCAGTAACGCCGTCAAATCGGCGTATAAGCCGGCAACCATACTTATAAAACGCCATGCTTCTCGTATCCATGCGTGTGGCTTTTGGTGGATACGGATCTCTGCGGCATGAATAACTGAAGAGTTGAAGTCGAAACCTGGTCGAACCGATGGCATGTTCTCTATCCTGTATAGACGCGATCAGCCGGCTATGTCGAACGAAGAACATAGGTCCGAAGTCAAGAGCCGGTGAATGGCCGCCAAAAGCAAGCTCAACTGCAGGTCATCCAAAGATCATCAGCACTAATTACGTTCAATCGACGCCCACAAAGTCTTATCAACGCTGTGCAGCCTAAGGCGTACAGGGTGCATGGCCCAAACTCCTGTTGATGTTCATGGACGGCATATAAAAGTGGTAGTTCGACTTCTGCACCCTGGATCAACTGCCCTTTAGATACAGCCAGGATGAAGATCTTACAGCGGAGATCTTGACCGTCGAGGACGATAGATCGATGGTTAAAAAGCATGCCCTTCTTGGCTGTTTCTCGGTATGGCCAGAGTCGGCAGCACAAGAATCTACTCCGTTCAAACTCGAAGGCATTATTTACATCCTCTAACGCTTCCCAGGCAAATGCATTTACCTAAAGCGGTTATGTTGTGACTTCACAAACTCCAATCAACGCCCTATCAGTTGATTGGCCGCCTCTGAGAGTCACCAACATTTAATGATGGAGTTTATTGGGCACTACGGTCTCCAATATGTAACTAATGTCAGTTGGTGACTACGAATCTCCTCTGTTAAGAGATAGCTTGTCCATGCTTCTCAGAGAGATGGCACAGAGCAGACCGTTACCCTTTATACCCCTTCACCAGATGATGGCTGCCACTATGCTGGCCATCTACTTTGCACACTGCCGACAGAGATTATTGAAATAACTGCCGCCTTCCTTGAGCCTACCGATCTAGCTTCGTTTCGGAGTACGTCCAGGCTCATCTACAACAGTACCGAGCGCTGCTTTGGTGTCTTGTTTACGGCCATAAAGACCAATCTTTCCGCTACAAGCCTACGGAAACTCATCCTTACATCTAGCCATCCACGCCTGAGTCACTATGTCCAATCCCTTGACGTGGAAGGCGGACATTCGAGACTAGGGGCCGAGCTATTGTGGGATCGAGACCCGTCTGGCTACCTCATTATCCCGCAACGCCGGGTACAAATGATATCTGATATCCTAGTCTCCCTTATTAACTGTCACTCATTCAAAGTCGGTTATGGAGGTGCAATGGAGAAGGGGAACTATATATCCAATGTCCTAGGACCGAGCGACGCTACCAGGACCATCATTTATACCATTGCTGAGAATGCCTTGCCACTAAAATCACTAGAGTTGGATTGGGACACCCAGGGGGCTCTTTCAGCTAACCATAGTATGGATGCAAAGCTTTTGGGCTTGAATGATCTTCGAAAACCAGGATTTTTCATCGCCGTATCCTATCTTTAAGACCTCTTGCTGTTTTTCGACGTAGTGCCTGACACTATCGATTGGGCCTTTGAACTTATCCAGGGTGCCACCACCTTAAGACGTCTTCAATGCAATTTGGGCGTTGAGAAGGTAACTATCTCACTTTTCCAATAGACACGCTACCTCCCCTACAGGAGATTGTCTTTCATTCCACTATTTGGTCGTCACCGGAAGCCCTGCTTGCGTTTCTCCGACATTGGCGCTTAAGCCTCCGCAGTCTTGCCGTGGATTTCCCAAGGAATTTATGTCAGGATTTACTTTTACTCACGCATCTCGCCCCAATGAGAGAATATCGGGCGTAGAATACAATGGATCGAGTATGAAACTGGCCCTGCAAATGATTTTAGGCTCGATGAGGAGGGCTAAAGTAATTCGTCGAATCTGTAGCGCCATTATCCCCGCTATCAACCACCCTGCTGACTATTAACTGTCAGACGGGCGAGAGATATAGGACATCGGTATAGCGTATCTATAGAGGAAAAAATCAGGTACTCAGTGTATGGAGATTCAATTACGTATAAATCGTATTCAGTGGTACTGAAATGCCTATAGATATGAACACACTCCAGGAAAAGGGGGTGACCTCAGTCGTAAACATGCAGAAAGTTGCAATTATCGTGGCAGAAGAAGTCCAAGTTCCTTAACGAGTGGTCTGGTCCAATCATAAGTGAAAGCGGCATGACCACACCCAACCGATGCTTCACCGAACTTTTCCTCATAGTTCAAAATACCGTCCTGTGCAAGGTACCGGATGATATGTTCCTGTCCGCCTACAATGGCGTGAAAGAGGACTTGGGATTCATAAGATATTGAATAGGTCTCCAGCATCAGCTTCAATGACTTTAAATGTCCATACCTCGCTGCCTTTTGAATGGGGGTATAAACGTCGTAAGTTCTCGGATTCGGTGAGATACGATCTAGATCAGGACCCGTTTCTAAAAGAAGAGAAATAATTTCATCGTATCCATGACCAGCAGCTATTGACGTGGGACATGCTAGTATCAACGAGGATCCCTTCGGATCCAGCGGAATAACTGAAACCCCCTTGTTAAGTAGCATTCGGACCACATCAACAGCACCATTGTCGCAGGCCACGCGGAGCATCCGATGCCGGAAACGGTCAAGAAATTCTGGCGGCATGGATTCTAAATCCCCAACGTCCACAAGATGGTTCACGATGTCTAAATGTTTCCCTTTAGTAGCGTTTAGTATCGCCATGTGATAATGGAAACCGGTCAGTGGAACATTGTACTCAGGCAAGAGAAGTATTTTGATAATTTCCCATTTGCCGGCGTAGCATGCTAACTGTAGCGGAGTTACAGCGAATATTTCAAAGTTGTCTACCTCGTATCCGTCGATCCAAGTGCATCGCCTGTCTGACTGAGTGATAAGCTGTGAATCCCATGTAAGCATATTAGGTTCTGCGCCGGCTTTGAGGAGTAGCTTGACTGTGTCGATATGCCCATAAAATGCTGCAAGGTGAAGGGGAGTCCCGAAGTAGTTGCTGGCGTCATTACAACCAATACTACCCTGCTGTAGTAGGCTTTCTACCAGAGTAGTGTTTCCAACGCATGCTGCAGCAGGAAGCAGGTGCCGAGGGCTATCTGGAGGATAAATCTGCTGGGGAATATGGCCAGGAAAGGTATCTGAGACAAGGATGGATGAATATCCATCTTTTTCAGAGGGAAAGTAGTCCGAGCGGAGTGCAGAAAAGATAGTTCGAGTTGGTAAAATCGTAAAAAGCGCTTTCGATAATATAGTGGTATAATTATATACGCTTTCATCGCATGTTGGGTCGCTGCTTGAAAGTACCAGGGTCTTAACTGTGGTGCGAATGGTATTTATCAAATTGTTAGGCTTGCATCCACTTTTGCTTAAAACCTGAAATCGTAGATAATCACGACCGATGCGTTCCGAGGGAGAAATCCTCATACAGCTGCACTCCGCTGCGAATATTCGGGTTGAGTTAATAGCCCTCAGGATTTCGCGATCGAAAAAGCCTAGTGTGAAAGGTTGGTTAGTTAATCAACCACAGAGCTTTTACAAAGTGATGAATAGGTGACTGATGAATAGGTGACTGATGAATAGGTGACTGACTGGAGACGAGCCTCAATCTGAGGAAGACCTTAAACCCGTAGTACTCAGGCCCGGCAATGATGATGAGCTGATCAAAGATCTCTTGCCAGATCTCAGGCAACAGGGAATCCATGGCGGAGGCTGGGAAACGTGCAAAACGAGAATCAGCATAGAATGTTGGTGGTTATGTAGTTAGATAGAGGGGGATTCAGGGGTATTATATAGGCTCTTGTAGATCCTTGTCGCTTCCAAGTAGGTATAACATTTTACGTATGCCCATGCACAGTGATTAGTAGGCATTGGGGCTACTGCAGTCTCTGACATCACATACTCTGTATTTGCTGTATAATCACCCGACTGTACTCTAGTCATACCGTGGCCACAGCAGCTCATGCCGTAGTTAGATGAGAAATGGCTGCCGCCACACGGTATACTAATGGGACCAGGGGACAAAAGGTCTATATCGAAAACCATTGAATAACCATGCCCACAGGTAATGGTAATTGGTATAGAAGGTGGAAGTTACATCTGGTTATAACTTTCCTACCAAATGACCACTAGTTAGTTATATTATATCCAGGTACGAGTACCTAGCTTAGTCTACAAAAGCTTGATCATCATGCATTGATATTGTGATATATATTTTTCTATTGGTAAGAAGTACTTCTAGAACAAACGGCATTAGGCCAACTAAAAACAATTACCATCTCTCTTACTCCCAAACCGTGTGAGACCAAAAGACAAGCTCTGAAAGACTAGCTTTGCATATCCCTGTCCATCACAACTGATCGACTATAACCCCAATCGTCTCTACCTGCTTCAAGCTCTTCTTAGTTCAGATGTCCTAACTCAATTAGGAGCGCATCATCTATATCATACGTGTGGATCCCAACCACCTTGAGGTCGCCAAATTCCGCACGGTGATCAGCCAGCATACGAAAGGTGGATTTGGCGTTTTCTGTCCCTGCTAAGCTGTTGAAGGCATTGTCCTCGTCTGAACCAGGCTTCGACGGGCGAAATATATGCTCTTCTCTCTCGGAAATCTTGAGTTTTTCCCGAGCCGTCCTTATCGTCGCCCTTGTTTCCATATTTGTAATCGCGGTTTGACTTATATATTTAAAGTCTCTCGGTCTGCCTCCCGTAACCTTGATGCCCTGGTATATCATGTCAGAGTATGGTAGACGTACGCTGTCTGGTAAAAAGTCATTCCTGGAGAAGGATTTCGAGATATGAACAAAGTTTTTTTCCGGACTGTAATATCCCTCGTGAATTTGGCGGTAGTTGGACTTAACCTGTGTAAAGAGATCCTCCTTGTTCAGAACTGCGATAAACGTAGACGGTTCTTCCTCGATCGCCCCAAGCCTTTCCCTCATTTTTGAGACAGGTATTCTTATATCTGAGCGGATCTTGAGTGTATTGTAATAGTAATCCAAGGGTGGCCTGTCCACATCCGGTCTCTTGTCCGAAATAGCATCATCAAGTATCTTTCTCACCTCCGCCCCTTTCCTTCCGTATCCTTCATATCCCAGGTCCTCTGAGGCCCCGGGAATTCTTCTCTCGTCAAACGACCCATCTTTGGGTCTAGAGTGCAAAACTGGTGGCGATGGCTCTTGTGGAGTTGGGGGAGGGCGGTTTTCTCCCGGCCCATGGGCACCTTGTTGACCTGGATGAGGCTCATTGGGGTTACCTCCTGGCTTCCCTCCTCCAGACTTGCCCCCGCTTGGGCTCGGGGGCCTAGGGATAATTGGGGGCCTTCTGACGCGCAAGCCAGCAATTAGTTCATGCGGGCCCTTAGGCAAATTTGGGCCAGCTGTGACAAGTAGTTAATATATACACCGTTCTTAGAAGGAATTTCATGGAAAACGTGAACTACCATCGCAAGGCTCGACATCGCAGCTTCGCTTTATGTCCCCTAACTTTCCACCTGGTATTGTCCGTGCGGCCGCAAAGGGTTCCAGGGAGGCAATCGCTGCCAGGAGCGGGATAATTTTGGAGACGTCGAAACGCATTGTATCTCGAGTAAGATGAAGCTAAGAAGTTAAGGTGTAATCAATCAGATATTCAGTAGAATGGTGGCTTTGTTTGATTTCCTAATATTGGAGTCGAATGGAGTATGGTATATTTATATCTTGATCTCCAGACACCATCATACCGTTCCTCGCCTTAGGACCGCCCTCGGTCTCCTTAAAGCACAATAGTAATTGCCATGGTGCCTCCATCAAGGATCAGTAGTGCAACTACTAATCCCCTTAGTAACTACAGCGAATGTAACATGGGTTTCATCCAACATATAGTGATTAGTTATCTCTGTCATATTTAAAACTGCGGAGCTGAAGCGCTGTTTGGAAACACCTGGAGCAAACAAGTCACTTACTCTCCTCCCATCCATTCGAATGGGCGGCATATATCCACGGACGATTATGTTCCTTGCTAGGCTAGGCTTCGCCGCTTCACTGGGTCATCTTGCGTTTCCGCCCTCGCATAAATCAGTTTGAGCCAACAAGCTGACGAGGCCGCTGTGATAGATGCATCCGCATAGCTGATGTATCAACGTGCAGCGCTGATATTTCAAAGTGTGGTGCTGAATGTAGTGCTGGGATATCAATGTGATTATTCTGATACACTAATTTTTTTGGCCAATTTATGTTGGAGCGGAGCAACTGAACGGCCTTATAGTGATGATGATTGGTGGCAGTAGACTGTACCCCCGGAGAAGAAATAGCAGAGATCTTGGTATTCAAACAACCGAGTAGATACATAGGTCGTAGATGGATATCTGATTGGAAAGGGTGGTAAAATATACTCCGGGTACGGATTATGTATTATCCGAGTTTAATGACATGACCCCTGAATGCATAACTGTCAACGTTGGATGTTACAGATATCAGGTTAATAATCAATAAACTATGACAAAGATCCCCATCGTCATCCAAGTTTCGACGCATAAACAGTTTATGAACATATGTTTGACTCAGTAACAGCATGCCGTTATTAAGTCATATCGTTATTAAGTGCAGCGTTGGTGTATCAGCATGCCTGAGCCAGCTCGAGATCACCTATTCTAGCGCTATTCTAGGATATTCCCGTCCAGCCGTGTCATCTGCCTCCTTGAAGCAAGAGTAGAATGTCTTCTTGACTGTCTGGCTTTACAAGCTGCTGCCATCGTTTCAGCATGCTGGGGTTTGAAGACGGACATTCCTTTGGAGCTTGCTGGGACTGCGTAATAATATCGACATGTCCCCGAACATATTCCCATGGGTATAAATAGGAGCGAGTGAACCCTCTATTGACATTTTATTTTCTTGATGGCAACATCAATCATATCAATTTCATTTCTGCTACACCTTTTACAGCAGGCAGATTATTCCCAATCACCCCGAGGTTTCACCTTCAAATATGGGTACTGTTTTCAACGGTCTTCTCCTTGGGATCTCAGGCCTTTCCCTATTCCCACTTGCAGATTTATTTTTCCCAAAGCGTGCCGAAGCCGACACCATCGTTCGTGTCTCTGCCGCACTATCACAGCCTGGCGAGAAAAGTTTTAGCCCCGGGGGCAACACGCCAAATATAGCACTGTTCAATGAGAAGGGAGATAGGATTGGATTCAAGAGCGGGAAAGGTCATGGCAATATTGACGAGGGGCGATTTGCGGATATCAGTGTCTCCCCGATCGATTCCAAAAATACCGAACTTCCAACATATATCTCTATCAGTGCTTCAGGCACCGATGCCATCTGCATTTCATCTATTGCTGTAACACCGCCTACAAATGCCGACTACTTTGCGTTTCTCGGGGATACTGCGAAAGCGTGTGGAGCAACCTGGTACTATTCTAGTCAGCCGATCAAGACGACTGACGAAAGTGGCGACATTAAATATTACAAGCCAGCGTGCTTTTGGATCGATGGGCCAGGCGACAATGGAAAAACTACAGGCAATCTCCCCCAAGGAATCGGCATTCATCTGACAGATTTTGTTGGAAATAAGAAACGACAAGCACAATACCAAGCGCACAATGAGATAATGTGCAGCCGCCCTAGGTTGCATATGTACGATAGATTGGATGAACTAAACTGCTTACCTGTTTTCAATCCCCCACTCAAGGACCAGAACCTCGATGCAGACCTCAAGGAAGCACTGACAGACGGTAAAGTTATGTGCCATCCGGGGCCCGGTGAAAAGGCAACAGCGGAGGAGATATTACACCTACGAAAGGTTAACTTAGGGCGAATTCCAGTTCCAACTTATGGAATCAAGCACAAGAGGGGGGAGGTCACCGAGCTGAAAGAGAGAGCGGAAAAGGAGCCCAGGAACGCTTGCTTCAACAACGATATCATTATTAGTGACTCCATGAGTGCAAAGCAACTTTGCGAACATCCCAACTCGCGCGGTCCTGACTTTGTTTCCAAAAGTGAGGGCTATTATTGCGATATGTGCACGCATGAACTCTTCCCGCTTTGCCGCAAAAGCCCAGCAGCTAAATATCCCAAGGGTTGTTTTGATCTTGCCTCCAAAAAAATCCGTCATGTTGGGGATATAGCTGCCCGCGGTAATAGTATGATTATACCAGACAAGAATTACCAGAACATCAGAAACTGGGAATGAGGGTTTGTTAGGATAGACGTTCAGGTCCCATGGGTATGATTGGATTTGCACGGGTATACAGCTGGAGAAGCAGGCCTTGTAGAGGTCACCGCCTCTGTGTGAGCAAGCAGCAGCTAATAAGTGTAAAATTAGCAAATAGTGCCATCAACTTCACATTTTATATGTATCAAAAGCTCTAACTAGATTACTGCAGGTGTGTGGAATAACTCTAGTCTTCCTGCCTGCCACCAAAGCCTTCAGTAGAAACCATGATGTGACTCTTGTAGGTCGCAAGCTTTTGAAGATCTGCAACGGCTCCAGCCTTAGCACACTGGTCTGGGGCATCAGCAGAATCCCACTTGTCTAGCATTTTTTTAATCCAATTTTCAACAAAATCTTTTGCTTTTTTCTCCATCCCATCTAAAAGGTTTTCAATAAAGTCGTCCCAGGCTGCGACCAGGCTTACCTGAACCCCATATTTCTCGTTGTATGCAAGAACAATGTCCTCAAACACCAATCTAAGGTTATTCTCGATCCTATTAAGGGACCTCAGGACAGCCGGGTGGCTTAAATATTTGAACACTGCGATCGTGGTTTGAATAACAACAATTGCGGGGTGGGGGTCGTCCAAATCATAAAGCGCCTGCATTCTAGTCTCGGAAGCTGGGTTCTTGTTTGACCATAGCTATTGGCACGCCATGGTTAGTGATAGGGAAAAGCAGAGCAGTTAGGGGCTTGTTTACATACAATTGCTTTCATTCCATTAATGCCTGCTTGAAGGAGCCAGAAATCCTGATTATTAGCTGTAGAGCCTAGAGCGTCCATTATTCTGTCATTTGGGGATGGTGACTGATAACCACCAGGGAATGACGGTGGTGTACGCTCATCGATGAGGAATGTGCCAAGCTGTTGGAAAAATTCACATGGTATTCGGTCGTACGTTCCTGTTCCATATAGATATTTGCCTTGACTCGCATACTCGAAGAAGATCGTAATGGTCTGTATCTCAAGAAGGTGTTCCGCTGTAAAGTTATTTTAGTAGGAGTTCTTGAATGCTTATTTGGTATAATTTTGAGAAATTAACTCACTATGATATTGGTAGGCCGTCTCTGGGGTTTCAACATATTCGAGGACCTCAGGGTTACCACAGTCTCCGCGGTCCGCCACATCTATGGCTCGATTCCAAATATCATGATTTGCATCCCATCCTCCAGCAGATGTGTAAGGCGCCTGCGAGATCTGAAGTGAGTGGGTATCCCCATCCTTGCAGTAGGCTGTGTACTCTCGTAATTCGCCGCGCTTGTGTAGTTGGCTGGATGCGCGATGTTCCACCACGCTCACACCTCTCTCCATAGTCAGAGCACTACCTTGTGTGCGCCCCGTAGGGGGGTGATTTTTGTCATCCTCGGGGGAACAAACCTCAGCCACATATTGGCAGATGGTACCATGGCACTTGCATTCTTTGTCCTTATCATCAAGCTCTTTATTGAATCCTTTGAGGTCACATAAGAGGTTGTATACTGCATGTACCGCACCTTTGGCTTTCCATATGGCTGTGCCGACAATAAAGGTCTTGAGGGACTTCATGACTAGATTGGGGTACGTACTCCTAACTCCTGTATCCCAATCTTCGACCTGCTTCCTTTGCAAGGCGGTATAAGTCAAAGCTTGGAATAGATCCCCAAGAGTTGTAATCAATATTTCCAAATCCTTGGGCAAACTCTCGTCCCTCTTGGCTATAGAACCATGCGATACTCCTGATATAGGAAGAAAAGATAAGTCGAACGGGCGCTCTGCAGGGCACTGCTGTTTATCTAGGTATCTGTTAAGAGCCTCGCGAAAATCGGTGATACGGGGGTTAGTTTGTGTACGCTCTGTATAGACTGAGGGCCTGCAGCAGAAGGAGTTTGCACCGCCGGTAAAGGCGCACTCATTAGAATGGGTATCCATTGCGAGTCTGATTTTGTCCTCTGGGCATCCTAAAAGGCATAGAGCAGAGTCATAATGCGGATTACCGATACCGCCTGAAAAGTCGTTTCCAAAGCAGTCCTCAAGGGTGTCGTTGGTACGTTTGGTGCCATAACATAGAGCCCTTGACTCCCAACCGCTGATCGGGTTGAGGCGATTGCCCGAATATTTTGGCTTGCACGTAGCACCGCCACTTCCAGTTTCAGATCGAACCAATACCTGATTATTATACTGGTTAACAAATGGGCAATGTCCAGAATCGCAATCAGGGTACCTGGACCACTCGACATTCCGGTAGGCTCCCATGCTACGCTTCTCAACTTTGCAACACGCCGCCTGGTATTTGTTGTTGTTGCAGTACATCGAGTTCGACCCCACTTCGATATGGTCAATTGGACATTCAGATGAACATTTGCCGTTGTTATGTTGATACCATCCACACTCCACCAAACCCGAGTCGTCCGGACAACACCAGGTATTAATAGAGCCCTTAGGACAGCCAGTCTGGTCGAGCATTATCTCACCCTTTTTAGCCTCTTTATCCACTCGGTCAACAACGTGATATCCATTGGGACATGTTTGACCGCAGCCGGTCCATTTACACTGCTTGACTGGATCACGAACATCGATATAGACTTCATCATTTGCATCCTTGATGGGAAAGAAAACATCAAACGACCGTTTAGCAGCCTTTGCAAGAGCTTTAGCGTACTTATTATCGGTGGTATCGTGGCTAATAGCCCAAACCATCACGCCTCCTAGGCAACGGAGTCGTGCGTGAGAGGTCTTAAGTGACAGGGTTTCCTCGTCGTCAAAGGTAAGCCATTGATCATCCCATGTCAAAATCTTAACTGCAGCATCTTTGTCTAACTTCGGCTCGAGATTTTTTGTTTTGATAATGTCGTCAATCTCGTTGTTCAATAAAACCCCAGTCTGTTTGCTGCATGGGCCAGGGTCTGATCCAGACGTAAACAGGCAACCAGGGTCCCTGAGAGTCGTGTAAAACGGGGGAGACGTTAGAGAGAATATAGCTATAGGTATAATCGCTTGCAACTTTTTGGGGCTAGATTGAAGCAACTTACAAGCAATTTTTATCCTGGACCGTAAAAGCTCTCGCGTAGAAGCCTAAGCCCATTACAACTTTATTGGGCTCGATGTCATTGCGCCATATCAAATCCAGTGCAAGTTCGATTTCCGTTAAATTTGTATGGGCATTGAGAATATTCCCAGTCCATTTATTCCCTTGAAAAACGGATATATAAGAGTCCAAGTTGATGGTATAAAACGGCAAAAACGGGATATTACTAACCTTTATCCCACGTTCCATGCAAGTCATAGGACATGATATTGAAATAGTCAACATGTGGCGACAGGTTTTTTAAATCGAAATGCTGCAGGTACCAATATGACGCCGGAAGAGTAACGCTAACTTCCCCCCTTCCGCCGGTTGACTTTAGTGCATTTTTTAGATTCGCCATAAAGTCTGGGAATTTTTTAAAGTCTTGTGGTCGGCCGCCCCTATCCTTATCAACAGGATACTCCCAGTCAATATCTACTCCATCAAAATCATATGTCGCCATAAATGATATAAGCGATTTAAAGAATATCCTCTGGTTAGCTTCAGACCCTGCAAGGTCTGAAAATGTAGTCGCCGTTGAGCCAGGGTCATTAAACGCCCATCCCCCAATTGCAATGTTGACTTTGAGGAAAGGATCTCGTCTCTTAAGAGCGGTAACTCGCCTCATAAGATCAACGTCTTTTAAAGTTGCAGGGACAACGTGAAACGTGATTGGGTCAACAAGCGCAAAGGCATAATTGATATGGGTATATAATAGGGGTATAAACTCGGGATACATCGCATAGCATGGTCTGTTGGTCCCAAAACCTTCGTAATAGCCGACCACCCTGTGTAGAGTACTTTGGTTAGGGCAGTTAGGGCGATCAACTTTGATATCTCCTGTGGGTATCCAATTAGCAAAGTAAGAGCCTACGGTTTAAGCAGAGTAAATGTAGAGTATGGACAGATATCAACGTACCACAGAATGGTTTTGTAGTTCCACAAAAACCATATCTACAAACCATTAGAAGATGCTCTAGAAATGATTTTTTTTTTTTTTAAAAAAAAAAAAAAAAAAAAAAAAAAAACATACTTGCTGCAGCAAACGTTGAGTGGGCATTTAGATTTCTGTGCATATTCTAACCCAAAATCACCTGGATCACACTCTGACTTGCGGTCACAAGTAGATAGACAGTTTTCAGGAGCACAGACTTTGTACTCGAGGATTAGCAAAAGGTATTCCCATATAGCAAATCAACCCGAGGCTATAAGAATATTTATAAAAAAGAAGAAAAACCTACAGTCAGGTCCGTAGCCACAAACACCATATTTTGAGCAACATCCCTCCGGGCAATGTTTATTTTTATCGCATTCAAGGCCAGTAGCGCTCACATAATCACAAGTATCGATACAGTTCTGGGGAGACTGCGATATAACTGTGTAAGCTTATGAGCTCAACGTAGAAAGGAAGAAATAACATACACAGTACTTATCACCGATTCCACAGTACCCTTCCCTGAAAACGATGAAAGGTCAGGTCAAACCGCAAATTTTGTGATATTTCGGGGCACAAACTTTGAGCAACAGCCAGTAGAGCATGGATTAGCTCTACTACATGTTTCTGAAAAGACAGATCCGGCAAAAATAAAGACAAGTATCAGAGAAAATGGGCTAACTAATGATTCCTGAAAATTGAATCTCATTTTGTGAGCCCTGTAATGCTAGGAAATCGATATCCTCTTTCAGTTATGACAAGTCCTTGGTCAATACTCCGTACAAATGAGCAAAAAGTATGGAATGGGATGAAATGAGAAGGAAGAATAGAATATTTCACTGAGTGCATTTATCCATAGTGCTTCCAGCGAGCGGTTGATTTCCCCCTTTTTCCCAAACAAGGCAAAAACATAGGCTGCCAGGTTAAGATGGCTCTAGACAAGGCCTCCCTGCCAGGTAATTCAATAGTAGATTAATGCTGCAGGAGAGAGGGCAGGGTAAGGATGACAGGAGAAGGATATTGCTGAAATTCCATGGACGTCCTCCGCGGCGAAGGTAGCTCCTATAATGGATGGGCTAGGTTCCGCGGAAAATAGTCGTGATATCAGGCACAGGGAGCGCATGCTGCTAAAAATTGACCTTCCACCTTCTGATTTGGGACTGGTGAGAGAGAGAGAGAGAAGATGCTGGGTATGAATGTGCCTTGCATTATGCTCCGCAATATGCAGCAAGGTATCTTCACCGACCGCGGCCATAGCATAACGCCCTCCGAAAGGGATACTTCCCGTGGTAGACATATCCCGGAAGGACGGCGTTAATATTAAGGCGATATTAACGCTAGCCTGAAATATTCAGGAGGGGTTGAAAAGAAGGCCATCAAAGCTGCATCAGAAGTGGCCAGACGGAAAAGGAGCCCAAAGAAGAGGCATCGTCTAGAGTACTCAGTACCAGCTCGTCCGTCTCGTCCATGCGCCTCGAAATTGACTTCGGGCTTTGTATGAGTCCGGAGTGATCGGGGATACATCCCAGGAAATATGCGGGTGCGTCCAGCGTATCTGCACGTTAAATGAGCATCTGTAGACAAATATAGCATAGCCTCATTTCCGTCTACCCTGTAGCCGTCAGTAGTTGGGTTTATGCAGCCAAAGGCCCGGCGTGAAAACTCTTTTGGCGCTATAGTTGGAACTAAGCGATACACGTGATGCGAATCTTAAAATAACCTTGGAACACCGTGCACCTACCCCTTAACTTAACCACCTACATCAGACGTCTGGATAACTCTTCTCAAGAGTATATCGAGAGCAAGTTCCCATTGAACTTGTCCCTTTGGAACACTGGTTCTCACAGTTTTAATGATCGAATCCTATCGTTACATCGTCTACAAGTCATATACCCTGAACAGTGCTACGTACTGAGTACTCCGAATACAGTAGGCGTACTGTTCCTGCAAAGCGAACTAATGTCGCACCTTGTTGGACTGATATATCGCCCCGGAAGCTGCATTCTTCCCACTATCTTGTTGCATAGGCTAGCCAGGGACATTGACAACAAATAACCCAGGGGTAGGGGTATACTAATATCGGGAAACGCTCATTATTATAGGCATGGGGCGCATGGACTGGTCACCATCGTCCCAGGTGTATCATAGTATTGTCATGCATATGGCAGCGCTAATGATGGCCAGCTCCTTCTAGGCGTTTGGAGCCCCTACATACCTTCCTGGAGAGTGTACCCCCTGGTAAACAAGGGTGCAATTCTTGTCGTCACATTAAAAATCCCTCCTCACTTGGTTATACGGATACTGCATGGAATAATTAACAATGCATCCCTGGTATTGCAATGTATGGAGTACTCTCCAAATTGTTTATATTTCAATGATGGCTCAGGATGGGGGGTTGATTTTTGTTTTCCCACGCCACAAGAGCGGGCATGGTAATATAACATCCTATATCCTCTTCTAGCTACTCCTCGATTGCCATTACTACCACTCGATCTCGGGAGGTGTCAAGTGTCAACTATGAGTAGGCTTTCAAATTTTGGTAGCCGATGGGCGGCCCCTCATATTTGTTTTCTAATTTCCTTACTTTTTTTGCTCTTCCATCCAATTTTCGCCTCAAGGCATGGCGCACATCACCGTCATGCCAGCTTTCATCACCGTGCTGCCGGCACTGGAATCACCGCCCATACAACATCTTTACCTATTGGAACATCAACGCCGTCATCCGTGGCAGAGCCGAAGAAGCTGGTTGACAAAGCTTTGCACGCGCTTTCAGTGGTCAATAAAAAAAGATTAGAGAACCCCAGTTTCAACAAATACGAGTTTCGCCAGCAATCTGCGTCGTTCAAGGCCCAAACGTTCAGCAAGCCCCCTTCCATCTTTGACTTGGCTGATTTCATTGCAAGGAATAATTCAAGGGCAGCAAGAGCGCTTACTGACTCCGCCGTTGCAAAGGCTGTCAAGGACAAAGAATTTACCTACTATATCCCACCGGATCTCGTTAGTGCTGCACGGATCATAGCTGAAGCGAGTCCCCTCGAGCGCCAACTAGGGAATCATAGTCTAATTGCAGCTCAAATACAAGCAAAGTATAGGCTTAAAGGAAACGACACAAACACCCCTCCGCAGACCTATGTCCAACCCAATGGATTAGAGGGCTATCTTATCTCCCCACTTGATGCACAAGAAGACCTAGTTCCCAAAGCTAATACAACGTCCTCGTTTGGGAAACGGGCTGCTAAACAACACTGGATGGCAACAATAACACAGCGAGGTGCAAGCCCGTTTGCGCCATCTGGGTATAAGGTAAGCAAAATATTCACTAAATTCACCTCTATTATCGAGCTGGTCAGTCCTGCTATGGAGCTTAATTTGATTTCAATCATAACTTACCACCTATTCCAGGTCTGGAGAAATGTTAAAGATTACGGAGCAAAAGGTAAGAACCCCATAGTTAGGTATTTACTTGAAGTCTGACTAATTTCATGGTATAGGTGATGGCGTCACCGACGATACCGCGGCGATAAATAGGGCAATATCTGAAGGAAATAGGTGTGGTGAAAACTGCGGCTCAAGTACGATATATCCTGCTGTGGTATACTTCCCCCCTGGGACCTACTTGGTTAGCTCTCCGATTATCCAGTACTATAACACTCAGTTTCTTGGTGAAGTAAGCCGTTCCCTATAACCATATATACTCTCATGGACTTTTAAGGCTTACAAACTCATAGCCGCATGACTATCCCACCATTTTGGCAGCTTCCAGCTTTGTTGGACTAGGGGTCTTTTCCTCCAACGTTTATATTGAAGGTGGTAATGGAAATTCCTGGTAATAAGAATCCGCTCCTTAATTTACCACTGAAAATGCTAGCCAAATATTTAACTAATTCAAATAGGTATCTTAATACAAATAACTTTCTTAGAAGTATAAAGAACTTCAAAATGGATATCAGACGAACTGATCCAGGCGCATATGTTTGTGCAATCCACTGGCAGGTTGCTCAGGGGACATCATTAGAAAATATTGAATTCTATATGGTGCAGGATAGTACTATAACACAACAGGTGAGCCGAGCTTCTGGCCTTAGAGCGTAGAAAATCCCTTGCTAAGTGGTTTAGGGAATCTACATGGAGAATGGAAGTGGCGGCTTTCTTTCTAACCTCACATTCGTGGGTGGAAATCTTGGGTACGCGTCACTCTCTCATATTTATTTTCCATCAGCCCTTATTTTCATTTGCAGGGCAGAACCGGGCCAAACACTCGCGTATAAACCCCACTAGGCACTTTCCTATTCTAACGAGTGTGGGTTTAGAGCTTATTTCGGGAATCAGCAATTTACAACATCACACTTGATTTTCGTCAATTGCAAGACAGCATTGCAAGTTCACTGGGACTGGGCATGGACAATGCAGGATATCATAATTGAATCGTGCAAGACGGGCCTAGTAGTTGTTGGCGGGGTATGTTTATATTTCATTATCCATCTAGACATTTCAACTCAGCAAGAATTTGTTAACTAATACTTCATCCATTCAAAGGCCGGTGGCCCTGGAAGTACTGGACAGGCTGTGGGCTCCCTGCTCCTCGTTGACTCGATAATTGCCAATACACCCGTTGGAATCAGCACTTCTTTATCTGGCAGGAATTCGACTGCGCTTCTCGTTCAAAATACCGGCTTCTTTAACGTACCTAAGGCCATTACAGAAAATGTGAGCGGTGATACTTTATTGCCTGGCGGCAATGAAGTATTAGTTGACTCTTGGGGATTTGGGTTATACGTTAACTCTACTGAACCTGGAAAATTTGTTAGTGGGCAAAATATCCCAACCATGAATCGTTCAGTATCGCTCCTAGGACCTTCTGGCCATTATAAAGAAAATTTTTATACCCGCCGGCGCCCGCAGTATCTAGATCTCGGTCAAAGCCAAATTCTTGATGTTAAGGCTCTTGGAGCAAAGGGGGATGGAAATACAGACGACACTGCAATTCTGAACAGTATTCTATCTCGGGCAGGTAACATGTCTTCTATTGTTTACTTCCCACATGGTATCTATCTTATCAAAAACACATTGCATATCCCGGTTGGTTCGAGGATCATCGGTCAGGTATGGTCTCAGATAATGGCCACCGGACCTCAATTTTCAAATGAGACAAGCCCAAAAGTTGCAATAGAAGTGGGGAAGGCAGGGGATAAAGGTATTATTGAGATTCAGGATATGATGTTTACCGTATCCGGCCCAACTGCTGGGGTGGTATTGATGGAGTGGAACGTGCAGGAAATTTCTCAGGGTTCTGCAGCTATGTGGGGTGAGTTTCTTACTTATGATTCAACTACCTTATTTTTCTTCACATAAGACTAACATACTTTTTATAGATTCCCACTTCCGAGTTGGTGGAGCCGTTGGTTCTAACCTTCAGAAAAAAGAATGCCCTAAGTTGACGGGTAAAGTCAACGATTCTTGCAAAGCGGCCTCTCTACTTTTGCATCTTACCTCTCAATCATCTGCATACCTCGAAAATTTATGGGCCTGGGTCGCCGATCACGACCTAGATATGGTTTCTCAAGACCAAATTGATATTTATTCGGCCCGAGGCGTACTAATCGAGAGCAAAGGGCCTACCTGGTTATATGCAACAGCTTCTGAACACAGCGTACTTTATCAGTACCAGATTTCAAATGCTAAAAATTTGCTCCTAAGCATGATTCAAACTGAGTCGCCATATTTCCAACCAGTTCCAAAAGCGCCAAGCCCCTTTACCACGGGCCTTTTCCCCAACGATCCTTTATTCAAAGACTGCGAGGCCAGTTCTAAGACCTGTGCCTCTTCGTGGGCATTACGTGTGATTGATAGTGCCTCGGTGTATTTTCTGGGTGCTGGTTAGTACATTCTTTGCATTAGTGACTAAGTTAGCCATAAGACACATACTAACCCTTCTATAGGGCTATACAGCTGGTTCTCGGATTACAAGCAAGATTGTGTGGAGAAAGAGAACTGCCAGGATCGTGGTGTTGAAATTGAGGAGAGTGTTGATATTTGGTTTTTCAACCTCGTGACTAAATCTATCATCGAGATGGTTACTCCAACGGGGATTAGGCCTACCTATGCAGCGGAAAATAAAAACGGGTATACGTCATCCCTATTGGCATGGGTGAGGGATAAGAACACTACCATTGGTGAGTGACTGTTCCCGGGGTTCCATCTATATGAAAATCGAACACTATCAGGCATCACCAAAACTTGCAAAACGGCAGTCACTCAACGTATCGATTGCCACCCAGTGTACCAGGAATGGGTAAGGCCAAGTTATCACGGGACGTTTTTCGACAATAGATTTACCCCAGATTTGTGTGATGATGGATGTAAGAAGAGCTTGGAGGATTGGTTTAAAACAGTTGAGTTGGCTTGCTCTGGCCAAAATATTACCGGGACACTCCCAACGCTTTTGGGAGGATATCTCTACCAGGGATACAATGAAACATGTCTTCAGGACGCTTCCACTGGGAAATACTGCAACGGTAATCTTTTCTTTTTCTCATGGTAACTACTTTCATGGATAAAACTAACACTGATTTCATAGGAGTTATTGATCGCTTTTCCACCGTCTCTACTGTTCATGAGATGCCAATGAATGAGCTATGCTCATACTGTCATATCAAAAGAAATGAGATTATGCAGTCCAGCTCCTACTCTGTTTATAATGAGTATTACCAGGAGGTGATTCAGGTCATTAACCAGAAATGTGGCCTATCCCTTCCTACCGATTTTCCTCCCTCCCCGGTTCTCAAGTCACCGCCGCCACCGCCGATTTGCGTATCAGAGAACAAATATACGACCCAACATGGGGATACGTGCGATTCCATTGCCTTGGCAAAAAGTATTTCATCTGCTGGTTTGGTTGCCGGGAATTCTGAACTCATTCATAATTGCGCCAAAGAATTACCAGTTGGCGTAGAGCTATGCCTTCCCCTCACCTGCGAGAAGACCTACGAATTACAACCCTCCGATAGTTGCTCGTCAATCGAGTACTCCAAGTTGATAAGAGTGGGCGGGCTCCGAGCTTACAATAACTGGATCAACATGGACTGCACAAACCTTCACCCTGCTAGCGAGGTACTGGGTAAAATTCTCTGTCTTGCCCCTCAAGCAGGAACATATACCCCGACTGGTGTAATTCCAGCAGCCACTCCCACGCCAGGATCGGGATATGCGACAATGGTTATTGCTCCCCCACAGAATGCGACAATTGCCGCTGGTACCACATTTGGGTGTGGAAAGTGGTATACGGCTGCTCAAGAAGACACGTGTGCCACCATATGCATTAGTCAACTCATTCCTGCACATTTGTTCTGGGATGTTAACCCGTCTTTGTCGACTGTTGATTGCAATTCCAGTCTCAAGTCTAACACGACATACTGCGTTGCTCCAATATATGCCTGGAAAAGCTGGCCTTCAACTACAACTACATCCCCAACGACATCCCCAACTACATCCCCAACTACATCCTCAACGAAACCCTCGATGCCATCTTCGATGACGCATCCTACGCAATAAACACTGACAACATTTTATAAGCCAACCCATGGGGTTGGAATACTTATGTATCATATATGCTCTATCTCAACCACACAATAAAGCCAAGAAACTTTGAGAACGTACTTTACATAGTTGCCAGTTCCACCATGGTCCCTACTCGGTGCGAAATTTGAATGTCTTGCCAGTCGCCTGTGAAACTTCCTCGCACACTTTAAGTGCTGCTTCCCGTTTTTCCTGACAGGATGGCAAGCTAACTAGAGACGTGTCGGCTCCATACTGAAGCAATAGCGTGAGGCATATGGGCTCGTCATGTAAACAGTCTAGAGCAAGCGAAAGAGGTGTCTCACCAAAGTGGTCTTGGGCATCGATGTCAGCTCCATGCTTGAGTAGAAGCTTAAGAACGTCTTCCACTCTTTCCTCATTTATATTCTTGTAGTTCTTCCTCTTGGCCCTTTCTACTCCGGTTCCCACGGCCTTTATCTGCTGGTGTAAGGGTGTGAATTTCCACCGATTACCGGCATTTGGATCCAGTCCATGCTCAAGTAATAACTTAAGAATCTGAAAGTAAATGGGCGAGTTTGGGTTATCTTTTTGAGCACGTCCGACTATAAGTTGGGCTAACCCGCCGCCTCGGCAATCCTGTATCGATACGTCGGCGCCATTGTCAAGGAGTAATCGGACAGTAGTTATTTCTCCGTTGAAAACGGCATGCCGCAGAGGCGAGTCCTGGAAGTGATCCAGGTTCATGTCCACTTTTCGGGAAACTAGGTATCGGATAAGGTTGTCATTTCTCTCTAGGAAGTCTGGCGGTTCGTTCTTGGGCACAATTTTCCTCTTATGAGTGTTCTTTGCTTGGAGGACTGCTACCAGTAATGGCCGGTGGCCAACCCATATCCTCGATCCACGTTTCTTGTTCGGATCTGAGCCCGCGTCGATGGCGCGCTTTGCTAAGTCGACATCTGCGGTCTTTATGGCCCACCAGAGAGAGTCGTTTCCAGGAGATTGTGCATCTAGCCGGTAGAGCTGTTGGTTCAGTAGACTGTGGAATCTGCGATTGCATCGTAAAAACGAGTTTAGATCGCAGTTCCGGGAGAGGTTCTCAGCAATGGACAGGATCAATTCGTTTGGAAGCATTGTAATGTAGGCGACCTCTTTGATATCATCGCTATGGCCATCACGGGCACATTGCATCTCGTGGTTCGACATGCTGGAGTAAAAAAGCTCCGTTGCTTGAGCTAGAAAGTTGAGAAGAAACATCCTCGCGCCTCCTAGGATGTTGTGAGAAGGACGGTCGCGTCTCTGGACTTGGCCGGTTATTTATACTGGCGGGGTGTCCCTAGACTAAGAAACAAACAACAGGGGCCGTCTGGTTGGTTGTATAGGCATGCAGCTACCGTCGCCTCGCAGATGCATCACCAGTATAGACGGTCAAAAGACTATATTTTTAATACAATAGGCTCTTTATTTGCTCTCTTCTCTGCTCCTGGTGCAACAGCCGCATTCACCAGCCTCGTTGGCCTGGGCTGTGATACCCCCAGCAAGGCCTTTAGGGATGCTATAACCATCCAGAAACTCATGCGAAATATTGCAGCCACACCACTTCTTTGCAGGATTGCATCTTCCCATGCACTCTGTACCCCATCATGAAACAGGCTATCTTCTCCATATCCATCGTGGGCATGACCAAACACAACAAGCTGTGGCTTCACCCTCCTCAACTCCCTCAACAAATACCCATCTCCCTTTTTTCCGGCATCGCAATGGAGCACTGGAGGGCCATGCACCACAACTATATCCGTCTTATCAGGGATTCTCTGAGTCCAGACATCCCTAATTGCTGGATATTGAAAGGCCCAAACACCAAATTCTGGCGTCTGAGGTGAGCCGTAGACCGTTAATCTCCTCCCGTTTGAAAATTCCAGGGTGACAGAACAGTCCTGGAGATAATAGATATTGTTCCAATCCAAGTCGAGGACAGATGATCTAGGATGATTGGGAAGACGAGTTGGATGACGTTCAACGAAATCTGAGTCCAGTAGGAGATCGTGGTTCCCTGCTATGGCAACTTTACAAGGGTGTGGGAGGGTTTGTAGCCATCGAAGTTGATCATGAAGCTCTTCGAATGTGCCATCTCGAGTTAGGTCACCAGCATGAATGAGAAGATCGCCATGTGAAATCTCTCTAGTCGAGTTATGGGTGTCCGAAATGCAAACAACTTGAATTGGCTTGAGACTGGTTGGCGGAGCAGCAGGGAGTTGAAAACGAAGGTAAAAGCCGTAGAGCGCATTAGCCAAGGTCTCACACCGGAATATTGGAGGACGACGCTCTTGGTTGTAAGGATATGGCAACAAATGACTGTTCATTTTGTAGCAGTAAACGGTGGAAATTGAGGAAATAGGCTTGGATACAACTCGCTTAGGATAGAACCATTCAGGGTGAAGCTGAATCTGGTCTTTCGTCTGTACGGGGTAAGGGTTAATCCGTTACATGGCCCTACATTTATATATGTTCGCTTGTAGTGTTCATATACATTCTCTTCCTTTAATTTCATTTATCTAGTACTATATGATTTGCTACTCTCTATATGCTCGTACACTATCTGTTTACCTTTGTTGGCCTGTTGTTGTCTTGAACCCATTAGCTCTATATAGTTCCTAATTAAGCAAACCCATATTTCTAGTATAGCTGCATATATCAATCAGTCATTTCATGCTCGTTGGATTGCTTGATATGCTCAATGATAATACGCTCCACAGGTCCACACACGGCTCATCCACTTTACTTGTGCTTCTCACTTCCCATCATGATGAATTGCTTGTATATGGTATTCGTGGGTCGCCAATTTAAAAAAAAATAGAAGCATCATTATTTCTTTCTACCGGGTATTCATCACTTCATCATCAAGAACTTGCGTCTAGCCTAAAGGTAACAGAAGTGAAGCTTTTATATTTGGTGCTTCAATCCATCCATGCATCTCAGACGCAGCCTTGTTATTCCAGACATCCTCAAGGGTGAGTAAAGCCTTATCTGCAGTCTATATTGATCATGTTAGTATCTAGAGTTAACCAGCCGAATAGGAAGGGAGATACGAACTCTGAAACCGTATGCCTCCGTCTCTTGATACCATTCACGCACAAACGCTTGATCGCCTCCATCTGTCACCTCTAAGCCAGCCATATACATATTCCAGAGCATGGCCAGCCTTCCAACTCCTTTCACAAATTTTCTTGCCAGCGCTAGAACCTGGCATGCTGCAATTTGTACATGCGGGGGCGAAGGACGAGATACCTGCTGGCCGCTCATGGCCACTCTATGTAAATATATAATCGTGGCTTGCTCGTGTGCCTTGACACAAGCCATGCTTTCCAGCAGTGTGATATTCCCGAATTCATCAGACATGTTCTCTGAACTTCCAATCTGCGCGAAACAGTCAGGCGCCAGGGCTTTCCACGAGCTTAGCCTGTCCTCTAAGCCTTGACGGATGGTATGTTGTTCTTTCGGAGACAAGCCACGATTTATTGCGTCACCAAATGCGCTAATGTCCGCTTTAATGCTCATTAAAACTGACCAAGCATGCCGTAGCCCACCCAAGTAGACATCCTCGATTGTGCGTTCTGTGGCTATGGTTGAGATGCCAAAGTTATATTCCTGTTCGCCGTGCATTTCCAGGTATGACCCACCGATCACCATTCTTTCATTCGTAGAGACTGCGCCCACAACGTCAAGGTACGCCATGAGCGATATGAGAATGCATTTGAACGGCCGATCCAAACCGTCGATTTGTTTCTGGACCACAGTGGCTGTCGTTGGAGTCTTGACGATTGATTCGAATATATCGCGAGCGCCTGCTAAATGCACTTTCCAGTTTTCGATCTGTGAGTCTAGCATCTAGTAAGGAATGTGAGTCCATATATTCGATATCAAGTATGTGGTAAATAAGAAGACGGTAGGCTTACCTCGAAAATGCATAACAGTAAACAAGTCGCAAAATCCGTTAGTTGAAACTGACGTTTGGGATCCCCCCAGACTTGTCTGAGGGATTGCATTATCTCGCCATACGTCTTCATGGCGTGGTGAAGATGTATTGACCTATCACGTCCTGTCGTTGTGTTTGCAAGATGAAGAGCTCCAACGGCACTCATCGCTTGTGATAGTGTCTTTGATGTGCATGCATATCGCGGGAAGATGTACCTGAACGGATTCGAGTTATATGGCGTATCGTATATGATTAAAAGCGTGGAGACCGTATTAACAAAATATGAATAATATTTGCTTTCCGGGCAGAGATTTAGTGTAGTGTCTAGAGAGAAAACATGGTGTGCGGTGATTTCGGGTTCTTTTTTGATATCGATTGAATTGACGTAGTTGTCGATAGGGCTGCACCCGCTCCCTGTTCCCGTGGTCTCGGGGGTCTTTGGTTTCTCTTGATCTGTAGCTGACGCTGGCGGTGATTGTGAATAGGCCTTGAACGTGGGGTTTCGGTGAGAGCCATCACAATCTACACCTCGCCTGGTACAGTTCAAGCAAGCCGGAGATGTTTCGTCGCATTTCACGTGTCTCTTTTTACATGTCGAGCAACCTGAAAACCCGCGGTGATGCCACTTTCTCACACGTTTCTTGGTTGCATTGTCACTGCTGGAGTCCATACTGTGTTCGAGTTGGAGGGACGGTGTTGGGTATTGGAATGGGTATTGGGTATTGAAATCTCACGGCTCGGAGGTTGGAGGATGGGGAGATTAGGTATTGCAGAGTATAAATGTAGAATTAACTACTACAGAGAACAATATTGCTTCACTGGAGCATGGATTCGACTGGAGGGATATAAGGAGAAGATAAAGCTGGCTCATCTAGTGATGGATGAGAGTCAGGGGATATTTCCATAGATGGCATCCCTCCCAAGTGGATTTATATGTGTGCCGATATGGTCCCCGGTATGGCTAGGCTTTCGAGCAAGGCTCGATGTATACCATCTCCACGGTACCAGGACCCTGCATCATGGTTTGGCTATCTGGATGATTGACGATTTCCCCGTTGGCAAGGATGCCGGCCAAGGGGACTATCCGTTAAGACGAGGATGATTGCTATGGGCTCCATGCGTCATCCCCACCCGGGTTACGAGCATATGTCCTGGCAACTTCCATGTGGCTTGCTTCGTCACCTTCTCTAGGCGCAGCGTGCAGATGTTTCATAGGGCTAGGCTAGCCTTAACTTGATCCTCGTAGCCACATGGGCTTATTCCGACGGTGTTCAAAATCTCCCTGCATAGAATAGACCGGACATATCATGAAGAGACCCCGATGAGGCCAGTCTGATGATCAACTCGCCGTCTGTGACCAAGGCTGATCCCTGGCTAGAATAGTGTTTTATAGACTTCCAAGCGCCAAGGCTGCCGGCCAAAACACTCTTTTTTTTTGTGGGCAGACGGAGTTGTTGAAATGCTGAAACTCCACCGTCTTAGTGTCGGAAAAAGGGGATGGGACTAGGGTGCGGAGTATGGCACGGGAGCAGAGCTGGGGAATCCGTTGGATCAAGCTATTATTCTGGTCGATTTGCAGATGCAATGAATATGGGTACTAAACAGCAGCCAGAAAACTCAATATGCAACCGAGACTAATTAGAGATGCAGAACAGAGAGTCGAGCTGATCAGCATCTCAAACGACCTGCTTCTTTGCGTAAGTGGGTGGCTTTATCCTGGCTGAAATGTTTTTTTATGACCTGGGGGGGCCAATGAGTGCAGTTCACCAGTTCGTCCTACGTAGCCTCTTTCTCTCCCTCCCTCTCGAATCCAGAGCCACGAAGGATTACGCGTTACTCCGTGTTGAAGGTAGATGTAGTCACCGATAGAGCTGAGGTAGACTGTTCATCTTACATGTCTTTGAGCGTCAGAGGTGGCGCATGCCCTCTTGCTCTATCCGTAAAGAGAGAGAATCCCGAATGCCTCTTGAACGCGAGGAAAGCTGTAGACAGGCACAAAGACGGGCTGATACTCCGTACAGTGTAGTGTTGCTCTGATGGAGGTTTAGAGTAAAGGCGCTAGACGATATCATTCGGCGGTCCCATCATACTGGAGCGGTTGAGATACCCCTGAATTCGCAGCCTTGGGACACAGGGTCGAAGCGTGGAAATTCCTGATCATGCATACAATATAGCCGGGCATGGGGAAGCGCTGACCCGCCAATAAGGTTGTATTTCAGCCGGTGATAATGGTGCAGGCGGGAGATAGACTTGAAACTTCTCGAAGCATGTTCTTCTCTGGCCCGCAGACAGAACTTGACTTCTCCCAATGACGGGTTGCTAATGGTCAGAAGCCATACCGATGAGACTGTGGCTTTCTTTGAAGGTTTCAGAGGCTGTAGCGGTGCCCATTCCACGGTCCTGCCCGTGAGTGTCTCCTGTGACATCTGATGGAAAGGAGATGAAGTCGAAATTGACATCCTTGAGCTGATGAATCAGCGAGATGTACAAAGGCTTGACCTGCGGTTCTAGAATCCGCCCAGCTATAGTCAACTAGTTAGCCGAAGTCTTAAATAAATATTGCTTGATCCCTTGCACATAATCGCTTCCAGCTTTACCTCGCGTTCGATAACCACCTCCCTGACCTGGTGCGGCGGTCTTGACCATACGATCGATGCAAAGAGATGCCCCTGTATCTGTGTATCTCTTACGGGGCAACCTCCAGTCCATACAATCGTGCATATAGACTGCTAAGGGGCATCAACTGTGCGGTCCCACCCGGCTGAGCGACCGGCCCCCTGCAGTTCTTGTTAAGAGTCCTCGTGGCCTTGGGCTCCATCGCAAACCCAAGTAATCAGCGATCCTGCGGGCATTGGTGGAATAACTGTCGACCCCCATGGCCCCAGGGATATGCCGTGAAGCCTCGCTAAAAGCCACACCATCGATGCAGACATCTCACCATCCGCTGCACCGAAGAATCCCGAAGTCACGGAGAATTCGAGGCCAGGCGTGAGCGTGAGTTTCAAACCGCTGCTGGATAAGATGTTCGGGCCGTACTCCGTGGTAGTCTTATGGGGATGAGATGGATGCTACGAGACGCAAAGCCAGAACGGGAGTATCCCGGGGCTTGGGATAAACCTCGAGCCTGGTGTATCCACCTCCGGCTTGCGGATGGCTCGTCGTGCTGCCTTGTCTTACGGAGACTGCAGTTACAGGACGACATTTACTGGAGATAGTCGAACTGCTATGGTTAACGGCCTTGATCTAGACAATGCAAGGGGGTAATGAAGTCGAGATAATGGGAAGACTTCCCTGTCTACAGCCGCAGGGATAGATCAGTCTGCATCTTCCCGGCCTGGGGTTATCAGACTACACGCTATCAGGAAATTGGTGCATCCGCTCGCAGAGGCCCCCGGCCATCCCCGCGAAAGTCTCACATATCAACGCTGGTCCAAGAGGCCTTACAAGATCACGCGATATACTTTATACCAGTTACCAGATGAAGCTAGCAAGTAATCATATAGGACGGGATATACAGCTATAGGCACGAGCTAATCGAGCGGCATCAGACAATTGGACAAAACAGGCGACCTGGACCAGAGTAACTCTACAAGTACTCCTCCACCTGGCTTGAATTGAACGGTTGAACAACGGCTTGGATCTCCACTATCACGAAGTATTCGTACCGTTTCTTGGACACCCTGCTATTATTAAAAGATTTGGAATGGTTACGTACGGAGTTACGACGTATTCTCTACCATAGAATATGATCCCAAGATGTGGATTAGTCTTTCTTGGATCTGTCATCTAGGATCGGCTGCGTGTTGACCTGGCGAAGGGAGTGAACTCTCCATGGCAATTCCACCAATGGCTGGTTGTAAGTATGGAGATGCCCGAGGATATCGGGGCTGAACTATGACAGTTGAAAGGCATAAGATAAGCTTCTCCGCATGTGCTATACCCTAAAGCCAACGATCGAGGGATAAACCAGACAAGCTATCTCAGGCTGACAGCAGGGCGTGGACCCTAGTATGAACACGGTGAATATCGACGGAGCAGTGGATGTGTGTTCATCTCCCGTTCAGCTTTCATCATACGTTCATCATACGTTCACCCCGCACTGAGTATACCAACAGACAGTCTATATAATTGGTACTAGAATCAAAATGCTAGGATGGGTTGAACAGGAGTGAGTGAATACCACTTGCTGGGTGCTATATTTATAGAAGTTGAGAGGCTGAAATAAGATAGCTGCTGTGCATGGAATCAATATAATTTACCCAGGTGTGCTGCCAGCACCACTCGCTGCAAAAGTGTTGGCCGGGGTGACTATTGGGTAGTAACAGGTGTATAAGAGGCCAGCTATGATAGATGAAGGACTAAGGATTAGGGTCAAAGGGCTGTAAGGCGTATCCAGTCCAGCACTCGATAAGAGCTGGCCCTAGCGAGAGAGCTATGCTACAGCGTTCTGCTGCTCATTGGCCACCACGACGAGCTGAAACAACAAGCTTCGAGAAAAGGCTTGCTTGATTGAAGATTCCAGCTTCTGCGTATACATCCATAGCCTGACGCAGTATCACAGCTGCCAGTCTCTTGCATGCAGTGGCTGCTCCCTTGACGAGCTAAGAATGTGACAGCGGTGTCCAGTAGAATGTCGCTGGTGAACCACGGTAAGGACAGCCGGAAGGGCCGACGCGTCGACAAGGTTCTGTTCAACGGCGTGGCTGTCACTCGTGAATGCTACCTGATCAGGCACAAAAGTCTGGCTGAAGGATGAACCGCCTTGGCGTAGTCTCTCTGGCATCTGGCATATTTGACATATTTGACATCTGACATATCTAACATAGCTGACATATCCGACATAGCTGACATAGCTGACATCTGGCATAGCTGACATATCTGACATAGCATGACAAATGATCAAATAATCGTAGATGAGTGTCGTCCAGATGTAAAGAACCGGGTATATGGTGAGGCGTCGTGCTGAGCCTGGAATGCTGGACGTATTGCGCGTCTCGCTTCGTAGATACAGACGATCGACAGAGTCGACCATGGTTCGCATGTTCCCAGCAGCCAAACGACATGATCCTCGCACTATCTCATCGTCCAGCTCAGTCAACGCATCCGCGAGTCGGATCATGGTCTGCGAGGGTCAACCATGGAACAGCGTCCTGTATCCTGCCATCGTCCTATCACTGTCATCATCGTCACTGTCATGTCATCGCCGTCGTCGTCCTATCGTCGTCGCCGTCATCGCCGTCGCCGTCCTATCACTGTCGATGTTATCGTGTTGTTGTTATTGTTGGTGGTGTGTTGGCGACCCCACGTAGAGCTACCCTTGCTTGGCGTCCGACAAAGGAACTACGCATCGCGACCTAAACCTTTGCCGCGACGACATCTTCTCCCTATACATGTCCTTTGATGCTTCTATCCCACTCCCTTCCATGCTTGTTCCTCCCCTTTCATGAACGAGGGATAAGTCTCCGAGGCCGGTCAGCGATGGACTCTGATGAAGTGACATGGGCACCATCGGACGACCCCTCATACACGGCCTTTTTTAAGGCGGCCCGGCATGGCACCGTGGAGCAGCTGAGGGCTGCCTTCACCAGCGACATCGATGTGAATGCCCTGGAAGGCGATGGGTTCGAGGGCATGTCCGCGCTGCATCTCGCTTGCTTCTACAATGGCGACCTGGAAGTCGTCAAGTTCCTGCTGGACCATGGCGCGGAAGTCAACATCCTCGACAGAGATCGCGCTGGGAACTCCTATCCTCTGCATTGGGCGGCTAACAAGGATCGCGCAGACATAGTCAAACTCCTGCTGGACAGAGGCGCGGTGAGGGACAGAAAGGGCTTCGACGGGAGGAATGCCCTGGGCATGGTCCTGTATTATTCCCTCTCCCCGCGCAAGGTGGAAGCAAAGCAAATGGAAACGATAAAGGTTCTTCTCGATTACGGCTTTAGCGTGGACGAGTCCGGCATGGTATTCACCTCTTCCTTCATCATCGTCATCTCCTTCATCTCCTGTTCTTTCTTTTCCCCGTAGCCGTTTGATTTTTGCAATATAATTTCCCTAACGAGGCCTTGAAAAAGCTATTTGAGGCAGTCCTATCACGCGATCAGTATCTCATCAAATTCCTCCTCGACCATGGAGGGTCTATTAACCCGGCAAACCCAAAGGACCCGTCTCTTCTCGGACATGCAGCTGGATTCACGGACTACAAGACGGTAAAGTTTCTCCTCGACAACGGGGCCGTTCTGGATAACCCTACGGACGACAGCCCCAGCTCGGTGCTAGTCAGCGCGGCTTCCACTGGGAATCTATCGGTTGTTCAACTCCTGCTTGACAGAGCAGACCCGGAGATCGTTAGGAAATCCAGTAGAGCCATCAGCGCGGCCGCCGCGTCCGGGCATCTGAAAGTGGTTGAAATGTTACTGGCTTCCAACATGAGGCTCGACAACGACAACGCAATTGGTTATCAGTCTCCACTCCACGCAGCTTGCTTTACAAACCAACCGTCTCCTGAACTTGTTACATTCTTGTTAAGTCAAGGTGCCGATGTAAACTCGCTCGACGATAGACTCAATACTCCATGTATGTCCTTTTTTCCCGGTGCTTTGTGACGTATATTGCTATGATTGTTGACGTTTGAGCAGTGCATCTACATGTGTCCACATTTCAGCCAGACGAAAAAGTAGTGAAACTCCTACTTGACGCAGGGGCTGATCTGGGAGCTAGAAACACAAATGGCGAAACACCGCTATTAAGGGCATCATCAGCACTGCATTGTCACTATGAACAAGGAAACCCACACGACAGCCGTGGCAGCGCGTTCGTGGTCCTTCTAAGACGACTCCTCAAGGCCGGATCGGACATCACAGCCGTAGACCACTCAAACCAAACTGCACTACACATCCTAGCCGCGAACTCGCCCAGATGCACGCCTGGAGAATGCCCCGAACGCGCCGCCCAGGTCCTACTCGACATGGGCGTTGAAGTTGAAGCCCTCGACATAAAAGGGCGCACGGCCATCGACATATTACAGGAAAAACACACCATAGAATCGAGGCTGATTCTCCATACGATCGAGAATTTTAAGCTACGCCAATCTTCAAAATAATGGTGGGGAGTTTACATGGATTTTTGCGTCTTACCGGGTTTTTTTTCTTTTCATAATGGCTTGGTTTATGCATGTTTTTCTGCGTTGCTTACAGGCTTGGTCCCAGCTGGACTGCCTTATCTGACTGCCTTATCTTTCATGAAGACGTTTGTGTCCTTCTTTTTGGATCTTATTCTAATGTAATACATTACGGAATGACTCTAGATTAAATTAACGAAATTGATGAAACGATTCACTAACGACGATCCTCGTTAAGGCATACGTTTCTATTTCTCGTGGAATTTCTTTTGATATCATGATTAACAAGTCGTGCTGTGCATTTCATCAAATCCGTCCTCTGCTGAGCTAGGGAGCTGCGCTGACTGGTCCTTCGCCACCGGGTATTAACTAGAGATACAGTTAACGGGTCGAGCAATAAAAGATCATGTTGGCGGATATAAATTACCATGCAGACATTATTTCCGTTTAGTAGGATTTTAGAGAGTTTCGTTTGGCCGCCAGAATAATCACTTGAATGAAGTTAGTAGTGGATAGACTTGACCTTAACTTCAAAGAGGAAAATCATACATACAATTCAGTCACATCCTCAAGAACCATATCTGTATCGTGTATCAACCGTTAGACAGGGAACTATGCATCGTCCGCTGGTAGAAGGTCACAGGTATACGTACTAACATAATCATCAAACCCGAGTAAAGTCCCCGAGAACTCTGAACAATGATAGTTAGAATCCGCCACTCAAGAACAAGCCCGCCAATACATCAACTCGAACACCCATGCATGCAAAGGCCGAGAGGCTGGCACTTTGGAGATGATGAACCTACCCTTATCGCCCTTCATAACAACCCATATTTTCGATCCCACGCATTTGTCAATCAACTCTGCAGCCATCCAACAATACATCATCAGTACTTTGTCCCAGACGCTGAAAACACTGGTATTTCGCAGAGAGACAGCCCACCTAATGGAAGAAGTTGGGAGGCCATGGCGTATGTGGGTATTTCAATATGTAGCTGGGCGACTTGAGTATGGTACCTGTTCAAGGGTATGCCACTAGAGAACAAAGTGTGTATCGTGAAGAGTCCGAAACCGTGCCTGGGAGCCCGTCGTTCTAGATATATGCTCAAGATGCTGGTGATGATGCAACTTGTAAAAGCGGCAGAGATAAAAGTTGATATCACGTGGTTAGTATCTCACACACTCACGCTAGTCCCAGAATAGAACAGCTTACTAAGCTAGAGCCGAGGTTGGATTTTTCTCTATCAAAACTTCCATGGATACATTTTACCGTTGAACACTCAATACGAGAGGGTATCTCCATGACACCGTACGGTACTAACTGCAATATATAGAACTCCGTCTTGCCTTTTTATCCCTAAGACTCACTACTAACAGCCTAGTACTCCGTATATATCTCTTTATTATCTATCAGCTGGATATCCACTTGGATAGCACAAGGGCCACCATTTGGTTGCCATGCCCCCGAATCTACACACAGCCTCTTGATAGGCGAAACGGAGATGTCACATATCTAATACTGATACTATAGGCAAAGGACGATCAACAGAATATGCGGCTCAGAACCCAGGTCAACGGGCAACCACGGCGACTTAGTAGTATCTAGATGCCGCTGAACTGCCCAAAAAGCGCAAAGATAGGCCAAAAGGTAATTCGCGCGCGTCTATGCCAAAGTTTACGCTTCTACTATGCATACTGTGGTTATGACGCCCTTCCACAGACACCCATTATTTACTGGAGCCGGAGAATGACTCCCGCGATTACCCCTTTGTGAAATTTCAACCTGCAAGGATGCGAGCTAGTCGGGAAATCGGGCGAACTTAGCCCGTTGTTATTCCTCTCGGACAGCGCTTGCGACCTAAATATATAGTCAGAGCAGATACCCCCCATTGTGTCGTGGATTGCACTCGTTCACTCTCGCCCTGGCGTCTCCGACCTGACATTACTGCTACAGACGCCCGCAGACAAGATGGCGATGCTTCCAAGGGCAGCAATGACAGGGTTCGGCCTCATATGTTCACTTCTCCTCCTCTCGCTTCCTCTCACTCTTGCGAGGACGGCTGACAGCAATCTCGATAACCGGAACCCGTATTGCTTCATGTACTTTGGCAATATGTCCGCCGTGGTTCACGTTCCCGATGCTTTACCTGATATCAACTATAACGGGAACAAGTGTCCCCGTACCTGGAACATTGACCTCCCGAATCCCTCTACACTCCGACTCTGTCCACCGGCCAACACCCCGACTACCTCATTGGAGAATTTAGCTGTTGATGTTGCGCTGAGAGTCTATGAAGTGAACAAGGACATATGGAACCTCAATCCCATCAGTCTTCAGATTTATGACATTCTCGTCTCCAATGGGTCTGTCCCCGGGCCATACGTCAACGGCGTCATCAAGCCCGCAATTCTTGCACCCAACAAAGAGCCATCCGACGGCCTCCCAGCCTGGACGATTAAAGGTACCGAGGAGGCGCTATTTGAGGATAAAAAGGATACTCAGTACTCTGGTCCTAATCGCTATGTGGAGCTGGCATGCGCCAAGGTATCGAATAACGATTCAGATCACTACTGTGCTTCCCGCCAGGAGGGACACACCGGGGAGGGATGTTGGCGCGATAGCCGAATCTACTGGACGACGGATGCCCAAAATCTCAACTACACTTTTCAGTTTGATAACAGTAGTGCGGCTGTCACTCTTTCTACAAAGGCTGAACATATTTATTTACGCAATAACACTCACACTGGCACTTATTTGACGGCGGAGATTCGGTTTCAAGGGCACCACATCCTGCCTGCTAAGGACTCTAAGTTTTGGTCAAACTATAGCGGAGACTATCAGAGTGAGAAGGAGCATTACCATGATGGTATCATTCGCCTAGTCCCCGACGAGACGGGGATGCCGCTGCTGCTCAACTCGACTTCGGGGGAATGGTATGCTGCCAGAAACGGTACCTTTCTAAAGAACGGAGGAGCGGCGATGTACAGTGGCGGCACCACCACTCTAGCTCTTACAGGTACTCTGGCAGTGTTGTTATGGACATTCTTAGCATAGAACTAAGATCGATACCCCATGCTTGCTATTGTATCTCATGCTGGATTTGATAACACGTCATTTAGGAGGCTGAATCTTGGCCGAAGTCAATCACGGGGAAGTTAGCAGCCTCAAGGTCGATATCCCAGGATCAAACGCCTGCTCGCGTGCGCGTAAATAGCATCTCCTGTCTGTAGATATCTTGGTCAGCCGGTGGCTACGCTGGTCTCGGACAACCGGCCACCAGGCACGAATAGATCGTACTCCGTAGATGGCAGACTAGTTTGACGCCGAAGGATGCAATACGGGATCATATATTGCTCCAATAATAAGCGGAGTAATAGACAGCCTCCGTACAAGGGATATATCTTTACTTATTGACACCGTTTGAGCAGCTGTAGCCAGGGTCAGGCCAGGAACAAGCCTTGCCTCGCCTCGCCTCCCATCCCGAGTGACTACGCCAGAGCCTCGTATCGTCATATCAACCATGCTGTCCATCACGGCCGGCGTCACGGAGAAGATCCTCATCGTTGCTTTGTGGCTCAGATTAACTTCGTGACCTGCGTGACTAAGGGGGAACCGGGGGCTAATTAAAGAACCACCACCACCACTTCTTATCTGCGTGATAGCAAAGTACAACCTCCACCGGCGTCAACAATAAACGGCCTACTAGACCTACAGCTTTCGCTTCTCTCTCTTTGCTGTACTCTAGCTCTGTCTTTGCTCTTTTCTTTGGGACACGCTCGCTCGTCCGGCTTCACCATCGGTATAGGCGCTTGGGACACCCGCATCGAGGGTCGCTGTTTCATCTCCAGCTCCAACACTCCACCACGCGTCGCCTTGCCTGCTTACCGCAACTGCTGGCATATTCCGCAGCTCAGATGGTGGTGTCTCCCTAGACTGACCGGCGCGCGAGAATTTCATGAGTCCATAAAGCTGTGTTTGTGCTGTCTCTTTTGAGCCCCGCCCTACTGCCTGCCTGGTCAATTGCTCTGCATCGCTCAATATGGGGAATGTCAACAGCAGGCCTGATGAGCCTGGGGTGCTCTATCTGAAGGACCAGACTAAGCGTGAGTGTTGCTTCTTTGTCTATGATATGGCCTGGTTGCTAACTGTGGGCTGATAGTGAGCATCTCCTCCCTGATCATCACCAACCAGCGCGGCGCCGTTCTCCTCAATATTGTGCCAAACTCATTCCCTGCGTCACGGATTACTGCAAAGAGAGATGCTGGTGACGATACGCCTATTGAGTTCATTCAGGTAGGTTATATCTGTGATTCCGGGTTTGATAGCAATGCTGATCGTTATACCGCAATAGGACCCAGACTCAGTGGGCAGCAATGCGCTACCTTCCTTCCTCCTCCGATTAAACAATGAAGACGAGCTCAACTTCAGATTCACATTCGTTATTCGACAGACCCAAATCTCGCCCATACCCACCGCAACAACCATAAACGGTGTCGCCAGTTCGCTGCCAGAAGTCGCCGATACGGTGCTCAAGGGAGTCACATTCGCACACGCATCGAACGCAAAGGAGCTCGACAACCTGATCACACGAGAGTTCCATGCGAATCCGAACCTCCAGAATAATGATAATGTTCAGCACGTTGGCACGTTTGAGACGGGTGGCACACCTTCAGTCCAGTTCGACTGGGTATGGCGATGGAAGCCGCCGAAGAGGTCGGAAGATAAGGGCGGCGGATGGAGAAATTGCTGCAGCTTCTTGGACTACGACCAGAGGACGAACAGGTTGAATACGTTGGCTTCGTTCGAATATTGGGTTCAAGGCCCAGCGAGACCATCCACCAGTCCCAGCCTTCACTCTACAGGGTTCGAACTGGCGGTGCCCCAACGTAATCGCCAGATCTCATCCCACTCGAACATGTCACGGATGAGCGAGCCAGACAGCACGTTTAACGAAAACCTGGCCCCCACCTCGCCCATTGACCATGCCGAGAACCCGTTCGCCCCGGCCGCCAGTATCTCTTCAAATGCGACCACAGCTGCGCCCGTCAAGTTGGATGTTACTTGTCAACGTCCGGGCGAGGATATGAGCGCGGTTGACGATGGGCCCTTATTTCGAGCCACGATGAAGGCGCTCGAACAAAAGACCGGAAATATGCGGGCGAAGATGAAGAAACTTCTCAAAAAGGCCGAGGCTGCGCACCAGGCACAGGTAGCGTGTAATGATTCGGTCTGCGCATTCATCCTTGCGCTGAATGAAGCGTCCAAATCCAACGCCAACGCTATACAGCCTGCCATGGACCATTACTTTGAGAAGACTGCGCAAGAAATCCTCCGCTACGAGCAACAGAACTCCGTCAACTTGCAAAAGCTTATCATCGAACCTCTTTCGAAACTCTATACACAAGACATCAAACAGGCGGAATGGAAGAAGAAGATCTTTGACGATGAGAGCAGAGACTACTATGCGTATGTTGGAAGGTATCTGGGCCAACGACAAGACTCTCTGAAAGAAAAGAAGAGAGCGGAGAGTGATTCCAAATACCAAACCAAGAGAAGGAATTTCGAATTAAAGCGTTTCGACTATTCATCGTTCATGCAAGACTTACACGGTGGTAAGAAGGACCAGGAAGTGCTCTCTTATCTCACCAAATATGCCGGGACGCAAGCCCAGAGTTATCTCGCAACCGCCAAAAAAGTTGGTGAGCTGATGCCGCAACTCGAAGCTCTGATGCACGAGGTCTCCGAAGCCGATAAAGAGTTCCAGTTTCAGCGTACGGAGCGGGAAGAGAAACGCAGGGCCCTCGAGAACAGCACCAAGAAGTATATTGAACCAGAGACAGTCCCGAACCCAGGCCCACCACCACCTACACCTGGCGGTACTAATACCACCTCCGCCACCACCACTTATACGTCTGACTCCGACCTTGGGCGAGCGGACAGTACAAGTTCGACGTTGAAGGGCGTCGTGAGTAACACGTCAGCTTTGTCATCGTCCCCCAACGCAGCAACGGCCTTGACCGGATCGACAATTGGATCACTCTCTTCAACTCATAACCGGTTCAAGGGGATTCGTGACCTGGAAGAACGTGATAGCACGAGCATGGCAGCGGCGGAACGGGCAAATGGCCAACAAAGAAAGGAAGGTCTATTATGGGCCTTGTCACGTCCAGGATCTCATATCGATCCCAAGGGCATTAATAAACAGGCATGGCATAAGTAAGTTTTTTCACGTTTCAACTACATCTTCCTTAGATTCACATGGCTAATATGACTTTTAACTCAGGTTCTGGATCGTTCTCGACCAAGGCAAGCTCTCAGAATATAGCAACTGGAAGCAAAAGCTCGATCTGCACATGGACCCCATCGATCTACGGATGGCGTCTGTTCGCGAGGCACGCAATGCAGAGAGACGGTTCTGCTTCGAGGTCATCACTCCTCAATATAAACGGATATACCAAGCAACCTCCGAAGAGGACATGGCCAACTGGATCCTAGCGATTAACAACGCCTTACAGAGCGCCGTCGAGGGTCGAGGCATGGCTCCCTTAGGTAACCCATCACCTGGTGACAAGCCCCGACGAGACATCGGATCTGTCCTGACGGGCAAGAGTTCGTCGTATTCCGGCCAGCATGGTGTCTCTACATCCTCCAACACGGGCAATACTGGGAATATGGGCCGCCGCACAACAGTAGGCGCACGACCCAGTTACGTGAGGAGCGATAGCCATAGCTTTGATGAGGACCCTGCCAAACTCCTGCAAACCATCCACAACGCCGACCAGGGCAATAATTGGTGTGCGGACTGCGGATCCGCATCGAAAGTTGAATGGGTATCTATCAACCTCGGAATAGTCCTATGCATTGAATGCAGTGGCATCCACAGATCGTTGGGAACGCATATATCCAAAATACGCTCGCTGACACTCGACATCCACTCCTTCTCAAATGATATCGTGGAGATATTGCTACAGATAGGAAATCGCGTTAGCAATATGGTCTGGGAGGCGCAGTTAGATCCTGGGATCAAGCCCGGCCCGCAAGCGACGCGTGACCAGCGACTGAAATTCATTACGGCAAAGTATAGTGATCGAGCATATGTTCGACCGCTATCAACCACTTTGTCGAGATTCGCATCTCCAGATGAAACGCTACTTGCTTCAATCAAGAAGAACGATATACAAGGGGTGTTATACGGCATTGCTCTACGGGCGAACCTCAACGTCGCAGATCGTTCACGTAATACGCATGCCGTCTTCCTAGCCCTTGCGGCTGCCGACCCTGCAGCACCAGGATCTGGAACCTCGACCCCAACCCTAGGCGGCTCTAAAACTTTTACTCCTTCTCATTCCTCCGGTGTCAGTGTTAATGCGATACCTTTCCCTGTTGCGGAGCTTTTGGTGCAGAACGGTGCTGTGATTCCATCTCAGATGCCTGCCATTCCGCTCTCTCAGGCTGCGCAGTTATATGTGAACCAGCGAACTGTTCGATCATCACGACTTGGGCCTGGTGGTAACACCGCCGACACTCTGAGTGCGCTGCCTACTATCCGTGGAAACGAGGGACCCGGTTCCTTCTCCCCCAGCGTTGACAGCAAGGAGCGAGAGAGGCTGCATAAGAGAGGAAGCGCTGGTGCACGGTTTGCCGGCAAAGTGTCTTCTCTAGCTGGATAATCACCCTTCTCTCCCTTCCAGCATATCTCCCCTACCCCATCCCATCCCGTCCCATCCCATTTCCATTCCCCATCCCTACTCTATCCCTTCCCGTGTCTTTCACCTCGCCCATCCTTTATTCGTTTATCAGTTCTGTAAAGGCGATACCACCCACGTTTCTCCTCCCTTTGTTTGTGGCGTTTCAGATGCTAATGGCGAATGCAAAAACCGCGCACTCATAAATTCCCTCTTCCCCAGTTTCCCCACCAGACCGTGTATGGATGTATAACGTTTTCTCTTGTTTCTCTACCCTCTACTCGCTTTCCCCTGATTATGCACCCCCAGGGCGAAATAATGCAGGCCCTTAGCTTAACTAATGATAATGACAAGTCACATGCTTTCTCCATTCGTCCGCAGGATAAAGGTTTATCCGTCCCCGCATCTTAGTCAGCTTTAGCTTAGTCATGAAAATCCGGGGTAAATTACACTAACGAACTCTGAAATGGGCTGTATCGGCCACCGCTTTTATTCCTCTTTTGGTGTGTTTTTATGCGTATGGTATGGTAAGCGTAATTATCATGTGATGGAGCTAGGCACTTCTGGCCTCTGATTGGCTGGAGGTGGCGTGGTCTGTGTGTGGAGTTTATTACCTAATCGAACCTCTCCTCCTTCTTCTCTATTCACACTTCGTTCTTCTTCTTCTTCCTCTTCATCTTTCATCTTTTTACACGTCTTTACTTCATTCACCGGCCTTCTAACGCTCGAATTCAGGCTTCAATTCACCCTCTGGTTGGGTCGTTTGGGTCCGTCCCTGGCAGACCAAGGGATAGGGCATCACTGCTCGCCACCCAAGCTCTCCACAGGTTCCCACAGCTCCCGTAGATAAAGAACGCTCCCCACTCGCTCACCTCGCTCACTATCGCCTCTCCTTCTTCCATCGGACAAGCAGGACAAAGCAGTGCTCTCTATTCCTTGCCTGTTTTCTCGCTTCTTGACACCGACTCTCTCTCTACCTCATACGCTACTCCGTATATTCACTATTGAGATCGACTAGTGCCTGTTTGAAGATCTGCAGATCCACGTCATCGAACGACGGTCTCTAACAAGAAGAACCGGATATCAAGGAAACCAGAGCAGGCCGGCCTCTTTGTTGAAAGAACGACTTCTACCCACATTGCAATTGCTGGTTTGGTATCAGGACGAACCCGCCGTTTTCTAACGGCCGTCCAACCGTTATCTACCACACCGGCCTGAACCTACACCGTTTATTAGTCAACAACCACTTTACACCGCCCACCATGTCCTCTAACGCTGCACATATCTCGAACTCACCTCCTGCCACACCCATAGCACCTCGAAGCCGCCGTGCCTCGATCACCGAGATGTTCTCTCGGCCTAGCAATGGTGGACCACCGCCGCTGAACACCAATGCATCGAATGCCGCCCCCCTCTTTACGGCAGCGGCGGCAGCGTCGAATGCTCAGCAGCAACCACACCGTCGTCGAATGTCAATCACCACACTCGGGTTGTCTGGCTCCCCCACCAACCAGTCAGCTCCCTTTGGCCAGGCAGTGGCGGGCGCTACACCGACGACGGCGCCAGCAGCACCTCCGTCTGGCAGACGCCGACGGGGAAGCATGTCCAGCTCGATCCTCTCGAGCTCCCCAACAATGGAACAGGCAGTCGTTGAGGAAGAGGACGAGGAAGGCGACGATACACCACTGCCTACATCTGCATCCCCGTTCGCGAGGCGAGTATCCTTCAGCTTCCGGGATCGGGCTGCCAGTATAAACGGTATATATCAATCCCTTTCCATTCCGGTTCCCTCATTTAAATACCACACCACCTCTATCCATCACGGCAGGGGTGGTAGCCTTGGTAGGAAACTTTTCGTCAATTGAATAGTGCTGGCATTGATGTTACAGTCAACGCCCTATTCGTAATTTTTACCCCACATATTCTCATACTTGAGAATGTCAATGCTGACAACACGTCTGTCCAAACAGGTGAAGGCTTCAACTGGCCAGAAGCCCTTCGAACCAGAGCTGAACGAGCTCCGTCCCTTGCCGGAAGCTTCTCCATGCATCAGCAGCAGCAGGGCCAGGGTCAGGGGCATGGGCATGGGCAGGCACACCAACAGCCCCTCTCTGCTGGCTCGTCCACCACCTCCACCTCTCCATCTTCCTCCCCATCTCTGTCTTCTTCATTCTCATCTGGCTCGTTCTCGGGCAAACATCATCGGTCGGCCTCTGTTGCTACCATGGAAGCGTATAAGCCGCCTCCAAAGGAGCTGTTGGAGCGTCACCCGTCCTCGCCACCGCCGCCTACACAGCAGCAGAGATCCCAGCAGCAGCAGGCCAAGCCACGGCCGAAGCCGGATTATTTCCAGGAAAAGATTCTGAGGGCAGATTTCATGGATTGACTATGATGTCCCATCTAAGCTCCATGCTTATCCAGGACCTTTTCCCTTTCCTTTAACCTATATGTCGTCTTAAGGTTTTTATTTTCCCTCTATTACGAGGAAGTTATTGGGAGTTTTATTCGGTACGGAGGCATTTCATTTACCAACTCAACTATCAACTATCAGGGAGGGTGGAATTATTCGAATATTGGTATCGGAGTGGAGTGGAGTCGACTCGTGCTCGTCTTTTCTTGCATCTCTCCTGCTATACTGCATATTCGCCAACTCTACATGCTGGAATATCATATCATGTAAGGCTATGATCATATCGTCTCCTTGTCGCGCTCTTGGCTCTCCTTTCTATCAGCGGATCGTTTCTATTCTTCTTAGCTCTTGAAGCAAGCATTCATGCACAAGCTTATAAGTTCTATCATGCCCCCTTTTTCTGGTGTGAATATGTGTTATCTAGCTGGCTATATCACCAATATGAACATTATTACAAATAACATATATTTGACCGTGGCTTGAGCACCATGAGAGTTCTAATGATGGTTGTAGAGAAAGGAGGGATCCGTACATGCTCACAGAGGGGTAAAAAGTCTCCTTGGACTCGAATACCTAGGCTCCAATGGTTTGAGCATCGAAAGTCAGGTGTATCACACGACATAACATAAGCTTAACGTGGCTACTTCGCTAGTAGAGGACAGAGAATGTGCCGTACATAGGTCGGGAGTCTAAAACCAATAGCTCACATTTTAACGATATTGCCTGCCCAACTACGTAGGAGTCTACAGCTACGGGCTAACCATAAGTTCATTATCATTATAGTTCCTACCGTAATTAGCGGACCAGGCAGGCTTCCCATGGAAATTCGTACGGTGATAAAAAGACCCTTGGGTTCGAACCAATGCCAAAAAGCGAAGCTGGAGCTAGGCTCCAGTACAAAGTGTGATAAATCAACTGGGTTATTGGAGTGGCCACTTCGCTGGCAAAGTAGGCTGGATACTGTACATAAGTTGGGCCTAAGCCTATCATATACTCTTTACGGTGAACAATTTTTACGTATGTCAACCCCTGACCTCATACAAGAGAGGTTCAGATTCGAACCGATAACAAAAAGCGAAGTTGGAGCCAGGCTCCTTCTCAGTTGACAAGAATGTTAACCGTTAAGTTATTAGCCACTTCGCTGGGAGAGTAGAGATAGGGATAGGGATAGGGATAGTTGCATGTACACGAGTCGGAGTCCTAAAGCGATATAGATCAGAGTCGAAGGATTTCTGACTAAGCAGGAGCCTCCTATTCAACATTACAATTTGTACATCTTCTAACTATCGTTTGGATACGTTAGGAGATTGTAAGAGAGAGAGAAAGAGAGAGAGAGTGTGTGTGTGTGTGTGTGATGTAGGCTATGTATTAAAAAAACTGTTAAAGGGTAAAAGAGGTGCTCGGTTTCGAACCGGGAGCAAAAAGCGAAGTCGGGACTAGGTCCAGAGGATTTGGGGCCACAACGAGTGTGACCCCTAAAGCTACAACTTAATGCGATTGGGTTATTGTAGCAACTTCGCTAGAAAAGAAGGGAATCAAGTCGTACTTGAGGCTGAGCCCAACGTCTCGAGGTCGGAAGTATATAGACTGACTAAGCATATCGATGCGGAATAATATTTATCCCAGCGATTCCTTGGCATGGTACTACTTCCCAGTTAGGCAAGTTGTGAAGACAACAGATGTAGTTCTTATTAAATACTCTATAAAATTAAATGCAGTAGCAGGTCTATCGAATATCACTCTCCTCCACAGTAAACTTGCCTCCTTCTAGAAACAAAAAAAAAAAAAACATATGACAAGAATATGACTGGCCGGGCACCAAGCACTGACTCAGTAAGGGATGTTGTTGGTTAACAACTGGAACTGGTCATAGCCCTTGGTCGACATGCTAGCATAGCTCTTCCTAATCAGCTCCCTCATATACTGCGCTGCCTCCTGCTCGCTCTTCTCCAACACGAACCGGTCACGGAAATTAGTCAGTGTGTTGGGCGTGAAGCAAGGCAACCCGCTGTCCAGCATTAGAGTGACGATATGTGAGAGTTTTGTGGTATATGGCCTTGAGGCGAGGAAGGCCTTTACCACAAGCGACTCGAACCAGCGGTACGACTGGGACCCGGCATTGTGTGATGCTGTGGGGGCGGCCGTTGGGGCAGCGCCCGAAGCGGGAACTGACGCGGCGGTTGATGTAGGTGGATGGTATCCGCCCATGACAGCGATCATTTCCGTAGTTAATTTAAACGGAGCACGTTCAAATCGCACTCCACCTGGCGCGATATCGAAGCAGAATCCAAAGTCGATATGGAGGATATGGCCTGCGTCGTCGATCATGATGTTTCCGTTATGTCGATCTTTGAACTGTAGCAGGTATGAAATGACGGAATACGCAGCCATACTTTTGACGAAGTTGCTTCGGGCTTCCTGGAATTTTATCGATTGCTCTCCTCCATATTTCGATACGAAGTAATCGTATAGCCCGTTGACAGCTTCACGGCCTAGCATGTCTCGAGATATTGAGTTGGGCAGGACATCGATTACTCCGCACCCTGGGGCAGTTGCCACGACACGGTAGGGGTAGACAAAGACATCTAATCCGACGCTGGAGAAGATTTCGCGGAATGCAGCGATCATTTGAAGAGCAAGAACGTCTTGTCGACAGTCGTCTCCCACCTTGAAGATAGCAGACTGCCACACTTCATATGTCGCTGCTTGGGATGCTAGGCTTGCTCGTTTGTTTTGTATGGTCGATTCATTAACCTGCGACAGTTGCAAAGCTTCTTCTTCCTTATTCACTTCTGCAGGAGTGACGGTATTGCTACCATCTTCAAGGCTTCTGGTCTTCTTGATTCGGAATGTTGCCATGTAAGGTGCCTTGGCATGACTCTGCAGAGGCTTGCCAGACTTTCGGTCAATCCCGACAACGACACCGTCAGGGTTACTGGGCAGGTACACGCCAACTTCAACTTTGATCTTTCGTAGCTCTTCGGTAATCTTTTCCTTTTTCTCTTGTTTGGTATGCTTTATGAACGGTCGAAGCTTTCCAGATATACCAGTAATCTCGTTGAAGAATGCAAATTCCCGTTCGTAGAACTCTCGGTCTTCATCTGTGAAACTTGCGATGACAGTATCCATGAATCTATCAAGCACAGGTTTAAGTGGATCAGGCTATTTAATAATTAGTTTAAGCCCAAGTAAACATAGCAGTATTGGGGGAAAAGAGTTAGTACTCACGATCTGCGAGTCTTCATCTTTGTAGGCGTTCGCTTTCATGTTCCAAATGACCTGATGAGCAAACATCTGCGAAAGTTGAGCAGTGTTCAAAAGGTAGCGTTCTATATATCCTAATGCATCGTATCGTAAAGCCTGCACGAGCTGGGGAACATAGAAAAGGCCGACGTCGACAGGGAAGCTCTCGAGGGACCGCATGGCATACTGCAAGATGAATGGGTGATTTCCGTACGACGGCAAGAGATAAGTCACGGCAGAGATGGGGTCGATTGGTTCCCAGTAGAGGAGGTACTGCGAAATCATCAGAATTTTTTACATGTACCGCGCAGTATGAAGATTAACTTACCTTGAGTTGGAATGAAACATCCTCGGGGAGAGATGATCCAAGTAATATTTCCAGTGCATTCGGTTCTTTGAGTGCCTTCTCGGGGAAATTGAGCAAAAGCCATCTGATATCATTTCGGAGTTTCGCGGACGGGAATCGTGAGCCTAACTGGAATGCTAGGCTTGGATTTTCGGTCCACGCTAGTCGAAGTAGCCCTGTTACAGTCTCCTAGTACACAAAATGTTAGAGGTCCGTTTACATGAGCAAGGCAATTAAGAAACCAACCTCAGTGACAGCTTTATTGCCAGCTCCATAAAAGAAGTACGACTTTCTTTCCTGGTCGAGGGGAGAAAGCCAAACTTTTAGCCGAGACCGTTCATTGCCAATCAGTATCAGGAGTAAATCATGTTTCAATTGCAGAGACCTGCGAGATTTTGAATCTACCGCCTCCTTCCAAGATACAGTTTCCAGGATAGATTCTATATCATGAAGGACCTGATCTTCCGCTTTGAGCTGTAAGCGGTTTCCACCAAACGACCATCTTGGCACCAAAGTTAGCAGCTGTTGGAAACTGGAGTGGGGAGAAGCATAGCTCACCTTGGAGAACGGCTAAACCAACTCAACGCAGCCGAGAGGATTTGATCTTTGAGTTTCCATAGCCCAACGTTGTTTTGTCCCGAGCAGCTGCGTAGTACTTTCAAACTAAACAGTATGACATGGAAATGAATCTCGCGCGCTAACGGGTGGGCAGTTGAATCTCTCATGGCAATTAATGTCTCGCTGACTAGGCGTCTGAACACTCGCTGGGTATGTAAGCTGCCCAGCCTGCTCGCATTAAAATGGCTTTCTAGGAACTGCAAGATTAGGAAATGAGGGGCTATTTTATTCTGGGCTTTCCTGTGACGTCTGAGGATCGCTTCCTTATCTGAGGGTGACGATTCAAGCTTCGTCATGAAAGGATTCTTGTGTCTGATAGAGCATTAGCAATATATTCGTGCAAAAGGACGAAGGCAGCTTACTTGAAGTTCGGGTCAAAGATCCCTTGTTTGCGACGAATAGTACGTTCCCATGCTTGTGCAACTTCTACTAGGATCCTTGACTCCATGGCTGGTTTCTCGTTGATCACCCCAAGCCACAATGCGATACCCATCCTAATGGACTCTTTGGTAAAGATCTGGAAGGGGATATTGACCAGATGAGCAATAATTGCCGGGTGGCTATCATAAGTGTTACAAAGCAGGGCAGCAGTGCGTCGAAGGATGTGTCGTGGTAGGTCCAGTGACATATGCTTGTCTGTTCGTATCTGTTTCTCTAGGGCGGCGAGGGCTTCTTGCACGGTCTCAGGATAGTCTGTTGTCTGAGCCGTGGTGCTTTGGCCTGTCAAACGTCAGTATTTTGCCAGCATAGTGTGTCAAAGGTACAGCAATTTTACCATAAGTTATCTCTAAAGGTAGTTTTCCTTGACGTGCGGGCCCTGCTTCGGAATAGCGATACTCCTGGCGAGTCGTATACTGGGATATAAAATCGGAAGCAACGTTTAAAACAGTACCACCAGGATGGTCAATTGATCCTATTAACCATTAGTGTCAAGTCAAAGAAATATCGAGCAATGGCAATATACATACCTAGTCTTTGGTCAGCCAGGGGAATGGCCGAGCCCATCTCAAGTGCCAACGAGCGACCCATGGTTATGTTGCCGTATACACCATCATCGTCATAATCAGATAAGTAAGTCTGGGTAAGTTAGTTGTGTTTTTGGATAGAGTACTATTGGGGTAGGCTTACCTGGAGTAGACCCTTGATATCCAACGGTGCCATATTCATAACACTTGAAATCCAAGTACGAGCGGAATTATGAACATTTTTCAGGGTGCGCCTTCTGAAATCGTAGTTGTCCGATAACACAATTTGAACTGTTCGTCTATCTGAGGTGAACGTAGATTTCCAAGCAAATTCATCCGTTTCCTCATCCATGCATGATGACCAAAGCAGAGTAAGCAGGTCCAGAAGAGTGAAGAGAGACAGTTTCTGGCATAAAGCTGAAGGACACTGCGTGATTATTTTATTAGCTGCCATGGCGGCAGCTTGCTGGACTTGAGCAATGCGATGGCAGCATGCGGTAAAGGTGTCGGCCAACTGCTTGGCGATGTAGGGTGCTGAGAATTTGATGGCAGTGCTCCTTAGAGCTTTCTCCAAATAAATGGTAACGACTTTATCGGCGATGGCTCTCATGCAATTGCCCATTTCGGAGGTATTCAGGGTCGGGTCTAGGAAGTAGGTAAAGACCTTTGTGCAATCGCCAGAGTTTGCGCGGAGAGTTTCGATTAACAATGCTGCGTTAAGGAAGAGTGCCTTGGGATAATTCAAGCGTCGAATGTCATATTCTTGCGCAGGCAACTCTGCAGACAGGTTCTTCTTCTTGTCGATTGTTGTGTGAGGGCTCTGGCCACGCCTTAGAACTGTGTTCAGCTCAATATCGCTTTCCAACAGTTCGGCACGGTTCTCAGACACAAGAGGGGGCGAGTGTTCGGCCAAGATACGGAGTTGTTCATAATTCTCCTTTCCGAGCTCGGATCTAAGAGAGATGTCGTGGGCGGCGATGTTGAACCACGCATCCCGTAGCATATCCGTGATGTCTTCATTGTCACATACACCTGCTGGCAAGTTCTCCAGGCGGCCTGCTCTGGCTAAAAGGATTGCGAGGGGTTTGAGAATTGGCACAATCTGCTTAGCTGTGGACTCTATGTCTTCCGGGTGGATCTTTTCACGCTCAACGGCAGCTCCCTGGTTGACGATACTCTCAAGTAGATATACCAAGTAGATTTTGAATAGTTCACTGCTTGGGTCGAGGTGGGCGGCAAGATGGTTTCTTGCTTTATGGATCTATTGAGTGTTATGTTAGAAATCTTATAGAAAGCTAAGTGGTAGCAAGAAGCATATTAACAGTGTAAGGATAATACGTACCGCCTCAATCATCAAGTTATTCCCCTGAGCAAAAGTATCTCGCAGCAAACGAGAGTAAAACTTCAGCAGTAAGTGAAACTCCGCAGGCTCACTCTTCAGCGAAAGAGCTGCCGTTTCTTGAATGATGTATGCATCAACTACAACATTTACTTTACCAATCTTCTGCACCAGCATAGACTGTGCAAGGGCAACTATCTTGCTGTCTTCGCTACTAGTGGCAATTGTCATAATGGCGTGAACCACATTCCTAGCCGTAATAGACGAGTCACCTTCGCCATCAATAGCGAGGGATAGAAAACTCTCATTCGTCGGATGGGAACGCGGCTCAATAGAATTGGAATAGGCAGTGCCCGGCTCAGGAGTGAGGGTTGTAGCAGTTTTGTCGGCCCCGGGGCCGGAGCTAAGCACGTTCCCCAGGGAGTATAGCGTGCCAATGATGGTATCCTGGGAGAGGAGACGGAGGTTCTGGGCCAAACATTGGGCTCCGAGTGCAACTACCGGGCTACTTTGGCCGTTTTGCACGATGAATCGAAGAAGGGAGCGAGTCAGGCCGGTTGCACTGCCTCGAGATAACCTTGCTAGAACGACGGCAGATTTTAGGACAACTGTTGCCAGTTCCCGGTTCACCATCTGATCCGCGTCCAGGATGGTGTTCTCCAGGGATGTGAACAGCAGATCTAGATCCACGGAATCCTCATCAACCATGATGCAGTTGATAGAGCACATTATAGACAACGCCTTGACTGAGAATGCAAGGCGTTGTTGCCAGGCGGAGCTAACTTGCAGGTAGTCCGACCCCTCTTCGAGGAGGTGGATCTGGTCATTTGCGATCTCTGCGGCGTATTTCACGAGGCCGTCCATGCCACGGTCAGTCATTTTGGCTACATAGCCACCATCTGCATAACGGCATAGAAGGGTGTCGTCAGAAACCTGTGTTCCGTCACGTTCAATGGGAGATGTGCACGACTTCAGGAAACCCATGAATGCCTGTTGCAGCATCATCGAGCCAAGGGGCCGTCCATCAGCGGCATACTGACGGGTATACCGTCTCCAGTCATGCAATAAGGGATCCGGTGAGCGGGAATTCCGTATACTAGACGAGATGGTCTCTACAGCCACCAGGAAACGCTCCGAAAGTATAATATGTAGCTGCTTTATGATAGCAAGGCGGTCCAAGGGTGTCCAGAAGTGCGGGAACTCGGCGGAACCCCTGAGAAACCCGACAAGAGACACCGTCAGAGCCGCCACGTCTGTAGCTTCGTGGCTATCGACATGTATCCCTGTCCCCTCGGCGTCGAAGAATGCCGGTAGTCTCTCTGTTGCCTGGTGACAGTTCTCCAGGTATTCGTCAACAGCTTCATGAACGTCATCCCGTAGCGACTTGTGCCTAGACCCGAGAGAGAGGAGCGCCGCAACGACGTCATGCGTCAAGGTCTCCCAAGGCGAAGGCCTAGAGGTGTGCAGGAAAGGGGACGAGTGTATCCGTAGGGTGTGGACGGTCGGGAGACAGCCCGCAAGGAGCGAGACGAGCTTTGCCGCATGGTCAGGCCGCTGTACTGACCCTGCTGCTTTGCAGAGAGCCAGAAGGACGTCTAGTTCTCGGAAACCCTAGCTTCATCTTAGCTGTATGTTCCATCGGGCATAGATACGGGGGGCAACATGGAGAGAGGGAGAGGCTGTACACTTGGGGCGCAGCGAGCTGTTGAGCCACCAGAAGAAGCCTTGGAGCCATGGCAGGCCCTGATGAGCCTTTCGACGTCGGAGTTGCCCAGCTCATCGTCCTGTCTGGGGTGTTTCGTGGCTAATATGGCAAGCTTCTCGAGGGCCGCACGCCGGATATACGACGACGAATGCCTGGAACTCCTTGCACGGTTAGCGGAAAGATGCGCTCAGCGTGGCCAGCGAAGTCACCTACATGTCCTGTCAACAGTGCAGCTCGCCAGGGGTCTCCTGGTCTGTGATCGAGGCCGGAGCGAGTGTGTGAGGGCGAGTGTTCCTCGTTACAGACGTCTTTCGTGTCTTTCGCGGACAAATCGCTGGGAGGATGCCAAGCCACAGCATCAGCCTCCATACAAACGACTGGACAGGAGAAGATATAGAAGAAACAGAAGAAACAAAGATACAGGACGCAGGATGCACAAGATGCACAAGATGCAGGGTTGATCTGTTTGATCTTTACCTTTACAGCCTGGGTCGCTCGAGAGGGAGACAGAAGACAGCGGTTACAGCATCCAAATACACAGATACACCAGATACACGGCTGTCCTGATACACGGCTGTCCATCTGCTCGTCTACTGCCTACATGCATAAAACCTCTACAGGCGACCAGCATATAGCAAAAAGAAAGAAATAGATCATCGTTGAATATTTGGGCGCAGGGAAAGCCGTGGATGCGGCTCTAAGCTCCTCGCCAACCTTATAAAAAGCGACCAAAGATCCTCCAGTTCAGGAAGCTCGAGAAGTTCGCTCGACCTGCCATTGACCTTAAGCGCCGTCTTTCCCTTGCTCTCGGCTTGCTGCAGCTTGTTCTCGGTCCTGGTCCAGTTTCGAAGGGGTCAGCCAGAGATATTTATGCCCCCAGCGCTAATATATTCTTCTGTTATCCTTGTTTACTTAGTAACTGCACTCTCAATCGCTCAGCCGATTGAACGGCGCCCATCTCGACCTTTACTGGATCGCAGAGTATATACGGAGTACTAATCTTGGTTTTATTGTCTTGACGGACGGATTGCGCTTCTCTTTACAGCACGGAGAAGCCATTGGGGGCCATTTGTGACGGTTCGGTCGTTGTCGTCGACTTCACTACATAGAGCCACCATGCCTCCACAGAGAGAGACGAGCCATCTGAAGAGATCGCGGGTAGGGAGTCTAGCACTTGAAGCGATATATCGGTTTCTTAGAACGTTGTACCTTGCTAACCACCTCGGTGTCGTTGTATAGGGAAATGCCGACCTCGAGCATGACCCGAAGAAACCTCGGCGGTCACCACGAATCGCATCTCAATTGCAGCCAGATGTCGGATATTTACCCTCCCCTCTGGGAAACGAAGTAGCGGTAGATACACCGCGTAAGGATGCCACGGCCACACCCCCAGACGAAGGACGGAGCCAGATGCGCCGCGGTCAATCGCCCGACGAGTCTTGTCCCACGCAAGGGTTCTCCCAGTACCCTCCCGTGCAGTTCATGGACGATATAGAAGACGAGGTTGCTGAGGGGGTCTGGGGATATCTCACTCCGCTGGATAACAAATTTGGAGGTCAATTGATACTGAAGAAGCGGGATAGCACCCTTACCACGCCTGTAGGTGGAGCTATAGCGACACCCGGCAGCACCAAGTCGAAGCGTGGTGCAAGTGAGATCAACCGTGCTGGATATCTGATAGGCCGGCATAGCGAGTGTGGTGAGTACAGTTTCTGGTTTCTGACCTATGAGTGCAACGGTTCGAATTGACTAACGATTTTGTCAACGTTATAGATTTCAGGCTTGATATCCGCACGATATCTAATCGCCATTGCCTGATATTCAACGAGAACAGGAGAGGAGATGTAGTTGCGATTATTGAAGATCTTTCCAGCAATGGGACATTCGTCAACGACGCCATCATTGGCCGAAATAAACGCCGAGAGCTCGAGGGTGGTGATGAAATCACCATCTTGGATGAAGCTAGATTCGTCTTCAACTACCCACGGAGCCGGAACACCAGCAAGTTCCGCCAGCAATACACCCTTCTCGACATGCTGGGCAAGGGACACTTTGCAAGCGTCTATCTATGCGCAGAACGCTCAACGGGACTGAAGTTTGCTGTCAAACGGTTTGAGAGACGACCGGGCATGGTTCAAAAGACTGATCCGGAAGCACTCCAGCAAGAGATCTCCATGTTGATGAGTGTCAATCACCCGAACATGCTGTGTCTAAAGGCTACCTTTGACGAGAGTGACGGCGTCTACTTGGTTCTTGAACTTGCGCCAGAAGGCGAGCTGTTTAACTGGATAATCAGGCACCAGAAGCTGACTGAGGACGAGACACGGAAAGTATTCATACAGCTTTTCGAAGGCTTGAAATATCTGGTACGTTCTTCCAGTTACAACGACAAGTAATGCATGTCTGACGATAGTTATAGCATGAACGGAATATTGTCCATCGGGATATAAAGCCAGAGAACATCCTCGTTGTTGACAAGGACCTTTCGGTAAAACTGGCTGATTTTGGCCTTGCAAAGATTATCGGTGAACAGTCTTTCACCACAACTCTGTAAGTCTCCTATCACCTAACTTACGAATAACGGATTTTACTAACAGTCCATAGATGTGGAACGCCCGGTTGTAAGTCATGTCCCTACTAATTTTCAATCTACTTTATCCGTGTCTAACGATTACCAGATGTCGCCCCTGAGATATTGGAAGACCACCCTGCCCAACGCATGTATACGCGTGCAGTTGACATCTGGTCACTGGGAGTAGTACTCTACATCTGCCTCTGTGGTTTCCCTCCATTCTCCGACGAACTATACGACGACAACACCTTCCCATACACCCAGAGAGATCAAATCAAGAACGGAATCTTCCACTACCCTTCCCCCTTCTGGGATCCAGTCAGCGACGAAGCCATCCAGCTGATCGAGCGAATGCTCGTCGTCAACCCCGAGCATCGCATCACCATTGACCAATGTCTCAAGGATCCCTGGATTACCGGAATCAGGCCTGACATCGGTGACAGCACAGACGGCCTAGTCGGCGCCATAGGCGGTCTCAAAGTATCGAAAGATCGTCGACCAACCCTATCACGCACGTATCTGAGTGATCTGCACGAAGTTACGATCAAGCAGGTGGTGCATAAGAAGAGCGATGACCCGGGCTCTAAAAAGGTAACCATATACCAGAATCACCCTGTCGGGAAAATACCTGAGCCCAAACCAGCTGCGAATCGCAACTCGAGGGAATTCATGGAACTGGGTGGAAGGGGAGACCAGGTACTCTTCGATGATAAATCTGATAGTGACTCGCTGGAGCTTGACGATGAAAGGGATGGCCCGCTGTTCAACAATGATGATGCCGAGGATGAGCCTCCACGCGGGAGAAGGAGGTGAAAGGTGGTAGCCATATAAGATGGACACAGGCTGTCTTATATACTTGGCCTGTTGCTATTTCTCCCATCTGCTATCCAGGAAACTAGCGTTTTTTATACTCATATATATATATATACCCCAGACGGGCAGGTGAAAGGGGTCACTAATCGAGATGGCGGGAGAGCAGAAAACTAACTCGACGGGGTTCTGGAAAGGTGTCAGGTGGATGTAGGGGACTATTTTGGATTACTTTATGTGATATTTAGGAGTACTCTAGCGATCTCTAGCAATGTATTTACTGTCTCTTCTCTTTTCCTCCTCTCTCCTTTTCCTCTCTACACAGCCACATCGACCATGACTAAGCCGGGTTGGTGCCAGCCGCGATGGCCTGATGCGCCGTCAACGGTACAGAGAAGTCTTCCGTAGACAAGCCGTGATGACGTCCTTGACTCCATCATTGCCGTCGTAATACTCGATAGATGACTTGATATGCAGAATATAAAGGGGGTACAAGGAGTGTAATATATGTATTGGAGATACCGCTGTGAACCAGTAAAAAGCTGCCTAATGTCAGGCACGATACACGATCTGACCATACCGATACCGCCCCCTTGCAGCCGCCAAAAATGTTAAATGAGGAAATCAACTTGCATCTCGAGACTTTGAACTTGCTCTGGAACTGAACTGCAACCAACCCAGCAAGCAAGCGAAGAACACAGGATTGGATCCCCGCAGTCACCATGGGTTTGTTAGCTGAGGTCGTCTCTCGCTTCTGCGAGCACTGCTCGACCCTGTCCACCACCGCCCTCGTCTCCAGCGCCGTATCGGCCTTTATCGTCCTCTCCATCGTTATCAACGTCCTCCTCCAGCTCCTGTTCAAAGACCCGAACCAGCCTCCAGTTGTCTTTCACTGGGTTCCAATCATTGGAAGCACTGTCTCATATGGCATTGATCCGTACAAGTTCTTCGATGACTGCAAGGCAAAGGTAGGTTGACGCAAGCACCCATATGGTCTGGAGTGCATGGATAGCTGACTTCGTCTCTCTAGTATGGAGATATCTTCACATTCGTGCTCCTGGGCAAGAAGACGACCGTCTTCCTCGGTACAAAGGGCAATGATTTCATTTTGAACGGAAAGCTCAAGGACGTTTGCGCCGAGGAGGTCTATTCTCCTCTCACCACCCCAGTGTTCGGACGACATGTCGTCTATGACTGCCCCAACTCCAAGCTCATGGAACAGAAGAAGGTATGCCATGTTGAACCGTTTTTCTCGATTTCTAGAACCTCCGCTGACTGTGATTATCTAGTTTGTCAAATTCGGCCTTACATCTGAAGCTCTTCGATCCTACGTCACCTTGATCACCAAAGAAGTCGAACAGTTCTTCGAGACGTCTCCAGTTCTCAAGGGCGACTCCGGTGTCCTCAACGTCAGCAAGGTTATGGCCGAAATCACCATCTACACTGCCTCTCGATCCCTACAGGGCAAAGAGGTTCGCGAGAAATTCGACTCCAGTTTCGCCGAGCTGTACTGCGATCTTGATATGGGTTTTGCCGCCATCAACTTTATGTTCCCATGGGTTCCTTTCCCACACAACCGCAAGCGTGATCGTGCCCAGAAAAAGATGGCTCAGGTCTATACCGACATCATCCGCCAAAGACGCGAGGCCGGTGGAGAGAAGGACTCCGAGGATATGGTGTGGAACTTGATGTCCTCTGTATACAAGAACGGAACCCCAATCCCTGATATCGAGGTTGCTCATATGATGATTGCGCTATTGATGGCTGGTCAGCATTCGTCCTCATCTACCGGCTCCTGGATCGTTCTTCGCCTCGCCAGCCGTCCAGATATCCTCGAGGAACTGTACCAGGAACAACTCCGTGTCCTAGGCAAAGACCTTCCACCACTCACCTACGAAACGCTACAGAAACTCGACCTCCACAACAACGTTATCAAGGAAACCCTCCGTCTTCACGCCCCAATCCACTCCATTCTCCGTGCTGTCAAGTCTCCCATGCCAGTCGAGGGAACAAACTACGTTATCCCTACCTCTCACAATCTACTCGCAGCCCCCGGTGTCCCATCCCGCGATGCCCAGTATTTCCCCGACCCAATGCTCTGGAACCCACACCGATGGGAGGGCAATGCCGGCGTCACCGTGGTGGAAGCCAGCGAAGAAAAGACCGATTACGGATATGGTTTAGTTAGCAAGGGCGCTAACAGCCCTTACCTCCCATTCGGATCTGGAAGACATCGATGTATCGGTGAACAGTTCGCATATGTACAACTTGGAGCAGTAACAGCTGCTCTGGTGAGGTTATTGAAATGGAAGCAAGTCGAAGGTACCAAGGCTGTCGTACCAGATACTGATTACTCGGTAAGTTTTCTTTCTCTCCTTTATTTTTTTTTCATCCTCGGCATGCAAGAGTATAACTAATCAATCATGAATAGTCTCTATTCTCAAAACCCCTTGGCAACCCAATGATAGCGTGGGAGAAACGAAAGCAGCCATCTCCCAAATGATAACCACGACTGCAGATTTACTTACGTTCATATTTGCTATACCTGTTAATTCTTCTTGTTTTTTATACACCTGGGCCAAATTCCACTTCACGGTCATGCAAGTGGCGCTTTGGAATAGAGCATATGTAATAATTTTTCTTCAGCCTGTTTCGAAAATGCGGATGTAGATATCAGAACCTAACTTTAATACACTTCCTTTTAACGATAAACACAGCCAACAGATGAAATCTGCTCTTCAGTTCCGCTCCTGACGTAACAAAAAAAAAGAGTAATATACATTGGAGAAATAGTACATATTCCCTCAACTGGGACGTTTCAGTATCTAAACAACAGCATCCAAGGGAGTAATGTTGGTACTTAACCGACAAGCAGGGTTATCAACTTCTCTCTTCCCCATTCAACTCTAGCGCATATCAACCTTCTAAGCAGCTGCCTGAGCAGCCTTTCTCTCTGCCAGCCACCTCTTTGCCCTAATTTCCTTCTGCCTCCTTTGGCCACCGTCAATCTTTCTACCACGCTTATGTTCCCACATACCATCCGTAACCTGAACCTTGACAGCAGTACTCCATGAATGTGGAATAATCTGAGCAAATGGACCTTTAATCATATTCCCACGGTGCAGTTTATAGTGGGCGTATCTCTTGATTGGCTGGGTAGGATCTTTCAGCTTCGTTTCGCCGGGAGGTAGGTTGACAATCACATAGTGCATTCCAGGTGTGAGGGTAGCGGTACCCATTAGACCGACGTTTAAGGCATCTCCGTTCTTGGTATTCTCTGCCGACTGGTTGGTCTTGATCGGGACCTCAACAGCTCTCAGCTCAGCAACTCCATCGACGACATGGTCCAGATCTCCGCCAGGGCCGTAGTCCTGCTTTCGAAACTTTTCTCTCCACCGCATTAAATATCTTCTGTCCCTTGTGGTCTCCATCCCCAATTCTCGAAGCTCATCCGCGTCGGCTGTGAACAGCTTGTTCCATTCGGTGAGCTTGCTAGCATATCTAGACATGTTTCGTCCGATTAGGCGTAGGAATGTTTCAGTATCTGGCACGAACGGAGTAGGAGCTGGGACTGCCGCGGGTTTTAGAGATTTGTGAAGGTAGCGCACGCATAGTTGGTGGTGAGGGCTTGTGATAGAATTGAAAACTCGGATTGGGAGCGAGGCTCGAGCATTGAAGCCCGGTATGCGCGCGGCGGCCATGGTGTTTCTTATAATATCGGCCTTCGGATTGAAGCTTAGGGTGAGATGGATGGATGTAGCTTATGGCGTATGTCCACCATCAGCTGGTGTACGAGGGATAAAATCGCCGTAGTGCCGTAGGCTCAAGAATCCCGCACGATTCAACCCAAAGGCGTGTCAGATAGCCCTCAATTGCGTGGTATAGAAGGTGTCAAGTGTCCTTCCTTTTGCTCCTGGTCAAGATTTTGCACCAAAATTTGAATTTGGCGTTGAGATCGGACTTAAGATATTCCGGCTCCGACATATTCTCACCTTCAAGCTCTAAGCTATATCCATGTATATAACTTCAATATCAAGAAAACAGCCACACGTTTGTTAGGACTGCTGGCCTTGTTTGGCAGGAGGATAGTTCCTTGATTTAAAAAAAAATTCACTTGGCTCACCGGCGAAGCTGACACTCCCAATTCACTGACACCATGGCGGTATCGCCCCTGCCCACCCAAATCCCTACGACTGCTATTGCTACCGGTGCTCCAAAGTCCCTCGCAATGCGCAATATTACGTCTCAAGAAACCCGCGCCGTACCTGGCAGCGATATTGCACACCCCAAACCATCTGCCCCCGAACCAGACGCAGCAGAACAGTTAAACGCGGATGTTCGGCAGAAATACGTCAAGGGTATAATAGATACCAAATATTGCCTCCTGCAGAACCTCGAAATGCTGATACATGCCTATTCATAGACAAGAAACTTGGAGAAGGTACATATGCAGTGGTATACCTGGGCCATCTACGAGATGATCCCTCCTCGCTCGTCGCAATTAAGAAAATTAAATTAAACGCGGAATACAAAGACGGACTCTCGATGGACGCAATTCGAGAAGTAAAATACCTTCAGGAATTGTCTCATCCGAATGTCATCGCTCTACACGACGTTTTCTCCTCAAAGGACCAAAACCTAAATTTGGTACTCGAGTTCTTACCCCTTGGCGATCTCGAGATGTTGATTAAAGATAATACAATTCAGTATGGTGTTGCTGATATAAAGGCGTGGATAAGCATGCTTGCGCGTGGTGTCTGGTTCTGCCACAAGAACTTCGTTCTACACCGTGATATTAAACCAAACAACTTGCTAATTGGATCCGACGGAGAGGTTAAATTGGCGGATTTTGGTCTCGCAAGATCGTTTGCAGATCCATATTTGAACATGACACATCAGGTTATCACACGATGGTACAGACCGCTAGAACTACTCTTTGGGGCCAGACAGTATTCTGGTGCCGTCGACATATGGTCTATGGGTATGGTGTTCGCGGAACTAATTCTTCGTGTCCCCTTTGCTGCCGGAAATACAGACATGGACCAAATCTCCAAAATCTGCGCTGCCTTTGGTGCGCCTACCGAAGAAAATTGGCCGGGCGTAACGAAGTTACCCAACTATGTGCCTGTTGAGGAGAACCAGATTGTACCCTTGCAAGGACGAGATTTTTTCCTCCGTCAGTTCCCAACAGCTGGACCCTTAGGTGCCGACTTACTTGCCTCCATGTTAAAACTTGATCCAAGGAAACGAAGCACGGCTACTCAAATTCTACAACATCAGTGGTGGTTTTCTGAACCCAAACCAACGAAAAATGAAAACCTACCTAGGAAGTCAGGCGGTGAAAAGAAAATGGGGAATGATATGGGTAGACGAGTTGGTGAGATTGACGATGGGAAATATAAAGGTGTTTCCCGTCAACTCGATTTTGGAGCCATGAAGAAATGAGGATAGGCTTCAAATCATCGGATCTTGGATCTAATAACTCGTGAATGAATCCAAATAGCTTCAGTGGCTAAAACGGGATATATTGTCAACCGTTGTGCATGCAGACATGCTATTCAATGGGTACGGTTTTCCGCTGGCCGTCTTTCGTAGGCATGGGCAACCTTGGCCAGTGCCTGATATTCACCCTCCACAGCTGGCGGCTACGTATGAAGGGGCAAATTAGGTCACGGTCCTAGAGGGCAGGCATATTTGCCAATTAACATCCCCCCGGAATATGTGGGCATTCAAGGAACACAGTCAGTACTCACACCGCTGAGTAGGCCATCTCGAGTCACTATATCACTCCGAGAGTCCCTGGTTACCCTCCGAGATGTTGCCATAGACCGACCCTATGCCATAAATAGAGCAGAGGTTCAGCCAGTGTAGCCACTGCTATGTTCTTATTTATAGATTCTAGATACTTAATCCATGCATCACGCACAAGTCCCCTCTCATTAAGGGTTTGATGCATAATATTGACCTAATCTAATATCTATAATCTGGCTAACAGGCTATGATGGCACTTTTGAAACTATATATATAATTTTCACTTATCATTTACTGGAATATCATGCTGAGTGATACTTATATTTTTGTCGTATCAAGCTGTTAGGAGGTAACGATATGGATGAATTGGAATATGCTCTGATTTAGCTAAGTCTACTAGAACGGTAACTCCCCAGCGTGGAAACCTATAAACGGTTAATCTAGAAATCCACTTTCTACCTTCAATCACTTCTGCGGGCAAAGGGGCTCCCAGGATGGTACTCGTGCGCCATTATCCGCATCCATAAGTTCGTTAGGGGGAGGCAGTGGTTTTTTCTTCACCACTGGAGTTGAAGAGGCATGAGCGCCTACTCTGACCACCTTTCTTGGAGCTTGCGAGCCCGGTGTCCCATCAGCTTGTCCCATGTCTGTCTGTCCTTGACCATTACGTGGTTGGCCCGCAGGTTGTGGCAGTGTGGTTTCGAAGCCGGTCCATCGTTTTGGCATATTATTGCTAGCCGCAGCCGCCGAGTTCTCTGTTTTTGCCATACCTGCAGTCGGACTTAAAGTTGCCGGCTTTTTAGGGACAGGAGGTGGTGGTTTCTTAGACCCATCTAGCGCCATGGTCCCAGACCGCAGTGATGCGCTCCTATTCAGCGGCTTTTGTTCGTGTATGACTTCTGTCATTGACCTGAGTGGGAGTATGGAAGGAGAAAGTGGATGTTTTGTTGAATTGCGGCTTGAACTCCGCTCCATCTGACCAGGTGTAGTATAGTCTGGAATTTCGCCTTCCCCGATTTGGCTCCAATCGGACCCTAGTGATGTTGAAAATGGATTGGCTCCACGTTGCACATTGCTCCTAGCACCCAGCGGCGGAGAAATGGTTGATCGAACAGGACGACCTATACCAGCATTAGCATGAGCAAATAAGATAATGGCGGAAAGTATTCTCACCATTGTCAATCCACCACTTCTGCTTGTCTGAGCTGGGAGGTGGGAGGCCAGGGGCAACTGGAAATTCATCCTCTATATCAAAATGATCATCATCAAAATCGTCCTCCTCTTCCTGGTCGTCGGATATAAGACACCTCGGTGTTTTTATAGGCATATCCTTTCGTGCTTCATAGAGTTTTCGGCCTAATTCTTCCTTGCGCTTTTCATCTACGACATATATCTCACATTCAAATACCGCGTAGACGGGTCGATGATCTGAAAATTTCAAGGGTGCTGTGTGGTACGCTAACTGACGCAGGTTGCTTCCCTTCCAGAGAATTCTATCGCACCAGGCGGGGATCCTCTGCTTTTCTCTATAACAATATTAGCATAGAAGAGCAATAAAGGAGGCAGACTCCTAGATCTTACGAAGTGTCATATAGGTCCGTGCCGTTGTCATATCTATATGTTGGTGGAAAGGTGATTGGCCCCTCCATATAGAATTGAAACGCCATGCCAGCAACCATTTGAATGTTGAGCTACAGTATGTTAGCAACTGTGTATGTAGTTATAAGAGCTAAGCGGGCGGGATATTACCTGATCATTCCGATATAATGTCTCTATATCTCCCTTTTCGATTAGGGGTCTCACACGCTCGTTGCTAAGGCCAATCCTATAATTGAAGTCACCGAACCAAATGATTACGTCGTGGTCGTTGATTGTTCTGTTCCGTTGGAATCTAAGGCCCCGAGCAATAGTTTGATAGTCGCGATTTCTCTCCTCGTAGTTTGAGAAGCCAGCTGCCAAATGCGCGGTGATGAAGCATATTCTTGTGTTGCAATACTCCATACGAACAGCGCAAGCCCCTTTGTTTCCACCCATCCCGGACAAGCCAGTCTGTAATTCCATGTTAGTTACTTGAATTCTTCTGTATGTGGGAGTTCAGTGCCTGTACCTTCTTTACACTACCTTCCACATTTTTTATCTTCTCGATAACATCCTCCTTCACGAAGAGAATGAGCGCTGCACCCACAAGCTGACCACTCCTCAAGAAAACGTATTTGGTTGTTCCTCTCTGCTTAGCCCTATCGTTAAGCGACTTTGCAACCGCTTCCTCCCATATCAAGCGCGTACTGGGGTCAGTAGACATGATCTGTTGTGGGCTAAGCGCAACGATTTCTTGGAATCCTACACCCACAATTGTAGGCTCTTCACCAAGTTTCTCAAGGGATCCATGCAGCCATGGACTAAGATCTTCGCTAGCTCCTTCGCTGCAACCATTGATATTGAATGTTCCAACCCATATACGAATTTTCTCGTGAGATGTAAACTCCGCGGCGTTTCGTTTGAGCTCCGCGTCTACCATATCTTTTATCGGGTCAAATAGACGCACTGGTACTTGTTCAGTCATAAGTCCCAGTAGTGTATCTATAGTAGTTTGTGTTCCAGGATCCGTAAAGTTGTTGACGAATAGACGTGTAGCGCTTTTGCGGAAATCAGCAAACTGACCAGCAACAGACATTGCGCCGTGTCTCGTAAATGATGACTTCAGTGCACCGGTTCCTGCATAGATTCTTGACAGAACATCCCCATTATCAGCCCATAGGGTTGAATGTCTCATCCAAAAATCCCGTGGAGAATGGCCATTTCGTTGTGCCAGAAACATTTCGATCACCATGCGACTAATCATAGTTTGAATGAGATTAGTCCTGTCCAAGCAATCTAAACAATTTGTTCGAAAAACGCCATCCTGCTGAAGTACAACATTCTGCTGTCTAGCGAGTCTGATGTCTGATGTTGAAAGTTCACTTTCGCGGCCAGCAGGTTCTTCGGACAGAAAATACGCAAACCCTTCAACCGAGTCTCCTATCACGTCTTTGATACGGCTAGCAGCTTCATATCCTGCCGGCCCTTTAGTTTCTGCGTGGAAGTCATATTCTGTCATCTTTAAAAGATCGTGTCCTGGAGCGGCTCCTGAGCCAGGTTTCCGGTATAGTGGGCTTCCACGGACATGATACATATACCGTGCCGTCAGCTCTGCTTCCGCCTCCTTAGATCTAGCAAGTAGGTTGATTGCATGAACAGCCCCATAATTAAGTGTTAAGTCTCCAAAATGTTTGTCAAAGGCGAGCTGTGCGGCGGCTGCGGCACGGCTGACCTTGACTTTCTGTGCTCCTGGAATGTAGCCCGCTTCTTGTTCCCAAAATACCGGTACCGAGCCCCGAACCTGAGTATAGGAAAAACACAATGCAGGGGGGATCCATAGGATTGTTTCTGTCTCCACAAAATTTGCAACGTTTCCGTCATCGTCGATGCCTCTAGCATTAAATCTGGTTCCCGCACGACGTGAGGAGAGACGTGAGATCACAGTTAAACTTGATGGGAGGTTTGATTCTATATTAGGGAAGAGAGACGAAGAAGCAGGAATGGTTAATGACTGGGCAAATCCTCGAATTGCCGACGTAAGGAGTCGAGAAGAGTCCAGCTTCTGTCGGTCCTGTACACCTAAGCCGTTCCGGAACTGCAGCAAAGGCTTAATCATATATGAGTTCCAAAGGAAGTCCTCGTCAAGACTTTCGATGTCGAAAGCAACGGGATCATCAACTCTGTCGATTAAGGAATTAGCTAAGGTATAGTTTAGAAATTCAATAGTGCCATTCATTACCTATCCTGAATGCGTTCCGTCAGATTGAAGTCAGAGCTATAAAAAAAGCTCCCATCATCCAAAAGCTTTTTCAACGCCAAAGAGGGATTTTCCGGGGCAACATCGTATCCTTGATAAGCAGTGCCATAATTATAATTACGCGTATCTGAATCAGGACCTACGACTAGGTCGTAATCGGGTCGGTTTAGGCAGACTATTGTCGGTTGTTAGTTAGGATGGACAAGATCTCATCAACTCAAACTGATGTAAGAAACATAACAGAAAAAGAAAGGAAAAGGGAGGGGGAGATCAGTACAAAATTCAACATTATCTATTCTTTGCACCGTTTCCCTGGGCCTCACGTTGGCCACAGTAGTCGAGCGCGTAATGATGCATATAAAAACGTCGCCGGTAGCAAGCTTGATGAGTCCCAGTGTCCCCAAGCCGGTCCCCAGAGTACGGAACTTGGATACAGGTATAGTATCTGCGGCGGCAAACTCGACAACACACCTTGGAGGGCTGAGGTTGGAGAACTTGAACGTGTTGTCTGATATGGATTCTGAGCCTAGCGGCACGTAGTTTATTGTGAGGGCATAGCCGTTTGCCACAAGAACGATTGTGCGCTGTTGTTCATCCCTGCAGAGAACTCGCAGAGCCATCGTGGAAGTATTATGTCTGAATATAATATAGCAGATCTCTCACGCATGAACTATTTAAAAAAGTATAGGCGCATGGTTGAGAGGGTGTTGGGATCTCTGGTCGTATATTCTAGCCTATTCACCAAGAGGAGACAAAAACGTCACTTTCAGTTGGCGCAGATGAATTCCTCCTCATCTGCCTGCAATCACGCAGGGCCACAGTAAGGAGAGGACGACGATATAACGGCAGGCTTTGTTGATGTAGAATGCTGCTTCTTTTTGGTGTGGTTAACTGCTTAATTATAAAGAAGGTTGTGGGCGAAAGTGGTGGTTGCAAAAAGTAAACAGGAAAATAATGTCTGGCTCCCTCACTTGTTAAATATATAGTTGGCTTCGAGATGGGTAGTTCCGGCTCTCATGATGTAAGTTATGCAAGTTACTATAATGATAGTAATGGCCATTGTAGCTTTATTACTGGATACTCCGTGCCTGAATACATAAAGCTTCTGAAAATAAATATGGATAAAGTACGTCATTGTTAGTACGCCATGCACCCCTCTAAATAATAAGTGATACTTCTAAGGAGTTTCACCATAGTAAACAATCAGTTTAATAAGGAACAATAAAGAAATAGAGAACAAGCGGCCAGTATTACAACAAATATGTCATTACCCCTGTCTTAAGCATCACATCCCTCTAGTTCATCCACAGGTGTGGAAGCCCTAACAATGCAACCAGACAGCTAGAAGTGGTAATTCCCTTTTGCAGAATCAACGAAGGGCTTCGATCTTTTTCTCTAGCATGGCTTTCACTGTTCCTCTTGCCATCTCATATTCTTTCTCCAGAAACAGTGTATGTTTGGCTATCTCGCTCTCAATCTCCAGCTTCTTCTTTGCTAGATCTGATAACCTTTCAAGCTGTGTCTTGCGGTATGCTAGGCTATTGATACGTCAATAAACCGGTAAGACGAGCTTGGGTGGAAGTTTGGGGTTCCAAAATCGGGCAGTAGCCTATAATTAGCAGGATGTAAGTACAACACAATACCTACATTGTTTTTCCATTTGATTGCGACACCTCTCTTAGTTTATCTTCTACTTTCTTGACACATGCTTTGTGGTGAGACTGGAGTTTCTGGCGTCCATCATTGGCAGGTTTCCTTCCTACTGCCTAGGAGAATGACACTTGTTAATACTCCTGAAACACCATAGCCATATTGATAGATATCATAAACATAACGCTAGCAACAGCACTTGCTGCTCACAGAATTGTTTAGTTTCTTGAGTAAATTTGCCGTGATCTCCGCAGCCGAATCGACGGACAGCCCGCTTTCACTGTCCACCGTGTTTGTTCTCCAGTTACCTTTCGCGGGGGGTTTCGGTCGTCGCCTTTGGGCAGCTTGTCTGGGGGCCATCTCCTTTTCTTTGACAGACGGTTTCAAGGTCACGACGGGATGCGCGAGGTGTTGCGACCTGTTGCGAACTGTTTTGAATTGTTTTGAAGCCGAAGTTCGAGATTCAACTTTGAAGGTCAAAATAGAGCTACGGGTAAATATTAATCCGGTGGGATGTGGTTATGTCAGCATCCTTATTGCGGCGTCCTTTTCACCGGCGTGTAGCAATCTATATAGGCGGCGCTGTAGATGTAATAAATGATTTAAAGCGAGATTAAATTGGGCTATAAATCATTGATTGGAGTTTTATTAATTTAAAAATGATTACTCGGTACATGGTGCGAGTTTGCAGGGGGCATGGGAATTTTGTCTGGATGTAGAACGGTTAAAGCGGCGGTGCAGAAGAAATACTTTATCTCGTCTGTCCAAGCTTTGTCCATCTCGATAAAAATAAATTTCCACCTGCGTTTTCACTCTACTTAAATCCTCAAGCCGTCACAATGGGTTTAGCCGGTCCTAAAAAGTGAGTATATGGCTTGTAGCAATTGAATCTGCATGCCAGTCCAACTGACTCTGCAATAGAAAGACGAAAATCTTCAACGACCCAAATAACACCTCGTGGACACGATCGACGTCCAACTATGGCCACAAAATCATGACCGCCCAGGGTTGGGCGCCTGGCGAATATCTAGGCGTAGCAGACAATAACCGTGCCGATACTTATACTGCTGCCAGCTCCAGTCATATCCGAGTTTCCCTCAAGGACGATACCCTTGGGCTAGGCGCTAAACCCCGCCGGCCGCTGATAGACGATGAACCCACGGGATTAGACGCATTTCAGGGGCTATTAGGGCGACTTAATGGGAGAAGCGAAGTCGAAATTGAAAAAGAATTGAAGGTGAAAAGTGATATTAAAGCTCTGACTTATATTGAACGGAGATGGGGTTGCATGAACTTTATTGGCGGCGGGCTACTAGTGCCAGACAAGGTGAATAAGATACCGAATGGCGAAGAGGATAAGGAGTCGGAAGACAGTGAAGAGGTAAAACCTATCACGGAGTCGGCGGGTGAAGATATTGATAGGAAAGAGAGGAAAAAGCGGGAGAAGAAGGAGAAGAGAGAACGAAAGGAGAAGAAGGAGAAATCTAAGGAAAGAAAGAAGCGGAAGAAAGGGTCGGAAGAGTCTGGGGATATTGCAGATAGTGGTTTTGCGACCGAGCCATCGGCTTCCGCATCCAGAGCCGAAACTCCGGTTGATGCAGACTCAACAGATTCGAAAAGCGATAAACAGAGATCCAAAGACAAGAAGAAATCTAAAAAGCGGAAACGAAAGGAAGAGCTACAGGCTAGCAAGGCTGGATCCTCGGCAACCTCAGATGACGAGGATGCAAAAAGCATAAAAGAAGACGATACGACTTCACATACCGTGGCTCCCATTGCTGTAAAGGAGCGTGTTATCCCATTTGCTCGGCAACTCCTGCGAGGCCGATACATACAGCAAAAGAGACGAGCTGTGATGGATTCCAAGTCCCTGAATGAGGTATACTTATCGTCTGACCCCTTACAATGGTGTCTGTTAGCTAACAGGAGAATAGATATTTATGACCACAGGCTGATTTCTGCTTTGTTCAATTTACATTTGTCCATGGTCCAGCTGCATTTTTGAAATATGTTTGGCTATAGACCCAACTGCAAGATAGATGATTTTATATACCCATGAAGCGCTAAAATAATACATCTTTTTGACAATTTACTTGCCTTGGATATATCTTTCTATCTCTATTGTTATCTTATGGCTTGCATTTCTAGCTATAATGCTCAGAAATATACTTAGAACTAACCCCAACCCTAGAGGACGCACCCAGGAGATGATTCTACAGTATCTCCTCCTGGTTGCCATGGCGTCCTACTTCATGGTCTTCTTTTCAAAACAATATAGGCTGTCACGCCTACAATAATTCTTGCAAATTCTCTGCACTCAACTTCCTGCTTTCACCTTCTACCTTCACACAATACAACCACTTGTCAGAAAACGGCCAACAGGGATTCGACAGAATCGACAGATATAAACAGCGATATTAGAATCCCGTGTTCCTCGATCTATATTCCCTGCCTAGTGAAGTTGCCAGGGCAGCTCTCTGGCTACATCAGATGCCATGGATGTCTGTCTGAGCCGCATTCAGGCAGGCTTATCTGGGATGACGCTCGCGGACACTTCTCAGTTGGCTTCCATGCTCGATTTTGAAGTCTCCTTGGCTGAGAAGCTCCGAGGGGGCGGGACAGGTCCTTATATTGTTGATAGCGAGGGAATGATCCGCGTTCCAGCTGTTCTCTTTGCAGGCGATCCGACCAAAGTATGCATTCCCTTATCACTTTTCATGCTTCCATTGGCCTTGCGGTGATGGCATATGGCGAGGTAGTTCGTCTTTACTCATGCATTTAAATATAGGGGATACCAGGAATTACTCTTACTCCAACAGCGCCAAATACGCCCGTTACTCCAGCTGCCACGCCAGCCATCTCTGCCTTCTCTCCTCTGCCACCCCCGCCTCCCACTCCTCCAGGCTTCGAATTCAAAAACAATACCGAGCGTTATTTCTTTGCAATTGCTGCACGCGCATTCCAGGAGGCAGTGAAGGTCCCGGAGAAACCACCACCATTTGGCTGGTTGCCTGGCCAGAAATGTTTAGTATACTATTCCACGGTCCTCGAACAGTTTACTATCTGCTTCCGTGAGCACCTCCGGAGAAAAGGCCGTTACCACGAGGCAACCTTCAACGAAGAATCCCAACGTCACCATATCAGCATCTTCAGCAACGTCCGCTCTAGATGGCATTATACCCCATTTGGCTCGATTGATGGATTCAAAACCACCGTCCAGACTCCCAACAGCGACGTTGCCGTGCGTGCGTTGAAGTATACCGTTAGGAAGCCTTTATCTCCTCCGCCAGACGGATGGCAGTTCAACGAACCCTTACACACCTATTATGACATCATGCTGGCTAGGTTCCGTATTCATCTGCGTACGCTGTTGCAGGACCATCCGACCATCATGGTCGACGAACCGCTCGATCTGTACGATGCCATCCGCAAATTTACCGAACTTATCATTCACGAGTACCGCCGTGTGTGGATTGCCAACTATGGGCTATGAGGACCAACGATTTACGGGCCATGTCGACGGATTAGAAGGAATCCCCTAAAAGATATTCTGGATGTCTCTCAGGCTGTAGTCGAGATATTGAATAAAAAGAAACGAAAACAATGAGAAAAAGGAAGTTGATGCATGTGATAAACTACTAGATTAGCCTCGATAAGAAACCAAGCCATGTTCTGTTACGTCATCCAGCATTCACAGGTCAAAGTCCAACCTCCTTGTAAAGCTGATTTGTTTCCTATCTTCACACTGTCTTCACTTGTGCCTTCATTCACTTGTCAAGGCCTTTTCATGCGATAGTCACTCACCCTTCACTGGGCCTGGGGATGCATATATAGAGACCGGTCTACTTTGTTCAGGTTGACATAGCCACCTCGCGCTGAAACATCACTCCAAGGCTGTCTGGCCGCTTGCTTCCAAAGACTGCATTGTTTAATTCAAAGAATAGACATTATCATCTCAGCCTCCATGCCCGACATTGACAGAGTATTCGCTGAAATGAACGGGCAATCTGTGGAGGACTATACGGGCTCCATGCGACAGTTCCGACGCATGGTGAACTCGTCTCCGGATACATTAGACAACGATTCCTCTTCGGCAAGCAGTACAGCATATGGGTTATCTGCGTCTCAGTTTGCTCAAAGAAGCCAGGGCCTGGTCAGGACGAGGTCGGATTCGTTTAAACCGAACGATACTACCACAACTCTCCAGACTCGGTCTGGTGACGCTTATTCTCAGCGTAGGGGGTATGTTCTTAAACCTGGGGAATTTATATTCAATAATACTATATATGGTATATCTCGAGACTAACAAGCTGTCCTTTGGTCTGGCAGGATTCGATGGGCTCCGCTAAATATCAGCCTTAAAAGACGACTCCAGACTCTCGTTGTGCTGCTTCACACAATCTCCATCGCCTTTTGCCTGATGTCCTTCTTCTTCTGCTGCGCAATCCCTCTATTCTGGCCAATTCTATTCCCATATGTGATCTACATCTCGCTATTTTCCAAAGCTGCAACGGACGGAAATCTATCTCGACGGAACAACTTCATTCGATCCCTCCCCATCTGGAAGCTGTTCGGGTCATATTTCCCAGCTCGCCTTCACCGTACAGTACAACTCCCACCAACTAGAAAGTATATTTTCGGTTACCATCCGCATGGAATCATCTCCCATGGGGCTTTTGCGGCGTTCGCTACCGAGGGTCTGGGCTTTTCGAAGCTATTCCCGGGAATTACCAATACGCTACTTACGCTGGACTCCAATTTCCGTCTCCCCTTCTACCGTGACTGGGCACTGGCAATGGGTTTAGGCAGTGTATCGCGAGAATCATGCGAGAATATCCTCTCGAAGGGTGGCTTGAATAAAGAAGGCATGGGGCGGGCAATTACCATCGTCATAGGCGGGGCGCGAGAGTCTCTCGATGCTAGACCAAATACTCTCCGCCTGATACTTCGTCGACGAAAGGGATTCGTGAAGCTTGCTATTCGGACGGGCGCGGATCTCGTTCCTATCCTCGCATTTGGCGAAAACGAGCTTTACGAGCAGATAGATTCTGATCAGCATCCGCTCATTCATAAATTTCAAATGCTCGTCAAGAGTTCGATGGGCTTTACGATTCCGCTTTTCCATGCTCGAGGGGTATTTAATTATGATGTTGGCTTAATGCCGTACCGAAGACCGTTGAATATCGTTGTCGGTAGACCGATTCACGTTATCCAACAGAGCGATAGGAATAAGATTGAAGATGCATACGTTGACGAGCTGCATGAGAAATACATCCGGGAACTGGAGAAGCTGTGGGACGAGTGGAAGGATACTTTTGCCCCCGACCGGATCTCCGAGCTTGAGATCACCGCTTAGGCGCGTCGTGTCTCTACTATTTCAACTAGTTGGTGATCTTTCTCTTTTCTGGATATGATTTTGACCATTGGTCGGAGGCGTCGATATTTTGTGATACAATTTCCATAGCCACTGTTTTCATTTTTTGGCGTATCGGCGTTGAATATTGCATCATCGGGGATACACAACCATATACTCTCTGTACTCTCCATATTTATTAGTGCCACAGGAATGAAGCTGTCAAACAACCTTTCCATTTACGCTACGAGTATAAATGTAGAAAATAATATGCGCTGGAGCCTATTGAGAATGCACTAGGTATTTCTATGGTTCATCTCGATTTTGTCTATCAATGTGTTTCACACCCAGTGTAACAAGTCATATTGTATGACGACACTCTAGATATCGATATCCAGTGATCTATGATATATGTGCGTGGAGGTAGGTCGTGCTTCTATGTGGAACCCAGAAGTAAAATATTCTGTGACATTGGTCGCCAGCAATATGTCGGGTATCATGTTGCTTCAAAAAAAGAAAAGAAAAAACAAACGTGTGGTTAGTAGAATAACGAATGTATGATCGCTGCAAGCGCTCAGTAGAACCAGATAAAAAAAATGAAAAACAATTAACGCCAGAAATTTATTCCCAGAACAGAACGTCAACAAACGTATAACGTAGAAGGGATATAAAACGAGAGACGAAGCCCCTCATAAAAAGATTCCTGTCCAGTCCAGGTTTCCATCAACGTTCTTCCAGCCTCCATGGGAAATGGCCTTGTCCCATCCGAGCATAACGGCCAATAGGCGACATGTGGTACTGCTCACACCACAAACAACCCCATCACCTTCTGCTAGAAGCGATATATCCACAAGATATGCTTTAGCAACTAGCTCGCGCAGCTGCAGTGCCTGTGGAGAGGGATCGAAGCGAAGTCGATTGTATTCCGATTCGCGGACGACGCGATGTGGTGGGAATACGGATGACTTGCCCCCGGATGCAGAAGGGCTGCCTTCCGCAGAGGGGATGAGCGATGTATCTCCAAGTGACCAGAAAATGCTGCTGAAAAATCCGCCTTCCCAGCCAATGTTTGCGTCCTTTGGTGTCTTCTTGGCGACAATTTTCGCAGACTTTCCTGATGGTGTATCGTCGTCGATTGGGGGTTCGGCGTCCAGGATGTTTTTGCTGGTTAAGGAGAGATAAGACTGGGCTTTGATGATCCCTCTCATCTCAGGGGAGGAATATGTCTCCGGGTCATCGGAGGCGAGAATCATGCTCGATGTAGCTATGTACTGGGCCTTGGAGGCCTTTTTGCTACTACTGCTGTTGATGCTGTAGGTAGTGCTGAGTTTCTTGTCGAAGAATGAGGTGACGAGTTCATTTGCCGCGTCAACATATACATCAAGTGGTATATACGATTTCTCATATTGGAATTCAAGCGGATGACAGTCACCGCGACGGACGTGGATGCTAATCAGTGGCCCGCCGCTCTTTGGAATTGAGCTTCGAATTTCCGTCATTCGGTGTTCAAGGTATTTTGCATCATCGCTATCGATATGAAATAGCGCCTCGTACCCTGCGCGGAGAAACTTGAACATTTCCTTTTGACGTTCGGCACCTGCTTTCCGTGTTCTTTCGAACTGTTCGTTAAACTTGTGCCCAAACGTCCATGGGATCGTGGCGGATGAAACGAGGAGATGGCGTGCGTGATGAGGGAAGGGAGTCCTATGCGAAACAGGAGGAGGTTGGCAGTCGGGCAATGTAGGGGTTTTGAAATATCTGGTATATCGACCATAAGACCAATTCTTGTCGTCAATAAAGAATGATCTCCCTTCCTTCTTCGCAAGGCCATAACTCATCCATAGACCCATCAAGGTAGTACCCAAACCGGCGTCTTCAGTCTGCATCACGAATGTCAAACTCTTTTTGCATACGGGCATGGTATCCCGCATCCTGAGATATTTATCACCGCCGACGACATTATCAGCAACATTTCGTGGGGTTCGACCATTCAACTTCGACGGAAGAATATCCTGCGATTTGGCTTCATCGATATCCATATAGTTTTTGTCCACATGGTAATATCCGCCATTGTCTTTGCCATCGGCGAGGTGGCGTGCCATTGCCTCAGTCTGTGTGCATAGCTTCGAATATTCCGAAGGAGAAAGGGGATAGTCCAGATTCTCCGGAAGCGAAACCGTCCATCTCGTCCGTCCGCGCCCGTCTTCTATAAGAACTGGACCTGCCACCTCTGGTAATGTCTCGCTTTCAATGATTTCGTAGCTGCCGGGCAGGGTGACCGGGTCGAGGCGCGTGGGTCTGAGAAATGACCGTAGACATAGGAATATGCCCACGAGGCATCCAATCCATACAGACAGTCTTCGAAGCCGTATTAACCATCTCGGCGAAGACTCTTTGCCTTGGCGAGGTAATACGGACGGTAGGCTGGGAGAAGGGAGTGGAGAGTCGAGTAATGGAACCCGTAGGCTGGCATTAGATAGGGTAGCAGGAGCCCTGCGCACACTCATGTCATGCAAATTCCGTCGAGAGGCGATAATCATATTGCAAGACAGGTACTAAAAACAAATCCTTTCTTTTTTAACTTGGATAGGTGTGATGGATAAAGCCACGGATCAGTCAGTCCGCGACTTGGTCGTAATTCCCTTTCTCTCAGTGCATCAATATCCCTCGCGGTATTAATCGAACCTATGTTAAGCTCCAACGGATGGCCACAATATTCACAGTATATAGGGACCGACGTTCCCAAATGCGCAAAATAAAAGAATGACTAAAGGGTCAGGACATGTTCCACCAGGCCGGCCAGGGGAAGAATATGGTCAAATGCACCAGCACAATCACGGGCGAAAGGGAGAGGAAGAGAGAGCCGGCTAGGGAAGACGTTCCCCGGCGTGATATATAAAAGAACACGGCAATTGAGGGTGAAGAAGGGACTGCGGGGGCATGGGGCACAAGAGCAGAGCTCGTCAAGGGGGTCGGAGTAATTGAATCGTATATGTAACCACGGTGGACCCGGTGATCTATATGAAAATGAGATGTACCACGGGTGGAAAGTCTAAACCGATGCCAGTCGATCACTAAGCGTATAGTTCTTGAAAATCTCCAGCCGCTGGGGCGAGGACGGGAAGAAGCGAAAGTAGAAGATGCTCCGTAGAAGCAGAAGAAAGAAGTGAAAGAGAAGAAAGAGAAGAGAAAGCAGGACGAAGCGAGATCAACGCAGCAGAGGCTGATTGGGCAGACCAGCACGCCAGTTAAACAGGATAACTCCTCAATATTGCATGTCAAACATGCAAGGATAGCGAGAGTCGCCTGAAACTTGAGTTCTGTCGACGGAAGCATGAAGAAGTGAGAGATTGATTGTCGCCGCTAGAGAACCCGCGTACTAGGGGCGATATACTGTAATTCCTGCACTTCTAACTCCTAATCTCTTAATAAATAATTAAATATATATCTTAGTAGCTATTAAGTTAGTATTTTATTTTAAATAATAATATATATTTATTATTAGATTTAATATTATTAACTGTTAAAATTTTATACAATATGGTAGAAAATAGTTATATAATAAATAATAAGATATAAAAATAATAAAATAAAATAAAATAATAAGATATGAAAAAAATAGTAGTACTAGGCTATTTTAACAGCCTTTGGTCCTCATGCTCAAGTATTTCAGAGTTACAACTTACAGAGTACTATTCTCGACATTCTGTACCATTGATACCGAACAGATGAACAAACACTTCGTTCTACCGTTTAAATTCTCAGTCTTGCCAACTGACTTATGCTGTCTTCAGCAGCCGAAAGAGCGGAAAGTACAGTGTAGATGGCGAGGACACTCCTAACATGGAGGCTACTACGTAGCTGTTCAATCGCCTTGCAACCCTTTCTGTCGGGTATCATGGAGCAGTCTTCAGTTCCTCCGCGCGCTGATGACCGGCATCCCATACAATAGCGATATCTGGATCAAGTACAGCACGGGCGTGACGGAAGCCGAAGCGATACTGCAGCAGTTTGTGAACGAAAATGTAGACCACAGCATCGTGTACTCCGTACACACCCAAGGTCTATGACTACTTCACCGAACAGCGAATGAACGCTCTACCAGTAACATATCTTGTTATGGAGCGAGTACGCGGCGAGGCTCTCACGGCCAAAGAGGATGACATCGTCCTCGAGAACATTGCTGCTGCTGTCCGCCATCTGTGGGAGCTTCCATCACCACAGGCGTCGATCGGACCATTGGCCGGACAGGAACCTCACGTCGATGCGAATTTAAACTAGAATACGGGAAATATTTTTATTATTTTATATTCATTTATATATTTGTCTATATATTATTAATTTAATATTCGATAAAAATAATATATAGTTTTATAATATACGATATTAGTAGAGGCTAATATTATTAATTCTAGATATATATTCTAATACATAATAGAATAATTATCAAACTAGTAATTAATAAAATATAGAGGTACCTACTTTACTAGGCTAGGGTTATAAAGTGGCCATCTAGACAACTCATTTTAAAAAGTGGCCATCCAAGGAACTACACGCGAAAATATGGGGAAGCAGAGTTAAGATTGCGGATCCCAATTATAACTGTGGACATGTAGCACTGGCGAACAGCGTATCAGTGGGAGAAGCGAACAGGAGTGACGTCAACGTTCGCCTGTCGATGACAACGAAGCGGACAGAAGTGGACAAGATGATAGCTGTGCCACGGTCGTCGCCTCGGTGCCATATCAACGATGATCTCGATATGATAGGTAGAATGAGATCGACAACCCGTCCGGCGAGGGACGATGTCGTTTCCAGCATCCTCTTCCACCTCCCCCTCCGTCAGACTCGTGTTTCAACAATGGCAACAGGGGAGGAGGACTGTCATTTGGTCCCAAAGAGGGCTGATTGGACATAGCCTTAGGGAGATTTTTTGTCTTAAGCTCGCCGGTGGAGGCTAGCATTCCAGCCACTGACATCAGGGCGCGATCAGTGATTCGTGATAGCCGAACTGTGGCCGGCCCTGGTGGAGACGCCAGTGTTTCAGGAGCGCCATGGAGCAGCGGATTCACTGCTGCACTGCTCTCAGACTGGCCTGACTAAGGACGGAGCATTTATATGTCGCCCGTTGGTGGCTTGGTGAGCTGGTGATAAATGTCTGCAAGGTGTTAATAACCTTCATGCATGATGACATCCTGATGCTGGCCATTAATTCGACTCCTTTCCGCCGGCATTGTCGCTGTCAACAGCACCAGCAAGGTCGAGTCGAGCTAAGCAGGCCCATGGCTGAAGGTTCCCCTTTCATCTGAAACAGCTCGAGTGTCCTGAGGGATAATTACCTGCCCGTCGTGCCGAGTTGGGACAAGCAACGGAGGCCCCTTGTTCGCTTTCTCTTGTCGTTCTTTGATATAAAATATAAAAACGTCGAGTTATAGTGCTGACTCATTACCCGAGGCACGTGATATCGCTTTTTGACTTCCAACTCCGCTGGTACGAGTATAAAGAAGGAAAAAAGGAAAAAAGGAAGAAAGGAAGAAAGGAAAAAAGGAAGAAAGGAAGAAAGGAAGAAAGGAAGAAAGGAAGAAAGGAAGAAAGGAAGAAAGGAAGAAAGGAAGAAAGGAAGAAAGGAAAAGGATAAAAGGGAAAAGGACAGCGGACGACCCGGAAAGAAACAAAGACGATGCCGCTGCTTAGTCTGCCCCTTGAACTGTTCCTGCTGATTACCGAGGCCCTGGGGAACGAGAAGGATATCAATGCACTCGTCCAAACATGCCGCCAGCTTTACCAAAATCTGAATACCCACCTGTATCGCTATAATGTGCGGAACTCGCAGAGCTCGGGACTTGTGTATGCTGCACATACCGGGGAAGAAGCGGCTGTCAAAAAATTGCTCGATGAAGGCGGCGACCCTCAGACCTGGTACTTGGAGCCGCCGATAGTCTTAGCGGCCATCAAAGGGCACATAGGCGTGCTTAAACTCTTGTTGGAGAATGGAGCTGAGACTTACCCCCAGGACACCGTCCATGAGCGGTCGGCTCTATTTTGGGCAGCAATAGGCCGTAACAAGGAGGTAGTCAAACTACTACTTGATGGAGGAGCAGATCCAGATCCTATGGATGTCGAGAGCAATACCCCGCTAATGATGGCAGCGGACGAAGGGGATATAGAAATGGTCAAGTTCTTGCTTGATAACGGGGCAGACGCAGATGTCGAGAGTGAGCATGGTGATACTGCCCTATCCCGAGCAGCAGAAGCCGGACGCGAGGATATAGCCAGGCTTCTTCTTGAGAGAGGCGTTTGTCTCACGACTAAAAATCAGGAAAATGGCACTGCTCCCTTAAGTGCAGCAGCAGAACGCGGATATACGGAAATAGTTAAGCTCTTGCTCCAGGCAGGTGCTTCTACGCAGGCCAGGGACTGGGACGGCCGTACCGCCCTAGGCATAGCTGCTGCAGAACTTGGATGTGAGGGAATAGTCAGGCTTCTGCTTGCGAACGGGGCCGATCTGGAGTCCCGAGATGACAGTGGCTACACCCCCTTAGCTGTGGCTGTAGAGAGCCGGAATATTGAAACTGTCAAGATCCTGCTTGATAAGGGGGCTAATATAGAGGCCAGGGATGATACCGGTAGTACTCCCTTGGCTGCTGCAGCGGCAAATGTTTGTAAAGAACTAGTCGAGCTATTGCTTCAACATGGAGCTGATATAGAGACTCAGGATGCAGGAGGTAGCACTCCTCTCGCTTCGGTAACGAGAAAAGGGGATCTGGAGATGGCTCTATTCCTCGTTGAGAAAGGAGCTGATATAGAGGCTCGGGATGAGGATGGCCGAACTCCATTATTCATTGCGGCATTCTTTGGACATATATACCTCGTCACTCTTTTGCTCGACCGGGGAGCTTCTCTAGATATTAGAGATAGTAATGGCTACACTCTTTTGTCGGTGTCGAAGAATGAGGAAGTATCCAACCTCTTACGAGGGAAGGGTGCAAGCATAGAGGCCGACGACGGAGGCCGAACGGAGGCAGACGTCGTAATAGTCGGCTAGACTGCGCGAGCTGTCATCTCGACTATATATTCCTTTCTACGGGTTTGCAATTGGTGTTTTTATTGATGTATATTACTTTAATCTCTTTACCAGTTTATACGCTGTGTGCTATTTATGCTATGAGCACGTAATCTAAGCATCAGAAACAAGTGTAGATAGGCAATATTATGCATTATATTGAACCCATACTTCGTCTTGTAAATACTTCATTCCAAAGTTCTCTTCCCTACCCTCCTTTACCCTCTTCACTGGGAAAAGAAAAGAGAGAAAATCGTACAAAAACCAACAAATCAAGGACTAAACAGCCAAAAGAGACAAAAATAAGAATGGGGATATATAACTGATGTGTCTGAAAAAAGAAAAAAAAAGAGGCAAATCAATCGTATCTAGATTTTAGACAGATCAAACAGTAACGAATTAAGGTTAGCCACCTGAGGCAAACAGGTAGTGGGGAGAAAAAAAAATCAAGATGTCCAACTTATACAGAGAAGCAGAAATAGTACAGGGTAGATGTGATGAGAATTCATGGGGGAGGATCGAAAAAGAAAAAATTCTTTCGCGAGGAGAAAAAATATATCACCGAAGCGTTGCGTAGGTAACGAGATAGATGTAAAGTGAGATAAATCGAAAAATATAAAACCAAACTCGTTTGATAAACCGTATGTAAGATCAAATCAAAACAGTCATGACCAACGTTACTTAGGCAGCCGGAGAGTCGTACGTAATTGTGCTTACGACGATAAAGGCCGGGATGCCGGCTCATGCAGGTTGCCAACGACCGTATCTAGAGACTGAGCAGTCGACTCTGACGATTCCTCGCGCCGCAGTTCATTTCCGGTGTTGGAGGATATAGAGCCCTTGGTATCATCTGGGTGGTAGTTGGTTTCAGAAAAGAAACCGTTACTTGTCGACGTGTGATCTGCAACTGTGCCAGTGGACATCCTGGTAGCATTCATGGGTGGGGTTTCGCTAGTTCTGGGTGATATACCAGCACTGGAAACTCGCATGTGTCCCCTAGAGTTTTTAACGAGATGTCCGCTCTCGACACGATCTTGGATCATCTCGTCTAGCATGCGTGACATCTCATCAACACTTTTTCGTTTCTTGTCCCTCTCCTTTTCGGCCGCTAGCTTGACGGGTGGGAGAAGGTTGGGGCTGACTCTTCCTAATACCGAGCCGGCGCCGGCACCGCTACCGCTGAATAATGAGTTGGTGTCACCCTGGTGGTTATGGTGGTGGTGATTGTGGTGATGGTGGGATAGGATGGCGTTGTTGATGCCCATAATTTTATAATCTGCTCCCACGGGTGGCGGGGGGTGAAGTGGTGGCGGCGTGGGCGCAGCATCAGCTCGACTGGGTGTGCTTGCAGTCCCGCCTGTCAGATGCGCCATGTCCCTTTGTCTGGCGGCCGACCTCAATGCCGCAACCATTCGGTCCTTGTCGTCTAACTGGAGTCGCAGGTCCGCAATTTCGATATCCTTATCCCGTAAGGCAGCCGATAAGTCTGTGTCGTTATTCGAGGATGACGCAGTACTGCAAGATTTGAGGTGATGATGATTTAGACCCATTGAAACGCGGGAGTGGCTTGATCGACGAGCTTGGAGCAGCCTACGCTCAAGAGTAGAGATGTATCTGTTCTTATCCGCAAGATCGGCCTGTAAAGCGTTGACTTGGACTTGTAAACTGGCCATACCGTCACCGAATTCACCCATCATATCATCATCGTCATGGTCGTGGTGAGCAAAGGATGCGGACGGGGTAGTTTGGCCGCCTGCGGTTGTGCTGGTGCTTTTCATCGAGGCAAGAGATGTAGAGCGGTTTAATGCCGAGGCCGCGCCCAGTGTAGATTGGGAAGCTGAAGAGCGCAAGGAGCGCATATCGACAGATCCCGGGCTCGTCTGGGTGAATCCAGCAAGACTTGCGTTTACGCCTGTCGACTTGGAGCATAGGATCAACCTATTAAGGTGCTCAATTCGTTCTTTTAGCGCTGTGCGAGCAAGTTGCATCTCCAGCATTTGTTCTTCATGGCGAAGCTCAGCTTCTTTTTCCTTTGCCCTCTCCTCTTCCTTCGATTCAGATTCAGTGTGTGTAGTCGGTGTTTCGGCCTTTGCTTGGTTCTCTAGTTGGCGTCGTAGTGATTGGATTTCCATCCTGTATCGTTCGAGAAGTACTCTGCTGCCGGCATCACCTGTGCCATTGCCCATGGACTCTTCAGCACGCTTCGCATGACTGACGATGTTATTCTTTGCTCGTGCGGCGAACTTGAGCGTGTTCATGGTCTCGCCTGTATGCGATTGAGAGGATGCCACACTTCCACCAGATCCAACCTGAATCGTGCAGAGAATACTGACAAGGGAGTTACCCGACAACGCAGGCTGAAGCAATCGAGTCAACTTGCTGTCTCGGTAAGGTAAATGCTTCCCTTCTTTCTCCGAGCCATTCTTGCCCTCCTTTTCAACAGTTAGACGAGCAATGACTGTTCCCAGTGTGAGCAAACTCTTGTTAATATGGGCACCCTCTGCTCTGCGCTCTTTACTTTCAGCAGCACGTTCAGAGCCAGCGAGATCGATCAAACTAAGAGTCGATACTCGGACGCCACCAGGTGCAATTGCAGCACGCTTCTCCTGCCCAGCAACGGGGGCGCGTTCCCTGCTTTCCACCACGATCTGCACGACAGCGTGACTTCGAGAACTTCGCGAGTTAAACTGGGTGCTGGACGTTCTCCTGGAATGATCACCTCTAGCAATCACTCGTAACAGCTGCGTTGGACTTTGGACGATCTCTTCCTTGAGTGGTGTAGCGTAAACACCTCTCTTGCTATCTTCGCGTAGCTTGATTTCTTCCTGCTGCTGTCCCTGTCCGCCTCCACCTCCATTTCCTTGCCCTGAGGCAGACATAGACAGTAGATCGTGAATCTTCTCGTTGTATATTTCTAAATAACTAACTCGAAGTAGGAATTCGCGGTGGGGCGTCTCTCGAATATATGAGAAGATATCCGTGATGGCGAGCGGTATGACACCAGGAGATGTCGCAGTTCCTTGCATGGAGAACGTCTTTCCAGTTCCCGTCATTCCATAAGCAAAAACAGTGCCGTGGTATCCTTCCATAACGCGGCGGACAAGTCGTTTCGCGGATGCGTCGTACACCTTAGCATTATTATCATGGGTGGTAAAAACATTATCTATATCAGTTAGTCAATCTATGTTCGCTTTTTAACCATAAGATAGTGACAAAGGAAAGGGGGAAAATACCATAAAAATAGTCGCCTCCTTCCTTTCCTCTATACGAAACCAAACTTCTTCTGCCATCGACTAGCCATTCTCCTTCGGAGTTCTTACCATCCGCGGAAGCTAGATCAGGTCGAACTCGTACGCTGACAAGCACATTCCCTTTCCCTTCCTTGCCTTTCGGGTTTCGATTAGAACTTCCAGCTGAGTCCTCTACACCGTCTCTGCCCCGTCGTGTGCTGTCTTCATTATCATCATATGTGGTAGCACTAGTCGAGTACGAGTCCTGAGTAGACGAGCTCCTGCTCTGTGTAGGCGAGACGATACTGGCATGGCCTTCAGAATTTCTGGAATTTGGAATCGATTTACCATCTCCGCTACCGTTGAGCAGGCTAGGTGTTTTTGAGTTCTTGAGCTGTGAGCTGCCCCCTGTATCAATGCGCGGGGCCTTTTTCTTCGTTCTGGTAGCGGATGCGGGCTTGGTGGTTTCTGGGGCGTTGCTTGAGAAGGAAGACTGAGTGGAGAGAGACGGCCGGCTGGCTTTGGGAGGCTGTGGGAATGCAGCTATGCTCACAGTCCGCCGTATGGCTTTGTCTGGACTGCCAGGGGTGAGGCATACGGAAGGGGATCGAAACGAGCTCTTATTCGGCGATAGTCCCGATGGTCCGAGATTGGATGGTATGGCGGATTTAGTCTGAATAGCGGAGGGAGATCGTAATTTTGAAGGAAGAGGGGAAGCTGCGTATAGCCTAGCCGCTTCGCCGGGCCCAGGCATGCTCTTTCTAGATTTCGTAGCTGGTATCGGAGGGAGAGCTGATGTGGGAGGACTCCGGGGAGGGGGAGGATTAGATGACAACCGAGAAGGTTGCGGGATGGTCGAAGTCATGTCTGCAACCTGGAGGATGCAATGTATACAACCATCACCTCACTGGCGCGCGATTAAGAGAATGGGTTGAAATGGCCGCGGTGGGAGTGTTGACAGTGCGGTTTTTGGGGGTGTGCGAGGGATGGTATGACGATGTCAATTAGGGTGTAATATGAGATGTTGCGCGTGGAATTGGGATTGTGCTATGGGTCTGTTGCACTATGCTTCACGACTTGCATGAGACATCTTCGAGACTTTGTACGACAGGGACGAGAAATGGCGTGCAGCGGAGAATGCGAGGAAGCCAGTACAGGCACATGGAATGGGAGGGATCGCCGAAAAAAACCCAGGCAGTAAGAGGCGACGACAGCAGCAGCCCGGAGCAACAGGAGCAGCAGGAGCAGTAAACAGGTGCAGAGACGAGCCGGGGGCCCTGCCTGAGGACGCTGTGTAATCTTGGGCATCAGTTACGAGACCTAAACAGGGGGCAAGGCGGTAGGGAAAACAAGATTTCCTCAAGGATGCACGTCGGTTGCCATGCATGGAGGCAAAAATTCTTCAGGGAGCAGCTGGACATATAACATATACCAGAGTACCTGTATGATAACAGCGGCTAGAAGCGAAGATGGGAGGAAATGAACAAAATTGGAACAAAAAAGCTTACAGAAGGAGGAGAGTATAGACGTTGATCTCGTGGTGGTTTGGGACGAGACTCGGGAGGCGAGAGGCGAACGGAGGAGCCGCGCAATCAATAGCACTCTATCGATGCAAGTAATGAATGAAGAACGCAAAAGAGAGCAAAATTACACGCTGATGCTGATGCGAACAGGATGATATGAAGGTGAGCGACCAGAAGCGCTAAAAAAGGGGGTCGAAAGGGAGAGAGAGCGGGGGCCCGACGGGAGAAGGGGTAAAGAAAACACCCAGCAATCGAGTTTCGAGTCTCGAAGGAAAACAGCAGCGAACGCGAAAAAAAAAAAGGGAAACAAGGGAAAAGAAAAAAAAGGAAGAGTTGACCAGAAACCCAGTGAGCAGGAAGATCGAATCTTAGCTAATATTAAAGCGCGCAGGCGTGCAAGTTAAGTGCCTGGCCACCCTCTATCAGTATCGTACAAATCCTACCAACCACAGCAATCGGCAGATGCGTACAGAGCCAGAGGCGCAACGACGGGCCTCACAGCCGTGACAGCGTGCATGGGCACACAGATGATGGGGACGAGGACGGGGATCCGACAGGTCGAGTCGTGCGTTCGGCGCAGGGGGCGGTGCTAGGTTCGGTCTCCCTGGCCTGTCTCTCGGGCTGCTAATCCCAATCCCGTTTGGCTTCTTGCTCTGTTTATAGGCGGTCCTGGACTCCTGGTGCTAGGGCGGTTGTTGCTAAATCATGCTGGAGGGCCAACGGGAGGTGAATAAAGGGGCGCGAAAAGTTAGTTGGCTGGCTGTTCCCCCGAGATCCTCACGGGGAGGCGGCGCTGATTGGCCGGGCGTGTGTGTGGAGAGCGCGCGCGCGAGGTGTGAGGATTCGAGTCAGCATGGAGCCTGGGATGGAGCTGGGAGGGATGGGTACCTGGCGATACGGCCGCGATCACGGTCAGCAGCCGATGTCAGGCCGATATCAAGCTGTCTGTCTCATCTTGTCTGCCGCAAAAGTCGAGGTGAAGTCGGAGTCGCGAACCGAAAAGGGAAAAACGTCAACTCAGTCACATGATATGCTTATGTAATAAGAGGCCGTTTTTATGTTTACATTTTACATTTTACATTTTACATTTTATATAGCAAGGAGGACGGCTAAGGGCATGGATGGACGCTCTTCTATTCGCTTTCCACGGAGGGAACCGTTACAGCCAACAGCTAATTCTGGAGTCGATGCTGGGTATCTGTCTGGGCACACGGCTGAGATTCGCCATCAGGCGCACATCTCGACGCTGCGGCTCGCTGTTGAGCTATAGCTTGGAGAGCTTGCGTTAGATGGCGGGCTACAATTCAAGAAGGTAACCCGATAGACCGAGTTATGTATGGCCAGGCTGGAGCTCGAGGACGTCCAAGCACTACTAATATCCCGAGGTTGCTGGTTGGCGCAGATAGAGCTCAATCGGCGTTTCAGGATAGGCCTTGGACTCCTTACGTCAGCCCGAGATGCTACCATCTCTGCGCCGGTAGATGATGCCATAGGTAGTCCGAGACGGAGGATGCTCCGTTATCTGTAGGTGAAAGGTGAGCAAAATGCCTTTATACTCCAGTCTCCACCCGCAGTTATACATACTCCGTACAGCGAAACGCCCATCCATGTCGACCGGTAGTAAGGCTGCCTACCCTACCCTTAGCTAGTTCATGCGCCAGGGCCGGAAGTTAAGGCAGCAGGCCTGGTTATGCAGCTGTCAGGGCTGGAGCGCGTAAGGTTAAGATTCGCGGTGCGCCGGCATGAACGGAAAAGCCATAGGCTGCACCTCATAGGGGATGAGTAGGCTAATGGAGGAGAAAAGTGGAGGAGAGCAGTAGCGAGAAAGAGTGTCGGTAGAAGGTATAGATTAATTACTCAAAAGATAAAATGCATAAAAGGGTATGGGTATGGGTATGGGTATTACATCTGGCGGAAATACAAAAGTAGGGTGCTAGGGAGTGACAAAGGGAAGAAAGAAGGAAAAGGGGGGGAAAGAGAACAGGCACCTCCACATCATCATCTGTCTCCTCGTCTTCGTCCGTCTGCCGTCATTATCATTCATCATTTGTGTTTTCGTGGTTTTGCGCCGTGATGTGCCTTCCGTTCCTCCTCGCTCTCTCGGCAACTCCCACCATTAATCATACATGCCATCCTCAACATGAGCCTGCAACATCGGGGGGGATAAGGGGAGGGGTTGGGGATGGGTAAGGTGTTAAATAAGAAGTTGAACAACCAGAGATCTATATATCGTTTTTCGCATCAAGCCGCCGGTATCCAAAAGGAAAAAGCGTTTAAAAAGTCAAATCGCAAACGCAATGACTGAGAGAATTCAGGAACAGGAACAGAACTCAATATCAACACGCTCAATAAACTCAATCATAAGGCCAAAAAAAAAAACCAGTGGGAAATAAAAAAAGAAAGACGCAAGATGTAAGGTATAAGTAGAATGCCACCACCATTTTTTTCCTTTTATGGTTTTTAAATTTTGGGCGCGGCTGCACCGTTGTATATTGCATTGTATATCATCGTCAGATTCGTAACTCCTGATGTTGTACCACGTGAGATGTGCAAGGTCGGCGGAGAGAAAGGGACAACCGAGAGTGGAAGGAGGAGGATCCTAGAACCGGCTTTGAAGCGCATTCGTTGTAGCAATGGTGCCGTTTGTATCAAGCGTGTCGCATTCGGACGCTGTGTGCACATTGGCGATATATATTCGGCCTTCATCGCGATTCGCGCTCGCGTTCCAAGCTACCTTCTCCTATCTTTCTCGATAATCTCTCTCTCCATCCTACAGGCATCATCTATGGCGCTGGAGGCGGTGGAGGTGGCGGCGGAACCATCTCAGGCTTTTTGACCGCTTTTGAATTAGCCTTTGGCTTCACCTTTCCGCCCGTCATCCACTTGGCAAATCCACCCGGTGCACCTCCGCGTAACGCCTTCTTTGGCGCAGGGGGTGGGGGCGGTGGTAGCCCAACGTCTAGTACGGCGATTAGAGGCTCTTCCTCTGGCGGCGGCGGCGGGGGTGGTGGTGAGGGATCCGGATCCTTGGGTTTCTCAGGCATGGGCCACATGTGCATGGTAACGGTCCAGTCGGGTTCAACAACCGTGTCCCAGACCTGCGGGAGGATAATGTCACCGTTGGGACCGACTAGGTCGTAGTGGCCCTCTGCAACATGTTGGCCTATTACGTCGACATGCAGGAATGCTTGGCGGATAAGTTCTTCCATACCCTGTAGGAGAGACGTTAGTATGCATGGACAAAATATGAGCGAGGGCAAGGGTATAGTCCCCGATTTTCGGGCCTAGGTAAAAAGAGGGCAACGTACCTGCCACGTCTTGCATAGAGCAAAAGGGAATTTGAATTTCCTGCCTACTGCATCCTTGAATTGAACGGGTTTCTTTGGCGGTGGGGGTTTCTTCAGTGCAGCCTCAGTTGCTGCTGCGGCGGCCTCGGCAGCCTTCGTATCTCCCGCCGCAGTTGCAGCGGCTGTGGCCTCTGCTATAGCAATGGCAGCAGCCTCCTCGGCCTCCTTCTTGGCGGCAGCTGCTGCCTCTTCTGCGTCCTTCTTGGCTTTCGCAGCAGCTGCAGCAGCAGCCTTTTCTGCCTCTGCTTTAGCTTCTTCCTTCGCAGCAGCAGTGGCAGCGGCAGCGGCTTCGGAAGCAATCTTCTTTTCTTTGGCAGCCAGTGCTTCTGCCGCAGCTTTGTCGGCCGCCGCTTTCTTTATAGCCGCCTCACGGGCAGCATCGCGTTCCTCTCGCTCTTTACGCTCCTCGATAATGAGCCGCTCGAGGCGCGCGATGGCCTCATCTTTGGGATCTGGCGGTGGAGGCTCGGCGGGAGCGGGAGGTGGCGGGGGTGGTGGGGGCGGTGGCGGAGGCGGAGGCGGGGTTGGAGTCTTTTCTGGCTTCGCGGGACTAGGTTCGCGGGCCTGTATCTGGAAGAAAGGCGGGGGTGGGAACATGCTTGGAGGTATGTGCGGGTACCGCTGTATATATTGGTAATATGCCGCCGCCGCTGCAGCGGCCTGGGCTTGGGGATGTGCGTGTGGGTGCATCCCCGGATGTTGGTGCGGGAGGGTGTGTGGGTAACCGTACGGAACCATCTCCGGTGACATGTATGGCGGTGTGCCGGGGAATGATGGTGGATGGACGACGGCAGGATGTGCCATGGCGGGTTTTGGCGAGTCATCTTCATCGTCTGGCGAGTCGCTGCGGGATCGATGTCTGGGATGATGCCCGTGCGGGTGGTGTTGCGGGTGGTGGGGATGGTGAAGTGGCATGCGTTGACCCGCCTGCGGGTGAGGGTGTGGCAGTCCATCTGGGCCGGTGTAGTACCCATGAGGGAGCTGTTGGTGCCCCTGGGCGGGCGGGTAGTGCCCGCCGTAGGGGTATTGCTGATGCGAATATTGACCCATGTGTCCTCCTATAGGGGTCTGCTGGCCCATGGGTCCCAATTGAACAAGCTGAGTTGATGGTCCACCGGCATGAACATGAGCATGTTGCGCCTGGCCGAAGGATCCGTTAGGCGGATGTTGTGGATGCGGTGCGTACGGGTTGAACGAGGGCGCAGAAGATGCTGGACCTTGTGTTGGAGGTGCTGGCCAAAAACGTCTGTCTCCCGGGTTCGGTGCGTATTCTAGGTATTCGTCGTCGTCGTCTTCGTCGTCTTCTTCCTCTTCCTCTTCCTCCTCTTCTGAGGAGTCGCTTTCAGGAGATACGGGGACCGGAGGCGGCTGCGGGGGTGCCGCCCGGGCGTGTTGTCTTCTCGACCTGTGGGAAGGCACCTCGCGGACTTCCTGGACCTGTGGGTGTGGGTGTGGGTGCGCGCGTGGGTGCGCACGGGGATGAGGATGCGGGTGCTGGCTTTGGTGCTGGTGCTGATGCTGATGCTGGTGCCGCCTCGAGGAACGATGGCGGGATGGCCGTGGGTCGACCGGTTCTCGCAGTCTGTTGGATGTGCGCGGTCTTGAAGCAGAATCGGATGGTTTTAGTTCGTCTGGATACTGGAGGTGGGACCAAGGTCCTCCGACTCCGTAGTCCTGGTATTCGTGACTAGAGGTGGCAGAGGGCGGTGAGACTTGCACGCCTGTGCCCGACGAGTCGTCGTCGCTGAGTGAATGGTCCGAGCCGTGCGCAACACCGCGGTTCAATCTGGTAAAGTAGTTAGCATCCATCAACTAAAGGAACAGGAAGATGCTCACGGCATGGGACGATTGGCGTGGAAGAGGAAGTATCCGGCCAGATCTATCCACCGAACGGAATGATCTGGGAGAATATATCCTCGATTTGAGAGCCTGCTGGCGGCAGTACGAGAACTGAGGGCGACGCTGGCTGATGACGGCAGGAGACGCAGGATAAAACGGTTATATAATGATGAGTGTTCAAGGATGAAACAGTCCCTGGCTTGTTTTCAGGTGCGGTCCCTCGTTTTATCGGAAGTCAAAGTAGGTATCTGGGGTATGCCAGTTCAATATGAATCTAGCCAGGATGGGCGAGGATCCTATCGCGAGGCTTGGCTGTTCGACGATAGCGAGTTTGGTACCACAACGGGACTGGACAGGACTCTATGCTGCGCGTATGTGTGTTAGTGCTGTCTACGAGGACAAAAAAAGAAGCAGGCAGGCAGCGGGAGGTAACCTATTTAAGGCAAAACCTGACGAGAGGAAAAAGAAAAAGAAAAAGGGAGGGCGAGAGGAGAGGGCAGGGCGGGCCAGGCCAGGGTGAAGATGCACAGGTGGGGAGGCTTCTTTTTTCTACCCTTCTTTGCTGCCCAATCTGTAGTAATCCTCACGGAGGTGCAGAGGCAGGGCTCTCAGCTCGGAGGCTTCGACAGAGACCACGCAAGGGAGCGGCTAAGCAGAGGCTCGACGGGAGGATGCATTATGTGGGTGATGTATGTAAATCATCGTTACTCACCTCGACCTAGACGGTTGCCGGTGCTGGTGCTGGTGGTGTATCTGGCGGGGGTCTGGTAGGGCAGACGTTAGGTTCGCCCAACCCAACGCGATGGGTACCCAGTGCCCAGCTGAAGGCTGAGGAATAGGATTGGAGAGAGAGAGATGTCGAGGGAGAAGTCGACGAGGAGTGAAGAGAGAGTGAAGAAGAAGAAGAAGTGAAGTTGAAGAGAAGAAGTTGAGAAGTTGAAGTTGTTTACGCTCGATCGGGACAGGTCATGTGGCTCCCATAAACTTCGACCTCATACAGATATACGATATACAGATATACAGAGACAGATATACGATATACAAGAGACAAAGATACAGATACAGATACAGAAGACAGACAGATGCTGATACAGAGACAGGCTACATATACATACAGAGAGACAGGCAGTCAGGTTGAGGCAGACAGGTTGAGGCAGACAGGTTGAGGCAGACAGTGACAGACAGGCAGACAGGTTGAGACAGGGACAGACAGCAGGTTGCAGCTAATCAAGTCTATGCTCCTATGGTATATGTAAGTCACCGCCAGACCCCGCGCAGTGAGGCTGCTGGACGAAGTGAGGCGTTAGGTACATGACGCTACAGCTGCTTAGCTGCCCACGAATCGACTCCGATGACAGTCGGTCAGCGTACACGCAGGGAGACGGAGGGATAAAGAAGAACGAAGAAGGGATAAAGGATAAAGAGATGCACCCCTGACGTTTGACTGATCGCATTACGGTCTGTATACGAGCAAACAATATTCCGCTACCTGACTATTGGCAAGAAAAGGAACGTTTCCCACGGATTAGTCTTTATGGAGAAAGCCATTACGTCAATATTCGATATTTCCCCATACTGAAGACGACGAACGCAGAGACGCCGTCGAAAACGGTGGAAGCCCGCGGACCGCCAGGAGGAGTGATATCGACCTTCCGGTGCTCCCTCTGCGTGCACAAGATACAGGCCCGGCCGGCCCTGTGGTGCCACGTCAGACCATTGCATCGCAAATCTGAGGCCGATGCCGATTCTGGTCCTGTTCCCTCCGCATGGCATGGCGCGGTGTCGCGGCGTGCATGCTTCAATGCTCTTTATTTGGTAGGATGGCTCGTCTACTGACTGGTTGGGCCGGTTGTTGGCTGGGGGACCTCGAGTCCTTTCTTGTTTTCTTCATCAGGTGAGATGATAGAATTGATGGGATGGGTACGGATAGCCAGCTGCGATTGAAATAGTCAAGTCGTGGGAACTTGGTTCTGGGTGCGGGATGTGCTGTCGATCAATCCATACTCCATACTCCGTACTCCCTACATATCTTGTCGAGGTATGTCTATTGTCGGATGTATATGTCTGTCTGTTGGATGTCTGGATTACTATGTGAGACTTACGAGCATGGACATCCAAATAAAGTCCAATATAAGAGTCCAATTACGAGCATCGAATAAGCCGACAGGCAAACAGTCATCCCGCATCACCAACGAGGCCGCATCGAACCACCTTGCCCACGTAACTGATAGCGATCGAATTAATAGTCTGACCGCTAGCACCCTGCAGCAGCCATCAGGACCTGACCCCGGTCATTACATACATACCTCTGGACCGGCCTTCGTGTGCTGGCCGATCTGCTGTAAGAGCTTAGAACAAACATCGATGAATTATCCGTGTGGTAGTCGACCATAGCTGCTCGAGGCATTTATATCACTTGCATATGCCATACGAAGAGAAGGCTGGCGCATTGGGCGTGGCTTGGCTTGCTGTCAAGATATAAGGGTATTTACGCCTGAATGTGGCTTGAGTGGAAGAATAGAGGTAAGGGTGGATAGAATAATATCCGCAGAGATGAATATGCATAATATTCTATTTCTTCGAGACGCTCAACCTGATTCCTCCAGCTTGTCAAGCAGGGCCTGCGCAGCAATCAGCTCGCTCTCATTAAACTCGGGGCTCTTCCCACCCACACACCTCTCCTTTACGATCTCACGCAGCTTCTTTATCGATAGATCATGAAGTTTCTGCGTCGTCTCGAGAGTCGGCAGCGTATCGTCGCGTCTAGACTTGGGTCCCAACCTCTCCAGGAGTCGGGCAGTGCTCTGGAACAAGAGTAAGTGAATGGCCAAGACGATGGCTGCGGCAGACCAGGTGTGACATACCAGGTTCAGACCGTAGTACCCGCGCAAGTAATCGTCGCAAAGTTCAATGCTTCGGCAGAACCGTCGTACAGATTCCGCCAGGGTTTTTAGTGATGCCTCTGAAGCTTCGGGCGTGCTGGTAGAGATATATTGCAGTTCGCCTAGCCTGGCATGGAGCTGATATACTTTGTCAGCACAATCTTGATAACTAGTGGTATCTTAATATTTGGTGGTAGGCATGGTGTGTCGCCTTACATTCCAGGCATTCGGCACGATGAGCAGGGCTTCCTCAAGGCAAAATATGGATTGCGAAGATAGGCCTTGGCTGTGATATAGGTCTGATAGCTCACACCACGCCTCGGCATCTGTTGGAAACGCATCGAGGAATTCGACTAGACTTGAGATGGACTCTGCGTGTCTGGACAGCGTCCGTAGAACAGCAATGCGCCTTTTCAATACTGGCTGCAGATAGGAGTTAGCCTGCATCGGACAGGATTGATATAGATAATACTCACCACATTTACGGGATTCTCTTGTAGAATTGCATCATATTTACTGAGCACTTGTTTTAAAGCTGCCTCGTCCGCCGCCGTCGCCTCGTCATATAATCCCCTTAATCCCATCACCCGCTCGTTCTGTTCTCCAAACCGGGACGACAGTCTGTCCAGACACTCCCGCGCAGATTTATCGTCGCCTGTCCGTAGACACGCAGCCAGCAGCTGCTCATAGTTCATCCATAGCTCAGGTGACTCTTTCTGGGAGAATATCGAGAACGGAAAGGAAGGGAACCGAGACGGTTGGCTTTGGAGGAATGAGGGAGCTTTCTGGGAGAGCCGGAGCGACGCTTGCGGGTCAGACGAGCTTAAGCCCATCTGCTTCTGAAGGAGGGATGCGGCCATCGCAGACACCGTATCTGTCTGTATATTTAGTGCGGCTGGCGCAATGGTGTAGAGTCGGTAGAGATGTTGGAGTCTGGAGCTCCTCGATGCGATTCCTTCGATGTGTAGAGAAGCGGCAAGGTTGGTGACGTCGAGCGCTAGTAGGGATTCACGCGATAACCAGAGTGCACACTCGATGCTTCATGACCACGGCACTCGCCCACACACTGCCGGGGAGGACGATAGAAACACAGTCCGGAGCTCCGTTTCATGCTATTACCTGATACTGGGAGTATGCGCCATAAACCCTGCCCGAAAGCTGCGTTGTGTCTGAGTGAATCGGCCTGCCTGCTCTCATCCCACCAAGTTCATTCGACCCCGGCGGATACACAGTCCCCCGCCAACTGCCTATATATCTAATCTTAAGTGATATCGGAAGAGCCTAGTCGCCATGTCAGTAACTCCCTCTAAATATCATGCTATAGCTGCTGACCGTGGTGGTTGTCCGCAGGTTCGAAAAATCACTATATGACCTCATCCGAGGCCTGCGGAATCATAAAGGAAGCGAGAGCGAATATATCCAGAACAGCTTAAAGGAATGTCGAGCAGAGATAAAATCACAGGATATGGGTTAGTCGACTTATTCTAGTCCTATTTGCGGCGGCGTTTCTATATATACGGAGGTTGACTGTTCATTCAAGACAAGAAGGCAACCTCGCTGTTGAAACTTATATACCTGGAGATGTTTGGCTATGACATGTCGTGGGCTTCCTTCCATGTCCTCGAAGTCATGTCTTCCCCGAAATTCCATCAGAAGCGTGTGGGCTACCTCGGAGCCGTGCAGAGCTTCCGCGTCGACACAGAAGTTCTGATGCTAGCAACAAATCTTTTAAAGAAGGTTGGGCAGGATATCAAGTATATTACTGATTATACGGCTCTTGCGCTGACTAGTATCATAGGATATCGTGTCTCCGCAGGTTCCTACGATGTCCCTACCTCTCGTGACACTTCCGCATATAATTTCGCCCTCCCTTGCGCTATCACTGCTTACCGACCTTATACCCCGTTTGACGCATTCACACCCGGTGGTTAGGAAGAAGACCGTGGTGAACCTGTATCGGTTGTCGTTGGTATACCCTGAGGCATTCCGGATAGCATGGCCGAAAATTAAAGAGAGATTGATGGACACCGAGGAAGATGGTAGTGTGACAGCTGCTGTCATAAATGTCGTATGTGAGTTGGGCTGGAGGAGGCCGCAAGATTTCTTACCTCTAGCACCACGGCTCTTCGAGCTACTGGTTGACGGAGGTAATAACTGGATGGCTATAAAAATTATCAAGCTCGTGAGTTTATCACCCCTAGTTATGAGAACTAGGCAAGCTAAGATGATTACTCCAGTTTGCATCTTTAACGCCATTGGAGCCAAGACTGGTCCGGAAGCTTATACGACCTCTAACCAACATTATGCACACTACGTCGGCCATGTCTCTGCTGTATGAATGCATTAATGGAGTAATTCAAGGTGGAATCCTCGATGGGGTAGAAGGAATCCGCGAAGGAGAAGCCATTGCACAGTTATGCGTTGACAAGCTCCGGGGCATGCTTGTTCTGGAAGAGGACCCGAACTGTAAGTTTTGCGCCTGTCGATGGTGGAATGAATATACTAATAGGGTCCCAGTGAAATACGTTGCTCTCCTTGCTTTCAATAGGATCGTAACAACGCATCCGATGCTGGTTTCGGCGCACCAGGATGTAATAATGGGCTGCCTTGACGACAACGACATATCTATCAGGCTACAGGCTCTTGAACTAGTTTCAGGGATGGTGGCTAGTGACTCCTTGCAGTCTGTTGTCAACCATTTGATCACACAACTACAGACCGCATCTGCAGTCACAGACGGTCCCACGGCCACTACTTCTCTCCTTGCCCATATTACCCCATCCGCAGACTACGACGATGACGACCCTGAAGCGCACTTGGAGCTTGCCAGGCAAAGTCGAATGTCTGCGCCTTCTCTCCCAAATGAGTACAGACTAGAGGTTCTCCACCGGATTTTAGACATCTGCTCGCGGGATACATATTCCAACCTCACCGATTTTGAGTGGTACGTGGACGTCTTAGTCCAGTTGGTGAGGTTGATTCCCCCAGCTAGTGCTTCCAAAACCAATGACGAGCATTCGTCAAAAGACGCCCACAACCTAAGAGCCGACATATCAAATCGAATTGGTACCGAGCTACGCAATGTCGCCGTAAGAGTGAAGAGCGTGCGCCCCGAGGCAGCTCGGGCCGCTGAAACGCTGGTGCTTATAGATAATCGAGCAACTCTATTCCCTTCATCCGGAACCTCAAGCACAAATTTATTAGAGCCCGTTGCATGGATAGTGGGCGAGTATGCCGAGTATCTGAATTTCCCAGACCAGTCGCTCTCTTCCTTAATTCATTCCTCCAACCTAACCCTTTCCCCTACAGTGCTTGCAGGGTATATTCAGGCGATCCCAAAAATATTTGTCCACCTTACGTCTCAGTTCTATGACTGGAATGTGAGTAGGCAGGGTGAAGTATCCTTACTACTCGCTCGGATTACAGATTTCCTAGAGAAACTCTCTTCCCATCCGGAATTGGACGTGCAAGAACGAGCCATTGAGTTTCTAGAGTTATTACGACTCACCAAGGAAGCGGTATCTGCATCAGATATCGAATCAGGAAGTGTACCACTCCTTGTATCTTCGGCCATTCCAAGCTTGTTTACTGGCCTAGATCTCAATCCCGTTGCAGTGGGAGCGCAGAAGAAAGTCCCAATCCCAAGTGATCTTGACCTTGATCAACCGATTAATCCTCGTTACGTCCACATTCAGCGTGAGTCAAGCAATGGCTGGTTTGATTCTTTCAACCACGACGAATGCTATCAATTTTACCACATACCAGATTCAACAGGCTTCGTCACGAAGCCACAAAAGGAGGTTCTATCGCCCACACCAGTTCAACCAACCTCATATCAAAACGTTTCTGAAGGGCTATTGTCCGAGCCACTGGACATTACTGCTAGAAAACGTGCGGCAAGAAGAGAGCGAAATAAAGATGACCCGTTTTATATTGGGCAGGGACAAGCGGACGAAGAGTCCTCTGACCCAGCCACGCCATTTAACCAGGCTCTTCGTGGTGCGAATAATGAGGATCTAGATCTAGACTCCATTCCAATCATCGATCTTGCCATTGATCAACGATCCTCGGACAAACCAGATGCACTCAAGGCCCGGAAACCAAAACGCAAACTAAAACCTAAAAAGGTTGAAATTATAGGGGACGAGACCCTGGAGTTCGATAACCCCGTCACTTCGCCTAGTATGAAGCCTGACTCTGTCTCAGCAGTCACCAGAGCAAAGAGGTCATTGCTAGAAGTTGATTCCAGTGGAATAGGCCAACTCTCACTTGAAGAAGAGAGCGGTTTGACCCCTAATATTGGTGACCTGGCTAGAAAGGAAGCAGAAGATGCAGAGATGGTAAAGGCAATGGCAGAAATACAGAGGCTACGTCTGGAAATGCAACGTGAAGCTGAGCGGATTCATGGTAGCCAAGAGGTCCCTGCCGAGGGGACGATGATAAAGAGGAAAAAGAAGAAGAAAGTTGTGTCTTCTAAGAAGAGCAAGTCTAGCACGCAAGAGACAGATGGTCAGCCATCTCAGTCTCAGGATGTGGCTGTGGGCGAAGAGGGGGAAGCACCCGTGGTGAAGAAAAAGAAGAAGAAGAAAGTAACGACGTCTAAGAAAACGGCTCCCACACAGGTGGAAGGCGAGGAATAGTTTACTACGGTGTGGAGTTCGGATCTCCGGCTCAATACTTTTGGTTTATATGCATAAGCAGGTAGTATGCATCTTGACGAAGTGACGGCCAACATTGTGGAAATGCTAATAGATATGGCATATTTTAGACCCGTTATAATCCGCATAGCTAGAGCAATGTTTATAATGGATCTAACAATGTCACGAGCAGCCCTGAACAATGATTTGATCGACTGTTGTAAACTGAATCAATAGAATTTAAAGCCGAGAAAGTAGCCTTTTTCACCCCCTTTAAAGGAGATATCTTAAAATACAAACCAGGGAATACGCCACATGATTGGACATTTGAAAGGAGAAAAAGCTAGAAAATTAAATCAAATATTGACAATAGAATGGGGTGATCTGTTGGTAGATGCAGGAAGTCACTGTTGAAAGCTTTATGAAGCTATATCATTTAGCTGGTCCATTGGCTGATAAATTGGGAGATGTATCCCCATATTTCAGGGATAACTCTCGCCAGTTCAAAAAGGATACCGCCACAGAGGACGAAAACTAATAGAACTGTTTGGGTGAATACCAGATCTTGTTAGTAACTATCCTCCATATAATAATGTCTAACTCCTGCTCGGAAATATAAGAGCTTGTAGGATGTAGGACAGTAAATGCCCGGTGGTTCTAAAGGTAGAAAATGACAAGTATCACATACCAACCCAGCCCATGGATAGCGGAGACTTTGCTTTTGGCTTTGGCTTCGCCGCCACCTCTGGCCTTCCACGTTTGGAGGCTTCTTGTTTGGCAAATTTCTCATTTGCCCTTCGTTGCTGGGGAGTTTGTGGTGCCTACAGGTTTGATTCAAGAAGAGTTAGTAGTCGGCCAAATTAAATAGGGACACCAGGGAGCTGGAATTGGGAAATTTCCATGCTGACGTACCATTCTGCAATTGAGACGGAAGTCGATCTAGATGCGAGGATGTAAAGGTATGATCGTTTGGTTTGCCCTAGTGGCGCGGTGTTTCCCGGATAATTCTTTCGTAAGGAGGGTCGGAGGTGTTGCGTAAATAGTTTATGGGTAGAGCTCCTCAATTCCTTGCTGGTTGCGTATATATATCTACCACGTTGCAGAGAGTAATGCGAACTGGCCAACTGTCCTCTAGTTGATGACTTGCGGATTCTAGAAAGATCTCGAGTAAAATGGAGGGATTCGAAGTTCCTGCAAGGCGAGCAGAACTGAACAGATATAGCTGAAGGAATCTCCACGGGAATTGAGTCAGAGGGAGAGCTGTTTCGCCTGTAAATTGACTGCGATGCGCGCGTTAAAGGCCGAATGAACACGAGAGCAACTTCATGATGTCAGTGAGCTTATGTAAGCTGCATGATTAAGTAACCATGCCAAGATCCCGTGGCTTTTTGGCTTTCGCGGAGAAACTCACGTAAACATTTCAAGTAGAACAAGATAAAAGGACGTCCAAGTCTTTCGGTGTTTCGTGGATAGCTCCAATCTAGGCCAGACACCATATACTTGACCAACGACTGCTCGGGACTCTGCTCAAGATGGCTCAAATCACGCGCCGGAGCTATAGCAGCAACACCCAGCCGCCAGCGGGAACCTCGCCTCATGTATGTGCATCTCCAAAGCTATTATGACTACGAGGAACTAGCTCACTCATTGGTATTATCAGGTCATGATATACAAGAACTTCGGACGACCTTTTGTGAAGATCTTCATTGGGTCCCTGCTATGTTATCAAGCTGCTTATTGGGCCTGGAACAAGCTAGAGCGGGAAGATATAATTCATCGCAGCGGAAGCGGTATGAAGGCTCCCCTTTCCCGTTTCTTACTTCCAAATATTGCTTTAAACTTCAAGTCTCCCCGTTTATATGCTTATATCAGAATGTTTACAGGGAAAGCCACTCCAACGACAACGAACAAGTGATCTCCGTCAAAACAAGCTCACGTTTATTGTGCTGCGTATGCCTCTGGGATTTCTAGGCTCCTTCCCCCGTGACACAGTGATGCTCTCCCAGTTGAGGACTACAACAAAATTATAGGATGTTCCGTTACAAAAATGAGCTGCCATGCGCTATATCATGATTTAGAGGACGACGGAATATGCTTTTGGAGTTCTACGGACGGAAAAAATAAGACAATCGTCTAAACCTTCATGGACCTAACGGCTATGGAATTACGAATGTCACGCGCTGCCTGCTATTATCACCGATTTGGAATCATCATCAACGTCAAATTCTCACCGCTATGCATGGTTCAGTGGTTTACCCCACCAGATCAGAGTGCCGTGTCCAGAGCGCAGATCTTCTACTGTGCTCTTATATGGGTTCCACTGGTGGTTGTTCTGTTTGGTTGCCCCAGTGCTATAGCTGGCGTCTATCTCGATTGCTTCTGACTGAGAGCAAGAGCAATAAGGCGAGCAAGCAGTTGTCAGATAGGCCGGTCCTATGATACACATCTCCTGCCGCCACTGCATATGTACATATATTAGCATCCACTAATGGGAATATAGTTTTCTAATTTGGCTTTCCGAAGCCCAAACTTTGGCAAGATATAAAGCTGATATTTCAAGCAGCTATCAACAACCATTGCGAGGCCACATATAGCTATTTCAAAAACAACAAACGCTATCCAGCGTTACTCGTCCAATTTATGACACAGACATATCTCATATTACAAGATTAGGCAGTTTTGTTGTTCAACCTATCGAGAACATCCTTGGGGACATTAGATGGGTCGAATTGCGCAACGCCAGCACAGAGATCCTTGACCTGGGGAACTTCTGCAAGCTTGTTCCACCATTTCTGGAAGTTTGGTAGCTCGGCAACTTGCTGTGCGTACCACTCATCTCCGCCGATTCTCTTGGCCCAGAAGAACCATGGGGCCAACGAAAGGTCGGCATATGTCATCTTACCACCAACGAGCCATTCCTTGTCCTTCAGTGCAAGATCGACAACACCCATGATGCGACGGGTCTCGGCGGAATATCTGTCAACCGCAGACTGGAATCTGTCGGTGTGGTACCATTTGAACCCTAGATGAAAGAATCCCGTTAGATAATGTTACGGTCGAGCAGAAATACGGTGTACTGGAATAAGCGGAGGACTCACAGGAGAATTGGCCGATATATGGGCCCTGTCCACTGACTTGGAAATAAAGCCATTGCCTCAGGTGATACTTCTCTGGCATCGTAGAGAAGGAGATGATGTTTTCCTTGTCATATTCGTCAATCAGGTACTCAACGATGGCGCCGGATTCCCAGAGAGTGAGGCCGGTGTTTGGGTCGTGGATAGCCGGGCAACGGCCATTGGGGTTAATTGCAAGATATTCAGGCTCCTTACACTGTTTGAAGTCGGTAGCCTTGAGCTCGTAGGGGATGTTTAGGATCTGTAGGATGATGGCGACCTTGAGGGGGTTGGCAGTAGGGAGGACGCCGTAAAGAACCAACGGCTTGATATCGCGGGTTGCCATCTTGAGTGGTAGATGGGTGTATGCTGCAAGTTGATGAAGCTTCAAGTGAAGATATGTGCGATTGATTATATTTCAAGACAGAAATCAGGGAATTGGCCCTTTATTTATATGTACAAAGCTTCGGTGCTTGAGGCCGACGAACCCCTCCATCCATCGGTCCATCCCCACGGCATCTTGGTATAACCCCTGTCGTCACAGGCCTTATTGGACACATTACGATCAAGCACTGTTTCATGCTTACGAAGCTGCAGAACGGCCATGATCATCCATTTCATTTCTGGTGGAGGATGAGGGCCCATATTATAGTTACTAACATTCTATGCGGAGACCCAATCTTCTCCTCACCGAGTCCTGATGCGGAGGGAAACGGCAGGGAGAATTACCCCGACCCCGACGGACTGCAGCATCAAAGTTGTAAGTAAAGTTCTTCCCAGCTTAAAAAAAAAGCTATATATACATGACAGTTATACCTTTGCTAATAAATCAAGCTGGAGATGGAAGAATCCCTGGATATTCGGAAAGATTTTTAGGGTCTCAGGCACAGTTGTAGTTCCTGATGACCAAACTGTCCGTGAATACTTATTGATTCCATTTCGTAATTACGCTATTGACATCAAACGAAGGATATTTGAGCAGCTCGATGGTCACTCTTCTATAGTTACATATTTTGCTCTCTGGAGAAACTAAGTGCTAAAATTCGAGTGGCTCATATGCGTATTATAATTGTAGATTGGTATCGACATATTTATATGTAGAACAGGCTCTAAGTATATAAACATGTCCATGGATCATCAAACCCACATTTCCCCAATTCGTCATGACTAGAAAACCCTTTAAATGGCCTGGCTCTATGTGCCTTTGCCCATTCTTTAATCTATACAAATTAGCTTCTCTTCTCCCATTTATCGAGGTTCATCACTTACTGCCTTAAAGTCTCGACACTGATGTACAACTGTTGCTCTAGCGCCGACTATCTTGAGCTTTTCACTCCATTGGAACACAGTTGGGGTGACATCACTTTCGCACATAACACTCTGTCTAAGCGCGTCTATACAGTGGTCCAGATGCATTATGTCTGTATCATGGCCTCCAGCATTTTTGAGCCCAGAATTTGGGTCATTGGGATAGAGTGTAAAGGGATTAACCGTTTCATTCCATGCTGGATCAACGAAGTAATAAAGTGCTTTCCGAAGGCTGTCCAGGCAATGTAGGTTATGAAACACATTTAGGACAATGAGGTATCCGCTGCCCGGATACGGAAGCTCTGCGGTTGTACGGTTTGGAAGAAGTTTTGCCTCATCGGCAGAGATATGGCTTTGCTCATCTACTAGATATGAGCTAAACTAAATAATGTACCAAAGGGATATATATAAGTACTTACGCGCATATAGTCCATTCCAAAGGGCGTTGTTTTCTTTGGTCGGCCTGCCTTGGTACGGCGTCTCTCCTCCATTAACCCCGCTGTCAAATTTGACATATCTATAAGAAATTGCTTCGTTCGCAGGGCCTATAATGAACGAATTAAATCATGTTATTCCAGAGGGATATTAGTAGTGTTGAGACTTACTATAAAGACTCTGTGATTGAGTGACCAAGTTTTCACGGTGGTAGAGCCAGGCTTTGGAGTACAAAAGAGCCAAAATTATATTAACAATTAAAGAGAGACAAAGTGCTGATGACACTCCATATAAAAGCCGCTTTGGATACTTGCTTGACCTAATGGACAAGTGTCCGCGATCTTCTGAACCGGAGTCGCCCAATAAACCCTCAGATGAAGGATCCTTCATTGTCACAATGAGCGGTAATTTTCAAAGAATAGAGAAATTAATGTCCGGTATAATGAGTTTTGGATAACATGGTCATCCATAGAAGCTGAACTAGCAAATGGATATCAGAAATCAATCCACAATTAGGCATATGTAGACTATTGCCTTGGGTGAAACCAAGAGCCTGGGATGACGGATAACCGTTACATCGATATATTAGGCTATTGTTAAACCCCAGCCAGGCCATGCAACACCACCCTTCAGGCATGCATAGTATGATACACAAACGAGAGGTCCTAGGATGGGAACGCTGGGGTACGAGAAGCAGCCCGGCTACATCTGGTTGTTTGGTTTTCTTTCCCTTGATGTATGGATGGTAAGCCAGCAGACCAAGTTATATAAGTATCAAGAGCAATCCATACTTTATGTTTGCCTCGAGACCACACTTACACATACACCACAAGCAAGGAACGCAAAAACGCCTTATTTATATGCCATAGTCCAAGATGCGGTTCTCCTACGCAGTTCTAGGGTTTATCTCGACCTTTACTCTGGTTTCTTCGCTGCCAGTCACCGGTTCCACCTCGCAGTCTCCTAAGCATGTCGATGCCGAAGCTGAGGGAGCCCTTTATCCCGGTTCCTGGGTCAAACGCGACAAATCTGAAGCTGAGAGCGATGCTGTAGAGGGGGCACTTTACCCTGGCTCTTGGGTCAAACGTGAGAGCCCTAACTCTGAGGGTGAAGCTGAAGGAGAACTTTATCCTGGTTCCTGGGTCAAGCGTGATAATTTTGAAGCCAAGAGCGATTATAAGGAGGGAGCACTCTACTATACCCGAGTGTAGAGAACCCTTGTGAGTAGATGTATTCCAGACCAGCGGCTTTCCCGTTACTAACTATTAGGCTGGAGTTTAGGTACCCTGGGCCGGAAGTCTGAGAACATGTGGTGCAAATTTCCTGCATGTTATTACCCTAGCACTTGTTTAGTGACAAGTTATTAGTTAGGAAGCTTATTCATGAGTATTGAGTCGACATCCTTGATTTCTCGATCATTCAAACTCGGAAGTATCGCTAGTCGCATGTCTTGGAGAAATGCAGCATTTTCTTTTGATTTTCTACATACCTTATCTGGGTAACTGCTGCGTAGCCTAGCACCTTCATTTCACATTTTGATAAACGGTAGTTTCGATTACCCCTCTTTACGGAGGAGGTTGCAGGTTGATCGAAATAAACCATGTAGTATGTGCATGCGATGAACCCCCATCTGATCCTTCATGGAGTGACGTTGGTATAAGCCCGTATCGGGTGGACCTCTTCGGAGTTTAGCCACGCTTGAGATTGTGGCACAGGGAGGCTTCCACTAGGTATTTATGTACGGCATTCGGGGCCGCATGTAAATTACACTGGCGTTGGATACTCCAACTGTCCACGGAGTGACAAAGCCGAGTGTGGGGGGGGTGTGAGGAGGAACCACAGAGTAAATGCATGAATCATTTTGAAAATGGCCCTCGGACGTCATGCATGCTGCATGGCTAGTTGTATATCCCCCCTGTGTTTTGTGTCACTTTCTCCTGGCTACCACCGGCGATTTCTGTTTTGACGGGGAACTGCATGACTCAACGGACCCAGGAAGCATCCAGTTTCATTCACATAGCTATTGGTCCTAGCTTTGGTACTATATTCATATATATTGGCCAGGTCTGTGGCGATTAATAACCGGACGCTGGAGGAGTAATATAACCATTGCTGTTGGATAGTCTCCACAAGGGTTGCAAGGAATCCATGTCTCCAAGAAAAAAGGTGCAGTAGGTCTTTAATATACCTTCCTGTGGCAATGGGATGCCTCCAGTATTGATATCATTGGCAGAGAGTCACTCTTGGGCACCTCAAGCAACGAACAGATACCCTTATAGGAAATATGTTCCGTCACATTTTTCCGTTGACCGGCCGTCCTGCCAGAACGGAGAATATGCCGTACCTGGAATAAGTCCCGTATAATTTCAGCAACGCGGCACGATTATGCAGAAAGCGAGCATGGATATCCAAATAAATGTGATTGTACGGAGTATGCGGGTTGATGTTGATGGTGAAGATGAAGAACTTCGGACGTGGGCGTCAGTCACGTGATCAACTTACCTGCCCGCGTTTCTTCTCTCGATGTTGAAGAGAGCAAGACAACGATACATCTATATCAGACTCCAGAGGAAACACTGCATTAGACAAAGGCAGAGCATACAATGGGCGGTTTCGATGAAAATGAAAGCCCCGAATCGCATTTGGCGAAGGTATATCTCTCCCATCTCGGCTAAGAACCCCCACCATAGAACCAAGCTCTATATATCCAGCACATACATCTATTGGTGACAAGTATGGCTAACGTCTCATTCGCATGCTAGGCATTCCAAGATGTAGCCAGGTGAGTGAATCCAGCCCAGATGGGGCCCATATATATCTATTGGCGCAAAATTATATCTAACATAGAATATAAATAGAGGCGAGCAAACAGCCGGTGCTATTGAGAACCATCTTACGCGCCTAGAGCAGGAAATAGATCGTCTGCTTGGATCAGTCGAAGCAGCAAAGGAGGGCTCGGATACAGCACTCAAGAAAGATGAAGGAAAAGAGGAGGAGAGCGCAGAAAAGGGCGATAAATCTGTCGCGGAGAATGGCAGCAAGGACGAGCAGGGGAAAGAAGATAAGCAATGAAATGGGGATCAAGGGAAACCAAACAGTTTCTGCAGCTGGAAAAGACCATTGGCATCCTTCTCTGCAACGCCGACCTCTGTCACGATTGCGTCGATCAGGTCATAGGGAGTGACGTCGAAGGCGGGGTTCCAGACATCAATGCCCGGAGCAGCGATGTTTACGGTTTCAAGGGCGATGTTGTCGCCATTAGGCTTACCCAGATCGCTGATGCGCGGGCCAGTGATTCTAGTGACTTCGGACTTTGAACGTTCCTCGATTATGATATCCTCTCCTTCTTTGGTGTGCAGGTCGATGGTGGTTCTAGGCGCAGCAACGATGAATTTCACGCCGTGGTATTTGGCAAGGACAGCCAATTGATAGGTTCCGATCTTGTTTGCTGTATCTCCGTTTGCGACGACACGGTCAGCTCCAACGACGATAGCTGCGAGGCCGGTCCCTTTTTGCGCGAGGAGCGAGGCGGCCATGGAATCTGTAATCAGTGTGGCCGGGATCTTGTCATGTACCAATTCGAAGGCCGTGAGCCTGGCGCCTTGGTTGTATGGTCTGGTTTCTGTGCAGAAGGCATGCTCGAGCTTATCCGAAGCTACAAGGGAGCGGATGACCCCCAATGCTGTTCCATACCCAGCCGTTGCCAGTGATCTAGAATAGTGAAATCATATTAGCACACTGTCCCTTTCCCGCTTCTCTACCTCGCACTGCTGCAGCCAGCCATACCCTGTATTGCAGTGTGTCAAGACTCCCACTTTCTTCCCATCCTTGCCCGCGGTGGTGTTATTCACAATCCACGAGGCTCCGAAATCACCCAACCGATGGTTATCCATCGCATCGTCAATCAGCATCTTCTCCGCAGCCTCCACATACGCCTCCGCAAGATCCTTTCCCTTGGGGTCCCCGATCTGTTTCCGAGTCTGCACCAATGCCTTCAGCTTGGTAGCCGCATCACTCAAGTTAACTGCAGTAGGCCGACTGGTAACCAAGTAGTTTAGTTTCTCTAATATGTAGGCTTCGACCTCGTCTGCCTCGGTGGACAGCTTCCCGTCATCCATTAGATCGGTCAGCTCGATCGAGAGGGAGAGAACGGCAACGATGGCGATGGCCGGGGCGCCTCGGACGTGCATTTCTTTTATAACATGCCATCCTTCTTTAGCTGTCGAGACAGGAATATATCTTTCGACGTGCGGTACTTGGAGCTGATCGAGGATCTGTAGCATGCCACGCTTATACCGGATGGATTGGAGAGACATGGCTGCCGGAGATGTCTTCGTCTCTGTACACCGCGGATAGAATGTGTAAATGAGAAATAATTCAAGCTATAACCTGGTTGAATATCGCAAAAACAGCTGGATGTCCGTTGTTCCTCAGCTATCTATTCGGTGCTGGCGGAGGATTAATTTATGGCGGGGGAGGGGCAAGATGGTATAAAATTCAACCCAGCCTATAACCTGCGATTATTCGACCATCAGCTACTTTACGATATCGCAATCCATGAAGTCGGCAATTATATTTAATATAGCTTCATTATTAATATTTAGCTTGATCTTCAATATCCTACGGATAATTGCGCGAATGGGAAGCTGAAATTGTCGATGTAGCTGTCCAGAATCAATCAATGCTCGAGGCCTCACGACCATTTTCAGAATATGAAATGGTATCTAGATTGAGCAAATTAACATTCTCCATCTATATGTAATTGGAATAAATAGCCTAGAACCCAAGGACTCTTCTCTCCCGAGCAGTCTCCAGCTCTCCTGGGCGGCATTCGTGTTGCCGTAGCAATATTCCCCCAGTTATTTGCAGCAAGGTGTCTCTTCTAGCCATGTTGACCTGTTCTCATGCCATAATTCATATCCTCAGTCCAGCGAGCGCATTAATTCGTAAATAGTGTGTAGGAAGGTTGAATGGTCTCCCCCAACAGCGCATCGTTAAGACATCGTAAAGTATTTAAACAAAACTGCCATCTAGTCCGCCGAGATGTAGAGCACTATCAACCACACATTAGTACGGAATATATTTAGAGATAGCTTCACCAGCCGGGTAGCCTATACCATTGTTTCCTCGCACAAATGCGTCTCCATAGCTCCGTCTCATCTTGCCGTTAACGTATTCCTCGGTCTTCTCCAGGGCAATGTTCATGTAGCCGTCAACAGACTGGAGCTCGCCTATTATACCGAGTTAGAACACGTCTAGCAGACAAAAAGGAAGCCGTAACCATGCGCAAAGAACGAACCTTTGTAAACAACGCCGGAGTTCAGCTTGACTGTGACTGGAGCGCCGGTGATTTCGCCGAGGAAGGCAGAAGGGTCTTTGCCCTCGGAAGAAGATGAAGCCTCCATGTCGAGATCGTGGCGTTATAAGACGGAGAAATACAAGAAGAAGCTCAAGGATATAGGGTCAAGACAGGTGGCAGTGATATCTTTATTACTATAGAAAAACAGCTTCATCATTCCATCTTCATCAACACTTTCAACGGTCTTTGATCACGTGATACGCCCAGTTTGGTTATATTAAAACGCGACGCGAAACAAATTCCGCGATGATCAAGGAGAAAGAAGCTCGATCAATGGGATTATAAATTATATGCAGGCGTCAAGGACAGTCCTTGGTACATTGTTTGACTAGATCAATTGGGGAGGGTTTTGCCTATTCGTTGGTTAATACCGTCATCTTTTGCATATTGAAGTCAATAGATCGATGAGACAAAACACACTTGGGCTTTCTATTGTTGATGAAAACGAGCCTCAGCGTCGAAAAGTCCCACCACAGCTGTCTTCCCACTTTCCCTCCTTTAAATAGCTAACCGACCCTCTTGTTCGAGTGCCAACAGACCGTATTATATCCCAGAGCAAGACATAGCAACTCGACAAGATGAGCTCGTTCTTCAAGAAGCCAGCATGGGCGCAGGCAAAGACGCCTGCGAAGCCAACAGACTTCTATCGCCGCTCCAACCAGGTATACTCTGACTTTGTCGCTACGGCGCAGGATGACGAGGATAGCGAGGACGAGACAATCGAAAAACCTGAGACCAAGTATAAGACAAACGACTCGAAGAGACGACGTATCTCTACCGAGGATGAGCCAGCAGTTATTTCAAGCTCAGAGTCAAGGGGCAAGACACCGGCTCAACTAGATACAAACGGCGCGACAGCAAAGGATCCTACGCCAAAACTAGAGCCTACACCAAAGACAGAGCCTACGACTAGCAGAACACCACCAAGGACCTCTCAAGTTGCGCGTACGAGCCCAAGAAGACTCAACCCGAGAAAGTCGCCATTGAAATCGGCATCACCACCTAGCAATGTCATTCGCCTTAGCTCGGAATCACCTCCCCCTCCAGCTGCGCGGGTACCCCCAACTATCGTATTAAAGGACGACACAGACTCGGATAATGATGGTGATAAGGACGACGAATCGGATGAAGAATGTGCAGAACTAGTCCGACGAGCTCGTGAAAGAGCGCGCAATCGCGCTGCAGAGGCGGAGAGCAAGTCCAAATCTCCTACTAGCAAGGATACTGCACAGCTGGGGCAGCCAAGTAACAAGACTGGAAGCCCTTCAAAACCCGCGACGGCTCCAAAGTCCCCCAAGGCAGAAATAGACACAGTTGTGACGATCCTTATTACATCCGAAATAGAAAATACTAAACCACTACTTGTCCGTCGGAAGTTGGCCCAGAATCTAGGGGAAGTGCGAAAAGCATGGTGCAGTCACCAAAAGTTCGGAGAGGAAATGTCGGACTCAATCATCTTAACTTGGAAGGGAAGACGGTTATTTGACGCAACTACATGCAAGGCCCTCGGGATTAACGAATCTGAAAATAACGATAACACCATGTTCCCTGCATCTGATGACGGGCCTTTCGGATCGGAGGAGGGAACCGCAGGTGTCCACATGCAGGCTATGACATCAGACTCCTTCGAGGCTGAAAGACGTCGGATAGCGAAATCGCTTCAAGATCACGGCAGAGAATCAAGCGAGGATGAACCAAAGGTGCAAGCACCAGAGGGAGATATCGTTCGTATCACCCTGAAAAACCCGGATCTGGGCGATTTCAAGATTAAGGTCCGGCCCTCAACGCGAATAAACAATATCATCAATAAATTCCGGGAGATGAAGAGCGTACCTGCGGACAAGTCTGTTTCGTTCTTCTTCGATGGAGATCGATTGGGTCCAGAGTCGTTAATTGGGGACAACGATATTGATGATCTGGATTGTATTGATGTAGTTTTGAAATAGCATAGATGTAGGAATTTACAGGATATCCAGAATTTTGAACTATAGTAATCGTATGCTACATCCATCAGTTAATGTATACATCTTAGTTGGCTCCTTAAGGTGCATATAAAGTCGCATATGTCAAAGTCGATATATAGTCGGCCTTATCGATAAGCTTCCTCCCCGCGATAAGGAATTTTCCAAACTAAAATATTTCACCCTCTAACTTCCTCGACCTATACATTGACAAGTTCTATGATGATACAAGAGATCTCTACAGTTTAGTAAAGACATAGCAAAAAACATATCAAAAAATGAAGGTCCTCACGTCAAACTTCGTCACCTGCGCCGTGAAAGCGTGCAAATCTTCCTCCGCATCATACCCTCTTCACTTCCAGAACGCAGAGCTCGAGGAGGAAGAACTCGAATTCCAACCTGATTTTGTCAAGAATATTCTTCCAAGAATAGACTGGCAGGCTCTCAAAGTTAACGCCAGCGAGGTAAGTGCTGTGACTTGTACCGTTTAATTCGCCTTTATGGCCTTTTTAGGGTTGCGATGGGCTTGCGCTGATTATTACTTCCACACTATTAGCTAGGATTCCCATCGATAAGCGAGTCAAAGCCAGAAGGAGACGAGTTGAATAATGAACAGTTAATGCGTGATCTCCACAAGTTACTGCTTGAAACTCATGTTGTGGAAGGACAGCTGGTTTGTGGGAACTGTGGCCATGAGTATAAGATAAAAGAAGGAATTGCAAACTTCTTGCTTCCAAGCCATCTTGGTAAGATTTACCTTTTACCCTCTGTTAACTGTTTTTGGCGGGTTATTATATTTGAGATATTTACTAACCATGAGTTCTCTTTACGCCCTTGTAGTATGATACGAAATAATGCAACAATATTAAAAGCTGATACCCTCTTCACTAGCCTAGCTAGATGGAGAAACATAGCATGGGACCAACTATATCTTGAATCAGTACTGGAATACCTGAATATCTATTCCGATTCCATGTCTGTGTTTGGCCACCTTTCTCACTCAAGTGACAATGCACAGCCTGCGGCAGAAGGATACAAGAAAGAAGTAATAGAGTGGTTAGAGTGGTTATGAAAATAGCAACACTATCAAGAGGTAGAGGCGGTGTTTTGGGTAACATCATTAGCTCTGGGTTGAAGATTGATGCTATGATACCCACTCAAACGAGTAACAGAGGAAGATAAGAAGCTATCCATTTATTAACTGTTTCATCCTATTCAATATAATATGTTAAATGTTACTTATCATTTATGATCCCCCAGCGTTGGCCAGCGCCTATCTCCCAGCATAAATAAGAAAAACCCCACATCTATCCATCCGACCATCCAGCTAATATACACAGAGAATAAAAGCAAAAGACAGTTAAAAGAAAACGAAGAAAGGTTGAAAAACAGGACCGATGAGGGTTATTACAAGCCAGAGGGGGATAGAAAAAAAAGGATTTTCGTGGCTTTCAGGGATGACAAGGAAAAACATGAGACTGAAGCCTTAAGCCTGAAAACAGCAAGCCACACCTTGACCTCGACCAGACAAAGGATGGGAGGGAACATACAGGGAGAAGATTGGACAATAATGCGTAATAGGTGCATGTGAAATATCGTCGCATATCTTAACAAAAAGGCAGGAAAGGAAGGGACAAGGAAAAGGGAATCTGGGATAGAATATGATATTAACGCCAAAGCCTATTGATCGATCGTGAATGGAATTGGGATGAAAGGGAAAGAACAATAATGTGAAATGTAATGTGTCAACGCCTTTCCTGCTTTAATATAGCTCTGAATTATGGGTTTTGTATGCAGATACCCTTGCGGGCTGGTGGGTTTGAATATAAAGCAGAATGCATGCGGAAAAGTAAAGGTACCCCATTGCACCATATGTTGCTTGCTTATTATGAGGGTGTTTTAGAGGTGATAATAATGGAAATTCTATCCAGGGCGGGATGAAGATGATGGGGGGGAAAGGGGTGGTAGAGTGCGGATGGTCGTTGATGGATGATGGTTGGTTTAGTTGAGGAATCCCTTGCAGCCCGTTGAGCCGCAGAGACAAGGAATACGGTCGTCACTGTCCCATTCTCGCTCGAATTTATAATCGTATGTCAATTCTTCATCTGTAACGTGCGAATAGAATTAGTAAATTGAACACGGAGGGGGTTAAAATATGACGTTGAGACATACCTCGCTCGATATCTCTCAAGGCATAAATGACGATACGTTTACTGCCGTCGACCTTGATGATCTTGGCAGTACAATTCGGGGTACAGCTGTGATTGATAAACCTCGCAATGCCACCATGTTTCGTTGCATCGATGACAGTATTCTCATCAATACGGAACAGATAACTGCTTCCAATGCCGCTCTTCAGATATCGACGTTCACGCATGTCCGCAACTTGCTGTCGGACCTTCTCACCAACGTATTCGATGATCATATCATTGGCAGTGATGTTTTCTTCGGCATATAGACCCCAATTATGGATCGCAGAGCGAGCAAAGCGGACTGGCTTCTTACGTTTCTTAAGCTGGTTGAAGCGTAGTACATCGCCTTCGCCACTTTGAGTGGGCATTGCCTGTTTCTGAGCGTTGATGTCAGCGATTAGACGACGGTTGTTGACTCGGTTGGATCTGGAGGTGGATTTGGAGATTGTTTTGGCTGCTAGGACGCGGGCGGCATCGGCAGCGGCCTGCGGATCGTTTTTGGCGAGTGCCTCACGCTCTTCGCGGGCTTTTTGGACCTTGATGCGATGAGGGAGGTATTTGGATTTTTCAGATTCGAGGATACGTTTTCGTCCGTCCGTTCGAGCTGAGCCTGTGGGGTTGGGGACGTAGTAGCCTTCTATCTTGAGTTCAGAACGGACAGGGCCTCGTGCACCACGGCTATTGATAGCTTTGATCTCCTTCCGGTTCCAGGCCCATGCTGTGACGTTTTTAATGTCAAAAGTAGATTGGGCATGTAGTGCTTCTCGTAGGAATCGAAGATCCTCTGCATCCTTGACCAGGTTCTGCCAGCCGTCAAGATCAAGAACGATGCTCTCATCGTCCTCCACAGTTGCCTTAGGCTCAGTTGTCGACAGACCCCATTCGACTTCGGGCTTAACATACTCCTCTTCCTCCTCTTTCTCTTCAGGCTCGATCTCTTCTTCAATAGGCGTGACGTCAAGCGAGATATCAACCTTGGAAACGAGATCCTCGGCCGCCTCAAGTTCAGCCAATTTAAGCGCTTTCTTCTCTTCAAGTAGCTGCTTCTTGGTCTTTTTCTTAGGCTTTTTGCCCTTGCCCTTGGTCAATGGCTGAGAGTCTACGACAAGAGACATGTTCGATAGATCATCTGGTTCCTGACCAAGATCACCAACGACATGCGAAGTATCGACACCAAACAGCTCATCATCCCTTTTCCGCCGTTTCTCCATTTCCAATAATTCCATGCTGAGACGTTTCCGCTTCTTCGAGAACGGAGACGCCCCAGCCAACTGCTCATCATCGCCTCCTTCACCCAACATCTCGCGATCAAGGTCATCCAACTCATCCTTGATACCGGCTGAGTCGAGGCCTGAGTCTCCAAATCCTGAGACGCTGGGTACCAATGATCCACGAAGCTGGTCATCGTCATTCTCTCCTTCGCTCGATTTCATACTAAGGCGACTGAGCGGTCGACTTTCTTGCTCTTCCGTATCCCGCGTGAACGAAGTCTGCTGCTCATCATCCGAATCATCTTCATCATGAAGTTGCTGAAGACGGTGGTAGAGTGGTCTGAACTCTCTTCGGCGCACAGGACGACGTCGTCGCTCATCCACAAAGGCAGAGTTATTCTGCTCAAAGTCGCGAGCTTTCCTGATACGGGGTAGAGAGAGTACGTTCTTCGAAGCCACGCCCGATGGTGCAGGGCTGTTCCGTGACTCGCTGGTGGTCTCTCCAACAGCAGCGTCGAGATGAAAGGTTGGTCTCTTCGCTCCTTCGGGGTCGGCAATTCCAAGTTTCTGTCTCTTCGCACGATGTCTATCCGGATCGAGGAAGTCATAGAGCGCCGGGGCAGCGATACGGGTCTTGATATCCTCAAGTAATTTATCCCTCAACTCACGAACAGCAATGGCAACGACTTCAGTAGTTGGATCAACATTTTCCGCCCGAAGCCTCTTCTCTTCTTCGACATCGAGTTCTGTTTCCCGCTTTAGTCGCGACTTTTCTGATTTCTCCTGTTGTTCGGCCTTGACTCGTTCGGGGCTCGGGCTGCGTTCGTACGTAGGGTTGCCGTATTGTTGACACTCCATATTCATGACGTATGTGAACAAGGCGGTCATATGGCATCCTCGAAAACATCGTTCGCACTCGAGCTCGCCGCGGCGGGAATTTTCAAAAAGTACATAATATCCGGTTTTATCGCAGCGGACAGATTTCCAATCGTACAATTTCAACCGTCGTTCTAAATGCGGGACTGTCGTGCTGAGGACGGGAACGTAGCAGTGTGCTATGAAGATATAAGGGTCTCGTTTAATCTGGTCTAGGATCGGGGTTTCTTCGACTAGAGAGGCGGGTGGAGGTTTTATTATGGCGCGGGGCCCCTCGGGAGGTTGTAGTTGTAGCGCAGGATGTAGGGAGGATTTTCCGGACGGGCCCTTGGGCGCAGTAGGAGGTGGGACGTTATCCTTGGGCAGTGTCATCTCGACATCCGCCTTGGGCCCGATGGGTGGTGGAGGAATTGCGCTTTTGATATCTGGTTTCCTGGTGGTTTGGCTGCCGGCATCGCTATCGGCGGCTTTATTCTGCTGTTCAAACAAGGCAAGCTGTTCCTGTTTCTGGATTGCGATTAACTTTGCGACGATGCGATGGCAGGCGGTGGAATTGCGGTCGAGCTCGACTCTGATGCGCCGTGTGCCGATGCGCTGTTCCTTTTTACACTCCATGTATGCTCTTCTCGCCGACTGGGCTGCCGAGAACGGCGAGCCACCGCGGAACGACCTGCTGTCCTTGTAAGTTATTGAACATACGCCGAGAAAGCGGCCGGTAGTCGGATCGGTCCTGTTATCTATCTCGGCTATGTCTCCGAAGCTGGAGAATAAGGCGCTGATGGGCGCGATCGTGGTCAATGGGTCGTAGCCGGTCACCACGATCTGGGTTGGCGGGCCAGGCCCGATGGAGGTGGCTGGGTCGTAAGGCCATGACTTGAGCGTGTATGGAATCGGTCGATATTTCGTCTTCTGTTTGCTTCCGGCACCGCGAGTGTAGTTTGCGATTGCCCGTCGAGGATCAGAGGAAGCAGCCTGCTCGGCATCCGTCTCGTCCTCTCCAAAGGCCGCATACTGGGGTTTCTGCCGCTTGTCCTTGGACGGGGTCTTCTTGTCCAGATCCGGATCGTAGACCAGCTTATACCCCTTTGCAGCATTTCCAGCCGGGCGAGGATGCCGCCGGGGAGACGGGGGAGTGTGTATGGGAGTGACGGCGGCCTTGGCATCGTCTATATTCCTCTTTGAGCGCACAGGATGGTCGTGAGATGTGTCGACCCCGGCCGGTTTGGGAAGCATTGGGCTACCGGACTTACGCGGGGGGGAAGAGTCGGTGTTTGTGAGGGGGGTGAGAGCGTAATTCGATATCCCGTTGAGAGTAGTACCTGCAGACGGGCCGCCAGAGGTACAGCTGGAGACGGACGACTCAGTAGCCGTAGAGCTGGACGAGCCGATCCTGTTCGTGCTGGGGGTGACATGGCCCTGTCCCTCGCCATTAGCTACCGGCTGCGAGTCCGCTGCTGCATCCAGTGCATCCGCTGCGTCTGTCGTAGCCGTCGTCGTCGTTGCTGCTGCAGCGTCCGTAGGGGAGAGGGAATCATGTCCGTTAGCGATAGCACAGAAACCCCCACCATCGTGCTCGGTAGCAGCAACGGAGCCGGCGACGGAAGAAGGCGAAGCATCACAGGCTCCTTTGCCCTTCTGACGATCCTGGCTGGATTTGCTGCGCTTTTTCTGCAGGACAGAGGGCGCCGTTGGGAAGAAGTCTGCAAAGCCCGCGGAGGCGCGTGACATGGTTGGAGCTGGCTACGAGCCTGATACACACTGGCGAGCGTGTGCAAACACCATCCTCGGCCGCAATGTATCGGACAGATGTGTTCTCATAAAGCCATGCGGTCGCTGGAGAGGTGCTGGCGTGGACCAACGCTGTGGTGTCTGTGTGTTTTTTTTTTCTCCCTTGCTGCTCTTGGGGGCGGGTTGAAGCAACGCGATAGGGCTGCTGGGCGTGGCGAGGCCGGCTGAAGCGCAGCGAAAAGGAGCAGAGACCGCGAGCAGAGGAGCGAGGAGGCCGTAGGAGCGTCGGGCGCGGCGACAGCAGCTTCACGGTCTGGTTGTTGGGTGGTGGAGGGTTGGAGGTTTTTTTCTTGCGGAGATCGAGAAACGAAGAATTGCTGACTTGACGTTCTGGAGCAAAGGGGGAAAATCTTGGACCCGTTCTACTGCACCACCACACCACGACCACGATGACCACCACGATAGACGAGACAGAGACGATGGAGAGACGAGACAGACGGGAGATAGAGACGGAGATGGAGGCGATAGAGAGATGGAGATAGAGATGGAGACGATAGATGGGAGAAGACGGAGTGAGATGCTTTGGATGCGGCGTGGTAAGAGGCACGGACGATACTATGGACGAACGATCATGATGATGATGATGAATACACGACTGTTCTGAGTACGGAGTGCTGTCGGTTATCGATTACTGGACAGAAGATGCATCGACGTGACGGTGTGGTTGCTCGCCGCGGATCGACCGGTATCTACTGAGCGAGATGATATCCTACCGGACAACCGTCATGATAGATGATCACGGCCACTGTCTGTCATGTCTGATGTATGATTTGTGATGTCTATCATAGGGATGCCTGATGCCTGATGTCTATCATGGATGGTGATGTCTGATACCTGATGTCTGCATGACTGCAGCCATGAGTCCTCTACGCAACGGAGCCTACACGATGAGTATACGGTCTACCGGACTGAAGCCGTGACGAGTCGATAGAGCCAGTCCTGCCATCGATCGATGCTAGCAACGAACACCCTCCGCCCTACGTCCGTCTACTTTATATACCACACGCAGCCGTTCTCGACGTATCGTTACTGGTACGGATGATGTCGATGATGTTGATATTATCGATGTCGATGGTGTTGATGTTGATGTTGATGATGATGCCGATGATGTTGATATCTATCGATGTTGATGATGATGGTGTTGATGTCGATGATGATATCTATTGATGAGTGCGGTCTATCGACGAGTGTGGCCTGCCATGGAAGTGATGTATAATCGGGTGGAGGTGTCTGCGAGCTATGATGCTACCTGCATGTTATCTCTGCGCCCTTCACCATGAGGTAAGGGAGTAGATCGAAATAAGAATAAGGTACAATAGAGTAGGCAGATAGAGTACTTATGATGCTATTCCTGTCCTGCCATGACGAACAGCCGAATCTCCCGAACTCAATTGCATGCCCCTTCCCCTGGCTCAGCTGCCCCCCTTACTCCCTACTCCCGTACGGCCTGGATAAAAATAGCTACCCAGACATGTATAGTAGAAGCCCGTCATGACGCTCTGTCAGTAGTTCATCCACGGCAAAAAGAAAAGCTGTTCCTGGAGATCGTTATATTTAGTCGAAAGCGGCTTGGCGGGTGTGCGAACTCCACTGTGGTGAGACATGGGCGAGCGATGAAGCAGGACAAAAGAACAGGGAGGAGATGACGAAGTCGACAAGCTCATGCTGGCGGGGAGAGAGTGTCGATGGATGGAGAAATCTGCATGATATTCATGATATTCATGCGTCTTGCTCCATGCTCCATGCTGTATATCATGCCATATGCCGGCGGTTATGCAGCTCCGTCCGTAGATATGCCGGACAAAGCAGAGGGCTGTCTTACAGTGCTGGCGGGTCGATGATCCATTGGCTCGTAGGTCAACTAGGATGCTCTAGGATGCTGGATGGTGTATAGGTGCTAGGGCTGGTGGATACGACGCAGAGCTCGATGGAGCCAGCACAGCCTCAGATATAGACGGACACGACCGAGATAGCAGCAGGATAGGCGGATAGGCGGACAGTTAGGAGGCGGATACGCTGGGAGGAGGGTAACTATTAGCAGAGGAAACAAGAAGAAGCAAAGAAACTGGGAGGTTGTAGAACCAGGGGAAGCAGCTTCAGGTAGAAACGTAGTAGATAAGCACCGCAGAGCCATGGGCCGCCACTGGTGTAGGTTTCACTTGTTGCACCGTCGAGGATAAGTATATTAACCTCCTCTGCTTCCTCTATCTTCTTCTTCCTCGTCTCTGTCTTCATCGTCGTCTTCGTCCTCGTCTCCGTCGTCTTCGTTGCTGTCTGGCGTCTTGTTCTGGCCTCTTCCCTGCTTGCCCCTCCATTCACCGCCACCAACTTCGACCATCACAACCCAGCTTCAGCTTCAGCTTCACGACCACAACCACAACCACAACTTCACCACCTACGATTGAACAGCTTTAGTCACTGCTATAGTTCTGCTCTACCTCCGTCACTCGCTAATCCGTCACCATGTGGTACGTCAGCCGTCTAGTCCAGGAGTCCAGTCCAGCAGTCAGTAGCTAACAATATCAGTGGAATCTTTGGCTACATCAACTATCTGGTCGAGAAGGATCGTGCCTACATCATCCAGACTATCATCAATGGTCGGTTCAGAGCTCTATACTCTCTCTGTCTATCAGTTCTAACGCAAGACAGGTCTCTCCCGACTCGAATACCGTGGCTACGACTCCGCCGGTCTAGCTGTCGATGGAGACAAGAAGAACGAAGTCCTCGCCTTCAAGGAGGTTGGAAAGGTCGCAAAGCTCAAGGAGTTGATCGACTCGTCCAAGCCTGATATGACCAAGACCTTTGAGTCTCACGTCGGCATCTCTCACACTCGATGGGCTACTCACGGCTCCCCCTCCAGAATCAACTGCCACCCTCACCGGTATACTCCCCTCTTCACTACGGATGCTAGAACTAGTAGCTGACCTGCCTAGATCTGACCCCAAGTGGGAGTTCGCCATCGTCCACAATGGTATCATCACCAACTACAAGGAACTCAAGGCCCTGCTCGAGAGCAAGGGATTCCGCTTCGAGACCGAGACCGACACCGAGTGTATCGCCAAGTTGGCCAAGTACCTCTACGACCTGCACCCAGATATCGACTTCACCGTCCTCGCAAAGGCCGTCGTCAAGGAGCTCCAGGGCGCCTTTGGTCTGCTCATGAAGTCTGTCCACTACCCACACGAGGTCATTGCTGCCCGCAAGGGTTCTCCCCTCGTCATCGGTGTCCGTACCGAGAAGAAGATGAAGGTCGATTTCGTCGACGTCGAGTACTCCGAGGACAGCGCCCTGCCAGCTGAGGAGGCCTCCCAGAACGCCGCCATCAAGAAGTCCGCTACCAACTTGCTTGCTCCACCAGACAAGTCCCTCCTCCACCGCTCTCAGTCCCGTGCTTTCCTCTCGGATGACGGTGTTCCTCAGCCAGCAGAGTTCTTCCTCTCCTCTGACCCCTCCGCCATCGTCGAGCACACCAAGAAGGTCCTCTACCTCGAGGACGACGACATTGCCCACATCCACGACGGTCAGCTCAACATCCACCGTCTCAACAAGAACGATGGCACCTCCAACGTCCGTGCCATCCAGACCATCGAGCTCGAGCTCCAGGAGATCATGAAGGGTAAGTTCGACCACTTCATGCAGAAGGAGATCTTCGAGCAGCCCGAGTCCGTCGTCAACACCATGAGAGGTCGTCTCGATGTTGAGAACGGTAAGGTCACCCTTGGTGGCCTCCGTCAGTACATCACCACCATCCGTCGATGCCGTCGTATCATCTTCATTGCCTGCGGAACCAGTTACCACTCCTGTATGGCTGTGCGTGGTGTCTTTGAGGAATTGACCGAGATCCCCATCTCCGTTGAGCTGGCCTCCGATTTCCTAGACAGAGAAGCCCCCGTTTTCCGTGACGATACCTGCGTCTTCGTCTCCCAGTCCGGTGAAACTGCCGACTCCCTCAACGCTCTCCGCTACTGTCTCGAGCGCGGTGCCTTGACCGTCGGATTCGTCAACGTCGTCGGCTCCTCCATCTCCCTCCTCACCCACTGTGGTGTCCACATCAACGCCGGACCCGAGATCGGTGTTGCTTCCACCAAGGCCTATACCTCCCAGTTCGTAGCCATGGTCATGTTCGCCCTCTCCCTCAGTGAAGACCGTGCATCCAAACAACAGCGCCGCGAAGAGATCATCAAGGGCCTCGGCCAAGTATCCGGCCAGTTCAGAGAGATCCTCAAGCTCAGCGAGCCCATCAAGGAGATGTGTGCCAAGTTCTTCAAGAACCAGAAGTCTCTTCTCCTCCTCGGACGAGGAAGCCAGCACGCCACTGCCCTCGAAGGTGCTCTCAAGATCAAGGAAATCTCTTACCTACATTGCGAAGCCGTCATGTCCGGTGAACTCAAGCACGGTGTCCTCGCCCTCGTTGACGAGAACCTGCCCATCATCATGATCCTGACCAGAGATAACCTGTTCGCTAAGTCCCTCAACGCTTACCAACAAGTCATTGCCCGTGCCGGCCGACCCATCGTTATCTGCAACCCAGACGACGAGGAGTTCCCTGCCTCCGAGACCGAGCGTATCCAGATCCCCCGCACCGTCGACTGCCTGCAGGGACTGCTCAACGTCATCCCCCTTCAGCTCATCGCCTACTGGCTCGCTGTCGGTGAGGGTTTGAACGTCGATTTCCCTCGTAACTTGGCCAAGTCCGTTACCGTCGAGTAAACGTTGACAACAGACTGAGTCTAGTTAACGGCTGTGAAGGGAAAAAAGTGATGGTGTTTTATAGATCGCCATGGGTCTGGGTTGGGTCCGCGAAAAAAGGAAATACAATGAGCACGGTTTACAAAAAAAAGATAAAAGGAGAGACGGCTCCCTCAACCTCCCCTTTACACACACCCCTTTTCGTTACTTTCTTATTTTAGCTTGATTTCATTTGCTACGAGGTTCATTTCTGTTTCTTTTTGCGTTCTTTTTTTATTGCTTATATGTTGTAATGCGGCTTATGTCTCTGTGCATGTGTGTGTTGGCTGGCCTTACGTACCCACTTTATAGTCACACAATATCATAACATGCCTCTAGTCTCCGATATCCATCCATACTTCCATTTATCCATTTATCCCTTCTATATCGCCTTCTATCAAGGTTGCCTCGGGAGGAAAGCACGTGATTATGCTTATCTAATCTACGCTTCTGTGCCCGCCCTCCGTACATAGAAGAAGAAGAAACAGCTACATAAACACGACGAGATACACCTTAGCTAGACACGCTTGATCTTATACGGATATCATACAATGGCTAATATCAAGGGACCCGGCGAGGCGCAGACGTTTGACGGTACGACAATTACCCTCTTCCATGCATTGTTGCTGCTGATCACTGTTACTCCCCCGCACTCCTATCAAGCCTTGTATATATGGAATAACTAGAGAGATTGAGGATACCTACTTGCTTGTCTATATATACCCATGATACCAGCAACTACAGTGATGATGTTATATTAGCAATATCCCACAATCCTACTTCCGTGATAGCTAATGTCTTGTGTATAGGATCCGACCTTCGAGTCGCCATCGTCCACGCACGCTGGAACACAGTGATCATAGACTCCTTAATAGCTGGAGCAAAGAAGAGCTTGGCCCGCGCGGGCGTCAAGGAGGAGAATATCGTCCTCCAGAGCGTCCCAGGTAGTTATGAGTTGCCATTTGCCGTCCAGAGGTATACCCACCTATATATCTACCTATCTATCCGTCCCAGCTAACCGCCGAGTATAGAATATACGCAGCCTCACACGTCAACGCAAACGCACCCTCGTCGGGAGGAAGCGCCGACCTTCTCTCCAGCTCCACAACAGACCTCACAAAGCAAACGACCGGCACCACCGGTACCAGCGCCGGCACGAAGCCGTTCGACGCAATAATTGCCATCGGCGTATTGATCAAGGGCGAGACAATGCATTTTGAATATATCGCTGACGCAGTGAGCCATGGTCTGATGCGTGTTCAGCTCGATATGGGTGTTCCTGTTATCTTTGGGCTGTTGACGGTTCTCACTGAGGAGCAAGGGTTGGCTAGAGCTGGCCTGGCGAAGGAAGGGGGTATGCATAATCACGGCGAGGATTGGGGCAGTGCGGCTGTTGAATTAGGTGCGAAGAGGAGAGGGTGGTTGGATGGGAAGATTTTGTAAGGTGGTGGGTGGGTGATAAGCTGTTAGTTCTTTGCCGGGATGGTATGATGTAACTAGTAATTTGGATGGAATAGTGTATGAATGTTCGATTACACGATGTAATTTAGCTTATTATGCTGGGATTTGGTATATCTATGCGTTCTGTTAGCTGCAGTGTGTAGATTGTTAAGGGCTCAAAGCTGCTGGATTAATTGGGGAGAAGCATTTAGCATCGCTGAGGATACACGACGTAGAGTGAATAAACCGCTGGTCAAAAATCCCGTGTTTAATAGAAATAATAATCTATCTATTCCTCCATCTTGTCTCCGGTAGTCTCTTCTTCCTCGTCTTCGTCCTCGGTCATCGCCTGCTTGGCAAGCCTCTCTGCCTCTTCCAACAACTCTTTTGGAACTTCCTCATGTCGGCCCTTGGTAGGTCCATCTAGAGAGCTAATCCACGTCATCTCCAGCTCGAACTCTTTATCCTTGCTGTCTTCGTGAGAGATGTAGATGATTCTAGCAGCCTCCTTGACACCGTCTAGCAGGCTAAGCTTGCCAGCTGGGAGGTCTAGTTTTTCCAGTTCAGCTTTGGCAGCCTGTCTGCCTTTGCCTGTAGCGGCACCGTAGTAGCCCTATATTTGAATATGTTAGTAAAGTTCTAGTATGAGTGGGTAATAGCGGGATGCATACCCAGTAGGCACCGCTGGGCTCGATCATGAACAAGCCAGGACCGCCAGCCTTGGCTCCCTTGACTTTACCGCCGGAACCAGATTCAGGACCCGACCCGACCTGTCCATCTACTGGTAGCTCTGCCTCTGAGTCCCATCCTCCAACTATGGCGGAGATACCGAATGGTCGAACGGAGGAATATAGGGTATATGCTTGGACGTATCCACCTAATCGGTTGGCCAGCACATCCGTTGGGATTGGGCCTTTATATGTACTCCTCCACGAAGAAGCTTCGTCACGGGCTCTGGAAACGAAGTGTCGTCCGTCCGGAATCAGGCCGGAGGAAACCTATATCAGAGTCATCAGCACCATAACGTGCAAACTCGAAAAGCACGGATAACGAGGAATGCTCACTATTCCAACGTTCCGGTCAACAGTTGCTATTCTCTTATTGGCACCCGGCTTGAGTAGTTTGCTGCTGATAAGCTTCTCTACGGCGAGGACGACGCCGTCTTTGCACCGTATTCCAATAGACGTGCCGCCATTCTCAACTGCCTTTACCGCATATTCTACCTGGAGAGCGAAGAGCGTGCGTGGTCAGTAAGACGAAGGGATGCCACTTTTAGCACCAAGAAAGGGAGGGCGGGCGCACTTGGAAATTACGGCCATCTGGCGAGAAGACGGAGTTTGAGAGATCGTATCCCGTTCCTATGGAGGTCTGTAGTCACGGGCAGTCAGTATATGGCCCCAATATCGCATATCCCTCTAAGTCCAGAGCGTGTATCAACATACCATCTTGAGGTCGTTGTGGGGCGCGAAAGAGGCAGAAAATGGATCCCTTCAGCTGTGCCGTGTATCAATGATGCTAACACGGTCGTCGAGAGTCAATATCGGTGTGCTGGCGGTAGAATGGATGCTCTCGTCTCTCGCAGCTGTTGGTTAGTTCGCTGTTTGGGCCTTTGGAGCTTCCAACCAGCTCGCTGCGTCACGGGACTGCTGCCTCCGAGCTTCAAGTCACATGATATCTGACTAACATCTGATTAAGCCATATGACTAAGCCGCCTTCTCTTCTTCCTCTTTCGATCCTTGCGACTTCTCGCCAACTTCACCTCTCTTGATACGCTCAAGAACGCAAGGAAGCATTGGGATTAATATACAGGATGTCATCTACTGGGCCTATGAGATCCCTGGCTCGCTGACAGGACGGACTAGCAGGGCTCTATTCTTCATCGTCGTTTCTGCCTGACATGCCTGTTTAGCCGCCACTAATCTTAGCTTGTTGGGCAGCGATCGATCACTAACATATTACAAGATAAACAGCCACTCAACCGGCTTTTCACCGCTCCCTAAAGCCTTTGTCCATCTTGCCAGGCATATCTATTGCCCTTTAGGCTCTGGAATCGATACTTGGTCCGCTTGACATCCAGTCTTTTGTCCCGCTATCTATCAGAGTGGTTCTTTTGGCCCTTCCCCTTTTTTTGCTAGGCTTCTCCACATCCTACCTCTGCCCCGCTATCCTCTCACTTCATCGTTTCTTGTCATTGAATCCTGGATAGCAAAACGAATCAGACTCGCTCGATACACCCCCTCATAGATAGGGCTGCTCTTTGCATAAAGTGCTGATCGATCTGAGAAACAGGACTGCTCCGCTTGGCTCCTCAAATTTTGCAGATATCTACGCAGATCAGGCGGCTATTATATTCTCCTGCCAACCACCGACTCCCAAGTTGGGCATCACCGGACCATATAACACCTTTCTCCCCCCCGCCATATCGTCATTTGAATACCTAGACTTGAGAGAACACCGAACTACACAACTTCTTTCCATCTTTCGATTTAGTGTTGCTTCCTTCAACTAGCTTAGAAATATATAGGAACAAGAAAAAGGAGTTGTTTATTGCCGCAGTTCTCTTCCCGTTGAATACATTATTTCCCAACGTCTGGCCAAAACAACTACAGAACCTAACATACCAAGGAAAGCAAGCTACTCTGAACAAAGATGGCATCCGTTCTTCATCGATGTCCGTACTGTGCGTACGAGACAGACCTCTCAAACACGCTTCCAGCATTTGCAGAGAACCCTCATTGTCAGCGAGTAAGGAGCACCCCTTTTCATGTCCCAGCTAAAGTCATTCATTCCCTAAATGGTTGAAGATATCTGACCTGATCCTCAACAGTGCGGCCTGTCGGCAATGGAAGGTGATATGAAGATGGATGATGATCTCGCGGCCCTCTTTGCCAGCAAAATGGCCATGGGAAACACACCAACAATCAATGTCCCTCCAAGCCAAGCTCCCAACCCGAAAGTTTCTACTCTCCCTAATGATACCCCTTCCATTGTATATAATATAACCCAACATTACCACCACTCCTCCCACCAGGCTACTCCTGCGCCCCAGAGCAGTACGTCCACAGATACGGACTCCGACGCTATGCAGCAGGAACACACAAACACACCAAACCCTACTCCCGCCTCTGCATTTTCTGCAGAGGATATGTTGAGAGGCTATAACATCGACCCGGACTCGCTTTATCCGTCACAAATAACCCTGTTCAGCCAGGCCGCCCCAGAACAGAAATTCCGTCTCATTGAGTTGTGGCGTATATCTCCTTCTAGCTCGGTTAACCAAGCTACCGTGGCAAACATACTCCCTAGCCAGGGTGCGCATATCGTACATACAGGGTTTCTTTCAAACATCGCAAATACCCCGAACAAGCCTCAACCACAAGGCGGCGATGATATGATGATGGACGACGAGAAAATTGTCGATGACTCGAATAACGCTGAACCATATGTTCTTTCGGGTTATGAGCGCCTTGCGCAGCAGGAATATGAAAGCCAAAGTGCCCCTGCGTCGACATCTCCCCTTTCAAGCCAGGTTACAAGCCAGACTTATAACCAGGCCACAGACCCAGCTTACAAGGGATATGAATGGCAGCAGCAGCAGCAACAGCAGCAACGTTCAATGGAAAACCAATATGGTGTGCTCCAGATGAAGAAGTACTACTTTGGTTGTGGTATTTCGAGAGCCCATTGGCTTGAGGATGAGCAGATGCTTTAGATTAGTGAACATCCAAGAGGGGAATGGGGGATGGTACTTATACCACTTTTTGTTACTCCTGGGACTTCTGGCATTGTTTGAATCTTTGAATTGGCAACCTTCTTCTATTTTGTTTATTTCATGTGGGCTACTGTTATGACCTTTCATCTCTTCATTTCGTTTGCATGTTCCACCAGAACCGGGCTACTTCCTTTTGTCAACCTTATACCGATTGCATGACGTTCATACACAGTCCTAGTTCATTTCCCACCAATAGCTAGAATATCCTAGGATCATTTTACGTTCAATACCCCATCTCCACTTGCAGGTCGACAGCGTTTAAAATCCTCAATTCTTCTTTTTTTTATGATGTATGTAATCAATAAAGAGTGTATCATGTTGACTTGAGAAACAGAAAGCCTTATTAATCAAGAATATAGAAGCCACTTACACGCTCTGTTTACTAAGTTCCAGGGCCATCGAGTGGTAAATCTTTCATTACAGCAACCCATATTTTAAAACCACATACTTCGCGAAGCAGTGCAGAACGGCTTGGAATGCCTTAGTTACGGCGGGTTACAGGGTCATCAGCGGCCCACGGTAGTTGTGAAAAAAATGTAAGTATCAGGTTAATAATGAATGAATTTAAAGTTATTACTGGTATTATTATTGCTAGGATTTCTCGTCTACAAGTACCTGACCCCGAGCACCAGTAAGAAGCTCACAAGGGATACAAAAGCAATGATGAAACAGATGTTAATTGTTTCAGAACACAGCCCAGTACGTTCAGCGAGCATATGTTGTTTCTAAGTCTTAAAGTTAGCCACCATAGTAGTGATTATTGAGAAAGATAGCACACCTTAGTAATTTTGGTACTATGTCCGAAATATTGGGATTCAGAGTAGCCCTGCCGTTCCTATCCTTGAAGTCAGCCAACATAATATCAATTATATTCATAAGGACAATTTACCTTAGCCCAGCATAAGTACAGATACAACGACTTGGCAAGTGAGATTGAAACACCATCCGACTCATAACCAGGGGTTGTCGAATTAGGGCTTTTTGTGAAATATTTTTCTAGCTCATCAGCTGTCGATTCGTATAACGCTGCTCCATAGCCTTCAAAATTTATAGGCATCTTTTTTATTTGAAGGCTATTGACTGGGACATCTTTTACTGCAGCAACCCATGTCCTTAAGAAACAGTGTACTTCGTCAGCCGTTGCAGAAGGGGCTGGGAAAGTGACGATCTTTAACATATCTCTCGGCATATATGGTAGTTATTAGCTATATTATTTGCGGTAGAAGAGGAAAAATCATTTAGCTTACTCTCCGTTTCATCATTCAGTTACTTAGTAGAAGATACGGGCGAATTAGATTTGCAGGTTGCGGCACCGTCCTTTGGGATGTTGCTGGTTAAAATGGGATAATTAATAGTTATTGCGAGTTGAAAGGCTCATTTATAGGGTAGGATCTCAGGCAAGAGACCAGTTAGCCAGATGAAAATTTTTGGTGCCATTTTAGACAGTCTATGATACCATTTCAAGAGCTAGATAACCATGGTACTCTGTACGGTAGATGCATAGGCTCATCGAAGTGTGACGTCATCCACAATTAAGGTTGACTTTCGTTGAGCAAGTTAAGCTTTTCCGCGTATAACGGGCCGCTTCTCGGCTCTTGGCGGCAAAGCTGGCCCACTTGAGGCTGCCCATTTTGGAGCATAAATGAACAATTATGCGAAAGGATGATAGAAACTATTGGTATCACCTTCTATATATCCGGTATGAAATTAAATGTTTCAATCTATTTTTGTATGTTTCGCGTTAATTTCTCGGTTTATCCAGAAGAAACTGGCCCTGGGCAATAAGCTGGATAGCGGAGATACCTTGCACTCTTGGGATTTATAGAGTAGTTCCACTCAGGTGTACAGCCTGTTGCCTGATAAGATGCTGACTGGTGTATGGTTTATTGTTAGTGTTCTGATCATTCTCATACCCGCTAAAGCAACAGGCGCACTAGATAACCCTCGAGCAGCACATAATCATGGGGTGTGTAAAATTAATGTTCTTCCCTGGAGAATGCCAACTCTAAAGGAATGGTACACATGCTGGATTGGATGGTGCGCGACGTGGCTAGTATATGACATGTCACACATAATCACTAGGTATATGAAATGTACGATCTTAAATCGATTGGTGAGTAGTGTAACCTAATATATATCTACACCACCTATCCTCTTCACAAGTTCTTAAGCCATTGAATAGAAGGCGATTGTCTAGGCCTAGAGCATACATATAGCCACAGAAAACAGTGATCCATAATAAATATCCAAGGTGTAGTGATCGTGATAGGAGGATGTGAATATGGTGTCTTCAAGTTTGGGCTTTGATGCAGTCCGTATTTGAATTCCTCATAGTATTTAAGGCACCGCTGGCCCCAAGCATGATTGACTCCCCAGGTGGTACAAACTTGGCTTTGATGTGGCTTTTATTTTTGGAAGGTTCAAAGAAATTAAAATGGCGTTCGATTCCCGATGGAGAGGATCAACCTTGCATAGTTATGCATGTAGCAAACCTGAGGCTGCAGGATGTTTGCGCGCCCCCTTCTTGTGCTTTGTACACACACTTTGTCCACATGGCAGGGCAAGGGTTGGATTATATAAGCGGCACCCTATTTTGTACCAAGAGTATGGAGATATACAAGGAGATTCACGCCTATATTGCAGATTAATTCAGGAAATAATACATATCAATGATTGACATGAATATATATATGTTTATTCAGCTATAAATGATTGAATAGCAAGACCAGTCATCTTCACCTGTTAATAAAGCAACATCTTGAATGGAAGGGCTGGATTCAGGACCACACACCCTTGTTCCAATATAGGGTGAGTGACTGGAAAGCTGATGGCTGGGGGTGATAAGAGAAGCAGGCAGATAAATGGTGAGATCCATGAGGTGTATATTACCATATATAAGCCAAGCTTCCAGAATGTCAAAGCAGGAAGTTAAATAAATATAAACAGAAACGAAAATGGAGATCAGAAAATTGAACAAGACAGTAGTTGAACCTTTTCCAAAACTCTCCGTGTCAATAGCCAAAGACTATATAGGATACCCGACTGGGGTGATACTGGATCGAACCTATGTACTCCATAAAGGAAAACTGGCCTCATTTCAGTCTCAGATGTAATGTAGCTCGAGCTTCTCCCCCATCTTTCTTGTCATTATCGAATTCATATAGTTTTGGTAGCGATGAAGACGATAGCCCAGTCCAGGTCAAGGAAGGTTATAAAGGCGGCGCTTGCCTGTTCGTAGGTATAGTGTCGACGCCGTGTATAATGTTGCATCCCTTGACAGGTGCTGGGCACTGAACGATATGCCAAACTGTTGTTGTAGGGTAGCGAGGAGCTGTCCGTGTGGCATAAGCGTATTTTGCCGACGAAAGGGTGAAGAGAGATCGAATTGCAGAACGGGAGCGAAATTCGGCCAGGTAAAGAGGATAAAACAATAAATACAAGCGAAAAAGATCAAAGACATCCAGATAATGTCGAATTGCCGCACGTCGGCCCATAACTCATACAGACTCAACCTCGCACCACGCCGTTTGAGCTGTCTACATCAAAGCCATTTCTCCAGTATGAGCTCATGGCTGATGTGACAGATAGGCTGCTAGATATCTAGCAGGGCTGGCCGGGGATGTGGCACCACTTCTTCTCAACTATAAAGCAAGTCAGAACGAGTGTCCCCTGTTATAAATAAACGATGCAGGGTAACTTACGAACTGGCTCAAGGGCACGAGCTTCCAGTTGGGCCTCAGCAACTTGAGCAACGGGGGCTGGAGCAGCAATAACGGCCACGGAGGCAGCTACGATAGCGAGGATATAGGCGAAGGCCTTCATGATTGCTGGTGAAGAGAAGAAGTTTCTTGAAATGGGGAGGATCAAGAAATGGATATGAATTTAAAGGGAGCTTTGTTTCACGAGATGCTGATCTTGGGGATATTCGATAAAGGAAGACAAGTCTGGTAGAATAGCAACACAAGAGCTCATGCAAGGACGTGCATAGGACGCCTCCTTTATAGACACCCCTTGTGGCAATATCTTGACGCATTTGATGAGGGGTTTTGTCGGGCTAATTGACGGCCTAAAAGCATCAAGCCCTCAATAGAACCGGATAATATAAGTCAAGTATTCTTGGACAAACCGAGAGTACGAGTATGTGGAGATTGACCCTGGGCCAATAGGTGAATATGACAGACGAAGAGAAGGTTGAGTAGTATCTCAGTAAAGAGGACTACTGGAAAGAAGGACGTAGCTAGGCTTGATAACGAAGGACGTAGCTAGGCTTGATAACGGGAATTAAGATCCCTAGTGTTCCAAGCTATCAACCGGGGGCATTCACCTAGACTGATGCGCTTTCAGTCTAAACTGAGATGGAGTGAAATGCCGCAGGTACTGTAGGCAAGTTAATCGAAAGACATGCATAAACCCCCATGAAGGAAGTAAGACTTCTCCGGAGACATGATCCACAGTCTTCCATAGCCAGCGAGGACCAACCCCAGGCCTCAACCCGTCGTCTATCATTCTAGCACTAGTGGAATAACACAACGGCGGCTCATACTACTTTTGACGCAGCGGTCGGCATGAACACATCCAAAAAGTCAAGGGGACGATGGAGACGGTGAGGTGAAGATGAAAGGCCCCAGACCGGATTGGTATCTCAATCAGATGTTGAAGGGAATTCCCTTATTCAGCTGATGCCCGCATTTGGTTGTCAATAAGGGTCAAAGGTTAGCCCTAACACTAGTCCCGATTGGGTAATACTTTCGACCAGCGGCAAGAAAGGCCAAAGTCATGGATTGTTTGGACGCTGCGGCTGCGATCAGAATAAAACAACGCAGTTGAATAGCCTGGTATATGATGGATGCCCATTAATCATCTAATTCTGGCATGGTTGGTGTCGAGGCTGTCTAACGGTCCACTTTTGTGAGTTCTCACGAGGTCCAGGGGGGATATCAACAAAGGCATCTAGGTCATCTCGAGCGTCCCGTTAACCTCGAGCAGCAAGCCAGAAGCTAAAGATCGGTTTGTAAATGTCTTGGTCCCTTGGAGACATGTCGCATACAAGCATCAATTAACCAAGGTCCAGAGCTGGGGCCCCAGACCCCCGGGAGAATTGTGGACGGGGCTGACTCTGGCAGTTGCAAACGCCATATCATGAGGTCTGGTTAATCCATTCATTGTACTCTGCAAAGAGTCGAGCAATCCAAGGCAAAGCGGCTCCGGGGTGGCTTGATGAACAAGCATTTGCATTGTATATGAACGTATGGCCGTTGTCCGTGCCTTGAAGAGCTGCTGCCACTTGTCCGTTGTACACAATGGACTTGGCCTTATGTCTGGAACTTCATCTCTTCTCAACATGCTCTTTAACGTGGTCTTGTTAGTCTCCTGGATATACCATCTGGGTATGAATCTCATACTGTTCAGGAACTGACGTCGAGGTCGGCACATCCCCGATATCACGTGGTGTGTTTCGGGATAAAGATGATCCCGTTTCATTACATAATCCTCCAGCGTTACAACGGACTGAGAAGCTCCGGCAAAATGGCACCCTGTGAACAAATTTCACATTGAAGACAAACCTGAAGCTCCCGGCTGCTATCCAGACTCCTGCTCTCGCATTCGATGTTTTAGCCCTCCAGACGAAATTCTAAGCTGCCTGCAAACATGTTCTCCCTCCGGACTGCACGCCCTGCGCAGGTATGATATCAATTCCTCTGCTGCGGCATTTCATGCCCCGCCTGCTAACCAGTTCACCACGCGCAGTCTGTCCTGCGAAGCGTCGCCAGCTCTTCGTCATGCCTCTCTCGCGCCTCAGGAGGCGTTAGATGTGAGTATTGTTCGATTCCCGCGTGTTCTCCAGCTCGCTAACCAGCAATTGACAATGCAGGCATGGCTACCGTCCAGTCGGATATCTTCAAGCCAACCAAGTATGGCGGCAAATATACAGTAACGTTGATCCCTGGTATGTACCTATAGCTCCGGTTATACGGAGTCTGGTTGAGTCTAGCATGCAGCCGGCTTCCGGTTTCTTTGTTTTGAAGCTTTGTTGAGAGTTCAGATAGCTAATGAATCTGGTCAACAATAGGTGATGGTATTGGTGTGGAAGTTGCGGAGTCCGTCAAGACCATTTTCAAGGCCGACAACGTCCCCATCGAGTGGGAGCAGGTTGATGTCAGTGGTGTTGACTCTGGAAACAAGCACTCCGAGGACCTCTTCAGGGAGTCGATCGCATCTCTGCGCCGAAACAAGCTCGGACTTAAGGGAATCCTACACACCCCCATTGAAAGATCCGGCCACCAGTCTTTCAACGTTGCCCTTAGACAGGAATTGGACATCTATGCCTCTATCGTCTTGATCAAGAACATCCCCGGCTACCAGACCCGCCACGACAATGTCGATCTCTGCATCATCCGTGAAAACACCGAAGGTGAATACTCTGGCCTAGAGCACCAGCCTGTCAACGGAGTTGTCGAATCCCTCAAAATCATCACCCGTGCCAAATCAGAGCGCATTGCTAAGTTCGCATTCAGCTTTGCTCTTGCCAACAACCGCAAGAAGGTCACCTGTATCCACAAGGCGAACATCATGAAGCTTGCGGACGGTCTCTTCCGAAGCACCTTCAAGAAGGTTGCCGAGAACTACCCAACTCTGGAAACCAATGACATGATTGTCGACAACGCCTCTATGCAGGCTGTCTCCAGACCTCAGCAATTCGATGTCATGGTTATGCCTAACTTGTACGGTGGTATCCTGTCCAACGTTGCCGCCGCTTTGGTCGGAGGCCCTGGAATCGTTCCAGGATGTAACATGGGACGAGATGTTGCCGTTTTCGAGCCCGGCTGCCGTCACGTCGGTCTTGATATTCAGGGTAAGGACCAGGCTAACCCAACTGCCTTGATCCTCTCTGGTTCCATGCTCCTCCGTCACCTCGGATTAGACGACCACGCCAACCGCATCTCCAAGGCTGTCTACGACGTCATCGGTGAAGGGTAAGTCATCATATGTCCTCCATTTTATCTATATCCTAGCTAACGCCGTTGAATAGTGCCGTTCGCACTCGTGACATGGGTGGCCGTGCCACTACCCACGAGTTCACCCGAGCCGTCCTCGACAAGATGGAGGCCCAGCTCTAAACGCCATTCGCTACCAATATAAGTCGCCGGTCGTTAATCTAATAAAATATTTCCGCCCTCCTCCAAAGTAAATAAGCGCCCTGTTAGCGAACGCTGCCGTTAACCTCCTGCACCCTCTTCCCTTGAACCTCATTTATCCATCATCTACCTACCTGCCATATTTGAATACTGGATTTTCTTTTTCTTTTGTTATTGAATGATTCGATCGAAGCATGACTGTAGATTAAGATTTTTCTTGTATTGTTTGTTTGCCCATAGCGATAATTACAAAAAAAGAGAGATATAATTTTTAGTGAGATCCGTTTACACAGGACAGGCAGGCAATACAATTACAGAATACACATTAGATTTGGTCTAGGTATTCAAGCGAAGAGTTAATTTATCATTGAAAGAGCGATTTGAAGAGATAGACACAGAAAGTACTGCGTTGACTCGCGGTTATCTATGGGTATTCATGATATGCATATATCGTTCGTGTGAGTTTGAACCAAAAGGGGGCTCACTATCCTGCGGCACTTTAAAACTCTCCCATATTGATAATGGGTATCTCCATTGGGTCGGTTGAAGCCTGGCACACGTTGGAGACTTAGAGTAAATTGTATGGCTTGTGTCCATGCGCCATATCTTGCCCGTTGCAGGATCTATACTGGCTATTGGGCCCAGTATATCGGCTGGCTTGTCTATAATTGAGAAGCGGATCACGAGTAATGAAAACTGGCTCCTAGATGTCTGAGGATTTGCGTAATATTCATTTCTCGTGGCCATATACACCGGTCCGGTGAGATTTGATCGTGGAAATGCCTGGTGTCGGGTAATGCATTTATTTGTCCGAGATAAAGAAGGGATAAGGATGTAAAGCATCAGGGCGGTCCAATCAAAATGCAATTCGTCTCTTCCTTCCGGTATATTTCGAGCTCGCCTTGACGACCTTCCCTTTCTTCTCCATCTGATCTTTCTTTCTTAAAATCCAGGCCTTGGTCCCTTTGACATGCGATTGATCTGGTCCTCTGCGTCCCTTGGCTGCGTCCCTGGCCTTCCTTCTCGCGTCCAAAATGTCGACGTCGTCCATTCCCTTGACCACACCAGTAATGTCGCCCTGTAAACCGCCTCCACCAACTGTAAGGACAAGATAGGTTTTCCCATTTTTCGTACCAGGGTCATCTTCAAGGATACCCGCGCCGAAACCAGCCTTTATAGCCGCACCACTGATCATCCCTCTCTGCGCGTCATTTTTGGGGTAGAACTGGCATACAGCTCTAGCACCTCGTCGTAGGGAGGCATATAGCCCTTCGAAAAACCGCTTTAGCCTACCTTCTGGGCTAACATCGCTAGTCTCGGCGTTGCAAAGCCACTGGATCGCACTGATGCTTATAGCTGCATCGAAAGTGCCGGGTCTGAACGGCACGCCTTGCCCAATATCGGCTAGGAACAGGTCACCTTCCACGTCCCGTTGGAGCGCAACATCGAGCATGCTGGGTGATATATCCATGCCAATCCATGTGTGTGGACCGCCGTCGGATGGCTCGACGGAGGAGAGAATTTCACCGGACAAGCCGGAACCACAACCAACATCTAGGATCAATGACGGAGCGGTAAGTTCAAGCAGTTCGAGGGCACGATGTGTCATGTCGGATTGAATATTTTTTATTCGGGAGGAGGATGTGTATTTGCGGGATTCGGAATCATTGTAGAATAGGTCCGGTGGGCTATAGTCCAAACCAGTTAGTAGCTGCCATGAATAATAGGTACTCATACACATACAGGGTATCCTCAGGACGAGACATGTTTGCGCTTCGAGTATAGATTCTTTAAGATAAGCGGTAGAGATGAGCTCTACTATTATGTGATGCGCTGGAATCTGACAGCGGAATTCGACTGCTCGGACGTGTCTATAAATGCAGATGCAAACGTCTCTCTTCTTTAACCGCTAGAACTATTATCATCAAATAACGAAATCTTTCCAACGTCTTGTCCAAAAGTTCGAGATAAAAAAAAATGATGATATGTGGGGGAACTAAGGCTTCTAAAGCGGCGTCATTTTTTCTGCTGTATTAGTCAGATATCCAGTGCCTCTTTAATGTGCTAATGGCCTATCTGGCTTGCTTCGACCAACAGCTTCACTTTTGGTAAATATACAAAAAGACCAAAAAGCAGAGAAAGGACATGCGCAAGTGATTACACCAATGGCGCCTGCTACGACCCTTTAAAATATCGTTTAAAATACCCCCAGCAAAGCAGTGACTACACTGGATTCCGTTCAACCCGCCGACGTCACGCCGTTTCATCCGGATATATAGCTCACGATGTGGATTCTACCTCTATTAGGATACTTGGGCGTGATAATAGGATTCTGTTTCCTGACATTAGCAATAGGTGATATCCCATAGAAGCCGACGGTTAAATAAATGCAGTAGCTAATGTACTGTCTACAGCTTCGGGCCTCTACTACCTCTCCGAGCTCGTTGAAGAACATACCGTCATCGCCCGGCGGCTTCTGACCAGACTGATATACACGATAATCGGCATACACATACTTCTCTGGCTTGTCGACGGGTTCCCTTTCTACCTATCCGCTCTCAGCATCGTCTCCCACATGGTCTACGCCGGCAACCTACGCCGGTTTCCAATCGTCAAGCTCTCCGATCCGATCTTCCTGTCGTCATGCGTCCTCGTCGGCCTAAACCACTGGATGTGGTTCAGATACTTTTCGAGTCCAGATTATAACTCTGGCAGTGGAGCGCCTACGTCGTGGAACCGCGGTGGGTGGAAGTCACCCGGCGGATCGAGCTATAACTACTACGGTGCAGCCGTAGACACGCCCTCGTTTGGCGAGATAGCGTCATATTTCGGGTTGTGCGTGTGGATGATTCCGTTCGCGCTTTTTGTCAGTTTGAGTGCAGGAGAGAATGTGCTGCCTACCATGGGCTCGGAGTATGCGACTGGGTCGATGGGCTCGTCGAGTAGTGGTGGTGGTGCGTCGGTTGATACGACGCCATATGGAGAGCACAGCGCCAGCTCCGCGAAGACGAAGAGCAAAGGGATGGCAAAGGCGTTGGTTGATGGTGCTAGAGAGTGGGTGAGTGAGAGCGGAGAGGTAATGGGTTTCTGGGGCGGACAAAACACGAGGAGGTTTTGAAAATATTTCTGTGCTCTTTCAGCCGGTTCTTTTCGTTTATTATATGGGCTGCAGCTGCTGGCGGTGGTGACGCATTATCATGATAGAGATTGTCATTGATTGATATATGTATACTAATGACTACGTTCTCCTCGTATCGATTGTATCAAGCTTAGTAGAGCTGGTTTGGTAACATATCGACCCCTATATAAGGAGTACCTAGGCGGTCATGAATACACCCAGATTCCCCCCATATCTAGAAGCCAAATATAACACAGCTGCGCCTTTCACACCAGCCACACTTCGGATCATATCATTAGGGATCTCCTGCTATTACTCACGGCAGCGCCCTATACCTACGGAGTACTCCGTACATGAGATCGAATCGTGCCAATCCTTTCAAGCATCTCCTTCAGCCGCACATTTCCTCCATTTTCTCAACTTGGTATGGCATGGCGGCCAGGCCGGAGCGGCTGGCTGCAGAACTGGAAATCCCTGTTAGTTCATGTTTAGTGCTTGCAGGGGGAAAGTTGACGATATTCTTCAACTTCCAGCTTGCCCCTGAGCGTTATACACCGTCCATCATCGGACCATGCATCCGTCTGCAACATCCTATGTTCTACATACATACATACAGTATGTACGTCTTGCATGCATTGACATCCAATCTGCGATTATGGATTATGATCAATCATCCGATCCAGGCCAAGGCGACGCTGGAACGCGCGAAGGATCACTAAGTCAGGGATCAACGGACGGCTTAGCCACTGCAATTGGCCCCCGTTCATGAAGGATATGGGCCATGACGGACATGGGAGCGGTTAGATTACAGCATAAGAGGGAATCTCCCCTTATTTTATCAGGCTGAGAGCCGAGATTTATTCCAATCCTCCGTCGCATACGGAGCATCATCTACTGCCCTCACCAAGATGGGGAAAAAAGCCGAGAAGATAACATGCTACAGCTATGAGGGAAACAAGGCATACCCAAATAACGTCAAGTGCCCTAATTCCGATTCCTGCTGTGAGACTGTTGAACAATGTCGTCCGGACCGCCTCTGCACGTCCAAGGATGACCCGAAGACCCTGATAAGAGCTCCCTGCGTGCATCGACCGTGGACAAATAGCTGTGCTCAAGTATGTTTGTACGGTAAGTCAATGCATATTTGTCCTTGTTATTCAAGGAAGTGGGCTAATGTAACATAGACAAAAAGGATACACTCATCTTACCGCGCGCTGTGATTTGCGAGCAGCCAGGGCCTGCAAATGGGAGCTACTGCTGTGACGACAGCCAGACATGCTGCATCGATAAGGCTGGATTCTTCCTGGACGATAACGGCCTTCTCATCGGACGAGCAAACGAGACAGAAAACCATCCAACACGAACGCCCAGTCAAATCGGAGTGCCGGCCTCCAGCACAGAGCCTACGAGTACCACGTCCAGGAGACCAAGTTCGTTAACACATAATGAGTTCGGACTAGCGACGACAACGAAAATTGGCATTGGTGTGGGCGTGGGTGTACTAGTTCTACTACTCATCATTGCCGGGACCTTGCTATTCCTTCGTAGGATGTGGAGGAAGAAGAGAAACCGGAGAAGCATGTCACCGTTAGGGGAGCAGAGATGCCAGTCTGGAGACGAGGAGGTCAAGGGATATGTACCAGCCCAGGAAGACAAACATGAGTTCCCCGGCGAGGCTTGGACTCCAGAGCTTGACGGGAATGGTAAAGGGGACGCTCGCAACAACGGTCCGCCATCAGAGTTGCCGTCGACTACCCAGGTGAACACAAAAGCAAACGCCGCCGAGTTACCTGGTGAACAACATGCTCTAATACCGCTCCAGTCTTGAGACGTCAACGTCTTAAAAAAAAAAAAGGCAGAGCCATTGTTGTCTTTGTCCTTTAGCATTGGGATGGAATTAAAAATGGACGTTGGATGTTGACGACAATATATTTGTACGTAATTATATATACCCAATTGGGATGGATGGGGAAAGCACCCTGATATCACCAATTTACTTTCTTTGCATATCTCATTTAGCGCAGCTCTAGTTCTTTGCTCCCCGTCAAGTTTAGATGAATAGTAATTAAGAATTACTTTACTTAATATGAATGCAATAAATCAAGCAACTTCAGTAACAGTAAAGAATGAATGCGCCCCTCTGCATATTATCTCATATGTGCATATCGACAAAAACAAAATCCAGGTTAAACCAGTTAACCAACGGATATGATCGAATACATATTAGGAGTGAGAGGGAAAGAAATTTAGAAAGAGGGGTATATCCGTTCGTCCTCGGGTATTCAGAGAATGGAAAACAAGAAGAAGACTATGCCTGCGAAAGGAAAAGCGCTTACACAGATGAGAGAAAGAGGCATACGTGGGAAAATATGAGATTACATGATGAAAATTGCAAGGTAGATCGATAAAATCATAAAAGCCGCCCAATTAAGCAAGGAAGAAATAACAAGGTATAAAAAGAAGAGAAAAGCGGAAGGTGAGAAGGGAGGGAAAAATAGACATTTGCTCGCTTGCTCGCTCGCTTGCTTGCTAGAGCATATGGAAATTTCCATATTCACAAAAAAAGTGCGTAGGTGGAGCAGGGCAGACATGTCGGCATAGATAAAATGATAGATGATAGAGTTGAGAGGGAAACCAAATTACTCCTCGTCGCGAATCTTTGGCATCGAACTTTTCCGGCTCCCAAGAGTCATGAACAACAACGAACTCTCGCGGCGTTTCGACTTGGTCGTTTGCGATGAGCTGCCCGACGGCGCCAACATTCCGTCTAGTCCCGTGAACTGTCCATCTCGCTGTCCCTGGTGGGCTAGGTTGATGTTCACGTTCATTGGTGACGTGGAAGGGTCATATGAGTGTTGTTGGTGTTGGTGTGGATGCTGATGAGAATGCATAGGCACGAAGCCGGTGTTGATATCGTAGTTTTCTTTAGCGTGTCGGTAGGCATTTGCGTTTGCGTCGTTGGACTGGCTGTGGAACGAACTCTGGTCATAGGCAGGTGTACATGGTAGATCGGAGAACATTTGATGTCGTGGGGAGCGTATGTCGTCTGCGCTTAAGCCGGGTGAGTCGACGGTAATTTCGACGGAGCCGGGGCTTCCTGGTCCAGATCCTGAGCCTGGAGCTGTTCCTGGTGGAGAACCAGGGGATGAGGCGGGAGCCTGAGCGTATGGTGGTGGGGTGTCACCGAATATCGGGTCGAAGTCTGAAAGGAACAGGGAGAAGACGGGAGCAGGGATGTTGAGGGTTGGGGCAAAGACGATGCCGACGTTTCGGACTGTCATTTTGTTGACGTCGGAGTTGTTGACGACGTTGATGAGGAATCCTGATAGGGCTTTAAGGAGAGCTATGTTTGGCTTGGGTAGATGGTGGACAAGGGTGTGGAAGGCTGCAATCTTCTTTTGCTTGTCATCGAGATCTAGGGGCTGGTTAGTATATGGCGGACCATTGGGGAAGATATTAGAAATAAAAAACATGGAGCAGCACATACCTAAGACCCTAATAAAGTCTAGATGTAACTCCTTGGTCAACACCGTAGTCGGCAGTTCTCGAAGGTACTGCTTGAACAAAGATGCAACAGCATGGACATCATAATATATATCCCCTTCTAGGAAGTCCAAATCACCCTCGGTATTAAACCGCTCCTTGAGCCCCTTGATAACCACATTCGAGCCGCTGAGACGGAATATACCTTCCTCAGACTCGGCCTTGCGAGCACGCAGATATTGAAGACATCGGTAAACGACAGCAGGTAAAGTTGTATCAGCTCCTGGTTCAGGACATGCACAGAACTCCACCGCCTCAGCAAGAGGCAGACCAAAGACGGCACGGACAGGTTCCTTGCCTTCGAGAGAAGATGCGCTACCGTTTACACCACCGGCCATAGAACCAGCTGCTCCGCTAATTGAGTCCTGGCGTCCAGTCGCATTGCCCGAATCACTGGGTGCAGCCTGGCGCGAGAATCCCCATATGCTTCGCTTTTTCTCCTTGACTGACGTCGTCGTGGTGGGCTTATTACCCCATGCGGACGGATCTTGGATCTTAACGCCGTTGGTAGGACCCGAGATAGGTTTAAATGAAGGGGTTAAGGGCATGGCTTGGTCGAAGTGCGCTTGTGCTGCGGCAAGGGAGTCGGTAGACTCGTAGCCTGGTGGCGCGCCTCCTCGGATGGGGGCTTCGGCAGCCACGACATCATCGTAGCTGACTGCGCGAAGACCGTCGGCGTCAAGACCGTCGGAGGAGTCTTTGCTTGTTCCCTTTTTAGACGAGCTTGCGTTTGCGCTGGTGGTACTTAGGGGTATGCGGGGCTTATTCGATGTTTCATCTTTACCGTCTTTGTCCATCTGCCTTTCTTTATCTTTATCATCGTCCTCTCCCTCAACGCGCTCGACATGGCTAAGAAGCGATTCAACCCATACATCTCTTTCTTCGTCACTCTCAGCACACAGAACATGACGGACCAGGGAGGTGGAATCCTTCTTCTTCGGCTCCAATATCAAAAACGCATGACGGTACTGGTTATCATCTTGGTCCTCGGCCTGCGAGGATGATGAGCCATTCTTGCCCTGGGTAGAGGATTGCTTGCCTATTTGTGCATGCTGGATGCGAATAGTACCCAGGTGCGGACCGCCAGGGAACTCAAAATATTTCAGTTCCGGCCCTTGAAGGACGAAGTAGCGTGATTTCCAGCCTCCGAAGTTTTTGCCTCGCTTGGTAAGGTATCCTTCCATCTTTGGCTTGCCATCTGGTCCCACCTGGATGGATGCCTTCACATCACCTGTACCGACAGAAGAGGTACTGGCATGTCCATTTCCGGATACAAGACTCATCTCATCATCCCGTGGTTCAATCGCATCCGTCGTGAGGAATCGGCATATTACCAACGCCGCCTCATCGTCCATGGGGGTATCGAGTAACATCTCAAAGTAGCTGTTCAGCGCTGCACGTCTGGCGTCAACCTTTGCGGGGGAATGGCCACTAAACACCGAGCGTTCTGGTATCCGACCAGCAAACCTACAGAGGGTCTTAACCTGTTGGTCAAGCTGTGGCAGAGCAATGATGGGTTTTTCAACACGCCAGAGTTCTGCACGCGAGGAGCGAGCGAAGACACTCAGTGTGAAGACGGGGTCTTCGTCGGGACTGCCACGTTCGTTAGAGGATTGTGACTGCGTGTTCATGTAACTTTGCCTTGATGGACGGAGACGAGAGGAAGCCACCTGTACGAGGATGGAAGGGAGTGAGTTAGGCGGGAGGAGAAGGTCGGGGTAGTCGTCTGATACGAGGCCGCGGTAGATGGGCTTTGGGGTGGTAGCTGCGGTGGGAGTGGAGCTGTCAATCTGCACTGTTGGATCGATGGTCGGGATGGTAGTGGATGTTGACGCAGAGGTGGACGTGGAGGTTGTGGATGCCTTCTTCTCATGCTGTACTGGGTGTTGGGCGGGATAGCTGGTATGTTGTTGGGACTGAGACTGGAGTGGTGCAGGGAAGGCATTGCGCAGGGGAGTCGAGATGCCCATATGTCCGTCTCTAGGCAGACGAGGCATCGGTGACCCAATCGGCCGATCACCTGGCCGTGGACTCTGTGGTAATCCGGGACTCATAGGCGGTGCCTTGATAAGTCTCGCTCTTAACGCCTTTCCGCCGTCCGCAGGACCCAACACGGAATTGAGACTCTGTCCAGCTTGTCTGGCCAAGTTGGGCGGCGAAACAGAGACACGAGGACTGGCTGGCAGACCAATACCTGAAAAGCCAGTACCTGGTCCGGGCCCATTTCTGGTATCGTGCTGCGCCTGTTCCTTCTGTAGGGATTCAGGAGGATTGATGTTCTTGGGTTTCTTATTCGATTGACTGCGTCCCTTTGACTTGGATTTGGATTTGGACTGTTCTTTCTCCTTTTGCGCGAGTATGGCCTCACGCAGCCTGTCGTCTTCCTCGCGGGTCTTTCGACGGCCGCGCTCGAAGTTGGGGAGCTCAGAGTCTTCGACGCCGGAGTCGTATTCGGAATCAGATGCGACTGCATTGTTACTGGCGGGCTGCTGTTTAGAGTGGTCTACTTGGATATGCGGACGGAGACGCTGGCTCCCAGAAAGCTGTAGTGGCGCAGGCGGAGCACGGCGTGAGGGTGGAGTTTGCGCCTGTTTGGGGGTTGATTCGGAGGTGGGTGTCTGAAGTGGCAGTTTGATAGTGTTGGCACTGCTTTCTCTGTCCTTTTCGGGCTGACCATCAAGATCTTTGGTTTCATCCTTTGCTCCATCTTTTGGTCCATCGACTGTCCCGGCCGCGGCCTTACTATCCTCCTTCTGCTTCTCTAACTCCTTGACCTTCTTCTTCAGCCGATCCTTTTCCTCCACGGTACGTTCTAAATCTTTGTTTAGAGCCAGGACCATGCGACGCTGCTTCTCGACCAGTCTCCACAGCTGCGAATTCTGAGAAACAGCCTGCTGTTTCTCTTTCAGGAGGTGCGCAATGACGGCCTCTGGCGACCCGTTGGCAGCGGATATCAGATTATTGATGTCTGCCGGCGTTATGGCGGGGCTGTCGACGGAGGATTTGTGCGAGTGGGACGCCGGATGCGAGAGGGATGAGAGAGATGATATGGCAGAGTCTATCGATGATGTGCGCGGGGTAGGTTTCGCCGTTGGCATTGATGATATCGTCTTCGACATTGTTGATGTCGACGTCGATGGCTGCTGGCCGAAGGAAGAGGTGGTGGTGGTATTACTGGTAGGCATTATAGGCGACGTATTCGGCGTAGACGTAGATGCAGAAACGGAATCCGAGGGCGAGTGCGAGTGTGACATATCGTCCTTGTCCGTCCCCTTTTGGTCCGTTTCCTTCTCCTTCTCTCTGGCGAGCTGGTCCCTGGACCGCTGCAGACGTAGGGAGAGCGCCTGCTTCTGCCCCTGGCCCTGGTGGTGGCCCGCCATGCGCTCGTGGAAGTAGAGGGCGGAGGGTGACGGGGAGAGCGAGGAGACCGGGCTGATTCTGTCGTGCGTCTGTGGGAAAGGCGGCGTCTGGCCCTGGCGCGGAAAGGGAGAGTAGGAGGCTGCAGAGTCCAGTCTGGCGGCAGTAGAGGAGGGAGTAGGAGGAGAGGACGGGTGTGACGAGGCCCCCGTCTGAGGAAAAGCACGTTGGGAGTGGGCTAGTCTGCTATCGGTATGGATGTTCAGGGCATCCTGGGGCATACGGGGTTGCTGATGTTGGTTCTGCTGCTGCTGCTGCTGATGGAAGTGAGAATAGGACGGGTGCAGCGCATGGGTGGACAGCGGGCGAGAGAGCACGGGAGCGGCTGAATAGCGAGCAGGGTTCTTCTGCTGAACCTGCTGGTGCAGATATTGGTCCTGCTGCTGTGTCTGTTTCTGTGACTGTTGCTGCTGCTGCTGGCGCTGGCTCTCGGGATACTGTCGCGCCTGGTCGAGGTATTGCTGCCGGTACGCAGGACTTGAAGGTATCGGCGTCAGGGGAGAAGGAGAGGAAGAGTCTGGTGGGACCGGGGCTGTTTCGTGACGGGATGGACCTGGCTGCTGTGCCAGGGCGTGTGCCAGGGCATCTTGACGCTGGCGCCGGACATACGACATGGTTGAGAGATTGCGCGCATGCGGTCTATCCTATCACTGACTGTAGACGGTGTGTCCTGGTGTGCTGGAGGCGCCAGAGAAAAGAGGGACGGCGAACTGCTCAGGGGCTCAAAGACGGCGCCATCAGACTAGGCGATGTAGCTAGCCGAGCAAGTTCTAATTATGGAGCACTAACGAGTAGCTCGAGTATTGGACGTAGACTAAGCTGTGAAGGTGAAGAGGAAGACGAGGTAAAGAGACGAGGTAAAGAGGAAGAGATGAGGTTGAAGAGGTGAAGTTGAAGTTGAAGTTGTATAACTTCTCGATCAGGCGATGCCATCACGCCCACTCGACAGCTGCCAACTTCTCTACTTCTACTTCTACTACTTCTACTATTCTACTATTACTACTATTATATCCTATTATATTCTTCTATCTGCTCTGCTGTGCGACTCATGCTTCATATGGACGATATACATACAGGACATCTACAACATCTATATAGATATCTACATACAGACTCTACTCCGTACCATGGAACAGCCGACTACCATGAACATTACCACGGATAGATGGCCGATCTGACTGGCTGCAGCGGTGGCGCCCCTGGTCGTCCCATCACACATGCATCACATCTGCAACCGCCTGCATGCCGCATGTCTGTGGGACGGTTCTTAGAATAGGAGCGCGGCCTGCGAACTCAGGGGCTGATCTGGACAGGTCGCAAAAGGCAAACGTCGTCCTGGGGTAGAGCTGGATACGAGGCCGATCTTGCCATGGGAGCTGCGGCTGCGGGCTTCCACGCTTCCACGCTCGTATTCAGGTCGACATTAACATATCTAGGCGAGAAGGTGGCGACGGCCTGGGTGACAGATGCTTGTGCATGTAACTATGCAGGTCGCTGACTTTGCTGACGTTGATCTTCATATACACTGCAGCCCCCAAACGGCTCGAAAAGAAGAAAGCACCGTACTCCGCGTACATGAAGAAGATAGAATACAGTATAGACTCCAGCACACCGTCCGCCGAATACAGAACAGTACAGAACAGAACAGAACAGAACAGAACAGACCGGACGTAGAAGTCGTGAGAACAGCTGGAGGTGAGATGAGGACAGAGATGACAGAGAGAGGGGGAGAGAGAGAGAGATTATTATATGATGTTACCGGCCATGCCCATGAAGATGGCCTGCGCCGCAAGCTGCAGAGACCACAGGCCGACCTTCTTGAAACGCCGTGTTCGAGCCTGCTCGTCGACAACGTCCCGCGCAAACGCGTCGTACGTCTATACAAAAGTTAGCATCCCTTTCATCCGGGTCACAACGGGACGGGAGGGCTAGACTCACCTCAGCGGATAGATCATCCATTAGTCCGCTGTCGAAGATCGTCCAGCTACCGTCAAAGTCACTAGCTCGCTTGACAAGCCGGCACTGGATAGGTATAAACGTTCGTCGACTGTTGATGTACGCCACAATAGGCCTGATAAGGGCATTGTTGATGTACGATAGGTCCCGGTTGAAGATAGGCACCACGGCGCGAACGTTATTCAGGTGTATACGTAGATCGGTGACCACGAATCGCTTATCGTCTTCGCTTTGAGCAGGGACAATGGCGTCGCTTTGCTGGTACCTGTTGGCCGTCACCGTCGCTTCCATCCTGTCGTAAAAGTCGGACATGACTTTTGCCAGGCTCTCGTCGGTTTCGGCGGGCAGCATAAGGTCAGCGACGATGTCGACGGTACCTTCGTGGATCCACGAGAACGGGCCCTGGACGCCGGTGTTGAGATGGTCGATGTTCAGTGCATCAATGCGGATGCGGTTGTGTTTCTTCCAGGGGCTGGGGGTGCCGTCTTCTTCTAAGCCGTCCTGGAGCTGGGCGCCGGTGTATCTGTGTGTCTGGCGAGGGTGGATGGTGAAGAGTGAGTTATCGTAGGAGCCAGACATCATGTTGGCGGATAGGAAGTCGTAGATGAGCCATTGTCTTCGTAGCTGTGGTAGATCGCATGAGAAGATGCTGACGGTGAATGGTCGGAAGTTGTTAGGCTGGTGGATGGTTACTAGGAGATCCTCCATCTTGAACGAGTCCAGCTCAAAGTCGCCCGGATTATGCTCCACGCGGTACGATTTCGGATCGATCTGGGCATCGGACTCGGACCATTTGACATGCGTTCTGTCGACGATACCCCGGATTCCCTTGACGTGGACGTCTTTCAGCAGGCCGTGGCTATTGAACCATTTGGTAAAGGAGAGTGTCACGTTGACGGTATCTATGGAGACGTCGAATTGCGTATAGTTGCCGTCTTCGGTCTCCTCCTCGTTCTGATGGCGAGGCTGGTCCATTCCCTGGAATGCAGCTGCGGCAGCTGTTTTGGATGACCCTTTGCTCACATTTCCCTTTCCTTGTCCGGGTCGGCGGGAGACAAAGACGTTTTTGAACGTTATCACGCCTGCACCCCATTTGGGTACAATTGCTGATTCGAAAACGACCTTCACCCCCGAAGATCGTGTCAGGTAGTTACCAATCCATCTCGCCAGAGTTTCTATTATCGTTAGCTAACGCAGAGACAAAACATTGAACCAGATGTACTCACCTTGCGCAAAAACGGTATTGATAGTGAGGATTAAGAGTGAAAAGAATGTGGTGGTTCCAAGTATAATCCACAGCACATGTCCGAGCAGAACCCAGGAGAAGAATGTGCTAATCTCGTCAACGTTGAACGGTCGTGCACTTCTGATAGAGAACCACTTGAACCGGACTTTCAATCGTGACCAGAACCCTGTGGCGGCAGCTAGAAGCTCCTCCTTCGTAGGCCGATGCATATGCGGTAGCCGATCCATCAGATGGTATCGACTGTGCCCGTGGGATCCGCCGTCCGTCTTTGGTGAAGCCGTCAGCGGCTCTGACCCGGACTCTGGCTTCACTGCATCTTGCTTCGGGGTAGATGGACCAGGTTGCTGTCTCCCGCCTTCCACCGTAGTATTGTCCTTGTTGCCTCCCTCTCCCTTCGACTTGGACGTGTGAAGGTATCTCCTCCATCCCCAGCTAGCAGCACTCTGGAGCCCTAGCCCGCCCGTAAACCTCCTGCTATGATGGTACACACTCTTCTCTGCCGAAGCTACTGCACATGCCGCCGTCCCTGTCTCGACCGTAGCTGAACTCCTCGTCGACGATGTACCCAGCACCAGCAACCCCCCCGACGCAAACTGACGACTGATCTTCTTTACATTCTTCGGACTCGAGCGCGAGAAGCTCCGGATTGACCCATTCCGGAAGAGGTTGAAGCTGGAGGTCGTGGTATGGCAGCTCTCTGTAAAACCGCCTAGCACGCCCTGGCGACTGGACTGGATAAAGTTGGCCGGGAAGCTGGTGCGCAGCGTCGAGAACAGCCGTCGTCCTATATGCCCGGACATGTCTCCTGTGGCATCATGGATGGCCGTGAGAAGCGCCGAATTCCCGCTGCCTCGAATTGATGCGTCGTTTCGAGCTGGTGATGCAGGATGTTGTGGTTTGAAGCTGCAAGTCGAAGCTCTTTTTGCAGCAAGTTTTTTTCCACGGCGATAAGATTGCGCTGTTTGGCCTGTTTGCACCGTGGATTTTCCCACTCAAACAATTTTATCGCGACCAACTCGCATCAAGCAGATATACAGACGGCATAGATATTACAGAATACTTACTTGACATAGTTACGAGAAGAGAAGACTGCCAGACATGCCAGCTCCCACAGCGCGCCTGAACGGGCCAGAAGAAAACGAGCTCGTCCCCGCTCAGCAGCCAGTCCAGAGTCAGTCTCCAGAAATCTCTTATCTATGGTGCAAGATATACTGACAGATGCCATAGATGAGGATGATATTTTAATAGACACCAGTGCCGCACAGCCGGAAGAGCCATCGGTACCACTACCGCAGGGCCAGGAGGATAGTGAAATGGCAATCGACGAGGAAGGACGACTCCGCTTCACGCCCATCAAGACGTCCGGCGACGCATATCGAGTTGAAACCCGCAAAGTACCGATCCCGCCTCACCGCATGACGCCGCTCAAGGCCGAATGGCCAAAGATATATCCGCCGCTCGTCGAGCACTTGAAACTCCAAGTACGCATGAACATGAAGAACCGAGCAGTGGAGCTGCGCACCTCAAAGCACACGACAGACACTGGCGCCCTACAAAAGGGTGAAGACTTTGTCAAGGCGTTTACCCTTGGCTTCGACGTGGATGACGCTATTGCCTTACTTCGACTAGACGATCTTTATATCGAAACATTTGAGATTAAAGATGTCAAGACGCTAAATGGAGAGCATCTGGGACGAGCTATTGGTCGAATAGCTGGGAAAGATGGGAAGACGAAGTTCGCTATCGAGAATGCCAGCAGGACTAGGGTTGTACTCGCAGATCAAAAGATACATATTTTGGGTGGATTCCGGAATATTCACGTTGCTAGAGAAGCCATTGTTAGTTTGATTCTGGGAAGCCCTCCGGTAAGTAGCCCCCATAGTTCATGCGCTATTGCTACACACTTTACTAACGCCTTTATAGGGCAAGGTATATGGTAATTTGCGTACTGTTGCGTCACGAATGAAGGAACGATTTTAAAAAAGTAGCATGTCTGGAATACACGAATTCGGTATTATGTCGGCGTTTTGGTTTTGCGCTTCGATTATTGTCGGTGTTTGATTTATGGAATATATTGGACTGGTAGCGCACACGTATATCATGGGATCTAGACGAAAAGATATACAATTACGGCTCTTTACACGAGAATATTAGGAGGTGCATTTATGTAAGGAAACCTCATCGTTTAGCCGCAAGTCAAATATGCGACGGTGATATTGTCTATGAAAACATGCTTAATCCTGCTTAAGTGGGCGGTACACCTCCTCTATTCCATCCTTGGTAACAATCATCATCTGCAGCCCGTCTCCAACCTCGATATGTCTTTCCACGGAACTGGTGAATGCATCAAGTACGAGTTCCTGCGCTCCCTGTCTAGACAGAGGCTCTGGCTTCCTGGCCACCGACGCGTTACCCTGACCGCTACCAGGAACATACTGGTTCTTGAAGTTAACCTGGTTGTCCAGGAAAGGCATCATCAAACTAGCCGCCGATCCAGCCGCCCTGCAGAACTCCCTCTCATATGAACCCACTGGGTCGTAGCTGTACAGAGCTCCCTTTCCTTCCTCATCAACTCCGGCCAGAATCGCGTGTACGTAGTATGGGAAGAATCGTTTCGAGTATAGGATCGTAGATAGACGCTGTGCACATGCTCTGACCGACATCGGTTTGTTGTGGTGGTATTCGTACATCTTGACGATGGCGTCGAGACGTTCTTTTAGAGCTCGACCGTCGGCAGAGAAGCCCACGACACAGAGAATCATGTGGCCGCCTTCTCCGGTGACTTCATCTGCGCCGATCTTGAATACCTTGGGGGCATATCTGGTGTTGATGTTGTAGCCAGATACCGATCGTGTGTCGCCAGCTAGAATAGCGAAATTGTCACCAGCTATTCCAAGGGTAGAACCACCATTGTCCGTATATCTAGTGGCATATATTAGCTACCGCGATGTCCAAAAAGTCCAGCCTGTCAGAGAACTTACGGGTTGAAGCTGTGCTGTTTGGGGCCGCTCGACTGCTCTGAGAAGGAGTACCCAATGGGCTGGCTGTGAGGATCGGGGTGGGTTAAGAGCGAGTTCATTTTGGCAGAACAAGCAAACTAGGAGGACAATGCAGCAAGGGACTATGAGATCAAGGCGCGACAGTTGGTTCTAGGCGAGTTGAAGGGGGTTATTGCTTCGTTGTTGATGCTGCTTTGGAGCTTCTTCTTCCTCAAGCTGGTCAACGCAAGCTGACTGCCTATATTATGTAAGCACATGACCAAGCCGCGCGGGTAATAGACGAGCATTTTGTCTACAAGAAGGACAACTTCGAGCTTGATATATCCTTGATAGAGCTGTTACTGCTTACCTGCTGGCTTTTATCGCGTGAGTGATGCTTGGGCTCGGTACATACGAAAGTAGTAGCGAGGATGAGAGCACCAACGATGTCTCTGCCGGCGTAAAACGAGTGACAAGTTCTCAACTACCGATCGATAAGATGAAGCAAGGTGATAGCTTGCCTGATGCGCAGTCTCTGTCCAAGGAGTCGGCTGGGGATACGGCGAGCGAAGTGAAAGGTACAGCTCCACCGCATTGAATCTTTAGATGGTGCATCCTGCTTACAATTCCCCAGGACCAAGTGTATACCAAGCTGCAACAGTTGAACCAGCTGATGAATCGAACAAACCGATCGTTGGACCTCTCCCACCATCTGATTATACGCCGCTTCTCCCGGAAGAATCTGCTCAATCTCCCAAGTCATCGTCATTCATCTCCATCAGCTCGCTACGCCGAGATATGACGCTCCCTCCGTTTCCAAACCTCGACATACCCCCCTCTCCTCCAGGCTCTCCCAATCCCGAAATGAACAAGAAGTTCGAGCATTTCCTAACCCTTAAAAAGGAAGGCGTTCATTTCAACGAAAAGCTGGCCTCTTCATCCTCACTAAAGAATCCAAACCTGCTTCAGAGTATGATGAAACATGCTGGACTAGACGAACAGGCGCAATACAGCACTTCTCTACCTACGGAACTATGGGACGTGTCGACTCTTCCTTCATGGGCCTACAAGGACGAATTGTCGAAGAGCCAGCAGAGCATACGGCGTAAGCTGGAGGAAAAGAAATCTGACCGTGATGCTATTGAGTTTGTTCCGGGTTCTGGAAGCGGCACTCCTGGAAGCGGTAAACTGAAATCTAGTGCGGCAGAGAGAGTTATGGCTGGCCTCAGTCGGGAGCCGTCTCCGCTCAAACTGGATCAGAACAAACGAGGTGATCAGGATAAGCGGCAGAGAAGGATGGATTTAGAACACAGGAGACACCGTTCGCGATCACCGGGGAGAAGGAGGAGATCCAGGTCGCGATAGTCCCTTTCAATGTTCCTATCTCTTTTTGAATTTATTTTGGAGCATATGGAGTTTGGGTGTGGTTGGGAATTAAAATATACCCTGGATAGATAGCACAAAATCGTCTTTACTGAATATATCATTCAGAATTAAAACTACGCGTCAGATCACCGTAAATGTAGGTTGTATCCCATTAAACGTAGTATAATAGAGATAGATGCCGTGGTGTAGCTGGTTATTGTCTACTTCCCTGTTGACATGTTTGGCTTGTTTGGCTTCTAGGCTGCGTTTAGTCGCAAGCTCTCACCAACGCCCAAGCTGCGTCCAACAACACATACCATCCAGCAACCACCCACGATCCTGCTACAGCGACTCTACTCTTGATTGTTTGGCTCCTTGATACGGAAGCTATCTGTATTACTTTCCCTACAAAGACTCTTCCCCGCCGTACACCATGAACCACTTCCCAGAAGCTTGGGGCCGGGTAAGCACGAGGACAATAAGACCTGCTATCAGCTTTATAGCTAACAGTTTCCTTGCCATAGCCGAGAGATGATGTGTACGGAGCCTATGATCACTCGTACCTCCAGACTTCCGGCCCAACGACCCATACCCAGCGCCCAATCGTGACAGGAACGTCTGTTATTGCTGTCAAGTTCAAGGACGGTGTAGTGATAGCTTCGGACAACTTGGGTTCGTAGCCACACATCTTCACGACTCTCTATGAACCTAGCAGGCGCAATATACTAATACGCTTGCTCCAGGTTCTTATGGCTCCCTCGCTAGATTCAGCGACTTGAAGCGTCTCCGAGTCTTCGACAACTCTTCCGTGGTTGGATTTGGCGGTGACGTCTCAGACATGCAATATATCGACCGCGTCCTAAACTCCCTAGACATACAAGAGAACTACTCCACGTACGGCGAACATTCCCTCAACGCCAAAAATCTGCACACATATCTCTCCAAGTTGCTCTACAAACGGCGATCCGACTTCAACCCGCTCTGGAACCACATTCTCGTTGCCGGGCTTGATGGAGAGGGCAAGCCATTCCTCAGCTCTGCGGACTTGCTAGGAACTACTTACTCTGCGCCATCTCTCGCCACAGGGTTCGGAGCGCACTTGGCTGTTCCTATTCTGCGTCGACTGTTCCCAGAAGAAAACGGCATAGAGAATATTACGAAAGAGCAGGCTGTGAAAGCTATGAAGGACTGCATGAAGGTGCTGTTCTACCGAGATGCGAGAAGTTCGGACAGATATTCGATTGCTGTCGTTACGAAGGAGGGAGTGGAGATCAAGGAGGATGAGGCGCTGGAGAACCAAAGCTGGGCTTTTGCTGATCGGGTTAAAGGCTACGGTACTCAGACCAACTAAACTGGCTAGCTTCTGTATTTTCCATTCGGTATAGCAGGTTATTCTCCATCCTCAGGTAGATTTAATTATATCCAGGAGTGAGACCATGATGAATTTATTTTGACGCCTATCAATATAAAATTCTATAGCTTTGAAGAAGAAGAGTCGACGTGCGTAACCTTGTTGTCGCATGTCCCTACATTTTCGAGCGATACCTCCACTCTATCACCATCCTTTAACCATACAGGGGGCTTTCTCCCCATGCCAACTCCTTGAGGCCTACATAATACTTCCATTAGCAACAATGATTCCAGATATGGGTAATGTAGGAATAGCAGCACTCACGTTCCGGTGAAGATAATATCACCTGGCAGTAAAGTTGTTCCCTGAGATAAGAAAGCAACTGTCTCTGCCACGCCGAATATCATATCCTTCGTATTTGAGTCCTGCACGACTTTACCATTCACTTTGGCCGATATCCGTAGAGCATTCGGATCAGGAATTATCTTCGAGGACACAATTCCTGGGCCAAAGGGTGCCCATCCATCGAAACCCTTCCCTATCCCCCACTGGCTGCCTCCACGCTTAATCTGCCACTCTCGATGGGAGACATCGTTCCCGACAGAGTATCCAAGTACGTATTCCAGTGCCTTCGATTTCGGTACATTATGTGCCTCTTTCCCAATGATAATCACCAGTTCACATTCATAATCTAACCCTTCGCATTCTTGGGCTATTGGTGGGACTGGAATGTCATCTGTTGGTCCACTAACTGCTGTGACAGGCTTGAAGAACAGGATAGGATATTTCGGCAAAGGCATGTTTGACTCTTTGGCGTGTTCGGCGTAATTGAGGCCTAGACATCGAACGGTCCTAATGTCATTGCGGCCAAGTGGACAGAGCAGCTTCTTCACTTCCTGGACTTGATCTGTGACTTGATGGTTGCCGAATATCTCGCCCTTGATAATTCGTGCCTTAGTTGTTTTGGCAATATCACTAACTCCAGCAGGTAGAATGGCGTCTCCGTGGTATACCAAGCCATCTTTGGCAAGGAAACGAACAAGACGCTATTGACATGATAGTCAGCTCTCCAATTCTCATCCCAGTGTAGCCTACATCTATGATGTTCTTACAGAGAAGGCCGGCATTCTGACGAATGTTCAGCTCCAGCTTTTGGATATATCGATACGTGATAGTGGAGGGCACACAGGATACGAGGAGCGAATATACGGTGTTGACATCTACATACCAGGCTGAGTCGGAGTTATGACCGAATTGCCGAACAGTCGCAGACGAGGATTATTAATACCCCAGCTTTCGGAGCTAGGAAAATTAAACTTCCATGCCCGGCCGAAGCTGCAAGACGATCAATTTTTGATGTTTGGTCAACAGTAGAGGACAGGATAGAAAGAAGGAAGATACCATTCGGAATACCCGGAAACAATGCGGTTATCAGGGATACAGCGGGAGGTCATGAGCCTCTACCGCCAGTGCTTTCGAGAAATCCGCAAGAAACCAGCTGTGAGTGAAATGATTACTCCGAAGCTGCGCATATCTGTAAACCCAAGAACCAAGAGCTAACTTCGCACGTCATAGAACTCGCAGGAGAATTTCAAGCAATTTGCCAGGTATGCACTACGTCATGGATATCGAGAAACATGAGTCTATCCGGATACTCCCACCCCCGGCTAGGCCTTCCCCAAACATAGAAATCCAAAGACGGACCGATTTCATGGCCGCATTTGCTAATAGTCGGTTAGACAAGAATTTCGGAAGAACCTGAGTATTAGCAAGAAGGATTTCTCTGCCATTGAGTATCTATTAAGGAAGGGCCACCGGCAGCTGGAGATGTATTCATCGCCGGCTATTCGAAATGTCTCTAGGTGATACCGTCAAGTCGCCACAGGCTGACACCTGGCTTTGGGTGAGCTCTGCAGGCTCGTATCCCATGAAAACTCTCTAAACTCGGGCTCTGGATCTGAATCCTCATATATTCTGTCGCCATCAGCTACTTCTGGGAGCAAGATACCCATATCACGTGACGTATGATATATCAGCCGGGATTATATTCATCCGCTGACCAATGAGGAAGGTGCTAGAAGCTTCGTGAAGCTTGGCGAAGATGCTAGAAAGACGGATGAAGATGCTCGAAGAACGGTTGAAGATACAGGCAGCATCGAGGATACACGACGCGCCTTGGAGACGATTCGATGATTGGAAATCTTGGTTGTTCACGATGGCAAACTCAAGGGTCACGGCAGGTTCTAGCATCATGGCTTCGGTCTATATAAGCAACCAACTTGTCTATGGGGATTCTCTTCTCTCTCTCATCACAGACAACACAAGCATCAAGACAGCCAGTTCAAGAACTACAAGAAAAACAGCATTACATCCACTTTGAGAAACATTCGAGCTCCAAAGTCGACTCTATTTAAAGTCAACAAGATTCCCACTTCAAGAAACCACATCAACTCCAACCGATCAAACAAAATGGCCTTCTTCCCACGCCTCTCTGGTGGTGAATTCACCCCCCTTTTCCGCCTTCTTGACGACTACGATGCCCACCGCTCGTGCTCATCAGAGGCCTCCATTGCGCGATCCTTCGCTCCAAAGTTCGATGTGAGAGAGACCAAGGACGCCTATCATCTTGACGGAGAAATTCCCGGCGTCAGTCAAAAGGATATGGAAATTGAATTTACCGAACCTCAAACACTTGTTGTTCGCGGCCGCACTAAGCGCGAATACACCACTTCAAACGCAAACATCACCGAGGAGAGTGCTTCTGCCACCCCTGCCATAGATGCAGAGGCAGATGAATCATCTTCCACTAGAAGGGACTCTCACCAAGCCACCGTTGAAGATGAAGAGGAGCCCACCACTGTCAGCCCAGACACATCACGCCCTGCTTCTCCAGCTAGGGACAAGGTTGCGAAAGTCAACAAGTCCAAGGCTGTGAAGAAGGCAAACGCAGCTCCTGCCTTCAAGTACTGGATGACCGAACGATCGATTGGCGAATTCAACCGTGTCTTCAAGTTCCCATCCCGCGTTGATCAGGATGCTGTTCGCGCTAGCCTGCAGGAGGGCATTCTGTCCATCACCGTCCCAAAGGCTTCCGCTCCAACTATCAAGAAGATCAGCATCCTCTAAACGATGAGCAATTACGCCTTACTTCACCATTATGACTGCAACGTTACGATCTATTGATTTTTTAACGACGATGGAAGTTACTCGAGTTTATTGCTGTACTGTCCTTACTTTGCCTGTATTTCTACTATCAGCTTTCCTGTCTTCTTTGTCTCCTATTTCGAAATCATATAATGTAATCACTCCTTTAGTGTAGTGTTTAAATCAAATTATTAGTTTTCGATCTCAAAATAACCTTCACAAGTCCACTTTGACATTGTAAAGACACCGAATCCAATCACAGCTTATACTCGAGCTCAAAAAGAACCAGGGAAAACGAACTGAACTCATTGGTAATATTTATACACTTTTTTCCCCATATTATTATATATGGCAGATAAATCCCCTGAAAATATGTATGTAAGATAAATGTACATATAGAGCCCGAAATATTCAATTAAATGATCAAAACTTTCAAAACAAATGCAATGAATGACTTAGCGCCAGTAAACTACCACCCAAATTAACCGATTCTCCTTCCTAACCAATACATCTGCATCATGAGCGCTGGAATTTCAAACATTAAGAAATAAGCTAGCTTGTGTAGCAAGGATCGTTGTGAGGTCATTAGATTCATGGCGTAGACGGCCTCACGTATCATAACAATAAGCGATTGGGTGATGAGGTATATAAAGCGAACGTAACAGCTGGGTATATGTATAACGAAGGACATATAGGCATCATGGAAGGAATGGTATAGGCTGAATCTGAAAAAGGTATATGCATGCTTTTCAATGTCCAGGTAATGGACGTCCCACAAAAAAAACAAAAAGACAGAGAGAGAGAGGAAAGAGGAGGAGAAAAAATGAAATCAAATGTAGCTTTCGATGTGGTTTAATGCGCCGGGTTTTTGATGAGTTCTGCCAACCTGCGCAGCACACGATGACGACGGTTTCGGTGGCCGACTCGAGCGCTTTTCAGTAGCTGTTGTTTTTGATTGCGAAATGCGATATGTTGTTGGTGGTGGACCCGATTGGTAATTTGGTCTTCGAGACTTGCGATGGTTATCGCCGAATACGTCATTAATAGGCGATGGGGGGAAGGGAGAGTATCGACCACCAGGCCTTTGGTTAATGCTAGAATCGAAGCTGAAATGGGATGCGCTCCGGTGCAGTTTTTGTTGCCTTCGCGTTTGATTGATCGATTCTTGAAGGGAGATTGGCTGATAGTCGTGTAAAGCAGATTTGTTAAGGTCCAAGTTCAGGGGAAGAAGCTCTAGGTCTAGCTCTGGATCTGCCGATAGAGAACCCCACATGTTGTTATCTATCTCCACGGGTGTGTGGTTTGTGATATAGTTTATGAGGTCATTTGGACCGGTATCAGTTAATAGTTTCAAGTCTCCCAATGAGGTTGAACGGGAGAGTGGGGGAGTCGGCATCTGAGGCCTTGGGAATTGGAAATCCTTTGATGGAGGTAAGGCCGGTAGAGGTTTATCGGTGTTTACACGCCTTGAACGCCTTGAAGAAGTCAGGTCTGATGCAGACCTGGCGTGAAGTTGGGAAGCGGAGCGCGGCTTCTCCCCCGTCATGCGGGCGGGAGTTGAATCTCGATGTCTTCTGCTAGATCTCTTGGGTGGATGACTCTGTGGATGACTCTGTGGATGACTCTTTGTTGCTTGACGTTTAGAAGTATGGTCCTTAGTATCAGGGCACTTGATAGCAAGGCCTTTGATAGGAGAACATCTAGTCATAGAACTCTTAGTGGTAGGGCCCTTGTATTGGGTATGTTGGCTATTGGATGGCCGGCTGTGAGACGACTTTTTTGCTGGGCGATATTGTGGTGGTATTGGTGGCGGGCGAGAAGGCTCATATCTGACTCTAACCGGGTACGTTGGATCCAGGTTATACTCAGACATGGTGTCTGCATTAGGTTCGTACCGGGAAGGGGACTGATGTTCGGGTTTCTGTTTCTGTGCTTGACTTGCATATGGCTCTACCGGATACCTCAGATGGGCGGGAGGCCACGGGAAGACTGCATTGATGATTTCCTTACTTCCATGCGAAGTAATTGAAATGGTCCCCTCGACGGGGTCAGTTATGCTTCCATTGCAGTGGGCCAAGCCCTGGGAATCTCCCTCGAACATGCGGCCATTTCTGTCTCTCGAGCTTTTCTTTTGGCCCGAACTATGGCGGTATCTTGAAGTAGATTTCCCAGAAGCAGAACTATAGCCGCTATCTGTCTTGTTCAAAGTACCGGAACGGCCACTAGTAGACCATTGCTTCGCCTCTTGTCGTTCTTTGCTTAGGGTCCCGTGGAATTGAGTATCGTGGAAGCTCTCGTGGGACTGCACTGTGTCATCCCAGTAGACTGGAATTTCCATCCCTTCATCTTCGAAGAGGTTGTCATCGTATTCATTTGCCTTGGTCGTCGTCACCAGGACCGGAGTAGGCTGGATGGAGAGCGGAGTAAAAGGCCTGAGGTGGACGGAGTCCGGACTACTGACGAAAGGCGGCGAAGTAGGGCTGTCATCAAACCAGGACATGCTTGGCCTTCGAGTGGTCGTCAACGGCATGAGCTTCAGACGAGGGTCAGAGACCGACTTCTTCGCCGGCCGTTGGTCCTCGACGGGTGTTTGCCTTGCAGCATCCTCGGAATTTGGAGCCATGTCGAGACGCCCGTTTAGCCTCGACGACGACCTTAATGGAATAGGAGGAGGAGGAGAAGAAGGGAAAGAAGAAGACTCAGGGTGTCCCTCGGCTGTCGATATACCGGCCTCTGAGCCAGAATCGCCGTCATGAAGGGTTTCAGTGGACTGAGCCATCGATTTTAAATCCGGACAGGACGACCTCTGTTTCTTGCTGCTTGGGGCAGGGGAGGCGCACCCGTTTACAACATGGAGAGAGCCAAACTTGAATCTCCCGAGGTGGGTGTAGCCTTGTTCGAACGGGCTGATGGCTCGAGTAGGAGAAGCAGTCCTGGGTCTGGTATGGTTATGGACAGCCCCGGCGTCTGTCCAACTTCGTCGAAGCGGTTCCGACGTGTCCGACTTATAGTGAAAGAAGGAATCACTGCGGCGAGCGACATGCCGTGACCTGTTGAAGAGCGGAAACCTCGTTGGCACGCCGGGTATATTAAATGACCGTCGGCGGGCTGAGACTAAACGAGGCTGTCCTGACGGAGGATTCTGGGGCGACAGCGGATCGTCCTCGACGAGTCCCAAGCCAACAGGCGAACCGGAGTCCTGGATGACCGCATTATCCCTATCTCCGTTTGCGGTGAGGTCATGAGTCGATGCAAACTTGGAGCTGAGCGAGAGACGCCGCGAGAAGTTCGTTTTGGACCGCGAGAAACGGCGTTTAAAACCACTCATCTTGGCCCCGGCCGGCGAGCGAGAAGCCGTCTTGTCGTCCTCGTCCGCTCCAGCGCCATACTTCCTCTCGACCCGGCTGAGCACTTGACGTCTGAACTCGAGGAACTCTTCGAGCGGCGTCGACGGCGTCTGGTAGGGGCTGTCCGGCACCGCGTAGTCGAGACACCATTGGCAGCGGCAAGGCTGCGGCGTCGACTCCGGCGCAACAGGCTCGAGATGCCAGCGGTTATGCTCTGACACTGAAGCTGGCACCGAGGAGGCTGGCAGCGAAGCTGGAATTGGAGCTGTTCGTGCCATTGAGTGGCCGGTCGAGTGCTGTCTCTGCGTGCTGTCTGGCGTAGACTGCGAGTTCCCCATATTCCAGCTGGTCCGTAGACGAACGGGAGCAACGAACGAACTTCCGTCTTATTGTCTCGTCGTATCAGGGGGACCAAGGGGCCCAGCAGGGCATTGAGCAGCCCGTCGACCTGTAGATTGAACCTCCGCAGCTCCCGGTGTGTTCCCTGAGCTCATACCCCAGCGCCCTCGCTGCGGAGAGATTTTGGTAAATTAGACACAATTTAGCCACAAAATCCCTACCTATACATGACGTGCCATGATCGAATCGCGTTCCTTGATACCTGGTAGCTGGCTGCAGGATGGCCAAGGTGATATCCGGCGTTGTAATTGACCGTATATCGGTATAATATCGATATCGAGTATCTCCTCACCGACGACGCAGATGAAAACGACGAGAATCAGCCGGAGAGATAAATTCTTCAGTCTGTTTATTCTGTTTCCGCCACGCTGGGGCTCTTCCCCCTGCAGCTGTTCTTCTGCAGCCCTTCGCCGTCGCTGTTATTTGCTGTCTGACCTGAAACCCCCGCATGAAATAGCAGCAGGCGCCTACAGCCAGCAGCCATCGCCAGCGAATGAAGCACCGACAAGCTGCGGAATATATAACCAGGCGATGGGGGCCGTGGGATAGCGTTTAGGGAGATAAACATGGTTCACGCTCTGTCTGCGTCCAACTTTCCCGGTCAGCGCAGCAGCCCGAAGTCCTTGACAGCGTCCAAGGTTTACGGCATGGTGCGACGGGGATGTGGCTTGCTTCGTCATAAGGACGGCTTGTACAAGGACTTCGGGGATCGTACAAACTGTGTCAAAGGCATGGATTAACGTTTGTGCAGTTGTATCTTGAGTTGCATCTTGAGTTGTCTCGAGTCGCCTCTATACGATATGATATATGCATATAAACGCCTATTTATAATGCTGCTCATGCCTGGTCCCAAACAAAGCTTGCCGGGCATAAAATTCCGAAGAGCTTTCAGCCTCCTCGAAGGCGAGATGGAGACTTGCCTTTCGGCTGGCTGCTTCTTCCCTCTTCCCCGCCCGGTTTCTGGTTGCTGTTACGACCTGGAGGAACCATTCTAGCTGGGATGGTGTTGCGTGAGATGGACTTGATTACCAGTCGAAGAAGCGGTGGGAGAAAAAAGAGGGAGACGGCCAAGGTCTCGTTAATTCGATATTCGATATGTATGGACGTCAACACATGGCCTGATGTATCATTGTACGATGCTGCTAATCTACTAGATATAACGAGCCATTAAGATGACAAGATGGATAAGACACGAAAGATGGATAAGACATGAAAGAAGGAGGATAAGACACGAAAGAAGGAAAGTAGGAAGATATTCATTTCATTTCTCGTTGACCTGCCTATGGAGCTGGCTCCAAGGGTTTCCGGCCGTAGCAGACAGTCCTGTAGCCAGAGCCGTGAGACGAGTGCAATATTGAGCCCTCCGTGCGAGGGCGACGGCGAGGGCGAGGGAAAGGGCACTTACATGTGTTGATACGCATGGATTTTTGGGTTGCGCAAGTCCTGGCGTATATTGTCACACAGCTCTTTCGTCTCTTGCACACTCCACTATTGACATCCCGGTTGGCATGAGCACGCAGAAGAAGATGTAGTGGCCGCCAGGCAAATTATTCAACGCCACGATGATAGAGAGGAGAAAGGGGGAGAGGAACGTACACCGAGAACTTTCGGGAAGAGGAGGTTCGCCCAACTGTCCAACCCCTTCTCCCAGCCTATGCGATTCTGTCTACCAAGCTCCTTGAGTCGCTCTTCCTCGGGCCATTCTCCAACTGGCCAATTGAAGGTATGAGAGCGGACGTCGACAAACCCCGCCTTTTGAATCTGTGGAATCAGCTCTTCGGCGATAGCAAACGACTTGCCGGTCTTCTCACCGATTTCTAACGCCAGGGAACCCCATTTGTCCATGTGTGTCCCCTTGAGTGAGCCGTCGTCTGATATCGCTATTACGCTGATCTCAGCTTGCTCGAACCAGCCGCCAGGCTTGAGGCCCTTGAGCACCTTCTCGTACAGGGCAGGGTAGTTGGGTATGCTGCCGTATAAACAGCGGGCATGTATGAAATCGTAATTCTCATGGCTGGAGCCCCAGTCTTCACAGAAATCGTCCTGTTTGAACGTAACATTCGCTGGGACCGGATCTATGTTGACGGGCGAGATATCCGTACCCACAACGGTAGCTGAGGGATGCTCTGCGGCAAAGTCTAGTGCCCATATCCCCGTTCCGGTTCCCAGGTCAAGCACGCGTTCGGGTGCCTTTGGTATAGGTGCGAGGCATAGCCTTCCTCGATAGGAGAGAGAGAAGATGCGGTGGTACAGGTTGAGATTGTCGGCGGCTTCCTGATCATTCGGGCCCCTAAGAAACTTAGTTTTCTTTCAACTAGCTTTCAGGTAGAGTGCTCTCGAAGTTGTAGTTTTTCTTTTTTATCTCTTCTCTTTTCAATAAGGTAGCTGAAGCTGAAGGGATATGGAAGATAGCTATACCAGTATGCACCGGGCCTGAAGCCCTGATATCTCCTATCGTTCTCGCAAACGTGGCTGGCAAGGGGGGAATCGAGCGCTTCGCTTTGAGTTTTGAGATCAGCGTCCACTTTGCTTAACGCGCTAGCTTCTCCGTCATCTTGGTCCCGGATCGATGAGTCCTTGGTCGTCTCCATGTTTGCCGTGGCTAAAAATATATGGTATAGATTCAGTTTAGCTTGTTCGTTAACCGCTCTACCAAACCGCCCGTCGTTCAACTGGAGCACTGGGGATTGATCGGTATAAGGAGGCAAGGGGGGTAAAGTGGGAGGACGACAGCTGGCCAAGGCACTAGCCGTGATTCAAAGCTGCAGGAAGGCGTTTGTTTATTTCTTCGAACGGGGCCAGCCTGTTTGACGTGATGTAATTCGCCCATATTGCTTTGTTTATGCGGTTGGTGGCAAGGATGATAGCCCTGAACCCATGTCAAGGTCGATTTCCGCTCCATATTCGCTGGGTCCGACGACTGGGAGATCCAGCCGAAGTCAAACGGCCTCTGGTATCAAGAGTCGAGTCGAGGTTCATCCGCCTCGTCGTTTGGCCAGGTCGCGCTGACGTATGAGGACAGGGATAGAATGCCTGCTGAGCCTGGATGCGGGGGACTCTTCACGCTCCTGATCATCTCTTTGGAGTCTGTCCGGAGCTCTATCTCTATACAGAGTGCTCTCATCTCCGTGTTTGGCATCCCGATATCTTCCTTTGCTGGAATATTGCTTGGTGAAATACCGTATACCGCTCTGGGCCTCGACTTCGACCCTTGTGTCACTCGGTTAGAGCATCTTATTACTGCTCATTCGAGAGTATTAATGTTATTGAAGGGATCTTTTATCATGGCCGACTCTTCTTGTGAAGGCTAGGCTGAAACCTCCCCTAGCCCCGAGATCATGGGATACACGTCTGGATATTGGTTATTAGTATTCGGCCTAATCTCGGTGGCGATACATCGAGTGCTAAGGAATATTCATGCTGCACTGGTTGCGAGGCGATAATCCGCACGCCGTCATGCCTGTTGGTCCGTTTCGACAGCGCTCGATCGTACGCTTAGCCGGTTGTTTATGCCGGAATCCTCGATTGGCTGGATGGTCTGACGGAGTATTCCCAGACACATCGCACCCGGAGCCCTCGGATTCGGCCATTTATATCTCTAAACACGCTCCGTGTGATGATCGTTTGAAGGGCGTTTGGTTACTGTCCTTGCTTGTGATTGTTGTTGAGCATAGTTTATATTAAGCGATTAATCTCGGGGGAGAAACCGGCCTCTGTAAGTATCAAATCTCTTCCCTGCGATAGATGAGATTGCAACATAATAGTTTCCATCCCTACCCCGTTGATACTATAGTATCTGATCTGTGTCTGTCACCCCGGTGCCTCTACTCCTCGGGAAATATCATGGCGTCTTTCCCGAAGCCAAGGCTGCATAGCGGTGTAGTACGGAGTAGAGGATGCGGTTGTTGAAAAATGATCGATGGTAGATCTAGCAAGCACTTCGTGAGCCTATAGTTTACCTTTCTTCTTTTTGAGGTAACCTTAGTAGCCACTCACTAGTTATGCCTCAGTGTGGCTTCGTTGCTGATAGCTGACCGTGGATCCAGCTTTCTATCTTTTCCTGGCGCAACTCGATATCAAGCAGCAGCGCCTGTTGATCCATGTCAGCCCATTATTAGTCTGTTGTATTTGCAAATATAACGGCATCAAACTAGATCGAAGGGCTTCTCAACGTCGATCGACAGCCACGAACATCGGCATGAATGGTGGAAGATCACCCTTTCTGCCAGAGAAACTTATACCACACTGTTGTCATCCCAGCCCTCGTGCTTGTGGCTTGAGGTTGCATAGATTTTGCAACTCGGACTTTGATCATCCATATCAATATGATATGGGGCTTTTGATAGGGTCCCCTCCACCCACAATGGGGCTTGATATATCCGTACAGAATGCCGACTGAGGTATAGTGGAGAACCTACACATGTTTTTTACCCAAAATATGTTAAAATGATAACGAGGGAGTAGACGGAGATTTCGAGGGCAGATCGCAAGTGGGAGAGATCTACGTTGCTTTGGGTATCAAGATTTTATAACGGCAGCCTACATGGTATGCAAAGGGGCGTAGCTGAGCTATGGCCTTGGATGCTACGTTTCTATGGAGCACAGAATACTTAAGGTATACTGTGGGCTGCAGCCCTTGCGAGCCGATTGAAACGGCGCGATATCATACCAATACCTGGTGGCCCTTCAGTTTTCCCAGTCACACAGAGCTGAGCTTATGATATTATGTTCAGCGTGAAAACGGAACCATGGGGTTTGACTACTTGTTAATGTAAGTCAGCGACTATTCAACGGCATAAGTAGGAGCCTTTGGTTGACGTTTTCAAGTCATTTGAAATATAACCTTCCGCCGGCTTTGTTTATGACCATTCTCTACAAGCCTTTCTTTACCCGGTTGGACATTTATAAAATCTCGTTGCTATGTGTGGTGAGTTCCTCTAGTTTTCTCCAACGCAAATTCTTCTACCCAAAGCTGAAAAATGGCCAAATAGATTGCAGTTGTCTGGACAATTCCATGGGACTCGTACTTGATTCGTACTCGGATATGGTCATATCCTCCAGAATCAATTGTTGGGCCAACGCTCTTCAAAATTCCACTTGAGGAAGTTTTCTTTTTCATTATCCAGACTTACAACACCAGTCTCATCTATATCCTGTTTAACAAAAGATTGGTCCTACCATCTTATTTGTCGGGGCCTATTAACCTCCCGGGCTGCACAAGCCTATTTGGTAACGCAACTCTGAGGGTGTTGAGGGATTTGGGTACCTTATTCTTTACAGGATGTCTGGTCCTAGGAATTTCAGGTATTTACCACGGCGGCAAATATACGTATATGGGGTTGATAATCAGCTGGGTTTGCCCCATCATAATCATGCAATGGTAGGCTTTCTGATCTCCGAATCGATGTCAAGCTACTAACGATCCAGGCTTCTCATATATCGCTTCCTCATTGCGCTTCCGCTTGCCAGCACTTTGGTGCCAATCGCACTACCAACAGCTTACCTTTGGCTGGTGGACACTATTGCATTGAGGAGAGGAACCTGGGTCATAGAAAATGGAACGAAAATGAACCTTCAACTCTGGGCCGGTTTTGAGGTAGAGTATGTGCCTAGCCCGGGAATTAATTCACTGCAAGTGGACGAGTCTAACACAAATATATAGAGAGGCGCTGTTCTTCCTTGTCACCAATCTTATGGTAGTCCTCGGCCTTTCAGCAATTGACAATGCAGTTGCATTATTCGAGTACAACGCCTTCATATCCACCGATGCTGTTGGTCAAATGCCGTCCATCCTTCAGCTCATCGCCCCTTTCCTCAAGAGTAGCCATCAATACGACACTACCGTTCTTCGAGAGATTTCCCAAGCAGTCTCGCTTCTACAGAAAAAGAGTCAGAGCATGTACTTGGGAAGTGCAGTGTTTGAAGGTCAACTACGGTTGGACCTAATCGCATTGTAAAGCCCCCCGTTTTTCCGAATATTCAAATTGCTGTTCCTAATAATGTTTTTTCCAGATACGCATTCTGTCGCAAAGCCGACGACTTGATTGATGACGCGCCTGATCGTAAAACTGCACAATATTGGATCGAGCAATGTGAAAAGGCCTTAGACTTGCGGTTCAAGCTCAAGGAATCTACGTTGGACGATGCTGGAGCCTACGAAATACTGACAAAATCCATTCCACAACCGTTGCATACTGCTATACACCTGCTACCGGCCTCGCGACTCCCAAAGGAACCACTCTATAGCCTTCTTAAAGGTTTCGAAATTGATTTGAAGTTTGATGCCGAGAGCAACTGCTTCCCAATTACTACCGAGGATGACTTAGATGTATATGCCTATCACGTTGCTAGCACTGTTGCCATACTTCTTCTGGAGTTGGTATTCTGTCATTATCCAATGCCTGTCAGCGAAACCGAGCGTTTGCAGGTGATCTCCGCGGGTGAATGCATGGGGAAAGCATTGCAATATACGAACATAGCGCGTGATATTGTGCGAGACGCAGCAATCGGCCGTGTTTATATTCCTACCTCTTGGCTGGCTAAGGAGAATCTTACACCCTCGATGGTTATTGACCAGCCTAGAAATCCTCAGCTCGCTACCCTCCGAAGAAGGATTCTTGATAAGGCCGACATGTGTTACCAAGCTACGCAGAAGGCGATCGATAGGCTTCCATCAAATGTCCGAGGTCCTGTTCGAGCGACGGTCATGAGTTACATGGAGATAGGCCAAATGCTACGGGAAAATGAAGGGAGGATTTTGGATGAAAAGTTAAAGGTTCCAACTTGGAGGCGGCTCAAGGTTGCATGGATAGCCATGTCAATGTAGAGTTGCGATCGCGATGGATCGGGGGAGTGTAGAATAGACGCTCCCAATATTCTGGGCTTTTTTTATGTTGACGATCTAGGGCAATGCCTTTGAAGAGGATAGTATCATAGTTTGATAAGTCTGAACAAATATCATAACATTCCAATAATTCATATTAAAGTTAATATAATAACCCTAAATAGCTGTTCATAACATCTTGACAGTCACTGGCGTATATGATATACCTAGCCAGAGTGCCAGAGCCCATAAGTTATAACCCAAGCAATTATAAAGAGTAGAGTCATGAGCCATCCCCCGTAGGACCTCAACTCAAAAGACTTTCCTTTTCGGCTCTGGCCAGACGGCATGATGCCGTACCCATCAAAAATCTGCTGGGAGACAATCTTACTGCCAGCCAAACAAACGGGAACTCCAGTACCAGGGTGTGTACTGGCACCAGCGAAATAAAGTCCGCTGATTGTATCGTGTTTAGTCTTCGGGCGAAAGCTCAGGACATTGAAAAATGAATGTGATAGTCCCAGGATAGCTCCTTGGTTTAGATTGAATTTTGCCTTCCAGGTGAACGGCGTGTCAATTTTCTCGGAAACGATGCTATCACGTAAACCTCGAGCACCTGTGCGAGATTCAATTGTCTTGATAATTCCTTCTCGTACTTTGGATATTATGGCGTCCATGTCTGTAGACCAGATGCTGTTGTCCACCAGATGGCCTACCGGAACAAGCACCACGACAGCGTCCTTGCCATGTGGTGCGGCCGTTGGATCGATGCGACTGGGTACGTTCACGTAAAAGGATGGATCCGATGGTATCTTGTGGTCCTTGAAAATGGCGTCAAAGCTCTCGCGGTACTCATCTGCAAGGAAAATATTATGGGTTCGCAGCTCGGGAACGATGCGATCGAAGGACCAAAAGAAGGAAATACTGCTGCAAGATGAAGGTCGCTTTTGCAAACTTTTAGCCAAAGAAGAGGGTGGTAGAAGCTCATTATAAGCGTAGACAAGGTCCGCGTTTATAACAACCGTATCTGCATTCAATATCTCTCCAGAGCTCAATTTCACCCCCGTTGCAGTGCGACCGTCTTCAGAGAGCTGAATTGATGACACGGGCTCATTGAGGCGATATTCTACACCCATGCGTTTCCCAATGTTCGCCAATGCCTCTAGAACCTTGTTGTATTCAATTAGAATAAATAGAACAACCTTAAACGTGGGAGACTTACTATTTGAAATCCACCAACAGGATACCATATACCATCGGCGAGCTCGGAATATTGGAGTAACGAGTATGTTGCCGGGGCGTCAAATGGGCTCATTCCGAGATACATGCTTGCAAAGGTAAAAACCCTTCTCATCTTGTCCGAAGCAAAGTATTTGCTAGTTCGGCTGTAGATACTCTCGAATGGATGCAACGTAAGGGTAGAAAGCAGAAACTCGGGCCGAAGCATACTGAGAAGTCTGGGAAAGTTCTGCTTCAAGACGTGAATCATAGATAGGTCATGGTGCCGACCAGATTCCTTCATGTATGATAGATATCCCTCGAATCCCTGTCTGCCTTCGTAGCGCTCGATTTCAGATTTCATTTTGGCCATGTCAGTTGACATATCAACGCGATCATGGTCCCCGAACCATATTCTATAATTGGGCTCGCATTTGAGCAACTGAACGCCCTCGTTCTCCAGCGAGGTACCAAGATCATTGAACGTTTCCACAAAGAGTTCAGGAAGCAAGAGGAGAGATGGCCCTTGATCAAATCTCTGGATACGAACATTAGCTCGATATTCTGGGAATAGAGTAGGAAAGACAAACGTAGCCGTTTTCCTGGATAAGCGAGCATCTACCGCCTATGAAACCGTTCTTTTCTATCACAGTTACTTTGAAGCCTTCCTTCGCCAGGCGAGCAGCAGTAGATACGCCCCCAGCGCCAGCACCTATGGAGAGCGAGGTTAGCCCATATCATCACACTCGCTGGTGCTAGAGCTAGAGTCTACTTACCAACCACAATAGCAGTATGCCTCTTCATCGCAATGTGTATTCCAAGCTTGAGTGACCGTGATGGCTAAACGTATCTCAATGAGTCTTTCTAGATTGCATATTTATCAAAGAGACGAGTCCCTCATCGTAGCTAGCCCAGCCAGTCTCGTCGATCCATCATACGTGCAAAAACCAATCTGTGGCCACAGTGATCAACATCCAACTGCTTCATCATCGGGACATACGCCATCAAGTTCATCTTGGCGATAGGTTAAAAGATTCAAAAATTTGACGGTGTGGGAAACGAGCCCAACTAACCATATACCCAACTATAGTTTAATCTCTGGTGGATAATAACTTAATATCCTGGTAAGATGGCCGGGTGATTTGGACGGAAGCGAGCCCTGCAAGTGAAACCCCCCGGAGGCTTGAATCCTGCTCTTTTCGATCTCTTTTTTTGCATATATTTCTTTTTGCATACAGAAATGGCTTGCGCGCCCAGAGATAGCCAGCTTATCCTGCATAAAATGGCGTTGGCACCAATTCAGCTGGTCATGATCGCCGGCTGAGTCCTGCGGAATCATTCACTCCGTATAAATAGTGTTTTAGTAGCATGTCCACAATATATAGATAGTCGCAGATAGACGTTTACCCAAAAGTTGGGTTTGGATCGGTCGGGTTTTTCCTTCGCCGTTGACCCCTAACCTTGCGGTAGTCGACGTGAAGTATCCTCTGCGTTGGAAGAGCGTGTGAGCATGTTGATTTATTCGGCTTGAACTGATCGCTCCCTTGAACATTGGTGTGTTCGTTTTTCCCCAATGTCGCTCTCAACGAATGCGATAACCACTTTGGTGGAATATGCCGACATCACGGTATCGGAGCCGGGCATCATATGGTATACACCACTCTATGAAGACGACTGGAAAGCGTGAGCTCACTATATTTTCTAGGTACTGGGCTGTAACTGGCATTTTCTCGCTTTCTGCCGTTGTCTTCCTGGTCGGAAGCTTCGTCGTTCGCCATCCAAATGTCCGGCTTCTATACTACCTGTCGGCGCTATCATGTTACATCTTTTCCATGACCTATTTCGCTATGGGCGCCAATATCGGCTGGGTAGCTGTGGAAGTTGAATTCGCACGCGGTAGTCAGGTTGTTTTCGACACTGCCACTCAGAATCCTACTCGACAAGTATTTTGGATTCGCTATGCTGGCTGGTGAGTCTCCAACAAGCCTTCTCATCTCTCGCTTCATCCGCTAACGATTTCATCAAGGTTGCTCGCGACGCCAATTCTCATGACGGAACTCTTCCTCTTCATCAACGCACCTCTAAGTCTTATTCTTCATGATATCTTCATGGTTGGAATAGTGATGATAACAGGCTTGGGCGGAGCGCTGATTCCCACGGCATATAAATGGGCATACTAGTGAGTGGTCTGCTCCGAGTTTTATTTCTTCTCTTCTGACCAGAATAGTGTATATGGCGCTTTCGCATGCGTGGCGTTGGCCTGGATGATAATGAAGACCGGATACCTCCACGTACGCTCAAAGGTCCCATCTCTAACGCGGATGTATCTTGCATGCGGCATCTTCTTGTCGATACTCTGGCCGTTATACGGGGTCTGTTGGGGCTTGGGTGAGGGCGGAAACGTTATATCGCCCACCAGCGAGGCCGTGTTTTATGGAGTTCTTGACATCTGGGGCGGACCGCTATACTGTGCCTTTATCCTGTGGGGGGCCAATCGGTTTTATAAACCGGAACCAGTAGAAATAGTAGCATAAAGGGTGATAACGTAGTAGAACTTTTATGTCGAGAAGTAACCATGAGCAAATGATATGCCAACTTAAAGACCTGGGTCATATTCTGGTTCGATTGAACTAACAAGACGGCTAGTTAGTAAGGAATAGCTAAATTAGTGGGTATCATCTAGTTTATTTAACTGGCCGCGATAAAAATGAGCAGGTGGTCAACATTCTTTACCAACTACAACTGTCATATTTATATTTCGTGAATACTTATCCCCGTATAAAATCAGGCCACAACGAAAAAGATGCCCGTTTCATCTCTCCACCTGCTTTCATTTGCTCTCCGCAACCCCTACAGCTTCAGCTTGGATCCCGATGGCCCCTTTCCTGCACTGTACCGCTTATTCGCCGCAAGGATACCTACTATCGACTCAATTGATCCCACCCAGTTTGTTGGAAAGACAATATTAATCACCGGGGCCAACGGCGGCTGTGGGTTTGAATGCGCCAAAATGCTTGCTCATTTTGACTGCCGTATTATCTTGACAGCGAGGAACCTGGAGAGAGGACAGGAAGCACTTCGAGAAGTTCAAAATGAAGCTACACGTTCAGGCATTATACCTAAGGTTGAGCTCTCAGAGCTTGACCTTACCTCCTTCGAGTCCATTCGCAGTTTTAACAAAGAGCTTCGCAAGCTGTCAAAAGTGGACATGGCGATCTTAAATGCTGGAATTTATGATGCTGAGTTTTCGCTTTGCTCAGAAACTGGCAGGGAGAGTCACATCCAAGTATGTCCGAAAATCCTCTCTTTCTCATACACGCACATCGTGTAGCCTAGTGGAGGTGCCGGGCTGATGATAGAACAGGTGAATGTGCTTGCAAACTGTGCGCTCTCGCTACTTCTTTTACCATTGCTATCAACAATTTCGGAGCCAGGTCGATTATTGATCGTATCATCTGAGGCGTATGCATGGGCTAACCCGAGGCAGCCGTCTGTAAATGAATTGCTGAACCAGATCAACGACCCTACAGCTTATGCATGTTACGAGCGTTACCATATCAGCAAGCTACTTGTTGTCTTATGGATACAAGAGCTCGCAAAGAAGGTTGACTCTAGCAAGGTATTGGTAGGGTCTATATCCCCTGGCCTTTGCCGGACTGGACTATTTCGCTCCTTTAACTCCAACAAGATTGCACAACTGCTGGAGAAAATTGTGTACAGAAATGTGTCACAAGCCGCCTGCCAATACCTCTATGTCCTTGCTACGATGAATCAAGTCTCTCATGGTTCTTTCTTTGCTGATGGCAAGCCTCGTCCGTAAGTGATATCCTTTTCTTGGATCAAGGGATTGAGACTAAATTTGCGAAGACCTTCTACTGCAACGACATGCAAAACAGGTATAAGCCTACGCGAAAGTATCTGGAGTGACATTTTGAAAAACATACCTGAAACTCTACTCGACAAAGAGGAACTATATACTTTAACAAGTCGATGATTGGAAGTGGGTAGCATAGACCTATCACCTTCAGTTTCTCCTGGTGCTCTTATATTTTCCATCACACCGCCTGAGCCTTCCTTGCCCTACAGAGGCTTAGGAGTACGGTATAAACGAATGAATACCAAACTATACACAAAAATTTCTAGATGCTAGCATTACTGAGTGAATATTCTGCCCATCTAATCTCAGGATTACGAATAAATTATGCTGAGCCTAATCTTGACGCTTAGTATTGGATCTGGATCAGCATTTCCATTTGCCATTGAGTGCTAATAGGGGGCACCATGATTGGCACCACAGATGTCAAGCCATGAAGTTTAAACTGGGCTGAATTATCAGAAGAAATTATAATAAGGTATGTATGTCGATCCTTCCTTAACCCGAGGCGGTGGAAATATATACTTCTAAATCCGACTGAGGGTAAATAATTCCTCGACTACATTCAAATTAAGCTAATCGCCGCGATGGCCAACAAGAAGAAAGATGGCGGATGTACACATATGTAAGTAGTCTACCCATCTTAACTAATAGTAACAGCACGAACTGATTTACGGAAAGGTACCTGAAAGGAAATTTTGCCCCGATACACAATGTCTGCCCACCCACACCTTGTGATCACATAGGTGATATCCCAAAAGAACTCATCGGCGGACAATATGTCCGTAATGGGGGCAATCCATTGACAAATGACGACCTAGGGCGAGATGCCCATTGGTTTGATGGAGATGGCATGCTCAGCGGCGTTTTCTTTAGAAGGCTCAAGGGTACCGCCGTCCAGGCAGAATATGTCAACAACTATGTCTTGACAGATGTGTATCTCGCTGCCCTGGCAAATCCGAAACTCCGTCAGCCAATACTGCCAAGTGTTACAACTTTGATCAATCCGAGGACGACCCTAGGCAAGATAGTCTACTCAATATGTCGGACCCTTGTTCTTGTTTTATGGTCATATGTGAATGGCTCAAGAAGGCCGATTAAGAAGATTAGCGTTGTTAATACCAATATCATTTACCATGATGGTCGTGCTTTGGCTACCTGCGAGAGTGGACCGCCCATGAGAGTGTCGCTACCAGGGCTCGAAACAGTCGGTTGGTTCAACGGCTGGAAGGCAGAGGGAGAGCCAGGGGATTTGGATTTGCACTCATCTCGCCTTGGGTTTGGGGGAATTGGTCTGACTGGCTTTCTCAATGAATGGACCACTGGACATGTAAGGGCATCTGGCCAGACGTCGATATCAATTGACTGACTGGTTATAGCCTAGGGCAGATCCTCAAACTCGCGAACTGGTTCTCTTTCATTCGACGTTCTTCCCGCCATTTGTGCACTACTCTGTTGTGCCCGATTCACGAGTCCAACATGGCCTTCTGGAGCCGCAGTCCCCGCTTCTCAATATACCCGTCCCAGGCATTAAGTCAGCCAAGATGATGCATGATTTTGGTGTATCACACGAGCATACTGTCATAATTGATCTTCCTCTTTCCCTGGATCCGGTAAACTTAGCTTACAATAAGCCTGTCATTGCTTATGAGGTCGACGGTTGTACTCGCTTCGGTATCTTTCCACGATATAAACCAGACCAGGTGCGATGGTTTGAAACCGCCCCTTGTTGCATTTTCCACACTACCAATACGTGGGAATCAGAGGGTGGAGAGGGCGGCATTGATGGGCTGGTTCTGAATATGCTTGTCTGCCGTATGACGACCCCTGCGATCATTTTTAACGCAGGAAATATTCCATCACCGGCAGGCATCGACAAGCTTGAAAAGGAATGCCGTCTTTATTACTATCAATTCGACCTATCTCAAGCGACAAACGTCATTTCTCATCAATGGGCTCTCTCTGCAATACCTTTTGAATTACCCCACGTACCCAAAAATCTCGCCATGTCTTCCACCCGCTTTGTCTATGGCTGTTCATTATCGAACGGCACATTTACGGCGGCACTCGGAAGAGCCGCCAAGGTAGACTGTCTGGCGAAGGTAGATGTGAGGGCCTTGATCAACGAGGGTATTAAAAGACCCCCAATGTCTGTGACTGGCTGTGTGGATGGCCGATCAGTTCAAGAGATTCTGTCTTCAAATAACCCCGAGGACCCTATCAGAATATTTCCAATGCCTTCCGGATGGTACGCACAAGAATGCAGTTTTGTGCCTAGAGCAAATGGGATTTCAGAGGACGATGGGTGGCTTTTAACCTTTGTTTTTGACGAGTCTCAGCTTGATGAAGACGGGAATGCTCCAGTAGGTACACAGAGTGAGCTGTGGATAATTGACGCCAGAGTTATGCAGATGGTAACCCGCATCCGCCTGCCTCAACGAGTGCCGTATGGACTACACGGAAGCTGGTTTTCTGAGGAAGAAGTGTGCAGCCAACGGCCAGTTGAAAGCTACCGTTGCCAGTAAACAGCCCTCTGCAGTGTTCTTTGAAGATTGGTTGATGGTTATCTTTATAGATGATAGCTGGCAGCAAAGGGAAGCAAACTATAGAATTGCCATCTGAGGGCGTAGTTCGGCTTTGTTGGGAGGGTATCAAGGAGTTATTCGTAGTTATACAAAAATATAGCCGAATAACTACTACAAATACAAAAGCTCAGTTAACTGCAGAGTAGACTTGATATCATGCCTGGTGAGTAGACATCTGTACTGTATATAAAGGCTTAGTTAACTGCAAAGTAGTATGATCGGGGATCGGTAGAAGATATACCGGAGTGGCAAGGGATATGCAGGGATATACCACAGCAGAGAGGAGTTCCCGGCTGCGTCTCCGGTTGCGGTGAAGACATCGTCCCCTTGCCCTCAACCAGTCTTTACCCTTGCCGGCTAATGCATTATTCGCCCTTTTGCCCTTCGGTTCGGGCGGGTTTGTCTGTCGTCTGACACAGGCTGGCGGTGTGGAAGGCGACATCGTTCCTTACGGCAAACCATCGCCAACATAAACCCATATACCGATATAAAAACGGTTGTCCCTCTCCCTCACGGCATAACCACCATAACTTGACAAGAAAACGCCTGAAGAGTTGTGCAGGCCAAGGCAAAACGCGGGGATCCGACTTGTTAAACGAAAACTAGCGAGCAATGGCGCTTGTCCCCCCACTGGCGGCTGAATTTACTGTCACCCCTACCAATCCCCAAGACCACATCGTTTCAGCTTGTCCGTCGACCCGATCTCGATACGATGACGTTCTAGTCCATGAGAAGTCCGATACTGAAGGAGAGGAACGTCCAGGCGGTCCGGCCGAGGTGCGGAATGGGAGCCATCATGGCGACAGTGAAGCGCAGTCTGCGGGACTCCCGAATGACGGGGTATACTATCCTGAAGGCGGCTTCGAGGCATGGATGGTGGTTGTCGGGTCCTGCTTTGGGACTGCTGTCACGCTTGGGATGATGTGAGTTGATTCGAGCGAGCGGCCAGGGAGAATTGTTACTAACGATTGTGTAGGAACACAGTCGGTACCCTCCAGGCATATGTTGTTGAACATCAGCTCAAACAGTACGACGAAGGAACGACTGGATGGATATTCAGCACCTTCATCTTCCTTGGTTTCTTTGGTGGTGTCCAGGTCGGGCCTGTGTTTGATGCCCATGGTCCCAGACTGCTCATGCTCGCCGGCAGCGTCTGCATGGGCGTTAGCATGATGCTTCTCGGCTTGTGTACCCAATACTGGCATTTTATGCTGTGCTTCGGCATACTCGGTGGAACAGGCGCGTCCTTGATCTTTACTCCCGCGCTATCAGCAATCAGTCACTGGTTCTCTGAGAAGCGAGCAACTGCAACTGGCATCGCGGCAGCAGGCGGTTCTGTCGGTGGCATCGTCTTCCCACTAGCCTTGCAAAAACTGTACACCGTGGTGTCATTTGCCTGGGCCACCAGAATCGTTGGGTTCGCCGTCATCTTTTGTTGCGCTGTCGCCGTCATTTTAGTACGCTCTCGTCTACCTCCAAAACCGGGACAGACGGTTATACCCAGCGTACGGATCTTCCGTAACCAGGCGTACCTGTCCGTTACTCTAGGGACCTATTTCATGGAATGGGCTCTCTTTGTTCCAATTGCGTATATTACTGCATTTGCCTTGTCCACAGGCGCCATGTCTCTGGAGTTTTCGTACCAGCTCATCGCTATAATGAACGCGGGCTCGAGCATCGGTCGGGCGTTACCCGGGTACGTTGCCGACAAACTAGGTCGCTTCAACAGCATGGTTGCCGCGCTTGTTATTTGTACAGCGATGACTATAACCCTCTGGCTCCCGGCTTCCCTTCTCACCACAACTCCATCCTCCGCGCCCACTATCAAGGCGCTTTCCATTGTCTTTGCTCTTATATTTGGCTTCGCCTCTGGCTCCAACGTCTCCCTGGCGCCTGTATGTGTAGGCCAACTCTGTGACACCAATGAGTATGGGAGGTACTATGCAACCTGCTATACTATCGTCTCATTTGGCACACTCACAGGTATCCCAATTGCGGGGAGTCTTCTTCGGCTGACCGACGGGCGCTACTGGGGTGTTGTCCTATGGACTACACTTTGTTATGTTATCTCCTTAGCATGCTTCATCTGGAGCCGTGCTTGTTGCGTGGGCTGGAAATTAGGCGTCAAATTTTAGATGGTTATTCAGATAGTAGATTTAGTCTAGAATGGCTAGATTAAAACGTTCTTGCTAGCATCTATGCTATGTGTTCGGCGATATGCCGATCATTGCAGTATACAACCACCATCCTCTATCTTGGCGGTGATCTCTATTTTGGTGGCGATGCATGTAAACGCTGCATGGGGGCATTAAACTAGATATACAAATCACCTACAAACGAAAGAAACATTATGAGTAAAGTAGAAAGACGTTGGTAAAATAGAGAGAGGGAGGGAGTGGTTCATGCGAGTTTACTTTTAGGCGCCTTGATAAAGAATACTCCGTAAGCGCGTGGAGAATGCCGCGGCTGCGGGCCGCCCTGGCTCCATAATTGCCGTACCTTAATTTACCGTAAATCCAGAAAATCCCCATGTGCTCCTCAAAAGGGCTCCACGTTCCATTTGCCGAAAATATAATAGGGTCTAGGCGTCGATACGGGTATATGTATGGAGTATGTCCCAGGCGGTGTCCATATAGCTAAAAGTGTGGAATTTGGGATTGCGGATACTAGGTGGAGTGGATTGGGGAAATTTCTCATTTCTCCTCCGTATATGCATTTATCTCTATGTACATTATTTACTTTCGTGTCTCATGGCGCAATTATGTATGTAGTGTAACAATCCTCTCTTGACTCTGTGTCCTCCCGTTCACCGTGGGTTCGTCCTCTGCCCTCACGGTGCCCATAGATATTTGTTCGTTACGCGGGTCGGATTGCGAATTCCCCTCTTCCTGAGCTATATATGTTGGGGCCGACCTGCTAAGCATGTAGTCTTTTATCCGGTGGGGAATTCTCCCGGAACTCCTAGTTGCGTCCCTTAAAGCCGTGGATGCCCTGGGGAATATCAAGAAGAATGACTGGCGAAGCATGGGCAAACAGGCAACTATGACACCAGTATTGAGTTCGATCGCGCTCCAGACTGAGATCAGGGCAACGCTCCCTACAGTATAAAGTGGTTAGCAATGGCCATGTATAGTGGAACGTGAGAGTAACTAACATAATGGGTCTTTGTTGTCGGAAGTCCCGAAGATGGTCGTGGTTCGGATAATGCTCACTGCACAACAACTGAGGCATCGGTATTAATAACAACACTTTATAAGCAAAACATTGTGGGTTGACTCACAAGAGACCAAGTGAAAATATGAAAATCACAAGGATCTTATCCTTCGTAGTTGTTAGGAGGTAAATGGACTCTCGTATTGGGAGAACGAGGATGAAGAAGTCGGTGACGACATTCAATAGTGCATATGAAACTCTCCACGCTGCATTTTCGATGCATTTGTGTGGAACAGAGCGATCCCAATAAGCTCTTATCGGTTTGCACTGGAAGACGGTTGGAAATGTGAATGCGATTCCCGCTGCCGCAGTCACGGCCATGAGGGCATAACATAGCCAGCGGAACACCTTTTGTACATAAAATATTCGTACGAAGAGAAGTAAAAACGAAATTTTAATAAGCGAGAGGGATATCTTGTATGAGATTTGTAACATATACAAATACTGCATTCCTCAACGGGGCTAAATTAGCGACTGTCCGCAGAGACAAGGATCGTGGAAGTAGAGATGAGGAGAACAGCCACTAAGCCGGGCGTTATGGGTTTATCTCACCTTCAATGTTATGAGTTTATCTTCTGCTGAAACCTCCCATGTGTGTTTGCCGAGGCCATGCTGGACGCCTATAGTGAGTGGTCCGCCAGTTAGCAAGTAAGTTCTTGAAAATATTTCCAGGGCACTACCTACAGGTTATTTGTAGACTGGTGTATAGAAGTGAAAGGATCTGAGATTTGGGTTAGCATAGTTATTTTCGAAAGGATTAGCGATAGTGGGTTCCGTACGTATGCTGCAAGAATCGTCCAGTCATCGCTGCCAATCGCACGTTTTAGGTATCTTCCGATAAAACGTATAATAACCAAAATCCCCCCAACGATGGCCATGACTAGACATAGGAGTGACAATTGCGCTGCTCTTGGTGAAGCACCCTGGCTTGTAGGTTTCTCGCCGAACGCGGTATTTAGTAGGAGTGCCGCCATCGCACTCGGTCGGGTGGAGTGAAAGTCCTAGAGGAGATCAACTCCCAAATAAAAGCCACAAGACTCCGCGCCTGCCAGGGACGCTCATAGGACTGTAACTCTCCCCACGCGAAGATGTCTCGCGAAGATGATGCCTATCCAGGGTCGGCCCAGAGTATATATTTGGTGTCACGACATCAGCTCATGTCGAAAAAGGTCGCGAAAGGCCTTGGTCGATCTCAGCAAGAGAGAGTTGAGCACGCGAACGAAAGATCAGACGTAGTACTAGAAGGGGTTAGTTTCAGTTCGGTGCTAGTTCGTTGGCGAGGCGAGTAAAGATGGGGACGATTCTGATCTAAAAGTAGAAGTCTATGACGGATAATCGACTTTGCGACACGATCTGGCACGGAGTAAGTGATGGAGTAACATGAAGCTGTATAATTTTGAAAGATGGAGAAAGTAGAAGAAGAGCAGCGGGTCCCGCTATAAGTGTTGATGGAGTCGGGCCCCCGTCAGCGTTAAATCGACAGAAATCAGTTTGACAGTAGCGATCGTTCGTATATCCTTCCGTCACAATCTGTTTCGGGTCTACGCGAGCAAAGCTTGCAGGGGGAACGGGGGTTCCAGCCCTGGTACTAGAGCAGCACAACACCACCAAGCCAGATAATGGCTTGGATGCATGTTGCTAACAACCTTATTCGATTTTCTCCCATAACAAAAAATGTGAGTGATCCATCGGCTCATGAGCCAGGAACTCAAAGTGTCGACGTTTATTTCTCGGATAGGTTTTAACCCGCGTGGGCCGCTCGGATTTGGTTCCGCCTCAATAATAGATCCTTTTTCGCTGAGCGAGGGGACGGGATGCTGGGAGGAGCTAGCCAGGCAAAGAAGGGGGTGTTGGCATCCTTCGGAGTTGAGCCTGGCCGACTAGTCGGCCACCGGCCTTGCAAGCCACCGGACGAAGGGCTTCGTAACTTATTGGTCTCCACCGTCCTGCCAGTGTATCTTCGACAGGTGGAAGCGCCGTATCCCCCACGAATCCTGTACGTAACTGGAGTACATATGTAGACAAAACTCCGTCGACTGTGCCTGATTAGTCGATAGCATAGCCTTCCAATATTCCATATTCCCCAGGGTATCCCGTCCGAACCCACCGTTCAGCGTGGCCTTTTGAAACAGCGAGTGCCCATATTTTTTGCGTATATCAATTGTCAGGGGGGGTTCGAACCAGGGAAATCATATATATATTCTTGATTCGATTGAAAGCCACCCATCCTCCTTCCTTCCCTGCCCTTGAACTTATTGCAGCCATGGCTGCCGCAATGGCCACATCGCGTCGACCAAATTTCCTTGTGATAGTTGCTGATGACCTGGGCTTCTCGGACACGGGCTGCTACGGCGGCGAGATCAAGACACCTCACATCGACAGCATCGCAAGCGAGGGTGGCTTGAGGTTCACGGATTTCCATGCTGCGTCAGCATGCTCTCCCACACGTTCGATGTTGCTTTCTGGCACCGACAACCGTAATTTAAAACCCTTTTCTTCCCCCCCGCCCCCCCTGGCTAATCCAATCCCAATCCGTATATGCAAGAGCCTGCTCCCGCCCCCCCAGTTGAGCTGACATAAAACCTGGGAAACAAAATGTAGATATCGCCGGCCTTGGGACGATGAACGAGTCTCAGACTGAGTTCCAGCGAGGCAAGCCTGGCTATGAGGGATACCTCAACGACCGCGTAGTGGCCCTGTCGGAACTGTTGCAGGATGCAGGGTATCAAACCCTGATGTCGGGAAAGTGGCATTTGGGGCTGGATCCAGATCGCACTCCCCAGGCGCGTGGCTTCGATCGATCGTACGCCCTTCTCCCAGTATGTTTGAATTGGTGCATCTTTGCCGTGTCCCTGGGTTCGTAGTCAGCTAATATGGTATTCACTTGGGGCTCGGACAGGGCGCAGCAAACCACTATGGCTGGGAGCCTCAGCTCCGGCACCGGGACGAGAAACTGCCCGCGTTGATGTCGCATATACCAAGCTTTTATGTGGAAGATGACAAGACTATCGAGCCGAAGGACTTGGGAGAGCACTTCTACTCCACCGTCGCCTTTACCGACAAGATGATTGGGTATCTCGAGGATCGGACAAAGGACGTTGAGGGCGCCAGCGGGAAGCCGTTCTTCGCCTATCTTCCGTACTCTGCACCACACTGGCCGCTGCAAGCTCCTAGCGAAGACATCGCGGACTATAGGGGCGTCTACGACGAAGGGCCAGAGGTCCTTCGCCAAAAACGCCTGCAGAAGCTCGAGGAGCTGGGCTTGATACCAGACGGGACAGTGCCCCATGATGTGGTCGCCATGGGCAAGCGGACTCTGTCGAAGTACTGGAGCGAACTCACCCCTGACGAGCGTAGATTCTCGTCTCGATGCATGGAAGTGTATGCAGCCATGGTCCAGTGTATGGACACCCAGATTGGCCGCGTCCTGGACCATCTGCGCCAGTCAGGCGAAATGGACAACACCTTTGTCCTGTTCATGTCTGACAATGGCGCAGAGGGGATGCTGTTGGAGGCCCTGCCCCTGATCGAGCACGATATATACGACCATATCGACCAGTACTACGACAACTCCGTCGAGAATGTGGGCAACTACAACTCCTTTACCTGGTATGGACCTCACTGGGCATCCACTGCCACCGCTCCGTCTCGTCTCTATAAGATGTTCACCAGCGAGGGCGGAATCCGCGTCCCCCTTATACTCAACTACCCGCCTCTGACATCGGGGAAAGCTAACATCGATCATTCGTTTTGTACGGTTATGGATATTGCTCCCACTATCCTTGAACTGGCCGGTGTCCAGCATCCGGCCCCGTCTTACAGATCTAGGACTATCGTTCCCATGCGCGGTTCGTCTTGGTTGCCATACCTTCAGGGAGGCCAGCCATACATACATTCCGAGGACCACGTTACTGGATGGGAGCTTTTTGGCCGCCAGGCAGTGCGCAAGGGAGACTGGAAGGCCCTGCATATTCCAAAGCCATATGGCCCTGGGAAATGGCAGCTGTACAAACTCAGCGAGGATCCAGGCGAAACAAACGACCTGGGAGCGCTCTTCCCGGAAAAGCTGGCCGAGTTAGTTGTGGAATGGACCAAGTATGAGAAGGAAGTAGGCGTAGTTGGCAATGCGATTCAGTATGGAGTGCTTGGAGTAGACCCCCTGAACTGAACTGGCGAAGTAAGCTGATGGCAACCCCTATGTTTATTCCGCACTCTCTATACATCGTCGGGCTCGCTCTCCGAGAAAAAGCATGTCAACAGTCGTCTGCTGATCGAAGGACGATCGTGGGGCTGATCGCTCGTGTTGACGTCGGTGATCTGGTAAATCTATATGCTTGATAAAGTATCAAACGCAAATATACATTTTTCGGGTTTAGCATAAGATTACTGACTCAGCTTTGGCTATCTCCCTTCGTATATGCAACATGTTCGAGAAGTATCAGAGACCGTCTAAAGGCCCTGAACGAAGACGAAGTGTAAATCACTATCAAGCAAGTCGTCGACTCTGATAGCTGAAATCTCTGGTTGTTCTAGAATGAAACTGTCGGCTTTCCCATTTCTTGCAATCGACGAGTTCGCACTGAGCTGCCAGGATTTTATAGACCGCGTCCACGCCTACGAAGGCCAGCTGGGCTCTCTAGGATGGACAGACGTGAAGTTCAATAATAGTGTATGGCTTGTTCCGATTTATTCCACGTATCATGGCCAACAGCTCGACGGCCTTGATATACAAAAGTAAATAGCGGATGCCTAGCTAATCATCAATATAGGCGCCTGAACCGGCCCTGGTAGTCAGGAAATTTGTCGCACCGCATACTACAGAACCAGACACAAAATCGCATATAGAAGAAGGCGAAGATGAAGAAATCGTAGAGATCGATGATCCTGTTTGACTACCCCTCACATTTATATCTATATCCGAGTTGATGTATCTCTAACCGCTAGCATACAGGAAGCGCTCGTTCGGACACCCGTTTCAGATCACAAATACGAAGTTGAGTATAACATTATATTATCACCAACATATCAGGTCCCCGTGTTGTACTTCTTCCTGCGAGATGGGCCACCCTGCAGGCCGAACGAGCTCGACAAAGTGTACGATTTATTGATTCCTGCTCAGTTCAGGTCGGGACTGAGAGAGGTTGGAGTCATGGGGGGTGTAAGCATTACTGTAAGCAATGTTTCTTTGTGGGCTTCAACCTTTCCCTCGTTCCAACGCAGAAGCTCATAAAAAAATCATATAAGAACCACCCTATAACCGGAATGCCGGTGTATTTCGTCCACCCATGCGCCACCAGCGAGGCGCTAAAGAGTGTTGCAGGCAACGAGCAGCAGACAACTGGAACATATCTGCTGCTGTGGTTGGGGCTAATAGGGAACTGTGTTGGCTTAAATGTCCCTAGCGAACTTGTTGCACATGCAGGGAAAGCATAGGTGTCTGGCTGGAGGCGGCTGCCGATGCTATTATTACCCCCGCTTAAAAGCTCTTCATGATGCAGCCATTGTATCCCCCCCTCGAATTGTCATGTCGTTCAACAGTATAGCCGCGTTTAATCCTCATCAGAGGATGCTTCCATGGAAACGTCACTCTCCTCATCCATTGGGGCTTCGCCTTCGCTCTCCTCGTCTCGAGTCCGTTTTACGCCTTGTGGTACTTGGGCTGGGGCTGTCTGACCATTCACAGGTTTGGGTTGTGTTGTGGTTGCAGCAGTCGCTGCAGAAGGTGGACCGTGGAATATGGATTTTTGGAGGTCCGTTGATATGCCTTGGTCCGCGTTCGCGCCTGGGGGGTTATACGTCCCACGAAGCTTGCCGATAATATCGGAGTTCCCCTTCGCGTAAACGATTTTCTATCGAATGATTTAGCCCGACTCCTTTTTGGATTATCTTCTCAACAGACAATTGATCTAGACGTACCATTTCTTTCCCAAAGAAGTCAAAGCCTTGCAATGCCCTCATAGCCTGTGTGCTTGTCTGAACGTCCCTGAACACAACGTGTGCCTGTCCTCGCATATTTTTCGATCTCATGGCCACCACATCGAGCACTGGGCCGTAGGTAGAGAAGAGAGTGTATAGGGCCGTTCTCAAATCGGGCTTCTTGAGTTTATCAGGGAGATTGGTACAGTATAGTCTATATGAAGTCAGTCATCGCTTTGAATAAGACAAGTGGGAAGCTCGATTTGGCTCAGCACTGACGTTTGATTTGGCGCACCAGCACCCGTCGCAGCAGTCTTCGAGGCCATCGCAAATGATCAACGAGTATAAAACTAAACTCCCTTTCAATGTACGTGTATGGAAGCAGCGCGAGGTTTGTATTCCTGTAGCGTGGTGCTCTCTGCTCGATATCAATATCGTGCTTGCACTGAAGCTCCAAGCTGTGTGGACAAAGTGAGTGGTCACATGATAAGTGATTACGTAAACTAAATACGACTTCGAGATGGCGGAGTTCGCGGGGTGATATAGAAACAACAAGCCTGTTTCTTCTTATTGCATGGATTAATTGAATACGCAAGGCGATAGTAGAGAGCTCCTCCTATCGCATTGTTTAGACATGGCGCCTCCCGAAGCCCACCACCTTTTCCACCACCCTATTGCCGACCACTCCTTCGCTGCGGACAGACGCAGTCTCGCGGTGGCCAGGGATAATGTCGTTGAGCTCTATGAGACTAGTGGTAATAAGTATACCTTGAAAGAGGAGCTTAAAGGCCATGATAAGACCGTTACCAGCGTTGATATCGCTCCTAATAGTGGGCGGATTGTGACCTGTTCCCAAGGTATGGCTCAGTATACAGCTCTCAGAGGAAGCACCTTCTCTAACATATCGATGGAATGATACAGACAGAAATGCCTATGTATGGGAACATACAGAGTCTGGGTGGAAGCCTACTCTCGTGTTACTCCGAATTAACCGTGCCGCAACTTTCGTTCGCTGGTCTCCGTCGGAGCAGAAGTTTGCTGTCGGTTCAGGCGCCCGCGTTGTCGCAGTTTGTTACTTCGAGGAGGAGAACGACTGGTGGATCTCGAAACACTTGAAGAAGCCGATTAGAAGCACTATAACCACACTTGGATGGCATCCCAACTCGGTTTTCCTTGCAACTGGCTCGACCGATTCGCATTGCAGGGTGCTTTCCAGTTACATCAAGGGGATCGACCAGCGCCCGGAGCCCAGTGTTTGGGGTGAGAGAGTGCCATTCAACACCAACTGTGGAGAATACTTGAACGACTCGGCAGGATGGGTGCATGGCTGCGCCTTTTCCCCAAGCGGCGACGCGCTGGCATTTACTTGCCATGATAGTAGTGTAACCGTGGTTTATCCTTCTGCGCCGGATCAGCCTCCTAGAGCGATGTTGAACATCAGCACGAGGCTGCTGCCGTTTATGAGCCTGGTCTGGACTGGAGAGAATGAAATAATTGCGGCTGGCCATGTAGGAATCTGTCCTTATACCCTTATCCTTCATATGGACTTTAGACTAACAGGATACACACTCAGGACTGTCAAGTTTACCGTCTGAACGGAGATGCGTCTGGCTGGAAGATGGTTGGGTCATTGGAGACCAAAACCGGGGCAGATAGAGGTGCCGTGGCTGAGGAATCTGCTCTCAATAAATTTAGACAGATGGACCTGAAGGGTAGCACCAAAGATGATTCCAAGCTACAGAGTGTTCATCAAAATACCATCTTAACTCTTAGGATCTACGAAGAGGCCGGCGGTGCTGTCAAGAAAATCAGCTGTAAGTTTTAAATTCATAGCCCCCCTTTTTTTTTAATAGATGCTGTGCTAACTATTGGGTCTAGCGAGCGGCGTCGACGGTAGGGTCGTGATTTGGGATGTGTAATGGTTTAATTTACAACCCTCCTCAGAAGGTGGTGCCCTTTTTAGTACACACATAGCCATGACCGAGACTCTACAGTGAGGATTTCGTTCTTGGTTATTCATAGAATTGTCACTGCTGCCTTCCCTTTCGCGGACAAGAATATACATCACGTGTCGATATGGCCCTTCCGTAATTCGGAGTATTATATATCCGAAGGTATCACGTGGCAGTAATTAAATTAAGGTTTTAGAGTGCGGCTCACCCGTGATTAGGTCATCTGACATCAGGTTGGCTGACTTCTCTCTTACAACTTCTTCCCTACGACTTTTGACCGTCCTGCGCATGCAATGATGATAGATATATTCGGCGGTGAGCATGTTTGAAGGCAGAGGCTCATGAAATAGCTCGCCTTTTACGCTGGTTGCGGCATTTTATTTTGCTTTCACGGCATCAACCCGGCGCATATTTGTCCACATATAACTATGACCCGTATCGGGGCGTTATTCTTATCTGCCGCAATATGGCTATTCCTCTTACCCGCAGTGATCACGGCTGGTTTAGCTGAACAAGAGGGGAATGGCTATAGCGTATCCAGCCCGGATGATGCCAGACGTGAGGTGTCTAAAGCCCTCTTCGATGAGCTTGAGGAGCTAGCAAAAATCGTTGACATAGCATACTGTGTTGGCAACTGGGGGATATATGAACCATTTACTTGCCCAGGTTTATGCGAACAGTTCCCAAACTTTGAGTTAGTGAAGGTAGGTTGCGCACCCTGCTATTTTTGACCGCCCTCCCACGACCGGGAGAATGCGCATGTAGACTGAAGCTCATATAATACGGAGTACGTTAGACCTGGAACACTGGCCCGCTGCTGTCTGATTCTTGTGGATATATCACCTTATCACATCCACCTTCGCCAAAGAGAATCATAGTTTCATTTCGGGGGACTTACTCGATCGTGAATGCGATTGCGGACCTCTCAGTGGCACCACAAGTTTACATGCCATATCCCAATGCCACCGATCCATCAGATGGGAAGTGTGAAAACTGCACGGCACATGGGGGCTTCATACGTTCCTGGGAAAATACGCGGCCAGAGATAATCCCTGCACTTATCAAGGCTATGAAGAAACATCCCGATTATCAGCTGGTTGTCGCGGGCCATTCACTCGGTGGTGCTGTAGCGGCATTGGCAAGTCTTGAATTCAAACTGAGGGGCTGGAACCCACATGTAACAACTTTTGGGGAGCCACGGGTAGGAAACCAGGCACTTGCAGATTATTTCAGCAAAATATTTGGTCTTAACTCGACTGCTCGCTCTAACGAAGGCGCTGCTACTGATCTCCACCTTCCTTACCGCCGTATAACCCATATGGACGACCCCGTTCCGCTCCTCCCGCCTTCCAGCATGGATTATCGAATGCATTCTGGTGAGATATTCATTACCAAAGTCGAGGTCCCCCCTTCAATCGTGGATTTACGAGTTTGTCATGGCCCTGCCGACCCAACTTGTATTAGCAAACAGGAGGAAGCATATGCTCGTCAATTACGCAGCGCGTTGCCATGGTCGTCATCTAGCTTGTCTGATGATGATCAGCATCCACTTCAGTCGGATGACCTAGAATCTGAGGTTGAAGCAAGAGCAATTAAGCCCTGGGAGCTCTTCTTCGCGCATCGCGACTATTTCCATCGAGTTGGGATATGTTTCCCCAACCTTTTTGACTCGTCTCCGGACAATAACGGGAAGAAAGCACCTTGGTGGAAATGGAAGTGGCCGTTTACCGGTCATGGTGTTGCATAAATTCGTGTTAATATAAGTTCTTATGCGGAATTTGACAGGATTTGTATATCTTTTATTTCCTTTTCTCCCTTTTTCCCCCTCTTTTTCCTTTTTTTTGTTGGAGGTACGATAGTTATTACCTGTCTAGCCGGCTCAGCGTAAGATTGCAATGTTATTATTTAGAAGCTCGTGAGATACCCAGAAGGAGGAATCTGGTGATTTATATACCCTTTTATACCCTTGATCGTCATGCTCCAAGCTTAAGGCGCGGTTTTTGGGATAGAATGCTACAAGGCGGCAATTTACCAAATTGATCTCATTTATGATTCACTTTCTTTCAATGCACTAGGCTGCAGGATACTTGTTCTAATCACATATATAAAGACTGCTTTCAATAACGATAGAAACCCAAATGCAAAAGGCAAAGTAGAAAAAGTAGTAGTTATATCGCTAGATGGCAAACATGGCATGGACGCTCGCATAGAAAGACAAAAGTATGGGGTAAATATATCCAAGAATAATTCAAAATAGAGTTAACATGCCACATCAAATACTTGACCTGGACCCTCTCATATACTTTTCAATGTAGCCTGCTAGACGAAACGGTAGGGTCGCATGGCCCTTGAAGTAATGAATTTTCCTCATGTACGTTTCATCTGCCTAGATCCAAACTAGGCACTATAACAGGTCCGAATTTGACTACATTCCCAAATGATCCGTCACCTTGCACCAAGAAGTCCACGGCAAGGCTTAGTTTTGGGAACGAGCTACTGGCGGAGCTCCCAGGTGGATGCATAGGCGATTGCATGCTGCTATATGCAGCTTGAACAGCATCTGGATCATAGCCGACAATTGCAACATAATTTCTGCGGCCCATCAATTTGCGATGCTCTCTTGGTTGGCCGGCAACATCGGTCTGGAAGAGCTCCATCATATCCTCCTTTGTATCTGAAATCTGGGAGGTAACTGATCGCTGTCCGTTGATGGGTATGTATAAAGGTTTGTTGTTGCCGTGGAGTAATTTGAGGATATATGAGGGAGGAGGGGCGTTAACTACTGCAGATGAAATTATCTGGTACATTGTTTTATGGTCAGTTGGATGGGAAGGGTCATGAACGAGTCCGGCTCCGCAGCAGTTTACGGCACCGGAGAGGAAAGTCATTCGGATGCTTCGTTGATGTGCAATTCCCTGGAGGGTGCGGATGAGATATGTTCGTTCAAGGTCCTGTATTACGTATTTGTGAGTAATGCGGTTTCAATAATACGTGGAGGGTATATAAAATCCTACCTTTGACTCATGGGTCCATTGATCCTTAAGCTCATCAAAGATATCAATATCACCAAACGGACTAAGCACACCACCCATCAGGCCTGACTTTCCCACTGCTCGCTTCACAGATTCAAAGCCTGATCCCACCGCGCCCTTGGCACCGACAACACCAGCTACTGAGCTCGTAACCCTTCCTAGCATGTTATAAGCGCCAGTCACAGCCTTTTTACCAGTAGCAACAGTCTGGGCAAGATGCTCCGCTGTTTCCAGGCGAGGGTAAATAAGAGGCACAGCAACCATCCAAATACAATGTTGTACACTTGGAGGGAGTGTAGCAACTTTGGGGAAGATGCCTTGGTATGTTGGGCCGGCCAGAACCTGATGAGGGTTTCTCTCCGAGCGGCAATCAGGGCCGACAACTGCAATAGCCGGGCCAAGGTATTTGATGAAATGCCAGCCGGTTCCAGTTATAGTAAACAGATCGGAGTCATCAACAACGTGTCGTAGAATCTCTAAGGTTGTGTGATGCTGGAACAAGAGATACATTTCGATTCCAAGGCGGCCAATATTTTTGAACATGTTGGAAAATTGCATATGGTCCGGGTACGAACCGAAGCCATCGAAACTAGATAGACTGTTAGTATTTTCCTGTATGATCATATAACGCAGGCGGGGGATACACATACATATCGTGATCATCCACTTGCGAGATATGAGGTAGTTGGGCAAATGCTTCTCGTAAATGGGGCTGATCAAAGTGGCTCGTATAATAATGGAAGTATGCATGCGTGACATCTTCCTCCAATGCGGCGGTCCATGGAGCTGTTTTCCTCGCCTCCTTACCACTGATGGCTAGCCACTGTTTAAGAGATGGGACTTCCTTCCACAGGCGATCAGCGTTGATCTGCCCGCCAATACATAATTGTGCATGAAATCCGCCGCATTCAACGTGTTTTTGCATGATATCTTTCCACATATAGCCTACCCCGCCTAGGCGAGAGCGCTCGTTTGCATTGACATTAAGAGCAAAATCATTGCCAGAAGTCGCAATCACTCGCCATGCGGTCTCGTGTCTTCCGGCCACTAGGAATTCGTACCGTGTGCAACCAAGGTGTGAGGTAATGGCATAAGTCCACTTGTTAGAGCTTGCATCGTCCATTTGTATATCGATGCTATATTTGTAAAATACCCATCGCTGGTGACTGGCGATGCGGGCTGGTTGGAGTTGTCTTGGATTCGGCGAGAGGTCAGTACTCTTATGCATATGGATAGTTGGTGGCTGGGCTGCATCAGTCACCAGTAGGATAGAGCCTAGCCAGAGGCCTCGTTCCATGTCCATGTTGGTATACCGCAAGTATGGCCCGAAATAGACCCCGTTTGTAGGTGCTACTTTGTACATTTCCACGCCACTTGACGGGGGTGGTCCCACGAAGCCACTATTCATACCCATAACACTACCTTCGTATCCAGGGGTCATTGGCAAACCTGGAGAAGGCATAGGTTGACCAAATGCTGATAAGCCGGGAGAAGCTAGTGGTTGACCGAACGCGGATAAAGCTGGAGAAGCTAAAGGTTTTCCAAAGGACAGTCCGGGAGATGTAAGTCCGTGTCCGCCAAATGTGCTATGGCCGGGAGATAACGGTGTTTCATTGAGGTTAAGTGGCGTTGGACCCTTGGGGAACTCCCACTGCGTTGACTGCGTGGGGAGGTGAATATAGTAGTATTGACCTGAGTTAGGGTCCAAGTGAGCTATCCAGCCTTCTGGGAGAGGCGGTGGAGACGCCGGTCCAGGTCCTGGATGCGCTGAGGATGGTTCACTTTGTTTTGACGACAAAGGGAAAGCGGATGGTCCGCTCTGGAAGCTCTGTTGGCCCGGAGTCCCTGATTGCGTTTGACGAGAGTCATTTGCAAATGCAGGATGGCTCTGTATTGAGGGCTGGGAGCCGGTCACGGAAGGAGGCCCGCTAGCTGCTACTGACCCTGCAATTGGGGGATATTGGGTGGTAGGGCCACCACCGTGTTTTTCATTGGGGTATACCATGTTTTGTCCGCCCATCACGCTTGAATATGCTGGCGGTGGCGAGGCGGTCATGTTCAGTCGTTGGAAATCATCATCGAGTTGGCTCTGATTATTATTATTATTAATATTATTATTGGGTTGCGGTGGCTTCGGGAGCTGGCCAGAGGGTCCTTCGGTCACTGGTATAGGGGTGACATCTGAATCGCCTTGATAAATCCTGGGAGGGCCATGTGGTTCACTGCCTGGCTGCTCCGTCGGTGTCCATGGCCGGGGAGGAGGAACCGTGGCTTGCTGCAGGCCTGGCTGGTTGTTTCTCCCAGGAATACCGCTATACTGTTGCGCTCTCTGTTGTGCGGCGTGGTTGTGGGCGTGAATGTTACTTAGTGTGGCGGTGCCAGCAATCCCCGAGGCCGCATACCGCGCTTCGATATCAGAACTTGGCTGTTGGCCTGGTCCAACTATGGGTGTTTCTGGCGGAGGGGGAGAGCCGCGTTGAGCTTTCGTTGTAGAGGTAGAAGCGGTTGAATCTATGCGATTTATTGAACTGCTAGGTGGCTGCAGATTCCCGCTTGAAGATGAGGCTGACTGCGAAGGAGGTGGCCAGTATTGTTGGTGATAATCTGGGTACGGGTTCACGACAACAGCCGGGTTTTTATTCTGAGTGGAAGCGCTAGGTTGCTGAGCGTTATCCCTCTGTGGCAGACACTGAAATAATCCCTCTTTATCTGGGCTCTCAGCGGTGGGAGATTCAAGCTGTTTTGGAGCAGCAGCCCCTCTTCTCTCCGCAAGACTAGATTGGACCTGTTTTGGATCTCGACGGTCTTGAGGTTTCAACGCAGCAGGAATCTCACCACCGCTAGACGCTGGCGAGGAAAGCGATATTGGCGAGAAAGACGGCCGACCATGCTCCCTTGGATCATTAGGTTGCGACCCATTATTGCCGTGATGCCATGATTGATCTTGCATCCTTCGGTCGTCGGGATACGGAAGCGGAGACACTGACGCTTGAGAAGTGCCTGGACGATCTTGCTGAGGGTTTGAGGAGGTACTCGGCGCAGGTGAGGGAGTGCCTCTTTTTGCAACCCGTAGAGGTGAGATGACCGGAGGTTCGTGGTTGGAAGGGGAGTTGAGAAACATCTCGTCCCCTCCCTTGCTGGTATTGTGACTAGAACTCATGGCGCGTAGTTCCGAGAGTCATCGAGACACTCGAACTGCTAGCTTTGCTGTTCGTTCGACTTGATCAAGCGGCGGAAAACTGTCGGTATAGTTATATATACACGGCCAGCAGCCACTTTTGGCGGGGGGAACAGTTGCAGCCGAAGTGGGGAGCGAGGCTTCTCTTTGGAATGCGCTTGTAGGCGATAGATAGAGCGTTAACTACTCCGTAAAGTATGGGATCTCGCAGACGGTGAAGAGAAAAAGGGTGCGATGTCTGCCTGAATGTTGGCGGCAACAGCTTCTCGCAGAAAAGCCCTCCCTTTGACCCCCGTCGTCCCTGGAGCTCGCCGGGCTGTGATAAACTAGCCAAGTACGCCAAGCGTGAAGCTGGCGGCTACGATGCCCGTAGAAGAGATGATTGGATGCAGCCTGAAGATTCATGGTGGCCAAATGAAACTTGACACTTGCGTCTGTGGACAGCGATTGGTTTAATGGCTTCCTCCACTGGCGGGACTGGCATAGATATCGCGAACTTCATTCGTCCAGGCCGTTGATGGACAGGGCAGACGGTCGACTTAGCGCTGGGAAAGCCTGCGAAGGCATGCCGCGAAATTTAATAAGAATCCAGGAACTGTTCGCCGGAGTGGTCAGAAATAGCTATCATAACGGTCAACAACGCGTCTTGTATAGATGGAAGTATGGAGTATATATTTCCTAAAGGGATAAACTCACTCACCGAGAACTTCGACATCTCACTTCGACTGCCCGGGTTTCTATGATTTAATCATAGCTCGATTCCGGTACTAATACGTTGTGTTGAATAAGTAAATGGCTGGCAAGTCGCCGTCGAGATCAATATCCAAACCCTATCAAGCTATGGTGAGGTCAAAACAACAACAACATCCACATTACGGCGATAAATAGACTTAATGGCGTGCGATACTCTATATACCAATACAAGCACCCACCAGTATAAAGCCCTTTTAGCGCTGCAATGGAATAAGAGAAAACCAAAAGTACTAAGTTCTTGTATAGATAAAAGGGAGATAGAGACACGCTAAATCCAAATGAGGCCGCAATAGTCTGGGAAGTGGAATAGAAAGGATGTCCGCGTTGCCATCCAAAGTACCTCGCACTAATTGACCAAAACACCGCCAATATCAAAGTCTCAAGCGGAAAGTTTGGTAACGCCCGCTAGAATCCAAATCCAAATCCAAAAAATAAATAAAGCCAAAAAGAAATAAAATAGCGTTTATAAACCAAAATTAACCATCTGTAGCCCCTGCTTGGTCATTACCTCGAGCCAGTCAACATCCAAAGCATGGCCACGCCTCATATATCCATTTGTTTGATGTTGGTATATCGTTTGTAATAACTGGCGGGCGGTCGCCACATTTCGTCCAACGCCCTCATTTGCCTCGAAACTAGATAATATATCAAGTGCCATCATTTTATGGGATGGCGACGTCGAGGCTGCTCCGGCGATAAAAGTTGGGAAGACGATGAAACGAAGGTCATACCTCCCCGTGCTTGAAATTTCGTTGGCCGTCGAAAGGATTGCCGAGATGCGTTGATCGATATCAAGAGTCGATAAACCGCCTGTCTCGACAGCTTGGTTTGGCCACATACTGATATAAGAGTATATCATGCAGGTGTGGAAGAGAGTTGAGCACTGGTTTAAAGAGTAGTTTAGCATTTGCTTGTATATGAAACGGAACGGCAATAATAGTGCAAAGGGGGTTATGATTTCATGCACAGGGAAAGGAAAACGGCTTACATGTTGGAATACTTCCTTGGAACGGCGAGGTAGCTGGTGCGCTTGACGCTCAAAGAGGGATACGCGGGGTGATGCCCACAGCTGGAGAAAAGATTGCTGGATATCAAATAGCCGTTTTTCTTTGGCAGGCCGTCCGAGCAACGTGTAACCGATCGATCCATCCGGAAAGGTCTGAGAGACCGCATCACGTCGGCACTCCGCAGCGAGAAGTCCCAGTCTGATAGCAAGTATAAAGGTATCGCGATTTAGCCGTAGTATCACGGGCAGAGTGTGCTCCTCTCCCGGGTAGATTACGCTTTTGCCATCCATATCAGTTGGGTATAGCTGGGACACGGCGGCTGGTATCATATCATGTGCCAGCAAGTTTCGCACAAAGTCCCCAGTTCCGGCTCCGCTGAATAGCCCATAGAGATCAATCCAACATATCCACCAAACAACGAATGGGAATGGCTCCCTCTGTAAAATGGCTCCTCTCATATAACATATACGTATTAATCGTTGGATATGGTGAGACCATAAATTCGATCCACCAGGCTCGGCAGCGGCGATCTAGGGTTTCGGGGGTAAGTATGGGTAGATACAACATGTGTGATCTTATTTGGTTGAATATACGCACCTCGTATATTAAGAGGAGGAAATGGGTTAGAAACACCCCGTCTGATGATAGGTCTTGATGGCTTCGCATGCTTGTCTGGAGAAATGGGAGGGTTTGCTGGTAGTGTTGGAGGGAGTCGATACTTTTCGCAGGATCCTGGCGTGATAGGCTTAGGGCAGAAACAGCCATCATAGCATGGAAGAGCTATAGAAAAGGGCATATAGTTAGATTGAAGCTTTAGAACTGAACGTTGAAAACTCACTGGTAGAAATTTGGCCGCCTCTTTCTCAAATATATCTGCTCCTGGCATATTTAAGCCATTTCCATACATATCATCATGTCCTAAGCCTCCTTGGACAAGGTGCTTCCATACAACGCTCCTGAAATGACCAAGTAATTTTGCATCTTCCAAGTGTCCCGTTGATCCTACAAATATAGGATGCTTTGGTTTATCCGGCCCTCGACTCGCGTTGTCGTCATAATCTTCGGGTGATTTGGATCTCGACGACACTGTCTGCGGAGAAGACCTTAGGGATTTCCAATAACTTGTATTTAAAGCCATAGAGTCTTCAAATCTGGATAGAATTACCACATTCGGGTCAGTTGATTCCGTCGACGAACGAGGCCGAGATTTGGAGCAATTCCGCTTGTGGGTTGCTGATTGCGTTGCCCGAGCAGTCTTTTTAATTGGAGGAAGGTCATCTTGTGAACATTCGCTGTCATCCGTTAAATTTGCGAAGCTATCTGGGTTCACCACCACATGATATGTACCCGGGCTATAGCATTCTGCCTTCATCTCTCGCTCTATGTCCGTTGTCAATGATGCGAATGGAGGAAGGATATCATCGCTAGTGGTGCTGGTGGATGATCCGGAACTACTTTCGGGCGGCGTGGGGGAGGAAGCTAGTATAATATGTTAGCCATATTGTATAAGAATCTAACAACAGGTAGATACTCGTACAGTCCCAAACAGCGTTCCCAGAGATGGAAACATCTTGCATCCTTTCCATAACTTTCAGAGTATCGTCTCTAAAGGAAAGCCTTGGACTATAGTCACACTCATGACCTAACCGCGTGCATTGCTGTCGCTTTTATTAGTATCAGATCAAATAGAAAGCTGGCAGATTCATATGATACATACACCGCACCTTGGATGGCCTTCATCACATTTCACTAAGAAACGTCAGTTATTGCATTTATTAATAGAATATTAAAGGCATCTCCTCACCTTTCCGCGCCTATCAATCACAGTCAACCCATATGTTAGCCCTTTCTGAAATCTCGATATACAGTAGCCGGAACTGGAATATTCACCCTACAGGTCCTAAAGTGACGGGAAATGTTAGATATAGGAATAGAATAATAGACTGGGCTTAGATTCTTCTTACCAACAGCCCGTTTTCGACCTTGGAGGCAAACGTACCCTAGTCGGCATTTTAAGCCTAGAGGGTTCCATCTCCCATCCCATGTCCAAGTTTGCCATTCTGGGCATGCCGTATTTGGGAGCGATGGGTGGTAGTGGTTGAGCGTATTTTGTAGAAGCCATGGTGAAGCAAATGTTTCCCCCCTTGCCCGCTCCAACTGAACTGAACGTTAGTCAACACCGCCCGGTTGGTGTCTCGACAATCCTTGAAATGCGAAAGGCCTCATGCACTGTACGTAGAGACGAAGCTGAGGAAGTAGACACAGGGCTAATTCATATGCAGTCGTATTTCCCACTTTCACAGGGCGGCAGATCGGTTGTGACTCGGTGGCAGTACGATGATTTGGAATGTCCTGAAAAATAGTCAAAGCAAAAGGCAGTTTCAAATTATGGCGTAATAGTTAATAGCCACAATAAGAATGCTCAGGATGGTAAACTGAAGAAGAGGTCAAGAAACAATAGAGCATAGAGATAGAGGTGGCGTTGAGGCCGATTGAAATATATCAACTATCAGTTAAGCATAACAGTAACAAAAGCTTAGGATTGTTTCATGACACTCTTGATGATGATGGACAGTTCCACTAACTGGTAGCTCCAGCAAAATTTACATTCCTCGGCGGTCTCCGTTGGTGTACGGAGGGAATGCTGGGTATGAGCTTATAGCTTTTAGGTAGATCTGAAGGGCATGATGTCCGAAAAGAAGTGGCTTATGGGTTAATCGCCATATAATCGCGCTTGCTAGTTAAGCATCTGCAAGAATCTGCAGGAGAATTCAGACTTGGGGTATTTTGAGTGTCGCTAATCGCGACAGCCTTGCACGCCCTGCTCGCCTAGCGACAAGATCGAGGCATAACGGCGTTAAAAGACGAAAGAAGCGGTAGCATTTCGAGATTTAACCTCCGCGAAAGGGTATATTGCTGCTTTCCTGTGGCCTCTTTAGATCCTTGCGGTGAGAGAGCTGGTGGTACTGAAAGAAATGTCCGTAGTTGCTGAAGGTGAAGCAGTGACTGTAATACGAAGAGCCAAGTACAGCACAAACTCGCCAGCTTCATCTCCACGCCAATCCCAGGGCATCCAGACTTGCTGCCCTATGAGGGCTTCGTCATGCCTGGGCGGAATGGAAACTGCATTTTTCGCTGAGCTCTTGCTGGAAGCCCTTGCGCCCGTATGCTCGAGGGAGAGCCGCGCTAGTTTTCCTCCGTCCTGGGATGGTGGCTCGACACCACAGCCTACGGGCTCGTGCAGTGTATGCCTCCATCAATCAGCGGTAGGCAGAGGCCCTGGGATGGAGAGCCAGAGTAATTTTGAGCGAGCATGGAGCTAATCTGAATCGCTTGAGTGCTGGGTCGAGTAACGAGCTCTCGTACGTACGATCGTCAAGGCTGGGTCTGACCCCCTGTTCCCTCAGCTCCCCGGCGAGATCGTGGAATCTTCTATAAACGGCAGAGCTGCGTCGGCATCCGGCTGGAATCTAACAGAATATCTCAGTCTTCTGATCTGTTGTTTCACTTGGCAGATGTTAACGGTGACATATCGACCTGGACAGCAAGGAGGTTGTTGTTTTTTCCTACGGACGAAGCAACGGACACTTACTAAGGTGTATCCCGTGATCTGCAGGGTGCAGCCCTCAAAGGGATCAATTTTGTTTTTATAGAGCTGTCTCTGGAATTCTCCGTGTAGGATGTTGGATCTAGAAAGGCTACCAGTTGTCCTCGTCATGCTGGACGTCTTATGAGCCCCGAGACACTGCGATAGCCACTTCACAATATGCCGTATTCATGTCGATTATCATCTATATCGATGTCTATACTGACAAATAATAATATGTAGGACCATGTTGTCTCCGTATGAAAGGTTAAGTAACCGGATGGTTTTCCGCCTTGGCTAGCTAAGGGGAGGTGATACAGCAGATAGCCCGTATTCTATAAATGGATTGTTCGGGTAGACTATGTGTCGGGGGATTGATAAATGCCATCTTAAAGCGCCTTGCTGATCTAGTACTGATCCAAGGTGGACGTAGTATTGTAGCATAGATCTATCGCTTTGTACCAAGTAAAATTCGTCCCTTAAGAAAGTTCAGTTGGACTTATCATGGAGATCTCTCCAAAATCTCATGCCAGACTGCTTTAACAGGTTCAGACCGTTCGGCATCTCGCCACTGTTCAATCCGACTTCGCTGGGAGCTATCAAGCGGCATAGAACACTTCTCGAAGAATTTCGTGTACGAGAGAACTGCATTCGCAAATTTGTTCCTTACACTCTCGATCGGTAAGTCGAACTCCTGGAATAGAAATTCGTGCTCTTTGACTAGCTTTGAGACAAGGCCTTTTTCTAGTAGTAGCGGCACTGATTTTTCGCCTTCTCGCCCTCCGCCCAGGAGCTTTTCATCGATCCGATCGAAAAGACCCTTCACACCGTCGAATATCGTCGGGTATACGGACCTTCCAGCATATGTAATCACCGGTTTGATTACAACTGACATTTGAGTGAGGTAATCGCACAAATCTGCAGGTTGAAAATAGGTTAAGAGGGTGATTGAGATATGAAAATAACAGGGGAAGGACATACCCGCTGGTGGGAGAGTAGGATTTGCAGCATTGTATAGACATTCCACCCCTGCAATGATGGTCTTGTCTTCAATGCTAGATAATTGGAAGAGGAGTCAGTAAAGCGACTATTTATAACAAGAGGTACGATGATCTCACTTTGGAACGCGGCTATCTTTCGAGTCGATATCCATTCTATCGCTTTTTAGCTCGTCCACCATTTCTTCCAGAATCGGAGACACCACTGCTAAAGTTTCGTTCATCATATCCAGATCCTCTTGGTTTCTGGCAAAACGCCCTAGACCCGTCAATCCGTGAGGTCTGTAGTCGACATTCTTTCTTTTTGCTTCTCGGATTACAATGACCTAAATTGTTGTTAGTCAATGGACAGCGGATTATATCATTGAAGGTGTCCATGAATAAAACCAACTGACCTTCATTCGTGCCTTAACGTCCTTCCTCTCCTCCAAGAATGGCTTGGAATGAATGGAAAATTCAACAAATGCATCTAAGACCTTCTCCTTTCCGTCCCATGTCTTCCCTTCCAGAGCCTTTTCAAGATGTGGCCAGATAGATCTAGCTGTGGGGAGATCCATATTCTTATCTATCGAAAGAACGGTTTTGGCCACGCTAAGCGCAGATGCGTGCTTAATCGGCCATCGCGGTGAATCCAAGTAGCAGGAAACAAGTTCAAGGATTTCTTTCAGGTATAGCGAAATAATGCGCTTTCCGCTCACATTATCACTCCACGTTTTACTGAAAAATTCCTTCACCTCGTCGGTGGTGTCATGCATCCCAAGGAATATAAAGGGCAAGAAAGCCGAAGCAACAGCTTGCACCCTTTCATTTGCAAGTTTCGACATCGAGTTTGTGATTTCCCCGGCCACAACGCGATGAGCTATATCTTCTGACTCCAAATACAGTGATTTGGCGAATTCGATTGTATCCAACACATCATCATTGCTCGCTAGACGTGTAAGATACCCGATGGCAGAACTATATGATGCACTGACTGTTTCATTCCGATCCAGGACAAGTTTTCGCAATAATCGGATGAATCGAGCTGCGTACGGACGGAACAATAGATTCTTAGAGCTTAGGATAACTAGAACCCGACTGCAGCCTACTTTGGATGGCAGGCCAATTGCGGAACGTAGTGAAGATTCCAACGCAGGTACTACTTCTGTCATGCTCGCCTCATCAAGTGAGTTCAGCAGGTGTAGCTCGATGGATTCCATCATCGGAGAGCTTCTAACCGCAGTCAGCCGCATCTTGTCGATTGCATGACCGGTTAATCCATATTTATCGGCGTTGAGATGAACATAATTAACGGCCTGGGGCTCGATTGATGTAAGCGCTGTGAGAAATTTTTCCAAAATTTGTGGTGCAAACGGTCTAAGCAGAGGGCCTGCCGCATTCTTTATGATTTTCGCTATTGTGACGATGGAGTATTTTTGGATTTCTTCAACGCCCGACTCTAGGCCCTCACGGCCAAGAAGAAAGGGGACAATATGCTTCAGCATAAGTTTTGCCCGCTTTGACGAGGCATCGCCGGCCTCAAGAGCACGTAAGACTGTGTCACTAAGGGTTTGACATAGTGATAACGCGGCTTGCCGTACTGTTGATTTTATATCATCCAAGACTTTAAACGACTTTGTGAGTATTTCGCCGAGGTATTTGTCATATTTCTCAACTGGACGACCTTGAAGCAAGGAGGCGATGCCAGCGCAGGCAGCTTGTCTGACTCGCCATTGCTTCCCGTCCACAACGCTGAGAAGAAGATCCTCCATAATTGCGTCAAAGTGCGAATCAATCACTGCATTTGAATCCTTAACAAGAGCATTCCATATATCATTCATGGACCTTTGTACATTGGGGTTGGGATCGAATCTATATCGATACAATTTGGGATATAATTTTGGATTTTGAGAAAGATATCCGTTCTCACTAGAATCCGAGAGGACATTGCTTAGACCAAACCGGCCGAAAGCAGCACGACTGGACCATATCGCACTATTGGAGGCCAATGACATGAATCGATAGACCAGACTTGGGTCTCCAACTTCAGACGCAAGGCCGACAATATCTTTGTATGTCGTAATTGAGCCATCGCCAGTAGGTAAGGCTCCAGGCTCAAATAGCTCTGTTTCATCTGAGATCTTTCCCCCTCCCATATTCGAGTTATCTGCCGTAAACGACCGCACGAGATCACGAACCAGGTCGTCCTTAAGGCTTTGGTTACCTAACTCGTATACTAGAGATAAACCCCTCGAGGAAGATTCTTGGACGGTTTCGTCTTTGTCGGAAAGTAGCCAAATGAATATTTGCTGGCACTTCCAGAGCCGATCTTGAATCTCCTGGGTCTGACCGCAATACTGTATAAGGCAAAGAAGCCATATTACTGACGCTTTCTTTAGAGATGGCTTAGGTGCTTTGCAATCGCGCATGACCTTGTCCAGTATCTTAGAGAGAACATGGGAGGGAATGTTAGAGTTAGGCTTTGCAACGTCTACATCCAAGGATGCAATCAATGATGCAGATTGCCACCCAGCTGCGATAATGCTTAAGGCTTCTCCTACTGCAAACTGAACTTCAATCACCTTGATTTCATGGAGCGCATATAGTACGTCCAGCAATTGTTCCAGACGGGCGGATCCGCTTTCTTCTTTGGGGATTACCAGTGATAAACGCCCAAGCGCGGTTATCGCTGGCTCACTGTGCTTTTTAGCATCCGCTGAGATGGCTTCGATAATAGATTTCCAGTTGTCGCCATCTTGTATATTCTCCACGGTAATAGCTGACGCGAGGCTGAGTTGTCCGATAACCTCGTACGCGGCATTCCTAAGAGCTGAGTCTCGAGAGTCTTTCAAAATCTCAACTGCAGTAGTTAAGCACTCCTGAGCCTTTAGACTCTGCCCCTGAATCTGTTCGTTCCGAATATATAGCCGAGAGAGCATGAAGGCTTGGCCAAGCAGAGCACCGCGCGATATATATGCCGCTTTGCCGACAGCCTCTCGCCAACTAGATACACGAGACTTCATAATTCCCCATGCCTGGTTCCTTTCATCCTCAGACGAGCAAGGGTGGGTTATTACAATGCCGAAAGCTTGGGCGGCTGTGTCCTGTTCAGGTGGGGATCTTGCCAGCAACGTGTTCAGTAGGGGCTGGGAACATTTTATGAGCGGCTTAAGGAGCTTGTTGGATGTGAGAGAGGCGATTTCAATAAAGTGAGTTGCCGACCGGCCGATTGATAGACCCGAATTGAGGAGCAACCCTTTTAAGCAAGCGTTCAAAAGTAAGGGAAGAACATCATCACATCCGGTAAGGTAGGCCCTCACCGACTCTCGAGCATTTTCGCTATTCAAAAGAATATTGTCGATTCGCTGCTCCCAATTATGCTCTATATCTTGGATAGCATCAGTATTCACTAATGCTTCGCAGAGCAGTATGTTGCGGATAAATGTAACGGCAGTTGCATAAACGGTGGTATATTTGTCAGAAGCGAGAAGAGAGAGAAGTTTTTGTCGAAGGGGGTCTTCGTTATCCATATGTTCATCAAATAGATACTGCGTGAGCTCCTTGAAGCGCGGGAACACGTAGCGCTTGTTCTCGGCAGTCGGGATGGCAATATTATCACAAGGATTTAACATTCGATACCAATAAGGGTCAAGTCCTTTTCTTCCCTCCTCAGCCATTTCCAGTCCACCATCTTGGCCGCCTGCAATGGCAAGGAGATCGATGCATCTACCTCGAACGTCGCTGTAAGGCATGCAGCGGTTAGAAAATCTAACGGCAGCAAAACGAGTATTTCTAACGATAGTGAACCCAGATTGTTTATCTTGTACCCCAGGCTCAACAGTTGCAAATCTAGCTAGAATAGGTCGGATCTCGTCTATTGCGCTGTCATCTAAATGTTTGGTGATGGAGTTGAGAATCCCACCTAGGGCCTCCTCAATACTGACAAACATTTGCGGGCCAGAAACGTCCGAGCCGAGAGCTGTAAACATCCATTCTAAAAGGTCGATATCAATCGGGCTTTTATTCTCCCCTGCTAGGGATGGGTCGATTTTTGGAGCCAGAAGTCCAATAGACTCGTAAGCGAGGCTCCTAGAGTTAAGCTCGGCTGGTTTTAAGGCTTGCTCGGGAACCGGCCAGCCTTGGCCCTCGACCATTTCTCGCAGTGCTCTGATGATGTTAGGTGCAACCAAGTTCAAATCAGACGGTGATCCCATCCTCGTCAGCCAAGTGACCAAAGAGAAAATTTGCTGTCGTAATTTCAATACCTCCAGGCCTCTAGCCCCACCCAGATCGCTGGATATCAGACCATCATCTAGGACTTGGATTATCTGTTGGGTTTTGGAGGTTGCGCGCACCGATTTACTCAAAAAATGGAGAATTTTCATCTTTAAGGCAGGGCGAGCTGGTGTTGCACCGTCAGTCTCCCTCGAACCTAGGTAAAGAGAAAATAACTGATCAACGACCTCGCTAGATTCCAAATCGGGACGAAATCGTTTAAGGGTGTCATCTCCAACGTCGGAAATTCTTGCGTTGGGGTCGGCCGTTGCAATCAACGCTGGCATAAACCGGTCGGAATCTTTGAACGCGCCGCTGTTCATAAATTTTAGGGTGGCAGCCTTCGTGTCTATAAGGCTTAGTCCACCAGGAACTGTTGGGTCCCAGGTTTCTCCGTTTGTTGATTCTCGGTTTAGAAATTTATTCTCTGCCATGGATAAACCTGGGCAAGGCCTGGCAGCCCCTGCGGCGGGTGTAAGGAGAAGCAACTTTCCAAACCAGCGTGATAGAAACGTGCTATCTTCTGGAAGTAGCTTCAGTTTTTCCCCAATATTCAAGTCTTCTTCACTTCCCCTAGCAGGGAGTTTGACAAGAGGAAGAAGTTTCAGTATCAAGTTGAAAAGAATGGACATTTGAGTCTCAGAGCCATTGAACTGAGCTATGTTATGGAGCAGAGAAGGCAGGAGATCTAGACTGCTGGCTGGACCCATTCGATCAAGGCCATGCCGGATGTAGATCAAATCAAAGTGTCTGACCAGGGAGTTATTTGTTTCCTTAAATTGCTTCAATAGTGCCTCAGCTGGAAAAGCTATGGATTGAGACTGGACTCTGGTGTTGATATGCTGGCAAAGAGCCACAACCTTGTTGCGAACAGAGGCATTTTCGGAGGCAAGTTTCAATAGAAGCGGAGTCAGATATGTATGAAGAAGAGATTGGAGCCTTGCATCCGAGTCTGCGAGAGCAATACGCAGCTCCAGCTTAGAAACTAGCGCGAGCTCTCTGTCTTCTGTGCTTTCCACCATGGTTATCGAGTTGTGTCCAAATATAATGGGGCGAGGCGTTGTTTTTGTAAAGCTAGGTATATATTTTCTAGCCCACGCACTTATTTAAATGCATCAGAATATGTTGTCTCCCTAGGCAGAAGTCACTATATCATCATCATCATCTCCTTCCTCTGCTTAGGCAACGAGAGACTGGCGTGTACTCCGCAGGTTCCATCATTGAAGTCGACTTAAAGATTAGTCATCATGGCGCTAACGGTATTAGCATCACGTGGACAGTTATGATTTTCTAATCTCTGCGATAGGCGACTAAATAACCGCGCTTATCTATTGGTTCAACAATCGCCAAAATAAACTCTGTTCCTGATCTTAGCGCGTTAGGAGGTTTTTTTTTTATCTCAAGAGGATAAGAAACCAGCAACGCGCCGTGGTCGAGGACAGCGAGCTCCATGCGTTCTTCTAGCCATTTTTGTTATTTACGCCTATTGCCCACTATTAGATACCATGCCAATAGCACTTAATGATTAATTTTTCATGACCTGGACCTCTCAAACATCCTTCGACAAAATTTTCTTCTTCGTATAAAATTCTTTCACTACATCAACATGCACAGTCCTAGCTACGAAAAAATGGTGCATTCTTCCCAAGCGTCACTGCTACAGCCTGCAGTTATATCTGAACCGCAATTACAGACCAAATCGAACAGTGACCTGGTCAAATCTCTCTCTCATTTGGTTGCTGGCGCGTAAGAATACCATCTACGACTTCCTTGCCATGAGTATTATGAACTACTCCGGTTACTGACCACTATCCCTTCGATTTAGTACTGGCGGTGCCATTACCGCAGTTCTCACATCTCCTCTCGATGTCCTCAGAACTCGACTACAGTCAGACTTTTACCGCCCAGCACTCTCTCAGTCCGCCAGCTCACAGCCCATTCCACCGCACATCTTGCAAGCATCTCGCTCCATGTCAAGTCATATTCGCGAAACATTCCAAATTCTCTTTTCAATATACCATATTGAGGGATGGCGTGGACTTTTTCGAGGACTGGGGCCAAACCTAACCGGTGTTGTGCCAGCCAGCGCCATCAAATATTACACATACGGGAACGTCAAGCGTATAATAGGCGAATCTCGGCTTTTCGGGCCCAACAGTGAAAACGCGATGGGCTGTCATATCATCTCAGCCGTTACAGCGGGGATAACTACTGGAACTCTCACAAGCCCGATATGGGTGATCAAGACGCGACTACAACTTGACAGATCACAATCAGCCACCAACCCCCATGCCGCCCCGAGACGATATAAGAATAGCTTCGACTGCGCTAAGCAGGTCTTGCGACAGGAAGGCCCTAGAGGATTATATCGAGGACTATCGGCAAGCTACTTGGGAAGTTTAGAAACAACATTTCATCTTGCGCTATATGAGCAGTTGAAGATGTTCATAGCGCGGACTAAAACTGAACAAGAGACACAGGCAGCTCTATCTGGTCGTTCCATTTCTGGAAATAAAACACTCGGCGATCGGGTTTCTGGGTTACTGGGAATGGGTGGTGCGGCCGCACTTTCCAAGTTTATTTCCTCGATCATTGCCTATCCACATGAAGTAAGTTTGGATATTCCCAACCCATACTAGGATCCTTAGGCTAACTGACACTTTACAGGTGATACGGACAAGACTACGACAGGCTCCCATGGCGAATGGACGTGTAAAATACACGGGGGTAATCCAGTGTTTCCGGCTTCTATGTAGGGAAGAAGGATTTAGAGCTCTATACGGCGGATTGACGCCACATCTTCTCCGTTCTATCCCTTCTGCCGGAATAACTCTTGGAGTATACGAGGCTGTACTTGAGGGTTTCAAACTACTTTCTGAGGAGTAAAGCATGAGCGTTTTCTTTTGGGCTGGTGATGTTGGATCGGGCATTTTCGTTCCTAGATTTCTTTCAAGCTGTATTATTATGAATAACTAACTATATGTAATAGAATAGAAGCTGTTGACAGCTGGATGTATAAAATAAATAAAAGGAAATTTCTAAAAATATCTCTAGATAGATATTAAGTCATATAGCGTCCTTTTAAATATACATCAGGCTCCCGCCCCCTTTTACTGCAGTTGGCCGTTTCGTCGCCTTGTATCAGCCGCATTGGCCCTTAGAGCACGGCCAACATCATTCTCGACGGCTTCGATTGCTTCCGCATCCACGACCTCGTTAGCGGCAGTGCCTTTCCTTCTCTGGTTGCCAAACAAACACTGCCATATATCTGAATCTCCCACCCTCTCACCATCTGCTCCAGGCCCAGAAAGTAAATTTCCGGGAGTAACATCTTCCATCTCGTGGGAGTTTGCAGACTCGAGGACATTCTCATCTAGATGGCGTAAATTTATAAGAGAACTGGCAGTATCACCATTGACATCAGCATCTCCGTCTATACCTAGGTCGTGGTAGTCGTCGAAGTTTTGGTGGTCTTCAGAAAGATGGCTTGAGGAAGTGAGGAAGTGTCGACTACCCTTCTTCTTTAAGCGCTCTTGACGTCTACGAGCAATATGTGCGAGGCGGCGAGTGACAGAAGTTTGGTAAATTGCTTCCTCTACAGTGTTAGCAACCAGGTACATCCACACTGTCGTGTCTTGATGTTGCCCAATACGATGGACTCGAGCAATGGCTTGAAGTTCGATGGCGGTGTTGATCAATGGCTCGCAAAGAAAGACATGAGTTGCATTAACGAGGTTGAGGCCGGAGGCGTGTGCTTTCGCATGAAGGAGGAAGCATTCTTTCTATTATATTTATTAGAAAGGCAGGGAATAACGGTATACCAATGGGAGAGGGAAGGTAACGTACCGTATGATCCTCCTTAAACCGCTCAATGCCCGAAGGACTATCAATGCTAGTATGTCCAATTTTAAATCTGCTGAAGGCCTGACTTAACACCCACAAAAACTGTTTGCTTTGGGAGAAAACGATGGATTTAGCACCAGGATCATGTTGACGAAGCCATAGCAAATGCCGTGAGAGGGTATCGATCTTCGTTCCGTAAGATCCGGAGATATCAATATTCTGGATCTCTTCTAATACTCTCGAACTAATGTCAGAGTATATCGGGTTCTTAGTCGCGTGGCCCGGTTCAGTGCTGGGTGCATTTTCCTCCTGAGCGATAATTTCCTGCGGTTTATATGTGATCTCGTGAAAGTCGCTGCGTTTTAGGCGGCTCTTGCATATTGGACAGCTCTGGTTTTGGCGCCACCAATGTCGTATACAATCTTTGCAATATTTATGGCCACAGACAGTTAAAACACCTATAAAATATACCATTGTATTAGCGCAACGCCCATCTCGGGGATAAAAACGCGGAAGCTTCAGAAGGGATCGAAAAGCTAACCAATCTCAAAAGCGGTATCACAGATAATACAAATCCTGGCCGTTTCATCCGCACCAGATTCATCTCGGAGATGGATAAGATACCGGTGTTTGGCCTTCAAAGTAGATATCTTGGCGTCAATTTTCTGTTCATTTCGCAGCTTTGCATCAAACTCTACACGACGAAGAGGCTGGCCCCTATGCTCCTCGTCATACGGCGCAACAGTGTCAGAAATCTGCTGTAGTTGGCGGTAATATTCAAGCCTTTTATTCATAACAGTCCTGAAAAGATCCATTTGCTTTTCCAGGGGTGGGATTGCTTTGGACTGGGTGGAAAACATTTTGCTGACTGCACGGAGGATATCGCTAACGATAGAATGCTCCGCGCGGGCTCTTGAGCTCCCATGTATCTCTTGCCGTTCCAACGATACCACAAGATTGCGAAGCTCATTCACAAGTCCTCGTAGAGACATTTGCCCACGAGGAAGTTTAAGTTCCTCGCATTTGTTGATCAGCGAGATATAAAGCTCTGGAGCCGGTCCTTCGCCCAGTTTAGCTCTTTCAAGCGCCACGCCAACTTCATGCGTGATCAAGTTATTTACCTGGCCAGTAATAGCAGCATAGTGTCGAGCAAACATCACTCGAAGACCTTCCATATAAACATACATTTCATCCTGGTGCTTGGTGGATGATTCATATTCGTCTCCTTTCAGCTCTGTGCCTTCTTCTTCGTCGACCAAGGCCTTTAGAAGCAATTTTGCCATATGGTCGAGCCACTCGTTGAACGTATCGGAATGAGGCTTCATGGCGTCGCAGAAATCTTCAACTTGATCCAGCAAGCGTCGACTCTCTATACCGACGGATTCTAGGTTTGAGGACATTCCTGGAACATGACATACTCCATCCTTGTCAACTTTTGCTTGGAGGCGATGGATCTGGCCGTTCACCATTTGGATAGTATCTGCAAGCATTTCTCTTCTGATCTTTTTGGCAGTTTCGTATCCGCTCTCTTCAAGTCTATCCAATTCCCGGAAGTCATCAGACTCTGCCTCAGTAAGCTCCGGGTTGGTTTTAGTCTGATAATAAGCATTAGCCATGAAGAATTCACACATGTGTTCAACTTCTAATGCCGTCCGAAGTCGATGTCGGAGAGTTCCGAGTCTGTTGTGTTGTTCATTTTCCAGTTCATCCGCGTCACTGTTATCATTCTCGTCCTCATCCTCACTTGCTGTGCTTGAGGAGTCATCCTTCGCTTTCTCGGTTCTCCTTTTGAGCTCATCGTCAAGCTGTTCCCTGCAGCCTTTCACTATTTTCCCTGAGCGCTCTGCAGCATTTTTCCAAATTTCTAAGGATTCTTTTGGTTTCAAGGCATTTTCCATTATCTGGCCCCTACGGATCTGGCAAAGTAGTAGGGCACGCTCCTCAGTTCGTATCTGGGTTTCATTCTGGTCAATCATCACGGCAAGTACATCAGCAACAGATCTGAGTGGTCTGTCGACCCCGAACGCTTTACCAGCAGCAACGCCGACTTCAGGGTGAAGACAGGCTTGACGAAGCCTTGATAACCACGACCTCATCTTCGTAATAACAGCCCTCGTCTGGGGTTCCATTAGTTCAGGATCCCATTCGAAGGACTTAGGAACACCAGATCTATCGAGATCACACTCTTCACACATTTGTTGAAAAAGCTGGTCATAGTGCTGCTCTTCCACGGCTGTAAATGGGACAGTGATGACAACTCGCTTCTGTTTTGGTAGTCGAAGCTCATGAGATACGATATCTTTGTTATGTCTGATGGCAATCTTTCCAATCATCGATTTAAAAATCGGCGGAAAGGTGCAGACCCTCTTCCAGGTACTCAACGAAAAGCAAAATGGTTCATAGCGTAAGAATGACAAAAGGCCATATATATCTTCGATATCTTTTCGCAAGGGAGTACCAGTCATGGCCCATGCATTCCATCGCGGAATGATTCTAGCAACCCGAGCGGGTTTGCTAGTCTGTGACTCAACCATCTGAGCTTCATCGATACATACGCGCCACCAGGATATTTGCATCAAAGGGGATTTCCTTATGGGGGCCTTTTTCCTGTTCCGGGAGGGCCGATCGGGAGGGTCCTCCGCGTAATATATTTCGGTGTTTAAAACCATATATGTCATCAGAACTATGTCATAGGAAGCTAACTCGAGAGTTAGTTCCTGGTCATCTGCCTTGCTCTTTTTCAGCCCCGTATAATGTTTAACACGGAGGCCCGGGGCATGAATAGCGATTTCCTGCTCCCATTGTTTTAGAATCGATGGGGGTGTGATGATCAAAGTTGCTCGAGATTCTATTAGCCCGGTGGGAACTAGAGGGTACGTCCCGTTGGTACGCTCGGGTCGCTTGTGGGCACATATCAAGGATAGCATTTCCACAGTCTTCCCCAAACCCATCTCTTCCGCCAAAATCCCCCCTCTCAAGTATTTTTCCGCGTGGTTCCAAGATGACAGATCTTTAATGACAACCCTGAATAATAGGCTGACATAGCATGGCTGGCCATCCACATCTACCGCCTTGGTAAATGAGAGAGGAATTTCTTCCGTGCGTGGTCGCTGGCGTAATGTCCCATCAGGCAAGACACCCATGCCTTCTCTTTCTAATAGCCAGCGAACAGTTCTTTGCTGAAAAGGAAACAAGTTACACTTGATTAAATCCAATTTCTCAATCATTGGCACATGCACATATGATTGCGGGACATGAACACTGTCGTAAAAGTCGCTTAGACTTAACTGAGGTTGTGCTACTTGCGGGTAAAGTTTTGGGAGGGGGTGAGGGGGGTATATAGAGTCTGCAGAAAAACCAAGCTGTGCTTTGTAGTATTTCCAGAGTGCTTTTAAGGCGAAGTCGGGTATTATATATCGTATCTCTGTTGAGTCTATCCATAGTATCCTCGTCTCAAGGATGTAAAACCGTGTGTTGGGGTCAGAACCTCGTTTAAGATGTGTCTGAGAGAACACAGCCGGCAGCTTCCCGCGAGCGCAGTAAATTGACGTCGAGTTTGAAAGAGAGGTCCAGAGAGCTCCCATAAAAGTATCCTCCGGCTGAGAGTCAAGGCCTTCGGCTTCCTCTAAAATAATTTCCTGCTCGTTCGTCCAGAGAACCAAATTCACCCCTGGCCTCGTATGATGCGGGTTTTTGACCAAAGCAAGTACTGGCACATCGATAGCATGATTGTTATTAAGTGGTGGATGCAAAGGTGGCTTGGTAAACTCCTAGAGAGAAGCGGTACATTAGTTGAGGATATAAGTATTTCCATGCGGAACGAACGGATATCCAGCTTACAAGTGACATCTCAATTTTGCCGATTGCCACGTAACGGGGTAAGACGTCCGCAGCATATTCGAGGTCAATACGAGGTATGTTTTTCATTATCTTTCTCCGTTTCTCTGGAGGCTCCATAGAGGTTTCCGATTCTGCGTTGTTGGTGCTGGTGGAGAGTGAAGCAAGGTCCGCAGGAACACGCCCTAGAGCAGAGTGCTATTAGTAAAGTACGTCGATGAAAACGGAGGAGAAAAGCTAATTGATCCTTTTTACCTGGAACCATGACATTGTATTGCTCGAATGCCATCTTTCGCGAGTGCCCCGTCCGGCTTCCTCCAGCAGGTGAGGATGGAAGAAGTTGAAAAGCACTTTAGGCAGATGCGCGGCCAAAAGTCGCGCTGCTTATCGATATGATCACATGACATCACTCGACTCCACTTGCGGCTCCTCGGCATTACGTAATTATTTAACCTTAATTTTAACCGCTGAAGAAGAGTCGAAGAAACGCTGATTCAATGGATTGATTCATTCCAGGCTATCTAACCGTTGAGTGACTAAATCATAAGAACCATGGTCGGCTTTGTACGTCCCCAGCTTATCTAATGCGCCGATATTGCCCCCAGTTAAAACCGCCAGCCTCTAAGCTCCGCCTCTATATTGAAATAAATGCCCCTGGTAATGCGCCCACTCACACAAAATCTTCAGTTCATGTCAATGGCGTCTGTCTATAGGTATGCGGATTATAAGTAGCTGCGGGCATTCGACTTCCATCGGTGACTCGACCACGATAAGTTTGTCCCATCTCAACCATCGGATCTACAGCTAGCTGTGCCTCGTGGCTCATTCTCGGAGGACTCGACGGGTACGATCCCGATTCTAGACTTGAGGATGCTTGAGCCATGCCCTGTGATCGTTCGCCTTGGGGTATATGATTCCTTATCTTCACCGCAGGGAACAAGTCGAACACGAACGAAAGCGCATAGCCAGCGAAGATAAAGGCAATGACCCATTCTATAATTGCGGACGCGTCTCTCTTCGACCTCCGTTTCCCGAGAACTCCATATACGATCGCCAGGGCTAACTCGACCACTATAAAAAATAGCTTTGTGACGAAGCTCGAGAAGATGATCTTGTGCTCCTTATAGTAAATTCCAAGGCGGAGGTATTCCAAACAGATAAAAATAGCGCTAAGGAGATATCCTGCACTATGTATGAAAGGCCAGACGGCAAAGGTTAGTAATGTATCTTTCACAGAAGTAGATCGTGAAACGAGGTGGGGCATGTTACTTACATGAACATTATAAGAAAGCCACCATGTAGACGGCTGTGTCGAAGGGTATCAAAGTGTGCAAGTAAAATGAGCCCAGCCGCTCCAACCATTGAGAATAATATGGCAAGTAGAGAAAGGATTTTATCATATTTGCCCTTATTCGGCGCAAGGCGCCGAGTGTGCCTTAACCAGCGCTCAGACGCGAATGCGAACACAAAGAACACTGACGATACGGCACACCCAGCGACAAACAGCGGCTTTAAGCCTTGAGCAGCGACATCAGATATATACCTATTCAGTGCGATCTGCGTTAGTTTTTTTTCCCTGTCGCATATCTTGCCATATATCTAGTTGTGCTAGATAGGAAACCCACGCTATCGACTGGCCCGGTTCCATAGAGGCATAGACAGGTGAGCCATCAAGTTTCCATCGTACTAGGAGTACTATTAATGTAGCTATTTTTGAAGAGTTAGTTTACGTACCTTCTTCAAAATCGATGAGGGCCCTTACCTATCCATACACACGCTGCTACCAGTGGGAAGATCCAGTACGATATGAACCACATCATAGGGAAGGCTAACTAGGCCAATTGATATAGTATACCACGGTACCGTCTCTCCCTCGAGGAACACCCGATACGCTGTAGCCTAGATATATTCCGCACAACCGGCCTTCCGTGTGGACAGCAATTGGTGTCTCTGGGGAGAAAACTAGAAGAAACTGTAACCTCAGCTAAACGATAGTAAAGCCATCTTCTGTATTCTCAAGAGACGCAGGGCCAGCGGTGCCTATATGTACCATGACGCCCGTGTTCAACGTGGGAAAAAATTCCCGGTGGGTTTCGGCTCCTCGGATGAATGATGTCATAACCATCTTCAACTTAGCCAAGACCCGGACATAATCTCGGGAATAACCATCAGTTCATGCGCTCGTCCACCCAGCTTCACGGAGTGTAACGGCCTAGATGCTAGAATTAAGCATTAGAGGATCGATCAAGGCTTATTTCCTCAATCTTCTCGAGCTTCTTGCTGTTTTGGCACGCGACCAAGAGCGCGGTGGAGATACAGTCTTCCCAAGGTTGCATGTTCACGTGATATTCGGCTCAGGCTGCTAATGTTAGCATATCTGGATGGTCAAAAAGAAGCAGCTTACCGCAAATATGTGAACCAACACATCGAAAATATATAGCGGTCAAGTCAAGCTAATCTTCCCCTTGACAACCAGTTTTATTTGTAACAGCACAGAAAAGGGTCATTTTCTTCTCAATACGAACAGCCAGGAACTCATCACGATTAAAAGATATAATTTTAAACGTATAGCCGGGGACCATATAAGACCCTCGTCGAAGAATAAAAGCTACAATACAAAAAAGAAAAGGAGGCAAAAGTGGTATGAAAGAAGAGCATGTCGGTTCGTTTCGAGGGTGGAAGGAGAAGTAATATGAGCTCTTGGTGGAGGGAAAGGGGGATACAAGACGGAAGGAAGAGCTAAGAAAAGAAGATAAGAAGAAGTCTAATGGCATGTATGAAGCTTCAGCTAGAAAACAAGCAAGAAGGAAAAGAAGACGAGTTGAAAAAACTCCTTATGAATTATTGTCCCAATATATGAAAACATGTTAAGAGGCATCGCGTCGTTGGTTTAGAGTCGGAGTCAGAGTCAGAGTCAGAGTCAAGGAAGAGGGGATGGGGGAGTTGTGGAGTGGAGGGGGTATGGATGTGTTAAATCCATCGAAATCTCTTCCTTTTCGGTCGAGTAAAGCCGTTTCGACCCGTGGAAGTTTTGGAAGAGGACGACTTGGATGTATCTAACGCAGTGGAAGTAGCGGAGGTTGCAGAATCAGGTGCAGGCGTATCGGGCTTCTTGGAAGATTTGGCTTTAGATGTTTTCGACGTTGACTTCGTTGGTGCCCTCCTTTGACGTGCTGGCGCATCTTTCTTGCCGCTTGAGCTGTCATTGGTAATCTTAACTCCGTTATCACTACTGCTACCCCTGCTCGAGGTCCGCGTGCATGATGGTAGAGATGGTCGCTGTAATGCGAGTTGATCGGTAGGTGGATGATTCTCGTACGTGTCGCGGGATGCAGGGCGGTAGACAGGTTGGCACATGATGTTTGATAAAGGTGGTGGATAGCCTGGTCGAGGGTACATGGGATACTGCGACTGTGGCACTGACAGCGGTATTGCGCCGGCTGTATTAGGTGGTGCTGGCATCCACTGGTGCTGGCTGAAGGGGTAGAATTGAGGCTGTGGTGGTAGCATTTGCAATTGTTGCCTGGTTGGTATTTGGGATCGAGATGCGGGAGATTGGTTGGATGGGTTCGTAATGGAAAGATGGCTAGGAATTGGAGAAGCGGGCATAATGTAGTATCCAGGATATACGGGTGGTGATGTATATGCTGTCTCGGCAACACTGGTTGTGTCAGACGGCCTCCGTTTTCTCGAAGTTCCGGATTTCTGCCTGGAGCTGCGCCTCGATGTAGTGTCACTTCGTTCGTTTATAGATTGGGTATGGGTCAAAGTAGGCTCTGCTTCCGAATCCCGTCGTCTTCTCCTTTCCAGCGCGGCAATCTCTCTGGCGGTAAGTTTGAAATTAGCCTTCCCATGCATCTGTGCACGTCTTATCTTTTCCAGCGCATTTTCAACAAGCACGTCTTCCTGATCTCGCATCGCTAGTTCCACTGCATATGCAATTGTGTCATCGGTAGACGGACCATCCATGCCATATTCCATCAACGAGTCCTGTTCGTAATCATCGTCTGAATAGTCGTCCTCGTCGTCATACTCATAATCATCACTCCCAGACCACTCCCCAGGAACTCCCCCTGCTTCACTATGCACCTCCTTTCTCCCTTTGTCAAAAGGAGTTAACGACACACCTTGATCGTCCTCGTCCTCATCACCATCCTCCTCCTCCTCCTCCTCCTCCTCCTCCTCCTCATCATCATCATCATCATCATCGTAATCACTTTCCGCAGGCTTACTCTGACTCTTCTGACTCTTCCCCGCGCGCGATGCCCCTAGCGGTCTTCCCCATAAGGGCACATCATAAGGAGTTCGCGGTCGACCACCTAGACCGCCTCCTCCGAAAAAGCATTCTCGATCGGCTTATCCATCAGCGCAGCATGACCCATCACGCACGCGCCGGTAGCACAAATGAGCCACAATGCAGTTGTCAATGGCGACGCCCATAGACCCAGTAGAACAGTCAAAACTAGAAGAGTGGTGTATAGCTGGCTGGTGGTGGCTTGGAACACGCCAAGGTTAAGATCTCGACCTTCCAGCTTTCCGATACCGTAAGAGCCACCAAGGACTAGCAGGATGACGAAAAGCAAAGCCAGGTTGGTGAGCAGGCTGTAGATGCTGAGCACGATGAAGACAACGACATAGTTGCTTGAGAAGTAGGAAAGGTTGTAGCTCGCGCGGCTCTGGAACTCGGAGAAGTTGGCGGGCTTAGAAATCCGCTTGATGTCCAGAAATTCGGAGATGGGGCGTAGGTTGGCGAACCGACTGGACATTGACTGGGAGCGTATGCCATTTATTCTCTCAGAGATGTTCAGGCGCGAGGTAAAGGCCTCGATTGGGAGTTGGATGCTAGCCATTGTGCAGGTCGGCTGTGTAAATGAAGATAAATCGAGGCTGGTGAGCGAGAGAGGCAGATTAACAGTCGGTTCTAGGTCTGAAGAGTTAGTTAATATCCGAGCAAAGAAAAAAAAGGACGGCACACGATGAGGCATCAGCAATCAACAGGGATGGACGGAGGCTGCCAATCAGCAACTCCAGCGTCGACCAACCTTTTCAGTCCGTAACAGTCTTTGTAGAGTGGTCGAAGGCGAGTGTCAATTGAGACAGGGACGGCAACGGACAGCGAGCTATATACCACCAAGAAATAAATAAGGGAGCCTGGCTAAGAGAGAAAGTTGCAGAGTTGAAGTCGCAGCGACGTGGACAGTTGTGGCTTGGCTGGTGGCTGAGGTAAGCGCCCCTGAGGACAACATGAAGACAACAATCAGGAGGAGAAGGATAAGAAGAGATGGAGACAACGATGAGGAAGATGAAGATGAGACAAAGATGAGACGGATCAATTGAGATCTTAAATATTGAATACTCTGCTAGATCTAAAGCCAGGGAATCTTAAGAACTTCCTATCTCCTATCTATTTCTTCGAGATCCTGACTGATGTATATTCTATAAGAGTGAGGTTCTATATTTCACAATCCTCCATTCATCTAGACATATTGGATCTATGCATTTATAATGTCTACTATTATCTATCTTTAAGATGACTGCTACGTAGATGTCTCGCTGGGGGTGTTACGTGATGATACATAGATTACCACGCCAAGTCCACACTTAACAGGGTAAGCATGGGTAATATTACAGCACCTGACAACACACATATAAACCACCTTGCAACTTTGCGACTTCGACTTTGGCAACGACTTCCATGTAAACTACGAAGAATCAGTGAAAGGCTTCGACGTGCCGTCAATCCTTTGGTAACGGCTCCTGTCAGACACCAGGCGACACGAGAGCGCCAGAGTCAGGGATATCAAGAAGGAAAAGCAACGCAGAGCTGCGGGTACGCCCAATATGAGGCACTTTGATCCCCTGCGGTTGCTCGCTTTTGCTTTGCTGCTTGTTGGCCTCGTTGCTGCGTGGTCCAAAGAAGGTAGATATCTCTTCGAGACGTGGATTGATAGGCTTGCCTGCTCTAACGAAGCTCTTTGCCCGACTTAGATCATGAGATATTTCGTCTTCGAGATGAACTCCACGCCACCCAGGGCCTCAATGTGACCTTCTACGGTATGTCCTGAGCCCCGTCCCATCGGCACTCAATTGGCTATATATTAACTGAGTCGATCAGATTTCCTCGGCGTCAAGCCCAATGTCGGCCAAAGTGAGCTCGTCAAGGCCTACCGCAAAAAATCCAAGCAATTGCATCCGGACAAGGTCAAGCGTGCCTTCATCGCCAACTACGCTCGTCCTCGCAAGGCCAAACCAGGTGCTAAGCCTGGAGTTCACGTCTCCAAGGGCCCTACGGACCGCGAGATCGAGAAGGCCCACAAACGGGCCACCGAACAGTTCGCTCGTCTTGGTCTGATTGCCGATATCCTCAAGGGCCCGAGCCGTGAACGATACGATCACTTCTTGAACAACGGATTTCCCGCGTGGAAGGGTACTGGATACTATTATAACCGCTTCCGTCCTGGCTTGGTTAGCGTGTTGTTCGGACTGTTCCTTGTCTTCGGTGGAGCTGGACATTACGCTGCCCTCACGCTGAGCTGGAAACGACAGAGAGCATTCGTGGAACGATATGTCAAGCATGCTCGCCGTGCCGCGTGGGGTGATGACTTTAGTATTCCAGGTATCTCTGGCCTGGGTGAGACTGCCACTGCCTCCGGCGCATCTACCAGTGCCCCTGCTGCTGAGAATACCACCGAAGAGGCCGCCGCCGCTGCCGCCGCCATGCCCGTGAACAGACGACAGAAACGCATGATGGAGAGGGATAGTCGCAAGGAAGGAAAGAAGCCCGTCAAGGCTGCCAAGGCTCCCAAACCCGCTGCTGTACGCGAAGACTCCTCTGGCCCTGAAACTGGTACTGCGACCCCTGTTGGCGTCGAGACTAGAAACAGGAAGAGGGTGATTGCTGAGAACGGCAAGGTCCTCCTGGTTGATTCTTCTGGCGACGTATACCTGGTTGAAGAGAATGAAGATGGCGTCAAGGAAGAATTCCTCCTCGACGTCGACGAGATCCCAAAGCCTACTATTCAGGATACCATGGTCTGCCGACTTCCCATGTGGATCTACAATAGCACTGTTGGACGTGTCATTGGTTCGACCTCTACTTCGTCCGCGTCCGATTCGGCCGAGCAGTTTGAAGAGGAAGAGAATGCTCAGGAGACGGTCGAAGAAGTAGGACGTTCTTCTAGTGGGCAGAGGAAGAAGAAGGGTAGAAGAGGATAATTTATTACTCTCCCTTTCCTTTTTCTCCTTATACTATTCACTTCTCTGTAACTTGTGTTAAATCATTCGTCTATTTTATCTTATATAAAAGCATGTTGATCTGGGTTTACCCCCTTTTCGTTTCCAAATGTATTATTAACCCGATTACCCTTTGATTGAATGGATTGATGATACAAAAGACGATGGCACATATCTCAATATCTAACATACCGTCCATTGCTGCCCTCTAGCAGCATCGTTATGCACCGATATTTAAGCTAACCATGGAACCATCTTACTTCAAACGCTCAAGCGTCATGGATTCAAAAAGAGTTTCGAAGACATAATGTAGCATAAATATGGTATTAAACGTTAAGATTAATAATAGTAGTAAATAGATTGTTACAAAACATGGGGTATCATTATAGGGTATCCGCGGCGGCATCATGTGGAAAACAGAAGAATAAGACTTGGGCAATAGCTTTTTCCAAAGACATTATCATATCCGCCACGCCAGGTCTTTGCATCGCCTTCTCTGCTAAGACCTCAATCAAGTCTGCACGCGCTTCGTATCTCAATGTAGTTCATTTTCGTGCGATTGACTGCTGACCGGCAATCATCCGAGTAACCACCCCCATTAGGCCTCGGATTCTCACTCGTAATCTCGTCCACTATTTATCTGTAGGGTTGTGGCACAGGTGGCTGGGCGTAATTCTGGTATTGTGGCGCTGGTTGCTCATATGACGGACCTTGCAGGAGAGACTGATGGGCCTCTCCCTTAACAGGGTCATAGTATTGCTGCGGGGGTGCAGGAGGTTGAACGAAATCGTTCCTCGTTGGTTCGAATCCTGGTTGGCTCATGGGTGGTGGAGTTTGCATATTGTTCAGCTGTATCTGCGGTGGTTGCTGAGTTTGCTGCATCGGGCTATTGTAAGCTGTGTTTACGTTTTCGAACGGCTGCTGGGCGGTACCCTGAACCGGTGCGTAGACGCCCTTCGTAGGATCGTGCTGAGCTGCTGGGCCGGGTTGCGCAGCTGGGGCCAATGATCCCTCAGACACAATGTACAGAACGGCAAGATATGACAGGGCATAGAACAGGTTCCAGAGGAACGTGAATACGGCGAAGGCTATCGTAGTGTATGTTTCTCCCCTGACGTAGAAATGGAAATTATAAACCAAATCAAAGAACGTCAATGCGACGGGAAAAATGATCACGAGGAAGATCCATTTCTTCGCCCACTGAGTATATCATGTTAGCTGGCATGAAATTGCCGCAAAGAAGGAGTATTTGGAGAGCGATTAGACTTACAGAATTCTGAATCTGGGAGCTTCGAATGGTAGCGAGGAGTATGCTAACTGACGCTAGACCTGTTCCAATCACGGTGACTATACTGTAGGTGGCACCAAGCCCAATGGTCACTTTGGACAGAGAGCCGAGTACTCTATAGCTCGCATTAATGCTCGAAAGACTAGTTTGCAAGCCCAGGTAACAGAGGAGAAGGATTGCCATGATAATCATGACAACAAAATGGCCGACTGCGATAATTCGCCCAAGAACCTTTCCAGCCAACTGGTGCAGATGTTTGCAGAGCGGCACCATGATGACGCCAATAAGGAGGAGAGCGCCCCAGTTCCTGAACCAGGTTCGGATTATCGTGAGTGTCTCATAGCTACCAGTATTCCCGCACTCGCGCATGACTGTTGTAGCAATGAAGAGTATAGTAGCACTATAAACGTTGTATGGCATTAGTCAATTGTCTATGGTCGCATATCTGAAGTTTGAGCCAGGCGCATAGGATTTAAAAGGCTTACCCGATAACCAACGTTAATGATAATGTCAATGCACACCACAGCGATTTTGATTTGCGTTGACCTCTCGTTTTCATTGCCTTCGACTTTGACGAAGTAATGCAGCTCATCCAGAGGAACACGAACAGAAAGATAGACAAAAACACCATAGAAGCGACGATGGCCCCATCCTCAAACGCGCCGGAACGACAATGGCTCGAAATGCTGCTACCACGGTGACCACCGCTACCACCGCGACTACCACCACCTCCTCCTTTTCCACCTTTGGGAGCCATGCCAGATATCACAGAAGAAGTTTTAACAAAGGAGAAAGGGCGATTCTACCTGGCTCTTGACGGAGGTAGAAAAAAAAGCCACTGGAACAGTTCAAAGGCAGGGATAAAGTATCAGAATCGCAGATGACACACACAGACAGTCTTGGTATATATAACTCCCGAGGGTAAGGCCAAGGTCCTAGCGAATGTGCCTTCTCGCGAGTATGTAACTTTCTCCCAATCGGTGAGCGATCGCGTCACGCTCTAGCTTTTATATATTTGGGCAACATAGCCTCAACCCCCCTGAGGCCATACCGCGCCCAGGTGATCTGCGACCAGTTAATGAGCAGCTTATCCCATAAAAGCGCGCCCTAACAGCACGCTATGCCTTGAAGAAGCTTAGGCTCTGCTTATCCTTTGGTTATCCTAATTTCAACAGCGATTTCCTCTTCGGTGGGTGTTATCCCATTGGGGCTTAAAAAAATAAAAAGGAGGCTTTGTTCAATACGAGCTAGAGGCTCCGCATGCGGGAGACAGGGCCGTGCTATTGGGAGCACTCAAAGTTAAGGCTCGTATTTGTCTCGACCTTTTGCCCCCTTTTGCACTTGGGCCGTTCTTGGATTTCGTATTTTCCGTACTGTTCCGTGTCCTCGGCATGTTTTTGGGCCTTCATCTGACATCTCAGCTGCCAGTGCATCTTGCTATATTTAGCACCTTTTCATCTCGCGCTCTAGGTGTTCGTTTCATGGTGATGGTGTGTGATGCGCTGGCGGCAATAAGCTAACGAGGTTGATCTCTAGTTTAGTCGCGATATAAAAAAGAAACGCGTGGTCATGTGATCTTTAGTATTATATAATCGGTACACTCTATTCTTACTCTGAGGCGAGGCAAAGTTGACATCAAGCTATTGATATCAGACAAAGTACTTCCCATGGAAGGTCTCAAGGCGTGCATCTGGAGTCTGACGTGTCACTTGAAGGTATCTTGAGAAATGCGTTCCTCGTGATTGATTCGGAGTAGACTTGAATCCAGATTATAAACCAAGCAAGGAGGTTTTGGATGAGGCCCAAGACGAATCCGAGGAGATTTACTCCGTACAGACGCTACTTGCGAGTTAGACTGCAGCGGCTGGCTCGTAACTTTCACAATGCCCGTCTTTTCCAGGTTGAAGAGTATTTTATGAGGGATCTATGGGGCCAGCGCAGAAATCCCGGAATAGGCGATTTGTTTCCTTAGACGCGGATGAGGCTCGCCGCTGACTGCTGGATAGAAGCCATGGTAGCGCGTTGCGGCGACAAAACAAAGGTGACTTTCCAACCATTCCTGGACTTTCACCTTATTTTAGTTAACGGTCAGTATGCACTCCGAGCAGTCCTGTTCGGGGCCCACCGTCTCCCAATATATCAGAGATAGAAGCGCTAGAGTGACCTGAACCTTAGGCCCTAGAGCACATAAAACTGTGTGTCAGATCAGAGTGTTTATGTTAAAAGTCTCCGGCAAAAAGTGCTAGACTTATTCACCACGTCTCCCGCGCAAGCAACTTGCTGAGAAACTCGAAAGGAGTCAAGCGACGGCAGCTCAATCAGGTCTGGCTCACCAACTATCATACTTGCAGGTTTTTGAGAGGCGACCTTGAGGTAGCATTCTGATAGGGCGAGGGCCTAACCGTTATCCCCTCCAGCATAATGTTGCCCGAGTACAACAGAAGGTACACAGGCACCAATATGCAGAAACCATGAAACCCTTGCGGCATGCGTCGAGCTGGCAGAACCAATGCAGAATGGAATCACACCGACGCTGAGAAACACCACTATATTGGTCTATTATATAAATCACTGAAGAATTGGTGAGCAACATTCCGTACAACATCACGGGTAAAGGTTTATGCTTATCCGGACTTATGGAATTAACTAACCTCGATTCGGCTCCTATAGGCTAATTAAGCTTATCTTCCCGCTGTGGGGCTTGGCGTCGGGGCTCAGTTCACTTGGTCCAGGCAGCAGCTTCACATATCAAGTGACAACTACGGTGAGAAAAGGAAGAGAAGGGAATACATTACAGCAAGCATCGTCTCTTCTTCCAGGTATCCTTTTTTGTGACCATATCCATCATGGCGGCCCATGGAGAAACTAAACCGGAGACCCGCCCCTATCATGCTACTGATGCAGATTTCATATCTCTTCACCCCTTCGTCAAGGCAACGGTGCAAGATAAGATACGCGGAGGCATCTTTGGATCTGCATTAGGCGACTGTATTGGTTTATACACTGGTTTGTCAGGCCAAACCCTGGTGCATTGAGATGTTGCATTGTCAAGGGTAATGTTACCGAGGCTAATTCATGAGGACAGAATTTTTATCTAAGAAGATTGCCTGTGATGCATACCCTGGGGGGAAATTCCAGCTGGTGGATCCAGTTACGAAATTCCGGAATGATGGTCATCGAAGTAAGTTACCTTTGTATCATGCATCTATACCAGCAATTTCGGCTCAGAGGCTAGGATATGCTAACCAAGATACCAATAACTAGATAAGTTTGAAGCTGTAAGTTTTACTTCCTGGCGTTTTTTATTATAGTAATATTATCGGGAATCATTTATGGCCTAGGTCAGAATGCTGATATCATCGATTTTGCCTTATGTTACTCTAGAAAGCATGGACGGATGATACAGACCACGCACTGTTGATATTGCTTTCGTACCTACACCACAACGGCGAAGAACTTTCTGTCACAGACCTTGCAGGGCGTTTAAAGATCTGGGTGGAGCAGGGATTAAGGGCCTTGGGCAGGCCTCCCTGTGGCTTAGGAAAGACAGTTGGTTCGGTAAGTATTGCTCAAATTTGATCTCACCGTAGAAGCAATGTAGATAAACACTACAGTGTTCTTATGTATGGTTTTACCTTTACTGACATTTATTTTGTAGATTGTTCTGGATAAGCAATACCTAAGCGATCCCATCCTTAAAGCGCATCAATACTGGGTTAAGTCTGGTAGAAATATAGCACCGAATGGATCCTTGATGCGAACACATCCACTTGGCGTTATATGCCTTTCCTCAAATATGGAAGAAACCTTTCAGACCGCCACAGACTTTTCCCTGATCACCCACGCGGATCCAAGATGTGTGGTGTCCTGTTGCATATCTACTGGCTTAATCCGCGGCATTTTGAGAGGGGAAATTTTGGATGAAAAAGACCTGGACATTCTCTTAGAGAGCGCGTATAAATGGGTCGATGCATGGATTCGAGATGTTCGACTCGCTAAGGATGGAGAACCTGAACAGAACGAAGGCGAAACATCAGAACCTGACGTTCGGGAGTTCCTTGATAAGGAAGAGTTCGACAAGCACGCATATGCAAAGACATTTGCGGATCTACAACTCGATGATTCATCCAAGATTGGATACGTGTATAAATGTTTGGGATCGGCCATATTAAGTCTTCGAATGGGCATGCAGCAATCGCCTTATAGCAATAACCCTGGAGTCGGATCCCCTGCTGCGCTACCTAACTCGGCCATTTTCGAAAATATAATCACGGAGCTCACCTATGAAGCTGGCGATGCAGACACCAATGCATGTGCCGCAGGCGCCCTCCTCGGCAGTTGGTTAGGGTATAACTCTCTTCCATCACACTGGAGGGATGGTATGGACAATCGCAACTGGCTGATGGAGAAATGTAACGCTCTTATCCAGCTTATAGGAGCGGGGAGCAATGTGCCTACGTCCAAGTATGATGGGAAATCGGATCCTGACACCCTTCCAGATGGCGGTAAGGGGTTGATGGATGAAAAAGAGCTGGGCAAAAGAGATAGTGACATGATGTTCAAGTACATGACGCGTCATGCGGAAGGGGTGGCAGAGGAGAAAGCCCGTCTGAAGGAGGAAGAGCGACAGAAAAAAGGATGGAGAAGTTTCTTGGGATGATATTTGTATGCTTCGACTGTTAGTCCGTAAGCTCGGTTTTGTCAAATATCCCATGGTTTCGAACTAGCTTATCGTGGTCTATTTTTAATTTCTTAATTAATGTGAAGCTATCTGAGACGTGATAGCAAGTAACGCAGGATTAACACGAATCGGTAGAGCAGATTTGACAAGAAGGGCGATATACAGAGAGCTGGCCACTAACCCCTAGAAAACTATTACCGGAACCTCAACTAGATGTAACTAAACTCGGTGGAAGTCGGCCCGATCCAAATGGTAGCTAAAAACTGCTAGTCTTCGAAATTTGACTACGTTGCACAGGATTAAACCAACGGTGGCCCTCCGTATTTATTATCGTCAACCTGATTCATCTTCGTCCATGCATTGATAGCATCCATATCACGGCACTGAAGCTGGCTATCCCACGTAACAAAGGCTCCAGTGAGGCGCTCCTCAGGCGTCCTGTGCAGATATTCTTCCGAATATTGTCGATGTCCAGCCTCATCAATATACGTGTAATTATGGTTCCACCAGTACACAACTGATATGTCTTCATGACAGAGGATGGCTTGTCGAAGCGTGTCAAAGCAATGATCTTGACATCTGTAAGCACAACAGGCTGCTAGGAATAATTATAACTCTGACTTACCCGTGTGCTGCAGAATTCTATATTGAGGCTTGTCTGAATGATATCGGTCTGGATACAGCGCCTTTCGAATCACATTTAGGCAATGCATTTGATGATGAACACCCAATTTATAAGCGCCATATCCTGGGTCGTTGTAGAGCTCAACTGCCTCGGGCAGTTTGACCTCTTTCGCTTTCTCTTTGGGAAACTTGAATATGCGATCATTTTCTTGATTGGAAAACAATCAGTCTTCGTACTGCCTTTTTTTGTTCTCTGAGATTTACCACACGAGCTTCTCACCTCGGAGCCATCCATCCCAAGCCTCGTCTACCTCATCTGACGGAGGAGACTGGAATATTTTATTGGGCTGGTAGTGTGTATTGATATATCGCTCAGCGCCATCCTCGCGCACAGGTGCTTCATGATACTGTCAGCGTTTGCCCGCATCAGCCCTTGGAATACTCACAATATACAGGCATAGGCTTATCAATCAACCATGTTGTTTGTGCGAATGATATAGCAGCGGTCAGAAGAGCCAGGCTGAATATCATGTTGAAAAGTGCCCACAGGTAGAGCCAGTGCCGGGGAATTCTCTTTTCTGCGTCAGGATGAAGAGTCAATCGAAGTCGAGACTTCTGCGGTCTCTTTTCTTCTTCACAGAATTTTTCGTCCTGGCTTTCGGTTGAGCGAATGGGCGAGTAATGGGAATCCATGGCTATGAAATAGCGAATACATCACAGTCAGCTACAAGAATAGTGTAGGATATATCCACCAGAAAGAGAGGGTACTCTCAACTCAGGGCACAATCACGAATTAATGCAAGCTCCTTCCGGGGAAATTCCGCTCCTTGCTGCAGCTGCAATCATCCAGTGGCTATCAGTAACATGCAGCTCTAGGTGGTAGGGCCGTGGAGTACAGAAATCAAGATTTGTATAGGGTTATAGTACAGCGAATTTGCTGTATCACACTCCACTGCTATCATTGATAGAGCAAACGACAGTTAAACGTCATAGAGTTTGTTTTGCAGGAGAAACCTGTGTCTTTCCCATCGGCATTATTATGATATATCCCTTATGTATCTATCCTGGAGTGTGGTGCTCATCTGGTGGTGGATGTCCTGCAGCGCAATGGAGGAGACTTGTCTCATATACCAACGGGATAACAAACGCGGAAGCCCATCAGTTCCTAAACCGGCTGAAGAATTCAAGAATACATTTGATCCATAGTATGTGATACAGGTCTTACTGTTCAGATCAAGTAGAGATGGATGACTAGAGGGCCCAAGCAGGAATACATAAATACCCCTACTATTCTGTAACATTCGTTAAAGTAAGGTCTACAGAAACAGAAAAATATCTTCCAAGCTCACATTCTCCCTCACATCTAACTGTCCAACCGGTCACTATGCATTTCCTCCTTGCGTTCACCACCCTCGCTGCCCTTGCTGCTGCTGCTCCTTTAATCCCAAGGGCTCTGGCCTCGGGGGGTGAGGATCTCTGCAAGCGCAACAACAAACTCGCCTTCGATGGACCTAAGAAAGTGGCCGGCCCCAGGGTTCCAATCAACAACAAAGTCAGCTTCAACAGACCCGAGAATGAAGCCGAGCTCAGGGCTCTGACCAAACGCAACAACAACAAGTTTGCCTATGATGGAGCTAAAGATGAGGCTACTTTCAAGGCCTCGCTTACCTGGCCAAAACTTACGTGGTATGTTCAACTGGCGTTTCCGTGCAGCCCTTCAGGATATTTGCTAAGGGGAAGTTTAGAAAGCGATCGATGCTCATTGCAGGCAAGACAATATGCCATCGGGACGTTTTTATGGAACAGTGTATGATCACTCGCATGGGAAATAGACTAAAATGTCTACGGTTTTCCTTCCGATTGATGTGTTATGGGATTTTGGCTTGCAGGTGAACCTGGATTAGTCTAAGAAAACTATATAGCCCTTAATATATTTTGAGGTATAGTTACCTTGCTATTTCCGTGTCGAGTATGAAACTGGCTGTGTAGTCTGTAAAATCCAGCAACCCAACCAAGGCACCGCCTTTCCATGTGCGTTGTATCCCAGACGTCTCTAGTTTAGCACGATCCTAGCACATGATTTCATCGATCTCCCAAATATTGGATTTGGAGGGGCTTGATATTCACGATGAACTTGGTTGACAGAGTATTATCAAGGTCTAAGTAGTATACTACATACATTAACAGGTTTATACTATGATAAATTTAGGTATCGACGCGCCAATATGTCTACCCCGAGTCTGCAAGGATCTGTGACAGTCTGAAGGTGCATGGAGGTTCGGCACGGAATTCCCAGTCTTTTCAATTCAGATATTAATTCTGCGCAGTATGCGCCGTTTTCATTTCCCAATAAACCACCACTCAAAACTATACCAGACTCCCGGCCCACGGGTGGCGTTAGAAGTGGCCTCAAGATACGAATCAAACCCCTAATACCATGGGCAATTATTTCTTTCGCATCGCTATCTCTTGCGCAAGTGGTGTCGAGTGGCATCCCACGAAGTGGCTGAGGATTATACACCTCTAAAACGACCCTTGCAACGCTGGCAATTTTGTTTTTGGGGCTGCCATTTGAGCCATTTGAGCAAGGATCAGTTAAGATTGCACTGACCAAGTCATAATCATTCATATGCTTGGAGATACCAAAATGGTCAAGAACTCTTTGAGAGAGCGGGCTCAATTTCTTGTAAGCTTCCTCCGCAGAAAGCTGATTATTGGTAGAAAACCGTAAATTATCCAGAGAATAGAGCGTAGAGCGAATGGCTTCTCGACCCAAGTCGTACCCTGAACCATCATCGCCGAGTAAATGGCCCCATCCGCCTGATTTCCCGTCCTGGATGAATTCACCAGTCAACTTGTTACGGGTATACCGTACTGCAACACTACCAGTTCCGGCAACGAGAATAATCTTGACGGACGGTTTAGAAGTCGATGAGACTTCTCCAAGAAGTAAGTCTGAGCCCGATTCCAGCACTTGGATGTCATTAGATATCTTAAAGACTCCGTCCTTGGTCAGTCGAAATATAGAAAACAGGGCTGGGTCGAGTTGAGCTCTCATTTGCGGCCTATCATATCCAGCAAGCCCGATCCAAATTGCTTTGAATTTAACATTGTCCAAGCTTAGGCGTGGATCGTCCTCATGCCCCCTTGGTGAAAACATGTCAAGAGCCCGCTGTACGGCAAGTTTAATTTCAGCTATCGCGGAATCCAGGGACGTATCGGATCTATGAAAGAGGGTGTGAGGTTTCGTTATCCCTGTAATGTTCGTATTCCTTCCCACTTACACATTGCATGGCCCTGCTTCACCTACACCCCTCTCTAAGTGAGTTCGAACAATCATTGCACGGCACTTTGTCCCTCCCCCGTCCACGTATAGAACAAATGAGTAGGGTACGTCATTCGGTTCCGCCATAGACAGGTGCACAGAATTGGAATGTCCAATGGCATTTAGACTATGCGCTGGGTTTGCGTCGGCTCTCATGATAGCAGACAATTTGCCGCTAGAGGCTTCCAGCTTTCTTCGTGCATATTCGGGAGTTGAACTTAGTGCAAGGGTAGCCAGGGCAAGTTTGACACTGCCATCACACCGACAAAGTAGGTCATCTATCTCTGTATCTGTAGATGGGCAGGATGAGCCGCTGAGTTTCCGGATAATATTCCTTGAGCGTTGCTGAAGTTTTAGGTTAGATGTTTTAACATCAACCATCTATATGAAATTAGAAAGCGATCACGAATAACATGAATATACGGTGCATTGGCATACCATATTTCCATATGTTTTACCAATTTTAATCATGACACCGGTGCTTAGCATGTTCAACGCGAGTTTCGTGGCTGTGCCTGCTTTCATCCTCGTACTACCTGTGACTACCTCTGGACCAGTAACGGGGGTAATCATATAGTCTACCAACCCAGAGGCGCCCATGGCTGAAGGGGCTGAACAGGAAATCCCAATGGTTATACATCCCAGCTTTTTCGCATACTCTAGGCAAGATAGCACATAAGGAGTACGGCCTGAGGCAGCAATCCCAATCAGCGTGTCGAGATCAGGATCCAGTTCCAGCGGCTCCAAGTCGCGACTACCAGCAGCATCGTCATCTTCGGCCCCTTCTTGCGCCTTACGCATTGCCGCATCTCCGCCAGCCATCAGCGCAACGAACTGGCCAGATGGGGCAGAGAATGTGGGAGGTATCTCTGATGCATCAATTACCCCAAGTCTACCATATTGGGGTAAAAAACCGAGATTAGATAGGCTGGATCCCACACAAAAAAGAACGGAGGTATCATAGCGAGGGGACCTCACCTTCCACTTGTACCAGCGCCAACATATACAACGCGTCCACCGCGAGATACTCGAGGAGCCAACGCATCGATGGCATCAGCTATGCGCGGCAGGCAAGGAACAATCGCTCCCGGAACTGTAGCGTCTTCATCATTGATCAGGCGACATAGTTCAAGGGTTGAGACTTTGTCGATGTTTGTTGTTCGAGGATTCAATCCTTCGGTCTGCAGGGTTGACAGATCGATAAACGAACCCATCATATCATGTCTCTAAACAGATTCGTTTGTGTACCCCTTCACACCCACCGTATTCGAAATTTTATGTATTCGTCGATGATTGTGTACCTGGTATGGAGGTCTTCATGAAGAGACAGGGAGGCGAGTTGCATGGTAAGGCGAAAATAGGTAGTTCTTTGTGGTATTCCAGGCAAGGCGACCCACTGCAAGGCTTTTCACGAGATAAGCTCTAGGTACGAGGTGCTCCATGTTTGACAGCCACGGTAGATACTGGTCCAAGAGTCTTTGGATGCTGTATGGCTGCTCGTGTGGTTGCAGTAGCATCCGCGTTGTGGCCTGAGTCAAGACATCCCAACGCTGCATCCTTCCGAAGGATCGCCAGTTCAAGGCTCTTCACATAACACCTTGGCTAGACAATGCACAAAGCCGTCAGAGTAACCACATTCTTAGGCTCGTCAAATCTATCCCGTAGAAGTACTCCAAAAGACTCCTTGTTCATTTTCCTTTAATTCTGATATTGAAGGTATAAAATACAGTGTAAGATGTTGGTAAATAACAATACCACACGTGACTAGCTACTACAAGTTTCGCCCAAAAGGGAATTTCGGGACGTCGCTCCAACCTCCCAAGTAGAAAGAAAGCCAGGAAACATATTCTTTCTTTGACAATGACATCGAAGTATCTCGACGGTATCTGGAAAGAAAGCTCCTGGGAGTTGAGTCGAAGAAACCTCTACCTTTTGTGGAGGGATACGATGGCATGTCAATAAATACGAGGGGCGTACCACTTCGGATTTTGATCGCCCGACATCTTTTGTACAGCTGAAATGCGACATTGATCCACCGACCAGTCCGTGGCTCAGAAGCTGATACTCTTGCAGCCGTGCGTTTCAGGTCTCAAGCCAGTAGCCATATATGATCATTGCATCGGGGTGACAGCTCAGCAACTTGTTGATGGATCCTTCAGCGATCGGGCCTTATACCGAGGATTTATATAAAGGATGTCTTACAACCCAGGATTACCCCATGTCAGAATGTTGCAGTTGGATACAACCTTCTGCTGCACCAAAAAGCAATGATGAAAGCTTCCCCATAACCTGGAGAAGCGCTATTAATACAGCCTAATCCTTTGGTGTGTTGTATAAAACACTGCACCCTCCCTTTTCTCCGTCATAGCAGTGAGACCTATACACTTCTTATATCATTACGATTCCCTGATCTTGAGGTAGCAGTGTTTCAATATCTGGCGGTACAAGTGAAACGGGGAGAGCCAAGAGGGGAAACATGGCAGGTTCCTTGTCTGTAGAACCAACGATGGGAGAGATGGGAAACGGAGAGCCCGACAGCCCAAAACAGTCCAGATGGATGAGCATCTATAGCCATGCTTGGTTCCAAGTACTACTGATCAGTTTTATTTGCTTCTGCTGTCCAGGCGTAAGTGTTACCTTTTCCCTGCATATACCCGTGAGCTGCATGATTATATAGCTAACAACTTCATGTATAGATGTACAACGCCCTCACAGGACTTGGAGGGTCTGGTCAGGTAGACGCGACAGTAGCTGCCAATGCGAATGTAGCATTATTATCTGCCACTGCTGCAACGGCACTCTTCTTCGTTGGACCGATATTCTCAATCATTGGCCCCCGAACCTGTTGGCTAGTAGGCGGATGGACGTATGCGCTGTACAGCGCAAGTTTGCTGAACTTTAACAGTGAGAGCTTCCCTAGCACTGAACAAGAGATGCCCATGCTAAGATGACGATAGTACGACATAATGGTCCCTTCGTGATAGCAGCGGGAGCCATTCTTGGAGTCGGCGCCTCATTCCTATGGGTAACTCAGGGGGCTATAATGACCACTTACGTCCCCGAGTCACAAAAGGGTCGATCCATCGCTGTATTCTGGATAATATTCAATCTCGGCGGTATGATCGGGTCTCTAGCCAGCTTTGGCTTAAACTACCATTCCGAAGAAGGCTCGGTGTCGAATAGTACGTACATTGCGACGATGGTAATTATGATGTTTGGGTGGGTGATTGGTGTCTTCATCTGTCCTCCGTCCCGCATCAAGCTATTACAGCTACACGAGGCGGAATCCAGCGTCATCCATCAATCTATAGGTAAAAGGTTAATGAATATACTTCATGCCCTCCTGCAGGTGCGGGTTCTCTGCATCCTACCGCTCTTCTTCTGTGCGAACGTGTACTACTCCTACCAACAGAATAACGTCAACGGAACGACATTCAATATCCGAACTCGATCGCTTAACTCGGCCATATATTGGATGGCACAGATGTTTGGCGGCCTATTCATGGGCTTTCTTCTTGATTTCGCCTATTTTAACCGTCGACAGCGCGCGTGGCTTGGCTGGGCGACGCTTATGATAACCGGAATGGCGATTTGGGGGGGCGGACTTGCGTTCCAACGCTGGGAAGATGAGAGACTTGCGCGCGGCCTGAAGCAGGATATCGACTATGCTCGTGACGCAGGTATTGCTACGGGGCCGATATGGTTGTTTTTCTTCTACGGGTCGTATGATGCGTTGTGGCAGGGGTACTGTTACTGGTTGATTGGTACGATGTCGAACTCTGCGGCTGTGGCTGCCGTGTTGGTAGGTGCGTACAAGACGTTCCAGGCTGCGGGGGGAGCGATGGCTTGGAGAATTAATGCGCTTAATGCGGCGCCGATAACGCAGTTGGCGATGGACTGGGGTCTGTGTATCGGGGCGTTGGTGGTGGCTATTCCAACGGTTTGGATGGTTACTTTGACTAGTGTTGACGACGGGCTGACGGTAACGGATGAGAAGAAAGTAGACGAAGATGATAAATAGATAGACGGGTATATTCGGATTATGTTCACTCCCTCCTCCAGACCAGACGGCCTGATTATTAAAAACTATTAAATCATAATTATAAATAACAATGCATATCAAGTGAGCAAACAACATTGATGCCTAGCAGCTTTCCTCCTCTTTATGGCTTTGCAGCTGTGCAAGTTGGAGGTATGAGATGTAAAATCTAATGAAGAAATGGACGCTTTCCCTCCGTTCCCGAAATGGACAAACGATGATTCAACTAGAAGTAGACCGAAGCTTGTTCGTGGTATGTTCGTGGTGGTGTTAAGTTACCGCAGATTCAGCATCTTGAGAATATCATGACGATGGAAGAAGGAGCGGTTGCGTTTGCCGAAAATATCTATCAGGGGCGCTGTTAGAGGGGGAATGAAGGGGTTGTTGCTGTAGAAGTTGACTTACACATGGGTATACTGAGAAGGCAGACGGCGACCTCGACGCCGCCGATGATAAGGAATACCTTCTTCGGGCCACCTAGCACCACCCAGTTATAGGCGAAGTAAGTAAGCAGAAAACTGAACATGTTCTTGAACACGAGCAGACACGTGAATGCCTCGATGGCGATTTCACCTATTCACCGTTAGCCACGATATCGAGACGGACCAACGTTGTAAAGAGTAGAAGCTTACGGTGAGCATCGACGATGTACAGGGCACTCGCCACAGCGCCCATGACCATACCGATAAGAACAAACATGAAGAAGACATCCGGGATAATCCATCCGTATCTCGGGACGTCGCCGGCCGCAAACCCGAACCCGAACAGCCCGATACCACTGAATATCAACTGCGGCAGAACAAGCCAGATACGGAACTCAGGCTCATATTTGCCTCTGTTGGCGCGAATGAGCATGTTGGCAGACCAATCCGAGAACAGGCCGGACATGAACAGGCCTACCACAGAGCCGATGAAGGCGCCTGTGTAGAGGTATCCCGTCTCTACTTCTGAGAACCAGAGGGGCGGGCCGAGGAAGAGGGCTGCGAGGAGGACACCGATGAAGACTGTCCAGCCGATGATGACGCCTTGAATCAGGCATGCCTGCGGATGTTAGTAAGTATAGAAGTAATGGTATGAAGTGACTTACCCATGCGATACCAGGGTGGAAGAAGAGCGGGAAGGGCCTGAGCAGCAGCTTGAAGAAGTTCTCGTCCGTCTTGCGGCCGTTGAAGAGGGCGAGGGATTCGACGAATGTTGCCTTTCTCGGCACTTCAGCGGGCGCAGCGTTCGCACCACCGTTGGCCTCTGCAGCACTCGAACTCGGTCCAGCATTTGCGCCGGACTGTACCTCCTTCTCGATCTCAGTGTGCGCTTCCACTCTCGCCGCCCGTCGATCGGCGTCTCCTGAAAAGTCGGTGTTGAGATGTTCGGCGCGCCTGTAGGCCGTTTCGGGCACGAAGAAGAAGACGAGCGGCAGACAGAGACCGGCGAAGATGGCGATGAAGTAGAACGTCCACTCCCAGCCAAGCGTGTGTGTCATCTTTCCTGCTATGACGGGCGTGAGGAATGCGCCTCCGAACAGCGCAACGTTGGACAGGGCCATGCGTTTCCCGCGCTCCTACACCATATTAGAACACATTAGAGAAATAAAAAGTGACAGACGTACGTGAACGAAGAAGAGGTCGCCAACGACGGCGTTAACCAGGGCCTCAAAAGGAGCAAGGCCAACGCCCTGGAAGACTCTGGCCCATATCAAGCTGGCGTGGTTTGTACCGCTGGCACCGGCCCAGACACAGCTAACGACGATGATGAGGTTGCCGAGCAGGAAGAGATGTCGTTTCCCCCATACTCTGGCAGTGGGCACGATGACGATGCCGGCCACACCGACGCCGCAGAGATGGTATCCCGTCAGCAGGGCGGCCTGGGTGAAGTCGATGGTGAATGTGCGCGCGATGGTGATGGTGTTTGCGGCCAGGATGGGTGACGTCGTGGCGCAGATGACGGACGTAAACGAGAGGATGAGCAGGATCATATCGCGTTTCCATAGCGGCCAGTTCTGTCCAGTCAGTCTCTTCTTCTTCTCTTCTTATTCTCTTCTGTAGATGCGTACCAGAGGGTCGTTCGGGTCGTCGCTGGGCTGGGGGACGAGGATGACAGGAACAGGCCCGGTCTTGTCGTACTTGAGATGCGATTCTTCAGGAACAGGCGTCTCGATAGAGCTGCCATCGTCGTCGAGCACGTAGGTCGTCCCTATACCGTTTATTAATTTATCAATTCATCCCTTGACTGTGGGTTCACTGACCAGGGACATGGCCGAGTTTGCTGTCTTCCAGTATGCCCAGCGCCATGATGCAGTACGTCTTCGCCGATGAGCAGCAGCAGCATAGATGTCGCCGGTGAGGTCGATGATGTCTTGATATGTCTCGAGATATCTCCCGGTCTAACTATCTCCTGGTCTAGCACTACTCAACGCCACCAGACCAAAGAAGACACAGGGATGGCCCTGGACTCGAGATCTTCGCTGTTACATCCATCCGCCCATGTTTGTTCTTCTGCTACGGAGGACAAGATGCTGGCCGTGACGGAATAATGAGCATTTCAATACCAACTTGCCGTCCGTCACTCCTGGCTTGATGGCTTCTGCTCGCTTGGCCGGCCTGATGGCTTGCTCGCTTGCTTGTTGGGCTTGAGCTGGCGAGTTCAACCTTGAGCATACCTAAGACTGGCTAACAGCTGTAGACTACGTAGACTACGTAGACTATACTTATAACTAGACTACGTAGACTATACTAGATAGACTAGATAGAAGACTTGTGCCTAATATAGTGACATGGACAGGGGAAGTCGAAGGTTGGACTAGCAGAAGTCGAAACTTATATCTTCTCCTCCTCCCATCCATCTCAATCTCCATCTCTACAACATCTCCATTTCAATCACTACCTCAATTACTATCTCAATCGCTATCTCAATCGTCAGAATGAAGTTCACCATCGCTCTCGCTGCTCTCGTCGCCGTCGCTGCGGCCCAGGACACCAGCGGCCTGCCCAAGTGCGCTGTAAGTCCAACTTCCAAGTCAAGATGCTTCCAAGTCGACCGCTGCTAACGTCCTCCAGCAAGCCTGCGCCGCCCAGGGATTCCCCAAGGAGTGCGGCCTCGAGGTCAAGTGCATCTGCACATCCCAGCAGTTCCTCTCTGCCATCACCTGCTGCATCGCCAGCACCTGCAACTCCGACGAGCAGAAGCGTACGCCTATAGCCCTTCTACCTACAGCTTATACAATTACACAGCTAACACTCGACAGAAACCATCAAGTTCGCCCAGGGCATCTGTGGCGCCGTTGGAGTCAACGTCCCTGACTCTGCCGTCTGCCCTACCGGCGGTTCGTCCTCTGGCTCGTCCAGCTCAGCGACTCCAACCTCCGGCTCGTCCCAGTCCGGTTCCGTCACCGGCACCGCCATCACCGGCTCTTCCACCCCTACTGGCACCGGCAGCCCGTCCGGCTCTGCTACTCACTCTGGCTCTGCCACTCACTCTGCCACTCACTCTGGCTCTGGCTCTCCTACCGGCTCGACCACGCCTCCCACCCAGACCGGAAACGCCGCCGTCTCCGTCAACGCCAACGGTGGTCTCCTGGCTGCCATTGCCGCTCTCGTCGTCGCCTTTGCGTAGACCAACTTTAAGCTCTACATTAAGCGCAGTTCAGTTCGGTTTGCGTAGACCGACTCTACTCTAATCAATTCTCCAACTCAATTGGGCACAGTTCAGTTCGGGTTTAGCAGCTATCAAGACTGAATGGAGAAAATTACAGGTTCTATCGTGTATCTCTTTTGTTTTCTCCTTTGTCAAACTCTCCTTTGTCTTCCTTAACGCAAATATATTATGTAATTGCTTAATGCTTGCTATTTGTTTGCTTCTACCTGCCTATAACAGGCTTACTATTACGAGAAAGCATAAAATAATTACCTGCTCGGTCTCGTGTGTGTCCTTGTCGTTTTCGTCATCGTCGCTCTATAGCAGGCTGAGAACCTGGTAATATCGCCCCGCATCCTGACCCCGGATATAACAGAGGCACGTAATATGCTAATGCAGTTCGATGGAGATGCGATGTTAGTGCGATCCCCCGCATAGCCTCATGACGATGAGATCCTGGAGTAGTGCGTCATCTGGTTTAGTTGATATGTGGTCACTACATATATATAGTAATGGCCTACTCTATGTCCTAATTACATTGAGATGCCTGCCAGCATATCTTCGGATCTAGTCTATAAGGATAGCGGAGAAAGGCTCCAACTTAATCTCGTCTGCTTCAGCTTCGAGCTGCGAAGCGATGCACCTTATGCAAGACTCTTTGGAAACACATATTCGCAGACCTAGACTACCCTTCTGAGTCAATATGCTGACCGCTGCGAGGCGAGCTACCCAATTCCCATGGGCTCGGAATATTCCCACGGGGGAGGGAGGGTCAAGTAGCTCTTCCCAATTGTCTATAGACGTATAGTCCAACTCAAGCATGTCGTCTTCATGTCCAGGACAAGGTCGACCAATATCCGGGCCGGTATATGTACGGTCTTCGATCATGAGAACATCGAGGTCGGCCACCCAATGTCCACGGTCTCGGACAGATATCACAGACTCGACGAAATAGACGTCTTGGTCAATCGTCTGGTTTCCCCGATGTAGGGGAACACGCCAGTCCGTAAACGAGAGGTGTAGAGAAGTGTCACTGAAACTGTTTTCCCTCTTATAGTCGTATGGTGCGTGGTGCATAAGACGATAGTCGTATTGTAGCGGGCGTATTTGGGGATCTTTAGGTGCCACTAACAGGCAGATGCCATTTTTCCCAATGTTTCCGACCAGACGTCTAACTTTGGGCCGCTTATGGGCATCTAGAGGGTCAGAAAGGACTGAGCTGGCGACAAATATCGAGTTTTGAGTGCACACCGCGAGTGTTTTGTTCAGGTCACTAGGGTCGAGGTCGATCGTCCCTGAGTCCAGGTGAGCTATGCAAGCAAATGCCTGTTTCCTGGCTGAAAAATGTACTCTTTTCGATGCCCATTTAGCATCACAAAGCGTCTTAGACACGATTCGCAAAGGTATAGTCGAACCCTCCAAGTGATTGTAAACGTGGAATGCAAAATATAAAGCGTCCAAGGAGGCAAAGAAGCTTCCAGTGATCTTTATATTTTCAAATAAGAGGTAAATACCAACGTGAGGGTTGAATCTGCTGGCTAGTGTTTGTATGGAATGTAGATAGGATCCGAGCCTTTGTGCGAGCACTGGACGCTGCGCAAGACGTTGTACTGCATCGCCGGGGCTTATAGAGCAGCATATCTCGATCGCAGCTATTCTATCTTTCACTTCATGAACTGGGCGCTTAACGAACAGACCAAAGCGCCAGTCCCCATATAAGCGGATAAAATTCGAAGTAAACTTGAAACCTGACTCTGAATAGTCGAAGCCGAAGCTTGGTTCAAAGCATTGGCATGCAGTAGAGTCGTTTAATAGAGAACAGGCCAAGTGATGGTCGGGTAAGGATTGAACATGATCATAGGAGCGGAATAACTGCGGCGGATGATCCCATTCCAGTAGCTCAGGCGAATACCGGGGGGCCTGCGCGGCTTGGAGAAGAAAGCAGTCCTCATGTCTCGCCCTGACTTGGTGCATACGACTGTTCATAAGCTCCATGACCTCGTCCACCTTTTTGTCTGTAGTATCAAAGGATGTAGCGTACCACCTTGCATGTACCGCTGTACAAATTTCCTGTCCTTCTGAGTTCCTTTTGCCTAGAAGTCTTCTTTTATGGGGGACGGCAGTCATATACTCCACATAATCAGGACCTGGATCATTGGGAGGACTGAAATGAGCGCACATTATGATATAATCGCCGCTTTTGTATCCCATCGATTTCGCAATCTCTCTTAAATATGTAACACCCCACTCACTATTTTCGTGCTCGGAGAGCGCAGAAAGAATGTGAATGTTACAGAGGCCAAAGTAAGGCGAGACTGTTTCTTCGGCTCGTCTAAGGAATGTGGTTGCCAGTTTTCGGCCAAATAGCAAAAGCCTGAGGTTATCCTCTTTCTCCTCTCCTGCCGATAAGCACAGTTTCCTCGCGGCCGCGATTAAAGGCTTAATCCATGTGGGATGATAGTGAACCGTATACCCTGAGGCTGGCAATTCTAGGATATCCCCAATAGCACAGAAAAACTTTGCTGCAGCTTCCAAGTCTCTTGAGTTGACATCCCAATGACCAAAAAGGCCTCCAAGTGCAACGAGACATAGCTGCGAGATGCTGCCTCGTGTATGATCTGGCGAACTTGTGACGGTCACAGGGGCTCCGTAGTACTGTAGATGGGACAAGGCCAACGACCATCGTACACCACCGCTTTCTTCCGGAGCATCTATTTGGAGACCGATCGTGCAAATACCTGTGCTGGGAAACAATGGATCTTTGAACTTGACATTCACCGTCTTGTTTCTCAGAACAATGAGATCTGGGTATAGGTGCCAGGAAGAGAGTGCGAGAAGCACACCAGCGTCTGATATCGACTGAGGCCGACCACACAGGAGGTCCTCTACGCCCAACATTGCTCCTTTCCAAGTTGATATGATTTTTTGGTACGTAGAAGCCCCTCCCGGGAAAGGAAGATTGATATTCTTCAGTATGAGTTGCAACTGATCGTGCTCCCGCTGCTTCGCCTGATCAGCACTGCGAAGCCAGGCACGCGAACTTGCATCCCAGAGTGCAAGGTCCTGTCTCGAGATATCTTGGAGAGAACTCATAAGACTCGATGCAGAGACCATGTTGTTGACCTCAAGAGACGTCTGGATCTCTCGTTTTCTTTCGGCAATCAATTCGACCCATATTGATATTGCCTCCTTGTCGTCCCATGCTCGGGCGAGTATACAGGCGAGAAGCAATATGGCCAAAGCCGAGCGTCCTGAAGTCGCTGCAGCCCATATCGCCGTTCCGTCAACCCCTATGTACTCTTTAAACGGCCCATGGGACGTTGAACCGACAGGATTGACACCGGGTATCTTGATGATTTCGGATATCCGTTTACCGTACGCCTCAATGAGCTTTGGCGCCGAGGGGATGAGCTGCTCAAACAACGCCGCCAGTCGTTGAGCCGTTCGGTGCTGAGGGCCATCTTCGGCTTCAACTCGTCGTTTTGTCGATAGAGCCGAGCCCAGTGGCAGATATTCGGTGGGCGCTTCCACCTTGACGAGAGAGAAGTCGAACTTGAAGTTCGCTAGGGCGCCATTATTTTCGTTTGTTATGGAGAGGAGCGAGTTTTTGAGAGAACTGAGCAGAGACATTAGTACCAGTTGTTGACTATTCAGCACTCCGTATATCAAAACAGCAAGTTAGAGGAATATTGGAGAGAATATAAGGATGGTTACCTGTCAGTGGGAAATAAGATAGTAATAAGTGAGAATGGCGCAGAGGATAGGATAGGAGTCGCTGCCAGCACACGAGGCTGAGCAGTTGTCACCTTGCATAAGTCCATGTAGCCTCATCCTTGCGCAGCGAGAATGTGCTGTTTCTCCAGGGCGTTGATCTCTCGATAGGATACTGGCTAGAGGGCTGGTGGAAATTCTCCATGGTCCGGGGTGCGCCTAAGTCTATCAGCGTATGTATATAAAGTGCGTTTTCACTATCAGGTAAAGCATGCTGAAATATAAGATCAAGTGTAACTCAAGCTATCGCTATAAAACGCAGACAGGAGACGGAAGAAGCAGAAAAAGAAGAAGAAGAAGAAGAAGCAGAAAGATGTATCGCTTTATTAAAATGCATGTAGTGTGTATCGTATCACAGTCTAGTAGTATGTCATCGCAAAGCAGCAACCATATCAGCGCCCAAGCCCACGCCGAAAGAACGAAGATGGCGCTCGGCTCGTTTCTTCTCCTCACGAAGCGCAAACAAAATCTGTCATGTATTAGTCTAGCTCAACTTAGTGGTCGTAGATGTAGATGGAGCACTCACCCAGCATGAAAACATCAGTTCCAGCACCCCGTAGCCCAACACGATTTTCCTCTTCAGATCGTCCACGTTAACTCCAGAACCGGAGCCGGACGCAGCAGCTGCAGTGCTAAGTCCGGATCCGCTGAGCATGGCCTCGTCAAACCATAGTATCGTCTTGCCCGCGGCGTTACGAAAGGGGGTCGCAACGCTGCCTGCGCCAACCGTGCTCGTTCCTGGCACACCCATTACTGTCGAGGTGGCCGATGCAGCCATTGATGTAGCACCCCATTCCGTTTCAGGGGATAGATATATCCGCAACGATACAACCATGAAGATCCATGACCGCAGGGTGATGAGGAGAATGCACAGCTGGCGATAGAGGGAGGAGAATTCGGCGGTTATCTTTAGGGCTGCATCGTTGAGCTCGGAGGACGTGGACGTGTCCGATGCCGATGAGGCTGTGGATGAGGAAGATGGTGTACGGGTTGACGCTGGCCGGGCATACGACGACCTCGACCTCGAAGTCGACGGAGCGGGCGATGACGTCTGAGACCGAAAGAGAGACTCTCGCTGCTGACGTTCCTGCTGCTGCTGTAGCTGTTGGCGATGGATGAACTCCGCTACGGCCAGGATATGGTTCAGCATGGGCAGCTTGATGGCCAGCGTCAGGTCGAACAGGGCGAATGACAGAAGCAAGATGCCGCAGTATGCGAACGGGGAGCGCGGGAGACTGAACGGCTGTATGTTATCCTGCAATGATAGTCAGTATAACCATGGTTATATCAATAAGATCGATGGCATATGTGCTCTGCTATGGACTGGCAGCTCAAGCTTACAATCCTCATGTCATTCCGGACTTTATACACCAGCTCCGCGCCGCTGACCGTCTCGCGCGAGGTCGTCAGGTAAATCGCCAGCGCAACCTGGAACAAGGCATGAAGCCTGATGTAGTTCTTTGACGATATCCGGCCCATTGCGCAGCTGTAGTTGGTTTGCTGCTGGCGTTCGGAGTGTTCTGTCTGGTTGTTGTCTGCTCAGCTCGAGGTTTCCCCCCCGCACAATCCAGCCCGGAGAAGAGTGCAGGACGCGCAGGAAGAGCAGTGCGATCTCGCTCGTTGGTCTCGGTATCAAGTGAGCGTTACATCACATTTGATCGAGCTGGGTGTCGGGGGTTCTGGGGGGCGGTTTGTCGTGGTGAGGATCAGGCAGCAGACGCTGGGGGAGAGAGATGTCACTATTTATTTAGGCTAGGGAAAAGGTGCAGGGTTGCCTCTTATCCAGCCAGCCCACCAAGGACAGCATATCCAGCTGGTTATAAGTACATGGATAGCTGATATCGATCGATATTTATACCCAGCATGAGCTGAAACGACGGCTCTGAACATAAGATATATCCTAACATGTCGCTCCGAAGAGACCGCCAGGTCAAATACTTCCTGCGCTGCCTCAAGACCTTCCTCCCGCACCCATATACCTCCAATGATTCCAATCGCATGACCCTGGCGTACTTTACGCTCGCCGGTCTCGATCTCCTGGGTGCTCTGAATACCGGCGCAGAGGACGTGAAACCGGCTGTGTCGGCCGCAGAGCGCGAGGGATACATAAACTGGCTATATCACTGCCAGGTCTCGTCCTCAGGCGGCTTCCGTGGCTTCACAGGCGCAGATTTCGGTGACGAGAAGCGGACGCCAGAGAACGAATGCTGGGACCCGGCCAATGTCCCGGCTACGTTCTTTGCGCTCGTCGCGTTGCTTATCCTGGAGGATGACCTGGCGCGGGTTCGGAGGAGGGAGTGTCTGCTCTGGCTACGCGGCATGCAGCGTGAGGACGGCTCGTTTGGACAGACTCTGGGACCTGGGGGGAGTATCGATGGCGGCCGAGATCTGAGGTTCTGTTGCTGTGCAGCAGGTATTCGGTATATCCTGGGAGGCGACGGTGAGAGAGAGTTGGACGGCGTTGGAGATATCAATGTTGAAAAGTTGATAGATTATGTCCAGCAGTGCCAGGTGAGCATCTACCGTTTGATATATACATTCTATCTACTGACATGCTGCATTGAAGACGTACGAAGGCGGGTTTGCAGAGTCCCCCTTCAACGAGTCGAATGGTACGTTCATGCTTCTGTCTTGATATATCTTCTTGCTTACACGGTATAGCTGGCTTGACGTATTGTGCACTCGGGACACTGTCATTCCTGGGATGTCTGAAGCCGGGGACGAAGCTCACGTCCTCGGTTACTCTACGTGGCTCGCCGGAGAATGAGCGTTTGATATCATGGCTCGTCTATCGACAGACTACTTTTATCGAGCAAGAGGAAGAAGAAGAGGAAGACGACGAGGAGGCTGAAGATGACGAGAAGCCTACCACTGCTGCACAGGACCAGAGCAATAACTGTACATCTCTTGAAGATGCTATAACTTTGCTGCCAAATCTAGAAATAGATTCACAACCAGACGGGCTCTACGCCGGATTCAACGGCAGACCGAATAAAATAGCCGATACCTGCTATTGCTTCTGGGTCACAGGGTCACTCGCGGTAAGAATGTTCTTGTTCTCTCCAGCGCGCGGCGGGTTACAGCATATTCCATGTCAGACAAGTCTCTAACGTCAGGTAGATGCTCGACCAGCTCAGCCTTGTCGACGCGCAGGCTAACCGTCGATACCTGCTTGAAAAGACGCAGCATATGATCGGAGGGTTTGGCAAGACCGCTGGCGAGCCACCTGGTATGTCTTTCATTGTATCTGATGCGTGTTTCCGTCGTGGACTAATCAGGCTGATGTAGACTTGCTCCATTCGTATCTCGGCCTCGCGTCTCTGGGACTATTCGGCGAAGAAGGACTCGACGGCGTCGACCCTATGCTGTGTGCCAGTCGACGTGTACGAAGCCACCTGGACTCTCTCCCTTGGAGACACTAGATACAGATAATGGCCAGTTCTGCTTCTACGTACTCTAACTGAACATCTGTAGCAGAGTCTGCATGTTCGCCATAGCTATAAGCTGCATATATGCATGCACAGTACCGTTCGAACAATAGATGGCATGTAGATAATAATAATAATAAATAATGTAGATGCGATGTTTCCGGACTAACGTTTCGGGGCGCACCAAAACCATCGACGACGAAACAAATGCTTCATCTCGACTCCCTGACACTAACTAGATATCTTCCCATCAACCGCGATCCTCAAACTCCTAGTCTGTTTCGAGTCCGTCATCGATCCCTACTCGCTCGACGCTCAACGGCGTGTCCGTCCTTGCTCCGCTCGTTGGAACTGCTTTTTGGATGGCGTTAGGGGATCCGGACAGGGGCACCGTTTCTTTCGATGACCAGCCCGCCTCGCGATAGACAGCCTACGCCGACACTTACAGCCTTCCGTCCGTCTTCCTCCTCCGCGTCGCCTTCGAATGGACTGCTGCTGCAACGAGAGACTCGGCCGGCGAACAATATCAACAGGCATCGAGACTGCTTTCCTGCCAGTCGCTGCATCGCCGTCTGTCTAGACACCTCCGCGCGGCCAGTACATACTTACACATGCCGCCACTAAGGTCGAGAGCCGAGTCGCAGCTTCAAAAGGAAAAGGTTGGTCCTAGGATGCTGCTCTGGTGCTTACTTGCTGCGGTCAATTGGGAGAACAGATTTGCTGACTCGGGGGTCTTCATAGCTTGTAAACTCCTACCATGAGCTCCTGAAGTAAGTTCGGTGTCCAATCCTCCCCCCATCCTTCACGACTGGCCCGGAACAAGCTGACAGGTTGTGTCTCTGTCTCGTTAGCGAGTTCTCGTCAAAGGAACTACGGAATGTCGGAAACTATGCTCTCGGAAAGCTGATCGGGAAGGGCTCCTTCGGCAAGGTCTATCTAGCTACACATAAACTTACCAATGGCTCGAAGGTATGAAAGACCGGGTTACGATATGAGATATGTCGACACGAAGCTAAGGGGTATTTCTTGACAGGTCGTACTCAAATCCTCAGACCGGGATGACCCCAATCTCGCCCGTGAGATACACCATCACCGTCAATTCCACCACCCACATATAGCCCGGCTATACGAAGTTATCGTGACGGAGAAGCTGGTATGGCTGGTATTGGAGTATTGTCCTGGTGCGCACCCGCCTGTATAGCCCTGTGCGGAGGAACATGCTAATATGACGTAGGGGACGAGCTATACAACCACCTCCTTCAGAATGGCCCCATGCCGATCGAGAAGACCCAGAAGATATTTACACAGCTAGTTGGAGCTGTAGCCTACGTCCACAGCAAGTCCTGCGTTCACCGAGATCTAAAGTTGGAGAACATTCTATTGGATAAACACGAAAATGTCAAGTTATGCGATTTTGGCTTTACAAGAGAATATGAAGGGAAAGCGAGCTATTTACAGACATTCTGCGGGACCATCTGCTACAGTGCTCCGGAAATGCTCAAGGGCGAGAAGTACGCGGGTGAAAAGGTTGATGTATGGAGTCTTGGGATCATTCTCTATGCGCTCATCGCGGGAGAACTGCCATATGACGAGGACGACGACCAGGTCACCAAGTCTAGGATCCTTACCGAAGAGCCCAAGTTTACCGACCGATTCCCAGACGATGCCAAATCGCTTATCAACCAGCTACTGTCAAAACGTCCGCTTCTCCGTCCGACTCTCAGCGATATTCTAGCCCATCCGTTCCTAGCAGAATATGCGCCGCAACAACAGGCAAATCTGAAGCTCACACGGCCTCCACCTTTCTCAACTCTGCTGGAGAAGGCAACCCTAGAGCGCATGCGCAGCGCCGGAGTGAATACAGACCAGGTCATGCAAAATGTACTGGCTCAACGCTGTGATGCTCTGGCAGGCTGGTGGACTCTGCTGATTGAAAAGGAGGAGCGCAAGGAGAGACGAAGAGAGCGTAAAAGGCGTGAAAAGGAGGCAGAGGCGAAAAATCTACGCCGACTGAGTGCGGCGAGTAGCCGGCTGGAACGGATATCTGCTGCACTTGTCGAGGTCGACGAAGAAGGCCATCCTGAAGAGCCAAAAGCTAGGGGTAGACGAGAAAGACGAAGCTTAACAACTCGTAAGCATATATTACTCTACTAACTCTCATTCTCGACTTGATGCTAACTTTTCCATTGAAGCGCAACTGAACATCCCAGACCTACCTAAACTCCCAGAAACTGCGGCATCTTCAGATGGTCTTCTAACTCCTCCACTTCCACCACCGCCTCCAATCGAAAAGGACTTTCCACGCTCTCCTAGGTCTACTTCTCGCAACCGTCCTGTGCCTCCTCCAAAGGAAAGACGGATATCTAAAGGAAGCGCGTATCATCTTAGCGCATCTCAGCCAGACCTTACACGACCACAGGGGATATTAAGGCGCCAGGGCACCCGTCGCCGCCAATATCCCATTATCAGTCAATTAGCACAGCTCAAACACTGGATAATAGAGTCAACAAAACGCACCAAATCACCACATCCAAAATCCTTCGCCGGTTCTTCGACCATGAAGTTCCTCTCTAACCACTCAAGCCCTCCCAAAAAGAAAGATTCGCCCAAAGACGCGACCGCAATCACTCCAACTAACGCTACCTTTGCCCCGAATCAGCAAACCCCTACGACGAAACGATCATCCAACTCGAGCAGCCTGGCACTTAGTAACGCTTCATACCCTGGTGCAAGGCGGCCTTCATCAATAACTCAACGGCCCTTAAATACCTCAAACTCCCATCATCGCAACTCTCTTTCACCGTCTCCGTTAACTCCACGAAATTCATATCGCCGATCCTCTGCTGGTTTAAGAGGGCGGAAGTCCACGTCCTCGTCCGTTTCCTCTATTCGCACAGTCCACCATGCTCACTCCCATTCCAAAACTTCATCCATATCCTCCAACAGCATTGACACAATTTCTACTCCAACGGGTTCTACCACCAAAGGCATGGGTCGTTCTCCTCATTCTTCAATAAAGATCCTTCCCGCGACGCCGAACTCCATGTCCGTTTTCCCGAACAACATCCGGCTGGTAAGGGGGGGTCCTAATAACAACCTGACCAGTGCTTTCAACGAAGCTGCACCTTCTCTTATTCCTTCGCCTACATCAGGTCCTATATTTGCTCGCAGGAAGCGAGCTACGTTCAAGGGGCCTTCGCTCACCTCAACCCACATGCTGTCAGGCAGTGGCCCGGGCACTCCCAGCCTGATGCGAAGTAGGGCCAGCAGTGTAGCTTCGGGCGAAATATTGATGACTGGTGCTAGGAAGAGCCAAATAATCGAAGAGGAAGAGGATGAAGTGCTGGCTGACGATACCACGGAAGAGGTAGATTGTTTTAGCCCAACCGATGATCGGGCCCCGGCTTTCCCTGAAGCCACCTCGGCCGTTCCGTTGGATGTAGATTATGCTACCGCAATCGCCGCTGCTGCCACGATGGATATAACCCAGCCTCGCGCTGAGGCCGAACATGAAGGCTGTTCTGATGGTCGACAACTCCTGCCCGCTGCTGAGATTACTGAGTATCCTCCCTTTTCGCCGATGTCGCCATCAGAACACGAGCAAGCGGTTGTACGCCCTCCCCGTTCATCGTCGCTCCGAGAAGTGAAAAACGGTTCACCCGGCAGTACAAAGGCCAATGACTCGTTAGAGCATATAGACGAAGCCCTTTCTTCCGCCCAGGAAAAGCCTTTGACTGACAAAGGCCCTTAAAATTTCTTTAAAAGTCACGATCTTTTCCAACTGTGATATCCCCTACGCTACATCTATCTCCATCTCATTTGTCAAGTTATATATATTCCGACTATATATCCCATGTACCGATACTTACTTCTTTTCTCGATTTTCCGATCTTCCATTACTCTACACTACCCCTTGATACCATTGTTTTTTAAACTGGAATCCCGCCCTACCCACCCCTTTTCTATACCATTTAAATGCAATTCCCGCCACAAAGGTCAATCATCGTTCTTACACTCTGAATTAACATACTTTTATATTTTTTACTCCTCTTGGCATGTATTTCAACTAACCTCATTTCACTTCTACCTCTTCTTTTCTTGATACTCCGCGAGCTATAGTCTCCTTATTATAGATCTTATTGTCTTTGCCTATTCTTCCGTTTATATATTTCTCCTTCTCTCTCTGACGGCTCAATATATTTATATCGGATACTACATTACTCGTACATACACCCCACTTAAGATTATTTAGTTGTATGTCGCTCTTGCAGACTGTCGTTGATTGCTATCGCTTACATTGGTACTACCTTGGCTAAGGCCAATGTTAAGGGGCTGTATAGAATAATCATTTAATGGCAATTTATGAGTATTCTGGTTGACGATACCAACTACCGGCATGCTACACGGGTTTTAATTTAGATAGGGCTTGTATACAAATGGAGCCGCTAATTATATTAAATGGCCACGGTAAAACTATCTTATACCTCACCCCATTTCCAGCAACATCAATCGTTGGTAGCTAAATAGCCTCGCCATTACCCCAAGACACAGAGTGAATGAATGCCCACAAAAATAAAGGAAAAGCAGGAGAGGAGTGAATGTAGGTTTACTTCACTTCCTTCTCCCCAACGATTGGAGCTACGAATTCAACCCCTTTTGAGGGGGAATCCGACTTTGCGATTTGTATATCAGCGCCGGTATGTTCTTCATCCGCCCTGACGTCTGCGATACCAAGATTACTGTCTCCAACCTTATCCGCTGGGTCACGGTAAGAGGGGACGAAATTTACACATACGGCATATGTCCAAGCCGCCGCCATGAGCTAGATGTCCAGTTAGAAAGGAAACTTGAAAGTACACTGGAAAGGATGAAACATGGGTGGAAGGATATTAGTTGATTCTTACAACTGTTGGAACGATCATTGCAAATCCAGTCGAATCATGCAAGTCAGCGACATAGCCGAGAAGCGGTGGAATGGCAGCGCCACCAGAAACACCGGCAATTATGAATCCAGATCCCCGTTTATAGTGTTTGCCTAGACCACGAATTCCCAAGGCAACGATAGTTGGGAAACAAACTGATTCAAAAAATAGAACCATAAAAAGCATAGCTGTCGTAATTTAGTGTTAGTAACTCAACATCCCTCGTGGAATATCGGTACGATTACAGGCACTCACCTATGCCTGTGTTGTCCCTCTGTGTGGTAGACGCAGCTAGAAAAACAACGACTCCAGCTAAGTAGACGAGGAATATCCATCTAGCTCTGATATACTTCATGAGGAAAGCTCCTGAAAATCGACCAACTGTAAATGCCCCCTGCGCGCCAGCTAAGAATTTTGCTCCCAGGGCGCTAGAAGTATCTGCTCGTGTTTCTACACTGTAATTTATGAAATATGATGCGATTGCCACTAGAAGTTTGGTTAGATGGTTGCTGACGAGAAAAACCGACCAGGGGGTAAAAGGTGGGACCTACCTTGCGAGCCAACATATAAAAATTGCGCAAATGCTGCATGGAACAGCTGATATCGTTTCCAGAACGATTCGTCCTTGTCAGTGACGTGCGTTTGGGTAACCTGGAACTCCATATCTGCGTCTGTAACTTCGGGAATGTTGGAGATATAAAATACTCCTGCAAGACAGAAGACAAAGATAGCAATTGCAAGGTATACCCATTGGACTCGCTGTAAGGCGCTGACATCGTCTTCCGTCGTAGAAAAGAATACATAGGAGCCAAGGACGGGCCCTACTACCGTGCCTATGGCATTGAAAGCCTGAGCGAAGTTAATTCGGATTTCGGCATATTTTGGTGGACCGCAAACTGTAGTGCAATGGTCAGCAATCACGCATAGAATTGGCATACATATACAATACCTACCTGAGAGATATGGATTCGCTGCCGTTTCGAGCGAGCCCAATCCTGAACCAATCACAAAGGTTGCACCACAGAATCCGCCAAACGATTGATTCAAACCAGCTGGCCACATGCAGAGGGCTCCTATTCCATAAAGACATAATCCCATGATGAAGACGGACTTATAGCCCCATTTTCGAAGCATCCAGTTGGCATAGCCAAGGGAAGCAAGAGGGTACGCTCTGTGAATATATAATCAGCATAAGCAGTTCATGAGGGCCGAGCAGTGTGAGGAGAAATGGTACCCGAAATAAGCAGCCTGTAATCCAGAAGAACGAGTTCGTGTTATGCCCAGGGTATTCTGAAAGTGTTTATTGAGGGTATCGAGCAAGCCGTATGCAAAACCCTAGGGATAATCAGACGTTGACTCGATAAAACACGTATAATGATGACAAGACCAACCCATAGAAAGAACAAGATAGTGACAATCGTTAGTGGCCATAGACTCTGGCGTAGGGTCAACTGAGCAGCATTCGTGACTTGATCGTTCCTAGCTCGCAAATGACGGCTTCTCAGAAAGGTTATGACACTCATCGCGAATTCTTGGGTGTAGTATTAATGGCAGAGAGAGTGTAGAATTGCGGCGGGACCGACACCCAGGTCACCAATATTCGATGATTGTGGGAGTTGCGCAGCAGGGGAGGAAGAAGCGGCGACAGAGCTAGAAGAATAGCTCTGGAATATTCGTACTCCCGCCTTGCTCACGGGGACCCTGTATAAAACGGGAGCTAGGATCTACGCTCCGAATTTTGCTTTGCCTTCATCCCGCGTGAGTAACTGTTCGGTCTCCCTGTCAAAGGATCATGGTGTGAACAGGGAGTCCGGCTGAAATGAGCAAAATATCAATCAGTTGCTGGCTGTGCTACCACTGTGCCCCGAGCCGTTTCCCCTGCAGTAATCGGCTTGTTCAGTCTTCTCATCCCGCGCTTCGCTTAGACTCCTCGCGCGTGCCGGCGTTACTCCGGCTATCCCCAGATTCGAAAGGCTGAAACTGCGAGATCCAAAAAAGTTTGCGCTGAAGAAACAGCTTAGTAATAACTCTAAACAACCTTAACTCCGCTGTGGGGCCCCGCCCGATACGGCGATACGACGATACAGCCGAATACGCGGCGATGAAAGATATCGGGATAGACGGTAGTCCAGTTGGATGATGCTAAGCATGATAGCGTATATATACTCTCTTATCCGAAATCTACCAGTAGGCACTATCTAGAAATATCGAAACTATAACGAGAACAACAACACGGTGAAGTATAAAGGGAAGGTCGAAAGTATAGATGCTCTACTCAAACATGCTTGTAGACATCACGGAGTATGAGGATGACATGTATACTAGCCATCGCTGCTAGAACATAAAGAGGCGTACTGTTTCAAGGAGATTAGCATACGCAAGGGTCGAGACGCCGACTGAGAGGGAGGAAGGCTCGTACAATTAATCATCAATCTTCCTCCCCGATATCCGCCTCCAGGCCCTGCGGAATGTTCTCATCGACTCGTCACTTATATGTCCTAGGTTCTTTACTTTAATATTATGGTTGACGGTAAAGACTTTTCCAAAATTAAGATAAGTCCATGGCCATGGCCAGGAAGAGACTTCGGACCCATGGAGTTCAATCATAAGCGGAGGTATTCCTAAGCTCCTATTTGCCTTGATGGTCGAAGTTTTATGTCCCTTAATGTAGATGGCTGCGTGTGATTCAAAGTTGATTCCTAGCTCCCATAATCCTGCTCCAACATAGGTGTAAATAGGCCTAGGAAAACGTTAGTAGCCAACTCGTTAATTAAAATGGTAGGGAATGCATACAAACACCAAGAGCAGCCGGGTTCATTTTTTATAATAACCATCCTACGGATATGAGTACCGGTCTCTTGACGATACCAGACCCACGGTTCGTCACTGCCGCGTGGCTGTTTGATGTCCAGATCAGGCTCCGTCCAGACAACCGATAAAACCTACACCCGTATATGAGTTAGGAAGCAAGGTATAAAATGATGACTGACGGAATAAAGCTTACTCTACCAATGGTGAAAAAGTTATTGGGTTGAAGGCAGTAATCTTCTCGATGGGTTAGCTTTTGGATCTAGCAACGTATCTAGGATCTGCTGACCTATGCTTAACCTGGTGCTTTCGTTGATTTCGAGTGAGTTCCAGGGCCCTAATTTAGTGGAGTGTTATTTTTTGTGGATTTTATGCAAGCATGGTTATCTAAATTCATTGGCCTAACTATCTTACCGTCACGATATGGCTCATGGCGATCGGGGTAAGAGTCTGGTACGTCACGATACGCACGAATTGGTGAAATGTCCCTGTTACTGTTGTAGAAATTGTATCCCAAGAGTTAACAATTTATACCTCCAAAGCTTAAAAATTTTGGGGATGGGAGATGGTTGGAATGCCACTGCCTTTGACATATCGTGCCAATAGTTGCATTCCGGGTTTCTGATGCTGGATTGTTTCAAACACCCTACCTTGAGTTCATTGAATAGTGCGCCGGATCTGCCGTATGGGCCAAAGGCTGTCTGTCGCTCCTTGTATATCCTTGCGCGGGTTCGTGCGGTCGAGGACGTGAGGTTGCCAGGGGCCTTTGAAGGCCTTGAGGACTCCACGGTTTCCGCTCGGGTGGGAAGAAGGTGTATGGCCCGATTTCATTAAAAGCCTTGCTATCCCTGGTGTTAGTAACAGAAGTGGTAGAATACTGTGTTGATGCTGTAGAGGTCGTCCATGCAGCCGATTGCTCCGAGAATACGGACTCTTCCTGCGATGGGGAGTCAGAGACGAAACTCCTTGGTCTGCCAGTAATTCTATGAACGGCGGGATCCATATTCATGCTCATATATAGATCTCCAAACGCGATGGGTTTAGATAGTGACAAATTAGAACCGAGCCGAGACTCCATATGCTTTATAATTTCGGCCGCCGAGATTAGGAAGCCCTTTCCTGTGCCTGGTGTGCCACCAATGATGATTCCATATACCCATCCGGCGTTAGCATCAACAACAGCGGAGCCGCTGTCCCCTGTAACAAGAACTCCTTGTAAGTCGACTTCATACATCTTTTCGAATCGATCGCTATTTGGCAGTCGAATATAAGTGAAATTTGGTTGTAAGACTCCTCTGATAGGGCCAGAAGAAGCAGTTAGGGCGTAAATAGTAACTGGGTGGCACCACTGGGTATCCCTGACCTTCAAAATAAGTCGACCAGATGGAACAATAGTAGACACGCCCACCACATTTGCGTACCGTGACGTTTGGCCTGTCACATCAATCAATGCGTAGTCCAGGCTGGACCCCTTAGAGCTTAGTCGTACTTTACCAATTGGTTGCGCTAATAAGGCTCCATCTAATGACTCTAGCCCCTTACTGCCTTCGTGTTGTCTGGAGTCTTGTGCATGAGGCGCGTGATCTTGAATTGTATCATTATTGCGGTCTTGGTTGGTGCATGCGCTCGAAGAGTCTCTCTCCCACTCTGTTGATGACAAAGGGCTCGCGATTTCTCCTTCTTCAGACGTAAAACTTGCGTTTCTGAATAGTTCTTGTTCCATATCTTCATCGCTCTCCATATCGTCGTCACTTAGCCCATCAATGCTACAGGCGGGCTGCAGAGCATCGTCGTCTCCCAAACTGAATTCACCACCTTGGAACGCATGGCCAACGGTTAGAACATACTCCCTTCCTTGGCAGAATAAAAGCGGTCCAGCGGTAACCTTAGTAAATTGATTGATATTGTTTCCGAGGCCTCTGACAAGAAGACGATCCCCCGGACCAATTTTGCGCTTTGTTGCAAAGACTGCTTCGCCACTAACATCCTGACTCTGGAGATGATTCTCTCCTTCCTCTCCGAACAGAGTTTGTTCATCAGAGGCAAATTGGGTATCATAGGTTCTGAAGTTTAGTTCGAGTTGCTCCGTATTAATGACTGGCTCTTCGCCAATCCCCTGTAAATCAAATTCCATGGACTGAGGCTGTTCTACAGTTTCCTCTCCCTCAGATTCAGACGCCATAAACGGATTGACGTCTCTGTACCCTAGAAGCCGATTATCGGGTTCGATGGGTGGCATTGTTGAAATTACCGTCTTAAGGTACTCCGATGGATTCGTACTAGTTACGAGGTGAACGTAATATCGTCAGTAAAATGCAATATTCATATGTTTCTGGACATGGCGAGATAAAGAGATACAGCGAGACATACCATCCGCCAGGCAGCACTGGTGGTAATGACGACGGTCCAGCGGCATCTGAGCTCGTCACCCCCGATGCTTGAGGGCTCATCGTGCCTGTCTGATGCCCGAAGGGAGCTTCCCCCACGTTATAAGAGCAGTGGCTTGACTCTGGGCTGGTAGCCCTGTCTTGAGGCTGCCATTCTCCTTTCTCCCGACTAGCATAGTATTTAAGTTGAGTTCCAGGGCGCTCAGAGCTGTCCCCCAGCTTGATTCCACGAAGGTGGTCAGAGGCCATGATGGAGCTTTGTTCTGCATGCTTCCTCAAACATTTTCGAACGGTCGCGTCAGTACTACTAAAAATCACTTTCGGGGCGGCCGTGTCTTCGGTTTTCCCGATCATACAAATCGAGATATAAACAGTCGCACCCGACGTAGGATAGCCTTCGAAAAACTTATCGATACTAGGACCCAGCTCAGCCTCAAAAAGTTCTCGGGCTGGCCCTACTGCTTCCCAGCAGGTGTACTTTCGGGGTAGTTCTGTGAACGAGATCCTTTTGCCGATTGAAGCGCGAGGATGTGGCCAGTTGCTTTTGGGTGGCCGGATCAGTGAGGTAATAGTCTCAGTAAGACTCATGTCGACTCGTTAGTTATGGGGCCATCTAACGGCCGGGACTGTGACTGAATTAACCACAGCAGTGGGATGGTCACTTCATAACATAATTCCGTAGATTTAGTGGTGGTGTTGGATTGTTCATGTAGCAGGTAGGCGACTGACATCCTCGAGGCGAGCAGTAAAGCCTTGCCCATGACCGCTTCACTGGTTCACTTGTTACACCTCGTATAAATAATCAGCCTCAAGAAGCTGCATGCCATGACCCTGCAGTTGAAGTGTCTGCGCCCTGTTGGTGCAGCATAGCCACATGAACATGATAGTTGGCGCATCAATTAGCGAGAGAACTTCCCTCGGTAGGGGCAAGCATGATGCGGGTGCCTCATTTTTGAGTCGTTCCATAGATATATGAGCGTATCTATCATCTTATATCCAGGGATTTTTCTGTTTCAGGGACCTCTCCACGATGAAAACCATAGGCAGCATTCTGCAGCCTATTAGCGATCAATCTCCTCCGGTCCAAAAGAAGCTCAAGGAGCGGCTTCTGGGGAAATCGCCTGCACGACACTTCAATGGCGAGCCATTCGCATGCCCTAGCCTTGACCCATACTTCAAATACTACGCTGAGCAATGCAGCCTCGCTTTATTTGATGGAGCTACTTCGTCCACGACGCACCAGGATGTGCTTGACATGATTGACCTTCTCAGAACCCCGATTACCAGGGAGGAGTTAAAACAGAGGATCTGTCGGCATCCTAGTTCGTCAAATGCGACGACGGACCAGGACCCTCTAATCCATCTGGCTGCCCGCTCCATTCTCATGATTAACTTGGGTGACTTTCGTGGAACAATCGCAAATCGTAGCCAGTTGACATGGGAAGATGGCTGTTTGAAGAGCTGTGTGCAGAAACATTTCCATCAACCAGCTCTGAGGAGTTACGACTCCGTCAAGCTAGAGAAGTCGTTCACAGCACGAAACCTTAGCTCCATCGGAGGCCTCAGGGTCAGTTTCACTAGTAACTTGGCCGACCATCTCCGGCTCACTCACGATGACCAAGTGGTAGAGATCTTTCATCAGGTCTCATTCCTCGAGTATCAACGCGGTAGCTCCCTCTATCCGGACGGACTGGTAGACGAAACCTTTCGTACGCTAGCACTTTTATTCCCTCAGTCAGACTGGTCAATGAGACGATGGCTCAGAAAGACCTGCTCTTCACAGAATGCTGTCGTCGATGAAAGGGTCTTGAGATGTGGCTGGTGCCGCACAGAAGACCGCCAGATTCAGAACTTCCATTTCTGGCACGACCGTTTGGTGATGCTGAAACAGCTGTATGATGAGGCGCGGCCAGGGACAGTCTCGCAATGGTGGCACGACCGTAGAAATGGCGTGCAGTGGTATACCTTCTGGGTAGCGGTGTTGGTTCTCCTGTTGACTGTTTTCTTTGGGCTGGTGCAGTCGATCGAGGGCGCGCTGCAGGTGTACAAGGCATATCACCCAACGAAGACATGAGTAACGACGTTCCTCTGAACATTTAGTATAATAATATAGTTCGCGACTGGATGAGAGTCCAGGAGAATTCACGAGCTTTTCACCCTGACTCGCGATGAAGCTGTTGGTCAAATAAAGTGTTGAATAACTAGTTTAAGTATTCTAGCTCAATTTAGGCGTTGCTAGTCAACACAGAAGCCACGATAGATGATTTGTATATAAAGTCTCTATCTCAATTCCCCTCTACTTTAACTATTGATAGAATGATTATTACCGTATAAGAGGTTATCAAAAGCATTACAAAAACGTACATTTTTTCTGATTAGGTAGTTCCTAAAATTGTATAACCTCGAGAGAGCCGAATACTCCGCATCCTTTTCTTTTCCCCCTTTTTTTTTACAAGAAGATCCAAATAAAATCAAATAAATATACAAAATAACCAGAGAAATATTAATTCAAAAGCCTGTTAAAGATAGACCAAAGTTCAAAGCAGGAAGAATTTTATAAATTTTCTTGGAACCTAGAGAGCCTTGATCCAGGTGTTTTCAAGCTAGGCTCAGCCGTTGGCTGGCTAGGAAGACTGATCTGAGGCATGCCTTCTGGCACAGAGCGTCTATTGACGGCGAACGAACCCTGGCTCCCCGACGTATCGCGTCGACTTTGGCGGTGGAACAGATGCGGAAACCCAAGTCGTTTCTTTGACTTGCTTGACTCATCTTGTTTTTGCAATCCAGGGCTTCCGCGACCAGAGCCTGGCCCGCTTTCGTTTGAGCTACTCCAGTGGCTCGAAGGTGCATAGCGGGGACTTTCAGGAACTTCCAATGCGCCGGAGGCCATGGGAGTATTTGCAGCCTGGATGGGAGTTGAAGGGCGCTCCTTTTCGATCTCCGTGATGATCCGTTCTTCTATACGCTCCACCTGCCGGGGTGGCTCATCTTCGCTCGCCGCAGCGTCCTGTGGTTTTTTAATCCATGTTTTATGGACCGCCCTATGCTTGCGTACATGTTTAGCCTGGGACCCAGCTTGCTCTGTCACGGCAGTCTCTTCCTTCGTAGCCTCTTCAGCAACGGCGCTTTCCTGTTCCAGGGCAGCGTCGTCGGCCTTAACTTCTGGAATCACTGGTTTAGATGATTCACCAGCTTGCTCAGGAGGGGTTGGTGGGCGCTGTGGAACGTGTGTATCCACCCTACTCTCGTTGAGGATTTGGAATATTGTTTCTTCCTTTGATTCTGGTTCTTCCTTTGGTTCTTCCTTCTGTACATCATGGCTAGCACGCTTGGGAGGATAAGGCCAGGTCGATTGCTCTTCTTCATCAGAGTCATAGCGGCGCTTTGTTCCCTCTTTTTCCTTCGTACCCCATGATCTTGCTTTTCTCTTAGGGTCTCTTATCCTGCCTATTCATAAACATTAGTAATTCCAAGGTGTATAAAATAGTGTTATCCATCGAGCTACCATACCGACTATTATCTTGTTAATTTCATGGGCCTCCTTGTCCCTTGATCGCTGCACGCTTACCCACCGCCGATGGCGTTCCTCGTCAAGCTTATCCGTTATTTTTCTTGCCTTTCGAGCAGCGACCCGGTCGTCGATGTTGTGTAGAGCTGGCCTTACTCTAGCCCTTGCCACATCCTCCACGTTTTTCGGTGGCACCAACCGTTCTTCGCCCCTTAGCTGCTCCGGACCGACATCAAATGCTGCAGATTCACGGTGCGCTAATACACGTTCATTGGCCGTACGTTCCCATTCTTTCATCATGGCTGGCGACGGACGCGAAGAGTAGTTGTATATGTGATTATCAATGTTGTCCATCATCCTGTTCACATTTTTCCGTGCAGCAGCCATGACGGCTTCGTCATATTCAGCTTGTGATTTGCCATTTCGGGACTCGCGCCGGGACCGTCTACGACGATCTCCAAAGTATCGACCACTATCTGCTGTGCTAGATGATAATGGCCTGACCTTCGTTGCAGCAAAATATTGCGAGCGCGGACGGTACATGTTGCCACGCATCCCGGCAGCCAAACCACCTGACTCGCCTTCCCCCCTTCTTCGCTGCGACTCTTGACGGCGTGGTGCTTGTTCTTCCGTTTCATCCATGGTGTAACTTGAGGTTTCCATATCCTTCGCATCATCCGTCTTTGGTATAATCGCATAGATCTGTTGTGCCATTGAAACGGCAGCAGTTTGCAGGGCCTTCCTTCTCTGTTCCTCCTCAACTACGACTGACACAGGTGGGTGAGATGTATACATCTCCCTCCGAGCATTGGTGATAGCAGGGTTGTAAGCCCTCTTAGGGGTTATCTGGAACTCCACCGTTTTTTCTGTCTTGGGTCTTCCGTGCTGGGAACCTCGATGGCTTATCGTAGCCGCAGAGAGTGCCCCGGTTAAATCCGAAACCCCGTCGGGAGCATCCGCCATAGATTCGACTCGCCTGCGACTGGTTGACATGGCGCCAGTTGCGGCAGTCCTTGCGTCGGGACCCTTCTCCTTGATGGGCTCATCGCCTAAACCCGATACCCCGCTGTCCCGGAGGGATTTGGAGGCAGCCTTCGAAGCCGCGCTCAACGGCTCTTCACCGGAAGCACCGGATAGATCCAAGGACGAAGGCTCCGGCGCATTGCTTTGCTCCTGCTTAGCGTAGCTGCCACGTGAAGCATAACTAGCCGCTGCGCCTGCTGATGCTAGGTCATAGCCGCCCACATCCTTCGACGACCGTTTGCTCCCTGTGGGCCGCAAACCTGTTGCCACCCAAAACCATTGTTAACAAATGCGCCAGGAAAATGGACTAATTCTCCATATAACTTGCATGCGGACAGCACATACCACTTGAAGTCCGGAATCCAGTTCTCTGCGGCTGTGTTACATACAACGCTGCGGCGCTGGCAGCTGTTTTCCCGCCAAAAAAGCCGTTAGCGAACTTTGAACTTAAGCGAAATCAACGAGTCAACTACTCACCATCCTCGGAATCCGGGTCTATCTTGGGAGATGCCACCGGGGCGGACGTAGGACGGATGCGACTGGCCATAACCACGGGGTAAATTGCCCAAATTCTAGCTGGTAAGGAGTCAAAACAGTATAGGAGTCTCGATTGGAGTTCGACATGGTTGGAGAGAAGAGAGCAAACTGAGACGCTGCGCGGGCGTGGGCGATATCACTGCCTGGAGAGTTTAGTTCATCCATATTCGACTGCAGCGCAAACAATCAATGTGATGACGTTCGAGCTCGTCGAGGTGGCTAAGTATGTGCAATTGGCCAATCAGAGGCCAAACAATAACTATGACGTAACACCAGGTTAAAAGTCACGTGTATCACATGAATAATCATATCACGTGATATATATCTTTTGACCCTTTTTGGGTAGTTATGAACTCCGATTTCATCGAGACTCGCGTGTTGCCATGTAGGGCATAGAGAGGGGACGGCAACGGAATAGATATATAATGAGGGAGTGCTGTGTTTGGTTTGGTGGGCTTTGATCCCGCCAAGGCCACCCGTGCTGTTCGTGATGGCTGCCTAATCGCCCTTTCTCTGGCATCACCCTCTGAGAGGGAATATAAAATTCAGTATAAGGTGCAGCCTGTCGCCTGGCTATTGCACAAACCCGAAATCTCTGGGCAAAATGCGCAAATTGAGGTCAGCAAAAGATATCACTTCCGATGATCTTGCGCCAGACACAACGCCAGCCTTAGCAGGACTACGCTGTTCACATCCAGATTCTACGAACAAATCCTCTGCCATCAAAGTTATACCAACCGGCTCTAGATTGCCAGGCTTAACATCAACGGAGCTAAGGCTCCTGCGACAGAAACAACAGCGCCTAGCCACGGACGCTGCCTCCCTATGCAAGGAGGCAGAGGGTTGCGCGGATGGAGGCACTCTCTCCATCCACAATGCTCTTGAAGCAACGTTGATATTTGCTCAATACGAAGCTGGAACTGCCGTATGTATCGGTGCAGATGGCTGGATTTTGACATGTGCGCATTGTTTCGGCGACACGGAGGAAGAACTCCAATCATCGAGCAAACGTCGTTGGCTCCTGTTCTATACCGGTCTGGCTGTGCAGACTGAATGTATAGTGTGGGATGCAAAGCGAGACCTGGCGCTTTTAAAAATAATCGTCATTGAGTCTGATGCCGGCAAGAAAAAGGATGGTATTATTTGTTCCTTCCCGTTTGCCCGGCTAGCGTTGAAAAGACCGACTGTGAAAACTCCGATAATATGTATCGGACAGGCAGGAATGGACGATTTGGAGTCCAGCACACCAGCGAAAAATAACTTTGATTTCGTCGAGCTGTCGTTTGGCAAGTTTCGGGGGATGGTGGCGGGGGTTGATTGGCAGGATAACTCTGAAATTGGCGCTATGAAGCATGATGCGTGGACGTATTGGGGCCATTCCGGTGCACCGTTACTTGTGGAGGCAAATGGTACGCTGATCGGGCTTCATTCATCATGGGACGATCAAACAGGCATGCGTCATGGTGTGCCTCTGGTTGCTATCAAGGCCTTTTTGGAGCAGCATGTCGAGTTGATGGGTTCGTGGGGCGACGACCACAGAGATGAAGCTGAATCTTCCTCGCCAAATCACACTGGCGAGCAAGAGGTTATTGTCATTAGTGATTAGCTCTGTTTCTTCGCTTCCGAAAGAGAATTTCCAATATAGAATTAGACCAGCGGTTTGAGCGCTAAGAATCTGTTTGATTGTTTGAACAAAGGGAATATCTATCGTCATGAAGTTTTATGTTATACAAACGCCAAGCCACGCGAAATGTGAATGAGAGAACGAGAGGATGGTGGCTAAGGGTTGAGAGGGGGATCATCCTTATTCCTAGGATAACTTTCTCCTGTAGTTTGATGTTAGGGACGAACCAACTCGGCTTGTCAATGATTTGTATACACCCAACGCGTTTTCGTAGGACACTACATCAATAAACGCCAGGCACCGAGTATCAGGGCCGCAGTACCCGTGCATACACCCCTATCATATATGTTAGTATTCATCTTCGTATTACCCACTCCAGGTTCAAGATGGGATGAAAACTCACATTAACCACTGTAGAGTTGAGAACTTTACAGCCTCCACTCTCTCCCTAACACCGGCTACTTCCTGCTCTATCCTAGTCTCGGTTTCTTTGATACGCATCTCTTGGCTATTCGACTCTTCTCTGATCCTCCCCTTTTCAAGGTTTAGGTCTAGTCTGACGGAGGCCTGGGTTCGACCTATCTCGTCTCGTAATCGGGAGTTGAGTTTAGCCAGGTCTCCTGCTATCTTGTCGTGCGATGAACGGGTAAGTTGTGCTTCTGTTGAGTCTGAATTTAGCAGCTCAGACCGGAGTTTGGCAAAGTCGACTTTTTGGGTATACGTTGAACGCTCAGCATCTATTCAAATCGATCGTTAGTATAAACTAATCGTCAAAAAACAATCTTCAACGGTGTAAAATCCAAAGACTAACCTTCCCTAGACACCATCGCCCGCGTTAGGTTCTGCATCGACTCTTCAATAACCTCCGTCATAACCTTCATAAGAGCCACGGCCTGCTCGTCACTGAACCCCTCACTCTTCAACCGCTGGACAACCTTGAGAGTATCGAAATGGTGATCCTTCCGTGTCACCGCAGTCTCATGGAATGCTCGTCGAGCAGGGTTAAACGTCGCAACATAGACGCCATTATGCCTTATCGGCGCCGGATCGGAAGTAGCGCTCTGTGCTTTGGAAGAGTTACTTTGCTGGAGGAGAAGGGCGTGTTTCTGTATTAACGGAGAAGAGAAGCGGCATGCTAATGCGGAGAAGGCACGCCGGTTCGGTACGATTTTCTGAAGTGGATTTGAGGATACAGGGGGAAGAAGATGGTGGGCCTTCAGCTGGGAGTTGTTCGCGGAGAGAAAGATGGTTCGAAGGGAGTTTTGAACTGAGCGCCGTCTTGAAGGCCGGACGATGCGCGGCGACTCGACGACGGTTAGCTGTAGTTTTGGCATGGCTGTGTCTTGCCCTCAACTGTATCTGTCGTGATGGTGACGTTTGGGAGTTTGCGCCTGCACCGAATCTGACAAAGTTTCCAAGATCGATAAGAGATCGTGATCATGTGATGGTTAATTACGTCATCACTCGACTGGGTAATTGCCGAGGTAGTATAGAGTTGAACGACTTCATACATTACTTATGGTGATATCTACACAGGGTAAAGCTGGACAAGTATTAGAGCCATTACCTGATTATTGCCCGCATTAGAGATATAGTAACCGGTGCGCAACAGGGTTGAAACCCTCCGATGTGAAATTATAGAGAAAAAATATTTATTATAACTTGCACAATCTAGACCTACAGAAAATTCACTGTCCATTGATAAGTGTTATCCATATCAAGAACCCGATGCCTAGGGTGTTAATGTCAATCTATTACGTCTTACCGGACCTTGCTCAACAAATGTAGTGAGAAATGACATCCTATACTAAACTGCAATACCTTTCGGAAAGATTATGCGAAGCTCCAAGTGCAGGGCGTGCATGATTAATGGGAAATATAATTCTGTTGGGTAGTCCTAGAATTGGTTGAGAGAAGCGGTGTTCAATTGGGAGAGGCCGGGAGGCTAGGCTTGGACAAGCTGCATTTGCTGGTATTTAATAAGTTCCCAGTGACACAACGTGGGAGCAGGCATGGCAAAGGGAAGTAAGGCTGGAAGGGATCAGCTACATAAGAGAATAAGGTTAAAAGTAGGTAATATAGGACCTTAACAGTGGCTGAATTCCAACGGAGACTTCAAAGAGGTCGCACAATACGGCGTCTATTGGCAACTTCACCGAGCCTAGATACTAAGGCTGAAAAGAAAAGGTGCTCAATTGGCGCCTAGCTAAGCGGCAGGGTGGTTCCACATATCTGAGCCGTCATCTCTGGAAGCGCATCGAAATTGCAACTTTAGAAGGCATCTAGTTATAAGCATTACCTCCGTCTTGGTCTACTCCTCCGAGATACGAGTTCCACCCTTGTTCTGTTCCAGGTGTAGCTTCGATCTTCACGCCACTGCCGCTGCTGCCATCGTCGCTTGGCTTCTCAATAAGCACATAGAGTTCCCTGCCCGTCCCGCTTCGAGCAAGGCGGATGGAGACGGCGCCACTCTGTCTCTGATCCGTGGCCGAGACAAGCCCTCTATCATCCATCCTGAGGTTCGAAACCGGCTTGAGTTGCTCAGGCGCCCAGCCCTCACGGTGTTGTCGTAGGCTCCTGCATGGCATATACGTCTGTAGCCTGCATGGCTAGACGTGTGTAAGTACGGGAAGATAAGTCAATGGTGAGAAGCAAGGATGAAGCAAGGATGAAGCAAGGATGAAGAAGAAAGAAGGAAGAGTGAAGACCAGGTCATGTGATATAAACGCGAATTACATCATCAGCTTAAAAAGGAAACTACCTAGGTAGCTATTAATAGAACCACAATCTGATGAGTAAGCATCTCTAATTCGCCCGCGACTTCGACCTCGTTTAAAGGCTGAAGATCGTCAGGTGCAATCCGAAATCCATGCCCCCTTTTGCAGGCCAATTCTAGCTATGGTTACAGCTGTTCAAGAGCTCCCAATGCATCGGTTACATTTCTTGGTTGAGGTAGCCCAGCTATTCAGCCAGCTGTCTTGTCTCTCGTCTATACGGAGACGCAATAGGTGGCTTTCCCTGATTCCTGCATGATGTAGCATGAAGGGGCGGAGCTGAAGAAACTAAGTTATCCAAATATGAGACACCACTACATCGTGTACCGAGGGTATGGCCCAGGCGTAGATACTATATAAGAAGCCCGTTCAGGCCATATCTCTTCTTCAATTCTACGCATACACCGTCCAGTTTGCTCTGTCTACTCAATATTATCCCAAGGTTCTCTCGCCATAAGCTCCTCATCATGAAGATATCCGCACTCGTCGCCTCTCTGGCCGTCGCCGGCTCTGCCGTTGCGGCACCTCCAGCCGGATCCAAGCCCTTTGGAATCATGTCTCTACGCTCTGCCAGCCCAATCCATTTCGGCCAGGTTAGCGCTGCCCACGGCAGTATTCGCATCAACCAACAGAACCAGGACGCCGTATGCAAGGTTAAGCACGGAGAGAAGCCACCCACCACCGCTACCTTCTACATCAAAGATGAGATCCTCTACTTGTACACTGGAAAGGGCTTGATACAGAAGGTCTTCACCGATCGTTCTGGATTTGGTATGTTGGACTCCTCTGTAAATATAGATTGGTGCTGTTTGTTTACTAACTACCAAATAGGCCAAGGCGTCACTGGCTATCTCACTGGCGACGGGCCCCTCCCGAATCGTTTTGAGGACAAGGGCTGGATGGTCGACGGCAACGGCAACCTCAGTTTCAAGGGTCAGGGCCTCCTTGCCTGTCCCACCTCTGTCCCTGGCGGCGGCTGGTCGATCTGGATTTCTGGCAACAATCCTAACCCAGGCGGACACACGGGCTGTCTAGGATTCAGCCCACGCACCGTACCATTGAAGCACCCGGTTCGCTGCGAATACAGCCAACAGTAGTTTGGGCATTTTTTACGGCTCGGGCGATAGCGCGCTCTTTAAGGTTGATGATATGATTTGATAGCGTTCACGACATCCTTATTGATACTAGCTTAAGACTTTCGAATTAGCTTTGATGACAAGACTTAATAATACTACATAATGCTGATATGTATCCTCCTCCGGCCTACATTATTGAGTTGAACTTTCTACTTAGAATATTTCGAGGCTCCGTATTACAAGAGGCGTACATTATGTGCTAAAGGAAATTGCTTCCAGAAAATGGAGCATACTATTCGGCTGGGTAGATATAGGTGGTCTCAGCTCGCTATATTGTGAAGATTATATACCAACTCATAATAACAGAGGGAATAGCCCAGCACCCTCTGCCTATTATATTACGTAGTAAATCAAGTTACCTATCTACAACTTGAAGGTTTCCTTAACAATCTTCATGGTGTCATCCGGTCCAGTGACGGAGTGACCAATGGTTCGCTTATCGCTGAAAATTTCATGGTCGTTTCCACCTTCAAAGCACTTGTCACCGAAGAAGTGGACGGTGGTATATTCAACGCCTGAGACGGACTTCTCAGCCTCGACGTGCTGAAGGCAGTAAGTCTTATCCCAGCCGGTGGGGAAGACGTCGAAGGAGATTTGACCTCCAATAGAGTAGCTAGTTGTTGTCGTTAGCAAAACACGGAACAAAGATATTTATGCAGGATTGTATGCCATAGACTTACGTGAGGCCGTAATCTGGGAACTCCTTCTTCAGTGCTGCGACCAAAGTCTTGCGGATGTTGTGTTCCTTATCGTACCTATCCTATACGTTAGCATGGTGCCCGCAGATAACAACTACTATCAAATAAGACAGGCAAATCACTTACGCCTCGAACTCATGTCGCTCCTCGACGCTAGCACTCCTTCCAATAGGGCTAATATTGACCATTCCATTTCTGTACTCTATGAAAGTACCCCGCTTCTTGGGCAGGGTCAATTTCGACATATATCCTAGCACAAAGTTGGCGAGCTTCTGGTATTTATCTTCACCTAGCCATTGGATGAAGCTGTTGCTAGCCATGGGCACCCCGAGTCTGATGGCGGTGAGACCATTTTCAGCAAAGCAGAAGTCGAAGAGGTCTGTGACGGTTGTAGAGGGCGTGGCGAGTTGTTCTTGTTGTTTGGCGAGATCTGAGCCTCCGACCTGTTTGATGGGATGATATTGTTAGAGGTAGTATATCCATTGGGTTGGTGGTCAAGCACTTACGAAACCAATGGCGCACTGGTGTCGGAGTTGAGAGAGAAGCTGCAGCATTTCGGGAGAGACGGCCTGGGTCATTGTTAGCAAGATGGCCTCCAAGCTATATCGAGAATATATCTCTATCTACGCACCTGTCTGGCAGGCGTCAAGGTGCCATCGACATCGAACAAGCAGATGGTGTTCTTGACGGGGCGGCTCTCAAGGGGAGGGTATACGCCAGCACCGGAAGCCATTGTTGCGGTAATCAGTATGGTAACGGGATTGGTAGGTTTAGAATCGCTGTACTTTGAACGCTGGATGAGATTTGAACCGGTCAACAGTGAAGATTCGTGGTGTGTAGTCTGTATAGTTGTCCAGTACTGATGGCGGGGAGGGAGAGGGCAGATCTGGTGGGGCGCTAGTTCGCTGGGCCGTGTGGGCGTAAGCAGAAACACAACTGGCAGCTCTTATCGATAAGCACTATCACTCCCAGCTTGCTCAGGGGTTAGGGGTTAGGGGTTGGGGGTTAGGGGCAACAAGGTATATAGTTCATGTTCTTTCGCATTTAATATGTATATAGATCTAGTAAAACAGTAGCTGAACCAGCAAGCACACAACTTTTCGGGCTGTGCGTCAACCAACCCTCGCCATCAGATGACGGCGGATCAAAGCAAATAAACCATTCCAGTATCAGCCTGTACCCCCAATGCGCCGTGATATATCCCATGTATAAATGCCATGCCCAGGATAACAAGAAAAATAAGACAAGAAAGGAAAAGAGACAAATACATCATATATGTGCGGGGATTAGTATGTGCGTAGTAGAGATGCTGTATTGTGAAACATGTTCCGAGGAGGAGAGAGGGCGGGCTTGTGGCAAGCGATGCGGTGTCGTGCATGCATGATGAATTAATGATGAGAAGGTGGGTATATAGATGCATCTATGCAGCTCCGGCTTCAATCTTCTTTCCCTTGACGCTCTTCCATTCCATGCCGGCAGCACCAATGATGGTCAAGGCTGCAAGAGCGACGGAGACGTACCAGGTATTCGTCAGGGCGTTGTTGTACGCAATTTGCACGCCGTCGAGGAATTGTGGAGGGATCATGGTCTTGAGCTGCGTTGCGCCAACCCTCAGGACGAGACTGGCGTCAAGGCCTGGGGCAGCCTCGACAACACCGCTGACAAGCTTATTAGTGAAGACATTCTGCGCCACAGAGACGAAGAGTGCACCTCCAAGAGTCTGGCAGAACATGATTACGACGGTTCCAATTGGGATATCTTCGAGTGGCAGGACAGCTTGGGCAGCGATGACAGAAAGCTGGAGACCAGAACCGACACCTGCACCGAAGATGACTTGGTAGCCGATCCACTTGGCATGTCCTGTCTCCGTGGTAAAGGTGGTGAGGAGACCGGCACCAATGGAAGCGAGGATGGTTGAGAAGAAGTACAGGGGTGTATAGTATCCGATGACAGTGATCAAGATGCCCGATGTGACGGAGCAAATGACCAAGGACAAAACCATGGGGATGTTCATGATACCGGAATTAGTCGCGGATGCGCCTTTGATGGCCTGGAACCAAATGGGGATGTAGTAGACCATGATGAAGAAGGCACTTCCCAGTGCGAAGGAGAAGAATGAACCGAACGCGATGCTGCGTTGCGTCAGAATGCGAGGTGGGACGGTGGCAGCTTCGCCAGCTCTAATCTGCACATAAATGAATCCAGCGATGAGGACGGCGAAGACGACGAAGAGAGCGATGATACGTCCATTGCCCCATGGGTACTTGGTGCCTCCCCACTGGAGAGCGAGGAGGAGACAGATAACGCCGGGCATGAAGAACATGGTACCGATGGGATCGAGCTTCATGAGGCGGTCCTTCCAGGTCTGGTTGGTGTCGAGCTTCTGCTTTGGTTGGTTGAGGAAGACGAGGATCGCAAAGATGGTGACGGCTCCGATGGGCAGGTTGATATAGAAACACCATCTCCAGCTGATATGGTCGGTGAAAGCACCACCCATAAGAGGGCCAGCAACAGAGGCAATTCCGTACATTCCTCCAATCAGACCAGTGTCTATATACGCAGATGCACGATTAGCCACTTGTACAGCGTCTAAAAGATAATACATGATGCGGCTCGGAAGAAGAAAAGAGGCAAAACTTACACATCGGCCGTTTTGCCAATGGGATAGAGTAGGCAATAATGATCAAGGCACCAGAGAAGATACCGGCCGAGCCAATTCCGGCAACAGCACGTCCGATGATGAGAGCAGTCGAGTTAGGAGCAGCACCGCAGACGACGGAACCGACCTCGAATATGGTGATGGCCGACAGGAAAACCCATTTCACGGGGAAGAAAGAGTACACTCTGCCGAAGACCAACTGGAACGCGCAAGTGGTGAGTAGATATGAACTTCCGTACCAGCCAATGTCTTCGATGGCGTTAAACTGATCCGTGATCTTAGGGATAGCGGTAGCAATAATCGTATTGTCCTATTCATGGCAAACGAACGTTAGATGCTGTGAATCTTCCCGGGGGAGCTCTCTACATACCAAAGCGACGAGAAGAACGGCCAAACATAGACCGGTGACGACGATGGCCAGCTTGATTCCGCTGACGTGGTTCACCGTCTCATCGTCTTCCTCAGCAACAGCATTTTCTTCCTTCACCTCGGTGGCCATGCCACCAGATTTTTCAGTTAGGCCGCTGGCGTCCTTTGACAGGCTCTCCTCATTATGCTCATTGCCCGGCAAGACGGAGGTAGCGCTGGACTCGACTTCGGTGTCCTTGTCCTTGACCTCCGGGTCCTTTTTGGAGAATACACTGCGTAGCCCCATTATTTCTCATGCACCGACAGTACTTGTATGCAAGATGGGATCGAAGGAGTCTCCCCGGACTTTGGCCTGTCTGGGGTTGAGGTAGAGAGTATGTGTAGTTTGATAGGATAGAGATAGAAATGTACCAGATACGAAACGAAGGAGTGAACGGGGCCTGGCCAAATATATAAACATAGCAATAAATAGATACAAAGAAGCAACCCCGAAAGTAGCCCCGGGAACGGAAGAAGCGAAGTAGCGACCCTTGAAATCTCGGCTGAATAGAAGAAAAAAAAAAAAAAAAGGGTGATATAAGAATAGATCGGTAAACCCTATACTCAACACGAGCCAATCTAGCCTTTTAACCTTCCACCAATAGCAGGATCGGATAATTTTCGATGATGAGAAAGAAACGGGGCCGCCGCTCCAGTTCTGCAAGCTCTCACCAGGTTTAGCTTTGCAAGGGGCGCGAGAGATCAGCTTTTAGCGGATGGAAGCATGAGGAAAACGAGATTCAGGCTCCAACGACAACACAACCCAGGCAAGGCCGCCCCCAGCCCGTGGCCAGTCCTGATGATCGAAGAGGCGGTCATGGTCAAGGGTGCTGTGCATCTTGCTCGTACTCGACTGAGTTACACGTATCAGATCGGGAAGCGTGAGGGTGTATGAGCATATTCCGTGCTGAAACCTCGAGAGATTCATCCTCTCTGCTCGACAGCTATCGATGACGTGAAACCCAGCCCCCAAGCGTAAGACTTCAGCCTCGAGTCTGTAGGAATGATGTTCACCCTCGATCCTGGCTCGGTTCCAGGAGCAGCCGTTCCCGATCGCCATACTGCACGGAATGGCCAATGTCCATGTGCCTTGCTTCAGGTCACGGCGAACAGTGCCTCCAATGCCTGGGCGGGAAAAAAGCCATCTGCGTGTTTGGGCAAGCCTTCTCCTTTTTCCGTGTTGCTTCATGAGTCAATCTCGCTTTGACTCCATCTGTTCTCGCGCTTGTAAGGTTAGCGACCAGTTCCCTTCTCCCAGGGTCGGGTTGGCGGGACGACTTTCGCCCGCGCAAAGGGCCGGTCGGCGGACTCTCGCACCGGTTTCCTCTTTCGGCGTCCGTTGCGAGCAGCGAGATCATATATGTGATGCTCCTGTTGTTGTTATTTTGTACCGAGTATTATCCTGTCAATATCATCTCCGTTGACTATACTCCGTACAGAGTGCAGAGTACTTGCATATTGAGTACTTGCATATAAGAGATGTGCAGGCAAATCCGGACGTCGGCGCTCGGAAGGCCGCCAAGCTCCGGCTGGTTATCGTGGCATGCGGGAAAACCCGGCGCGGCTCAAGGTCACATGACGCTCTCGGTGTCCTTGAGTTCCGTCACGTGGTCAACGGAGTCCTTGGGTTCCGTGGTCACGTGTAGTGTTACATAATCACATACTAACAAAATCTTGGAAGTCGCGACTGCACATGACGTACACCAGAGACTTCATGATAGAAGGACAGCCTATTACCTGATACCCGCCAGATCTATATCTTGGAGTTATAGACTTGGAGTTATAGATCGACGTTATGTTTTTGAAATGTGCTACTCTAGGACCATACATGAACAACTGGGAGCCTACTGTGGACGCCGATACATGGCGGAATGCCTTGATATCATTTCATTTATACAGTTCGTATGGAACCTCGTTAACCAGCTCATTACAGCATTCCCGTTGCAGCATCAATCATTCATCCACTAGGACACAGCAGACTGCAGCACCCTAGCGGCCAGCTGACTCAATAGCCTGGCTCGGTCCGACTGAGGCATGTCCTGATACACAGCATAGACACTCTTGCCCTGTCTATCTCTAATAGCACCCAGCCTGTTACCCGCAACCGTCCCCGCAACCAGACCCGTAAAGTTAGCGATGATGAATCCCAGCATCGCACCGCCGATAGCGCCGATGATAGACCAGAACCACCCCCCACCTGCACCACTTAGGCCAAAGTTCTCGTCTTGAGCCTGTGTGCCTGCACCTGTATCCGGGCGCGCACCCCCACGACGACGGCCACCGCCCATCATACCGTGTTCCCGGAGCATCTCTTCGAACACAGAGCCAAATTGCTCTGCGGAGTATTCATCTGACTGTGGTGGTGTGGCGTATGCTCCTTTGAAGTATTTGGTGTTGTGCGCGGTGGTGTATGCGCTGCGCCTGTTCTTGTCAGACAGGGTGTAGTAGGCGTCATTTACTTGTTGGAACTTCTTGGTTCGCTCAGCGCGTTCGGGGGAATCGACGGGCACGCGGTCCGGGTGGTATTTAAGTGCAGCTCTAGTAGTGTAGCTAGGTCAGTTGTGTAGTCTCCATGCTGCAGAAGAGGCAACGAACTTTTTATATGCCTCTCGGACTTCCTGGAACGTCGCGGTTGGGTCGATCTCCAGCAACTCATCTGTAAGTGTGGCGGTTAGCTAGATGTTGATCGACAGAATACTTGGTGATCGACTAGAGGCGTACAGTAGTCAACAATGTCGTCTATGGTTTGGTTAGCATGTCATACATCAGGCACATCTCGGACGGCGACGGCGACTCTGCCGGGGAAACATACCTGCCATACTGTCGAAATAGTTTATCAGCGTCTTATCAAGCGTCTTATGTCTCTGCAATCCCTTGAATGCGACGTGAAGCCTGAATCTCGTCTTGTCTCGTGCCTTTTTAAGTACAAAATGTTGCCCGATGACGTTATCCCGCCCTACTCACGTGATGAAGGAGCTTCCTCTGCTGACTAAGGCTCCCAGCCACCCCGTAAACACTTTCCAGCCTTCTCCTGATGAAGATGAAGATAGAGATATACACGGTGCTGGTTTGCGCAATTGGAGCAGAAGAGCTGTGCGGTTTCATATAGAGGAGCTCTGACTTGTCTTGCGCAGCCTGTCGATCCTGTCCTTGCGATTGATTTGTTTACAGTCGTGGATCTAGATAAAAGCTTCTTGTCGAATTGATGATAACGATATCCCTACTCTCTATACCCATCTCCTGAAACCGCCGCCATCCCCGCGTGAATAGCAGAAAACAGACGGACGAAGAGTCTATCACACCAGAAACCCCTCCTTTTACACAAAGCCCGGGGACATCTCCCTCAGTGATGAGCTTTCTCTACCCCTTTGCGCCCTCAGACAGTCGTCGACATAGCAGTAGCGGCAGCCATCACGGCCACAGCTCCAGTCATCGCTCCCACTCCAAGGACCGCCGTCATCACCATTCCTCCTCGTCCGTCATCGGACACGGCTCCTCCTACGGCGACAGTCACCGCCACAGCCACAGCCACCAGAACGGAAGCACCCGCCATACTGAGGGTTCGATTTTCGGCCTAGGTTCCAACGCCAACCGATCAATGGCTTCATCGATCTTCTCCGCTGGTTCGTCGTCTCGTCGCGCAAAGCCGCGGGCGGGCTTCGTTCATCGCATGATGCGCAAGATCAAGCGGCTGTTTAGAGATATAATGTACTACATGAAGAGGCATCCCATGAAGGTGTTTTTCCTCGTCATCATGCCGTTGATAACGGGTGGGGTGTTGCAGAAGTTGTTGTCAAAGGTGGGTATTAGGATACCCGGCCTATCGTCGCTATCGAAGGGCGGCGGCGGTGCTGGTGGCGGCGGTGGCCGTGATGGGCTCAGCGGAGAGGGAATAGCCGGCGGTGTCAGCGGATTGATGTCGCTGGCAAAGATGTTTGCTTAAAGCATCTTAGATCTCTCATGTCTTTCTTATGTCTGTTTGGATTTGATACCTTGTTTGTTATGTTTTGTTCGAGTGGATGGTGGGATCTGAGGTGATGATTGGAGAAATGTGTTATGATCACTTCTTCTCCTTCCCTGGTATAATGTGCCCTGCCACTCCTTTGCCGTGTTAATGTCTTTCTTTATATATAAACCGCTTGCAATGATTAAAGAGATGAATGGAAGATACGGGTTTCCGAAAGATACAGAGGTCGTCCTTGATATATCCTCGCCGCAAGCCCAACATCTTAGGCTCCAGGCTCTATTCAGGCTTGCATCAGGCATAACTTACTGGTGGGGGTGGCGCAAAGCTAGGCTGATGGCTGGCTGGTTGTGTAATGGTGTCTTGATGCACGGCGTATGGTAGGCTGTCTGGGTGCTACTCGATATTTATCAAATAAATTGGGCCCGGAGATGTATTAGCAATATAGAGACAGGGGATATCAGTTACAAATACGCTCTATAGAAGGTTCCTGCTTCACTTGAAGAGCTTCGTGTTTCCCTGTTTAGCTCTCGACATTATCTGTTCATTTCTCCAGCCTGGCTTCGTGTGCTTGGAGATGGAGGTTCACCCAGTGCTTCTCTGTGCAGCAGTGGTGGGAGTTACTGTTGTCATTGTAGGCTTCACGGCACCATCTTCTATCTTCCGTCTGGCTGCTGTCCCTATTATTATTATCTGCTCGCTACAATGCATTTCCACGAGCATCTACTACATGGTGCGAGTTCCATGGGCTACCTCAGTCGCCGGATACACCATCACCTTCCTTCTACACTATTTTGATATCGCCCTGCTCAGGGGCTGGTCATTCGAAACGAATGGACCGACCATCGATCCAGCAACAGGCCAAAATATACCCAAGGCTGTCAATAACAAGAGGAGAAAGAAAGGAAGCATATTGGAAAGGCTGAAGTTTGGTCTTTCAGCTACATTTTCGTTCCGACATATTGGGACACCCTATCAGGTCAAGAATGTGCCTGCGTTCAGTGATAATAATACCACCTATATTCCAACTAGATCTCGATTCTTGTTACGGTCAGGCTTCACATTTGTGGCAATCTATATAGTTCTTGATCTGCTCACATTTCAAGTCGACACTCAGCTCAACCGTTTGTTCTTCACCCATCAGAACATCGGTTTCTTCCGTCGAACATATGAGATCACCACTGAGGAGGTCATGATGCGAACATTCGCTACCATTGCCTCAGCGTTAATGATGACCTGCGTTCAAAAGGGATGCTACTACCTTCTTGCATTTTTGAGCGTGCTTTTTAGTATTAGCGAGCCACGGGAATGGCCCCCATTATACGGATCCTTCTCGCAGGCTTTCTCAATGCGAAGAGTCTGGGCGTAAGTAAGCCCCTGATCTCCTATCCCTGGAGGAATGAACAATAGGCAATTAACGGCTTTCTGCCTCATAGGGTATTTTGGCATCAGACCAATGCCTCCAAATTCGCATCAATATCAGATTTCACCCTTCACCGGCTCCTGGGCCTCTCCCGTGGAACCCAACTAGCCAGATATGCGAGGCTGATCACAATCTTCACCATCTCAGCTTTCATGCATTTCCTAATTGATGTGGCGGCCGGTGTTCCTGTGCACCATTCGGGATCCTTGCAATTCTTCCTCACGCAAGCGCTTGGAATTGTGATCGAGGACCTCGTTACCCACACATACCGCAGATCCTTTATTGGTGATAGATCTCGGCCATATTATCTCGTTGAGAAAATTGTTGGCTTTATCTGGGTGGGCGTGTTCATGGTATGGTCCTCGCCGATGTACGTCTATCCAATGATGTATCGTATCAACACGGGCCAGGAGGACTCCGTTATTCCGTTTAGTATCATGAAGCTGCTTGCCCAAGCTGATTGGCACCGGGGATAGGGAGAGGTATCCAGTGTGGGCACACTTTTACGTGATGGCACGCTAGAAGGTATATGTTGGATCAACAAGGACAAAATGTTGGTGGTTCAGGGAAAACAATACCCAGGCACGACTATATATAATCCTAAATTTAGATGGCAACTTCTTCATAGACAACGCCGGTTGGAAAGCCAGGGCAATTAGCATCTGCAGTGCGTTATATATTCCATTTCTAGGGAGACAATCTAGAAAGGGGGTAATACTTATCTACGTTAGATAGAGACAGATTAAATCCAGAATGCGTCACCAAGTCTTCTTTGTTCGGCCTTGCGGATCGCCGGAGCAGTATTACAACAAGCCAGGGGTCAACCAAATAACCCAGTCAAATAATTCCATAAGTTCACCGTCTCAACAGCCATATTTCGCTGAAATAACGACATATCACGTGTCTATATCTAGGTTCCCCTCTATGATCTTGTCTTCTTAACTTCCTATACCACGATAAGTCAATCTACGAAGCGTTACATTTAACGTTATTTCCCTCAGATATCTACTTACGTACCTATTACATACCAACCGTCCGATCATTTCACATCTCTGACAGAAATACAAATATGATTTCCCTCGTCGCGTTCGATTTTGACGGCACTCTCGCCCAAAGCAAACAGCCATTGGAAGACTCGATGGGCGAAGCGCTTGCCGACCTACTAGCCGTGGCCCATGTAGCCGTTATTTCTGGCGGTGACTGGCCACAGTTCCAAAAACAGGTCGCCAGCCGCCTCCCGCCACGGGCTGATCTATCGAAGCTTTGGCTTATGCCGACAACTGGTACAAAATTGTACAAGCACCAGGATGGGGCTTGGAAAACCGTGTATGCAGAGCTCTTTGATGATAACGTTAAGCGGCAGATCCTGACAGCCTTTGACGAAGCCTTGGAAGCAACTGGCTTTAAACCTGAGCAGACTTGGGGAAACCGTATTGAAGATCGCGGTAGCCAAATCACCTTCTCTGCCCTCGGCCAGGAGGCACCTATCCACGCTAAAGAAATCTGGGATCCAGACTTTAACAAGCGCAAGGTTATTCAAGCTGATTTACGTATCCGCCTACCTGACGTGTCTATTAATATGGGCGGTGCAACGTCAATTGATATTACTCAAAAAGGCGTTGACAAGGGGTACGGCTTACAGAAGCTCCGTGATGCGAGTAATATCCCGCTCGAGCAAATGATGTTTATTGGTGACGCGATATTCCCGGGAGGCAACGATTATCCGGCTAAGCAGCTTGGCCTACACACGGTGTGCGTCAAGGATCCAAATGGGACGCTTGCTGCGATTGCTGCGATCATTGCGTGTCTGTCGTAACCGAGGGTCAAATATAGGTTATGGAACAGCATCGTTTCTACTCTTATTTGTGTGAGTGCCTGTTGATCCTACAGTTATATAGGAGGATGAGATTAATTAACGACAACGATACCATGTGGAAACAACTTGGGGATTCTCGTTTCATGGCTCATCCTAGCCAAGTAGACTTATACTCCTCTATGGGCAAACTTGGGGAACTTGGCACTCTATTAAAGCCCCTGCTAGCAAACTAACCAGCAGGATGTAGTTACGCCCTAGTTACACTAAACAGGAAATCATATCTCCTCCTAATATAGCCCAGGGGTGGAATGGTCCGATCGTCCAACCTTTGGAGCAACCACCCGGGGAGGACAGGTAAAGCAAGGAATATCCCTTCTTCCCCTATATATCATCCCTAGCCGTCGACCCGACGCGGGGTCTTTGAATAGCGAGAGACTATATATAGCGCCCCTAAATCGCTATACAGAGAAATTCACGGTTACTGGGTGTGGCTATATCACGCCATTTGGATGTATGGCCCCTTATTTACCCCATATATTTGTGTGCTAGAGGCAAAGTTACTACTGGTCTTCTAGAAGTATGCTGAGTATCATACACCTAAAATGTCTAGACTTCATATATTGCGGATACTTGATATATTGTTGTTACAATGGGCAGAATCTAAATATAATATCTGCTCATCAGCCGGTGATATCAGTGCAACTTCACTAAATGCTTCAGGGGGTTTGCCTGTACTATGTAGCAGCCGTGACTGTTGTTTATCTGCCAACAAAACTCCTCGCTTCAGGCTTATTTATACAACGCGGGAACATATGCCCGACTCCTATGCACGACTCCACGAGAAAAGGTAGCATCGAGTGTGCGTACCAAATGATACTCTCTTATGCACGGAAAATTGTTTCAGCTCATAGTTTCTGCTCCTGGTTCTCCGTCAAATTAATATTGCCGGTGTATAAACTCCGCTTCAGCTGTTATTTAACAAAATGTCTCTGAAAATTTTGCACGGGTGGAGTCTGATCTCCTTCCTGTAGGTATGGGTATGGATAGAATGAACAAGTGCATAGGATTTCGCATTGTAATAATATCCGTGGGTTGGAAATCTGTTGCATATTTTCCGATGACAAAAAATGGCCGCCGATGCTGACTGTTAATTCCAGCTAGCAATCCCAATTCCCGCGAAGCCATATTGTAGTTAACTAGTATAGTTAACATGATATAACCACAGTGGACCAATGCCGCCCTCTTCCATCGTTACCCGTGCCGTAAGACATTGCCGCCCCGCTAGTTTCTAGCCAGATCTACTGACCATATCCAATAATAAGGCTGTGGTTTCGTCGATCATAAGATAAGAATGGAGCGATGCATAAAATATCAGCTTTCATCACTCCATTTGCCAAGGAGCGATTTGGACTTTACATGGCTATGCCCATGCCTTCGGGGATGTCTCACTATATCGTCGGCCGCGAACCTCTGCATATAACGAATGCATACAATTTTTCATTGACATTCGCGTGCAAGCAATCAGCTTTCAGTTGAGGGCCTGTTTCGGCAGTGCATAAAGTTGGTATTTGCCTGGATCCATCGAATAAATGCCAACGGCAGTCTAATGCAACGGCATCTGAACCCTTGCGCATGCAAGGAGAGGTTTGGTCAAATATCTAAATTATATGTCTGCCCATCATGCAAAGAAATGGGAAGAGCAAGTCAAGACGGAGTATTCCTATCTTCGACGACTTTCCGCGGGAGCCGGTTTGCTAGGTAGGGCACCCTGGATGCGCATTAATATAGTATGCTTCCGGAGAGGGGGTAGGGTCAGGACATGGCGGACGATATCCCGATCGGAGTTCTGACCCAGGACAAAGCAACGGCCCCGTTTACTTTGTCGGACGGCATGCATATATTCCGGCTGGGAACCTCATTTCCCTTCCCAGGGCATCTTTTATCGGTGAGTCTCGCGTTGGGAACTCAGGAGACTTTAACGGGCTCCGATTCGCCGTCTTTGAGGATGAAGGAGATGAGCCTTTTTAACGAGATTCACTGATGTCGACTGGACATTCCTGTCCTGGCAGTTGATGAAGGAAACATGAAATGTGTGTTTCTGTTTGCTTTTTCCCAGATAGCCAGTAGGGCGTGTTTCACTACCCCGGCACCGTGCATCCAGCCCTGCGAGATGGTATGTTTCGAAAACAATGAAACGGGACTTGATGCACGTGGTAATGAAGGATAGGAACTATGAAACTGGCTGATGCGAGAACGCCACAATGTTTTATGCGGACATTGGCAATTGAACTGCGCACTGGCAAAATTGTTGATGCGTCGAAAATACACAGTATACTCCGTATAGATAGCAGTTGATGCAGTGTATTTTAACTTTGTTGAGTGTTTAATTTAGAATCTTGCCAGAGTGAATATAGAGACGTCATAAACCAAGAAGAGGATGGACAAAAAGAACCAAATATATTTTTATGTTAGTAAGAAAAGACATGTCCCCTAATCACTCTTGTAAAATGTCAACCATCTTCTCGGAACATTCCTGTAGCTCCTTGTTGTCCAAATCTCTCAAGGCCTTCTTTATTAGTTCCATATTCCGGGCTGAAAGCGCCTTGGTACCCTTCGTTTGGAGGTTCAAGGACGAGGCTGCTAACATTGACTTATCCGCAAATATGAGCATCCACATAGCTTGGTCATCACCTTCCCTTTTGAGCTCTCCACTCTCACCGGGAACGTTCCCATAGCCCAGAATCTCCCATCGGTTGCTTAGAAACTTGATGAAGCCGGTACCTCGCCAAGTTATCGTCCCTGGAGGAGAGTTTGGTATAGGTCTATCTGTCCCGTCGATGGTATCAACTTTCTCGCAGTCCTCTCCCGAGATCGACTGGTACGAAGCTACCGACTTAAGGGCAAAATCCTTTGTAAAGTCAACGTTGGCACTGTTGATCTCCTTAGACTGGGCCGGGTCGCTGGCTAGCGCATATGAAATGGATACATTTCTCTTATCCCTCCAATAGTCGACTGAGGAGCTTAGGACGTACCACGTCCCGAGCAACGGGATCGTGCTGGACAGTCCCGAGGAATCAGCCGGAGTAGCATCAGCAGCAGTAGGGGGGGTAGGGGTGGTGGGAGTAGATGGTGAGAGTCTGGTTGGAAGGCGAAGGTGGATTTCGTTGGACATGTTTTTTTTTTATTAGTGTGGCCCAGATGTACCAATTAAATTATATGCTCGCTGTTTTGAGTACCGAGAAGTCACTGTGACGTTGCAATGCGAGTTCTTGGTATTCCTGAGCCCTTGATAACTGGCCGAGATGGCTGCGGGCCCGGAGTGCGCGCCCAAAGTAGCTGCGTCTTCGTGGTTGCGGTTGGCCTGAGGTTGGATGTCCGGAGTTACGTTTCGCCGACCGGAAAAACGTCGTCCTGTCCTTCGTCTACTTTCTACTTACTTTGGACGACAACAGTTGCAACAAGCTCATCATCCTCGAACCTGATCAGCTTTGATAGTCGCTGATAGTCGTTGATGCCTGCTCTCGTCAAGCTGATCTTTCGGCCGATCTCCATGGCCGCGGTGACGGCTTCGGCTCGCGCCTAAACATGCCGATCCACGTTCATCTCAGCGTTCGGGTCGGCGATCCAGCTTTCATCAAAAGAAGACGCCCCAAATGGATACGGGAACAATGTGAGAGCTACGGGTAATTCTAGGGGCATGGGACACTCGCGAACTCATCTTAACAGAATGGGATACATCTTATTATCTCCAGGATAGTTTTCCCAAGGTCCCCGCGGAAGCACCGGCCTTTATCATGGACATTCTCCGGCCATACATACGATGCTCCTCGAACCAGGGAGAGCCATGGAATCACGCAACCGACCCGACATCGCACCTCTGAGAGGGGGTATTTCTATGGCTTCGAGATTGTTCGCCCCCCGGATACGAGTTCTTAAGGTCCAGAGTATAGTTCATGCACCGGGATAACCGCTCTTCGTGGCAACTCAAACCAATGCGCCCCATTGGTGCCCAAGCTGCATTGTACCTTGGGGAAATCAATTGCATAATAATTAGCCCCAAATCGCAAATCAGGTTGCATGCTCCATCGCACCCTTGAGGATGGCCCTTGATCTCCCGTAATGTCTAATTTCAGGATAACGGTCTTTGATAGGGCGGTCAGCCACACGTTAGTCAGATGTTTCGGCACGATTCCACCAGGCCAAGGAAACGGGGTTGGCCTGAAACTATCAGTTCTTCGGACACTCACTCTATACACAGCCGTATTTCCGACACGCCCTGGCAAACTTTCGACAAGTAGTTCTCTGATAGAGGAGCACAACATCGCAAGAATTTCTCGGCCTCACTTGGCGCATTGAGGAAGGTGCACTGTCACACCCCATGGGGTTTTTGTTCGACTAACCGCAATCCTTAATCAATGACTCGGTATTTTGCGGGGATCAAAAAGTCATCCGACTCATTTATGAAACTCTTGGTATAACTTGGTATCCCTGGAGAGATATCTATTTTCAACTGCAGATACCCATACCTCGGCCTCCAAATTTCGAGGTATAGCAAAGTCAGCTATGGTCAACTCTTGACCTCAGTCCTTCGCCGCATCTTGCCGTAATATCAATCTCTTTCCTGTTTGGCTGTGTGGAACTCCCTTTCAAGGGATATCCTGACCATCCATGGCATGGCGCCATGGTACCTCAGTCAAGGAAGATAGGAGAACGGAGCTTTCATCCTCGACCTAGCGCTATGTGCGGGCTGAGGATGATAGGGACATGAATATAAATTCAACCTCTGTCCGCCAGTTTTATATTCGAAGATCTTCCTTCTGTATCAACAACCACAGACGTTCCACTCCTTTACATCTCTTCACACTCCTTCACATCTCTTCACACTCCTTCTTCATCATTCAAAATGGTCTGCCTCAAGACTTTGTCCGTATTCCTTGCGGCGTTGGCTGCTGCCGACGCTCGCGCTGTCTTCAAGGCTCAGAGCAACACTATGGAAGTCATTCCCGACTCCTATATTGTCGTGATGAAAGATGGTGTCTCCAAGGATGATTTCACTGCCCACGTTGCCTCCGTTGACCAAATCCACAACACCAACAAGGCCAAGAGAGGTAGCAAGACGAATGGTATGCAGCGCAAGTTCGATATCATGAACTGGAGAGGTTACAACGGTCACTTCGACCCCGAGACCCTCGAGGAAATTCTCAACGACTCAAAGGTTTGTCTCCCACCTACCAACTCTTTACCTATATTCAAGTACCGGGGACCTAACAAGCATCATAGGTCGACTACGTTGAGCATGACCAAGTTGTCAGAATCTCCGGTTTGGTCACGCAGTCAAATGCACCCAGCTGGGGTCTAGGACGTGTTTCTCACCGTCAAGCTGGAAGCCGTGACTACGTCTTCGACGATTCCGCTGGCCGAGGTGTCACTATCTATGGTGTTGATACCGGAATCGATATCAACCATCAAGACTTCAGAGGACGTGCTAGATGGGGAACCAACACCGCTGATCGCGATAACGCCGATCGCCACGGCCACGGAACCCACACTGCTTCCACCTTCGCTGGAACTGCTTATGGTATCGCTAAGAACGCCAACATTGTTGCCGTCAAGGTCCTTGGCTCCGATGGCTCTGGCAGCACCAGCGGTATCATCGCGGGTATCAACTACTGTGTCCAGGATGCCCAGTCTCGCGGAATCCTTGGAAAGGCCGCTATGAACTTGTCTCTCGGTGGTGGCTTCAGCCAGGCCAACAACGACGCCGTTACCCGTGCCCAGAACGCCGGTATCTTCGTTGCCGTCGCTGCTGGAAACGATAACGTAAGTTCAACTATTAATTCGAGTTTAACCCTGGACCCGAAGTTTCTCACCACCTTTAATGCTCAATTAACTAACAACATATCTTCCTGCTTTATAGAAGGATGCCCGTAACTACTCCCCGGCCTCCGCCCCTGCTGTCTGCACTGTTGCCTCGTCCACCATCAACGACAGCAAGTCCTCTTTCTCCAACTGGGGCCCAATTGGTAAGTAGCAACCTTAAACTATACTCATACAATGTTGCCAAAGGCTCGAGTAATAACATCTTGTTGCAGTTGACATCTACGCTCCTGGCTCCGATATCATTGCCGCCCGCCCCGGCGGTGGCAGCACCACCATGTCCGGTACCTCCATGGCCTCTCCCCACGTTGCCGGTATGGGTGCCTACATGATCGGAATGGGCGCCAACCCCCGCCAAGTTTGCGACCGCCTCAAGCAGCTCGCCAATGCCGCCATCCGTAACCCAGGATCTGGCACCACCAACCGCCTCCTCTACAACGGCAGCGGCCGATAAACGATCTTTATTGAGTAATAGATGGCGATTCACCCCGAACTCGATGTTGAGGGGTATTATTATACCTTCAAGTACATTTTTTAACCTGACCACGTCCACTGGTTGAGTGTCATTTTTCTGCACATATTATTTATTTCTTCATGATGTATCCCATCATTCAAAGTTACCTTCATTGCACCTATTAGTTTATAGCGAATTGAGCAGTACTTCTTCGCGCCTTAAACATTCTTATATTCTCCTTCCTCCTTAGTCTAGTTGATTATTTCGAATTCTAGCCCATGGATACGGAATTACGCCCTTGAGTAAGTCTTAATCGAATACTCCGTATATAGAGTCCACTAGTTTTTATACGAGAACTGCCATCTATTTAACTTTGCCTACACCTTCTCCATACGAAGCGCCTGCCAAAATCGCTTAAAGCTCACTGTTTCTATTCAATATCACATGGTGAATCACGCGACCTCTATTACGTGTGGCCACATGAGTCTTCTAGAGTGGTCAGCAGGTCAGTATTTTCCTTACCTAGGTACGGAAGAAATAGCTTTATAGAACCATACAAACATATACATATATCCATTGATATAACGACAATATAAATTCACAGATAACGTACACTTCCGAAGAAAGGATCTAGAAAGTAAAACACACTCCACTCCACCTGTAGGACAGAAAAGTAATCTATTCTATATAAAAAAACCAAAATCGAAACCAAAACCAAACGAGGTAGTAGCTGATAGAAGTTGACTCCTTGTTTCTTGTTTTATCTCTGTTTTTGTCATTTTCTCCCACCCAGAGGTGTTACACTGACGCTGGTGTTTGGGCGGGGGCTTCTGGTGTTGCTGTTGCTGTTGCTAGGGTTGATAGATAATTCTGCAAGAATGGAGAGCCTTCACTCATAATACGTACATAGAAGTACAAGAGAGGGGTGTTGTTGTATGCAGTGGTTTCAACGCAGCCTTGGGTTCCTAATTCACGCTTTCTTTGGCTTTATGTTGGACCCGTTTTGGTATTCTTCCTTGCGGTCCGGGGTAGCATGGGTCACGTAAAGAACTCTCTCCAGGTATTTCAAGAATTCATCAATGACCACGACTGGCGCACTGATAGCCAAGACAGCCTTCCACTCAAGCCAATTGAGTGGCAAAATGTTGAACAGGCTTTGTAAGAAGGGGATATATAGGATGGCGAAATGAAGGGACATGGAGAGCATGATGGCGTAGACAAGCATCATGTTGTTCCATAGTGGGAAAGTGAAGAGCGATTCGCTGGAGGAGAGCGCGTTCATGGCGTTTAGCATCTCAATCACAACGAGGATGGAGAGGGATATGGTCGAAGCAGATTTAGACATATCATTGCTAAACATCTCACAGCCAATTTCAGAGAACTGGCTGGAACATTTGTGGAAATGAGACTGTGGAGATAAAGTTAGTTTCGTTTCCGATTGAAAAAAAAAACAAAAACAAAAACAAAAATAGAATTATATGGGGAACGTTTCTTACCAGTTGCCAGAAGGTAATTTGAGGACCTTCTGGATTGAACATGAAGTACCATGCATATCCAAATACCGTGGCGGCACCAACATAGATACCGATGACCATGTAACGGAAAAACAACCATCCTCCGACAAGGGGCTCGTCTCGTTTGCGCGGTGGGCGCCTCATGACGTCATGGTCCGCGGGATTAAACGACAGGGCTGTCGCAGGAAGACCATCTGTAACCAAATTGACCCACAGTAATTGGACAGGAACCAAAGCTTCCGGCATGCCGAGAGCAGCGGTAAGGAAAATGGACACAACTTCTCCAATATTTGAAGAAATGAGGTAGCGGATAAACTGCTGGGTGTTGCTGTAAATAGACCTTCCTTCTTCAATGGCGACTTCGATCGTAGCAAAGTTATCGTCGGCGAGGACCATATCGGCTGCGAGTTTAGCAACATCAGTTCCAGAGCCCATGGCAACACCAATATCAGATTTCTTTAGCGCGGGGGCATCGTTAACACCATCTCCGGTCATGGCCACGACGTGTCCCATTGACTGCAAGAGGTCGACAAGCTTCGATTTGTGCGTTGGTTCGGTACGAGAGAAAAGCAGGCCGTTTTTGGCAGCTTCGAGTTTTCCTTGCTCGCTCAGATCGTCAAACTCTCTACCGGTGAAACTCTTGCCGCGTATGTCTTCGTCTTTACCAAAGATTCCAATTTGTCGACAAATAGATTCAGCAGTATGCTGGTTGTCACCGGTGATAACGACAACTCGAATGCCTGCCTCACGACACTTTTCGATGGATGGACGGACCTCTGGACGGGGTGGGTCAAGCATGCCAACAAGACCGATCAGCGTCATGTTTTGCTCTAATTTCTTGTATTCTGGCGAAGTTTGAGCGCTGTGCAACAGGGGAGTTTCCGGCACATTGACAATGCTGGCAATGGCGATGATGCGGAGTCCCTGGTCGCCGTAATCCGCGACCTCTTGCTGGATCAGTGAAATATGTTTCTTGGTGAGAGCAACTTTCTCTCCGTCTGATCCAACCAAGGTGTGAGAGCATCGCTCAAGAATCGACTCAGGAGCGCCCTTGACAAGGAGCTTCTGGCTTCTTCCCTTTCCAGCCAATACGGACATACTCTTTCGGTCACGGCAGAATTCATACGTAGCTTGAACAGGTGATCGCGATTCGTAGTGTTTGCTAGCGGCATGAAGACGTTCGGTAGGTGGCAGGCTTCTAATCTTTGCATTGATGGAGACGTCGTCGGTACCAATCTTCTCGGCTAGCACTCTGAGAGCGCCCTCGGTGGGTTCACCAATATTGCTAAAGGTATCAGTCTTCGAGTCGTAAGATAACTCAGCTTCATTGCAAAGGGCCATGACTTCCGTCATCTGTTGGATGGTGGAAGACGACGCGGCCAGATTTTTGAGAACTTTTCCATTCTGTTTGAGGTCGCCATGAGGGGCGAAGGTAGTGCCTTCAACCTGAATCTCTTCGAGGCCGGTCCCGTTTTCATTCAAGTAGACGACGCGAGCGACGCTCATCTGGTTGGTAGTAAGTGTTCCGGTTTTATCAGAGCAGATAACGCTGCAGCTTCCCAGGGTTTCGACAGAAGGCAAGGATCGCACGACGGCATTTTTGGCAGCCATTTTTCTGGTTCCAAGGGCGAGACAGGTGGTAATGACGACAGCGAGACCTTCTGGGATAGCAGCCACGCCGAGGGAGACGGCAATTTTGAGGTAGTAGATGGCTCCCTTAGTCCAGCCTCCGTGGCTTGGGTCACCAAAGTGTTCGATGTTGATGAGCCAGACGAGGATACAGATAACCGTGATAACCTTAGCCAGTGTGTCACCAAACTTGTTCAGTTTTTGTTTCAGTGGGGTAGGTTCCGAGATTTGAGCAGTAATGCTCTCATGGATATCACCAATTGCGGTATTGGCACCAGTAAGTACCACGATAGCGGTAGCATGGCCGGTCACGACGGTGGTTCCGGAGAAGATCAGGTTAATCTGATCTTGCTTAACGGCTTGGGGGTCTTTGATCGCCTTTGTAGTCTTAGCAACACTCTGACTTTCACCAGTCAGAATCGCCTGATCAACGCGGAAACTGTTGCTCTGGATAGCCAACAACCTACAGTCGGCCGGAATGCGATCACCGACGGCTATCGAGATGATATCCGCAGGCACAAGTTCCTCCGCCTTAATCCGGTGAATAGCTCCATCCCTAATGACTTTGGCCTCGTTTGCTGAATATTCCTGGAGAGCTGCAATGGCCTTTTCAGCGCTGCTTTCTTGAGATACGCCGACGATCGCATTTAGGATAAGAATCGTGAGGATCTAGAAGGTGTGAGTACAGGAATAAAAGGGTAAATCATATGTCCCAGGCGCACTTACGACAATGGGATCCACGAATGCGGTCCAACCTTCACCCTCTTCAAACAATGCTAGTACAAAGGAGACCACGGCCGATCCTAGCAGTATGATAACGAGTTGATCTTTAAATTGTTCCAAAACAAGCTGCCACAACGGCGTTGGGGGTTCCTCCTCGAGAGCTGAATAGAGTCAACGAGTTAGCCTGAAGCTGCTCCGATGGTCGTATAGATAATAGAACAGGTACCTACCATTGGAACCATATTTCTCTCTGTATTTAGCCACCTGGCTTTCCTGTAGGCCGTGCTCTTCCGTCACTCCGAAATGCGCAAGCACCTCTTGCGGGCTAGAGAGGAACGATCGATCCATGGTGTTTGTTTGGCTTTCTTCAAGCTCTGCGCCAGGCGCGAGAAGAGGGAGAGAGGGAAAGTATATTATAGAACCCCAATCTGTACCGTGGCCTCAAGAAATTCTGCGCTGACAAATCTAACTGGTTATATGTCGATGACGGCGTCGAGTGTGAATAGAGGCACTCAATTTGATTCGTGGAATTCTCCCATAGGTGGCGGTGGTAGGTATTCAGGGGCTTTGAGATACGGGCTGAGCCTTGGGCTTCGAGGTACGTATACGACTCTGCCGATATATGGGATCTTCCCCGCAAAAAGATATCGATATAGGGTGGGGATGGACGATAATAAAAGCAATCTGGGCTCACGAACAGGTCGAGCACAGTAAGGACAGCCACTCTATCGCCAATGACCTCGCAGCAGACTGTAAAGGGAGCGGGAGGAGTGGGAAGAGAAGAAGCCAGCAAGCTGTGTACCTGGAGAAATGTGTAGATGCATCCAGCTTATCAATCCTGCGCCTACAGCTTTTTTCTTTGAGCTTCGACCAACGTGGTCTTTTCGGGGCCCGGAATAACTCATGCCGACATGACGCTAGCATCAAAGTAGACTAGGGCTATAGTTGATCACGTAAGATGTCAGGTGATGTCCACGTGGGTAACATGTGACATTTGAGCCGCATGTTATATAAGCACTCGGGTTTAAGATTTAACTCCGCTTCTTCCTCCTGGCCATGTTACAGTATATGATGTCGCTACTATTATTTCACTGCGCAGAATGGCACCCATTGTCTACCGCGAGGGTGATAGAATTGCCAAATTGCTGTGGCAAGAAGAGGAACTTGCATTTGCGGATGTCGCTGGTATCATCAAAGGCTCAAGTAGCTAGCTGTTAACGTACACGGAGTACCATGACGAGAATACAACCTCTTTAAAAAGCTATTGGTCAATCAGGTGACAGTGCGTGTTTAGCTCATATTATCAGTTTATGATCTAGCTTCATTTTGAAATGCACCATTCCGACATGCCTAAGGAGTACTCTTGATTAATATTTTTATACATAGTCGTAAAGTCTAGCTGGAGCTTCCTTGGGTCGGCTCTGCTAACCCTTGGAGGACTTATCTGGCTAAATATAGCTACCTCCCAAAATTCTTTCGTTCGCTCCATAGGAGAAACGAAGCAGAGGTCTCAAAAAGCAGCCAGGTATATACAAGAAAACACCAAACCCAAATTCCCCGTAGATCCACTCCAGCGGGCCAAGTTCCCCCGCATATTTTTATGCAAGGTTTAGTGGCCGCTTGAATCCATAACTTAACTTTGTTCAACTTAAATCTGACAGCTCTGGCAACGGAGATATTCGTGGCCTCTTGAAGAGAATATGAAGTTAGGATATAAATACTAAATTCTCCAAAACATCCTTGGTTAGCTGGATATCAGTTTCAAACTCAGCCACTCGATCTGATATTTAAAACTCCACTTTGACTTTCTCTCCGTAAAGCAGGCCGCCCTTGATTCTCACAATACCCGGATAATAAGAAATGATAATATCTTCTTGTGAGATAAGCATACAAGTAGTTTTAACTTCGTGTGGTATCAAGAAATGCCTTTTGTATGACAACGGCCTAGTGCGAAGGCTCGCAAGATCCATAGAGCAAAGCCAGCGGTTTTTACCTTGGAAGACTAGATGGTTGGTACTGCTAACTCCGTAAATGCTGAGAATGTGGTTCTGGAGGACTGGGCTAAGCAGTATCACTCGGAGCCACGGATTCTCCTCCACGCACGTAATTTTTGAGAGGGTCCCGTCAAAGGAGCGCACGAGATCAAAACTGTACGGATAGAGTCGCTGCCAACAGTCGCTACCGTCCAACAATCTCACCGGGATAACAATATGAGCCCTATCGTTATCCAGAGTGAATGAGAAGGCTGGGCGCTCTAGTTTTGCTATAGCTCCAAAGAATTGAGTTATTTCCTCGCGAGACTTCAACATCACTCGGTTTATAAAGTCGCCCCATGTATAAATGCAAGCAGAATCCTCGATAACGTAGATTAGGTGTTGCAGTGACTGCGGATGCTGTATCCAACGTCCCGCCACCCAATTCTCAGGCATTTCTATGTAAGTCCCCCCCTGGGCATTGATGTCCCAAAGCCAGTTAGAATCGCGGGCCGATATGATAAATTTTTGTTCATTCGCGCAAGGCAATATTTGGTAGATGTATTCAGGCACATTGTCCTTGGATAGCGTCCTCCTTTCGTCTAAACGCCATACCAAAAGTTCGTCTGGGCCGGTTTCACTGGTGCTGACACTGATGATAGAATGGTATTCTGGCCAAACGCAAATGATATATACCGAACTCCTGTCCTTGTGCTGATATAGCTTGCAGGAGTCATTAGTTCCGAGAGTATGTTGGTAAACCCGCCCAAAACTTTTGGCATAATATGCGTATTTTCCCTCTCTGTCCACAGCCAGAGTTTTAGCCCTTTCCCCAGGGCGGGACGGGCCGAGTTGTCGGCCGCCTCCAGTAGTTTGCTGATCTGGAGGTGGAAGGCGCCGAAATTTGACAGCACCATCCTCGAGCACTGCTAGAGAGTATCCGTCCTCGCTGAAGGCTACTCGCCTGAGTGTTTGCTCAGCATCGACATCCGCTCTAACAAAGGATCCCGGAGAATATTCCACGTGGTGTAGGAGCTTAGAAGTGTGGAAGTCGTAAATTTCAATACTGGAATCTCCAACCACGGCAAGTCGCTGCCGATCCGGGCTGGTAGCAAGGCTCTCAACAGGTCCTTCTCTCTTGTCTATTTTCTTTGTATTTGATCCGTCAATGTCAATAACCAGTACTTCATTGTTCTTAAAAAGTACGGCGATCGTTTCGCTGGGGCCAAATAGTTCTCTGGGGCCGAAAACAATGTCAGTGATGGAAGGCTTATCCAAAAGAGGTATGTCACGGATATATCTCCTATCAAGGTCCCAAATTTCTATCACTTGGGGGTCATGGTAGCTAACGGCTAGCAGGCGGCTGACCTTGGAGAATGATGCACGAAGCGGCCATTCCCGTCGCCCTGCCAATCCCTCTTTGGCGTGTTGGTAAGGAATGCCCCTCAAATCCCATGACCACGTCTTGAGATGCCTGGTCTTTGATTCCACAGCCACTATTAGTGATTCTCCGTCAATCAAATAGTCCATAATATACAGTATTTCTTCATCATTATTTAGTTGACGCAATATCGTCACCTCTTTATCATTGACGACATCGTAAATTTTAATACGTTTTGTCCCATAACAGACCAGAATATCATTTGCTCCGGGCTTGAACTGGAGGAACTTTATTTCTTCGTCGTTGGTCAGGGTTTTGTATATTTCGAATAACGATGTATGATACACCGTTATATATGCAGTAACAATTTCAATATCAGTTTCAGTGGCAGAAGCGATGGCAAAAAACTTTTCGCCATAGCACAAAGCAGTTATACCCCCCTCGACATCCGTACTAACCAGCTGGTAATCCCATTCAACAGCGGGCCAGCCAAAAACCGAGAACTCATGCTCTGATACAGTGGCCTTCCGGATGAAAGTATCCTCGGGGCAAAATTGTGGAATTTGAGCGTAAATCGCTGACGGGGAACGTATAAGATCCTCGGAGAACCTCTTTGCTATATGGTCTAGGTCGCTTGTCCAGCCCCTGATCTTTTTTTCTATTGCGGTGTCAAGCTCCGCCTCCAGTTTGGAACGCGCATCAGTATATACAGCAAGGGTGGTCGCTGTGTCAATTAAAGGAGTGAGAACTTGGTCTTTAGCGATAAATTCTATCCACGAAAGAACATTCGATGATAAAAAGATATCAAGCAGGCGAAATATATCACCGTCAAGGGGGTCAGCCTTGGCCAGATGACACGAGAATTTCATGGCAGCGTACTTTAAGAACTTGGAGCGAGCGCGCTCTTCACCAGGGTATCGAGGAGGCTTCATTTCGTCCTTGGTAAGGTATCGGAGACAAGCCTTAGCAATACGAGTATGGGCCACGGTTTCCCTGACCGCAAACTCCGAGTCTAAGTCTTCGTTAACGAGGAATTCTCGAGCAGCCTCATGTATCATCCTTAACTTTCCAGACCCATCGAAAGCCACCAGCTGGCCGCATCGGGCGGCAACGCAATCGTCAAGATTGTGAATCCCGCTCTCAATATCAAGTTGTAAAGCTTCCTTAAGCTCGTCCTTTTCTAGTGGTCTTTCTGCACACGTTACCCACGCTAGAATAGCGTTGGTAGTATCATTTTCGCGTGTGGCACCTAACATTATCTCTAGTATCCTCCGATATTTATGTTCCATTCCTTTAGGCATCTTTGAAAGAATCCGAGATACTTCCTTTTCGCTATGTGCATTCGACAGATCTTCAAATACTAGATCTATCCACAGAAAGCAGCCATTGGACTTTTCGAGGAGAGTCTCCATTAGAGAAGCTTCATTACCCTTATTTTCAGGTAGGTGCTTCATCTTGAACTCAATTAGGCGTTTGATATCGTCTTTAGTATCCTCTATAGAGATATTATGTCGGTGTTGGTCGGAGCTGAGGCTATCGAATTTCCTTTTCAAGTCTGGAATGTATCGGCTGGTGATCAGGATTCTCAGGGGTATGGATTGATTGATTCTCTGCAGCCCATGAAAGAAGGAGTCACAATCAGAGCATTCATCCAACCCATCAATAACCCAGTAATGTTTGTGGAGTTCCACTCTGAATATGCCGGATTCGAATAGTTTTTGCCATATCTCGTCTGAATTTTCATTCTCTAGATTCGTTCCAGACTTTTGAGTTATCTCCAGAAGCTTTCCTCGAACCTGGGGGGATCTACGCGCCATCTGTAAAGCGAGGGACCGAAAACAGGGCCTCATGTCCAACTCTCCCTCTTTGACGGAGTAATGGCTGTAATCCTCACCGGCAGCGCGGAGCTGTTCTATTATGTACCTCGCAATGGTCGACTTTCCGGAGCCTAGATTTCCGGTGACCCAGAGTATACTAGGAACATCCTGGGCAAATTCTTTCCACTGTCTATATGGTTCTTTGTCCAAAAACCACTGGCAAGTACCTTCAAGATGAGTGGCGAAGGGATCTACGCACACACCAAGATATGCTTCTAGGCTTTCCATCTGGTTTTGTGAGAGTTCATCATCTAATTTCAGTATTAATAAGGACATGGGCCGTCATCGTAGATCATAGAATGCATCTCATACCTATTTTAGAGATTTCGAGAACGGTAACTTCAAAAGCCTCACAAAGAGCTTTATAGTTTGGATCCTCCTGCGATTCAAACTTGCAAATTGAGCGGTGGTCACCGATCAACGGGCGCACAGTTTCGTGCTTTCCACATTCCAGGGTAGCAGAATTCTTTTCAACGACCAGTGAACCCAGGAGACTATATTCCTCTGTCTCGTAAAAGGACCAAATCTTTAGACCATCGTAGAAATCACTAAATTGGTAATTCATCTTGAATAAGGTGTTAGAGCCGGGTTTTAGTTGTTTAACGAATCTTCGAGGAAAACCATAAACCTTTAGAACATTGTGCAGAGTTTCAGCCGAGGCAGATCCGTCGTGTGGTGTTCCGAGGAAGCACATCGTGTGGATTCGATCAGCTAGCGATTTATACTGCTGTTTTAGTTTTGCATTCACGTATGCCTCTTTGATCACTAGACCTCCCATGCTATGCCCAATAAGTACTATTCGGGTACGGTCACCTGTGTCCCTCATAGACGAACAGTTGGACAGGCTCGAGAGCAATTCAAGGGAAAAATCAAACAAGGTCAAGGTCGATTTCTTCATAGGGCCGCAGGCTGAGTCGTATCCGAAACTGTAGACTCGTACTTTCTTTGCGAATGCAGGCTCGTTACGGATCCATTCCTTTGGCCAGTAGTGCGAGTCCGATTCTGTTTTGCTCCATGTTTTCCTAGAACCGCCATCAAGACCGTGTACGAAGATGAAATCAACAATCGGGTCTGGAGGAGAATACAAGAGATGCAATCCGATGGCGCCTTTGACATTGATGGTAGGGGACTTTTTGAAGTATCTTCCAAAGAAGTTTGAAATTGGAGCCCGACGCTTTTGCTTCTGCTCTCCACGAGAGTCAACTAGAGCGAGTTAGCGGTGGCCATTACTTGTCTTCATAACGGGATAAACGGGTTCTTTACCATTCCTACTTGCCATATCTCTTTCTTGACTCGTGAGTTGAACTGGAAAGCTTTATAGGACCGCCGTAGAAATGAGTCAGAACCTGGTCTGGGAGAATTATGAGAAAGCATGGGCGGTACGTACTTTGGACGTACTTATAGCACTATATGCAGCCCAGCGGCGCGGGGATGAGGCTGAGAGGCTGCGCCTGGTCATCGTCGCAGGCGGCAGTGTGCTATCGTATAGCTTTTTGCACACGAAGGCATGGCCAATATAGATAAATGATGTTGTTGCTCTCTCCCAAGTTTCCCGTCACTTTATCAGGTGTCTATAGAAGGCATGGAGACAAAACTCGCTTTGGTTTCGTTAAACCGTTGCTTTTTCTCACGATCGACCCAGTTGAACATCGATGGCCGCAGCCTGCCTGCAGTGTGCACAGCATGCCTGATCCATGATATCCGGTCCTTCTCGCAGGAACCGGGCTTGGATCTGGTTGCAGGTGATGATATACAGAGATGGAAAATATTTATTAGGATATATCCGCCACTTCCGCTGTTCCGGAAAGTACAATCCTTGAATAAGCGTATTGAATCGGTTTAAAGATATTGACCTTCTATCATTACCTTTATTTATATTCTAACAAACCTATCATGTTAGAAATTATACTTATGCCTACTTGATTTACTTAATCTGTATAAGCCCAGACACTAATAGCAAGCCAAACCACTTAATTTAATGCGACAATTTAATGCAATACAGTGTTATGTCATGTTAAGTTATTTTATGTGATGCATAGCTGAGCAGCGCACGAAGCTCTGAAGACAAGCAGGACAATACGGGGTATGGGGGATTGTTCATCGAACAGGGGGGACAAGGGAAAGTGGAAAAGATGAATAAAAGACAAAGGTTTCCGATCTGTCCAGGCATAGGTCTTTCTCCAATTGCTTTAAAAACTCCGCCGAACCAGCAGAAGATACACAACCCTTGAGATAAAGGAAAGGAAAGGAAAGGGAATCGGAACGGAATGGAATAGAATTGGAATAGAGCGTGAATCGGGATGGGGATAGCTTGGTAAAGAGAAGCAGGCGAGACGAGCGAGGCAAGGCAAGGCAGGACAGGGTAGGGATTGGGTGGATTTGATGAAGGATGACCGGGATACATGCTTGGTCCGTGTTGTCAGGCTTGGACCATCTCCGGCGGAAATACGAGACTTGATTGAAGCCGGGGATGGAAAGTTTTCGGACATATGATGATTTGTGGTCTTCAATATCAAAAGTTCAGTTTTTTTTTTTGTTATTTTTTTTACTTCTTTTTTGCCTTGCTGTTTTGTTTTTTTAAGTCAAGCCTGAGTTCTAACCATCAATCCCATCTAGGACTCAGCAGCAGGCTCTTCCTTCTTGACCTCAGTTGCGGCCGGAGCCGGTTCCTCGGACTTAGCAGCCGTGGCATCCGCTGCAGGGGCAGTGGTGGATTCCTCGACCTTCTTCTCTTCACCGGCAGCACCTTCAACGGGGGCCTGGGGAGGCTGTTGGGAGGTCTGTGGCTCTTGCTCACCACCCTCAGAAGAGGTCCAGAGAGTCAAGTTGTCGCGCAGAAGCTGCATGATGAGGGTGCTGTCACGGTAGGACTCTTCGGAGAGGGATTCGAGCTCAGCAATGGCATCGTCGAAGGCCTGCTTAGCTAGGTGGCAAGCACGGTCGGGTGAGTTGAGGATTTCATAGTAGAAGACTGAAAAGTTGAGGGCGAGACCGAGACGGATAGGGTGGGTGGAGGTTAGCTCGGTTTGGGCAACGTCGGTGGCGTTCTATGGAATGTTAGATATACGATGATAACACAAGATATGGACTGTACCCACCTTGTAAGCATCGTGGGCAGCAGTGACTGCGGTCTTGCGCTTGTTGCCAGAGGCAAACTCGGCGAGGTAGCGGTGGTAGTCACCCTTCCTATAATAACGCATCAGCCGTGTATCTCTCGACCCTGACATCACCGGGTTAGACGTACATCTTGTGGTAGAAAACCTTGGACTCTCCGGACTCGGCATTGGGGATAAGAGACTGGTCCAAGACGTCGAGGACATCCTGGCAGACGCGCTCGAGCTCGAGCTCGATCTTCTGACGATACTCGCTGATAGCCTGGACGTGCTTCTCGGAGCCCTTGGATTCTTCCTTTTGCTCGATGGAGGAGATGATGCGCCACGAAGCACGGCGGGTTCCGACGACGTTCTTGTACGCGACGGAGAGAAGGTTGCGCTCATCGACTGTGAGTTCACCACCGATCTGTGTAACGGGTTAGTTGAGTGGGCCGTGGCAAGTATAATGGCAAGTATAAACTGCCGATTCATGCATGGACGACATACGCTGGCAACCTCCTAGAGGGATTGTCAGTATTCTCGAGTTATTTGACGCTGGACATGTCTGCTATGCGGCTTACCTTCATGTACGTGACCATCTCTGTACCAGGCAAAAAACAAACAAACAATCAGCATTCATCCACAACTCGATTCCAGGGGGATTGGATGGACGACATAAGTTCTATCAGCGTCTCGATTGGGTCCTTACCATCGTAGCGTTCGGCCTGCTCACAGAGCCTGGCGAGGAAAGTTTTGCTACACTGCCAGTCAGTACCAGGCAACGAGCCGCCGCTGGGTGCAGGACGAGGGTCCAGCTTACCTATCACGCTGTAGACCGAGAGCCATGATGTCAGTCCAGGATGCTCACGACGTAGACAGCGAGAGAAGAAGATGTCAGGAAGCAGAGTCTGCCTGTCCTGGGTGAAGCGTAGACAGCGCGAGCCTGTGGGAGGGGTAAACTTACCTCAGATGTCATCTTGGGCGGGAGATACGCTGGTTCGAGCGAGGATCGAGAAGTGCAGGCTGTGTCGGTTAGAGAGCGAGTCCTGGCAGAGCAGAGAGCAGTGTTGGTGTTGAGTTGTGAAGGCGAGGTGAAGATGAAGTTGAAGATGAAGTCGAAGGTCGAAGTCGAAGTTGAAGGTGGAGGAGTGTGTGGGAAAAGATGACGATGGCCAGAGGTCAAACTTGCCTAGCGCGGAACACAGCCAACTGGACAGCAACAGTGAACAACAGAACAGGACAACAGGAGACGAAGATGGTATTATATTCACTGGATCACTGGAAGAGATGGCTATTTATCTTCTCTCCGGTCTGGTTATCTTTTGTCTTCTCTGCCTTGTGTTTAGCGAGTCTTCAGCGCTAACTGTGACACCATGCTGACTTCTCTACGCGCCAGGCTGATACAACCACTGTTACTACTGTTACTTATACTGCTACTGGCTGTTCTATGGCCAGGTAATTGCAAGGGATAAAGTACCGGATACAATACAACAGGACTGGGGGTGTATAGAGTGTACGTGGATAGAGCTGCGCCCGACATACGCGCCGGTCTGCCTGCTCTTCGCTGCCTATGAAACACCAGGCAGGCAGCAGGCTGTGATGGGCTGCACAGCCTCCCCGTCGCTATTCTCGTGCTCAAACCGCAGAGCCTCGAGAGCGTGAAGAAGCCTCGCTCCTTTGCCCCTTTATACAGGCCGTCGATGCCGTCATGTGACGAGTTGCAGCCTCATTTTTTAGAGTAGAAAAAACAAAGAACAAACGACGAACTAACATGAACTAACGACGGGCGAACTCACGATCTCCGAGTGCAAGAGAACCTTGTCTCTATCACGGAGCAGCCAACCTAAACTCGGGACTGAGTACGGACTGGAAGTGGGATGGTACGGGCACCGAGTATGGACTATGAGTATGGACTATGAGTATGGAGTAGATGGAAAGGGGCAGGAGATCTATGGCGCTCCATGAAGTATACATTACACCACTGATGAATGTCGATAATACGAGCCAGCAGCGATCTAACGGATATAACACGTGCCGTCAGTATCGATCATCGATATATAAGTCGTTGATGGCGGCCAGTAGGATGAGAAGCTGCCGTCCATCTTCTACGCAGTCACAATATCAATATCCGCCATGAAGAGCCTGAAGAAGATATTCAGCTCGAAAAACAGCAAGGCAGGGGATACGACTTCATCCTCGAAACCAGCTGCAGATCACCCCCTATCGACACCGCGCCTCACTCCAGGAGTCTACGGTAGCTTCCCCAGCCAGTTTAGCATCTACTTCGCTGGACCCGGCCAGGCCAAGAAGACAGACCACTTCTACCTAGCAACGGACGAAGATGGGAGAGTTAACCCGCTTAACCTTTTCACCGCTCATACGGCCATGGTCAAGCTGCAGGTTATACTCTACGCTGGTACGGACCTTAACTCTGCACCGCTTGGTCTAGCGGGTACGGAGAAGTTTTTCTCTTCCACGTCGGTGATTGGGCTGCCTGTGCCCGCTGGTGGTGAGGGAGGTAACCAGATCGAGCGAATGACGGACCAGAAGAAGCTTAAGTTTGCGATTCTCAATTTCAGCGTTGGTGTTGGTGTTGGCGCGGGGCAGGAGAAGGGGGATTTCGAATGGCGGAGTGATCACTTATTTTCGACCAAGCCGAGGGAGATGGTTGAGTATAGGTTGTCGAGGCTGGGTGCTGACGGGACGGAAGGGGAGGTCGTTGGTATATGGAGTAAGAAGCTGGAGATAGGGGAGGATTGCAAGATGGGTACGTTTCGGTTCCAGGGCAGTGGAGCGACGGGGGAGCTGGGAGAGTATTGGACTCTGATGGCAGTTATGTCGGTGATACGGCTGTGTCAGGTGGATTGGGTGGCTAAGGGTGCGGCAGAGGGGTTTTTCAAGGCTGGAGGGAAGCTGGCCGGTGCAGGGCTCGGGTTTGCGGTCTGAACTGTCTATCTATGCCATCCATCTATCTACGTTGTTGAAGCAGGCTGCCCCTGTCAAGATGGAGGGTGCCTTGGCGGCTGCTGCGGTAGAGACCAGTGGTAGAAGCATCATTTAGATAAGACATAATCGAACAGGTTCTATCAACAGGCCCAAAAGAAGGGACAAGAGGAGAAAAAAAGAGTAAATGAAATCTAAATATCCTAACAAAACAGCCTAACAAACCACCTAACATGCTAAAAGTAACTAAGATAGGCTGTCTCTGTCTCTCAATCTGGGTGTCTGCTTGGTTGCAATGTTCTAAACTTTTGGATGACGAATGATAGGAAAGTGGCGGCTCTTTTACTCGAAGGCTAGACGAACGATGACATGGACATGCATGATAAGGAAATGTATGAAATGACGTAGTAGGAATAGGACAGGGCAGGGTAGGGATATTAGAACGATATTAGCTGAGACTCCATTGCTGGGGATATGGGAGATATATCAGATCAGACGAGGAAAGGAGGAGAAAGAAAGATAGGAAGAGAGGAAGATAGGAGAGGGGAAGATAGGAAAGAGAAAAAAAAAAGGCGAGTCAGTGCAATCACATAAAGTCGTCATCTCCCAGGTCATCATAAGCCGTAAGGTCTGCTCCTCGACTGTTGCCACCAACCCGGGAAGCAACAAGGCTGGTCTTGGTCTTAGCAGCCTTGGTCTTCTTTCCTCCCTTCTCAGCAGCCTTCTCCTCCTTGAGTTTCTCGTTGCTAGCAGCCGTCATTGCACTGGCGATCTTCTTGATCTCCTGGCTAGGCAGCTCCTTGACCAGCTGCTTGGTAAAGTCCTGCAGCCACAGGGTATATGCTGCCTTCTTGGACTGGGCCGTTAGCAGAGGCACAAGGGCGTTGGTGAGGGCTGTGAATTGCGGTTTTGTGCTTGGCTTGAAGAGAGGGATGGATGCGAGGTCTAGAGACTTGGTGGGGTCGTTGGCGTCGGATATCACGCTCTTGGTGGGTGCGGTGCGGTTGCGGGTGCGGGCCAGGTCGATGTCTCCGAATAGATCTTCGGCATGCTTGAGGTCGGCGGCCTGTTCGGTTCTGCGTAGCTCTTCCCGCTTGGTGGCCAGGTCTACTTCGGAGTCAGACTCCTCTTCAGATGATGATTCTTCGGCCCGTCGTCGAGCGGCGGCGGCCTGGTGCTCGGCTATCCGCTGGGCTTTGGATTTCTTGTTGGCTAGGGCTTCAGCGTCGGCTTTGGCTTTGGCAGCAGCTGCCTTTTTGGCCTTTTCACGCTCAACTTCGCTGTCCTCAGCGGCTTCCCAGTCGTCGAGAACCTGGTTCCAACATTAGTATAGAGTTACTAAGGACGTAACAGGCTATCACCCACCTCATCGCTATCCTCTTCATCGTCGAACTTGCGTCGCGGGGCAGCAACGAGCGGAGGTGATGATGGAGGAGTACTTTGTTCCTCGTCTTCTAGAAAAAAGAAACGAAATAAGGATGTTAGCCCCTGTCAGTTCATCATCGCATCCCCCATCCCCATCCCACCCGTTAGACTGGCTCGCTCGCCTGTCCGCCTCACCGCTCTTCTGGGTTTGACCAGGCCATGTCCCGTATCGTGTCGCGGCCGGGACGCTGCGTTATGTACGTGGTTTATGTATGATGATGTGATTGCCAACGCATAGGCAGCGATCCCACACGCGGACAGACGAACCCCAGTCATTAAATTCTTTGATGGCAGCGAGCAAGCGACGGAGCGAGAGGAACGCAGGCACAGGCACAGGCATAGGATATATGCTTACCCCACTTTGACGGCGCCATGCTGGTCTAAGGCTTGTTTCTCGTCTATATATCGTTCTCTTCTGGACGTCTTCTGGAGGTGGTGATGTTCTTCGTTTGGGGATCTGGCGGGCGAGCGTGTAAACTGGACGGTAGACGGGCGAGAGGCTGGTCGAACTGGTTCTTGCTAGGCTATAGATAGGCGTGAGAGACAGCGAGCAGAAGACACGATATATCAGTGTGCGAAGGGCGATGTCGAGGTCGAAATGTTGTGTGAGAGCGAAAGTTCGTCTTCCTCCTTTGGGCCTGTTTCTTTTCTGCCCAACAAGCCCGTGACCGTCATTGGCGGGGTGGAGGCACGTGATATTAGTCATCCTCTTCTCCTTACTCTTTACTCTATTACTTCTATTACTTCTACTCTTTATCATGTTCAAGATGATACAGTGAAGGGATGGTCATTTCATTTTCTAGTACACTTTTATGTTATTGCCCGTTCGTCAGTTCGTTGTTCTCCTAGTCAACGTAACATTGGACAGCATAGATGATCTTTGGATGTCGACTGTTTACATGTTGATGGCGGTGCGGAACTTCTCGCCGGCATAGACGGCGTTCTCGCCGAGCTCCTCCTCGATTCTGAGGATCTGGTTGAGCTTGGCAAGACGCTCGGATCGGGCAGGTGCACCGGTCTTGATCTGGCCGGAGCGCAGGCCAACGACGATGTCGGCGATGGTGACGTCCTCAGTCTCGCCGGAGCGGTGGGAGACCATGACGCCCCAGTCGGCGGCGTAGGAGTCCTTGGCGGCCTGGATGGATTCGGTCAGGGTACCGATCTGGTTGACCTTGAGGAGAAGGGCGTTGCAGGACTTGAGCTCGATGGCCTTCTTGATGCGGAGAGGGTTGGTGACGGTCAAGTCATCACTGCACGGTGACAAGTTAGCAAGATGCCTCTATTACCCCCTGGAATAGGCAAAAAAAAAAAAAATACATACCCGACGATCTGGAAATCAGAGGTCTTGAAGAAGTAGCTCCAGGCCTCCCAGTCGTCCTCGGCAAAGGGGTCCTCGATGCTGACGATGGGGTACTTGGCAGCGAGAGACTTGTACAGGTCGGCGAGTTGCTCGTAGGTGAGCCACTTGCTCTGGTCAGACTCGGGGTTCTTGAAGTCGAGATCGTACTTCTTGGCATCGGCCTTGTAGAACTCGCTGGAGGCGACGTCGAGAGCGATCTTGACCTTGCCAGTGTATCCGGCTTGCTCGATGGCTTCAGTGATGAGGTCGAGAGCTTCCTCAGGGGTCTGGATGTCGGGTGCAACACCACCCTCGTCACCGACGTTACCGGCAGATTGGCCGTACTTGGTCTTGGCGAGAGCCTTGAGCTTGTGGTAGACTTCGGAACCCTGACGGAGGGCCTCAGAGAAAGATGGGGCAGAGCTGCCAGAGTAAGCATATGCTCGTTTTGATACGTATCAGGCTGGATGAGGTGAAAACATACTCTGGGACGATCATGAACTCCTGGAAGGCGAGACGGCCACCGGCGTGAGAGCCGCCGTTGAGGACGTTCTGGAATGGCACGGGAAGGACATATGGCTTCTTGGTGCCAGCGAGATCCGAGACGTGAGCGTACAGTGGGACGCCCTTCTCAGCAGCACCGGCCTTGGCAATAGCCAAACTGACACCGAGAATGGCATTGGCACCCAGCTTGGACTTGTTGGCAGTGCCGTCGAGCTTGTTCAGGAACTCGTCGACCTTGGACTGGTCTTTGACGTCGATGTTTTCCTTGATGACGGCCGGGCCAATGATCTCAATGACGTTCTTGACGGCCTTGGTGACACCTACGTTGCGTTAGACTTGCCTCTCCATCAGAATACCGACGAGCACAGCTTACCCTTTCCGAGCCACTTGGCCTTGTCTCCGTCACGGAGCTCGGTGGCTTCGTGCTGACCTATAATCTGTCAGTGATGCCCATTCAACGGCAGCGAGGTGATATCAATAGGTACGTACCGGTGGAAGCTCCAGATGGGACGATGGCACGGTGAAGGCCAGTCTCAGTGACGACGTCGACCTCGACGGTTGGGTTACCGCGAGAGTCGTAGACGGAACGAGCGTGGATTTTGGTGATGGCCATGTCTGCGGCCAGTTGTCAGTCAGTAAGGGTTGGTAGAGCTAAGTGAATTTGCAGCAGAAGACGACAGCAGCAGGCTTGCTAGTGTCCTTGGGTGGTTTATATATCTGGTCAGGGTAGTGCTTGTGACGGCGGGGTGAGATGGGATGGAGGGGCAGGCTAATCAACCTTGCTAGTTGTATGTTATAGAGCGGGAGCCTCACTTACTTGCGGCTGCGTGCGTTGTTCTTCTGCTGCTGGTCTCGGCTACCTGACAGGCTCAATTGCGGTATTAAAAGGCGTGCTGGTGTCTTCTCTTTCTTTCGTCTTCTTTCATGCTTCCTGCGATGCTTGCGGGATGGACGGAGGGGAGTAAACAAGGCGGGTCACGTGGTGATGCCCTGGGCCTTTGCCTCTTTGGGCCATCCCGGACCATCCCGCTTAACCCCGAAATATCCCGGGTCACGTGGTGTCTTAGTAATCGTCTCTCTTTACACTCCTGGAGCATACTTACTCCGGATACAACTGCAAGAAGATATATACTCCCTCGTCTTCCATCATGGAATATGTTATGGCTTACGATGGAATAGGCCTCATCTGGCACCTACTCTATTTTAACTTCCACTATTTACTGTCAGGTACTACATGTTGAAGACAAATAACGATACTAAGACCAGAATGCTGTTTTAATAGTTAAAGGTATTTCTTCAGCAAAGGTTATTGGCAGCCAAACGATTCACCCGTTGAGCTATAGAGAGCCGTTACCATAGCCGGGCGCCATGGCCACAGTGTATGAAAATGCTATAACCCCGCGTCAAGTCGGTTCTGTTACTAGGGCGTAGAAGGAAAGCAACATTTTAAAAACAAAAGGGAGTGTGTAGCGAATTATCGAGGACGAGTCGGATATTAATAGTTAGCAAATCGGAAGGGCAAGTAATTTCGGTCGGACGGAATGTGGATAGCCGATCTTCAACAACAACGCAACGGCACCACTGGTTCGTACAGTTTCTGGTGGGCAATAACATCGTAAGAAATCCTTGCCTGGTGGATCGCAGATATTTAATCTCCTTACTTTTCGACCACGCTATACTGCGCGCTATCTAGCAGCATGGGCATACGATTCCCACGTTTTAGATGAAGTTACACAGGATCGACCTAGGCCAATCGCGGTATATTTTAACCTGCAATACGGCCGTCAAGATAACGAAGGCCTGAGTGTTGGAGACATCCCGAGTGTCATCATACCAAGCAAAATTTGTTTTGCCGAAAAATTCATCGTTGGGTGCTATACCCGATCCGGATAAGGGAGTGGAGGATGGAAGCTGACCGGCGTAAAGCTGAACGAACTGAAGTGGTGATGATTCATAGATAACAACATCGACGGTTTTGGAGTGGGAGAAACCAAACATGTAGATAGATGTTGTGGAAAATCTAGTTTTTATACTTTAAATGTTGGCTTAAATTTAGACGGTTTGCCTCTCGCTACCATACCCGAAAGCACTATGCGACGGTTCGGTTTGTTGTGGCATTCCCGAGTTACCTTGCGCTCTGCTCGGGGTCACCAATAGCGAATGCAAGAGCAAAGCAGGCCTCCAATACGAGCTGAGGTCATCTCTGCTGCTCGAAGTTCTGCTACGGCCTCCTCTCCTCTCCCAGCAAGCTGGAAGTACCGGGATCAGGGTTAGCTGCCGCGGATGTTCATCCAGCATTCCTACTCGTCGCTTGCACTGAACGTTGCGTTGTGGCTGTGGTGTCCGGCTGGGACTACCTAAAGGGGCTCGATGTGGTTTTTATATGATCCGATCCACGCAATTCCCACGCCGAAACGCCACGAGAACATGCAAAAAAGCATTGGACGTGCGTACGGAAGGTAAGGATCAAGCTTTAGCGGGCTCCACATGGCAGCTTAGCAGCGAATAGCCACAGGGCTAATATAAAAACCACAAGCGCCTGAAGGAGTTGTATGAGGCATTTATCACCAGGGCTAATCTCGCGATATCAAACCTCCATCGGAGGGGGGGAGACGTACGCACGGCGTAGCATCGTCGGGATTGGCAGATGCCGCAAACCATAGAGGATGGAGCTCGAGTGCTCGTGAATGGGAACTTTTCTCCCGTGCTTTTCCTGGCATATGCGACTGTATATACTTTCCCCTTCAGCAGTTGCGAAGCGAAGGGGAGAACGGAAACAGAAGAGGCTGGCCTGCCGTCATAAAGAAGTTTTTTTTTCCTTTCCCACAATCCCCTCTTCAGCTGCTGTAGGGCACGGGCTGTAGATGTAAGTAAGAAGGTATAAATACGACAAGGGTAGGCTGTAGTAATGGGCAGATATTCTCCTCCATTGCCCATCTCAACCTCTCTTGATTCCTACCTTGGATATTCCCCCTGAAACCGATTCGAAATCGCCCCGTTCAACCCACTTCAATACCTTAAACAGCTTCTCCTTTGACACCATGTCTCCCCAAGACGATGCACCGGCTGGCAGTGATGACAAGGAAGCCGCCGATTTAGAAAAGGGCGAGGAAGGCAAAGGCACCGCCGACGGACCCAAGCGTATCACCTTCCAGCAGCCAAGGAGAGATGATGAACGCCCAACTCGTCGTACCTCTGGCGAGCGTGAACGTCGCCGGTCGCGCTCTAGGAGCCGTCATTCCTTTAGCAGCGTTCGTGGAGGTACTGGCAACAACGCTCTCACCGGTATCCCTATCGAGTTCCGCACGCTGTCCATCCAAATCAGCGAGTCTCGCAATGTCTCTACGGACGTCGCTAAGGAAGGGTCCAGTGCAAGCGTCCACAACGACAAGGAATACTTCGAGAAGCTCGACTTCCATATCCTCTCGAAGGACACACTGTGCCAACAATTCAACGTCTCGTCCGATCAAGGTCTCAGCGCCGAAGCTGCAAACACCCGTCTACAGAGAGATGGGAAGAACACTATCCCTCGTCGTCGCCCCAACTACCTTCGCAAGATCCTGGGTTATGTCTTTGGTGGTTTCTGCTCCGTCCTGTGGGTGGGTGTGATTATCTTCTTCGTCTGCTGGAAGCCCCTTAGCAACCCACCATCACCAGCAAATCTGGGCATGGCCGTCCTCGTCCTCATCGTCATCTTCCTGCAAGCTGGCTTCTCGGCTTTCCAAGACTGGTCTACCAACCGTGTGATGAATTCTATCCTCGATCTTTTACCTGTGGAGGCTCAGGTCTTGCGCAATGGCGAGATCGTTCGTATCCCAGCTACCGACCTCGTGGCCGGAGACATCGTGCATATCTCTTCTGGTAACAAAGTGCCGGCGGATATGAGGCTCATTTCGAGTTCTGGTGATGTACGCTTCGACAGATCAGTTCTCACTGGAGAATCCGACGAGGTTGAAGGTGCCCTGGACGCCACGGAGAACAACTTCCTCGAGACCCGTAACATCGCTTTCATGGGAACCGGCGTTACAAACGGTCATGCCGTTGGCCTTGTGGTCTTGACAGGCGGCCGCTCTCTCATGGGCCGTATCGCCATGGTTACCACTAATGTCAAGGAAAAGCCAACGCTCATCCAAAAAGAAATCAGCCGGTTCATTCGCATCATCGTGGGTTTGACGTGTGTCCTCGCCTCGCTTCTACTGTTCAGCTGGGTCGGGTGGATCAGGATTAAACATGCTGCGTTCATGGATGTCGTCGCTATGCTGAACAATGTCCTTGGATGTGTCGTTGCTTTCATCCCTGAGGGTATGCCTGTTGGAGTCGCCCTTACGATGATGATGATCGCTAATCGCATGAAATCTGCCAACATCTTGCCCAAGGGCCTCTCCACTGTCGAGACTCTCGGCTGTGTTAATGTCCTCTGCTCTGACAAGACCGGTACCCTGACCCAAAACTTGATGACTGTCAAGTCCATTGGTCTCGTGGACCAGGAATATACCGTTGAGGAGCTCAACGACGCTCTCAAGGAAGGTAACCATGGCGGCGTTCTTGGGGAGTTCCACCGCGGCTCCATCCTCTGCAACGATGCTTTCTTCGAACCCGCAACCATCAGCCAGCCTCTTGACGAGAGAGCGATGAACGGCAATGCGACTGATTGCGCTATTCTACGCCTAGCCGAAGCAGCATTGCCATCAAAGCGTGTCGTTGCCGAGTTCGACAGGGTTTTCCAAATTCCGTTCAACTCACAGAGCAAGTGGATGCTTACAATGCACAAACCACAGGGCACAAATACCTCTAGTTATGACGTCTTCGTCAAGGGAGCACCAGATGTTCTCCTTCCAATGTGTACTTCGTACTGGTCAGGGAAAGAGGGCAGAGTCATGCGACTGAATGAATCGGCAAAACGACAGCTGTCAGAGTTCCAGGAGAAGCTTTCACGGAAGGCCGAACGAGTTATCCTCCTCTGCCAGCGACGCTATACGCCCCAAGCGCCTCTTGGCTCCAACTACTTCGGTGACGAAATCAAGACAAACTGTATCAAAGACCTGACTGTTATTGGCCTGTACGGTATCATCGACCCTCCACGCCCAGAGGCTAGGTCGACAATTGCTTCCTGCCGTCGAGCTGGGATTCGCTTCTTCATGGTTACTGGAGATTTCGGCTTGACAGCCACAGCGATTGCGCGCGACATTGGTATTTTCACAGGAACTGCTGACCCTGATCGTGTCCGCGATTTTGACGACAAGACTATTTCTCCCGTGGATAAGAACAATCAAGTCCAGCTGGCTGACACTTCTTCCTCTAAAAGCCTGCTGGTTGAAGGACCCGAAATTTCGGCTCTTACTCAGGACAAATGGGATATAATTTGCAAGTATGAGGAGATTGTTTTCGCACGTACGACTCCTGAGCAGAAGCTCCGCATCGTTGAAGAGCTCAAAGCTCGTGATAACGTTGTTGCGGTTACCGGTGACGGAGTAAATGACGCCCCCGCTCTCCGGGCTTCTGACGTCGGAATTGCTGTCGTGTCTGGAAGTGATGTGGCCATCGAAGCTGCTGACCTGGTCCTGCTGGACAAGTTTGATTCCATCGTTGAAGCCGTCCGATTGGGCCGCCTTGTCTTCCAAAACCTTCAGAAGCTCATCAGTTATCTCCTCCCCGCCGGAAGTTGGTCTGAGATATGGCCGGTGCTTATGAACCAGTTCATCGGTGTCCCTCTCCCCCTCAGCTCTTTCCTGATGATCATCATTTGCGTATTCACGGATTTGTTCCTGTCGTTGTCTCTGATCATGGAGAAAGAAGAGTTTGACCTTCTCAGCCTCCCACCACGCAATCATAAGAAGGACCATCTTATCAACTTCAAGATATATGCCCAGTCATATTTGTTCATTGGAGTGATGGAAACCGTGTGCGCCCATGCGATGTTCTTCCTATACATGTACCGCAAGGCCGGCATCCCATTCCACTCCCTCGTCTTCGCGTATGAAAAGTACTCCGATGGCTTCTATGGCTATACCAAGGCCGAACTCACGAACTTCAACAATGTTGGGCAATGCGTTTACTTCGTCACCCTGGTGGTACTGCAGTGGGGGAACATCTTGTCCATTCGAAACAAGCGGCTCTCGATTCTGCAGGCAGATCCAATCCGAAAGCAACGTCGCAACCCATGGCTTGCAGGTGCTGTCTTGGTTTCACTTGCAATCGCAGTCTTCGTTACTCAAACGCCTGGCATTAACAGACTTTTCAACACTGCCCCTGTGCCGATTGAGCACTGGTTGCTACCCATTCCGCTGGCGGTTGGTATTCTCTGCATGGACGAGTTTAGAAAGTTGCTGGTTCGGCTGTTCCCACGGGGCCCTATTGCTAGAATTGCCTGGTGATTTTCATTCCAGCTTTGCAGAGTCGATGGCTAATAATACCGAGCGTGGTGGGTGGCACCGTTCAATTACTTTGTTGAAAGACAAGGGGAGGCTTTTTTCGGGAACAGAGGGGTCGTCTCTCATCCGCTTGATATAGCATGTACATACATAACTATACACATAGCAGGATTTAAGTAGATATAAAAATTGCAAGATCACAAATAATTTCAGCCTTGAGGTCTCCGGAGCAGGTGTTGATATCAGAGTGGCCGGGATATGGTACTGCTAAACCTCATTTTCTGGTTATACGTAGTATTGAGAAGGTCATGATTGTGATTATAGGAGTCCTTTAAGGCAGTCTTGTATAAATATGAACGTGAGATGGTCAGATATAAATCTCATCGGGAGTTTTAAGAAAAGCGGGATGCCCTGCCAAGCAAAATGTATATGGTCACGTGCACATAGATCTATATCCTGGACCTCAGGCAACAACATACGATATGATATCTTACTATTAAAGGATTCTATTGATTTAAACTTATAGTTCTTTGTCAAGGGGTCGTTCTAATAATAATTCGTCTGCTCTTCTTAGCATCAAAAACCTGAACATGCTCCAAGTGCTTATACTATTGCAACTCAAACCCGTGCCAACATCAGTTCTTTTAAAGAAGGAAAACAGGCTGTGTAAACCCCCAAGAAGCTTCCTATAGCTAGGACGATTGTAAAATGTTTGACTAGAACTAGATAGAGGGCTTTGTTTTGATATCTGATGTCTTCCTTATACACGGACTATATTTAATCCGAAATATACACGTGATTATGCTTAGTCAGACAAACTCTCGTTGTTTGCTCTGTTTGCATTGTGATAGAGGATTATGTAATCCGTGATGAAGCTGTGTCGACGCCTGGAGGTAAACCGAAGGTCCAAGAAGCACAAGACAACACACAACAGGAGGATTGAAGCTATCTTGCGAGCATAGTGACGGTTCTTTTCGCCTGGACTGATATTCGGCTAGCTCCCGCTTTACTTCGATACTATATCCGATCCCTCATCAGCCCAACGCGCCGCTCCCCGGCACGCAGAAGCCACCATCATGGACGGTACCGGCGACCCAGAGCGCCAGCAAGCCTTGGAGGACTACAAGAAGAGCCTCCTGGAGTCACGAGAGTGGGAAGCAAAGCTAAAGAATCTCCGACTAGGCATAAAGGGCCTACAGAAGGAATTTGATGTGACGGAGGATAACATCAAAGCCCTCCAGAGCGTGGGCCAGATCATTGGCGAGGTCTTGAAGCAGCTTGATGAAGAGAGGTGTAAGTGATGATGATCCTTCAACTCGGGACTGAATATCACACTGGTCTTGTTATTTCTATGTGTTTTGTACTGACCTCCGCCCCAGTTATCGTCAAAGCCTCCTCCGGCCCAAGATATGTCGTTGGTTGTCGGTCAAAGGTCGATAAGGCCAAGCTCAAACAAGGAACACGAGTAGCTCTCGACATGACGACCCTGACCATCATGCGAATGCTTCCCCGCGAAGTCGATCCGCTCGTTTACAACATGTCGTTAGAGGATCCCGGACAGGTCAGCTTCGGCGGTATTGGAGGTCTAAATGATCAGATCAGAGAGTTAAGAGAAGTCATCGAACTACCGCTTAAGAACCCTGAGCTATTCATGCGCGTCGGTATAAAACCACCCAAGGGTGTGCTATTGTACGGGCCTCCAGGAACAGGAAAGACACTGCTTGCGCGAGCCGTCGCTAGCTCGTTAGATACCAATTTCTTGAAGGGTATGTGTAGATTGGCCCTCCATCTACCCTAACCTATAACTAACATACGAGTAAACAGTCGTGTCATCTGCAATCGTTGACAAATATATCGGTGAATCTGCCCGCCTTATCCGTGAAATGTTCGGCTACGCCAAAGAACACGAGCCATGTATCATCTTTATGGACGAAATCGACGCCATCGGTGGCCGAAGATTCTCCGAGGGAACTTCTGCCGATCGAGAAATCCAGCGAACTCTCATGGAACTCCTCAACCAGCTAGATGGATTCGACTATCTAGGCAAGACCAAGATTATCATGGCTACCAACCGACCGGACACGCTTGACCCAGCTCTTCTACGAGCAGGGCGATTAGATAGGAAGATTGAAATCCCGCTACCTAATGAAGTGGGCCGACTGGAGGTGCTGAAGATTCATGCCAGTGGTGTTTCGATGGAAGGCGAGATTGATTTCGAGACGATTGTGAAGATGAGCGATGGGCTGAACGGAGCCGATTTGAGAAACGTGGTTACCGAAGCGTAAGTCTATCCCGTAGTGATACGTTTGCTAGAGTGTTTCTAACAGTGTGTAGTGGTCTATTCGCTATCAAAGATTACCGAGATGCCATCAACCAGGACGACTTCAACAAGGCTGTTCGAAAGGTGGCAGAGTCGAAGAAACTCGAAGGAAAGCTGGAATATCAAAAACTATAGAAGAAGTAGATATCCCTGTTATACCATCAAAGCGTCTTGCTTCTTGAGCGATTGATATGGTTGTCCTCTGCTATGTAAATCAGATCATAATTATCCGTACTACTGCCTACCGTGCGGCCCAACCCCCTAGTCCATCTCTTACCATTCTCTATACAAATCCACCGTACAGGCAAACATCCTATCCGTTTGTAATACATTTCTCTATCTTTCTCCCGTGGCCGTGTATACAAAATGCGTTCATGGAGACTGCAAACAATGCAAACAGGGGGTACTACGACTTTATGCCACGCGCCAACTTCTATAAAAATTGATCGCATGACAGAGCAGGGCAGACAATTCGCCGCTCAATTGCTGAAGAATTTTCTATAACTATTGAACCTGCGGAATACTAGATAGCCGCTGGAGGTATATGCTGGCACTACGCTGGCGCAGATAAAAGCATCAGTTGCGTTTCAATCCCAATGGCTCTATAGCATCTCGCGCTTCCTATAGCTTCATGAACAAATCAGTAAATTAACCCAAGCCTCAAAATTTACCAGTGAAACCCAGGATCACTAGAACTGACCACTTGTCCACTTGCAGGCCGCCGAAAGCTTACTCTCCGCTCCATACAACCCCCCTTATTTCGTCCCGAGACCCATCCGAATGCCTTCCGTGTGACGCCCGCCGACCCTATCCAGAGTTTTAAAAAAACACCAGGATAAAATAACGAGGGCATACCCATTTTAATTAAATGGCCTTCCAAGTCCCCAACAGAGTGCCGGCCTTCAATTCTGCGCAGCGCGAAATAGAGGATGGCTACTGGCGCGCTGCCACAACCAACAGTCTTTTCGCCAAACAGTCCGGCATCCAGCTCTCAGAGAAGATAGGAAACTTCATAACACCCTCACGAGAACTACCGATGTATAAAGATAAGCCATATTTTCAGTCCCGGGGGCGAAATCCTGTTGGACGGAAGCGGAAGAAGGCGCTGTGGATTACGATATGTGTGGTTTTCTTGGTTAGTTTGTGGTGGTTTTTGGGTGGGAGAGGAGGACATGCAGGCATTGTGAGGCCTATTGGGATGAAGGGCGGAGAGATGTGGAAATGGGTGCAGGGTTTTGAGAAGGGAGTTGTTGGTGGCAAGGGCAATGCGGTAGATTGGGAAGAGAGGAGGCAGAGGGTCAAGGATGCATTCCTTGTCAGTTGGGGAGGGTATGAACAGGATGCTTGGGGTGAGTATTTATACATATCATTAGAATTGCACACTTTCTCGATAGATCGGGATTCCGCTTTTGTGGACAGTGGCTGACCATGGATACAGGAAAGGATGTTTATCAACCTCTAGCTAGAACTGGGAGCAATATGGTCGAAGACGGAATTGGCTGGATAATCGTCGACACTCTCGACACGCTGATGCTCATGAACCTAACAACACAAGTCCAAAATGCCCGCAAATGGATTCGAACCTCGCTCCATTACCAACAAGACCAGAACGTTAACACGTTCGAAACTACAATCCGAATGCTGGGTGGCCTCTTATCCGCGCACTACCTATCAAAAAAATACCCAACCCTTGCTCCGCTGGTAGATGACGATGAGGGTGCTCCTGGTGATGACCTGTATATTGAGAAAGCAACTGGTCTAGCGGATCGGTTACTAGGCGCGTTTGATTCGCCGTCAGGCATTCCGTATGCGAGTCTGAATCTCAATTCGTCACATGGTGTACCGTCGCACACGGATAACGGGGCGTCATCGACGGCAGAGGCCGGCAGTTTGCAGCTTGAATTCAAATATTTGGCCAAGTTGACTGGCGAATCGCATTACTGGGAGAAGGTAGAGAAAGTTATGGAAGTCATCGACGGGAATGAAATGAGAGATGGATTATTGCCGATTTTTATCCTGGCTGATACAGGCAAATTCATGGGCGAAAATATCCGACTGGGAAGTCGGGGGGATTCCTACTACGGTAAGTTATACCATCTTAAATCTTATTTTGAAGTGTACTAACAGTCTATAGAATATCTCATTAAGCAATTTTTACAAACATCTGGCGAAGAACCGATCTACCAGAATATGTGGGACCAAGCACTTGCAGGCATCCGCAAACATCTCATCACCTATACAAAACATGCTTCCCTAACTCTTGTGGCCGAACGACCTAGCGGGCTCGACGACCCCTTAGTACCCAAAATGGACCATTTGGTATGCTTTTTGCCAGGCACCATCGCTCTTGGGGCCACGGGTGGCTTACCTCTTTCCAAAGCTCGAAAATCCCCGGGTTGGAACCGTCAGAAGGAGGATGAAATTGTTCTTGCCAAAGAATTAGTCAAAACATGCTGGGCGACATATCTTGCGACGGAAACGGGCCTAGCTCCCGAAATCGCATACTACGAAGTCGATAAACCCCCAAGGATGATGGAGGATGTGTTCCCAAGGTCGAAGAGCGAAACTAAAGCTGAAAAGGGCGGAAAAGGAAAGGAAAGGGGGAAGGGAGAGGATATACATATCGTTTCCAAACCTTTAGAACCTCTTGACGACAAGGACAGTGCCTGGAGGAAGGATGTCATCATCAAACCTGCAGACAGGCATAACCTCCAACGACCTGAAACTATCGAATCGCTCTTCTACTTGTACCGCATCACAGAAGACGAAATGTACCGCGAATGGGGTTGGGAAATGTTCAAAAACTTCGTCAAACATACAGCCGTCATTGAGGAGGCAACCAATGAACAGAGCCACGAGGGGTCGTCAGAATCCTCGGCCTCGCACGACGATTCACACCCGTCTAAGAGCTCATATATTCGAGCCTTCACGTCGCTAGCGAATGCTGACATGATCCCTCCTAGAAAAATAGATAATATGGAAAGCTTCTGGCTTGCCGAGACACTGAAGTATTTCTATCTCTTGTTCTCAGACAAGGACTTTATTCCTCTTACGGAGACGGTTTTCAATACGGAGGCGCATATCTTCCCTCGTTTCAAGATGGGGAAGCTGTTCAAGACCGGATGGAAGAGGAAGACCGAGTGGAAAGCTGAGGAATAACCTCTCGCTAGGGATAAGGAAATTCGTCGCATTTATACTATTTCTATACCTAGCATGCCGGTGTTATATTGTTACTTTGTATTTTTAGGGTTCTTGCTTGCTGAGCGTTTGCATTTCATTTCGTTGATATACCATGAATAAAATGCCATATTTATGATCACCGAAATCATATGGATAGATCTACTTGTAACTAGATATATATATATATATATATATATACATCCAGATATGGATATTATTTATGAGCGCTCTCTCTCAACGGCCGCCGCAATCAGTTTCTTATAACCCTCCAACCCAGCCTCCATCTCCCCGACAGTCAATGCCTCATCCTTGCCATGAGCAACAAATATAGTTCCAGGGCCATATAGATATCTCTTCACGTTGTCGCCGTAGATCTTCCAGTGCGGCACGTCCGTTCCGTAGTTGACAGTAGTGATATTGAATCCATCTACGTCAAAGTCCAGGTCGACGGGGCTGTATGACTCCGCACCGAAAGTAATTTCGACGTCTCCCTTCTTACCATCGCGACCACTTGTAACCACGACGGTAGTATCGTTCCTGTTCTGTCTAGCCGTATCACGAATGGCACGGACAATTATATCCTGTGCTTCCATTGGATCGCCAGCTGCAAGACGTACAGAAACCTTAGCAGTAGCCTCCTCTGCGACAACGTTTGACGCAAGACCGCCAGCCATGAACCCAATATTCAACGTCGTACGGCCATATTTTTTGCTGGAAGGCAGCCCGCCCTTTGATACGGGGATGTCACCCAGCTGGTCGATCTTCATCAGAATAGGCAAGATCTCAGACACTGCGCTGCGGCCTAGCCAAGGGTATCCAGAATGAGCTGGCTTGCCTCGCACACGGACACTGAATCCGATCATGCCTTTGTGGCCTGCCACGAGAGCACGTTCGGTGGGCTCACCAAAGATGATAGTGTGGTAGGTCCCAGAGTTGAGGCGGGACTCCGAGAATCTGGACATGCCCCGACCGCCGGTTTCCTCACTAACAACGAACAAAAGGCCAATTTCGGTGTCTGGGTGTTCGTCCAAGTGGTCCATGGCGGCGATAGTTTGGCAGGCCAAAGACGCCTTATCGTCGACGGTCCCACGACCAGAGATGAGAATGTCATCGCGCTTGAAGGGAGTGGATGACGGATGGCTCAGGGAGTATGGGATGAACGGCGGGACAGTGTCAATGTGACTCGTTAGGATGATGCTTGGGGAAGCACTATTACGATAGGCGTAGATATTGAAGCGGCGAGGAGAACGTATGGTCTTGCCGGTGTCATCGTCGAAGGCGACGTACTGTTTCTCGACAGTGAAGTTCTTGGAGTGTAGATAGTCCAGCAGGAATTCTCCCACGGCTTGTTCGTTATCGGAGATGGATTTGATCTCAACGAGGGAGCGGTGCAGGGAAAGCAGCTCAGAGCTAGCAATTACTTTATCCATCTCTGACTTCTGGATCTGAATAGCATCGCTACCAGTACCGACGCTGTCAATGCTGTCCACACTGTCAATGACGTCGCTGCTGCCATCGCTGAGACGGATTTGACCATCCACTGACCTAGCGCCGACGAGCGAGCTCGCCAGCAGCGAAACCAGCGCCAAAAGATAGGACTTGTGCATGTTTATTCTGTTCTCTTTTGCCTTTCTTCACAGGTCCATTGACGACGTCGAGGAGGTTGGATGGCTCATTTATGAGTTTCAGTCGGCTCTCCACAGTTTGAGGTCGGGATTATAGCCGGGCCAACCTTAACCCCAGGGCGCAAACTCAATGCCGAAGCTGTTTATCCGGGGCCAGGAACAAGAATCAGAAACCAGAAACCAGCAACCAGCAACGCGGAATCAAAAACGCCAACAAGATCCAAGGTCCAAAGGGTAGTAAATTAAATGATTACTAGATAAAATAGGTATATGTAGAAGCCACGCAGTCGCACCCCCGGAATCAAACCCATAACGAAAACGCAAAGCAATATATCAAAAAACACATTATAGAAGCTACCTAAAATGTAGTAAATAGGGCCAAATGATAAGAATCCAAGCCAAATCATAAAATCGTCATCATCCATCCGGAAAATAGGAATGGACATATATAGCTAAGAACCGTCCAAGACAAAGATGGTGTTATATCCTCCACCTTGCCTGTGATGCACAAAATTCCACTAACAGCCTCTCCAGATCTCGTAACTTGTACGGCTTCGTCATATATCCTTTCATACCGACCTTCGTGGCTCGTCGCAAAGCTTCGTCGGTAACGTCTGCGCTGACGGCGAGCACTGTAGGGCCGGGAGGCGGGACATTGTCTGGATCATATTTTGCCATTCGCTCGCGGTATGAAGAGACAAAGGAGAATATATGTTCCGTGGCTTCGTAGCCATCCATGTTGGGCATCCAGAGGTCCATGAGAATTACGTCGATAAATTTATGTTCTGTGGAAGGTGTAGGGGAGGGTGAGCGTGACGGGGATGCCGTGAATTGATGTGGGGTTGGGGATGGTGATGTAGAATGTGATGGAGGTTGGGATGGACATTGGGATGGGCACTGAGATGGACATTGGGATTGGGGGATAGCTGGGGGTGGGAGGGAAACGGTTCTCGGTGATTGATCAGGACTGCTGTCCTTTCCTGCAGGCCGCAACGTATTCCCCTCCAGTACCTCCTTGACAACTCTGACGGCCTCGCGGCCATCATAAGCTTGGTAGACGTCTGTATAGCCAAGCCGCTCAAGCATTGTGACTAGGATCTTACGATTGATCACGTTGTCCTCTGCAACCATGAAAGTGAGTGGGTGGCGTTCAGCGAGGGTCTGGTGTCCATTTAGATACGGGCTGTTATAGGAGAATTGGGTCGTGGTTGACATGGGAGTTGGAAGTATAGGGGCAGATATGGAGGATGGCAGGCCTGGTCGATGTATAGGGGATTGGACTACGTCGAAGGTTCGGGGTGGTGCCAGTGTTTGTGTTTGGGGAGTAGTAGGTGGAGAGAGAGCTGAGTTATTCATTTCTGTCCCTATCGCGGTGGTGGTGGTGTTGTTGTTATTGTTGTTCTCGTTGTCATCGTTGTCTTTCGAATGCTCGGGTAGAGGTGGGGAGTCTTCTACCATATTCTCATTCTTGTCACCGTTCGCCTCGTTGCCAGCATTTGTACATGTATGCGTGCTTGCAGTTGAGGTTACTGATGTGCATGTTCTCGGCGTACTAGGCCTGCTAAGCACATCATTTGGTATGATAGGCAAGCGAATCTCGAATTCTGATCCTCTATGCTCACCACAAGTCGAGGAGCGAACACAAATCAAATCTCCACCAAGCTTCCTCGAAAGACCCTTTGCCACAAGCAAGCCTAGACCCAGACCTTCTTTGCTGCGTGTTGTAGACCCGTCTTCCCTCGCAAACGCCTTGAACAAGTTAGGTAGGAACCCTTCTGGTATACCCGTGCCCGTATCAGTGACGTTGATAACAACATATCGGGAAGTGTGGTTTAGCTTAGCGGTAAGAGTTATGCTTCCTGACTCGGTGAACTTGAGAGCGTTCAAGAAGACACAGGAGACAAGTTTGGCGAGGTCCTTTTCGTCCATGTACAGTGTTTCAGGTACGCAGTGATCAACGGCCCAAGAGATCTGTTTAGTTGATGCAGTGCCGTTAGACGAGCGAGAGCGGATTTCGATTCGTTCACCGGTGGCAGTGGGTTCAGTTATGGAGGAGTCGGGACGGCCACCAACGTGTAGGGATTCATTAATCACTAGATGGAGTAGTTCTCGGATCTTGGTATAATGTAGGACCATGGGTGGGAAGACGGGAACAGGGCGGGTTACTCTAGACAAAGATCGCGCGTGCTTGCGGGTATTCGGAGGCTGATCTGTAAAGTCATCCGTATGTTCATCATGACCGTCATCATCGTGCTCTGACGGGGCCACGGCGTCAATAAACGCTTCCCTCATCTCCCCTCTAGCCGGAGTCGAATGTACAATCTTATCGCTCTCCTCCACCGCACTCCTGACTTCTGACGTCCGCGAGCGCTCACGGCGTGGAGATTTTATTGGAAAGTTAGGTGAGGAGCTGCGCGAGTAGCCAATGCTGCGAGGCCGTTTTTTCATTGGTTTCATGAGAAGGTCATTTCCGACGATTAGGATGTCTGGGCGCCCGTCGCTTGGGCAATTAAGAGAGTGGTTGCGGGAAACGCAGTGGGAATCGCCGATAATGGAGCTTTCGGGTGTATCAGGGACTTGCATGTTGAGATCATAGGCGTGCACAATATTGTCTGCAGCTTCGATAGCACGACGAGCAGAATCTATTTACCTAAGTTAGTATAAGTAATGGGATGGAATATATATAGAAGAAGCTTACCCTGAACAACCTCAATATCTCCCCTGAGTCTCTCAAATGTTTTAACCACGCCTGGAACTAGACCCTCATCTCCCTCTGTCGCTCTATGTATTGTGTCTGCAACAGTGCCGTGCATGACATCCAGCATGCCAACAACGCCATGCATCGGTGTCCGCAACTCATGCGACATACTACGCGCGTAGAGCTTGAGTGTCGGCTGGCCAGCTCCTGGCTTATAAGGAATGGGCCGCCGGCTGATAGAGCGAGAGCGACACCGGGATCGTTCGTTCTCTCGCTCCCTTTCCTGCTCCTTCTGCCGCTCATTCTCCAGTTCCCTCTCCATCTCGAGCTGCCGCTGCGTCAAACTTCCATCCATCCGCTGTAGTATCATGTCCTGTAGCGAATGCAGTATCATCTCAAGATACGCCCAGGAGACATTCCTCTTCTCCAGGCCAGCAGACGTCCACATGAGGCCCACGCGAGCGACAGGGGTACGGGCGTCGAAGAGCGGAACTGCCAAACAAGCCGCCATGGGTGAAGTAAAATGAGCCATGCTCGACTCCCCAACCAGCGAAGAAAGGTTATCTGCCACGAGGAAGGATTTATGCATATCTCGAGCCATGAAATTGCAAGGGAGGTCCCAGGACCAGGGCTTGTAGTTTCGATGTATGCGGATCTTGCCGTCGTCGTTGAAGTAGACAACTGGTGCGAGGTGAGACCTAGATCGACCAGTACCATCTACAGTGCTGCTACCTGGGGGTACTTCTTCTGCCACGAAGCCGCACTGAGCGTTACATATGCTCGTCACTCCCTCCATGAGATCCCGCCAGAAAGTATCATCGTCGGCGTCGCGCAGGTCTGCTTTCAACGATACCAGCCGCTCAATGGCATTACTCTGGCCGGTCTCGAATTGGCGATGCATTAGCTGTGCGGCAAGCTTCTCCTGAGCGCTAACGGTGAATTGCTCGAAGTCGGCAGCGCTGTAGGAGCCGGAGGAGCTCTCGTTGACGCTGGTGGTGGAGGCCATGCCGGGGTTGGGGGCCTCTGTGAGGGTCATGATTAAGTGCTGCTAGGACATCGATAGGTCTCTGTCTGGAGTATTATATCAGTATCCCATCCAAACGTGCTGGGGGGGAGAGGTAGGGGATTACCACGCGAGCAGCGAGCGTACCCCGTAGATGGCGCTCTCGTTGGCGTAGAAGCGTGAGAGCGATGTGGATGTTGATGTCGATGCGTAAGTTGTAAAGTCCAAGTGTAAAAAAATGTCTTGGCTGCGGGAGGGCACTAAACAGACAAAAAAAAAACCTAGTAGCTACAAGACCAGAGGACGTCGATAATTGAAACAGATGAAATAAAAAAGACGATAGACGAGATGAAGCAGAGTATTTCCCCCGTACTCTTGGACGACGAGGAAAAGAAGAAAAGGCGCTAGGCGCATCTAGAGCAAGCCACCAAGCTGCGGGATCGCGATGCATCTTGTTACTGGTCATATTCCGCATTCCAGCGAACTTCATTAGCCATCCCCCTGTCTCAACGGGTACAGGCAGATACCCGGCATGCAGTTACTCCGTACCATGGTGGCGACCCTGGCGGTGCGACCCGGGTGCGTACAGCCATCAACGCCAGAGACACGTTTGCTCTTCGCTTCCATCCCGAACAACTTGATGCGTCTTGTTGGATGGAGTAGGTTCCCGCGATACCCTAATCGATGTGGAGAACCCCATCCCTTGCTCGAGTCAAAGCATCGGTTTCAGTATCGCGCTAATTCGTGCTTTCTGATGCTGATCCTAGAGCTGATAAGTGAGAGGTACAGGATGCATCGAGTTTCCATCCGTAGTAGTTAGACGGTCGGGCAAACGGGCCTGGACAGATCGGTGTTCCGCAGATCGTTTACAGCCGGCTGAACTGCGGCCGAGCACTTCATAGCTAATGCTGGTTCGGCGGAAGATTTCATGTACGATGCGATGTGATGGCGGTAGATCGGCAGGGATAGGAAAAGGAACGACAGCAGCGATAATATCAGACTGACAGTGGTTGTGATAACGCTGGTTTCTGACCCCGGCGATAGTGCTAGCGCATAAGCTGTCATGTCTACTTCGTATTTTATCGCCTCCTTCCTCGCATTCGATGTTCATCATACGGAGTAGGCTCTCAAACACTCCGTGAATCGAATTCATGAAACAGCTGACCAGTGTGGGTGAAGTTGACTAAATATCGGAAGATGTAGTTCTGGAAGGGCTCATCACTACTCGTTGGTTACAAGTCCCAGCTGCTGGAGCCTCTACACAATTTTCGGCAGCTTGGGGTTGCTTTGAAGGATCCATCGCCGGCCCTTAGCCCTTCATCGATCAATACTGTATATCCGGTGGGCACGAGGAAAATGAGATTTTAGGTCTTGGTAGATGTCGAATATGCCAGCACACTAAGGGCCAGATCAATCTGTAGCCCACATATGCATCCATATCCTACCCATAGGGTGTAGAGGGGTGGACGGGCGGACGCGTTGGCTGGCCTGTGAAGACCTCTTGCATATATCGCGACGTCTAAAGGCGAGTGCTTATTTTCTCAATTGGACTGCTTGAGTTTTGCCAACCCCTCTCGGTTTGACCAGAAATCCACATACCTTCCCGTTATATGACACTGTGAGGCCCTTCTTGCTCCATGTCGTACAATACAGCCCGCGGGATTCGTGGGAACCTAGGCTGGAATGCAAGCGACCAATCCCAAACATGATGCTAGGTCAGCGTATGTAGGACCCCGGAAAACTCATCTGCATGCATTTGTGAATCTTGTCAATTATGCGAGCTGCAAGACGCTTGCACATCTCTTCACGGCCTTGCTGCGCCTCAGAAATAGGTCTGACTGGAGTTCCACGGTATAGGTGTGAAATAGTGGTAAATGCAAGGTCTTGAGAATCAAATGAGACGCTGCCGTCCAAATACCAATGCCTTCCGGCAACGCTGAAGCTATTTTTGAACGAGCTGCATCAGCAGGCGGTATTGTTCGTAGGCGAGGCGGCCATTCTAGGCACGTACAAGGGAGGAATGCCAGCTCAGGCGCCATATTCTGGTTAGATATGGCCTCGAATTGGCTTTGTTTATCAACTTCTTTCTTTCCTCAGTCCTCGGTGGCCTGGAGAAGCACGACAAAGGGGCTTGATAGGGTGATGATGATATCATAGCACAGGCTGACCTATGGGGCCTGCATAGACCTATATCACGGGCAGGACAATGCCATCTCCTTAGCTGCGGCGACAATACACACCATTATCCGGTCGAAACCCGCCCTAGAGGATTCAGGATAGAGCATAAAGAATAAGAAGACGCGTTGTTGCTTTCGAGTTGTTGTTGCAAGGAATAAAAAAGGAAGTAAATAAAAGGTTATGACATAAGCATGCTTAATAACATAATTAGCCCTAAACCCTAAGCCCTAGTTCCTAAAGAAGCTAGCGTCCCGCAGGCGAAGCCACCCCAAAAAAAGCTCGCCCAAAAGTCCGCGATTTGGACATCGTCGAACATCGAAAATATCGCCAACTTCTCTCCCTCCGCAGCAACCGTCGACATCACCGATCGAGATGGCGAACGAACGCTCCGGAATCGCCGCTGGCTTGAACAAGGGTCGCGTACGTTACTCCCCACGAAAGAATGAGGAAATGAAGATTGATGGATGGCCGTGAAGGGAGACCATGTATGGCTAAGACCTGTTTGCGATATAGAAAACCACCCCCATCGAGAGACGCGCCCGTATCTCCAGAACCAAGGGACATCTCTCTCGCCGCACCGCCTTCGTCCGTGAAATCGTCAAGGAGGTCTCCGGTCTCGCCCCATATGAGCGTCGTGTCATTGAATTGTTGAGGAACTCCCAGGATAAGCGTGCCAGAAAGCTCGCTAAGAAGAGAGTAAGACACTCCGGCCTTGTTATTAGGAACGACTGGGACACCGTGCACCAGGCGATGGGTTTTGATATTGGTGGATAAGCTAACATGTACTTTCAACAGCTCGGTACCCTCGGTCGCGCCAAGCGGAAGGTCGACGATATGCAGAAGGTCATTGCTGAGTCGAGGAGAGCTGGTCACTAAACAACGGAATCATGTCACTTATTTCCCAGTTCCGAATAATTCCAACCCACCCTTCTTAAAAAATCCAAAAAAACAACACACAATTTCAATGGAAAACGACATTCCTCGCTATTCGTCTGAATGTGCTCTCGTCTTTGTCCTTCTATTAACTTGTGATACTCGCAAAAGAGCCAGCCAGCCGGTCGATGGCCGTACCGTACCTCTGTCTACATACGTGTCTGTCTGAAGTGCAATGCACGCATTTATGGAATTGGCGAGATGCTGAATGGGATGGGAATATGATGGCAAGGGAAACGGAACATGGCAATTTATGGGTTCAAAAGGAGTTTTCATGGTTACGACCTGATAAGATATCACAAATGAAAACATTACAACGTTCAACCTGACTTCCATATATTGGATTTACCTACTTGATTCTCGAACATCTATATACCGCGTATGCTGACCGCTTGTCTTTTATGCATAAACTCCATAAGGAAACGAGGTAAAATCCCAACCGTAATCAATGTCATATATCATATCGTCCCAGCTTGTAAGGGTAAAATAGCTATTTCTTGCCAGGCAACTTCAGCCATTTGGGGACGCCGCTCTTCTTCTTCCCATGGTCAGAGGAGCTAGGTAGTGTCTTCTGAATCCCGGACTTGTTCTTCCCCTCATTCTCGTCGTCCTCATCAGCTGCAATATCATTAACCTGTAATTTCCCAGCGGCTTGCCGTAGTTCAGGCCGGAGTACTGATCCCCCAGCACTACGTGCTGAGAGAGCTGCATTGGTATCCCAAACAAAGTTAACCAACACCCTCCCACTCATCTTTAGATCACGGATGAGCGCCTTATCTTCGCTTTCCAGGATCTGCACTTGCACGTTTGAACCAGGCCGAGCACCAACCGTCAGAGCAGGGAAGTAGAAAAGTGAGAATTTTTCATCTGCCAGCGGAGCATCCAGACAGCTCTTTGCAAAGGCATACAACGACTTGGTGGTATCTTCCGTTGTGAATTTAGAGACCGCCTGGCTTTGATCGGGAAACCGGATTTTGACTTCTATTTCTTTGACTTTTGATAGCTTCTCTTGCACTGCAGCCTCTTGAGCGGCGAGTTCTGCATCACCCGCTAAACGGTTAGGTCGGGAGGCCGTATTGAGGCGCTTTTGGTGGGTTTGTGCATGTTCGATGGTGGGTAGGTAGTCCCTCTCGTTATAGGGGGTTTGGGCAGAATGGGGAGTCGAGTTGGATGGAGGCGCAAATACAGTCACCGGCCTAGAAGATATGATCACCGGTACCTGTGTATCTGCTGTTGAGGCATCCTCTGACGATACTGGGGTTCCCATTGTTACAGCCTCAGCAGCCGACGATGGAGCCTCACTCGGTTCAACCACATTCTTGTCGCCGCCCAGAGACTTGAAATATGTGTCTATATCAACCATAGCCTCCTCCAGTGGTTGGTCGGTTATCCTGAAGCTTAGTCTTATCAACGCACTTCCATTATTCAACCCCAGTTGACTGAGAGGCTTCTGTAGGTCTGTAAAGGACGATAGTTCCTTGCCTAAAATATTAAGCACAGGGGTTTCGTAGAATAGTCTCCCCGAGCCTGACTCTCCTTCCTGGACCTGTGGAGCACCTCTCGCTGTCAGGTTAAACTTCTTGCTACTACCTGCAACACCAGACTCGAATTTCCGTAGTATCAGCCACAGGGTGGTGTTGCTTGGGAATTTATCCACTAGTCGACCATTAGATGTTCCTTGCGATTCTGAGTCAGGTAGCTGGAGGGCGATAGATACGACGCTTGGTGATTTTGACAGCTGCACAAGCTCTAGCCTAGCCCCAGAACTCAGGCCTGATAACCGAAAGGATAATGATAGATCGACAGTCTTCTTCTGATGTCTATCATGCACGGCAATCTCTTTGTCAGCTCATGTCAAGCCTCAACGTGAAATCATCCCGAGAAACGGCGTATAACTCACTTTAGGCCATATTGAGCGGGGTTGATATTGAACTTCGCGCAAGCGTCACCCAGCACATCACTCATATGCTTCGTCGGCGTCACCTTAACGAGTGCCCTGCGCGCGCTGGCATCAAGCACAACCACATGAGCAGCCATCGTGTGGGATATCAAGGCGCTGGAGAGTGTAGTCTATATAACAAGCGGCGTATCTAGATAGGCTCTACTTCTCCGGATCGTTAGCTGAGTCCTCGCAGGTGACAAAAGAAATGACACCAACCAACCAGTCTGTTTAAATCTGCAGTATATATCCGTAGGAGAAAGCCATCAGGGCTGCGCAAACATGTCGACTTCTCCCCTCTGTTGCTGTTGGTGGTGGTGATGTCCCTCCCAGCGCAGGCAGCGGCGAATCGTCATCCCGATGGTCCAAGCTCCTCCCTACGAATCGATGTTTTGGAACCTGGAGCTCGCCAGCAACAAACCACCACGGCCACCTTGTCCACCATTGCACCCCAACTACAACAGAAGAGCGCCTCGATACCGTTGTATACGTAATATTTAGACCCGGCTGAACTACTCTGTCTCCTCAATCATGGTGAGTATCTCCTCCAACGCGGGTACCTGTGCTGTAAACTAACGCCTCCCCAGGGTTCACCATTCGACATCAGTACGAGATATCCCTCTTCCTCCCTACCACATGTCATATATATCCAGTTCTCTCGATGCTAATAGACATGCACTGTCAGACGGCGGCGCCTGTGTGGCCATGGTTGGCAAAGACTGCGTTGCGATAGCCTGTGATCTCCGACTCGGTCTCCAAGCTCTCACCGTCTCGAACGAGTTCCCCAAGATCTTCAACTATGCTCCATCCACATACCTAGGTCTCACCGGCCTAGCCACAGACGTCAACACCGTATCTCAGCTGCTACGCTACAAAGTCAATCTCTACCGTCTTCGGGAGGAGCGAAACATCTCCCCCCAGACGCTGGCTAATTTGGTCAGCTCAAGTTTGTACGAGAAGCGATTCGGACCATTCTTCGTCAGCCCGGTTCTGGCGGGAATAAATCATACCACTGGGAAACCCTTCGTATGTGGTTTCGACAGCATCGGATGTATCGATTTTGCGAAGAACTTCATTGTCAGCGGGACAGCGAGCGACCAGTTGTACGGAACCTGTGAATCGCTGTGGGAGCCAGATCTTGTACGTTGACACTGCTTCTATTCTTCCCGCATGGGCTCATTTATTCCAATTTGCAACCCTGTTGAATGACACGTAACTAATGACTTGACGCTAGGAACCCGAGGACCTTTTCGAGACCATCTCTCAAGCGCTATTGAACGCTGTTGACCGTGATGCCCTTTCCGGTTGGGGTGCGTACGTGTACATTATTGAGAAGGACAAGGTTACGAAGCGGAAGCTGAAGGGACGACAAGATTAGAAACACGAAGTCAGAACGAGACTATCCCTTGAATTTTGGGGCTTCTTATGTTTTTACTTATGTTCTACCGATTAAATGGCGTTGCGGACATGATAAAGCAGGAGATAATTTAATTTTAGCTCTTTAAACGCTTCGAACAAATAGGTCGTTAGCTAACATAGTGATTCAATGGATCACATCGTTCAAGAAGATGACCTCACGACTAAGAGGTAAATGACTTGTATATAAATCCCTCGGTTTTGCCGTTGGAGTAGTTCAGGTCATCTTAGTGTAGAGCAAATCGAAATAACTCCGTCAAGTGCATCGTCCCAGCTTTCCATAAGAGAGCCACAGAACAATTCTAAAGACGCCGCATCCATCAACCCCTCGATCTCAGTATCAAGTGATAGACTTCCCTTTGATTCTGCAGCCTTCCCACCGGGCCGCATACTAACGATGTCAACAAGATGGCCTAGCATTCCAGAGCTAGAGATTCGCATCTTTAGTCCCTGACATTGAACTTTAACCTCATTTGAAGCAGATTTGACGCCAGCTTTGAGGGCTTCCAGCTTGGCTTTGGCATCTCCGGAAGAGAACGATTTATTCTTGTTTATAAATGGGATAAAGAGTGATATGGCTTTGAGAGTTTCGAGCAATAGAATGGCGCCGTGCAGGAATATCCATGAAGGAGCTGGCGACGCAGGAGATGAATTGGGCGTCAAGTCTATTGTCCCATTTCTCGTGAAGTCGGGATTCACCAAACTCTTCAACCTGCCTTCCAGGTAGGAGTCGATCTTGGAGAGAATGTTGTTCACAGTGCTGGAATCAGATGGTGTTTCTCCTGTAAAGACTGACAGGCCCTTTAGTAGAAGAAGGTGTATCTTAGTATTCTCGATCTCTGCTTGAGTGAGTTCGCTCGCTGCTGAATCAATATCTAAATCAAGATATTGAGAAAATTGAGTTTTCAAGCCTTTAGACGGGGTTTTCGTTAGGAAATTAAACAGAGCATCCGTGGCAACCATAGCATCTATGGCATGAGCCTATGATCCAAAGTTAGTAAATGGAAACAAGGTCTCGTTAGATTTCGAGCCAGCTTACTTTTTGCAGGGGCCCTAGTCTTACGCGCTCTTCAAACGCTGGCTTCCCACGAGGCTCACAGTTCATCAAGCCCTCAAAGCTACGTTTATCGGAAAGGGGACTTTGATTCAAGACTATATCCCACAAATTAGCATTCAGACATAACCTAGTATCTTCGCAGGAAGAATCTCACCGATCTTATCATATTGACTTGTCGATGGGCCTCCAACAAGTCGCTGTATACGTCTTGCTTCTAATGCCCACATCTTCCTACAGATGCTGTTCCTTAAGTCATTCTGAAGTTCAATGCTTCCCTCCACGTTAATATAGCTACCGTGCTCCAACCCGGTCGACTGAGAATATGTGGTAGAAGCTTCGGCATTTCGGTAAAAGGTCAATGCCTGCCTGAGGCCCATTTGTGGATCATAGTCTTTCCTATCGAGGTCTTCCGATGGTGGCGCGCTTTGGGGATGGATAGTTGCGAGTCGTGTAAAAAGATTATGAGAAACTGTCTCATACTGTATCTGTTTTACCGAAAGTTTGGAGAACCTCTTCAAGGCAAGTGATCCTGCGCCTAGGAGAAGGTATATCCGGACTAGCAGTAACAGGGCTTCGTAATTGTGTGGTGATTTAAGCAGCAAATGTTCGAGAATTCCAGCTGCTTGGACTAGAACACAGCTTATCATTGAACCAGATACAGCTTCATGTAGTCGCATCAAAGCCATAGCAGCGAGCAGGCAGAGATCATCTGTTGGCTCTGCCTCAATAGTCGAAGGCGTGTCGCCGGCATCCGCTCGTCCGGCATCTCTGAAGTCACGTAAACAGCGACAGACAAAATCCTCCACCTTTGAGATTGCAGTTTTGGTATTCTCAAATTGAAGCTGGAACGAATATTCTAGTTTGTAAGCATTGATTTGTGGGATCGCATTAGACTGCATGAGAAGTTAGCAAAGAGTTGCAGCACCAAGCCGGAATGTTCATTTGAAATCTTACGCCTTTGCTTTCCTTAACAATTTTCAACACTTCGGTCTCAAATTTCTGATATAGGTTTGCATCTAATTCGATAAGATATCTTTGGAGATCATTGAAACAATATATCTTTCGCTGGTTTCGATCGAAATATTGAACGCATCCCGAGAGGACATCCTCAGAGGTTGACTTTCTGGTTTCGATCCCTTGCAACTTCAATTCGAGACTTGCTAGCTGAGCATTTCTTGAGGCCGGACGCTTTTTGATATAATTTGAAATGACCTCTTCAGTCTCTCGGAATGCCCTTTAAGGGGTTAGCAAACTTGTACGAAGGTCAACAACTGAATTGAATGAACCACAACCAAACTTACTCCGGTTTTTCTATTTTCTTAGTGGCTAGAAGAAGTAAGTTCCATACTTTCCAATCATCCCTCTCTTCATATTTGGCATCCGGCTTTGATTCCGCCGTCACGCTATCATCGAGTGTCAACAATTCTTTTGTGAAAGATATTGCCTGCTCCCAATGCCCACCTTTCTCGATAACTGATAACTTGTTTGTTACAAACAACCACTCATTCTGGGCGATGCGCGATGTGACACCCAAATGTTCGCTGTTCAGCAGTTCAATGAGTTCATCGTTGCGGGATTGACTTTCGTAAATCTTAATTAGCAAAAACAGCTCTTCCGCTGTTTGAATAGCCCGTGGTATGCTCAACAATTCTTTCTGTGGTTATGGAATAATACTTATGAGTCGTGAGAGTCGATTCATATCTTATAGGGGAAGAAGCTACATACCGGGTCTGTGGGCACACTACCCGCAGCCTTTGATATCATACGATAGGCAAGTGTTCCGAATAATTTGCGGTCAGTCTCCGAGCTTGCCGTGTCGTTTGCAATCAAGTAGCACATAAAGATGGCCCAGAAGTAGTATTTCCTCGTTTTGGGGAAATTGTTTTGTAGACTCATGGCCGCCTAGATGAACAATGTCAATTATCCCTCTCGATAACTTATGTCGAGAATAACAGGGCCTGCCTTTGGGCCACATCACCCAGCTCTAGTTGTCGCACCTTTTGAGCGGTCTTCCAATCCCCGGCATCAGACGAGACACGGAACCACCTCAATTGGACTTCCAGGTCTTGAGGTTTTGCCTTTGCCGCGTTCTGCCATAGTGCTCGAGCTGTGTCTCCATGTCCTCCCACCTCGTTCAGTGTATCTTGTAGTATATTCAGAGCTTCAAGGTCGGTGACAGGTGGGGTTGAGCTGCACAGTTGGAGGGTTTCCGCAATACCGCGCTGTCGATGCGCATCGTCCGCATGGCTGAAGAGAATATTTGCTTTCCATGCCTAACAGGAGTTCAGGCCTTAGTAATTGCCATGATCAATGGGAGGGCTCCTCAGCAGCAAAGGACCATGTTACGGTGGGGGTATATTTTACAGACCTTTAAAAAAGACGAGTCCTCGCCCTTCTTCAGCCGCTTTTCACACAGCTGCAATGCCTGCTTTAAATTCTGTCCATCGATAGCATCTTGTATTTGCTTATTTCTCCGCTCGGTAACAGCGTTGGAAGCCATGGTGAAGAGCGTTGCTGGCGCTTGGTAGCAATATGATGTAGCATGATTTGTGATAAATATTTATGTTTTTAGAGTTGCCCGATCTTGGTGCCATCGCCAAAGCTTCAACTTGAATATCAACATACTACCCCTACTGATCGTTTCCCCAGTCCCTTAACACCCTTGTCTTTTTTATATAGTCTGCGGGATATATAATAGGTTCTCCTGTTTTACAGCTCTTCGAACATGTCCATTTCTTCATACAGTAACCAAATTTTCCTGGCCATCCCTCATGGGCTACAGGCCTGGGATTAGGGATTTGATCCTGGTAATATGCTGGCTCTGAGATCAACCTATTGTAGTGATGAATACAGGGCCTTTGATATAGTTAATGGTGGACTTGTGACAAACACCACTTAGTGTAGATCCAATTTCACGTCTAGACGTAACAAGTCGGTCTAATCCCCCTTCCACGTCATGGACAAACGACGGAAATCGTGGCCAAAATAATATAAGATTGTATTCTTATTTAGTGTCTGGTCGCCTCTTTAAAATTGCTATAAATGAGCACTATAATGGATGAGATAAAAGTTCAAACGCGCCCTATTTCGCATGCCCAGTTGTAATCAATATAACCCACGCTCAAACCCCTAGAATCCCCGATCACTCTTCAATCCACCAAACACACCTGAAGTATTGTACAAAGTAGAACGGACATAAGATACATGCTACCGATGCCGTAAAGCTAGGGTCTAGAACCAAACGCCATAAACGGGATATTCATATTGGAACTCGATAGTGATAGTGGTATCGTCCTGTACATTTCGTTCATGAACTGGTAGTACCTTTTGTCTTTTTCTGGTTTAACTGCTAACTTTTAGTAAATTGAACAAGCGTCGTAAATTTTGCTGGTGATGAGTATAGAATGACACCTTCTTCCCTTACCACTTATGTCGTGGGAGAATAGAGTGAGAGGGAGGAAATGAGAAGAAAACGACGAGAACTTATAACTGTCTGAGGAAGCTTTATAGCACTTACCCAGGCTTTCTTGCAGTCTCGATATGCCCTAAGATGGTCTGGAGTTAGCAGAAATTCAATTGGTACACGAAATAAAATAGGACAATAGAGAAAAACATAAGAAGTATGACTTACTGGAAATAGTCGGTGCACATATCTCGGTCACCGTTATTCCGTCGCATACATTTAATACTTCGGTCGGCAAACTCCTGGCATGGGTCCATATATTCGCTGGCTGATTTACTGTTTCCCGCCAAAAGAACGAAGTTAATACACTTGGACGATCATATCAAAATTTCTAGAGCCAAAATCCCAGCTGCAGTCTCAAAATTTGACGAATGTAGCTCGTCTATGCGCATGCTGGAAATACAATCTCTATTTCTTGGGGTATCATAGCTGGGAAGAATCAGACAGAAACAGAGACTTGGGTTATACAGTAGCCCAAACGATGCATCGCACGCGCAGTTGAGAGGTAAAAAACCATGGCCCAAACAAGGGAAGGGATATACTCAAAGGACTATGGCCGTACGTACTTTCTGAATCTAGGCTCAGATTTATCAAAGATTTTCTGAGAATCGTTCTGCTTGTCCGCGGAGCTCATGGTGAGCAAGATTATAGGGCTGTCAACAAAACAAATTTTCTTCCGTCCCACAAATATGGGTTATCTGGGGTGATTGATATTAACAAAAGAGTTGTGATGGTGAAACGACGTCGAGATGGAAGAATTATGGGTGAGGTTGAAAGTCTTGGCGCGGATGTTGGTCCAAGAGTGAAGAACGCTGAATGCTCCGTCACAGCTCTAAAACAACAAAAGTACATTGCTCCTATGCTAGAAAAGCGATATACCATGGATATCCTGCGTCGACATAATTAATTATTTAACGAAATCCCAAGTTGGCGGGGAGAGCGCCATACTGGTGGTGTCTACTCGATGATCGAGCACTTTGGACAAATATTACCCAATTAGGAGGTAAGCTTGGCTTCATCCGTGGCCGAAATAGGCCAATAACGTCCTCTGGGCAACATCTGCCAATCGCATGCGTACCTTTTTCAAGCCCCGGGAAATTTTAAGTTCCAGCTATTAAACTCCAGATGCGCGAAGCTTAAAGTTACAGTACGCAGTAAGAACAGAATAAAGAACGAGCTAAGCGTGGATGAGGACTTGAGTCGTCTCGTAAAAATATATAAAACAAAAAAAAATAGAGTGGCAAGCGGTCTGCCTGCATGGGCCATAAGTTAGGAAACATGCGATGCGGTGTGATGGCAGTAGCTTCTAGGAGGTTTTATTGGTGTTTCGCTCCGTTCTTACTCGGTCTTCTACTAAACATCTCCCGAAAGGATGGCACCCGGAAAAAAGGAATGTGAGAGAGGATGAGTCCGAACAGCGGCGCCGGCCTGGGTGCCGTTCTAGCTGGCGCATTGGTCGCTCTTGTCCTACACTTAACAGCTGCACTGCGTCATGTACTCCGTAAAGAAGGCACTTTGTTGAACATGCATATCCCAAGGGGTTGCAGAATCCAAGATCCCCTGCACATTTCTCGTTAATGCGGGAAAACTGTGAAAGGTATTTATATCTTCCTAGGATGTCAATGCAGGCGTAGCACGCTTTGGCGACCCTCTAAGCTATGAAATCACGAGATAATAGTACGGCACGAGTAGGCTATTATGTATCTATTTTGACCCGAGATGTTCGGTAGTGGTGCGTTATAACGATCCCTGCGGGTGGTTTTGATTAATGCCGACTCCCTTCTTGTACGAAGCTGGTAGCGCTGTCGACGCATTTATATTTGCTTGGCTGGGTAAATGGAGCATTTGGCCGGAGGTGGAGGGTGAATATTAACTAGCCCAGGCTTGGTCATATGACATACATCGGCGGGCATAACGGCGTGTCAGAGCCAGGAATTTAGCCATCCGGCACATACACACGGAGGCGGCCGGTGGTTGTAACGAGTTGCAAGGTAGAGACTGAGTATTCAAAGCCCGGATTTCATAAGAACCATCGCTAGGGTCTCCATGAAATTGGATTATCCGCCCCGGCTGACGAAGGGAGTGTAGGAAATAAGAATAGAGCTAACGATCTCGTTTGTCTCGGGATCTGGCTAGACCTTTCGAAGGTTCGACCTATGTAAGTGAAGAAGCGAAAAGCGCGAGGGTACATCCCCGACAACAGCCTACCAAACCATTTCCTAATCGAGTCAAAAAGTCCATACCTCTGCATTTGCTGGCAGGAGACACGCTAGCCCCACGCCCATGGAAACAAGAGTAACATGAGTGCTAGTTTCCGTGCTTCGAGGTTTTCTTTTCTTCTTCACGTAGTCCTGGCCAGTGACCAGGATTCTTGTTCCATTCATAGTATAAGCTTCAGTCCCAAAATAAGATTCTGGTAGCTATAGTTGGAAACTTTCAACGGGTATCAGGCTAATAGCCGCCATTGTCGTGGCTATAAGTTTTCCTCCTGACACGTCGCATCCTTTGTCCCTCCCATGGCGTGGAGGGAATTTTTTGAGGACAAATTGTGATTTTGCAAAGACACCATAACACGGGTATCATCATCGCAATCATCCTTTAACGGCAGCATGCAGCTTGGACAAAAGAAGTAGTACCGCAGTTCTCATGGGTGAAATATGGGTAAATTCCCACCCACGGCACTTTGTAATTCTTCAACGACGCAAAACATGGCCTACCCTATACTCCATAGTCACAAGGCCAGTCAAGAGTTTCTTGTCAAGGCTGGACATTGTTTCAAACCCGTATTTAGCCTGCAGAAGCGGTCCTCTCTGGTCTGGTGATCGTAGCCCAGACTATTCCACGACAATATTGTACTTCTAACTTTCGGTAAAGTAGAGGGAACATTTGCAACCCATGATCTTCGCACGAAATGTGCTGTTAGGTCACCTCGAGTAAGATTGGGATCAAAGTTGCATATGTGAAGGTGAGTGTGTTGTCATTTCATCGTCGTTTCCATGGGAATGATCCGGTACTTCCGTAGTTGATAGGGAGAAATGTATCGTCTAGTATCAACATGCATAGGCCTCCCTCCACACACAATTGATAATTGCGTCCATGGGCACAAGGGAGGTAACGTGTTTCACCCTGTTGAGCGGTATGTCTGTGCCAGGCCATGGGTTTATCCATGCGCTCCACATTCTTGCCTCATGGTGGTAGACCAGCCAGTACCAGGAGTCTGTAGTAGTGATGCATAGGCCGTTTGCGTTGAGAACACGTCAACCGGTCCTGGAATCAAGGTCTAGGTGTATTGATCGGCTTTTCCCGGGGTCATACAGTAGAATCAAACATGCTGGCAAACAGTCGAACCGAGCATTCAGGTGGCGTAGAGCCTTCATCTCAGGAATATAAATATCCCCCTCTTATCTCCTAGGATGGTTGAACTGTCCTCAGTTATCCAATCCATTGCCATAGATCCTTGTGTGCGGAACGGCCATCCATACTCTTTTCAAATCTCCCTTAGTCTGACTGCTGTTGATCTTTATCCCATCTTTTACTTGCGTTGTGACCTTGGATCCACCGTCGACTTCTCCCTCCTTGCGGTCATTATCACCGTTATCATATGGGGTGAGTGATTTTATCCAAGAGGCCACAGTATTGACGACGAAATGCATAACACTTTTCTGTCTGGGCGCCACATCATGGGATTCCCATTTATGGATGTTCTAATTCCATTTGTTATATCCACTGCCATATTGAGCCACGGGTGCCCATAGAAGAGATGCAAATGTTCTCCCGAGCCTGGAATATGGGAACATACTCACAATAGTAGAATAATGGCAGTTCCGGATACCATCGTCCCCCCCGGCCTCCCCGACACCTCCTTTTTATCTTCTCCCCATTTTCCAGGAAAACATAGTAAGGTGACGCCGCTCATCAGCAACGGCGAAGGGACAGAACAGGAGGAAAAGGTTCAGTTTGACCCAGAAAAGCATATTCAGTTTACACCTCCTTCAAAGGTGCACTCTATGAAGGAATTGGGGTATGATGACAATGCTGGAATATCTCCAATTGGGGTCTCTGAACCGTTCCCGTTGTTCTCGGCCGAAGCCATTCGCTGTATGAGGGCGGAAGTGCTGAGCAAGGAGGTATGGAGTGAGTATCAGTTTTCGAGCGATCTCGCCATGTGCCAACTGCGAGGATTCGCCCCGAAGTAGGTTTCTATCACCATCCCCATTTCTCGTTACGTAGAACTTTGCTGACGTTTAAAAGATACGCACCATTTGTGTATGATGCATGGAAAAGCCCCGAGGTGCTGGAGATCGTGTCAAATATTGCAGGCATAGATCTTGTTACAGCCATGGATTGGGAGATTGGACACATAAATATCTCCGTCCAAACAGAGGAGGAGAAAAATAATGCCCTTGCTGAGGCAGTGAAGGGAGAAGCCGGCACTTATGACGATGACATTGCGCCTATTGTTGACTGGCACACGGATAGTTATCCGTTTGTTTGCGTGACAATGTTGAGTGACTGTACTGAGATGATAGGCGGCGAAACGGCGCTCCGCAGAGGTGATGGAAATGTTGTCAAAGTGAGAGGGCCGCAAATGGTATGTCAATACACCTGATACACGAAATAGGCACGAACCAAATCGAACACATACTGACAGGTCGTGTTAGGGATGTGCTGTTGTGCTCCAGGGTAGATATATTGAGCACCGAGCCCTGCGTGCTCTGGGTACGACTGAGCGCATCACCATGGTTACCTCATTCCGCCCGCGCTCCCCAAGCTTGCCAGACGATACTGTATTGACAACCGTCCGGCCGATCTCCGATCTCTCTGAACTGTACTTTCAGTTTAGCGAATATAGGCTCGAAATGCTCGAGGAAAGAATTAGGCAACAGCTCAAGGCGGCTCGAGATGCACGATATGCTGGTCGGGCATTCAACACACAGAAACTCAAGGAATTCCTTGCTGTCCAGGTAGAGTTCCTGGCCCATATGAACAAGGAAATTGTCGACAATGATAAGGTACAAAAGGGTATCACCGACGACAGTCATCTGCGATCAGAGGATCTGAAGGAGCGCTCTAGAAGACGGGCACGAGCTACGGCTCTATAAGAATAATCGACAGTTGCTTCAGGGCTTCGTTGCTGCATAAGGTCTCAAGGGAATTCCACGGCTCCGTTAACATGGCCTGACCTCTGGCTGGCCGCACGGGAATGATCTCGATCCGCTGGCCTTAATTACATTGCTTTTGATTTTTTTTTTTTTTCGGTACAATTCATTTTTTATCCTGTTAAAGAAATCTGGGGGTTGTCGCGTTTGGAAATAATTTCAGCAGCCTGTTTCGACGGGAATTTGCGCAAGATATTAATGAGTGATAGTCGTTTCTTTTAATGCCAGGTAGTGTTGCTTTGGGGAGTTCGCTCTACTGTTGCTTCTGGGCTCTTGTTTCTTGGGTTGGTTCCGGGGAGAGACTTCTTGAGTGGAAGATAGATCCGGGTCCAGAGTAGGAGATTGCCGGGTAGTTATAGTCTCATGCTTGGGCTTTCAAGAAAGAGTGAACATGGGAGATGTAGTCTCTGTATCGATTTAGAACAAAATGCGAAATAATGGAGATCGGTATGAACGAATGATTTGAGAGTATCGTGTCTGATATTTCACTTTGACCATATTTTCGCATTTATTCAGCGGGAGCAATTGCCGAAGAAGCGAAGTCGAGGTGCCCTCATTCATCAACCATATCTAGAGTATCACCATATCTCGAGTGTCAGAGTGGCCATTTCCATCGATATCTGCTAGATACCTTCCAGCATCAGGGAAAGCCACTGGCCGAGACAAACTAATAAGCATTAGCATATCTCATTACAACACAGGGCCGTAGAAGTAGAGAATGCCGTAAATCTCGTTCCATCCAACATCCCCTCCTCACCTAGCATCTAGAAGGCTTCACGGTAGATGACAACTCTTAGGCTGAGTTTTGTGGGTGACCTGAGCCTAACGTCACCACGAGGCGTAATCTCCTCGACCAAAGCTCGCATACTGAAGCCGGTCACCATCAACCTCGCTGTCGAGGCGTTCGCTGTGCTGAAGTTCGTCCATCGCCCGTTATTAAATGGTAGCGACCTCACGTGACTTCGAAATTGAGCGTTAAAGAGAAACGCGCCTTTCGACCTTCCGCCATGACGCGATTGTTCTTACCGCAGACTCACTCTTCGTGCCAGACTCTCCTCCTCAATATTCGCTGCTATACGGCTGTTTACCTGGCTGTGCACTGCATCTCGCTCGGCCCGCCTTACCTACTATCGCAACATCGCTGCCCTCGTGCACTCGGCCGCCAAATTTCGAAGCTCTGCTTGAGTCGGTGCAGATACGAAGATGCCTGCTAACAGGTCAAAGAGGAGACGCTCAGATGATGTCGACTACAGTAGCAATCATCCCTCTACGCTACCTCCGCCGCCGCTTCCAGTGGCTAGTGAGAAAAAGGACACAGATTCTTCAGGAGTGAGTTGATGGCTGACAGTAACCCCGCCTAATGCCCGAAATTTGATATTGACAATTTTAAAGCTACTAGAAACTCTCCAGCGCCATATCGACGACTTGCGAAGCCATATATACTGCGGAGTGTGCATCAAGCCGCTCTACGAGCCGTACACGTTACCCTGCGGACACACATTTTGCTACAGCGTACGTCAAACCTGGTCACGGATACAAGGATTGACTGTTTGGAAGAGCTACTAAACACATAACAGTGTCTTGTTCAATGGTTTACAAGCCACGGCCAATCGAAAACTTGTCCAGACTGTAGGTCGTCAGTCAAGTCACCCCCCGCTCCCGCATATTTGGTACGTCCTAATCTCCCAAAAGGCTCTGTCGAGGAAGAGAGTGCTCATTGACGTTTCCATGTTCTAGGTTCGCAACATCGTACATATGTTCATTGGACGGTCCGAGTTGACGGATGCGAACGAAACTACGCACGAACACTTAGCCAACCAAGTTGCGGAAACCGAGAGAGTGGAGAATGACAAAAAGAATACCGATCCTGAAAAGGGCGGCCTATTCCAAGGATGCTTTAACAAAACCAAAGCTCCAATTCGCGATGATGATGAAGGTGTCACAAGGTGTCCAGGGTGTCTCTGGGAACTAGAAGATGGCGAGTGCATGCAGTGCGGCTATTCAGTATCGGACTCCGAGGACGCAGACGTCGATGAGCTTGACGAGCTTGACGACGACCTTGATGCCCTTGAAGCAATCGAAGAGGCACTGAACGGCACTTTTACTGAAGACGAAGACGATTTCATGTTAGGCGGCGACCCTTATGGATACGAGTTCAATTACCATAGCGATCAACCGTTCATGGATGTTTTTGGAGGGGAGGGTTCGGTCGATGGAGATTCATTGGATGAAGACTCGGTGGACGAAGATTCAATAGATGAGTCGGATGAAGAATCAAGCGAATCATCAGACGCCTCAGAAAGCTCGCACTCGACGGTGCGCCGGGCTTCGAATGGCAATAGCAGCTCTGTTATTGAGATCGAGGACGAGGAAGCACCTTCAGTTCAGGAAATATTATCCGCTGACCACACAGAGGAAGAGTCAGATGATGACGATGAGCCAGTTAGGCCCGCCCCACGAAGGCGAAATGCTCGTCCGCAAGGCGCTCACGATGTAGATTTCTCGTTTTATACGAACGGGGTTCGCATGCGTGTTCGCGGCAATAATGGGGCCGTAGCCGAAGGGGGAACCGATTCCCTAAGCGCCCTTGTTATTGACGACTCTTCATCTCCTCGGCAGCCAGTAAGGCAACGAAACTCCCAGCGGCGCCGTTAAGAGTCCGTAACGACCAGCAATCGAAAAGCTTTTATATCACTCCCCTCTAGCTGCAGGAACACTATCCCAATGCCCTTATTCATGATACCTACCCCCTTTTGGAAGCTAAGAGTTATCCCCAACCGGACAGACTATACTCACAGTGAAGTAACTCTCTTGTCCTAGCTTGTTTTGGCATACTCGACATGGGTTTTATACCGGTCTGACTTTTTGGTCATCGGACGAAATTCTGGATTATTCTCTCCTCCCTGGCTTGGGCTTCTCTTCTATTCATTTTTCAGTTTTTACACTTTATCTGCACTCCATCATTGTCTTAATCACACAATGCCCTGTTGTGCCCTAAAACACATCAAAGCGTGGCGTTCTGGAATTTACGTCCGCAATACTTTATTTGGTTGGGCTCTTTTAGAAGTTATTGGTTGTAATTATATAGCATTTGGTATGGAATTGACAAATTCATTAGTTATGAATTCCTTGTTCATTCTCTGGTCATAGTTACATAGCTACTCGAGTAGATATATAAGCCAACTAACTAGGTAAAGCATAGGTTTGGTAAAGGCATAATAATTGTAAAAAGTGTATCATATTGGAGCGACATATGTAATCATCTATTTAACTCCAAATTTTCCCCGGCCGTTCCCTTTTTGGTGACATGGATATATAAAAGATCTTAGCTTGAGAAAGGTACTTCAAATACAACAGCGCCATTCCTACCTCCCACGTCACCACATCCAACATTCTTCGAATCATTAGAATCAAACACTTTCCAGCGTCCAAGACGATGTTCTTTGCCCAATGCAGCTACTATACAGAGGCCCTTGACATCTGTTTCATGTGATTTTGCGGTGGATGATTTCTTGTCCTTTTTCGAAGACGTAGAAAGGGGGGAAATGCCAGGCTTGACGGAATCAATGCCCCGTCGCTCGTAGACGGATATCCCATTCACGATACCTCTTAGCGGCGGCGAGATATGTGATTTGTCGTCTTCATCGGTATTCATGGGTATTGTGTCTGCAGGGATGTGTGAGGTGCCGTTCGAAAGGGGTAAGGGTAATTCCATTGGCAACTCCTTTCCACCAACGCATCCGAGCGGGCGAAGTCGCCGCTTGTCTTCTGAGACTTCCCATGCACGAATCCATCCGTCCCAACTACCGCTTAGAACGATGTTTGTGCCTGGTACTGTAGCTAAGGCCGTTATCCAGCGAGGAGTTTGACGAACGTTAGCTGTTTTTTCAGCCTGTGCGTCAGCGTCGGCTTCAGCTGAGAGTTTTTCAGGGGGAGGGAGCGGGTCGAGGCCGTGAGCTTCGTATATCGTATGTAGAGGTTTCTTTTTATGGACAGACCATAATGATATGGCGCCGGAGTCTGAGCCAGTGACGAAATGTGTTGGCGGTAGCGCGGCCACACAGTCCGTTGAATTTGGAGAATATTGGCAGTTCTTGGACATGCCTCCAGCACGAAATACGAGCTGTGTTTCGTCGATGACTTTCCAGAGCCTAGCTGTGCGGTCTCTCGCGCCAACACTGACGCATTGGTCTGACATCATGGACGCGACTCCCAGAACATGATCCTGGTGGCCGAATAGGGTCTCGACGTAGGCATGGGCATCCGGACTAAGGGACCAGATTTTGATGGTACGGTCGAATGAGGCAGAAAACAACTGTTCACCTGAGCTTGACGAGGATATACGCTGGGTAAACGCTAAACCGCTGACAGAATCGCGATGGTATGTGAAGGTTTTCAAGGGAGTGAGGGTTTCAGCATCCCAGATAATTAAACGATTGTCTGTGCCCCCCGTTGCAACAAATTGACCAGATGGCGAGACTGCAACAGTTAATATTTCGCCGATATGTCCTTGTTTCTCCCCGCCGTCTCTACCTGGCCGCAATCCTCGCGCCCATCTAACTTTCTTGGGCTTTTTCCGTAAAGGTCGACTTGACTCGAGCGTATTTCCATTCTGCATGGAAAAAGTGGCCGAAGAAGGTGTGCACAGTTCCCATTTTATCAGGGTTTTATCCTTTGACACCGTATAGGCAAACGGGTAATGTACAGCAATACTCGTGGTAGTGTTTGTGTCCGCGCGGAAATATGAATGTGAAGCAGATGAAAGAGAGAGCTCCGAGGCCACCAACCTATATGCCCGCCCTTTTGATTCATCCTAGTTTCCGTCCAATTAGTATTTTTGTTCCACACAAAAGCCTGGGTTGTATATGCACCACATACCACATCCTCTTTCAATCTCTCCGCAATCAAGTCACGATCTATATCTGCTGCGTCGAATCCAACTTCGTCAACCTCCTCCCTAACATTATGTAGATATTGCTCCGCTAATCTCAACCTCCGTTCGGCCGCGGTCTCGTCCTCGTCAGATCCAGAGAGCGATTCATCGTCCGAACCGGCTGCTACTTCTGATCGCTCGTCTCCCTCGGACTCGCTCCCTGATATCGATTCATCTCTGTCTCCTTGCCGCCGGGATTTATCACCGGTTTGGGGTGCGCCTTTACTTGTAACTCCTCGTTTCTTGGTTACCGGAGCTCCTACTCGGTCTTCCCTCTTGCGCTTCCGCTGCGACGCAGGGAGTGTGAAAAAGGACGACATGGTCGCTGGGGCGCGGGCAAATCAAAATTGAGTCCAGGGAGTATCCTCGAGGCCTATCGTCCAGCCATGATAATCGCAAACTGCGCCCTCTATCACTGTCACGCTACAGTCAGTTTTTTTTTTTTGTCTTGAAGTTTTTTAGCTAAAGGTTGGTGGAGCTCGGAGAAAGGTTAAGCCTAAAGGGTGACTAAGCAGACAGGCCGCAAGCTCTCACGCGGCTTCAACAGAGCAGCTTTCGAGCAGCTTCAACAACAAACAAGCAGCACATCCAGCAGACGAAAGCCAGCATTCTCTACCGATACTAAAGCTTCTAGTGGTCAGGTTGACATCCGAACGGCTAGACTATCACCATGTAAGCTCACCGTGCTCGGCCTCGTCTGTGTGTATCGCCCGTCTGACCATGCTATTCGCAGGGAGGTACTTCTTGGTATTACGGGGAAGGACTTCACGCTCATTGCAGCGTCGAAGGCCGCGATGAGGGGAGCTACGATCCTGAAGGCCGCAGATGACAAGACACGACAGCTAAACAAGAACACCCTCATGGCATTTTCGGGAGAAGCTGGAGATACAAGTAAGGACCGCCAGTTCCTGCTCTAGAACCGCCAGTGGCTGACACGGCTCCAACAGTCCAATTCGCCGAGTTTATACAAGCAAATACCCAATTGTACTCCATGCGAAACCAAACCGAGCTTGGTCCCTCTGCAGTTGCCCACTTTGTTCGCGGAGAGCTCGCTCGAAGCCTCCGATCAAGAAGCCCATATACCGTTAACCTCCTCCTCGGCGGCGTGGATCCCATCACAGAGAAGCCCAGCTTGTACTGGCTAGATTATCTAGCGTCGTTGGCACAGGTTCCATATGCCGCCCATGGCTATGCCCAGTATGTTATCTGTTCCCTTTGCGTCCAAATGGCATACTAACCGCGCTTTCCTCGTCAGATACTACTGTCTATCCATCCTTGATAAACATCATCACCCTGATATCTCCTATGAGCAAGGCTTGAAACTCCTTGAGATGTGCTCGGATGAACTGAAGCGACGACTACCGATCGACTTCAAGGGGGTGAGTTTTAGACTGCCTACGCTTTATCCGTATCAAAAGCTGACATATGCCGCTCTAGGTCCTGGTGAAAGTCGTGACGAAGGATGGAATCAGGGAGGTCGACTTTGAGGAAGCTAATAGCAGACAGGTTCGAAGTGCTTAGAGAGACCTGGATGGGCGTTTTATCATTGTAATTCATGTCTGGGCCGGTTATTGAATTGGGTTCGAATGATTCTCGTGCTTGCTAGATCGCTGCTATATTTACTTCTAAGCAGTATGCTCGTATACAACACACCTTTAGCGACGTAAGAGGATTCGCTTGCTAGAGGAAGCCCATGTAGGTATCTTTATCAATCTTTCTTTGATATCGGCGTAAACTCATGTCCCCTCTGGGTATGTTTGCACTGTTTGCAGAACTTCAAAAGCTATCAAGCTTCATCTCAAAAGGAACAAATAATAGACAGAACAGACGACGAGACATCCTTGCATCGACCCAAGGGAACCCTCTCGCAATGGCGAAACGACCAGCTGAAGACTCGCCTGGTGAACCAATTGAGGTTGGCTCGCCAGCTGCAAAACGGCCCAAGATCTATTCTACAGACCAAACACCCGAGTCGATCGACCAGCCGCGCGATCTCGCAGATAGAACAGAACAAAGATGGGCGAGTGATGAACGAAAGAGGAATGATATATCAGCTCCGACAGATGAGGAAGAAAAAGAAACCGAAGAAGCGGAGCTATCAGATGTGGAGGAAAACGACAACCGCCATAGAACAATACGGCAGAATGCGCCCCTTGAAGGCTACGACGATTTATACCTTGACACGATACAGAGAGCTGCTCTCGACTTTGATTTTGAGAAGCTATGCTCTGTATCTTTATCGAATATCAACGTTTATGCCTGCCTGGTGTGCGGGAAGTACTACCAAGGACGTGGACATAAATCGCATGCCTATTTCCATGCGCTTGAGGTTGGACACCATGTTTTTGTTAATATGGAGACAAAGAAGGTCTACGTGCTACCAGAAGGGTACGAGGTTAAGAATAAGAGCTTGGATGATATCAAATATGTGGTTGATCCATACTTCTCAAAGGAAGAAGTGGCCAAGCTAGACAAGGTGGTTATAGATGCGTTCGATCTCTCAGGCAAACGTTACAGGCCCGGTAAGGAATCCAAAGTCCGGATTTATATAGCTATTACTAGTGCTAACCATTTGGCTTACCAGGTTTTGTTGGAATGAATAACATCAAGTCCAACGACTATCTCAACGTAATCGTTCAACTCCTTGCGCATGTTCGCCCGATTCGAAACTTCTTCCTACTCCACGATTTCCCAGCACTGAGCACCCCCCAGCTCCCGCTACGATTTGGCATGTTGGTGCGCAAACTCTGGAATCCTCGGGCATTCAAAGCACACGTCTCTCCACACGAGTTACTACAAGAAGTCGCCATCCGGTCTTCGAAGCGGTTCACCTTAACAAAGCAGTCTGATCCGATCGAATTCCTCTCATGGTTCCTAAACAACCTCCATTTGACTCTCGGTGGTTCTAAAAAACCATCATCCAAACCAACCAGTGTAATTCAGTCGGCCTTCCATGGCAAACTTCGTATCGAAAGTCAAGCTATCACAGCTAGGTCGGATAGCGCAAATGCTCGTCTTGTCTTTTCCGAATCAAGTACTACAACATCCCAGGTTAACCCTTTCCTAATGCTCACGTTGGATCTTCCCCCTACACCTTTATTCCAGTCTTCAAACAAAGACTCCATCATTCCTCAGGTTCCGCTTACTTCACTCCTAAGCAAGTACAACGGTATTACGGCATCCGAGAAGCTCTCTCATCGAGTAAGACACCGGTTGTTACACCCACTTCCACCATACCTTCTTTTTCATATCAAACGATTCAGCAAAAATAAATTTGTAGCTGAGCGAAATCCAACAATCGTCACTTTCCCGTCACCTCACGGGCTTGACATGTCACCATACGTTGAACCAGACCCATCTGTATGGCCACCAGGAGAACCTATCATTTACGATCTCGTGGCAAACGTCATCCTGGATGCAGCAGTGACTGCTCCAGGCGGGCCAGAAAATGCTGCAAACAGTGCAGAAACGAGCAAAGAGTTATCAGAGCTAGGACCGTCCGCACCTAGTGCGTCAACAACACCAGGAGCAGCAGCAGGGAACCATAAGGTGTCATGGCTGATTCAGCTACATGATAAAGCTATGGCTACAGAGAATGCGCAACAGCAACAACATAAGGGGCCTGAATGGCTGGAGGCCCAGGATTTGTGGGTGAAACGTACGGAGAGCGAGACCCTATTTACACGTGAGGGATATTTAATGGTTTGGGAAAGGAGAAAAACCAAACCACCTGGTGCGAACAAGTAACCAATTGGTCTAAAACATGTTATTTGTTGAATACTGTTAAATACAGGCTGTGAATGTCCACGCACCGAATTTGCTATCAAAGCTTCGTACGATATAAGAACCAAATGGCAACTTATTAAGATTAGGAAGATATATTTGGCCATGGACTAGAGAGAGTAATTTTACCTATAATTGGCCCCATTGGAACTTCATCCTACCCAGTATGATAGCAGCGCCAGCTCCTAGACCCCAGACTCCCGCACTAATGGCTGCTTCAAATCCTGCAATTAATGCCATCTTCCCTACGTAGAAGAGCATATCCGTTGCACCCCCCCCGCCCAGCCATGCCCCTAATGGCCGTACATCAGAGCGAAGCCCTAGCACCGTTGCTGTAGCCCCTATTGGGAGTAGCATAGTCGTAGGTTGAGCGGATAAGAACGTAGCCGCGAGGCTGCGAAGGTAGAGAGACTCAAAGGGATAAAATAAAACAGACGTAATTATGCAGGACAGGTGCGAGGAAAATGCATCCACGGGATGTGAGGAGAGGATAGTAACACGATGGTCCCATTCTTCACTAGGTTGCTGTCTAGAGCGGTCGGCAAGCGGTTGTCTTCGAGGGGTAGTGCCGTTCGCCATATGTTCACTTGAACTGCTACTTATGTTGTCAAGGGCGCCATTTGGCTGATTTTCGCCCATGCCTAGTGTTTGCCACTCAGTGTCTGACTCCCGCAGTGGAGTATGTCCGTTAGGACCTACACCGTTTTGTAGGGTGTCGTTAGGTGCATGACGCGCCTCTTCTGAGTTTGGCTCGCCAGGATTCGTATCTGATCGATGTGTTGGGTGCGCAAGTAGGGCATCCAATAGTTCGGTTGCAGCACGATCGATAGCACTAGTTTGTGATTCGGTTCTGTGAACCACGCCGTTAGGGATGGAGACGTTTGCATTTAAAGCTTGGTCCTCCACATCCGCCCCTGTGTGGCTCTGCAAGAGCTCTAGATGCATGGTAATAACGTCGGAGTTTTGATGGATAAGTGACGCCCTGACTCGGGGCGAAGAGGGTGGGGATGATTCGGGAGAAGGTGAAGGAGAGAAAAGGGTATTAGGTCGAGAGACAGGCATAGGCTCAGGGGCAGTTTCTAGCCTTGGGGGTTGAAGCGGCATGTTATGCTGATCCGGTGTTGAAGCATGTGCCTCATCACCAGGGGGTTGTATTGAAGCGTGCATGTCTGAGAAATATGTTTCTGGCATCTGGAGGGGTGACTGAGCAAAGCGATTTTCTTCATCCACAAGGATCTGGCCGGGCTCTTGGACACCCTCTGCCTGCGATGGGTGGGAGTGTAGAGGAACCGGATGTCCAATTGAGACGTGCATTGTGGCGCGCCCATCACCGTACACAGGGCTTGCATCAGCTGCTGGGGCATCATGGCTGTAATCTGGGCTGGCTGGCCTTAGTCCAAGATCACGCTGTAGCTGCTCAACTCGTCTTTGGACAGATTCATATCGTTCTAGCCACGGAGCTTCGCTGGGATCCAGTGCTGGCTCAGTAGCCGGTTGATGGCCTATGAGCCGGAGAAGCCAATTTTTCAAGGTAATCAACTCATATCCAATCTCCTCAGCTAGCGTGAAATGGCTCCGTTTGATTTCTTCCTCAGATCTCTTCCCCAAGGACGGAACGGTCCATTCAATAAGCTCGTTCTCTACAGCAACTCGAAGGGAGAGCTTATCCGGACGATCTGGTTTCGGGAGACGACGCCGAAGAATCCTGTAAACTCTAGCTTCAATAATCGGGCGTATGTTGACATACAGGTTAAATATGACGAAGGGTGAAGTAATTAGGGAAAGGCCATACAGGCCGATGGACCGGGCGGATAGCTCTGAAGGCAAAGGCGGCAGCTGTATAAGGGAGCTCGATGTAAAGGGAATCAGGGAATAAAGCGAGGGGATAGAGAATACGGGTAAAAGATGAAGTGATTGTAAGAGCGCGAACATGTATCCCTGCCCAAGGACTATTATAACAGCGGAGTTGGCGCTGGATACAAGTCAGTATTAAGATAATCAGACACTTGATGGGGAGAGTAAATACCCGAATGATATTATTTTGAATAAGCCGTCAATGAACTTTTTATACCATTGTGCGTCCAGGAGAGGGGAAACCATTGAATGGAGAGAGTCCAAACCCGACTCTAGGAAGTGTGACCGACAGACGGACAGTAAAAATGACACTGTCCAAACTGGGAGTCCACCCAAATAAAACCCAGCAAAGCCAGCTTGTTGGCGCTCCCGTAAAATGATATCTCTCAATGGTGCATAATTGTACCTTTTGAATGTCTTTATATAACATGGTTAGTTCTTTCAGGTGATATCATTTTTTAATCGAAGCTATAGGAGCTTACTTGAATTCGACAAGCAAGAGACTTAGTCCACCATGACGCTCCAAACATTGCCAGCTGATCTATAGCCGCCAGTGCCAGGCCATAGTCATTCTCCTCTGCGAGTAGAGCAATCTTGTCTTGTTCATTCACGCTGGCTGAGTTTAGGTCCTCGCCGCTTACAACGATGCCCATGGTAGATAAAACATCGTTCTTAGCTTTTCTAAGTTGTTTGGCCTCCGCCTTTGAACGACGGTTGATGGGATGGCCCCGAGCGTCATACTCTTGGACATATCCGTCTGCGTTTGTATTTGCTAAATGTTGGTTGGGTTGCGGTACAGCCTCTCCATTAACCGTGAGTTCTGGAGCCTCATAGGGAGACCGGCCCTATATATATAGTTAGTTACGGGTATAGCCAAAATTTTATGTAGCTCCAGGATGTATGCGATGACATAACATGTGGTAGATGCGGTTCAGGGAGCTTGCGCAGTCTGGTTTAGCCACGTCTCTGGCATCCATAACGGCGCCAGAACATAACACGTAGCATAAAGAGAGGCATATCTAGAGCAAGAAGAAGCAGAAAACGAAAGTGATGCAGAGGAATACATGTTCTGTGGACATACCAAAGCGAGCGAGTTGAGGTATGCGCGTCTCCCCATACTAAGCACTGGAGATCAAGGTTCGGTAGACGGATAGAGGAAGCATTTCGCAATGCTATCATTCAACCCCAAGTGAGCATCCAGAACAGCTACACTCACCAGAACCACTCATGGATATACGACCTTTGGAATGTTGCTGTGACGTTTATGAAGTTATTGTGATTTGACGTTATAAAAAGTGGCGCTTATCGCGGCTATTGGGCACGACCCACCTTTTTCTAATCTTCAATAAAATTTTAAGCTCAAGAATACAGCAACTATTTTGCGACTACACTGGACGAAGAATTGATGTTTGCTGCGAGGATTGGTGTCGGATTTTAATTTTCAATATTGAGTAATCGAACTCATGGCGCTTTAATCAATCGTGTTTTCCAGTACTCTATCGATACCTGCGCAAAATCCTTATCGAACCATGTCTAAAATTGCTGTCAAGACCACCTTTGAGGCACACAAGACCATACAGCCGATATACACTGGCGGAAGTGTTTCGCTTGATGCTAGTGGCCGTTTGCTGGCAACATGCATTGGAGAAGATGCCTTGGTAATTGATTTGGAAACGGGAGAGAGATTGGCGCAGATTGAAGGCGTGAGTGATTTCCAGAGATTTCTTTAGCGAGCTGTCGCTAACATGATTTCTAAAGGATGGCGAACTTATCACCAGTATATCCAGTATGTTTCACTCTCATGTCATATTTCCCTTATTGGCTATCAACTAAGCTAACATTGTGATCAGTATCCCCCAATGGGTCCCATCTAGCTCTTTGCTCGAGGTCACTCTCCATGCGAATATTTTCCCTAAAACCCTCCGAGGAATCCTCTGGTTCCATTCAAGCAGAGCTCCTCCGATCGCTCAAGCCACATACTACTCCCGTCGTTACAACCACAATTGATCCCACGAGCTCCCTTCTTGCGACCGGTAGTGCGGATGGTTCGATAAAAATATGGGACCTTCGAAGAGGATACGCAACGCATACCTTCCATGGCCACGGAGGAGTGGTTTCAGCTTTATGTTTCTTTGAGATTCAGCTAGAGAAGCTCGCGGTGAAGCAAAAACCCCAGTTCAAAAACATACAATCCAACGATAGTGATTTGCCCGACTCCATGACATCAGGGTTTCGCTTAGCATCTGGAAGTGAGGACGGCAAGATCCGGATTTGGGACCTACACAAAAGAAAATCTGCCGCATCTTTAGACTCCCATGTTTCTGTCATACGCAGCCTATCATTCTCCAAATCAGGGAATACTTTGCTATCCGCAAGTCGAGATAAAACGGTCATTATCTGGGATGCTGGAACATGGGATTGCAAAAGGATCATACCAGTTCTTGAGAGTGTTGAAGCGGCTGGATTTATATCCGATGGTCCGCTATGTTACATCGGTGGTGAGAACGGTCGGTTGAGAGTCTGGGATTCGAGTAGAGGCAGCGAAGTTACGGAAGATCAGGCAGTGGGAAGTGAACAGGAGAGTGTTGTCACAGTTCAGTATTCTGAAGGGCTACCATTTATCCTCACGGTTCATGTGGACCAATCTCTAAAACTTCACTCTCTTGAGACATTGTTCTCATTAACACCAGGTGCCAAAATTGAACCTCTTTCTGTCACGCGACAAATTGCCGGCAACGATGACGAGGTTATTGACATGGCTTGTATTGGCCGAGATAGGTCTTTGCTTGCACTAGCTACCAACTCAGAATATATACGGATTGTCCGAGCTCAGCCTATGGACGGAGTCGATGAGTCCCAGAACCACTTTGGAGTAGACATCGCTCGGCTGGAGGGCCATGAAGAGATTATAATATGCCTTGATGTTGATTGGTCTGGAAATTGGCTGGTAACCGGTGCCAAAGATAACAGTGCACGACTATGGAGGGTTGACCCAGTCAATTCGTCTTTCACTTGCTTTGCAATCTTCACTGGCCATGCCGAATCTCTGGGAGCAATCGCTTTTCCAAGGTCCGCACCTGCTGCTGGTACCCCTGCCTTTGAGGATCCTCTCAACCACCCACCTCCTTTTTTCCTTACTGGTTCCCAGGACCGAACCATCAAGCGATGGGATACGTCCAAACTCAGCGTCACAGCATCAAAACTTCATACCCCAAAGGCCCTCTATACACGAAAGGCCCATGACAAGGATATAAATGCACTTGATGTGAACTATTCATCTACGCTGTTCGCGTCCGCTTCCCAAGATCGTACAGCGAAGATATGGTCGGTCGAGGACGGTTCTGTTACTGGTGTCCTTCGTGGCCATAAAAGAGGTGTATGGTCCATTCGATTTGCTCCGAAAGATACACCAGTTTCCACCACCGCTTCTGGGGCAAATGGTAGAGGAATAGTTGCCACAGGTTCTGGAGACAAGACCATCAAATTATGGAGTCTTTCTGACTACAGCTGTCTTCTAACATTCGAAGGCCATGCTAACAGCGTACTAAAAGTACTATGGCTTCCCCCACCACGTATTTCCGAGTCAGATGAAGATATATCTTCTCGAGGGGCTGCACAAACGAGTCCCCTTATCGCCTCTGCCGGTGCCGATGGGCTAGTGAAGATATGGTCTCCATTCACAGGCGAGGTAGAAACGACTCTAGATAACCATACTGACCGTGTTTGGGCTTTGGCAACGCCATACGCACCCTCATCTACCACATCCACACAAACAAATACTCGAGAAAGTCACCTAGATTTTTCCTTGATATCCGGTGCTACCGATTCGGTGGTGACTTTCTGGAAGGACACAACATCTAGCACACTGTCTGCTGCTGTAACAGCAAGTTCCGCTCGCATCGAGCAGGATCAACAGCTTCAAAACTATATTCATGCAGGTGCATATCGCGAAGCCATCACGCTTGCTCTCCGGCTAAACCATCCAGGACGATTATTATCCCTCTTCACCAGTGCTATCGATGCCAATGACGATACAGCCGAGCGGGGGCCTGATAATTTGACCGGAAATCCTGACATCGACGCTGTTCTCAAGTCACTCGATCATGAACTACTATATATTCTCCTAATCCGTCTACGGGACTGGAATACGAATGCTCGAACGGCACGAGTATCACAACGCATCTTGTATGCACTTTTTAGATCATACCCTTCATCTACCTTTATTGAACTTGCTGGCCGAAAGAATGCTTTGCCAGCCGATGGCAAGGCCGAGAAATCGGCTGCCATGAAAGATATTTTAGATGCACTAGCTGCATACACGGAGAGACATTACAGGAGAATAGAAGAGCTTGTCGATGAGAGTTACCTGGTGGAATGGGTGCTCGGCGAGATGGATGGAGGTGTTGGAAGCGCCGCACCAGCGTTAAATGGAACAGACGCGGAAGACATCATTATGATCTAAGTTCTGGGGATGAATACTATTGTCATTGTGTATAGGAGCTGGTCGAAGCTAAAAAAAAAGTATAGGATTCATGGGGTTAATTAAGGAGTTGTATACTACTGTGTACGGAGTTTGTTTTGGAAGCACATTTGATTAATAGATCATGATCCAACGTCTTTATTCATCTATATATTGGTACATACTCTGCGACAAAAACTATATTAGCCATCCTGGGAGTATTCGTGTGAGGCATACATGTAGACCACTCATCATCTGTTACTCCTTTCATAATCTCTCCTCCTGTCTCGATCTTGATCCCTATCCCTATCCCTATCCCTATCCCGAGTTCTATCTCTGCCGCTGTCAGAACCCCTACTTCGATCATCCTCCCTATCCCGCGTTGATTTATGCTCTCGGTCCCTGTGTCGATCTCGATCTCGATGATGACGGCTACTGCTCCGGTCCTTCTCCCTGTCACTGTCTCGGTCCAGCCTATCGTCATAGTGTCTTTTGCGAGGCCTGTCCCTATCTTTGCCCCTGTCCCTGTCCCTATCTCGATCAGTTGAAGAGCCGCTTTCAGTTCTACGACGATAATCTCGGGACGACTGATCATCATCGTAATCATCTCTGTCAAAATCGCGTCGTCTATCACGATCCTTCTCCGTATCCCGACCGCTTTTAAGTAAATTACGGTCTCGTCTTTCTCTCCAATCATCAGCACCCTCCTTCTCCTTTGCCTTGGTAGATAGATCCTTAAATTCATCTTCAGTAATGAGCTCTCCGGTCTTTTTGCTCTTCATAAGAACAGGTGTATAGAGGCCTTCGCCATCATTCCTCGCTTTTCTCATTGCGGCTTTCCCCCAAGCACCTAGCTCGACTTCGGCATCTCCGCCTTTTCCAGAAATATCTTTCGCGCCGATACCATGGTATCCTGCTCTTCGTTCAGGGACGCGTGGTGTAAGCTCTGTATCACCATAGTTTCCTCTGCCGACAGGTTGGCCCTCTTTCCACCCCATACCACGCAGTAACGCTGCTCCAAACTCTTCAACTGGCACGGCGTTGTAGGCACTTAGACTGGCTGGAGCAGGACGGGAATCTATATCTCGACGGAAGGACTTGGTTTCGTCGTAGGCAGAAGATGGTTTTCTATCCTTGGGTCGAGCAGTGATGACAAGATCTGAGCGTTTGGATTCGGCTTGTTCACCCTTGCTCTCACGGATGAGAGCTTGTAAAGCAACCTCGTCCTGCGATAGTGGCTTCACCTCCGATCCTTCTGCTGTCGTCGATACTTGCTCGACTGTATGCTCTCCATTTTCGCCATTCCCTGAATGCCCTTGTGGTGCAGGCCCTGTAACCACATCACTACTAGGTTCCGCATAGCTCAAGCCAAATTTCACTTCTGGCGCCTCAACTTCTGTCGTTGAGTCTGTTGTCCCGTTCGCCTCCCTCTGTCTCTGAGCTTGTACTTCGGCCGGTAGCAAGCTTCTGCGTGCAGTTTGTGTCTGCGCCTGTAGTTTATCCCTCCACTTATTCCGTGTCTCGACTTTAATGATTAACGGTTGTTTCTCTGTCTTGACTCGTTTATTGGTAATTATTGCGCCGCCCGCCTGGTGGTCGAAGCCCGTTACTTCTTCAGGGACTGGCTCTGCTTCATCTTCGCTGCCTGAATCATGGTCGCCGAATTTCCGGGTCCTGCTAGAGAGGTTTCTTGTACCAAATGGTGCTGGCTTTTGGGATGACGGGGTGGGCGTTGACCGTCGAGAAGAGTCACTGGATAGCGCGATGGAAAATGGTTTCGGTTTTGAACCTGCCTCTGAGCTTCCGGATGGCATAACGAATCTTTTATGGTGTGTAACAACCAGGTAACCCTCCTAGAAACCCTTGTTGGTGAGTTGCAAGTCGAAGATATTAATTCCTGACTCGAAGCTCTTAACTTTGTGGCGATAAGATATCTACGGATGACTAAGCTTTTATGTAGACAGGCCTCCTATGCAAGAATAACCAAGGTCAAGAGAACTACAATGACAAAATGTTTAGAGATAGGCAAAAAGTTGAATCATGGGAATTAAAAATAGTTAAAATGTGAAAGGCTCGGTCCTACCCTCCAGGCGTGACAGGCCAGACACAAGCATGCAAACCTATACATGCACGCATCTATTCAATATAATACATACAGTAAGGGCTAGACAAAAGGCAGATTGCATTCGGCGAAGTTGTGGGTACGTGCTAGGGATTGATGTAGGGAGGGTAAGTGGGAAGGGAAGGGAGAAACGTATGTCGTTATCCATGTAATGGCATGAAGTGGATCGATTAATATAGAGCAAGTATCGAGCAAAGCGGCGTAACGAGTAGATCACCAACAGCGCAAATCGTGCAGACATAAAAATCCACTATCAACGTCGTGCTCAGCTTGAGGTTGTTTGAGCTTGCGGGGGTCGCGGACTCTTGCCCGGCTGCTGTTGTTGTGACTGCTGCTGTGGTTGCTGCTGTTGCTGTTGCTGTTGCGCTTGCTGCTGTGGACCTCCCTGGGCGCTTGCAGGCCTATGATTCTGCGGCGTTGCGCTTCGACTCTGGTGCATGAGCATGCTAGTGAGAGCGGGGCTAGATACACCTACACCTGGCCGACTCTGTTGACCAGCCTGCGATACGCCGAGACGGTTAATGTACGCTTGTGCCTGTGCCTGGTTTTGCACAGTCACCGGTGTACCATTCACGACGCCCTGTTGTGGGATTTGCTGTCCGGCGTTGCCGGCCTGGTAGTTGGGAGGGAGGGTACCGACGCCAATGTTACCTACTACGGCGTTCAGGGCAGCTTGGGATAAACGTTGCTGTTGCTGCTGGTACTGTTGGAGACGCTCTGCAGCCATTTTGGAGATTTGATCCTGCGACATATTTGGGTGGAGACGTTGGAGGGAAGTTTGGATATTGTTTACGGTGGGCATGGCGGGGCCGTTGGAGAGGGTGGTAGCTGGATGGTTCATGCGTGGAGAAGCAGTAGGGATAATACCGGGGGCAAGAGATGAGGCGGCAAAGGAAGGGCTTCCGGCATTGGTTGCAGCTTGGAAAGCGGCCATGAGAGCAGGGTTGTTAGCCGTAGTGGTTGGGGCGGCGTTCATGTTAGGAGAGGAATGAGGGCCTTGCTGTGGAACGAAGGTTTGCTGGCCACCGTGGAACTGGTGCTGTTGTTGGCGAGATTGGAGAAGGCGTTGTTGCTCTTGTAGACGGTTGGCTTCGCGGATGATGCGTGAGTTGTCTGGGGAGCCCTGGACAGGGAGACCTGGCCGCCCACTGATAGGTTGCTGTAGGCCTTGCTGTGGCATCATCTTCATTTGCATTCCACCGGGAACGGGGATTGGACCAGTGGCCGGGAGTGCATTTGGTATAGATGCCATACCGGGGTGTGGACGAGGTTGAGCAACGGGTGCACCGTTAGGCATGCCATTCGGTAGTCCATTTGCAATAGGGACCTGGACACCAGCGGCTGAATTGGGGACCGCTGCGGCAGGACGGCCTGGCATACCATTGAACTGAGCCGATGGGTTTAGCTGTGCCGCACGCTGAGCCAGGGCAGCCTAGATGCACGAGTCAGCGATGGGATGAGACGGAGTACGTTTCGTTAAATCCTTACCCGTTGATGAGCAATCACTTGCTGGCGGTATTGCTCCTGTTTCTCCAAGAACTTGAGTTCCCTCTCATGTTTCAGTTGGCTGAATTCCTGCGGCGTAGAGATTGGTGGACGCGGCTGAGTTGCTTCATTGACCTTCCGCAGCGATGCGAGTTGTGTGGCTAAAAAAGATGTCAGTTTGGTTGCACAGAAAATATACAGACAAGGAAATGAGAGAAAGAAAAAAACTTGAATGCGTGCATACCATGCTGCTGCTTTTGAAGGATCGCCTCCCGTTTCTGAGATAGTTTCCGCATCCCAGCCAGGAGCGCCAGGTGTCTTGATGTCCGCTTCCTCTCGACCCTCAACGGTTGCGCGGTTCTCCTCCTGATCATCGCTTGTGAGTTTGGATTCAGCTGACCACCGTTCTGTTGCTGCTGTTGTTGCTGCTGCACGGCCTGCTGCTGTGCATTAAGTATGGATCTCTGGGCAGCTTCTAGTCGTGCACTGTATGTTCGGAAATACGGAGTCTTTGCCATGTCCGCAGGTAGACCTTCCAAGCCAATCCACCGCTCAAAGCATTCCCAGGGTGTTCTCCTGTCGGAGCCAGACGTAAAGCTAGATCGTGGAGCAAGGCAGCTGGCGATAAGTGACCAGTTGTAAGAGTATTCTTGAACGAGTTTGCGAAGCTCGTCGTCCTCTGCATATGTCCAGTGGGACGATTGTCGAGATTCGTAAAACCCAAGCGGTGGCATGACGTACTCGGTTGGAGGACGGAATGTATGGCTTGGATGAATTCGATCGCGAAGGCCCTTGTATTCGGACGAAAAGAGTGCGACGTCCATCTGTTCGGGTGGGAGAGGTCTGTATTCATCTTCATCATCGGCATCATTAGACATGTCTTGTTCGTAATCATATCGACTTCGTTTCCTGGGTGGACCGTCTTCCTTGAACTGTATCGTTCCCTGAGCGTATTTCGAGACTGCCAGTAACTGTGTCTTCCATATGTCGTCTGGCTCGATCTTGAAGGAAGGCTTATTGGTTTCTGGTATTATCTGCACGGGACAGTAGAATGGGAGTTCTCCGAGTATTTTCTCCGAGGCCATCGTTCGTTCCATGCGAAATGTGAATTCATCTGAACCTGATGAGAAAATGGCAGCGGGAACGTTTCCATCACCGAAATCCGGCTGGTCGTCGTTGAATCCATCGCTCACAGAGTCGTCGTCTGCAGAAGGGATCAAGTCAGGGGTAGGATGGTTATTAGGCAATACCTCATCGTTGTTCCCTTCCATGATCCTGTCAAGAAGAGGGTTAGGTTTGTCATTCTGATCTGAGGCTTCTGGCGGCCGTTTAACAGGGAGACGTAGAGAAACTCGATGCTCTTCCTCGCTGGCAACATACTCCGCGCACCATTCAGCGCAACGTTTCGCAGCCGTGAGTTTCCACTTTCGTTCTTCTCGGAAATCCATACGCATCCACTTTACATGATCCAGCATGATATCCCAGTGCGTCACCTGCCTCGATGGTTCCGGAGACCGTTGTAGCTGTCTGAGAGCCCATCGGTTCGAGTGCTGTAGTTGATATATTCGCTTCAAGGTGCGACAGTCCATTTGTTCGTGGTATTCAAGGAAATGATTAGAAGTGTTTAGGGTTTTATGTGCAGTGGAAAGAAGGGTATTGAGGCTCATGGTACGGGGAGGATAGTGAGCTTTTGCCTGGAAAAGAGTGTAAAGGTAATCCTGCTCCTCGTTGGGGGATCTCCGCGATACATCTTCTAGCTGGCGAGCTAGCCGCATGGCCTTTTCCTTCTCCTGGGTCGATGTCTTGGGAAAGATGACGGTAGACAGCTTGCTTCTCTCCTTGTCCGGTCGTTCGCCCAGCCGTAATTTGGACGGTGAAGCTGGAGAGGCGTGCGATGTCGCGGCCTGTCTGTCGAATAGAGACGACCGTCGAGAGTCCCTCGAGTGCTGTTCGGTGTCCGGAGTACTCGGTTTTGGACTCTCTCCCAGGATCTCCGAGACAGATTTGTGCCGGATTGCGCCTGACGCAACTCTCGTGGTCATCCTCTCCGGTCGTGGGTTCAGCTCGGGGGCCTGTCTCTGGGTTTCAACCGGTTTCGTGACGTGTCTGGCATCAGGCGCGTTCTGTAAGCCGGCAGGCGAAGAAGGCCGACTGTCCGTTGGTTCTCGTTTTAAATTTGGCTCCTTCACGTCGCCAGGCGGCGCCTCGGCCATCTGTTGGTCTCCATCCCTATCCTGGCCGTTTGCAGACGACTGGTTGGGCGTTGCGGAGTTTCGCATGGACATGGCTGCCTCGAGCTGAAGCTGTTCATCCGGAGTTGAAGGCACGGCGGTCGACAAGGGCTGGGACTGGCCGTTGGACTGCGGTTCTTCTGTAGAAACCTTGCTCATCGATATGGAATCGGCGATGGAGGCGACTGATTCGGTCGAGCTAGAGGCTGGCGATCGTTCGGTGGCAGAGGTATGGCTGGAGGACGGTCCCGAGGAAACGGGTGAGGACGCGGTCTCTGTGATTTTTGGAGGGACGACGATGGGCACGACGCCTAGACGGTCATTAAACGAGGGTGTTCGGTTGATCTGAGGCGGAGTTTGGGAGCTGGTGGTGGCATGTCGGGGAGAGGACGGGTTTTTTGTTGGAGAAGCGGTCGCATGTACAGGGCCAACGCCGTTGAGCTGTTGAGCAGAGGCAGCGGGCGGTTCTGTCGCCGGCGACTCTACCGTCTGGACACCTGCTGAAGACACGGCGAGCTGTGGTTGAGCTGACGATGCACTCTGGCCGTGTAGAATTTGCTGGCCCTGATGACCGTTTAGTTCTGGAGCCGAGGCCTGGGGCTGTTCGAGGTCACCGTCTGCGCGCGACTGAGACGGCAGCCCGTACTTCCTCCCATGTTCCGCGAGAATAGCTTCGAGGTGCGGTCGTTGTGGCAGGGTGCTTTCATCGTAACATCGGCCTCTATGAACAGTTAGCAACGCAACCACAACCGGTCACGCCCAAATCCATGGAGCCAGAATTAGACACCACGGTAGGGATACTATCAGCAAGACGACGTACTTTGTCAGGTCGTTGGCGTCGAGGAACGCGGCCTCGCGCTGGCGGGCTTCGGGGTCGCTCTGGGGGCTGCCCTCGCTGGGATGGGGGAAAGCGGCCGTCGCATAGTACAGCTCGCTCAACTTGCGCTTCCGCGACGACAAACAACGCCTGCAACGAGAGGTCAGCGAGCGATCTAGGGTAAACGGGGACGGGGAGAACGATGGGAGGGTCGGGGGAGGGCGTAGCCTACGCGATCTCGTCATGCCTGGATCTGAGCAGCCCGTCACGGAGCATCGAGGCTGTCTCGCGGCGGCATCCGATTCACACGCAGAAAGCGAGGGCCCAGCGGCTCTCGGGGGTCATACGAGCGCGACGAGTCGCTCTGATGAGATGGAATCGATGGCGGCGACGCAGGTTTTGATGGCGGCAAGATGGGCGAGATGGGGAGTTTGGGAGTTTTTGTCGAGATCTTGAAGTTCTTAAGTGACCGCGGCGATACTTTTTTCCACCATAATCGTTATAAAATATAAAAAAAGAACGAGAATATAGCAAGAGAACACACGATATCAACGAAAAGATAACGAGAGAAAGAAAGATGGGAAAAAGGAAGAGAGAGACGGAGGAGGGACCGCGCAAGGCGATGAAGGGCGAGGGAAAGAAAGAGAGAGCTACAATACAGATAGTGACGGGCTCCTACGAGCGAGTCCTCCACGGCATCAACGCAACAATATACGAAGATGAAGCAGAAGAGACGAGGTTTACGGATACATTTCTCTTCCAGGCGCATACGTCGGCCGTCCGCTGTCTCGCGCTGTCGCCGATGCCCAGCGCAGACAACGAGCAGCAGCAGAACGTCCTGCTGGCGACTGGCGGAACAGACGACCGCATCAACCTGTACAGCCTCTCCGTCTCGCCGATGGCTGCAGACGCGGATCTGGTGCCCGTCCCCTCGCTGGCCGGCAACAAGATCCTCGAGAACCCCAGGAACCGCGAGCTGGGCGCGCTGATGCACCATTCGGCCAGCATCACGGCCATGCACTTCCCAACCCGCTCGAAGCTGCTCTCGGCCGCAGAGGACAATACCATTGCCGTCACCAGGACGAGGGACTGGACGGTCGTCTCGTCGATCAAGGCGCCGCATCCCAAGACGCAGGGGAGGCCGAGTGGTGATACGGCGCCGGTGGGTGGTGCGCCTGCGGGCGTCAACGACTTTGCCGTCCACCCCAGCATGAAGCTGATGCTTACGGTGGGCAAGGGGGAGAAGTGCATGCGGCTCTGGAATCTGGTTACGGGGCGCAAGGCCGGCGTGCTGAATTTTGGGCGCGAGGTGCTTACGGCGGCAAAGGAAGGGAAATGGGGGAGCGGCGAGGGAAGGAAGATCAGGTGGGATTCGGCCGGGGAGGAGTTTGCCGTAGCATTCGAGCGTGGCATCGTCGTCTTTGGAGTGGTATGTTTCTCTTTCTACATATAAAGCTATATACTGACTTGGGTAGGACTCGGTTGCGAGATGCAGAGTGGTGACCTCGCCATTCACAAAGATACACCACATTGCGTATCTAGACCTCGACTCGTCGGATGAGAAGCTACTCGTTGCCTCCACAGAAGACGGACGGCTGGTGTTTTACTCGACGGCGGTTGACTGCCTGGAGGAGCCCGCAGAGGGGAGCGAGACCAGCATCCCAACAGCGCCGTTCCTCTTCCAGCTGGGCGGCAAGGACCACGGCCAGTCCAGCCGGATAAAGGAGTTTGAGATTCTCCCTCTGCAGGAAGATTCGAAGACGAAGCAGTACCTGGTCGTCACCTCTGGCAGCGACGGGGCCCTGAGAATATGGACCATCAGTCCAGACGAGTTCAAACCTTTTAAACCTGCAAAGGCTAAAGCTTCAAAGGCCGGCAAGAAGTCTGTTCCCGTCCAGCCTATGCAGATAGGCAAAGTCCTGGGGACATACGAGACTGGGAATAGGGTTACCTGCATGAAGGCGTTTATCATGCGTGAATCTACAGTCCCGGACGATGATGATGAAGATGAAGACGAGGAAGAGGAAGAGGAAGACGAGGAAGAGGAAGACAGTGAAGACGACTAGATGACACCGTTGACTATCTATCAGTCAGGGGCAACCCAGACCCCTTCTATACATACATAGCAGCAATACAGATACATCTACGTCTACCATATCTACATCTACCATATACACCATATACATCCACCATCCATCCATATCCATCTACATCTACACCATATCTACATCTACATCTACACCATATACATCTATCTATCTATATATAATATCTATATAATATCTATAATATCCAGTGTGTATCAGTATCGATCTTATCAGTCACGTGCCCGATAACTGATATTTTTTTCAAACTGTGACTCCAAAACATCGAAGAAACAAAGATAGAAGAAAGACGAGAAGACGAAGAGAAGAAGAGACAGTGATTCTTCCTCGACCAACGCAGCTGTCCGTCGCCCAGTCGCCGCCGTCTCGCAGCAAAGTAGGCGTCGCCCTCAGCAAAACTGCAGTTACCCCACTGCCTCGCTCCCATACTAAAACCTTCCACTTTTCTCAGCCATATTCTCGTCCCTCTGTGTGCGACAACCGATTCCTCCATCCCGACGTCGCGACAGCTCAGACAGCGCCCGGTTGCAATCATGGCGACGAACAGTGACTTTTCCGACGACGAGTCGCAGCCCGGCTCGCCCGTCCTGGGCGACTCCAACGGCGTCGAAAATGCCTTTGAAGACCAGGAACCGCTCGACCACGAAGACGATTCACAGACGCCGCTCAAGTCGGCTCTAAAACAGCCCAGCCAGGAGAAGAAGCCAGAGCTCCCCGAGCAGCCTGACCCGTCGACCCTCGATCTGAACGTGCTCACGCCGCTGACGCCCGAGATCATTGCTCGACAGGCGACTATCAACATCGGCACGATCGGTCACGTCGCTCACGGAAAGTCGACGGTGGTGAAGGCCATTTCGGGCGTGCAGACTGTCAGGTTCAAGAACGAGCTGGAGAGAAATATTACCATCAAGCTGGGATATGCGAACGCAAAGGTTTATAGGTGTGATAACCAGGCCTGTCCTAGGCCTACCTGCTACCGAAGCTTCAAGAGTGACAAGGAGGTCGACCCTCCATGCGAGAGAGAGGGCTGTACCGGCAGATATAGACTGCTTCGACATGTCTCGTAAGTGCTCGTTGAATGTGAAATGTAGATTTCATGCTAACATGGTCAGGTTCGTCGACTGCCCTGGGCACGATATTCTCATGAGCACTATGCTTTCAGGTGCCGCCGTCATGGACGCAGCCCTTCTCCTCATTGCTGGTAACGAAACTTGCCCGCAGCCCCAAACCTCCGAGCATCTGGCTGCCATCGAGATCATGAAGCTCAACCACATCATCATCCTACAAAACAAAGTCGACCTGATGCGCGAAGACGGCGCTCTGCAGCATTACCAGTCGATATTGAAGTTCATCCGAGGAACAGTCGCTGATGGATCTCCTGTTATTCCCATCTCTGCTCAGCTAAAGTATAACATCGACGCGGTCAACGAATATCTCGTCTCGCACATTCCAGTTCCAGTGCGAGACTTCCTCGCCCCCCCTCACATGATCATCATTCGATCCTTCGACGTGAACAAGCCTGGTTCTGAAATCGAGGATCTCAAGGGTGGTGTTGCTGGTGGCAGTATCCTGACAGGTGTGCTGAAACTCGGTGATGAGATTGAGATTCGACCCGGTATCGTCACCAAGGATGAACAAGGAAAGATCCAGTGCCGTCCTATTTTCAGCCGCGTCGTAACGCTCCTTGCTGAACAGAATGATCTGAAATTTGCTGTTCCCGGCGGTCTTATTGGTGTCGGTACCAAGATCGACCCTACCCTCTGCCGTGCTGATCGTCTACTTGGTTTCGTCCTCGGCCACCGCGGTCGTCTCCCTGCTATCTACAGTGAGATCGAAGTCAACTACTTCCTTCTCCGTCGTCTGTTGGGTGTCAAGACCGCCGATGGCAAGCAGGCCAAGGTTGCTAAGCTCGCGAAGAATGAAGTGCTCATGGTGAACATTGGTTCGACCGCTACCGGTGCAAAGGTCATGGGTGTCAAGGCAGATGCTGCCAAGTTGAGCTTGACCAGTCCTGCCTGTACTGAGGTCGGAGAGAAGATTGCCCTCAGTCGAAGAATCGATAAGCATTGGCGTTTGATCGGCTGGGCCAACATCGTTGCGTAAGTAGTCAATCCCTTGGCGCTGCAGAATAATATATAAAATTAATGCTAACCTTCAAATAGTGGTAACACGCTGGAGCCGATCTCTAACTGAATTTGATATGACATGTTGGTGGCACTTACACTCCTGGGAGATGTACGATTGCCAGAAAGGGGCTACGAAAGAGAGTCGAGGGAATCAGAGGACTGCAATGTGCAGGGACGGGCCGTATCCATATCAGTCAAGAGAGAAAAAGGTTACTGCTATACCCGCAAAACAGCTAACTAGGCATACCATATATGCCTCAGATATAACGAACGACCTGTCTCCTCTCTACCTTAATCCTGCCGCATCTCAATATAAATATTCGGCAAATACGTTTTTCAAATGGCAAAAAAGCAAGGTCTTATTTCCATACTTTTAAGCATATTTCCGCTTGTTCTAATGGTTTTATCCTTCCTTTACTGTTCTACTTTCCTGCCCCCCCGCATATTCCATTTATGTCGAGCAGTTGCATACGGCTCATGTGTTCCGAGTCTCTTTTAGTCTTCTTTCTACCTCTACTTTCTCTTTTGTCGAAGTCCCCGTTCTCATCCTACCTTGCTCTTTTCTGCTCCCCCCGTTGTTCTGATGCATAGATAAAACTGTGTCTTTTTAGGTTGGGGCTGAAAAGGTACAAAATGGAGAAAATGTGCAATGACAGCTATGAAATAAAATTATTCCAAAAGCATTCTGATACTACTTAGATCATATGTATAATGAGTCTGAGTTCATGGAATGTGAACATAAATAATTCAAGGATGCACCTGTTAAAGCAAGGTACTGGGTAAGGCTTAGACGGATACAAGTGGAAGCAGAGAAGATAATGATAACAGATACATGGAGGATTCCAACATAAAAAGTTCTATAACACACTATTGTACATAGTTTATTCTTTCCCCATGACCTATAAAGCAACAGCCTAGGCCAAAACCTATAAGCTACAGCCAAAGGAAAATCAACCCCAGACCCAAACTTTGGGCTGTCACAAATAATTCATTCCCAATCCCCGCCGCCTCTCCATAGCCTGTTGTAAAGGGTATGGAAAGAATTTATCCTTAAGAGCATCATTCCGTTCCTACCAGCTCATATACTTCCGGCTCTTAGATCGTCTCCGTGCCAAAACTCCACGGCCACCGCGACTCCGTACGCGTGCTAAAAAGCCATGGCGACGCTTTTGAACCCGTCGGCTGGGATTATAGGTGTCTCGCTTAACGCCCAGCGAGGCAGTGGATGAGAAGCCGCGGGATGTAGACAGGCCGGTCGTTATAAGCGAGCTCGATATCGGGTTTGAGTAGGGCGATTGTTGGCGTAGAAGAGAGGTTGAGGACGATGGCTGTGGCAGAATTGATGTTGCGCGAGTTGCTGAGAGGGTAGGCCGCGAGGCACTGAGCACAGAGAAAGATCTGGCCGTATTTTGTAAAGTCGAGCTGTTTTCTAGCTGTCAGAGATATTCCATAAAGGCAATGTCTGCGGACAAACTGTGGGCTTACTCACCTTAAGATGCTGCTCGGAGCTCTTTCATAGAGACATCTAGTGATTTCAAAGGGCTTGACCCTCGCAACTCGTAAGCTGAACATGATTGCTGGTTATTGTTGATTCAATTCGCCGTCTCATCGTCGATTGAAACCAAAAAGTTCGCAGGAAGTTCAAAAAGGTGCACGGGCCACTTTTTTGATCGAGCCAAAGAGAAAAAAAAAATATCTTGAACATTCAATCTAAAGACCAATCGCAGACTCAATTTCCATTGAACGAGGATTTGACGATTTGCTACAAGCCATAGCTCTTGCAATTGGATATACTGTCAAAATTCTGTCTACACAGTTTGTCGACGGCTAAATAATACACAGACGTGCCTCGAAAATGGCATCCAAAGCAGGCCCAACTCCGCTACCTGCGACCACAATCCTCAAGAGCGAGCGCATCTCGCAGTCAGAGGCCCATGAATTCCTCACAGCCTATCTCGATCGCGCTGCTTCAGATCCAGGCTTCCAGCCAGATTCAACCCTTTCACCACAAGGTCCCATCGCTGCAGGCGTGGGCTCGTCTCCAAATCTAGTTATACACAACCTCAAGCGAGTACAAGCTGGGTTGGCCGGAGAAGTGCTCGGGAAGGATCTCATTTTTGCCAAACTTGAAAACGAGGGCGGTTCCTCTGGCGGCGTGTTCGAGCTACAGTCACACAATGCAACGGACGGGCAGAATTGGGGAGGAAAGAAACGAGATGCCGCCGCAGTTACCGGATGGCAGGATCTAGAGAGCTACGAGAGGGAGCAAACCGATATCGTGGAGGTTGGGGATGGTGATGATGAAGTTGTTGCAGTCGAGGACGACCTGGAGACAGCTCAGGGCGATAAAATCGATAAAGACGAGCGAAAGAGAAAGAAGAAGGAGAGACGCAAGCAAGAGAAGAAAGCCCTCATGGCGGCCAAGGAAAAGGAAGACGAAACGGAGATTTGAATTGAAAATTTTAACTATTCTTTCCGTCTGTCTATCGATAACCGTTGATTATCCTACAACAAGTCATTGCCAATCCGGTAAGTTTATTCTGCCCTAAAGAAAAACTTTGAAAAACAAAAAAAGAGGGCCTAGAAATTGTGATGTCGTTTCTAACATCTTTTATAGCTCTCTGTCGGCCGCCTTGACGGCTTTATCACTGTCGATGGGCTCCTTTTCTCCAGTAATCTTGCCTCCCTTCCAGCCGAGAGCTGCAAGTCGCTCAGACAAGATTGGGTGCGAGTAGTGGTAGCTCGCGTACATCCAGTCTGCATCCATCGTGGAAAGGTTTTGGATCTGGAGTTTCAGCAATGATCTGGCCAACTCCTTGGAATAGCCCAGGCTCACGGCAAAGGCATCTAGAGAGTCGTTAGTATCAAAGATGTTAAAGTTCCTAGAGAAGAAACGATAATGGGAACAAACCGGCTTCAAACTCGAACTTCCTGCTAAGGATGTTCATCAACAGCTTAATAATGGCATCTGTTGGTGCGAGTGCATCTGAAAATAGGAGGAACCCAATCATGATTGGCATTTCGTTGTGGAAGCCAAAATCCTGATACAGTGACTTGTTGGTAACGAAGGCAGAGAATAAAGCGAAGATGTAGAACATATGGAACTATAAAAATGTTAATGATTAGCCCAGTAACGTATATTGCAATAATGAACAAACATACCTGTCCAATTCCAAATAACTTTGTAGTATGGCTCAAGCTCCAGTGGCCCAATTCGTGACTAAGGACGGCAATGACCTCTTCAGGCTCACTCTTTTCAATCAGGGTATCGTAGATGACAATGTGCTTCTTCCATGGCAGTCCAAAGAAATAGGCATTGCTGTGTGCGCTTCTCTTGCTTCCGTCGATGACATTTAATTCCGAGAGGGGGAATTTCAACCTTTTAGCCAGATTCTCGACTCCAGTCTTCAAGACACCGGGTTCCAGTGGGGACAGCTTGTTGAATAGAGGAAGGATAGCAACGGGGTAGATGGTGATGGCGAATAGCTGGACAAAGATTCCAAACATCCAAAGGTAGTAGAAGAAGCTGGTTCCGGTAGTCTGTACGATCTTCAAGATGGCGCTGATGATTGGAGTTCCAAGGACGACGGTCAGCATCTGACCCTTGAGCATATCCATAACCCATAATTTGAGAGTTTGCTTGTTGAAGCCGAACTTCTCTTCCAGGACGAAGGTGCTGTAATATGAGGTGGGGAGCGAGAGGACCGTTGTAATAATGTTGAAGACGAAGACGAATATCAGGGTATGAGTGATCTCTCCCCTAAAGCCTTCAGGGGCGTATATAGACAGCAAAAGACCGCTTACTCCCCATAGTTTCGGGAGGGCATCGAAGTAGATAAATCCAAGGTTCTGAATCTGGCTGTACAGCCCGCTAACGAAACCGAACTGAGCCTTTGCGCGTCCATATGCCTATGATACCCAGCGGTACAGGTCAGTTAGAGCCTCGAAGTAAATGAAATACGACATAAAAGTAGAGACGGCACTGCCATGGCTCCCAGGACTTCCGCGCGCATACCTGACTTTTATCGAACACTTCCTGTGAAACTTCACCTTCCAAGACTTTTGGAACCTTTGTGGCCTGCAGGAACTTGTACTGCCTCAGAGAGAGGAACCCTTCGAGGAGGTATTGTCCCAGAGAAAAGCCCACGAGGACCTTCTTCCAGGGGAAAAAGGGCTGGTCGAGAATCCGCGCGAGCTCCTATATACAACATAGAGATCAGCCATCTAGCTTAAGAACGAGGGTTATTACTGCGGGCAGCCGGTCAATCGCCAGCCCGGAGGACCATTTACCTGGAGAATAAACATGGCTACAGAGCTGTCGGTGCCGTTTACAAGGAAGCGATGCTCTGGTGTCTTCGAGGTTGCGTGAGCTCGCGATAAGGACCAGATTTATTTATTTAGCGCGAACATAGACGCCAAGACTTGCACTGCAAACTGTCCTTTGCTCTCAGCCGCACCAGAGAGATATGTTCAGAGGGCTGCCTTTTGATGAAAACATTACTATCGTAATATAAGACTACCGGGCAAGTAGCATGGCCTTACCGCATCACCGGATATTTACTAGTTGAATATAGAAAAAAATTGCATAAACTACTATCTATAAATAGACATGCTAGTTCAGTATAGACTTGAGATTGTCACAGATAACATAAAACAAAAAGGGAAATAAGCATGGATAATCAGTAGAATGCCTCACGAAGAAACAATTAACTCTCTTGCCTTAGCAATAACAGTATAGGCCGTTGAAGTCTGGTCCAACCTCTCGTCATCCCAGACAATCCCGACGCTGCTCGGATCCGTCAACAGCCCATCGAGTTCAACAGTACTATGTTGGCCGGCTCTCCTCCTGCCATGTTTACCCTTCAAAGGAGGCTTGGATCGCGTTAACGAGCCTGCATTCTCATAAATGCCATCTGACTTGCCATCAAGTCCCGCCCAATCTGTACTAAACCCATCCGGCACCCAGCTTGCCTTTTCGACGCGGAAGGTAGCGCAGTACCTCGGGATTTCAATCTCATACAGGATCCTGGCCTTCTCTGATGGCGGGGAGATAGACAAGGCAAAGACATTCTCCATCTTCAGTGAGAGGAGCTGGTGGGTGAAATCTTGTATGAAGTTACTGTATGCTGGCGAGGTGATGTTGGGCCCAACCTCGGTGGTAAATTCGTAGGCGCTCATTGTGGCAGTGTCTCGGCGGTAGAAAAAGAACTTCCCCCGGAGTTCACCCAAGGTATCGAGGTTATCAAGGCACCGGGGACTGCAGATCTCAAGAAAGGGGACACCTAGTGATTCGGGGTTGGAATCCTGCTCGTAGACCATGGCATGATTCGAAGGAAGGTCATAGTGTCGGTGCAAAAGATGGAGAGAAAAGATGTCTTCCATCCCATGGTCACGGATGACTTTGAGGAGAGCATCACGCACGGAAGATTGCTCCCTCTCTTGGTTGTCGATTTCCCGCAAGTCGATGTGGGGGATGGTGTTGTAGATTTCTGCTGGGAGAAAAGATTCATCAACTTTATAGGCCATGATGGCGGCCTATGGCGAGCAGTATAAATCTCTAGTAAAGAGTTTAGCAAGCAATAGAGTCCCTTTTCTCTGTCTCTTGAGTGGACAAGATGATCTTGCATCAAAGCAGGTAGGATTCTGATGGATATAATAGATTTCAGAATTCACATCTTGACCAAAATACGCCCGTGACTGCGGGGTTTGCATCCTTGTCGAGGCATCCTTCGATCCAATAAGAACAGAGTACGGAGTACACAGGGATATATTGAGCCATGTCATTACTTTCGTAGAGCTGTTCCGGTGAGCCCAGAATGAAGTCGCTTGGCTTCATATAACTTCTGGGGCGGAAACCCCATGTCTTGGACGACACCTACACAGCAAGAATAGTAGGCGTCGGCTTTTAATGATGTAGGGTAGTTAAATAGATCAGATTGAAATTAGCATAAATATAAACAAACACTTAGCTGAAGGGGGGATTAGTTCTAACCTGGCACAAAACAACTTCACGGCCCAACTCGCTCCGCCACTTCCCCTTCCCCTAAATACCATTAGAACGTATATATTCAAACCAGGTTTAGGCATTTGGAACTTGGTCTCAGAATCTCTTCCGTCAACCGAACTAAATATGCAGGCTGATGCAGGGAGCCTAAGCCTCGCGTCGGGCCGTCTCCCCACTGAAAAAAGTTGCAATCCACGTAGCGATCTCTCTCGCTGTCCGCAATTATTTGGGATAATGGCCTAGGAGCAAGATATCTGGAGACCATGTCTATCACAGCCAACGGCCTCAGCGTCTTGTACAGCCCCGCGGAGGCAGATACACTTGCGGAGTAAGTAGATCGTCCCATCGGCTCGCTATAAAACAAGTCTGAACAGTTTTGTCGATGAAAGCATCGTCTTCGTCCACGGACTTCAAGGGCATCCGAGAAACACATGGACGGCACGCCCTTCGCATAATGAATTAACATCCAAGAAAAATTCACGGAGACCGGGATTTCTGAGATGGCTGATAGCGAAAGACTCACGCCGCCAGTCAACGAACGACGGTCGATCAGACGATAGCGTCAGTTCCCAAGGCGACGCCGTCTTTTGGCCCCTTGACCTGCTGCCGGAAGATTGTCCAGATTGTCGGGTCCTGACGTTTGGATATGACTCTCTGGTAACGAAGTTCTTTGCCGGACCGGCAAACCAGAACAGTATCCATGGACATTCTAAGAACCTTTTATACGCACTTGGACGAAGTAGACGTGGTTGTGTTAGTACAAATACCTTGAAGAAAAATAGGCCAAAGGTTTAACTTTCGGAATTATTCACAGCAAGGCCGATATATAATATTTGTTGCCCACTCTTTGGGGGGTACGTATATATTTATATTAGCTAACTTGAAACCTCATGCCAACCATATACCCGAGCTGACTTCGACCCCTTGAGTATATAGGAATACTCGTGAAAGAGGTAATGTCCTTTCTATATCCTCTCCCGAATACTGTCAGCGACATAGCTTAACTGTTCCTTATAGGTGCTTCGTAGGGCGGCAATCGACGAAGATGCGGATCTGCTGGACATCCGAAATGCCACAAAAGCGTTCATCTTTCTGGGGACGCCTCATCGCGGCAGCAGCATGGCGCCCTGGGGTGAAACTGTTAGAAAAATAGTTGCCATCAGTGGGTTTAATACAAATGACAAAAATATACGTGCTTTACATATCGATAGCACCGAACTTGAAGTTTCTAGGGAGGACTTCATCCGACAGTGGCGTCGGGAAAATTTTATTGTTCGAACGTTCCAGGAGAGCCTTGGTACTAGATGGATTGATGGAACGAGGACGAAGGTTGTTATATCACCCAGGTAGCGAAATTTGACTAACCGAGACTTATAGGTAGTCATGGACGTATCGTCGTCGTTAGATGACCCAAGAGAGCATGCCGAACATATAAACGCAAACCATCGTGAGATGTGTCGCTTCACTGGGAAAGACGATCCTGGATATCGACAGGTAGGAGGTGAACTCTGCAAGATTGTGGACACTCTTCGTCATGAACGCCAGGAAGAAGTCGAAGGTACCTATTGGTTGATGTTCCCTTGGAATAAAGCAATTATAATAACTAACCTGTTTGCAGAGAGGCTATCGTCTGAAGAACTCGGTATGAAAGTATCTAACAGCTATGTAACGATATCCCATTTGCTGATATGTGGGCAGAATGTTTACGTTCTTTGTGTGTCCCTGAAGTCGACATGTGGGAACACAAAACTAATCCGGACGTGCAAACAAGTTGCACCTGGCTCTTTAACCTTCAAGAATATCGCTCTTGGAAGGATTTATCTGACCTTCAGACAAAGACTACTCTTCTTCGAGTGAAAGGGAAACTAGGAACTGGAAAATCGACATCAATAAAGGTTGCCCTTTCAAAACTGTGGAGTGAAGATGGAAATATCCCAGACATCAAGTTGGCCTTTTTCTTTAATAATCGCGGAACCCCTCTTGAGAAATCACAACTAGGACTTTTCAGGTCGTTGTTGTTTCAACTCTTTCGGCAATCAAAGCAGATACTCAAGCGGTTTATGCCCAACTTTCGTCAGAAGGCGGACTTTTACAATCACGAGTGGACCTGGAACCAGGAGGAGCTGAAAGATTTTTTCATGTCCGTTATGACAGAATTGTCACCGTCATCTGCATATATATTTATCGATGCCCTCCACGAGTGCGAAGAATCTCGAGATATCATTACATTTTTTGAATCCCTCCGCGCCACCGCCCTTCAAAAAAGAGTTTCTCTTAGGATATGTTATTCTAGCCGGCACTATCCTCCCATCCAAGTGGGGAACTACGTTGAACTCCATATTGATGCACATAACAGCGATGATATCGAAAATTATATTGAAAGGAAATTGGAGCCAATGTTCCGACGACGACATATTGACAAACTCAAGTCCTATATCATCGAGAAAGCTCAGGGGGTATTTCTGTGGGTTGTTCTGATTATTAATAAAATAATCAAGGCCAACGACAACGGCGAGTCAATGAAGAAAATGCAGCAAATGGTAGAGGTTGTTCCTGATAAGCTAGAAGCACTCTATAAAGAAACGCTGGAAAGTGTCAAAGTAGACCACCCCGTCGAAACGCTGCTGGTACTACAGTGGACGCTTTGTGCTTCTCGACCGATCACCCTGCTTGAGCTACGTTATGCGCTCGCATTCCAGAATTGCGGGTATAAATCCCAGGCTGAAGCAGAAAATTGTTTGTCCTTTATTGAAAGCGACCAGCAAATGGATTTACTTCATAGATCCCGCACTGGCAATTTAACGGAAACAAGAACACAAAAGGCAGTCAAAACAGCGTATGCTCGACAAATTTTCGACCTAGATAATCAGGAGACTGTTCACTTTGTACATGACTCGGTTAGGAGTTTCCTCTTAAAGCACGGAGGCCTCCAATTGTTTGACTCTAGTGCAACAGAAGAGGCTCTTTGCCATGGCCACCACCAACTTGCTGAGGCGTGCATTAACTACCTAAACGCTACCGAGCTGCGCCGTTTTGCTGAATCACATTCTGAAGCAGACACCCTTGGCTTAACCAAATCGGTTGAGCTTTTCAAGAAAATTTGCTGGCTTTTCCCCTTTCTCCATTACTCGATTCACTCTGTTTTTGAGCATATCGTGGCAGCCAGGACCTATCAATCGGACGAAAAGGGTCGTCCGTCGTATTTATACCAGCGCATGAAAGAGGTTTTCCCAGTTTGGAGATATTTTTCTGATCTTGATAACAAAAGTTGTTTCCATGAGCTTCATGACCCAAGCGCGACTCTAACCCATTTAGCGGTGGAATATAATCTAATAGATTGGGTAAAGGATTATATTTCAAATGGTGGCGATGTCAACTTAGAAGGTGGCCGATTCGGTACATTTCTACAGGCGGCTGCGGGTATGGGACATGAGGAGATGGTGGACCTTCTTCTAGACCATGGTGCAGATATTCATATATGCTCGGGGAGGTTGGGATCAGCCCTCAGCGCTGCAACCTCAGAAGGAAATTTATCCATTGTGAAAACCCTCATCCAGCGAGGTTCCAATGTAAATGAGGAATGTGGGGAGTATGGGTGCGCCCTACAAGCCGCTGTTTGTTCGCCAAATGGAAGCAGAGAGCTCACCCGCACTCTTCTTGACGCGGGCGCAGACATCCATATGCAAAACGGGACCTTTGGCACAGTTCTCCAGGCGGCTGCTCGGAAAGGCGATGAAGAAACTGTTCAAATCCTTCTTGCATGCGGTGCAGACATTAACATCCGACATGGGAAGTATGGGACTGCTCTAGGAGCAGCCGCTGCTAAGGGCTACGAGAAAATTGTGCAAGTTTTCCTTGAGCTAGGAGCCGACCCTGCCGCTGATGCTGGCGACTATGGAAATTCCATATGGGCTGCGGCTTATAATGGACGAAAAAATGTTCTACGACAAATTCTCAGACACCATTGGCCATCATGGGGACAGGAAATGGTAGAGAGCAAGGCGCAGGATATATTGAGCGAGGCTAGTCGCACCAAAGCGTTTCACGAGGCAGTAGAGAACGGAGATCTCGACTTAGCCAAAAAATTTATAGAGGATGGTATTGACCCAAATTCGATGGGAGGGGCATATAGCTCTGCATTACATACTGCAGTTATATACGGACATGTCGACATTGTGGACCTCCTTCTTGCCCAAGAGCGGATCAAGGTCGACGTTAGCGATTTCGAAGGTCGCACACCACTTTGGCGTGCAGCAAGTGATGGGCACCTAGAAATTGCGAAGAAACTCCTTGCCACTGGCCAAGTCGACGGTCAGCACAAGTCTAACTCAAAGCGCAATCTTTTGTGGTATGCTGCATACGATGGCCGAATGGACATGATCCGCCTGATGCTAGAGGCTGGTGCAGATCCGTACGAGGCAGATATGTATGGCCAAACACCAATCATGGCAGCAGAGGAAGGTGGCCAGAAAGAAGCCGTTTTATTTCTTCAGGGGAATGTGAAGAAATAGTGGATATGGTATCAAAATACCATATTTTACTATCTCTCAATATACTGCTCTATGTGCGGAGTAAATATGAGTTATCGTTTAGCCATCTGTGGGTGATAGTGACATGATTATGCGACTGTTTTAATGAAATTGGGTTCGCAACACTAAGGGGGATTGCACTATAGCATTGGATTCAACTAGATTGGATATGGTAGCCTATGTGATACTATGCTGTAATATATATATTAATAGAGGGTGATGATGTTTTACAACGTCATATGCATTACCACGTAAATTCATATTTAAGGTAATATTTATTAAGTACATGGGCAAAAGTAAACACCTCGAGCAGAGCCATATGGAAGATTTTATCATAAGCTCTTACGGGTCCTTAGATTTTTTACTAGAGGATTGAAGAAAATGGCCCCTTTTTAGCCTTAGTAATCTTACTTTGTCCCCAGACTTATAAAAGTTTATTTAACACCCTGATCTATTAAAATATAAAGTCCCCTAAGGATTTATGGTAGGAGTAGTTCAAATAATAGTCATAGGCCGTACACAATATCTATATCATGTCTTCGCCTCTCTCGTCATCGTCATCATCGTCATCTTCTTCCTCCTCCTCCTCCTCTTCCTCGCTGCCTTCATCATCGTTGTCTTCTTTATCACTCTCATCCCCGTCAAGCTTCAGCCCATAGTCATCCTCAAAGTCACGAAAAGTCCGTGTTTCCGGTTTAAACCCAGCTAATTTGAACCCACGGGAGATGTTCTAGAGTAGGGGCTTCAGTCAGCAAATACTGGCAAATCATAAAATGAGTAATAAAAAAAAAACACCATAACTTACTTCTTCAAGTGCTGGAGCACACGTCACAAATAAATCTGCTTTGCCTGGAGTAAACAACGGCATGATAATATCACGAAGTACCTCCTTTACTTGTCCCATATTAACTGCTCTGATCTTCTTTAATATAGTCTTATTGTAGTCACTTGGCACACCATGAATCACTTCTTTAATAAAATTGTCATGAGCTGCTTCATAATGTGTGTGCTGTTCAGCAGCAAAGCGGCTAACAATGCTACTAACTGCACTTTCAAGCACCATTTCTGAGTCAGCCATGATAGATTCTGACAGAAGACCTTCAACGATTTGCTTTGCTGCTTCAAATGCTTTGTGTGCATTGGGGGATCGATAGAGCATAAAATGTATAAGTCCACTATCAATATCGTTCCTAAGGCAGCCATCATATGCTAAACCTGGACCTCGGATAGCGACCCATAGGGGCCCCTCGCTCGAATTCATATAAGCAATGGCAACCAACAAAGCAGGTAATTTTGGGTGGTCGTAGGCGTCTAAACCCTTTGCGCTAGTATCGGCATATGAGGAGTCGATGGTCTTCATTGGGACGACATATGCATGTCTCCCTGGATTTTTGCCAGCATCACTTAGCCTCTCGGCTACCTTGATAATGGGCTTGAGTTGCTTCGAGGTGTCTAGTCCATCGACGAAAGTAGCCCAAGAGGAAACGGGATTAGCCAGTTTCTCTAGATCGGCGATGACTAAAACTCGAAAATTTTCGGGTCGGAAAAGGCCATTTCTAATATCTTCCATATGGGAGATAATTTCCTCTGGTTTGTCAGTCAATAGTTTCTTGACACGCTTTAAATATCGTGCTTTCACAAAAGCAGTGTGAGCCCTAGATATCGAATTCTGCCCTCGTTGTACCATTAGGTGGATAGCATCTAACATGTCTTCTCCGCTTCTCTTTTCATCTGGGATACCTGAAAATAGCTTCGTGGCGATAGCCACCAACCTTTCAGCTTTGAATACCGAGTTCCACGCTAGCTCCTTAAGCCATAATATGGCCGCTTGATACTTGTCCACTTCCATCTGAAAGGTAATTGAGAGGGATTCAGGGCTGGTGTAGCTTGGATGAATGTAGTGGCCAACGGTGTCCTTTTCAAGTTCTACTATGACTTGTTCAAAGGCAATGGTCCTTCCATTTCTTTCGATAGGAAGACTGAAAAAAGCTTCGATATATACCGGAAGCAAGGGTAGCACTTGAAGCGGGACATCCGCTGTCGATATAATCAAAGTGAACTGCACAAAATTGCTAGGAATGTGCTCAAAATGGATGAACAGCGGCAGCTCTGGTCCATTAGAATCTATTAGTTGCTGGATGTCATTGTCTGGGCGCCCCAACTTCAAAGCAGGGCCGGATTTGGCTGTTGTCGTTTGGATGAAATGGATCGAATCCGTGCCAGGGATAACGAAACTAGATAGCAGTTCTTTTGGAGCCTCCATGCCATTCTCCGTCTTAGCCTTTTCTAAGGCTTCTGCAAGATTCCTCAGGCCTTCCTCCCCCAGTTTCTTTTTTCGGTGCTCCATACGTTTCTGCTCGTCCTCGGTAAGGTTTGTGGCCAGTTTGGCCGATGGAACGCCTAAAATGGAAACATGGTGTGCATCGGAGATCCATTTCCTTATAAAATTTCGCCATTCGATATCAGTCCATTTCTCTAGTACTTTATATTCCTCTAATGTCCCAACAGTTTGAAGTGTTGAGCCATCCCTTTTCCCAAAGAGGAAGTCGGTTATCACTAATTTAGCAAAAGGGGTAGGCGAGTTCTCGATAGCAAATTTCCAGGTCCGCTGGTGACGGTGAATGCACTCCTGCATATATTTTAGGTCTATTTCTTGTTTCATTGCGTCCTGAAGGAGCTCGAAGAACCGGCGTTCAACTACTTCTAGCTGTTCCGTAGCTACACCAGAGAGAGTAAAACTTAGCTCAGTACAAGGTCCATCCTCTATACTGTAGTATATCGCTGATACGACCTGTTCTTTTTCGACAAGGATGTTGTCCAGAAGAGAGGCAGATGAACCCGAAAGATAGAGCAAGACGACGTTCAATGCTCCAGCTGTGGCCACTAGTTAGCCTCATTGACATTTCTATCATATTACATAGGCGAAGCTTACCTTGAACCCGGTCTCTATAATCAGGGCCTAAGAATCGGATTTCAACCTCGCCATATGACTCATCCTCCTCTGGGAACTCGACTCTCTCGATCGTAGATCTTTCAAGAGGTGGAACCTGTGGCGAGTCTACCCATGGCCGTTTAAAAGGGGTATCTAGGCTTGGGATAATGTCTAGAATAGTGTCTTCAAATTTATCAAGCACCGTAAGGAGATTCTCATGATCAATCTCTCCTGTGATAACAAGGCACAAATTCCTTGGTTGATACATTTCTCGGTGAAACTCTCTTATTCTCTCTGGAGAAAGGACTCGAAGTTGCTCCATCATACCACCAGTCTCGTATCGAAAGCCCACCCCTTCGGGATAGAGTAACCGGCGGGATCGGAAATCAATCAGGCTCGAAGCATCGTTCTGAAGCCCTTGCATTTCGGAATATACAACTCCTGCATCGTGACCGGTGCCATCCACATGATAAACCTCCGTATAACAACTCGCGTCAGTCAACGTCGGAGCAATGACATGTTCCAAGTACACAGGTAGTACCAGAGCAAAACTTTCCCATCCGGCGGTGTCTAGGGTGTAAGCAGTATGGTCTGTTGACGTCCAGGCATTTATCCCCGAATATGCTCTTTCTGAAAGCTTGCGAAGGAAAGTTGGGTATTGATAATTTCTGGAGCCCATAAAGCACAGATGCTCCAGCGTGTGGGGTGCTCCAGAGTCATCGTGAATTTCTGTAGCAAGTACAAAGTGCCCCTGAACCTCTGGTCCCTTCTGGTCAATAGTGACCACCCTCATCCCAGTCCTCTCAGACTCATATTGTGTAAAGACGGAGGTAGAGTACTCTGAAGTGAATCGCTGGATTCGCCGGAACGAATATTGAAGCTGCATATTGGCCAGATGCGAGCTAGAATATGCCTTGGGAAATAGCTACCCCTGATGTTAGCTAATGCGAAAACAAGGCTCAATGACTTGCAGAATAATAACAAGCTCAAGGAGTAGTATACTTTCCCGTCCCTCGCTGAGGGAACGGCCTTAAATCCTACGGGACACACCATGGTATCGATGAGACTCTCGAAGACAACTCGACGGAAAACCCACATATTGGACGAAGGACAAAGGATTCAACAGATATGATGGCAAGGATCGGTGTCAAAATGAAGCTTTAAAAACAAACTGATCAATTTCTTGGACTGCTTTTCTCTTACCTTGTTGTATTTGCGGGGACAGGATTTCGCAAGAGGCGACTCTGCACGCAACTACTTGATAGAAGGATCTCTCAGAGATGTAAAGACCAACATATGAGTCAAGCGCACCCAATGGAAACTCGCTTGGTTATAGGCCGTTGTATAAAGCCCCAAGTGGTAGCTAAGTATCAGACGAAAGAATATAGGAGTCGTGGATTTGATATAAATATTCATGTCCCACCATCCTTGGCACTGCCACCAAAGGTAACGTATCTCACCACTCGGTGACCGCCACCACTCGATGACCACCCATCAAAATAAACACCGATATCACCACCCCCCCTACATGTATTAATATATCCACAACAACGCGAATAACAAATTAAATTAGATATTAAATAACGATAGTAGAGCTCTAGTTTACATATTAATTAATTAGATTAGGAAAATAAACAAGTGTTGAGCTTAATAGTTCGGCCAGAACGTGTTTCTCTACTATAGGATAAGAAATTAGGTAATAAAGGGACAGGATCGATTAGAGCCACCTTTATAGGTAACTTCTTCTTCTTTCCTAATTTAGAAGGTGAGATAGGGCTCGGGGCGTTAATTTAGGCCTTTTTAGCCTTCTTAGCTATTCACTAGGCTTCCTATTTACTAGCCTTACGCTTCCTTTCTAGCGCTACTTACTCACGCTAAGTAACTACCTCTATTTAGGCCTTCTTATGGGCCTCCTTCTGTTCCTACTACTCTTTAAGCCTTTGGGCCTTCTTCTTTATAGCCTTTTAAGCCTTTATATCGCGATTTATTAATTACTAAAACTTTAACTCTTTAGCCTAAGCTATCTAGGCCTATTTTTCTTATTTAATATCTAGAGCTCTCTTCCTTACTATATTAACTTTAGAAGGAGAAAAGAACTAGGCCTAGCTAGCTTTCTCTTTATTAAAAAGGCCTAATTCTTTACCTCTCTTCCTTTATTACTTCTTAATAATTAAAGTACTACTAAGAGCTTAATTTTTATACTATAAAATATTATTATTAAAGACAAGTTGCTTACTGTCACAAGCTGACGGCGCTCCTTGATTACCTAAAGGTGATTAGAGGTTCACACCTGCCGTAAGATAGAAGGTATAAAGGTCTTAGGGAAAGCTTAGGTTAGAAGTGAGTTATTATAGGAGATGGCTTAGTATTAGGGCGAGATAGAATACTATAGTAAGACTATCCCTTAGTTCTAAGTATGGCTTTAGTTAGTGCCTGGGTTAGATAAAGGCTAAAGGTCCTTATAAGTAGTAAAGACAAAGTTAACCTACATTAATAGGTAAAGAGGTATTCAGTAAATATAGTATAAGATAACTAGAATGATACTTTATATTAAGTAGTATAGTAAAACTATAGCTAGTTTGATCGCGAGTATAAGACTCTTGATTCTATGGTAATGAGTGTCTTTATATACATGCCTGTTACAGACCACCTGCGGCGCAGCCCCAGGATATACACTCATTGGATAACAAGATTCCGGGACGGAATAACTACACATCACGTGACCATAAGGACAGGTCCCAGATGCCAAGACCAGGGACAGGTCCCTATGGGACCAAACATAAAAGGTCCATAAAGGGACCGGGACATCAGGTCCACAATAAGACCTGAGAAGAATCAGGAGGAAGGGACTGGATATATTATATATATAAAGACGCTTATTTCCTTAGGATCAAGAGTCTTATACTTATGATCAAACTAGCTATAGTTTTACTATACTACTTAATACAAAGCACCATTCTAGTTGTCTTATACTATATTTACTGAATACCCCTTTGCCTATTAATATAGGTCAACTTTGTCTTTACTACTTATAAGGACCTTTAGCCTTTATCCGACCCAGGCACTGACTAAAGCCACACTTAGAACTGAGGGATAGTCTCGCTATTGTTACAGACCACCTGCGGCGCAGCCCCAGAGTATACGCTCATTGGACGGACAAGACAGAACGGAACAACCATGTCCTACTCGCCCAGTCGCCCGACTCACTAGAGTAACTGAGAGAGTAGAGAGAGCCAGTATAAGTCGCCCGACTCACTAGAGTAACTGAGAGAGTAGAGAGAGCCAGTATAAGTCGCCAGATCGACGGAGTCAACAGCGCGACCAAGCGACTCGAGAGAATAGGATATATAAGGACTTATATATAAAGACACTCATTACCTCAGGATGTTACAGACCACCTGCGGCGCAGCCTCAGGATATACACTCATTGGACAACAAGATTCCGGGACGGAATAACTACACATCACGTGACCATAAGGACAGGTCCCAGATGCCAAGACCAGGGACAGGTCCCTATGGGACCAAACATGAAAGGTCCACGAAGGGACCGGGACATCAGGTCCACGACGGGACCTGAGAAGAATCAGGAGGAAGGGACCAGATATACCATATATATAAAGATGCTCATTTCCTTAGGATCAAGAGTCTTATACTTGCGATCAAACCAGCTACAGTTTTACTATACTGCTCAATACAAAGCACCATTCTAGTTGTCTTATACTATATTCACTGAATACCCCTTTGCCCATTAACGCAGGTCAACTTTGTCTTCACTGCTCACAAGGACCTTCAGCCTTCATCCGACCAAGGCACTGACTGAAGCCACACTTGGAACTGAGGGATAGTCTCACTATAGTATTCTATCTCACCCCAGTACCGAGCCGTCTCCTACAACGACTCACCTCCAACCCAAGCTTTCCCTAAGACCTTCGTACCTTCTGTCTTACGGCAGGTGTGAACCTCTGATCACCTTTAGGTAATCAAGGAGCGCCGTCAGCTTGTGACATTGATCGCCCCGACTTCACGGTTACAAAGAGGCATAATCAATTTCGACTTGATAGAGCCCCGACTTCACGGTTATAAAGAGGCATAATCAATTTCGACTTGATAGAGCCCCGACTTCACGGTTACAAAGAGGCAAAAGTAATTCCGACTTACTAGAGCCACCATACTGTTATAGACACTCCGACCCGAGTGACTTACGATTATATATCAAGAAGGACAAAACTAGGTACGTATCGCCCTACCCCTGAAAAATATACTAACTACAGGAATATACCCAAAAGCCAGAGCAGAACAAGTCAATATGTCATCAGCAAGTGGACCCACCACCAATGTCAACAACCTACTCATGCAAATGAGGGAGAAGATCCTTGAATTAGAAAAAAGAATCAACGACCAACCCAACGACGAACAATTGGACGAAACCAACAAGCAGGTAGAAGAACAACGACGACTACTTGAAGATTGCAGAGACACCGTCGAACAAACTATGGTACAGATCGAAGGATACAAAGACGACATCAATGCACTTAAAGTGAGAACTGGAGACAAGAGGTCTACTATCAAGATTTACAAACCCAATACCTATAAAGGAGATCGTGCCAAACTGGAACACTTCTTAGGAGAATGCGATATCTACTTAGTAACCAAACCAGGAGTCACCGACACCGAGAAAGTTATCTTTGTAGGATCTTATATGCGAGAGGCAGTGGCAACATGGTTCAAACCATATCTCGAGGACTGGACTAACATTGGAGGACGACCCATACTATACGCGGATGTACTCAACAGCTATGCACGATTTAAACAAGTACTCAGACAATTCTTTGGAGACACCGACAGAAAGAGGACCCTACAACGCAAACTACAGGGACTCAGACAAACCAGGGACGCAGCATAGTACGCAGCGCAATTACAGCAGATCTGTCAAGAACTAGGAATCCACAACGACAAGCAGAAAATGGCTATATTTGAACAAGGACTAAAACCAGAAACCCAATATGAAACCATCAAGATGGGACCATATAACAGTTTCAAACGAATGGTTGAAATGGCAGTACGCATCGACAATCAACTCTATAACCTATGAAACATACGACAAGGAAAGAACACTTTTTGGAAAGGAAACAGTTACAAAGGATTGAACAAACGCAATGATTACGGCACCACACCCATGGAATTGGATGCTACCGAAAAACGACCTTACAACACTGAGAAAAGCAAAAGATGCAGGAACAAGAAGTTGTGTTTCTACTGCGAGAAACCCGGACATATCGCAAAAGACTATAGGAAGAAACAAGGGGATACCAAGAAACACCTCAACGCTACCACTACGTCTAAGACTAGTAGCAATGAGAAGGAGCAAGGTAGAGGAGGCTACCAAGACTCACAGAACGTCAGATAATACCTTAGGGCAACCAGTAAGAGACCTACTCTGATACGACAGAACGCAGTCGTAGGGTATGGATCAAGTTCTAACAGACTCACGGAGGAAGAATACCAAAGACTCCTAAGATGCCGAACTGATGGAATCACAATAGAATAGCACAACGATCTATTATGACAAGAATTATAAACACTAGAGAAACACAGACAAACCGTCACGGAAAGATTGGAACTACCAACAGATGTCGAACACGACTTAACAACAGGGCCCAACCAAGGAATTGTGACACCAGGACAAACAGACTCGGAAGGAGAAACTGAATCAGAATATGAGGATACGCAGGAAACGAATAACTGGGAAAACAAAGCACCACGGATAACGTTCAAAGATAGTTATGAATAACTACAAGAACAAAGAGAGAAATGCGATAACCAGATACCTGACGAACACTAGACAGTGTGCAAAGAGAAAGGACTATGCTTCAGACACAACGAGGAAAAACAGACAGAAGTCAGAGACCTCAGGCACCCATGCCACGATGAATATGGGTGGGACTGCCACTACAAATACTACATCTTCAAAGAAATATGGAAATCAGGACGAAGATTTCACTACAAAAACTATATGAAATGTCCATCGTGTAGAGACAGCAAGGATATCCACTAGAGGTATTGTATAGACAAGGAGTGTCTGGTACATATCAACAAAT